TACGTCCCGAACAGCACTATTACCACAGAATTCGCACAGCACGCATTCGACATTCTTTGCGCCAACGTCATCGCATTCTCGGAAGACCCGCACACTCTGCTTCCATTATTTACAGAGGTCAGCTCCGGTAGCTCTACCACCGCGAACTTAGAGGAGATGCGCAAGAAGTCTGTCGAGAAGCAGCCTGTCACTTTACCTACCGACACAGGCCTCTCAAATCACGAGACCAACACTCTCGCTACAACACTGCGATCGGCCTGGGAACAAATTTTACATGACGAGCGTGGCTCTCCTACACCCATTGATCTTGGCTCAGACTTCTTCCAGCTGGGCGGCGACATTATGGGCTTGGCTCAAGTCGCATCCATTCTTGACCAAGATGGCCTCAGAGTCAGGGTTGAAGACTTGCTCGACAAGTCTGTGTTCGTGGATCAAGTGGGTATACTCGCTGTGGAGCGCAAGAAGCAGATTGAGCGAGAGGCACAGAACCCTTGGGGCGAGAAGGGCAAGACGAGGGTGGAAGTCAAGGGAGTGAAGGAGAAGGAGAGGAGGGGTAGTGGTTTTGGTCAGTTGGCGAAGAGGATTGGTTTGAAGAGGAAGGAGAGTTCGAAGTCAATATTCCAGCTAGGAGGGTGATGTATGGAGTTCGACTTCGATGTATTACTATTTCCGAGTATCTAGGGATGTACGGCGTTGATTGTTTGGTATCTTGCTCAGCGTTCATTCAAAAATAGTTTCTTTTGCGTTACTTTGGCAATATATACATGCACAACATGCAGCCTTCTCAACCCTTATGTGATTCGTGCAGAACTAGCTCATTGCCTCTCACGCTGCCCGTCATCACTCAACAAACGCTTTCTCTTCCTTTCGCGCGTCGTCATCGTAGCCCCATCCCATAGCTGCCCATGTCTCTTATGTAAGTCGGCAAACTGTCGCCGAAGCTCGTCGCAATGCTGTTTCGCAAGCTCCTTTTGGATATCTGCTTCGTTACAGCTTGAAGCGATTTCAGTATGCGCATATTCTGGATGTTTGTAGTTGTCGCTACCGCATACAGGACAGCAAAAGGCATCGGCTAGCCATGCGAAGGCTTCAGTACCGCAGACGCTGCATACCATGTAGTCAATAACTGTGTCGGGGTAGATGTTGTAATAAGACATTATAACTTGCATGCGCAGAGTGCTGTGGACATCTGGATTGATCGCGTGCTTGCAGCGAAGAGTTGTTGCCACATGGGGCCAACGCACTATTGCAAGCGCAGCTAGCACATCGTTTCTTTACTACAGCTCGCCAGTGACATTATACAGCATTCCATCAGTAGCATTAGGGTATAATTCATTGAATACAGATATTCTTGAGGATGGCTACAGCTTCCTACACCTGACGGTCTCCGTCTTCTTGGTCCGAGCCCGGCTTGTGGCCGTGCCCTTCAATATCTTCCATGTCTTCATCCATACCGGGCCACAAGACTTTCTTCTGCAGCACACCCTTCACGTTCAGTACCGCCACCCAGATCCATAACATGACCAAGACAATCGTCGCTCCACTGCACACGCCCTTGATGCCTGGACTGTCCAGCGCGTTGCCGATGTAGATGAGCGCGATGGTCATTCCAGCGTTTGGAAAGATGAATCCCCAATGGTTCAGCGTGAAATGCGACTCCTTGGCACTGATGACAATGCTGATGGTGGCGATGGCAGAGAACCAAAAGGATATCAGCCACAAGAAGATTCCCACGATGACTCCGAAAGCTTTGAAAGCATCGCCGACCGGGAAGGAGGTAATGCCCAGTAGGTTTTCAGGCACGTGTTTCGGTGCCTGCATACCGAGCGCAACGCATGCATTTGCAGTGTACGCAGCGGGACCAACAGCCACATACATGCCTGGGCGTTTAGGTATCTCGGGAAGGTTGCTGTTGACCAAGCGCGTGAAGTATAGGGTCAACATCAGGAACGCAATCGTCCAGCCCAGCCCCTGGAAAGTGACGCTGCCGACGAAGATGTTGAATCCAGGTCCAGGTGGCTGGCTTTTCAACAGCGTGCTACCCAGAACTCCGAGGACAAGGAAGGGGTATACTGGTAGAATCCAAGCAGGCATCGCGTCGGTAACAGGAAGCTCACGTCGGTCGAAAATGACATGGTATTGGAAGACGGCGACCAAGATGACGATGGCCGCGTACAACCAGAAGAGTATTTCCAATGTCTTGATGAGCCATGGTCCTGACGATGGTACCCCGTAAAGCTCAATACAGTAAATGATGAGTGCAATGGATACGAAGAATGCTCCGAAGAAGAAGCTCTCGTGTGGGTGATGTAGACTGAGCTTAAGGGATCCACGATTGTGGATGAAACGGTAGGTGATACATGCGCTAAACGCAAGGAACAGAACGATATCCAAGATGAAGAATATCTTCCCAATGGTCTTTAATCCGTGGAAGCTGTATGGCTGCTGCCCAAGAAGCGTCGCAATGGCGCCGGTCGACATGGTGCATTCGAACCACGACCAAGTGAAATGATCTAAGCGCTTCTTCCATGGTAAATATGTGGGGTTGTAGTCTTCTCTTTGCGCGGGCCGCGGGCGCCGTTTGATGGGTCTGGCACGGGCAGTCATGTTGTCGGTAGAAGAGGTGCAGGAATTTAACGAAGTCGTTGATTCGGGATACGAGGATGATGGGCGCGACGGGGACATGGTGTCTTATCGACGACGGGGGATGGCCGTTGACAGCGAAGAAAATGCCATATTGCTTGACGTCAATTTGGCATTTTCTTCGATGCGATTTGGCTCGATGCCAAGCGAGAAAGTCAAGGTGTCATGCCTTTTCCAAGCCTGCATCAGCATGTCTGAAGCCGAGTTGGGTTTAGCGCGTGCTGATCTCAGTATCGGTCGAGCGAAAGAGGTCTTGCCGCCCGTAGATGCTTGAGCCTCACAGATCACCAGGCGCAACCATTACAGCTATCCTGGAAGAGCTCACCATGCCAATATCGCCCATCCCCAAACTTTACCATCTCTAGCGTTCATCCGCGTTCTGTGGAGCTCTGGGGACGTCCGCGGTCATGATGTATCTATGACGTTGCGACTACAGCTAGTGCAGCATTCACGATCGCGACTCATACCCATGCAAAGCCAACCCTTGGCCCTAGGCATTCATCAATAACTGGATTTTGAGATGTCTCTTTCCGATGTATACGATAGCGCAAAGCGCGCTCTTTCTTCAGCTCCGCCAAACGACTCCTACCTTCGCTGGGATGCGCCGGGTGTGGAGACGCCAAAACCCAACGAAGATGAGACGGCTAAGAAGATCGGAGAGACGATGAACAGGATGCAGCAGCACAACTTCGATCAGCATCGACATGCTTTTCGAGCGACGCACGTTAAGACGCAGGGTATTGTCAAGGGCAAAATGATCGTGCTTCCGGACCTGCCGGCCCATCTACAACAAGGCCTTTTCAAGATACCTGGCAAGACATACGATGTCGCGGCACGATATGCTAATGAACCTGTCTTTCTTCAAGCAGACCAGGATCCAGGGCCTCGCGGTCTGGGAATGCGAGTATTCGGTGTGCAGGGTGAACGGCTCCAAAGCTCTGACCCTGAGGCCAGTACGCAGGATGTGTTCTTCAACAACGCTCCGTCGATCGAGTTGACCGATATCGACACTTGTCTTGAGATCATGGAGCTGAGGGAGAAGTACTTTGACAGTCCCTTGAAGCTGGCCGCAGCGACAAAACTAAGGACAGACGCTATCAAGCAAAGTGCGCCTGGTAGGCTACGTGCTCTTTCTGGATGATGTTCGTCTTGACTCATTGCGGTAGGTATGCTTCCGAATACGAACATGATCAGCCACTCGTTCTACAGTCAGAGTGCATTTCGTTTTGGCGAATGGTATGGCCACATGGCGCTCTTCCCAGTACTCGACGATATGAAGCAACGAGCAGAGAAAGTCAAAAGTGGTGATTCGCGAGAGGCGCTTCGCGATTGGCTGTTGGAATACTTTGCTGATAATGGCGCCAAATACGAGTTCAAAGTCCGTTTGGGTAACGCCTGCTGCTGTCGCTTTTGCTGATGTCAAATGTAGATTCAGCTCGGTACTTCACCTGCTCATCACCCTACCGAAGACGGCTCAGTGGTATGGGACGAAGCTACGGCGCCATATCAGACCATCGCAACTGTCGAATTCCCACCTCAGGATGCGTTGAGCGCCCAAAGAAGAGTCTTCTGGGAGGACACTATGAAGCTGAACCCATGGGACGGACTGGTAGCACATCAGCCCCTGGGTAGTATCAACCGTTTGAGGAAACCGGTCTACGAGATGAGCAGGAAGAAGCGTGAAGCTGTGAACGCAACGCCAACCAAGGCCGTCAACAGTGTCGATGAGATACCATGAGCACCGTAAAGTTAATATACATCAGTGTGACGAAGTACCCGAATGAGCTGAGCGAAGTCAATTCACTCTCGCCCCGTCCATGTAAGAGGCTCTACAACAGCCAACGTGTAACGCTCGTATGTACATCATCGCCATTCATACCTCTGATGCGATGAGAGCGACATTGTTGCACTTCCCCGCCCTTTCTCATCGGTAGTCGCTACCAGTCACTGCTACACGCCGTTGTTGTTTAGCTTACCGTAATATACGAGCTGTCTTAGTGTACAAAACCGACACCCAAACGGCTGGTACGGCTTAAGTAGCGTGAGCGTGCCTCAGCTGACACCAATAAGCGTACCTCCAGACGTGGGACCATGTGATTGGTATAAGCATGCCAGCGCGCATCATTGGAGGCCGAAAATAGCTGGCCAATCACCAGTGATCGCCACCAATACTCCTAACGAAGAACTTCGTTTGCTGTCGGCTACTCGGTCGCACCGGTGCATTGATCCTCGTGGGATGTAGACAAAAGTAGCGAAAGGGTTGCTGCAGATACGAAGAGCGGTCACGGTCACGCTGTGCGTTGAGAGTACTCAAAGTATAAGAGAGCTGTCACATTTGTCCCTCTAACAACCATCCACCTTCAATCCTAAACTCTGTTTTCAGTCGCCAAAGATCTTCAAAATGCTCTTCAACGCACTTACGATTACTGCACTGGTCGCATGCGTCAATGCCGCCGGTCGCGCCATCGTGACCAACCACTGCACCGATCCAATCTACCTCTGGTCCGTTGGTGGCAGTATGAGCGACCAGAATATCATCTACCCCGAATCATCCTACAGCGAGCCCTTCCGCACTGACCCCCAATCCGGTGGGATTGCCCTCAAGATCTCACCTATCGAAGGCGGAATCTCCAAACCCAACGTCAGCCAAACTATCTTCGCTTACAACCTCGACACCAACCAGGTCTGGTACGATATGAGCGACATTTTCGGTGATGGCTTTGCTGGAAAATCTTTGACGCTTAAGCCAACGGATAGCACCTGCGAGAGCATTGTGTGGGCTTCAGGCGAGCCGCCGGCGGGTAGTCAGATTAAGGTCTGTGGGGCTGAGACGGACTTGGAGCTGACGTTCTGCACGCCGCCACCGGCGCAGTGCTTGCCTGCTTGGTCTCCTTGCGGGAAGAATGCACTACCGGGTGAGACGAGACTGTGCTGCACGCACTGCATTGGTGATCATCACTGTGTCCAGGCTCCGGGTTCTTGAGTCGATGCGTTGCACTGTCAAAGCGGATAAGAGTGGGTTAAAAGCTGGACATTAGTTGTTTAGGGAGGAAAAGGAACTATCGAGGTAATGTTTATATCGATATGTAGTCTTGTTGTTTCAACATGTCACTCATTCAGACTCCAATAAATGCGACGCACTGTCTATCACTGGTTCTTTGCTTGTGCTCCACTGGGGCCTTCTTTTCATGGTGCTATTCAATGTTGGTATTCGTTAGATTTTAATGTTATGTTTCTATGGTACTACACCACTGAAGTCCATCATCGGAGAAAGTTCCAGTACTCATTCGTGGACCTCACAAACCTCTCCATCAGCTAGAGTGACAATTGTGACCCCCGCCCTCTTCGCCATCTCCGGAAACTTTGCCAGTATATGATCAGGCGGGGCCAAATCGCCACGCCAATGTACCTCTAGGCGTCGTAAATCCTTTGGAGGCGCGAATTTGCCCATGAGATAATCATCAAGTGAGACCAGGGTATCTTGATCCGCTTGGTGAATCGCGAGGGTATCGACACCAGCCAGGATAGGGTACCAGGCCAGAGTTGGGCCAGACTCGACCCCGAAGATCCGCAGATTAGGGAAACTCTCCATGAGGGCTAGCAGCTTCTCCTCAAACATTTGCCGGTCATGAAAAGATCGACGGGCTGACGGTAAGAAGTTCTTTTTTGTGAAAATGACTTTGAGGGTATTTACGTTAACCCAGCAACCCCTGTGCACTGCGAGGAATGAGCAAGTCCTACCGTACTCGAGAGTCAGGTTGGTGAGAGTGGAAAATGGAGTCGCGCCGAGACCTTCAAACCCAGTGGAAAGTGTGAGTGCCGATAACCTGGTGGATGACAAACCCTGTGTTAAAGGGGTGATGTTGAACGCTGAATCCCAGAAGCGATTTTCGATAGTAGGAGGTTCTCGAAAATGACGTTTCGTGTATAGTTCCACGATCTGAAGTTTGGGAAGTGTCGCGAAAACGACGCCACACACTGCAGCCTCTGAAGGAGATATGAAGTCCTCTAGTAACGACTCCTCTTCCTCAATCGATAGCCGGAGTAAGTCAACAGCGCTACTCAATGTCTTCTCACAGCTGCCACAATTGCAGAGCCTGTCCCTCTCATAGTCTTTGGGAACCTTAGCTGGCGACTCGTGCCAGAACCAAACAGCCAGGCTGCGCACACGGACGCCTAGCTCTGGACGATGGATTATCGTACGTAAAAAGGGCGCCAAGAAAGAAGGGGCTCTGTTCTTCAGCAACTGCGAGCGGTATGGCTGAGGCAGGGAGACGTCGCGATACAAAATGGCTTGGGCTATTGGGAGGAGCCGCTTGCATGTCAGACTCGCGAAAAGTAGACTCTGGATTTCTGCTCCATGTCTCCAACGCGCCTGCTCAATCTCCTTTGACTCTTCCCGGCTTACCCCATATCCGCTCCCATAGCCGCGGTCACCATACCCTTGGTTTATGAGCAAACCCTTTGTAGGCGCAAGGTATTCTACTATTCGCAGCAGCAGCTCGTTGGGCAGACGCAGGAGATGGCTGTCATTTAGTTTTCGCGTTGGTGATGAGGCGGAAGTGGAAGATGAGTTGATGCGCAGGTAGTCAAAACACTCAACTATGGAGTCGTCGGAGTCGTCGGAATCACACCAATCTCTTTGCGCGGGTGCCATTCGATCGCAGTGGTGGAGGCCGCAAGTGGGAACGTAACCTCAGGTGTGACGAATCGTGATCAGCTCGCACAGAAGTGTGTGATTATTTTCTTCGTTGCTCGTGACAAACCAATGCGTGTCCTCAAATTAGGCAGACACAGAGCTGGAAACTTGGCCCCGCGGGACATCAGGCCTCCAGGGCTGTAAATCAGAGGCAGGCTATACCAGATTCGGCATAGACAAAAATAGAGAAAGGGCAAGCGTCACGCGACATCTCTATTCCACTTTGCAGCTATTGCACGCAAAAATATTGCCATGGCAGTTGGGAACTCTATTCGGATCGAATTACTTTACGACAGTTCGTTACATGCAAGCGGCACTGCTTGTTTCCCACTGCAACATTGCCCTAGTGTCCAAGCACAAAGACCGCGAGCATCAACAACAGTAGCTACACAATACCACATATCATCCGTCATCATGTACCCAAACCCACCGACACTCTAGATCATAATCGCATCTCCATCAGCATCCCACTCAACCTCAACCCTATCCATCGGGTCCTGATGCACGCCAAAAGGCCCCATCGCTTTCTTCCAGCACATGTACTCCGCACAATGTAGCACATCCGGCTCGGCCTTCATTCGCCATGGCGTACCACCCTCAGACTCCCACGTCGTCATAGTCCACGGCGGGAAGTAGAGGTACACGGCAATCTCAGCATCGCGACATATTCTGCGTACATCGTCGATTGGATCTAGACAGTTGTCTAGCTCGGCGCTGAACCTGGTGCTCTCTAGATGTTCCATGTGGTAGGTTTCGATGCGCTTGAGATTGGGTAGGTGGAAGGTTTTCTTGGCGAGACAGAGCGTGTTGAGGAAGTTGGCTGTGATGTGTGTCGCCTCGCTGATGCGCAGGACTTCCAGCGTTATTGGAAAGATCTCCACCGGATCCGCACCTGGCATTCCTTGTCGCATAATCCCATGGCCTTGTATTGCCTTCATAGTGAGACTGACTTCTCTCAAGCTCTCGAAGCGGCGGAGGTCGAAGACTGTGGCCACGCTGTGGGAGTACCTTATCGCTGTCATGTCGCTTGGTATCTCAAGCACTGTCAGATGAGGCAGCTTAGCTGTGAGTGCTCCAAGCAAAAACTTGTGATTCCACTCGTATGGTAGTGTATAACTCGCGCGAGCGGATGCAGACCGCGTACTCGCGAAGAGAGGAAAGTCCATGAGCCATGCGTCGCCGAGCTTCAACTCACATAGATTGGGTAACGCGCAGATGAGGACGCCGAATAGTGCAGGAACGGTATCATCTCTGATAGCTTCTAGCCAATCCTTCGCATCTCGTTTGTTGGTAGCGAAGTGATTGATCATGACACCACATTCTTCGAGAAACTTAGCGCCCTGCTTTATGTAATCCGGAGCAAGGAGCGCATTATACTTGGGTTGGGTGAGATACACTTGTACCCCAGTACGGGTAGTATGTTGGGTTCTGGTTGTCCTTCCTTCGCTCTTACTCCAAATCTCCAAGCTTCTGACTTGACCGAGCAGGTGCGACCGGTGGCCCAGTTCTGACATGTACCGATCGATAAACGCGAGATTGAACCTTGGCTCTTTGAGTAGCCATTCTTGCGCGATAGGTCGCCATCTCTTGGATACGAGCGCAAGACTTGCAAGATCCCAGTTGCGACTCAAATCCGTGAACTGTGCGCCGATGTTGAGAAGTAGTTCTTCGGGAAGTTCGCCGATGCTCCTAGGTGTGCGGGGTGGATTTGAGAATGCAGGTGGTCGAAACATGATGGGTAAGCTAGAGAATTCCGGGCCAGGGTGAAGCAAGGGTCGTGCGAGCTGTGATATAGCGGGGTAGGCGAAAGGCTGAAATGCTGATTTAGGCACCGGCGAGTGGTGACTTGCGCACAGGCAGCGATAGGGTATCACTGACGGGCTGCGAAGCTGCCTACATGTAAAGATGAGCCTGAGATTTGGTACAAGCTGGGTCACATCGAGTGTGGGGTGACCAAAGTTATGAGGAAGCGCACGGTTGTGTCACGTGGCTTGTATCTTTCACTCCTGATCTTTCCAGCGAGTGGGTACAGCTGATGACTCCGGCGTATCGCATACCCATTGCTCTTCCCGAAGAACCATGAATACTATCTGGAATCTTTCTCAGTTCTACAACTCCACGCTGAACATATGCAGATAGAAGATCGGCCCGGGATCCTAGCCCATGGCACATACCGAACATCTTCACCCTATCATTACATATCATCCAGGCATCCCGGACAGTCATTGATGCATGCCTTTTTCTTCGGTTGCAGCAGTATCTTCCAGGCAACGCTAGCCCACTGTGTCTCACTGAATTCGGCGGCCACGGGAATATTGACAGATTCTAGCTGCAGACGTTCTATGTCCTCCTCCAAGCCCTGCGTCTTATCGGTAATGTATGATGCAAGCTCAGTGGATTCAGCTTTCTTGGACCGCTTTGTCTGCTCTTCTTTCGCACACGATTTCTTCGTCGAGTCTCTGTGCTGATCTGAAAACTGTGCGTTAGTACTCTCCGTGGTGACAAAGCTCGAACCAAGGAATAGAGTCTCTTTAGCGATGGGCGCAAGTTTCTGCTCGAAGCGGAGGGTGAACTGAAAAGTGTCCAGGTCTGCCATGCTCGTTAGTCTCATGTCATTGCCGCGCCGAACCCAGACTCACTCAGTAACGGCGAAAGCCGTCGCCTGAACGCACGCTTCCCAAGAGCCCTGTCAGCCCATCCACTAGAGTCGATCATCACTTGCTTCTTGTTTGGATCTTGAAGCTGCGGGTCCCACTTGCTGTTCCTGATACCGTGAAAGAATGCACCCTGTGCCCACAGCCTCAAATCAAATGTAGGGCTGTTCAGGAGTTGCGAGTGGTGGTCGACGTGGCGTAAGAAGACCCTAACGCCAAAGGCCAGTTGCGGCTGTCTGCTTGCTTCTGGAGCCCACTCGGAGAATGGCGCGGATGATCCTGAGCAGCGCCATATTTCCAGATGCCGTAAACGATAAAACGCCTCGAGTTCTTTGCGCATGTCACCGGAGACCTCTTGGGGCCCACTGTGGAAGGTCACTTTGATGCCTTTGCGATCGAGGCTCGTAAGTAGATCAAGGTAATCTAGCCGACCCAGATCAGAAGCATTGCACTGTATGATGAGGTGTTTACACGGCGTGTTGAAAGATAGCTCAATGTGCTTGAGTCTCAGGTCACCCACAGGAACTTCGTTAATCCTTTGCAAAAGAGCAAACGTCCATTTGTTACATGAGCGCAGGTGAATGTTTTGGATAGTGGGTGGCATGACTTTGGAACGTAGCTCCGCCAAAGTCTTGCTGGCCGGAAGCGCATCATTGACACTCGCTGCTAGACGTGACGCTGCCGCAGGGTTGCCCGTAGGAGAGAAGACTATGTCGTATGGGCGCCCAAGAATGTCCATGGGTATGTCAAGCCACTTCAATCTTGAGAAGTTCGCCAGTGTGATTATGTGCGTTCCCATATTCCGCCATTTGGCATCGTGCGACCCGAGAACCTCCATGGTGGGTGGCCCTTTCCATCTGGTGTTCTCCGCGATTGTGAGAGATTCGAGCTTGGCCTGAAACAGCTGTAGCGCTGGGCCTTGAAATGGAGCGACGGGTAGCAACTCAGGGTTAAGCGCCGGAAAGACTTGAGGAGCCCGCTGAACAGGACGTGGCGGTTGGCTGGAGGGAAACGACCTCGCTTCTGGTAGCTGAACTGTGACCGATTTGATGTTGGGACACGATATCGCGAGAAGATCAAGGGAGAAAGCTGGTTCTTTCCTCCAGGTGGTGCCGCCTGAAGCGTTGCTTTCCCGAACTTGACTCCAGTCCGCGGTATGTCCGGTAGTCGTAGAGATGGCTGCGCCAAGACCTTCCAGTATGTCCAGGTCGAGACTGTTCGAGTTCGCACAGAAACAGCCTGCGTAGTGACTACATCCAAAATCCCCAAGATTAACACTAGATACCTTGTTGAGAAGCTCCGGGTGATAGCTAAGCATTCGCAAGAAGCCTTTGATGTTCCTTCCCGACACGATCAGCTCTCGCACGATGATCTCTTGAACGATCCCTCCAAGGCGTTTGTTGACTAGCCCAAAATTGAAGATGTGCGTAGTGCCGAGCAGGTTGGAGGCTATAACTTCAAGAAGTTCGGATGGTAGGCAGAGCATTCCGTTATTTTGGACAAGGTGGGTGTCGACTTGGTTCAACAGCGCAGTCGTATCGTGTTGGTCGCCATCTTGGGGTTCTTCGGGACTGATTTCTGGTATCGCGGCTTCCCGTGAGAGAGGTGGTGTCTTGACTCCGTTTGCCGGACTCGCTACGCGTCGCTTCCTGGGACTAGAGTTGGGTGGCGTCATCGGCGCCATTGCGGTATGAAGTGAGAATGAGACGTGGTTTGGGCGGTTGAGTTGAAGCGCAGATTATCGCGCTGGTATATTACTCGGTAGTCTGGCAAATATCCATGTGTGCATGTGAGTACCGTGGGTCAGTCACAAGGGCGGCTACCGCGGTACCTGCATATGGTCAGTTATCGGGTGACGTAATCGAGTAAATGTAGCGGGGTATTACTTGAAAGACCTCCCTAGCCTGTGAAAGGCCGTCTTTGCTTCGTAGTTTGAAGAGAAAGGAAGTGTGTTGTGCAACATGTGTACCGTGGCTGCTCGTTGACTGAGGTGCGAGGAGGGTGTGACACGTCCGCGCCAAGCCGCTAGTATACAAGCAGGTGACTCGTTCTAATGCTCTTTCCATTGACACGCATGCTCTACTAAGATAAGAAACGATAGCTACGCGCACGCTTGGGTATAAGAGTATTCATTTCGTATCGCTTCAAACCTTGCTCGATGCTGCAGTATCGCGTCGCATCCCGGTACGTCATGTCACCTCCACCCTGAAAGACAGTGCTCACATGCCCAAGACCGACAGCGGCGACGGAAGGTACTCTTCCCAAAGAAGAATCATCCCTCAAGTTACCGACTATATACCGCCTATATCTCCTTCGTCACAGCCCTAAGGAACTGCAGCTCCTTAGGCTTATGAGCAAACGCCCATTATGATCAACTAAAGGAGCGACACTAAGCACATTGCCACTCTCGTCTTCAAGGATGAAGTCAAAAGTAGCCATAAACTACGCCGTGATGATGTTCCGCTCAAGTCTCGCAAAGCGCATGCCCAAACACGGATGCCGTCCTGAGCCTCAGCCAACGAAGCCACGGGCTGCCTTTTTCTTGTCTTCAGCACGCTCCGGTAGATAACGAGCTGGATCCCACTTCTGCGGATCGAGGTAGATCTCTGAATCGTAATTTATATCGCCAGGGGCTTATGTAACGAATGCGCCGGGTGGGATGATTTCGTCGCCGTTACCCGTGTGTATACTTTTGCCACTGATGTTCCGCCTGAACGCCGTGCCGAGCAGGTTTAGACGTAGAGAGTCTCCCAGATACATGTCGATGACTGGAAACTCTGCTTCTCGTGCCTCTATAGGTACGTCGTCGAGCTGCTGGAGCAAGGGTCCGTTCGGGTTCTTAGCGTACCTCGCCGCATTACTGCGGACTTCGTCGTTCGCTTTGGCGAGCCACTCGCTTGAGGTCGCGAGATAGGGCATTACCTGGTTGGCTTCAGCTTTTGTTCTGCCTGTACTAGACATAGGCAGGTTCAGATCCACTTACCTAGGCTACGTTGATACCGCTGTTGAGTAAACCAGCGAACAACGCTCCAACGACGAACTGAGCGACTCTCTCGGCGCGATCACCCTGATCCAGCAAGTACTGCAGCGCATCATCGTGCTTCTCGCCGCTCGCCGCACGCTTCTTGACGATTTTGTCGATCATCGTATAGAGTTGCGCTCCTGCGTAGGTCCGCTTCATGAGAGCCGGTGAAGGGAACTTCGGGAACAAGACTGACGTAGCAGTAGCGCTGCTTTCAATCATCTCAAACATCTTGAGAACCTTCTCTAGTATCTGAGGGTCTTCTGCAATCTCAGTAGCGGCTACCATGCTGATGGTGAGGCGGAAGACGATGCGATACAGGCTCTCGAAGGGATTGGTACGGCCGCTGGGCTCGTTCTTGATGGCTTCGAGAGCATGCTTTGTGTCGGATATCAGAACAGGTAGCTTGCGACGGAATTGATCATTCTTTAAGAAGAAGTTGAGACGGCGATGGACAATGGCGCCGAAGCTGAGATTCTTGTCCTCGTTGGTAATGGTATTGGGAACTTGGGGGGAGTTACCAAACAACACAGCATATCCTTCAGTGAAGCCCAGATCTTTCGACTCGAAGAACAGCTGAAGCCCTTAATCTCCTGAAGGCGCAACGATTATGTTCGGTCCAGCGTGGAAGGAGAAGGTCCCCGTCTGGGACTGGTCGCGTCGCTCGCTCCACCATTCCCATCTTCGGGTCCAGAAACCAAGAGCTCCAACGACTGGAAGATGGTCTGACTTGAGGTCGCGCGTTCCTAGGGACGCGATGCGAGTAGGATAGTGCGCCAGTAGCGTACGCTGTCAAGGCTAGCCCGACTATTGCGAAGAGGAGGGTTGTTTTGCTACCTGGAAACGAGTCGAGGACACCAAATACCGCCATCTTGCTAGAGCATCAAGTGACTAGTGATTGTAGTGAGTAGCACAGGGGTTTATGGCCTTCTCAGGTTTCGTCGCGCTGAGGAGGGGGTGAGGGCAATCCTGACATAGATGATAAATGCAGGCGCGAAACGAGCGCGGCACAGCTATTGTGTGGAGCTGGCACTCCAGAAAGGTACTGCCACAGGATTGGCAACGCCTGGCGCATCATGGGTCATGTCTCGTCGGTGCTGCGGCAAGCGTGGTAGCGACGTTGCGCATGGCAATATCAAGCAAATGTTAGAGTAAAACAGGAATCGAGTTGCGAATTGGCTGATATACTCAGCGGCGACACAATCAGCACGCTCGTTCGTACTACTACAGGCGTTTGTCTGGAAAAATGCAGATGTATGATCGCTTGCCGCTGCTCCACACGTTCCCCGGCCCGTCGTGCAGTGATGATTCCCAGTATCCCAGCCACAACTCATACAACCATCGGCCATCGGTCCGGCACTCGGGTTCCGATTGTAAGTGTCTAAACGAGACACATCAAGCACACGACCACCGGATAATATCCCTCGTCTGCAATGCCTTGCATAGGCGGGAGCCCAGGAGCGTGGATCTGATATTCACCACAGCACCTTCCTTTTTGACACTAACATTGACGAAGCTGCAGCCGAGTAGGAACCATGGTCTTTTCCTGTATCTTCTCGAGAAGAGTAAGGACTCCAGGGCCCTCGCTCGCTAAGGAAGCGAGCTATCGGGGTAAAGTCGTCACAGGACTGCTGTTTGCACTCGTTGGCCATGGAATGAACAGGAGTGAGCTCGCGTGCAACCTCGTTGTATCCTCCCCTCCCTCCCCTCAGCATAGGGTAGCTGTCACGGCCCGTATCTTCGACGGGTACGACGAAGACAGATGTGCCCATGCCCATGCTCATGCCCATGCCCACGAGGTCGTACCTTATATCATTTGGGCTTGCTCCTTGTGTGTGCTTGTGTTGTGTACTGACGTGATTTGACGAGACCAAGTTCCGTTCGGGATTCCTTGTGGGCTTCTGCAACGTGCCTGCTGGTCGATATCGAGGATGCTCGACGATGATACCGTCAGGCCGCTTGATCGCGCGATACTTCTTCGTACAGCGCCGGGGTTTGCTCTCAAGTGTCATTATGATACTGAGGTCGGCATTCGGAGGTAGGCTTGGGCCGTTTCGATTGTTGGGTTCGATTGAAGTGGACGACGTGTATCCTGGTTCGCGCATGTGGAAGTGAGGACACTGGTATGAGGCTGATTCCGTAGTGAGGGTTTGAATGTGCGATATTTCTAAAGGTGGTGATAGCTTTCCCCATGTCAGTGTACAACGCTTACCTTTGTAGACTCGAAGTCAGCGCAATGCGAAGTATACCAAACCTCGTCGTCAACGACGTAGCCATGGTCTGAAGAGTCCAGATCTCTCTCATCGAGATCAGAAACTCTCCACATGCTTCGTCTCACGCTCTCTGGCACAACAGGTACACCGTAAAGTAGATGCCTTGCGCAAAAGTGAGCCTGATCGACCTCGTACACACCACAACTACATCATACCTAGCTCCTGCGGTCACGACGATGGCGGTCTGGACCCATGGACGCGCCCTCTATCTGTCTGCAGCCCTATGGTATGCGAGCCCGTTAGAGCACGGCAGCTCTGTCCGATATTTTCGTATATTTAGGGCTTCTACCGACGTCATATCGAGTGCGTCGCACGAAAATCTAGACCATCACAGCGATGGTTGTACTGCTGAGCCCCTGTCGCGCATCGTGGCCGTGAAGGGGTGCGCCTCAGCTCACGCGCGTGCGGCCACACAGCCCCTGCGCAGCATCGCGAACATGTCGTCATATGTGAAGCTGGCAGCTGGAATAGGCTTCGTGGGATCGTCTGCGCGGGCATCGGGGGCCAGGCGTAAGAAATAGCCAGAGGGCCTGGACTTCCATATCGTGGGGGGCCAGAAGAGAGAAGATGGCGAAAGGGAGGCAGGGGGGATGGAGCGAGTGGGGACCGTTGATGATGTCAGGGCGCGGGCGCAACAGCAGACGGGCGTGAGCAACCCATCGCTCCTTCACGACACCAACACGACACCTGGCACTGCACCACTGCAAAACAACTATGAAGACCCGTAACATTTTTCCTGGCTGTTGCATTCACTCTAAGTTGTCAGCTATTTTAGTCATCGCAGCTTGACTGACCAAAGCCGCCCTAACATGTCCGCTGCCACCGCTTTTCACAGAATCAGGTCGTCATTCCACGTTGAATCGCCGGAACAACCCCTTCCAACCACTGCAGCGCTTGTCTCATTCATAGTGTAGAGAGCTCCAACGAATCATCGAAGACGGCGCCATCAAATGGACCTTAACTCATAGCCGAGTGCTGCCATCATCTCAGGTTCGTTCTCCAGCTGATCATGTGTAGTCGCCAAGCACTTCTCGATGACAGGAATGAGATCACCGGGGATATAATGTCTTTCCGTCTGTCTTGCGTCCACGTAAAGTTTCCTGGTCCCGAAGGCGGTACTCAGGTTTCCGCTCGGTGGCTCCCATCCTACCTCCCGGAATTTAGTAGTGCCGAACGCGGTGGTCAGGTTAACACGCGATGCCTGCCATCTTTGAAGCGCAGCCGGAAGCTCCTTTCTGTTGGAAAAGGGCATGGATCTATAATGCCAGCCCATGGAGACGATGTTATACGGATACAGTAGCTGGACTTCGCGCAGTTTGGGAAAGTTGACATCATCAGCTATCAGCCTGTCGAGCCACTGTGTATCTGGCCACAGCCGTTTATGGCTAATGCTCACATGAAAAGACTCGAGAGATGGAGGTAGTATCTGATGAAGCGCAGTCGTTGCTGGATCGTGAGAGCGATGTCCGAACGTATCCCAGTCGTGGACACATATTTTGTCGAACAGGCCTTCGTATGGGATCACCAGCCGCTTGAGACTCGAAAAGGCAACCGGGGCCAAGCCCATGATCAGGCTGTTATGCAGATAGTCACTGACAAGACTAGCTCCGACATTGATCTCCTCGAGTCGCGCTTGAAGATCTGATCTCGCTTGTCGAATCAATCGATAGGCTGAAATCGTTGTAGGCTTGTTGTGACTGCCGAACGCGTGAAGTGCCTTATCGATTTCATTGTAGACAGTGTCGGCCATCGCACTCATGGATATAGCCTTCAAACTATGCGCAAGAGTAAAGAGAGCGGTCATGCTTTCGAAGAAACACACTATCGATTTTGCCGCATCTCTTGCGCCGTGATCACTGCACTTCTTGTAGGTATCCCAAGCGACAGAGTGTGTGTGATACATATCACGTGCTGCATCCATCGTCATTGGTCCGAGGCGAAGGTGGGTGAAAGACGCGACCAGGTCTGGGTGAGCTCGCAACATTCCCGTCAGCTTCCATACGTTCTCGGGCGCGACAGTCGCTCGTTTGATCAGTAATTCTTGCATGATTGGACGCATACGATAGCAGGCGAGCGAGAGAGCATGGAGCTCTACGATTGCAACTCCGTCTGCGATATCGACCAGGAGCTCATCGGGGAGTTGCAGTATCGCGGTCCTGGATTGCGACATGATGGCAGATTCCGAGTTAGATTTATCCGGGATATTCAGATTCATGGATTCCGCTTGTGAGTGTAGAAGGTTGGAAATTGTTGTTGTGGCCTTGAGCCACACTCGAGCCACGCTAACTGCCTTGGGTTGGCTTCTAATAGTCTGGTAGTGAGAGAGGAAAGAGCTTTTGGCGATGGCACAACCGTAACGCGGGTTTTCCGCGATCGCTCTCACGTCCGCGGACCTCTCGCCTAAGTAGTTTCGTCTCGGGTTACATACGCGAATTGCAGTCTGCGGCGGACCCTTCTAGGGCCATTTTACACCCTTGCTTCGTCGGGGCTAAAACTCTGGCGCTACCTCAACTGTAACATCAGCGAGTTAGGATGTATCTTATATGAGCGCTCATCCTAAGCTCACGTACCGCTCAGAACTCCTCTTCCACATCGCCAGCCACCTAGAGCCCGACGTAAAGATTTCCAAAGAAGATGGCTACGGCTCGACGACTTCGCTCGCTCTTCATCTCACAGATCAGCCGACAGCTATACCCCCTCAGAGTGCCGCAGTGACACGCCAGCAACATAGAGGAAGCACGCAGTCACTACTGCATCTAGCATTGACCTATAAAAGCCTTTTACCCATTGCTCAAGAATCCTTGTTCACGAATGTATCGCTTCCACGACAAGTACAAGACCGCGAATGCGACGGCTTCTACCCATCACCCATGCTCTACTTCTTGCGCACGATCATTGAGCGACCCGACCTAGTAAAACAGGTGCGCACTCTATCTATATGGATAAGGAGAGGCGTACCCATACGGCCTTTGCAGTACTTAAGCGAATCATCAGATCATATCCCAGGTAGCCTAGCAGCGAAGATGGCCGACATTGTGTACACTTTCCCTGACGGCCCCCAGCAATACGGTGCCGGTCACGCGCGATGGATCCAGAGCCTCTCTTGCCCGAGCGAGCTGATGGTCGCTAGTTTGATACTGGCGTCTTTGCCTCAACTGCAAGCCGCCGAGATCTACGCCAAAGCAGCCCCTAGTTTCAACCTTGGTCGCTGGGAAAAGGACAATGTGTATAACAATCTTGGCTGGTTTCTCAACAGAGAGAAGGAAACTGGTATCCATCGGCTAAGTCAAGGTCTGGGCATGACGAATATAAACAGTCTGGCTTTGTCTACCAACCTTGACTGGCTGTGTATCAACATCACCCATTTGCGAATTTCCTTGAGGGTGACGTCGCGCCTATCACAGACTTGACCGTCCTCTGGGAATGCAACGACAACGTCAATCCAACCGGAAGGTTACAACGCAAGAAAGGGAAAAAGCTCAGGTACTTGTGTAGAGGGCTCAAAAGCCTGCAGGCGCTTCGTCTCAACTCTCCAGCGTACTTGCTTACTAGAGGCTGTGCCCCATACACAATGGAACGCATAGTCTTTCAGCCAGCTGATGCGTTGGCTTTCAAGTTCGCGGAGAAAATTTGCGGATGTGCTTTGGGTTATCGCCTCGATAGGCTGCGTGTCGTTGAGTTGCATCGGTTCATCGAAGGACCTGTACCTGCTACCGTCGTGCTGGAAAATGTTCGGACTCGGGATACCGTAACTGGGCAGGATGTGTGGACTGTTTGGCGCTCTGAGCCGGGCTGTCCCTCAGTGAGTACTGGTCGTCTATCAACGAACAAAAACTTTCAACTCGATTATTAGAGTTGACGGGAAACCTTCAATACCAGAGGTAGTAAGCTATATACTGACACTACGGTCGCGGTCAGGTGCTGAGAAATTGATAAATAACATCATTGTTGCCAATAATGCTCTTCTTTAACATTTATTTATCATCTACCAATTACCTCATTGCCGCCTTTACCAGAAGTTCAGCGCAGCAGCACCAGCAAGAGCCAGCAGCGCAGAGCCCTCAATGCCGTACTTGTGAGCAGCACCGGTGCTCTCGGGCAGAGACGCAGACGCCGATCCAGATCCGCTAGCAGCAGGTGTAGACGCTGAAGCCGAAGAAGCCATGGTGCTAGTCGGCATGATAGATCCACTGGGTGTCATCGCACCTGCGCTAGCACTCCTTATAGAAGTAGCAATAGTGCTGCCGCTTTGCGCAGAGCCAGTCATGCTTGGAACGGCACTTCCAGCTGGAGTCAAGAGGCTGTTTCCAGCAACGACAGTAGCAGAAAGGAACTGCACGTCGTCACTGGAGAGTGTCGCAGTGATGGGTTTACCGCCGGTATCGTCATTGCCTCCAAGCTGGTTCACCGTGCAAGTCATCTCAACTGCCTTCTCGTTGTAGTCGCATCCGAGGCTCATGGAAATCGTGTCGGTGGACATTTGGGCTTGGAAGCGCGTTTGCGAAAGGATGGTGACATCGAGGCCAGGGCCCCAGCCGCACTCTTCATCGTCGGCGCCGGTTGGGCACGCGATGTGGAACTCGGTAGTAGAGGGATTGGCGGTGTTGATGGTTGCGACAGGGTCGATGCCGTCGTAGCCTACACTTGTTAGACTTTGATCTGCGAATTTCCTCGGATCAGAATGACGTACCACCAGGGAAAAAGAAGCTGACGACGTCTTGAGCACAAGCCGCGCTTGCCAGGATGGAGAGGATAGCAATGGATTGACGCATGGTGGGTTTGGTGGGTCTCGTAAAAAGGCAAGGATTAGATTAGGGTATAATAGAGGACGTTGCGCAAGTTCAAGGAATGACTGGATTGGGTATAAAAGAATGTGTGGTCGCGAAAACGACTGACGATACGAGGAGCTGAGGCTTGACGGCGTACCGACGCCTTTACGAGGAGGCGCATGGCTTCTTAATATTCTCCCCTGAGCTTGGTAACAAGGCTTGTTCGGCTAGTTGCCGCAGATAGGCTGATTGCTAGGGTCGATCTGCGTTAGCTATGTGGGCTATCTGACGGGAAATGAGACAATGCCATCCAGCGGAGCTACCCAGCCAATTAATATTGCAGACCTAGCAGGCATAGGGTGCGTTGTCATGCTCATAGTGCCGGTAGATGAAGTTGACAAGAGCTTGTCACGGCTCCCAAATGTTGTTCACAGGTTCCCTGCGCGAGAGTGTTTGATCCAGTTTGTTCCTCGAGGTATGCGCGGTCTTCTACTAGCGTGTAGGATATGGGAGATACGTCTAGCGCGTGTTTAAACGACCTTCGGATACAGGTGAGCGAAATTGTAATTTTCAATCGGCCGTAACAGCCGCGCACGATTCGACGAGCAGGTCATCTGGCGATGCGCCGCGCCGTGGCGAAGCGCATAGCCTTCGAGACTTTCATGGCACCGGCAGAAACTGAGACGTTTTTCTCCCCGGCCGAGGCAAGGGTGTTGCCGGTTCCAGGTCGCGACCATCGGGCGAACAAGCGGATTGCCGATCGCTCATTTCATCAGGCTTTGTCGCATGGTGAAGGGCGTTTTGTCACCCCCTTGGGCATGTTGGGTAAGGGTATGTTGGCACAGAAGAGACGTGTGATGATCTGTGTGCGGAGAACTGCAGGAACAGCCGACAGCTGCCCCACATGGTAAATCACCGTAAGGTCCGATAAGGGCAGCACTGCGCGCGTGCAATAACACCAGCCTGGGCAAAGTCATCCCTTTGAGTCTTCTGGGCCATAGTCCGACATACGCACAATTGGTATCAAACTGAAATTGTAGCTAGTTGTATTATCAGCAACCCAAGGTTGGCCAGGGTCGTGAACCTCGCAGCGCCCAACTTGCCTTAGCATGAGATGGCATCTCCCTCAGTCTCGTCGCGAACGACTAACGGTATCCTAATTCTATGGGGAACCATCGACCCTACTACAGTGGACTCGGATGCATTGAACGATTGTGGACCAACGAGCACCTGCCTGAGCGTGTATGCCTCCCGGGCTTCCAACGCGCGCGCCGTTACCGCTCACAAAACCCCAGCGATGGCCTGGATAACTATCTAGCCTTGTACGAGACTTCAAGCGTCCAAGATCTCGCATCTACCGAGTACCTGTATGCGCTGAACCACCCGACGAAGAGGACAATCCAGTTCATGCCATATCTAGCGCAGATGAGTCGCTTTGCATGCGAGAGGATCTGGTCGAAATCCTCATCGGTCTCGAAACCTGATCATGCGACCGATACGAACGGATGGCTGCTCATGCTGGTTTTTGAGGTCGCTAACGCTACCGATGATCCAATACGCCTTGTTGAGCACTGCCTTAGGCGCAAAGAACATGGCGCGTTAGCAGAAACAACGCATACTCAAATTGCAAAAGTAAACACAAGTATTACAAGAGCAGGAACCACGAGCAAGTCTTACGACGATGTTCAATTCGACGATTCGAGCGGTGGCGATGGCACAAAGCCGACTGACACTTTCATCGCATTATTCGAGTTTGAGCGCATTGCTGACAGCCCAGGATCCGTCCAGTCCCCAAGCAGCGAATGGCCTGCATTCCTCACCACCATATCGACAACCGCCGGGCTACATATTCGATACATCAACACCTACACACTCCTAGCCTCGCTCGCCACAAACCAGATCGCGTGCTGACAGCTTGACACGACGTCCGCCTACGCCATGCTGGCCGCCTAAACTACGCGACACGCTTGCGGTATCGCGCGCCCCAGTTCCAGGCACCCGGCCCAATCGCGCACCACCTCCCAACAAGGGGCGCGAGAGTGGAGTATGGGAAGATGCCAAATTTGGGATTCTGAGGTCTGTGGCTGCAGGGATATGCATCCCGTTGTTCCTGAGGCGCAACCGGTGAAGCTGCCAGCCCCACGATAAAGAACGCTGCGAGACCCGCATCGTGTGCTTACATCTGCTTTCTCTCGTTTCCCACCACCGCGAAAGTAACGGCGTACCTTCTATCAAGATGCCCTCCATGAACCTACCCACGAGCTTCGGGCCCTTCTCCGCCCTCCCTCGCGATGCTTCTCCCCGCCTACGCATCATCCAAAACTGCCAAATGGGCATCGCAGTCCTCGCCGTGGTCGCTGCCTTCATCACCCTCGTGATCCCGTCGGAGCGCAAGTTCTTCACTCTGAGCCTCCTCTACACGCCCCTCTTGACTTCCATAACCACCGTCTACCTCGTCCGCCGAGAACAGAGGCGCGCTGTCGCTGGTACTCTCTCCAAGCAGAGGTATATCAAGTACCAGTGTTTCAAGATGGCGGCTGCGATTGGCATGTCAGTCATAGGCTTCATCGGACATGTCGCTAGTACCCCGGCAAAGGGAGATGCGCATTTCGCTGGCGAGCGGGGACTGTGGATCAGCGGAGTCAAGATCAACACATGGCAGGGACTGTTGCTTTGGTTGAACTTCTTCAACTGGTAGGTCCTGATTATCCGATACTACGAGTGTGTGTACTGATCAAAGTGCTTCTATAGGGTCTTCCTGTGGGCTAGCTTGTTCTACTCTTGCTGCATGACTGGTAGACAACAAGGCTCCATTGCTCTCACTGGCGAGGAAGCTCAAATTGGCATCAACCCTGAGGAGGCTGATGATGAGGCTATTGCTCGTGCCCTCCAGGCTGAAGACCCCAACTGGCGAGCATAGACTGGTGCTATAGAGCCGACATTAGAGTCGTTCTGTGGATGATAAGAGGGAGAGGTCATTCCTCATATCGCGTAACATATGGAACGCAGCTCTCTTCACTTGGACAGCGTGTCTCATGGCTCTGAGCAGGACACGACGCGTCGAGGAGAGTGATCAGACCATGAAAGTCTACTATCGTATCGCAAACACGCTCCTTCAATTAGCTGTTGAGAAATATCAAAACCGCCTCTGCTAATAACATTACTTTCTACCTTCACCTCCAATACTAAGTGACCACATACATTCTCCTCTTACAGCACCAAAGCCGCCAATCCAAAAACCCCAACGACAACCACCGGCACCCCAACCACCCCAGCAGCATCAGTAAACACTGGCAGACCCGATGAAGTTGACGTGGACGAAGTCGTTCCATCGCTAGAAGTCTCCGTGGGCTCAATACTAGCAGTAGGAGCAGGAGCATACGGAGGCTCAACACTACTCTCCTCACCATCAGACGCAACACTGCTAGGAACGGGAACGAAATCCGTCGCCGTACCGCTCGGTGGCTGGGGCACAAGCCAAGTACTAAGCTCTATAACGGCGGTCACGCTCGTCGTAGGTGCTGACTGAGAAGGCCCGAAGGAGCTCAGGTCGACAGTACCGGTTACACTAGCGAGGCTGGAAGGGATTTGAGTGACGACTGAGACGGTACGGGTGGTTGTTATGGTGGTGAGGGCGGTGGAGCACGAGTCATCGGAGGTGATGTCGGTAGGCTCTGTGGGCTTATCGACGGCGGAGGACGGCGGCGGCCCTGCGTACACTGAGCCGGGGGCGGGAACGGAATCTGAGGTTGTTAGGTTCTGAAACTGACTTGACCGGACGAGAGGAGTTTACATACACAGGTCTGCGTTCAATCTTTTCTCCTTGATGCGGCCTTCGCCGTGAATACCTTGCGCCGCAGCGGCGTAGGCGAAGAGAGCGACGAAAGACAACTGGTGCTTCATCTTAAGGGCTCAGCGGATGTATTGTACGGGACCTCGGCGTATACGCTCGATTAATATCACTTCGGGGTGGTTCTGTGTACGTAGAACCAAGTATCGGGAGCGGGTAGGATGGGGTAATGCCCATTCTTATACATGGACATCAAACACTACTTTGATTCGTCCTCTCGTAGTACGTATGTGCTACCTATCTCTAACCGGGCGAAATCATGACACAGACTACCAAGCGGGAAGGCAATCTCTTTAAGTCGATAGTCTTCGGTGGTCGGCTACGTAAACCACGCGCATGTTTCCTTTCGCGGCATGTCTGTTTCACAGCCTTAAGTACCCATAGCGCTTGTACGAGCGAGCTTGACCAATTTATATGTGCTTGATCGGCAGCCAAACGAAAGAATAATGTAGATCAGGGGTATTGCGGCACGTGTGCGTTGTTGCACTTCATCACAATAGTCTGTGTGAAATCTTCCCAAGGGCACACGGGCAAGCAGCCGCCCGTGACACGTGTGCTGTGGTAATGTCGTAGAAGCAACCCCCAATACTATCGGAACAGGCCTGGCTCGAAGAGTTTGTCGTTCAATGAGCAACATGTCTGACCTCGGGTACTTGTATGCATTACTCTAGCATATGCAGACTCGTGCGGAGGACTGATAAGTATATGTGCTACTCTCTTATGCCCTTGGAGATGACCATCGTGCGCTCAAGCGACACGAAGACGCTGTGTGACATGAGAAGCCTGCATGTAGCCTCGTACCTCTTACATGACGATCAAGGGGCGTATGTAATGGCGATTTGCTTCAAAAACAAGGAGCGTCACTGGCCCAATCCCCATCCCTCCGGGGGGTCAATAGTTCCGGGTCGCGTTGAGTGGGCTCGGTGCGATTCGTAGTCGGCAACAAGACGTAGCACTAGCGTCAGGCCGATCGTAAGCCTGGTCTGAGTAGTTACTAGGTGAGGAATATCGCGATTCGTAAGAAACGTTCAACCAATTTCCGACATGTGGGTTCGATCAGGTAGATGTACTGCCGCCGGTATAGGGATATTTGGTCCTCCATCCAGACTTCTAGTCCTGGTCGGGACGTTGCTCTCCTGACGACAATTCTCTTCGTGGGTTCTCTTGTTGTTCTTTTCTTCAGAGCTGATATTATCGCTGCCACTCATGTCGAGCTCCTTTTCCGCTCTAGGTTTCCGAGACGGCAGCTCATAATCAGGCACGGATGTGCTACCTGTAGAAGAATCTCCCGGTTTTCGCATGCGGACGTCTTCTTGGGAGAACGATATATGGTCGCTGCCGAACAGACCGCGAACGAGTGAACGTCGTTGCTGCGGTACTTCCGCAAACATATCAGCATTGAACATGTCTTCACCAGGCGAAGACGAGAAAGTCAAGAGTCGTGAAGGGTCGTTACCGGGGTTCGGGCTGCCCAGGGCTATGGTCTTGATGAGGTGAGCCATTGACATTTCTATGTTGAGTTTGACCAGGTATGCAAGAGGGTGGAACATAGCGTAGCTGTGACAATTAGTTGAGCCGAGCGAGTGTGCGCATGAGCAAGTCAGACTTACACAAAGCCATTAGGGATGCTCATTGCACCGATAATCAAGACGTCCAACAGGAGAGAGACGACAATGATGCGCTTGTTGAAGCGGACCAGACGATTGTACTTGCTCAAGCCGTTCTTCACCAGATCCGCATTCACAACGCGAATAAAGTACCAATTAAGGTATCCATCAAGGAGAAGAAACAGCACCTTCTCGGTGCGATCCCAAATAGCGTTGATCCGAACCCAGCTGCGTTCATCAGTGGGCGTAATCATGGAACACGGATTGAAAGCATACCTTGGGCTTATCTGCAGTCGCGCTGGTATCCAGATAACGAAGACGCTGATATTGATCAAGGTCACATAGATGGCGGCACCTACGATGAGGCGCCGGCCTTTGACCCGGTCCCCAAGGATGATACGAATGCGATTGATAATAATCTGAGGCAGTAACTGAATCTGAAAAACCCAGCAAAGCACTGCTGATGTCAGCCAAGTACAGATGCCAAGGCTACGGTATACTTGCGGACAGAGAAGAAGAAGTAAAAGCTAGGCTCTATGATCCTCAACAAATACAACAGACACTCGATGGCGAGAGCTACGGAAGCTGCGATTTCCAGCCAAACCATCCAGATATACACACTGGTCCTTGGGCGCCGACATGCTTTCGTCTGCCTAATGGCAATGAAAGCTGCGGTGATGGCGAAGAAGTTGGTCAGACCAAACGCTGCAGCTGCTACTGCTATGTCTGCGCGAGTCACACGTATAGGGCGGTAATTGTCGCGAACAAACGGACCCCAAGCACCGAAACCTTGGGGTGGAGCGATCTCTTCGCCCATGGGGAGTCTTAGGAGGCATTCGTTGCGAATGACGTGGGATGCATTGCGAGATGTGAGGTAGAGCCTACCAAAGCTATTAAGAAAATTTCGTTGTTTGAAGCGGCCGGTGGCTTGCACTATTGGGGGATCGCGGAGCCGATGGCGCTACCCCACAAAGTTCAGGATGTAAAGATCCGGTAACGACAAGGGACTGTCGACGCGCGTGCATGATAGGCGTTCCATCGAGGGACACCTGAGCTCTGCACATCACGATACACCTCGATGCGAACACTTCTTACGACGGAATTGGGTCGCTTGAGATGCCTCGAGCAGAACATCGGTCTATGATGACGTCGATAGTATCTTGGATGGCTGTCGCGGTCTTGGGCCGCATATGCTGATTGGGCGAGTTGTGAAAGAGACGTTGCGGTGGCTTTGATTTGCTTCTCCTCAACAGCAAGCCAACATTGTCTTTGCCGCAAGCTGAGTGACGATCGCGATCATTATGACACTCTGGCCATCGCGAGTTTTAAAGTTGCGGATCTCGGTGGTTTTTCAGTGGTTGTGCCTCCGGCCGAGCGCACTTGCCAGCCTTCTAGGTTCATCGTCATTACGTGGAAAAGATGCAGCCGTACATCACAGTATCGAGAAATTCATAAAACGTATGGCTCTGACTGCATTTCAGCTAATGAGTAGGCGATAGGTAGATAGGCGACAGAAAAAGCCCGGAAGTCGTGCTGATGGATTTGGCGGTGACTGACCTGAGAGGATTGTGACGTATGAAGATCTGCACCGCTCAGTTAGCTTGTCTTACATAATCACCCAAATGAGCTGATAGGTTTCCCCTCAGCTGTTTCGAGAGAACATCTCCACGCTATACTTAGGTTTCGCTCAAACGATGGCGCAACATAGCGCCGGGAATTTTCGACCCGAAAGACACGAGGAAAATATCCGCTGATGTGCTAGTAGGACTTGGCACGCAGAAGGAGAAGTGGTCAACTGAAGCTACACCAGGCCAAGTACAATAGATTCACAAACACACTGTCGGATTTTATAATGGCTTTATGAGCGAACTAGCCAAAGCTGGAATCTGGATGCATTCCCTTGTTGGCCCCTGCTACATACCTAGGTACAGTTAGACCTCCTCAGTGCTATCCTTACGCGGCTTGTTTGTTTCTGGATCATAGACATCTTCAAACCCTCCCCCATGTGCCCCGCTTGGTGTGTTCACCAAAACATAAGCCAACGGATCCCCACAGCGTGGTACAGAAGGTCTTGCCACATCATAGACGACTTATTGAACTTATCCAACGAATCGCAAAGCTGTTCCATAGTGGGATTCTCGGGTAGCACGTGTTCCATTATCTGCGTCCGAATCTCATATGGTATAGATTCGAGGATCAGACGCTGACCATCATCGCTCAGACTTCCATGCTGGCCATACTGGGGGTGTTGGCGTTCGGCAATCCGTTTAGAAGAACAGTGTATTTTTTGCGCCCTGAAGTCAACCCGAGAGGTGGCTCCGCTTGATGCGACTCCTGACTGCAGGGCCTCTAGTTGGAGTGCTTGATCCGAGGAGAAGAATTGATCTATTGTAAGGCCGTGGGCTGGGTAGGATAGCCTCAGTGTGTAGAATCGCGTCATCTCCATGAAGGCTGGTACTTCGTAAACGTGTCGCCCTGGCCCCGGATGTGTGACTAAGATGCGAAGGTGCGCCGCATGTCCATATCGTTTGACAGGCAATGGGCGAAAGAAAGTGTCCTTAACGATGTGCTGGAGACGCGCGTTGTAGTATTTAACCCATTCGTACTCGAAGTCGGAGGCAACCTTCTTGCACGACAGAAGGAGACCGGCATATAGTGCGAGGTTACCTGGACCAGGTGCTTTGAGAGCGGCAGCGAGAATGTATCCGTAGATCTCGACTTGGAGCTCAGCGGGAAGAGTCAAGAAGCCGTCAGGCTGGGTTGTGGTGGCCATGGTGAGTACGCGAGAGGTACTCGATATGTGTTGAGGAGCTTGTTGTTGGTTGATAGGACAACCTCCTGTGTTCTGTAGTCAATCGAGCGCACGGAATATACATTTGCGAGGGCGGTAGTCGCAGGCAGCTGTGTATACTCCCGCACATTCACTACCTGGATGACGCAGTAACGGTTTCTTCCACACATTCTCCGTAGAGTTCATAGGCAGTAATAGCACTCACTGCGGCAATTGTTTTAAGCTTGACGAGTCAATCAGTGTAGAGTATCATGGGAAAACGGGAGTGACGATAGTAGAGACAGTTATAGTGGAAACGAATAGACAGCGAAGGAGTTGACAAAGAGCCCGACACATCAACTATGACTCGAATAATGCTCTCCTCTCGAAAGAGAAATATCGTAGACCGTGGTTGAGTATGGAGACTACCATTTCGACGAACAGCCCTAGCAAACCACCGTGATCGACTTCCCAACCCATCAATGTACACACCTAAAGTCCCTCGGAAGAAGACTTGAAGCTCGAGCGCGAACCCCTGAAGAAGTGTAGTAGACGAGAGGACTCGGGCAGCATACCGAGGGTCTACAACCTGGTTCTGCATCCGTAGAAAAGAGTGGAGAAAGCTCATGCACGACATGCTAGCTTACCTCCAGACTCGTATAGCGTGATCGTAACTACCCGCCACACGGGACCAAGCGAACGCAGAACCTACCAGTCAAGTGGCCTCATCCTCGTTCATGGACAGAGCGGAGAAACGATGAAAGGGTGAGTGTTTTCCCAAGTTGCGATTTCGTGGGTGAGCCGCTATTACACCGCGCTCTCACTGGTCGTCATGGAAGCTAGATAACGGGCTAACAATTTCACTTCCTAATTCGCCACCGATGCTTGGTACACATTTAACATCTCCAACCTGAGTTGCGATAGAGTCTCCAGCCACGCAACCCCGGGATTGTACTACCGCGTTGTCCATTCTCGAATTCGATTCTCCGACTCGAAATGGCGCCACAGACGTCAATACCACCAGCTGCCAACGTACTCGGGACTATTGGAACAGTATGTTGGTGCGTCCAATTACTACCGCAAATATACCGGAACTGGAGAACCAAGACAACGGAAGGACTGCCAGAATCCATGATGCTGCTGTGGTCAGTCAGTGGAGTACCCTTCGGGGTGTACGCCATAGCGCAGCAATTCAACATTCCTCTTATCGTCCAGCCGCAGTGCTTCTGTGTGTTGTGCGGTGTTAGTTGGGCGCAGTGTCTCATATATAGCCGGTGAGTTCATCGAACGAAACGACTTTACCTGTGAGTATTCCACGGCTAACTGAGATCAGGAAATGGCGGACCTGGACCGCATCTCTTCTGCTCTTCGCTCTTCTCGTCCTTTTCGCAGGCATAGAAGTTGGTCTTGTGTATGCTATCAGACAACCATACTCAGACGGGTTAGAATGGCCAGTCTTGTTGATCGGCATCGTCGCCTTTCTCACCCTCATCTCAGGCTATATGCCTATCCCATTTGAGCTGCTGAAAAGACGGGGCCGTGTCGTAGGCATTGATTTCATCTTCTTGGCCATCGACTGGAACGGTGCATTCTTCTCGCTGATGGCTCTTGTAGCCCAGAACGAGTTCGATGTGCTCTTTGGTACCATGTACGCATTATGGTAAGTGTCCTTGTAAGCATAAATAATCAGTAGTGAAGGCTAATTATGCCCAGCTGCGCTATCGAGATGAGTATGGTCGCCTCACACTTAATCTGGCTGCTCCGAACTCGCGAGATTCGTAGACGCGCGAAAGAAGCTGGTGAAACCTTCGACGAGTTTGAGGAAGGGGCTGCTTGGCAGGCCAAGGGAATTGATATCGAGAAGAAGGTCTTGCGCTTCTTCTCGAAAAAGAGCAGGCTTGAAGAGATCACGCATCCTGACAGGAATGGCGAGGACATGCCTGTGAACCCGGAAGAGATAACCCCAAAGACAGTCCCAAATGCGGTTGTATAATGCTACAATAGCGATAAGAAAAGCTTGTCTTCATCTAATAAATGTTTGGTCGGTATTCGCGGATGTAGTACTGTTCCAAGGATGTTTTGCGTTTGGAAGTTATTTGTTGGTCAGGCGCATAGGCTGCTGAATTGGCGTACTATTCTTCGGTCGATTGTGGCGCCCGCAGTACGAAGGTACATGCGCTCTGCGTTATGAGAAAGGGCGCTTATCTTGTCGCACAGGTAGTCACGTCGCTAAATGGGTGTTAAAGATGCAAACAATGGTGGTGTTCGTAGTCTCGGAGGGAACCAGCACAGAGATGGCAATAGCAGGACAGGTCTGATTATGTAACGGATGGCACAGGACATAATGGCGAGGTATCTTCACTCGTCACTCGTCACCGGGCACGTCTTCACAAGAGCAAAAAACAATCAATTCATGAACATTAAGATATCATTATTCAGTATCGTCTTTATTACTAAGAAGCCAAAGCAGCACTCAAGCGCCTCCGGCACTGCGCGCACTCTGCCTGCGGTGCATCGCGTACCTGTTCTCGCCACCAGGAACACCGCGCACCACACTACCCCTGCGAGAGTTAGGCATCGAGCCGCCCTGCTGCGCGAACGAATTGGCGCGAGAACCGTACATGCCTGGAAGGCTGCTGACGCGGCGGCCACCGGTCTCGTCACGAGCAGCACTGAGTTGCTGCGCGAAAGGACTGCGCTTCCTGAGCTCAGGGCCCTTCCAGTAAATGACGTAGACTGAAACTACGAGAAGAAGAGATATGGCGAAGAGGATCGTGGACGCGTACGCGAGATGATTTTCTCCGCCAATGTTTGAGAAGAAAGGCGTGGCGGGAAGCGTAAGAACACCAGCGAGGAAGTCACGAGCCCAACCGTTGCCACCAGTCGCGGAAGCTGAGTAAGGACCGTATGCGCAGATCATGTAGTCGATGGTTGCCATATAAATGGCGTAGTTGGCAATACCAATGATTGCTGATCCGATTAGAGATCCTATCCAGTGGATAGGTGGGCCAGTGCTTGTCCAAGCGAAGATGATGAGACCGATAGGAAGGCATGGCGCGGTGTACAACAGCCACCAAAGACGTGCCTCGTATTGAGACTTCTCATCATCAGGGTGGTCGCGACGGAGGCGCTCGTTGCGCTTGATAGCCGGGAAGAACGAGAACCACGCGATGAAATAGCCAATACCGATAGCGATGAAGGCCAGTCCAATAGCGTAGGCGGAAAAGTTCCATTGCTCGTATACGAGTGCGTATGACTGCAGGAACATGAAGATAATGGCATCGGAGAAACCAGAAAGCAGGGAGAGGACGAGCACGATGGGTTCCGTGACGAACATGCGGAAGGGACGGACCCAAGTGACGAGAATCTCGTGGACACTGAAACGTTCTTTGAACGTCTTGAGCTCGTTGGGTCCCCAGATGTTGTTGGGCTTGCCGTTCTTCTCGCCTTCTGTACGGCGCTTCTTAGCGATCCGGTCCATGAGGACGGTGGTACGGGTTTCGGGGACGAAGATGGCGTGGGCGATTTGGACGGCTCCACCGAAGATCAATTGGATCCAGATGTTCCATCGCCAGGCAAGGAATTGTTCCACGAAGCCACCCACGATGGGTCCGAGGACCGAGCCGCCGACGGAGGAGAAGACGATGAACGCGACGGCGTATTGTTGGTTGTCACTAGCACTGTCAGTATGAAAATCGAATCAAGGCGCAAGGTACCTACGGTTCCCACATGTCCGCGACCATGGCGAGTGTGACTGAACCACCCGCAGTAGAGAGACCACCGAGTGCACGGAACCCAAGAATGGTGCCAAAGTTGGGCGCAATGCCCACGGGAATTTGCCAGATGTTGACAAAGAAGAGACTGAGCTGGAGGATGGGCCATCGTCCTAACTCTTCACTCCAGGGAGCCCAGAGCTCACAACCGAATGCGTACGTGATGAGGAAGATGGCTGCACCTAGACGCGCTGCCTGCTTGCTGACGCCGAACTCTTCTGAGATACCCCCAACGGCGTTGCTGTACAGCGAGGTATTGAAGTTCATGCTGACCTGCACCATGAAGACGATGCTGAGAATAGTCCATTTCTTCCATGTTGGAAAGCAGAACCCGAGTTCGTCGTAGCAGTCTTCCTCGGTGATTTCGTAGCGATCGTAGGTGCCGTACTTCTCGTAGTGTTCCTTGTCCGCAGCGGTGATCGCGTGATCGGCCGGGTTCTCAGTGTGGTGAAGGTCACCGTCGGAAGCGCTCTTCTTCTCAGCGTCACCAGCTTCGTTCTTGTTGACGGTGTCCATGTCGTGGATTTCAGGCTTGCGCTCTGCCGCAGACGCCATGTTTCCTACAACAATGCGCTTGAGCGGTTGTTAGTTATAAGTGATGAACCCGGGAACCAGTTGCGGGGACTGGGTGGAAGAATCTGGGGTAAAGTGAGAAAACCCAGACGTCACGCAGGCGGAAGAAGCAACTTATAAGACGCGCAGTGAATCCAGAGGCGCGGGTGCACGCTCCAAAGAGCCCAAAGCATACTGTGCGCATCACAAGGCACGCGCTCGAATCCCTCGAGACGTCATATTACATCTTTCACGCTGACAGGGCTTGGGCGCTATCGCGCGTTGGTGCTAGAGGCCGTTGGACACTGTCCCCAGGACCTCTCAGACCAGGCGATGTAGCATTAAATATGGGTCGAAACTTAAGTGCGCGTCGTCCGAAGCGAAGGTAGTATTGGCTTTGGACAGACGCGCGGGACGCCTTGCCATCTCCTCACGGTCGGGTGTACACCGAGTGATTGGTAGGGGTTGTACTACGTCATCCTTGACTGCGTTGCAAGTCTTATCTTCGTACGAGTTCCACACCATGGAGGGAATCGCAACACCCGAACTTGGCTTTTAAGCCTCCAACTCAAGGCCCCCGCCCGCCCTCTAAGCATCGAAAGAAGGCAGACCAAGCTGCGCCGATCGCCCGCGCCAAGCTGCGCCACGCGTCTTAGCCTTGTTTATCGAACTTAAGAATGCGACCCGTGACGTCAGCTCGGCTACCGTCTTGAACGCCTCGCGCCTCGCCCCCATGGCACACCGGCGCACGATTCGCTCCTCCGCGGAATCTCCACTATCGATTTTTCGATCCACCTCCGACCTGCCCCGACATTTACATGTGGGGCGTGCAAGTTGCTGACTTCTAGACGGTCTGCCACGCGCAAACACGTTATAGTGGCGGTCGGCTTTCCATCTTCGGATGCTCCGACAGCTCCGAACGGCCCACGCGTGCTTCGAGACGCGTTGTGGGTAGCATGAGGCTCAAAATTTGCATATAGACACGCCTAGTAGCGTACATGATGAGCGAGAAATTTTACGGCCCGATGATTCGAGTTGGCAAAGTCGGTGTCCGACTGAGCATCCCGGTGCACGCGCTTGACCCATCGGAGGTGGAGTAAGGTGATATTTGTAGCCTGTTGAGTAAACATATTACCGGATCGCTCAGCTCTTAACAATCTGCCGATGCACCTGATCTCGAGCCCATGCATGAGTTGGTACCGAAAAAAACTGTACGGAAGCGAACAAACCGAGCCGGCTCTACCAAAACTTGGGCATTTGGTAGCATTACTGACCCTGATCAAGCATACATCGCGCCCGTGAGACTCCAAGTGATCTAGTGTCCACAGATCAATGCATCTTCCACCGACTACCGGCATGCGACCCTTTGGAACTACCGAGTCGCGACCGGGCTAATACCCCTGACATATCATAATACACTCCCAGATAGTTTTCAAATCCTGTTCACTGTCCATTCCAGGTCGGATCCATCACCTTTGTGAAATTCCTCCAGATTCGATGTTCCACCGCCGGCTCGTCTGTCGCCCAATCTGCATCGTTGTCCAGTTGCTGAAGAAATTCTTGTTCCATTCGTTTTCTCTTTTCCCCACCTTCTTCGTTCCAATCTTTGAACACTTTTGTGTAGACGTCGCTCAATTTCTGTCTCTTCAACTTCAAAATACTGTATCTGGTCTCGAATAGGCCTCGCAGTTCTGTAGGCAGTATCTCAAAGAGATCGTCTCCCGCTCGAGCCCAGCCATGTGATGTAGTCGCTGCATGTGTCGTCCATTCGCCAGCCTTCGTAAATCTTACAGAGCAGTTGGCCTTAGGGCATTCGAAAGCATTGTTTTTCCCATTATCGAAGTGATGTCGATCCAAGGCTTCTATGACAAGAGGCCAGAACGCACGTTCTTGGAGGATGATTCTTTCCAAAACAAAGCCGTCTTTCTCAAACTGCCCGACTGGACCATGAAAGGGCCGTCCAGGCAATAGTACTGTGCTATTGTGCGTTGTCGGCTCAATGTCTTCCCAACCTCCATCTTCCAGAGGCCGAAAATATGCCCTTCTCCACTGCGGCTTTTCCAGCTCTCTATAGCAGTACAAGTCGGTTATCCATATTCCTCCTTCTCCTCGCACCTGCATGATGACTGCCTCGCCGACAATGTCTTTTGGACAAGCTCGTATCAATACTTCCAGGCACTGTGGCACATTTTCGACATCGTCCATGACTTCGCAGAGCATCAAGTTTTGATTAAACACTACCCTCTTAGCTGCTGGGCATCTCTTCCTTAACGTAGACCAGATTTTAGCCACAATGTCTTGTTGCACGTCTTCCGGGCGAAATGGTCCCTTTTCTTCTCGTTCCGGCCAAAGCCAGTAGTGCAGGCAGCCGTATTCAATCTCTACGTTCTGTACATGGGCAAGGAACGTAAGGTCGACGCAAGTATGACCAGGATAGCCACCACTCATGAGCCAACTGATAGATACGAGATAAGAGGCGTCAGGGCATCCCCAGAACAGCTTTGATGACTCAATGCGCAGCATGGAAGACGTTCGCATGAGCTGCCAAAGAGTAGGCAGTGAACAGCATGAGAGGATACGAAGCTGAATTTCAACGGGGAGTTTTCGAAAGGAAGGGAACTCGCTAGGCGATAATTGCGACATGCTGTTGCTGTCACGATGCCTAATGTATGCAGAGAAGAGAACACGTTTTTCGCAACCCCAGTTCATTGCCAGGTCCCAATTGAGTGGCTGTGTCCATGGAGGTCGAGGAAGTATGGTAAGTAAATTGCCAATGCTTGACGGATGCATTGCGACAAGGTCTGGTGCGAAGGCTGCGATGTTCGGGGTTCTCAGATGGTAGTTGCTGCCTATCTGTAGGCGATGGCGGGGCCAATGAGAGTTCAGAGGCCTCAGCGCCGATCACCCGCGGGGTCGTCGTCTGGGCACCCGATGCCATCCTCCGAACTTCAACATTGACTAGACGCGCTCTCTATACTCGGACTACCTTGGAAAGGTAACGACTGTTGGTTGATGCGCTGTGCGTCATCCCTCCAAACGTGCTCATGGAGCACACATCTGGGTCGATATCTCAGCGTCACCTAATGTCACGTCTTCGTACGACTTCGGATTTGAGATGAAGACAGGGCTGGCATAAATACGGGCCGTCCAGGTGACTTTGGATTAATATGCGACGACTCAGTATACCAGCAAGAAACGCTTGTAGGATGAGGTTTAGCTTGCTTCAGCTTCCCCATAGTAGGCCTAAGGGAAGCAGAAGTGGAGCGTCACGAACATCTGATGGAGTATCTGGGAGGAATTAGCCTGCCTTTACCGTATACCCTTCTCAATACATAAATCTACGCTCCAATTGCGATGCTCACCTCTTACTTCTTCCTCCACCAACAAGTCAACTCAAATCCTTCCCAATTCGACCTATCACCTCGTCCTCCTAAAGCAACCTCTCATCAGCCATGCGTCTCCTCATCCTCATCCTGACGCTGCTTTCAGTTGCAGCGGGCTTCACTCTGCAAAAGACCGATGGTACTACGATCGAGCTCGGCGATGAGCCGATGGTCATCGACGGCAGCGAAGTGATCATGCCTCAGTATATCTTCGTTGCCGCGTCCCGCGTCAAGCTCAACGGTATCTCCGAGGCTGCCGACGTCAGCACTGCAGGTACTGGCAATCCTCTGGCTGCTGTACGTGTACACCACTACATATTGCCCGCTTTTCTGACTGCTTTCTAGGTCTATCTCTACCAAGAACTCCACAGACAAGGTAGGCGAGCTAGTGCCTACCTATGCTCTACAGGGATGAGCGGTTGCCTAGCGGACGGCGCGTGAGTGCACCAAGTCAGTTCATTTCCTCGTGCTTAACCTGTTCAAGCTCTGAGCCATGGGCTTCTTCGCTCACCCTACAAGTATGTCCCGACGGCTCACCAAACGCGGCCAGGACATTCTCATGTTTCTTCTTCTCGTAGGTCTCATCGAGCGGGCCCATCTGTGGTACGAGAGTAACGTTAGCTAGAACACCGACCTGCGACTATACTTCTAGGTTTCTTTGGACGCGCACGTCTATTGACGAACTCACGAAGGCGAATCCGCGATTCGATGTGAGTACCAATGAGTCTCGACGTCTTGAAAGAAGCGTCTCTTGACTAACTATGATGAACAGGAGATGATGAGGTCTATGCAGTGCTTCTGGGATAAGAATGATCATGTTGCTGGAGTCGATGCTAGTTCTGAGCGCCACTCCGACATCGAAACCTTCTCCGACATCAGCACTGCAGACATCAGCGCCTCCGAAGTCAGCGCCACAGAGCCGTTCATGGTATGGCGCATCATCGTCTATCGATCAACTCGCTAATATCCATTTAGTTTGCCCTATTTGACCAACCCAAATACCAAGGTGACAGAAAAGTCGCCTACTCCTGCCGCGTGGGCGATCATGGCTGCAGGAATATTAGGGAGTAAGCGCACCAAACTACACCCTGTACAATTGCTGATACATTGTAGGGACAAACTTTGGGCTTCCTCAGTCTCCTTAACGAGGTGTCCACCCGGCTATAATAATGGGGACAGGCCGTTCACCTGCGACTTATACCAGTACGTCTCATCAAGCAGGCTCACGATTGATGCAAGGCTGACCAAAGCTAGGACGACCAGTTGCGAAGGTAACCCGTCGCACTCGACCCACGAATCCATTGGAAATCTTGCTCTATACGGATTAGATGTGAGTGCTCTAGGCATTTGGCCTCTTCTGACAAGGACATCTGAATTAACGGCAAGGAACAGAACAAGATCAAGTCTGTCGACTGCTACCTCCAAACACAACCAAATTGAAGCTGGGATAATCACTGTATGGCTGGTATATGGCTTATCTGGTTCGATCTTTGTCAGCCTTGGCTGCTCCAGGCGTTCTCTCATGAAGCTGTTAGGATGATATGGGCATACACTGCAAAGTGCACAAGCACTCGCCACCAGGAAAGATGGAATGAGATTCCTAATGATTCACTTTTGCTTAAAGCTCATACCCCAAACATCATACTTCCCGCAAACACGATATACAAGGGAAAATCCGAACACCCTGCAGTCTACATCAACCTCAAGAAGAAACGTTAGCAAACTATTCACTCAATGTAGGCTCCAAAATCAATAGCTTTTATTATATCATGTAGGTGAGTGTTCGGATTTTCTTCTTGTGTGAGGTACAGTTGCAGTCCAGACCCATGGTGAATGAATCGCGCCATGTCCAAATATTTACTCTCATGCCTGTGGCTCCAACACCCATATCAGACCACGCTCATCCGTGATACCGACATCAAGTCGCCTGGCAGCTGCCGATCCATGAAGCTACAGAAAGGTACGTGAAAAGTCCTAGATAATGCCCTTCAAGCCCTTCAGTTCCTCGGCACAACTCTCGAACACGTAAAATCGGACCTGAGTCAAATGACCACGATCGGCTAAACCATACAGATGCAGCTCTGTCAAGAGCTCAGTTGTAGACCAGTGTCTGGGTTCATTGTACCAATCGTAGAGTTCTGTCGGGCAAATCTCGAATGCGACCGTCTTCAGCGCGGTGCAAACCCTGATCAAATCCACAGCATTGCGGAAGTTGTCACAATAGTCGTTGAAATGGTCCTCGAAACAGGCAAAGACAATATGTTTCTACCAGATTGGTCCCTCGCTTGCTTGTCGCAACTGCGATAGGAACACTTGAAGAGCTGGCGAGTCCCCTTCATACCCTATCCTGATTGGATGGTGGCGCAGATAGAGTCGCGCAGGGATGATGCGCCCAAGTTTGTTGGTGAAGCAAATCGCCAGGAAGAATATGCGAAACTTGCGTCCTTCGAGAAAGGTGTTTTGCACGAAAGATCCGTTGTCGAAGTCGCCGAAGTCGCAATCGCAGCGCTATGAATGGCCACGCGTGAACAGGTGAATAGGCTTACGGTTGACCTATATCATTCAGCATCGAGGGCTACAGCCTTGAACTGCTGGAAATGCAATAGCCGTCGTCCGAACCGTGATGGGTCTGTAGGAGAAGAACATGGTTCGGCTCTAGCTTGCCTTGACTCATGCTCGAGGATGAAGGCTTGGTAAATGTGAAAGAAAGGCTAGGAACGCGATCACATTGTGGATCGTATTAAGGCAAGAGACGTGACGAGAAATGACGTTGAGGTGGAGCGAAGACGCGTGCCGCACACGCGCTGGACCCGTGACGCTTATCTTATCGCGTGTCGGCTCGTGTCAATGGCAAATCCAACTCTCGCAGGTCGCGCCTGCTATTCTTCATCTCTTCCATCTCAAACATGATCATCAGCATACGATTCTAAGCTCTCGACATGACATCTCTGGGCAACGCCTCGACCGAGCCACCCCTCCTTCCTGTTTGATCGTTCGCACCAGCGGCGAAGCGGGGCTGCGGAGCTCCCACCTGCCCCTTGCGGGGTACACTTCATAATGATGTATAGGCTAACGACGACTTTTGAACTTCTAGAAAAGTCTCGGTGTTCTGGCGAAGTTCTTGTACCGTAAAACGAACACAGAAGTTCGCGTTTCTTCACAGACAGACCTCCCATTCAATTCATTGCAAACATGTCAGCCGCTCAAGCGCTCCGCCAAAAGCAAGCCCCGATCAAAGACGGATACCGCAGCGACCCGTCCTCCGCCGTTGTCACCCTCAAGTCGACTGGCTCGCTTGATGACCATTCGATAACATGCAAGTTGTCCGATAGCTCCGCCGTCAAGGAAGCGCATAGGGTAGCCGGCCTGCACCAAAAGGCTGGCGGCGACGACCCAGCGATATCTGGGGAACTATGCTCTGGTGGTAAGCAATAGCTCTCTTTATGCTAATCATACATGACTCTTTCTGACTTTATAATCCGACATGTAGATATGCTCCTCGATGCCCTCGTAGCCTGCTCAGGCGTTACCCTAAAGGCCGTCGCTACCGCTCTTGGCATACCCATCGCCTCCGGAACCGTCACCGCAGAAGGAGATTTGGATTTCAAGGGCACACTGGGCGTAGACAGGACAGCCCCTGTTGGTATAACGGGCATACGGTTGGAGTTTGCGGTCAAGTTTGGGGAGAGAGAAGATGGCAGGGAGGTCAGCGAAGAAGAAATCGAGAAGTTGGGCAAGTTGACAGAGAGGTACTGTGTGGTACTGCAGACGCTGGTACATAAACCTACCATTGCTGTCAGGCTTGCCGGAAGTGGTGGCGGGAAAGAGGGTGACGGTGTTAGTAGGGAGGTGTCACATAAGAGCGAATTGTAGCTACGGAATGTAAGTTGATTTAAGTTACGCTGTTTAGGTGAGTATAACAGTGCACATCCAGTACCTCTACACTATGACTGCGTACTTCCCTACATCGCTCCATCTCAACCTATCTCATATCAATGGGATGAATCTCGCCATCATAGTCATCATGCATCTGATAAGGCGAGGGAACAAACCTTTCACTAAAGCTTCAAACGATACCACTCAGTGTTGTAATACTCCTCAAAGTCCTCCGGAGACACCAAGTTCAAACGGCTCTGCAACATCATACTCGGCAGACGGTGGTCGTCCACTCCAAACTTCAGGTCTTGGAGCCTCTCGCCAGTGTAGATGATGAGGCAGAAGAGGTGCGTGGGCAAAAGCGGCTTCCCGTCCTTGCGAGCAATGATCAAAGTACCGGTCTTAGTCTTCTGGGTAGGCGGATTGAGCATCGCCGCGTTGTGGTTTTCCCGACGAGATTCGAAGTCACGATCGCGCCAAGAGAGCGCAGGCAGCTCTTTGCGGATGATGAGTGGAATACCAACTTTGTCGGCGACTGGGCAGGGAATCTGCGATTCTTTGCTCAGGATGGAGCGCGGCTCGATCTGGCTCTCATATGTTGGATGTCCGAAAAAGAGCTTGTCGCCTACGCAAGTGAGGCACACGGCAAGGACACCACCAGTCTTCCTTGATATGACTTCCTTCGCCCGCAGGCTGTCCTTGTAATGGCTCTTTCTCAGGACGTCAACGGCATGGCGGAAGTCTGCCGGTGTGCAGTTGAGGTCAGAGATTTTGCGTTTGTCTTCGGGACAATGGCAGCCCCACGCAAGGACATGACCTTTCCCGTGGAGGCGCGCAAGCTCAAGATCGATCTCCAACAAGCTCTTGTCTGTGTCGAATCATTGTGTTCTCGTGCGACCCGTACAGAGGTATTGACGAACTGATTGGTAGGTCAGCCGGCAAAGGCTCTTCGAAAGATCTCAAGTTCCTCGTAAAGAGCTAACCATTACCGAATCTCAAACACCATCGAAGGAACCACACCCTCTGCACCTTCATTCTGATGCTGCATCGCCTCACCATCCATCATCCCATGGATGTAGCACTCGCCAAGAAGCGTGTAAGAAAAGTAGCCTTCTTCGCCGAATCTCTTACGCAAATTTTCTTTGATGCGCTTATCGTATTCGATCGCCTCGTCGATCGTCAACTTCGTTCTGTTGATGGGGCGGCGCCAGCTGGGCCGGATGGTCGCTGGCATGTCGGGCCGCGCGTGTCTGGTAAACGATCTTGAACGTAACGGGCTTGAACTTGCCTGCGGTGTGTCTCTGTTCCCGTAGTGTCCTCCCCCTGTGTTGCTGTCACCGTCGTGTCTATCCGTTTCTGTCTCTGTCTTTCCGTTTTTTCCAGTGCTGTCGGGTTCATGGTCGTATCCATGGTTATGAGAGCTTCCATTGTCATGTTCATTCTGATACTGCTCATCCCCTCTTTTCGCTTGATTGTTTCTTTCGATTTCCTTGCTGACTATCTGTCCGCCGCTAGCCATACCTTCATGGTCAGCACCGTGTTCGCTCATTACACGGTATTCGCAATTGTCGACCTGTGGCCTAATCTCTCTTTTTTCTACTCCTTCAACGAGCATCTTGATAGCCTCGTACTCACCATGTTGCTTTTTTCTCCATATCGCTTCACTGTATTGTAGTGCAAAGTTGATCCGATTAGCCTTCCCTTTCCTGGTCATTTGCAACCAGCGCCTACCAGCAACAAGAGCCAGCTCGAACTCCCACCAGTCTACCGATGGCCTTTTTATCTTGGTGGCTGCTGGCTCATCTTTCCTCGAAACAGGAATGTTCTTTCCAGTAGTTGTTGGTACGTCGGCGGTAGTCCACCGTATGCCCGAAGCAGATTGTGATTGTTGCCGATATCGCGATATCTGTCTGCGTATATGTTCTTCCATGTACTTTTTACCCGACTTGCTGACTTTCGTTCTCATCCGCCCCTGGTCCATGCGGTGACTAATCTCGGGCCATGAATACTTGCGCTCTTCGGAACACCACAATTTGAAACCGGCTATAGCTTCCTTCAAGATGCGTAGAAGGACGTCTGATATCCCTCTATTGTCTGTGGCTGCCATTTTGGTAGCATCGAAGCCGTGGCTGCGCATATAATCGGTGGTTTTAAGCCATACTCTGCACAATTTAGCCATCTCTTTGTCTTTCCAAGCATCATGGCTTCGTTTTCGCAAGATATATCACCTTAGTTTCTTCACAAAGGTATCCTTGACATCGGCCAACTCTTGTTCCATTTCGTCCTCAAATTCTCTCTCAGTCTTCTTGGGACACTCTCGCAACACGACTGGAACGCTGCATCCGTAAAGTATGCAGACTATGTCATTCTCCTGGACCTCTTTACCGGCTAAGCCTAATCTCCCGCTTTGAGTGCGTACCATCGCGCGATTCCACGTAACGGCCTGCACACGTCGACAAAATTGCGTGATTATCGAATTGCGTTCGAACTCGATAAGTCCAGTCGTATCGACAGCTCCAGACTCTATGCCGCCTTTTCGAAATGCTACCTGACACGCACGTGAGTAATACACAGGAGGACTTTTGCCGTCTTTTCCACGGTTTGCGACAAGTGTTCGCCAGAACGCCTCGGGCGGGTGTCCTCTGGCATCCTCCCAATGAGCTAATTCGGCCCATTCGCTCGGTATCTGCCCATATCGAGCTTCACGGGTGACTTCTTCGATAACATCAAGCTTGAAACCACGTATATACATACTGGATTGACCCGCTGCTAATCGCTTCCGGAATCGGAGTGCCCTCATGTCGACAGACTTTGTACCTGCCGCCGAGTAATTTGGCTGCATCGGGCTGGGTAAACCTACCAGAGGATCCGCATTGATACGACTCATGTTCGGGCCGTTGGAACCTGGCCTTTGGACCATCGCGTACGGTGCTTCCGAGACTTGTGGTATCCAGGAGGGCAATCGGTTGTCATCACGCTCACGTTCAGCCTGCTCTTGTATATTACGCTGCGATCGTCTCCCCGTGTCAGTCTGTGGGCGGCCCCTAGGTCTCCCCCCTTCTTTTAGTGCCTGATGCTTCACCTTCCTCTTTCTTGTCTCCATCGTTTTCTCCTTTAGTTTCAATTCTCGGATCTTTCGTAATTTCTTCTCCTCCACAGCCCATGGGCGACATATTACATCCAATGCGCGGCTTGCATTCCCGTTCAAAGATCTCTCGATTGCAAACTGCATGAATTCTATGCATACGTCAACGTAGGGTAATTTGTAGTCGATATTGTAGCCGTTGCGCGCCATGTAGACTTTCGTGCCTTCCTGACTCCCTCCGACAGTACTGGATGTGAAAGCAGTATGGACCATCGAATCGCGCGGTGCCGTGTCTTTTGCGATCGCAAGCAGTGCATAGATGGTGTCGTGAGAAACGGTGACTTCGAAGGTAGTCAAGCTTGACACCAGGTATTCGAGACTCAGTAAAGGCTGTATACTAGTTTTTGGGTTGGTGCGAAGGTGGTTTGGGTGATCATCATCATCAAGATTCGATAGATCGTTGATTTCACTCCCATCAGTATCAGAGAAATCATCGCTGTCTGAATCCCCCCGGATCCCGAATATGTCAGTTGTGTGATCGTATCGAAAGAGACGCTCGGTTGCTTCAACGAGCAAGCTGGCCCCAAGCGCGGAAACATGGTCGAAGTAGCTAGGGGTGCGCTGGTACAGCTGGTCTTTCTTCATGACTTCCGATAACCGATGTGTCGTTGTTTCAACTTCAATAAAGAGTTGTACCGCGATAGCAAAATTCTCCCAAGAAATCTTGTCGCCGCCGCAGTATATGGTGGTACTCCGTGCCAAAGCGAGTTCTTGGATAACCCATCGCCTCGAGAACCATGGCCTTTGCATCAACTCTAAGAACGCCAACCACTTCTTGCTTGCATCCGAGCTATCGCAAAGTGTATCGAAGCTTTGCAAATGCGGAATCTCCTCAGCAATGAATCGAAATGCTATACGGCTAGATGGATTGGCGGTACCAAGCCAGATACACACTCTCTCGGCGTTACGATAAATGGCGTCCATCATTGCGACCTGATGATTCTTTTCGATCACACTACAAGTATCAGCAGGGTGTCATCGAGTATAGCAAATGCACGTACTTATCTTGATCAATGCAAACCATGTCAATCCAGAGATAGCGGCTACGGTGCGGGTAGCGAAGTGCCTTTAAGGCTGCTATGAGATTTGGACTGACATACTTGGCGTACATTTTGCCATTGTGGTGAATTTTGATGTAGCAGGTCTTCTGTGCCGTGCCCCAGCACCATGACAAAGCCTCGTAAGGATATTGGTGTGTTTCTTGTTCGCTTGGTGTGACCAGTGCACAAAGAACTCCTGCATCCGATAGCTCACTAGAGAACAGTTCGAGGATACGTATGGTCCCTTGACCACTTCGCAAAGGATCGTACTGATATGAGGTGTGCTCACGAGGAGGATACTTGCGGGGTGTCTTGCCTGTTGGTCTAGATCCATCCCCGATATTTTCAAGTCTTTTACCTGCCCTAGCCTTTTGTAGTTCCACAAAGTCGTTGTCAGAAGAATCCATCGCTGCTGATCAACGGGCAGTCATGTGGAGGTTGAGCTGCAGAAAGCTCGATAAAAAGATCCGGTAAAACCAAACCCAGATAGAATTACCAAAAACTCATGAGATAATGCTGAATAAGCTAAATGATACCTCTTTTACACATCTGGTGTAAGTTGGGCGGGGAATCGAGGCGGCTCCAGGGCGGTTGAGGCAATCGAGAAAACGCTTACGCAGCCGATGAAAGTACCTAGGCGACAGCCCTTGTTCCGATGGGGGAGTCAACATGAAGGCGTTTCGTGACATAGCTGCACCAGTGCGCTGTTCGGGTGAATCCAAATAGATGTAGAATATCTACGCACATCGCTCGGCATATGGACTCTGAGCGAATGACAGAGCTTGAGGTAAGCCATCACCAGCTGTTTGGCTGATCGTCAATCCCGGTCGCACGCTTCAGTGTTGCATTGCATATTCTTCAGCTCTGGCGCATATTAAGAGGACCATATCTGGCAGTGGAGTCAACTTGCTTGCAGAAGGGCCACTTGGTAACAAGATGGGGGTGGACTCTATCATTAGCCTTGAGCCTTCGAAGTATTCAGAACTAACTGGTATCTGCCCAACAGCGTGTTGGGCATCCTAGTAAATGGGAATTCAGCGATGATTGGCTACCGCATCTCGGTTCTGAGGGCTGAGAAGCTGGAAAGGCTGAGAAAGGCGGGGTCACATAAAGCCACAATGTGGTATCCAGCGTAGCGCTGAGTTATGCATGGGTAGTAGTTTGGCCAGTAAGGAGCGCAGCTTAGGATATGTCAAGGTTGAAGCTGCGCAGAAAGATGAAATCTTCAGTCTTCGTTGTGCGCATACTAGCGCGTCTTCCTGTGCACACCTCCACCAGTCCCGTCCCCTGTTCTTTCCGAAGCGCTAAATCTTAAACTTTGAACGGCTACAGAAGTCAGTCTGCGCAAGATTAGAGCACTAAGGAACTCCGTGAGCAAGGGAAATCATCAAGAGCATTAGTTCCAGATCCGGGATCAGAGTAAGCGAAGAAACTTATGTTGTATATTCTTTACGTATCATGGCGAGGCCAGGCCATCAGGTCGTTATCTTTAGTCGTCGGCGTATGGAATGCTTCATCACCTCTTACGGTTGTCGATTTGAATGCGTGAGACGGCTGTTGTGGAAGGGGGCTACGGCTTAGAACCAGATTCAATGGCTTCGGCCTGCTTTCTGAAGTGGTTCTGCAGCTGTGCTACGGCCGCATTCTCGTCTTGCTTGACAGCCGTGTGGCTTTCTTTGTCGCGGTCCCTCCAGTTCGGACCCAGAATCTCACCGAGGCTGATGGAAGCTCTGCGCTTGATGTTCCGTCTCATACGTGGGTGCCACATGTGGTCGTGCACCATGCCCTTGCCGAAGAGTTGAGGCTCCCGCAGTAGGGGACTGCCCCATATCTTATTGACCTCGTAAACATATCGCGCATACGGGAGCGTGTTGGTTCTCTCCATTACCCTGTTTTCTTTCCGTTTGGAGCGACCGTAGCCGAACATGTTGATGAATTGCGCCTGCAAGGCCTTGAGTACGGAATGGCAGTGAACAAAGACGCCGAGATCTCGTAAATGCACAACGATTCGTAGACCTGCACTCCATTCCAACCGGCGTAGCATCCGGTGCTGCAGCAACCGACGACGATAATGCTTCTTAGCCAACGTGGAGCCCAGCATAGACTGTTCGAGATGTGCGTTTGGCAGGAGTCCAGCTTTGAAGCCCCAGATAATGAGACTTTGCTGAAGGGAGGGGGCGAACAATTGTCGAACAGGATGCAACGGATTCTCGCGCTGTACGACCGTCGTTGGGAAGTGGAAGTAGTGGAATCGCTCGGGGTATGCAGCACGCAGTTTCGCTGTTGCCGATTCTAGGAATGGTGATTTTGGCAACGTATTAAACTGGTGACTGCCCCTTGGTGCATACCAGCAGAGAAGCCAGAGTAAAAGTCTTCTAAGTTCTCTGAACCTCCCAACCATGCCGAATCTACGTATGATCTCGCGCCATTGTAGTGGAGAGAGGGGAGCTAGACCGTTCTCTAGGATCATGACGAACACACGCGCGACGAAACGTAAGTCATCGAATCGGTCACTGACAGGTTTGTGTCCTCGTTGCCGACGACGCAATAGGCTGCGAATGGCCATGATCGATTCAGGCGACACCATAATGCCGCGGGTACGCATGTCTTGGAGCACTTCCACGACATGTTTGTGCCCAGAGCGTTTGATGTAGACTTGCAAGAGCAGGTTCCAAGACTCTTGACTAGAGTCATTGTGGAAGAGCGTTAGAATGGCAAGTGTGCGCTGGACCTGCGCCTGATCATCGTTGTCAAGATAGTGCTCGAGCAGCTTGCGTTGCATTTCCACGTCGCCAAAGACATCCGGATGCTGGTCGCTTTGCAGCATACTGCGCACCAGTTGCCACTTCTGCTCCATTGCGAATGTTTCCAGTGCCAAAGAGAAGACGCAGCCCTGCAGGGCAATGCCTGCTTGCCTGAGCTCTTCGAACCTCATTGGTAGCTCCTCTACCGGTTGTGTTTGCAAGGCCATGGTGAGCACAGCTTGAGGCCCAATCTCGTTGATGCCCACCATAGAGAGACCTTGTATGATTGAAGCCGGTGGAAAGGTACGCGTTGCGAACATGCGGGCGACGAACGAGTCTTCGAATCGGACGGGCGCGGTATCGGGGCCTTCCAAGCGGCGCAGAAGGTTCTCGTTGTATTTTGCTGCATCCCGCCTCCACTTCTTCTTCGACCCTTTCGTCTCAAAGTAGACCTCACGAGCTGAATCTTCGACGGTAAACAGCTGGACGAGAGGATGTGACGCGACAGACTCTGACGGCATATCATTGCGAAGAGTGCAAAGTGCATGCCATCGGCGTGCCGCAGTGATGTTATCCTTCTCAATGAGTACCGGCACCACCTCGTCGTAGAGGTCCCGCTCATTGCTGTGCTCGTATATTTCCATCAATGCTTCGTATGCGCCGTGCTTGTAAATCGATCGCCCCTGATGTGCCAGCTGCCGTAGGGGAAGCCGCTGAGGCTTCAGGCTCTTTTGCATCGCGTAGTGATATCTCAACGCTGGCGCTGTTCGCCTCGGAAGCCAGTGGCTCATGACCAGGTAGTACAGACCAGGGTATGTCTTGCCTGTTTCGTGAAGCAGCTCCTCGGCGTGCTCTATCGCCTTGCCCGTGATCAGGTGGTTCTTCACAAAAGTTCCCCATAGGAATGCTGCATCGGGTGTGTCTTCAGTGGGCAGGCGGTACCCTCGATGACGGAAATTCTGCCAGACATTGCGGACACCCTTTTTCCCGTGCAGCCTCTCTTCACTTGCAAGTATGGCGGCGAGCTGTGCAGGTTCGTCTTCTCTTTCCGCTACACGTATGACGTCGTTTTCGAAGATGTCTACGGTCGGAACGAGGGTATCGCTCGACTCATGCTGAAGTGCCTTGAGTACGTGGTCTCGAACTGCCGCTTCTTCGCTTGCATCCTTCATTCGCCTCCACTTCAGCTTCGGTGGAGGTTTCGGCTGGGTCGAGTAGTTGCAGCGGCGTGCCACTGGAGGGCAGCATTTTGTCGCCGCTGAACAGGCTGCGGGGAGTTCGGGCGCATTGACGATGGAGCGTAGGAGTCGCAGGGCAGACGGGCTGGCAAGGAGCCTGTCCAGGGCCGGTGGCATCAACAAGACAGGGGCGAAGGGCGAAATCAGTCCATTGGCGTCGCAATCGTCGTGCGTGAATTGGAGATGCGGAAAGTTGTTGCGCCCAAAGCGGGCAAGGGCCTTGGCAGCCGACTTCCTTTCGCCGGCGGATCATTCGACCTCCCGACATCACCAAGTCGCCCAATCCACGAATCCACCAATTGCCCCCGCAAGCCGCGCAATACTCCTCTACACTCTTCAAAATGCCTGGGTACGTCTATCCTCGAGCTTGGGCCTAGTCGTGGGCCCCAGGGAGCACTGCGACGGCCTCCAGCGCTCCTCCGCCTTTCCGCACAGAGCTGGATACTGACAGTCGGCAGCTGGGTTATGCGCGAGAACAAAGTGCCTTACTGGCAACGCGAATTCCAGAAGCACGACGGACTGAGGACCTGGGAGAAGGTGCGTACTGAATACACAAGAGGAGGATTGATGGGGGCATGACGTGGTTAGAGATGATGCGCATGCGGCGCTGGACACATGGCGTCTGGAAGTGAGAAAACACAGGGATGAATGCTGACAGATTGCTTCTTAGGCCCGCGGAAAGTACCTGGTCCCCGGCTTCAAGGTCATCATGTTCAGCAGCTTCGGCGCCAGCATGTACATGATGGGCCGTCTCGTCCTTGTAAGCCTGCATTGGGCTGAGTTTACTGCAACATCGTTACTAACTATGATCAGGGACACAAGACCTGGTTCGGCAAGAACTAGGGTCCGCACTTCGAACATGATATCCGGATGGGTGGGACCAGTATGAGTCTTCTGCGTCAATATACAATCAATCGACAAGCCTTTACCCATTACTGCATCTCTTTTGTCAGACAGTATAGAACAATCTTCATTGTCAGTTTACGCTGCGTTCACTTATTCTGCAGTGATGCTACCACCCGGTTATAACCTGGGGGACAGAACACGGATGACCGTCACTTGCAGCACTGACCAGGTCAACATCGTGAGAATATTGGAGATACGTCTCTGGTCAGGCCTTGCGAATGCGTGTGAGGCAGCAATAGACTTTTCTGTTACCCGGTTCGCAATTGGCTTTATATTGAGCTCCAATGGTTATGGAAGAGTGACAATGCCTACCGCGATCGAGTATGTAGACAACCACTTCAGATGAGCAGTCTGGCAAACCACTGTCACCAAGTAGCTAATATCAAAACACCTGATCAAACTTCCACAACAACCTGCATCAGATTCAAGCGCGAAACCAGAGGGAGCTCTGGGGTAGCTTGCCCAGATGCCCCTCCACATGCGTGCTAGTCGCTGTAAAATGAGGTCAGTGCCTGGAACGTGGAACCGAGCCGAGATCCTCCAAACCACCTCCCGCGCCGCCAAATCTCCACGTACGCTCGTTCATTGTGACGCATCGACACAATGGCAGACTTCGTCAAGGGTCTCTTCGGTGGGCAAAAGCCTGTACAGGCTCCAGTTGTTGGTGATGATGGTACGTACACTGCATTGCATGCGCGATCGCGAGGCCACCAGCCTGGGATGCGGGACCACACGAGACCCCTTTGCGATGCTCGAATTCCTTAACAGGAGACGAATTCGCAAGATTATCGTGAGGATGCCATCGGATATCGCAGAGCCTGTCAACATATAAACCAATGGCTTGCGCTGACAACAAGCAGACTTCGCCGACTACGCAGGTGCTCCTGAGCCCACACCCGCTGCCATCTCGTCCTTCACGACCGGTACCGGTGCAGCGCAAGCCGCTCCTACAGGTCTCGGTGACAACCGACCCTACACAGCATGGTACCGGGTATGGGAGCGCACCACCATGGACGACTTCAAGCTGGAGATGTACATCCTGCCCTTCCTCGTCGCTCTCATCGCGGTCCACCTCTGGGGCACCAAGCGCAACCGCAGCAAGGCCAAGGCATGGATGAAGGCTCACGCCCCTGTCCTGACCCAAGAGTTTGCCCAAGTCGGCTACACGCGCCCCGACGGAGAGGGAGCGGTTGCAGATGTGGACAGCATGCTCAAGGAGAAGAAGGCCGACGAGTACCAGACATACGCGACCGGACGCCAGAACGTTGCTTTCGTCGACTTCAAGCTGAGCTTCTACAAGCGCGCCAACCCCTTCATGTGGCTGGGAGAGAGCGTGCTTCCCTTGTTCTTCGAAAGTTTCCCTGCACCTAGCGAGCGTCTCGAGGCTACCGCCTACGTCTTCGATGGCCGGGAGACCAAATTCGCGCCTTCGTACGGCCAGGCCGACGCGAAGAAGGTCACCAACAGCTCTTTCGATGGCTTCGTCTTCGCAATTGTACACAAGGATATCATGAAGCGCATGCGCGACGAGCGCTACGACTTGTCTCTGACTAGCACGCGCGACCACGCCAAGTTGCCTGTCTGGGTTACTGTCATGAGCGAGAGCGCTGAGGTTACCGATATGCTACTCACACCCGAGCTCATCAAGGCTGTCAACGACGCTGGAGACAACTTTGAGGCCATCATTGTCAGCGACCAGCCCATCAACGCTCCCAGGACGTAAGTCACCCAGCATACAACACTCTCCATTCATCAATCCAAGCTAACATCTCCCAGCCTCGACGAGACCAAGCCTAAGAAGCGCCTCAGCCTCTCCCTGAAATTCGCCTCGGACTACTCCACCACCATGCCCATCTTCCAATACTTCCTCCGTCTTACCGACCAACTTGCCTCTCATGGACACTTCCGCCCCGAAGCCCTCCGCCGCATCAAGCAGACCCGCGACGAGCAAATCGCCAAGATCAAGAAGGCAGATGATGAGGAGAAGGCCGAGGAGAGGAAGCTTTCGCTTGACAAGGCGAAAAAGGAGATGAGAGACGCCAAGTTGGGTCGTCTCAGCGCTGATGAGCAGCGCAAGTTCCTCGAAAAGGAGCGGGAGAAGAACGCCAGGAAGGGTATGAAGAGGAGTACCGTCAAGGCATAGGCTCCCCCTGACGGATTGAAACGGGGTCAGGGTGGGTACAAATCTTGGGTCAAGCTTGGATAAAGTGGCACATGGGATGATTGTATTAGTATAGGAACTCACGACATTTGTGTCATGGAGGTAAAGAGTAGTAATTCATTAATCGCACGCTACTTTACAGACAGAGAAACAACGCGCCGTCCACTGCCCAAAGCATCCCATCTTGCAAACTCAGACAACAAGAAAAACAGAATGAAAAATCGCTGTACATTCAAAAAGACTTGTGCAACGCAGTCTTCTCACGCTTTGTGTGCCCTCACTCGCCTACGCATACCGTAAGATCCACCAGGAAACTCACTCTCCTGCGCCTGGGTAATACCGATATGCGTAGTGAATCCAGTCTTGATAGCGGCAACTGGCACGAACTGAATAGCAGTGGAAGCTTCCATGTCCGCCGTGGTCATAACGTCAATGGGGTTTTGACGCATTGGCGACGGGGTCTGGAGTGCGGCTGCGTCGGGCTCAGATTGTATTGATAGGGCTTCGTCGGTATAGGATTGCGGACACCAAGTCAGGCCACCATTCTCGCCCAAGCATTCTATGATGATACCGCCAGTCGGCGAGGGAGTCTGGAGTCGGATACTGGTGGGTAGGTCACGGTATTCTCTGGATAGTAGCCGTTTGGACAGTAATCATGAGCGGTCTCTACATGCATGTAGCCATCAACTGGGACGTTGGAAGCGCCGGCAGTCGTCAAACCGAGTCCTCCTTTAGCGACTTCCCTTCGCCATTTGTCGAATATGACTCCAATCCGCGCTATCTTCACCTAGACTCCATGCCATGACGCCACCGAGCTTGTACTTGCAGACGATGTTGTCAAATTTTCTTGTGATAAGTTCCGGTGTGTCCCGAGTCCAGAAAAGCCGGTTCTGAGCATCGGAGAAGTATTGTCCACCGGCTGCTTCATCAGTAACACCATGTCTAGCAGCGAGTTGCCACGACCCTGCTACATCTGCGTCTGTACATCCCGTTCCAAACGCGTGTTGACAAGCGCTGTTGCAGTGTTCGTGGGAAGTACCACAGTGGCCGTGTTGAGAACAACAGCCTGTTGCGCATTTCGTTCCCTTTTCTGGGCCGCAGGAGCTGTCTCGAGATACAGTCAGTGCGGAAGTGTCAACGGGATGCATGTGGAAACTTTCCAAGGTCCAGGCGCCAGACGTAAGAGTGTCTTTACCCCAGACATCTTCGGCTAGGGCGATGGGACAGTTGAGTGGGCTGACACTGCAGTCGTCTTGCGTGGTGAAGTATTTTGCGTAGTATGCGAAGCCGAGGTTGAGCTTGGAGGGTGGTGCGCCCATGGCGAGGTAATCTTTCATGGTGGCTTCGGCGACGGCGACGGCGACGGAGCTGTGATGTTTGGTTACTGTGTCTCAGCGGTTCATTAGATCGTAGCTCATCACCTAGGGAGTCAGTATGGTCTCTGATAGTTGGAGTGAGGGAGTTAATGTCACTTACGTTGATCAAGTCGACGGATGGCCAGATCTGAGGTCCGGTTGTTCGTGTGTGTCCAAGCATGTCGACTACTACTCGTTAGTTGACTCTTCTCAGAGATGTGGCTAATGACTGGCCTTCTTTTCCTGGCACAGCGATCGAAAGAAGCTTCTTCCCAATAGCAGCACGGATAGCTGAGAGCAACTTGGGAAATGCGGCGATCTGGTAAGTCTGATCCAAGTTGATCACCTGTTTGTAGTCTGCACCATTACCGCCTAGATATTCCCAATCGATGTCTTCCTTGTCAGCATTCACAAGTAATCAGTGTTCAAAGACAATTTACTCACCGACTCCATCCGCTCCAGTCCTGGCAAGCATATTGGCAATGTCAGCGGCAAACGCATACATTGATGCGTCTGACTTCGTGGTTTGACAGAAACCAGCCGTATCGCCCCAGCCGCCAACAGCAATCATGACCTCTGCGTTGGGCAACTCGGTGCGTATGGTGTGTATAGGGACTTTGGGCTGAAACGTAGCTGTTGCGTTGGATGGGGCAAAGGCAAGGATGACATGGTCGATGCCGGCTTGATCTTGTGGGTTGGTGGGACGCATCGGGTGCCATTCGTCTGCGTATATGACAAAGCGGGCTTTTGCTGATATTGCGAGCAATATCGACGCTAGGAGTGCCGCCGAAGGGATACGCATGCTGAAGCTGGGACGTACTTAATAGGTCATGGCAGGTCGGATGGAAAGATAACAGACAATGGGGTGTTGAGTGCCACCAAGGTAACCAAAGCGTGCTGCCGTGAGAAAGACGGAAGTAGATATCAGGGAGGGAAGTCTCCCAAACTGGCCGGAACGATCCATCATGACTACCTGGACGTGGGGTCTGTTCTTGCAGAATGTCCGAACTGGAAGGAGTGACGATATTGATAGCTCTTTCCAACAATAATTCAAGCAGCGAAACTATCCTTCTCCTTCGTTCTTATATCGACAATACGGGCGATGGCACAACGGAAAGCACAAAATACTTAGAACATAAAACAGGCATCATTTGACTGGAAGCCGTAGTACATTCCTTGCTCTGTGACTCTGGATGCAGTTTCCTTCGTAGTTACCCCGATATTAAGGAGAGTAGGTGTTAGATTAAAGCAGGAAATACATTGAATTATACCGCGATAATAGCATTCAGTCTGTCTTGGATTGCTATGTACTGAGTACGAAGCAGACTCGCCTGCCGCTCCACATCCTAGCTGACCGGAAGAGGAAATGGCGACTAGATAGGGCCTTAGGAAGACATGAGTAAATGCGCGCTGAAATGAGAAGCTACCGGCATCCACTGATGTGATGAGACTGATTGGGATGGAGATGACATAGTAAGGACAAGAAGGATACAGAAAGTATGCGAGGTCATGTAGTCGCTCCCCATTATACGGATAGCCGAGATGCAGAGCTGGAAGTCGCGGTCAGCCAACGTCGATCTACGCATAAACACTCAACTCTTCCATCGAAGCACGTCGCGAGTTCCATCGTCATTGGGATCGGGACAGTCATCTGGTATCGCAAAGAAACCATCGGAAATGCTTCGTCGGGTCATCGACTTCCCGAAGCCAACCCGACGTCGGTTCTATATCCTTGCTACAAGTCATTAGTGTTGCTATGTATGACAACGTATACACAGGGAAAAGTATAGAGAAAAACGCATTGCAGAAAAAGAGTCAGATCTTGCAGGTGCTATTTGGAGGCATGCATAATAGACTGTCCGAACTATAGCGACCATTCGCTCCTAGGTATAGGCTGCTGACATTCTCAGTGCGAACACCGTACGACAGCTACGTGACAGTGACAGACCACACAGTCCTTGTAGCACACCAATGCAATCACTAAACTCTCCACAATCACGAAACCGTCGCTGCGGCAGGTGCTGCATGTCAGACGCGGGCGCACTTCGTGGGGACGATGATGCGGACAGCCGTTGAGAACCACGGTTCACATGCGTCGAGTCCACAAGCGACCGGACAGCTCACCTAGTCCGCGTCAATTTGCAGCACCTGGACCGCGATCGATGAACCGTCTCGCACGTGATAGTCCGGCGGATCCGTGATCGTCGGGCGACCCAGCTGCAGCCATGCTTTTCGGGCTGCAGCAATATGGAGCTCTGACCAATTATGACGCGACGAAAACGCGGTGGCTGGGGAGAGGCTTGGAGCTATCAACAGCTGGCCGCGCGCGACATGGATAGGCTGAGCTGAAAATGCCTCTCTTCACGTAGGAGCTGGCGCATCATGCATGAGCAGGATCTCCGGCCCCAATTGCAGCATACCACGCAACATTGGGATCGGCCCACTGCCAATGGCCATGGCCGTGGAGCTGCAGCCAGGTCGGGGAAGCTCCCGGCAGCTCTGTGGAGCTCCAATGCGACTTGACTCTGGATTGCGACACCAATTGCTCGCCATTGCCCGGTCAACAGCCGTGCTAAGATCAGTTGCGCGTCCGAAATTACCTCGGTGCGAGAAGCGCCAGGATGTGATGGGTTCTCTGGGGTTGAATCGGTCCATGGCTGGGAAAAAGGGGAAGCTGATACGCGCTAGTGCTCCGTGTCAATAAGGCTAGGCCCGTCCTGGACAGCTCTGCCAAAGCTTCCCAGCCTCCACAACCCTGCGACCATCGATACGCCGACACAACAGTGATCCGACTGACCGCCAATCTACTTGATCCCCCTCCTCGGCCAGCCTGACTCCATCACTCCTCCACCTACACCCCGCTACTGCATCCAATTGCGCATCTTCAAGCTGCTGCACGTCAACACCATAAAGCTGGCGACTCTTCAGTAGATCCTATATCACCAAATATCTCCACGTGAGACCCTCAAAGGAGCCAAGAAGTTCTTCTTGATTCCTTTCGAATTGTTTTCGAACGGTTCGAAGGGTTTTCAGGAACGAACGACCAGACTCCGGCAAACTGGATTTTGAAGCACGAGTATGCTCTCTCACCGCGAGTGTATAAGCAATTATGCTAATCCACGCAGGTTCCGATCCCCTTCAGTGTCTTCCCGTCTGCGTATCGGAACGCGGAAGTTAAGGAATCTACCAGCGTCAAGGTAGAAGAACAGGAAGCACAGTTCGAGCAACAGGCTTCTCACGGACGGGAAGGTCACGAAGAGGTCCACGAATCCTTCTCCGCTACCGTCCTCCCTCCTCCTCCGGCTCCCCAACAGCAGCAGCAGCAGCAGCAACACCACGACACTCACGTCAAGGAAGAGGTTCGCATCTACGAAGAAGAGCGCCTCCGTCGTCCCCAGCCTCCCCAGCCCCAGCAGCAGTTCCAGCAGCCTCCCCAGCCCCAGCAGTTTCACGCTCAGCAGCCTCCCCAGCACCGTGAGGAGCTACATATCCACGAGCAGACTCGCTACAGACAGCCCGGAGCACCTCAGCCCCAGCCTCACTCTCAGCACGTTCAGCGTACTGACCGCGTAGAGTTTGAGCGATCCCACGACCGGTAAGTCCGATCCATTGTTTTGCCAGCGCATCTTCGCACGGATCAGCACAACAGACCAACCCCCTGACTTTAGCGGCACCCAGCCACGCGCTAGCCGCTAACCCCTTTCATCTGTTGTTGTCCTAGCGACATGCAGTCTCCACTTTTCCCTCACCTCCTCTAAGCTCTTCCTTGCCCAACCCAAAGCTGACCTTCCTTTCTTCCTTCAGCTACCAACCTCACCCCCAACCTCCTACATCATCCCACTCCCACGTCGAGGTTCAGGACAGGACCTACGATAGACACTTCAATACAGTCCACGGCCCTGCCACCGACTACGCTCCATCCCAAATCGACGTTACTGAACGTCAGATTCGCGAACGTACCCGTCCCATCGTCGCCGGTGCAAGCTACTCGAAGGAGACTTACACCACCAAGCACGACACCTTCCCCAGCAGCAAGCACGTCGAGTCTGTTGCCTCCCACCAGCCATCTGAGGTTCGAGTAGAAACATCTGCTCGTTCCACTGCCGCTCCCCCCAAGCACTTCAAGCGTGATATGGGATATTACGACAACGAGGGCCAATACCACTCGCTTCGTCAAGGAATCTCCCACGCCGCTCACAAGGTCGCCGACCGTATCCAACACCCCATCCACCCTCACCGTCACCACCACTCTCACGAGCACTCCTACCCCGGTGCCAAGTACGACGACGACCGTGAAGAGGTAATCGTTAAGGAGAAGTACACTTCAGCTACTCCTTCCGTTGCCCCTGCCCGCCCCGTCCAATCCGGAGCTCCAGTTGAAAGGGTCGTTCGCGTCCACAGCTCTCCTTCCCCTCCCAGGTCCACAGTCTCTGCTGCTGCACCTGCCCACTCCCACGCTCACGCTCACGCACCCGTCTCTGCTTCTATCGCACCTGTCCCGACTTCTGTCCGTACAGTCCGCAAGATGGCTTCCACCAAGACTATCACCATCCCCTGCCACCACATCCGCATTGGCGATCTCCTGATCCTCCAGGGCCGCCCTTGCCAGGTCATCCGCATCACCACCTCCTCCCAGACTGGCCAGCACCGTTACCTCGGTGTTGACCTGTTCACCAAGCAGCTCCATGAGGAGTCCAGCTTCATCTCCAACCCGGCTCCTTCCGTCGTTGTCCAGAACATGCTTGGTCCTGTCTTCAAGCAGTACCGTGTTCTCGACATCCGTGAGGATGGTCGCGTTGTTGCCATGACCGAGTCTGGCGATGTCAAGCAGGGTCTTCCCGTCCTTGACCAGAGCGGTCTCATCTCCCGTCTGACCGAGTCTTTCGACAACGGCCGTGGCAGCGTCCGCATCCTCGTCATCGATGACGATGGTATGGAGATGGCTGTCGACTACAAGGTTGTCCACGGATCCAGGTTGTAGAAACATCTCGTCAATGGTAAGTCATCATCACATTCAATGTCTATCGTCGCGCATCATCTAACATTACCCAGGTCTCATTCAAACGTTCGATCTTCAATCATCCCTTAGGCGTTTGCTTGCTCATGGCCCCTCATCTTATACTTGTGTTCATAACTTTTGCATCGTCACTTGACTGGTAGCATGGCGCTCTCAGGCATCGATCGGTGTCTATCGCTCTCGGTGTTTGGGTCGGTGTTCATGTCTGCTTGTTCGGGTGGTGGAAATATCGGAGCTACATCTGTGGATAGTTAATGAATTGCGTCTCCTTTAACATTGTCTTATGCATCGTGATGTCTGTTTTGTTTTGTCATGTCTTCAATTATCGTGATCTTTCCTTTCCATCTCCATCGCCATGGCCTAGTGTCGTCTATCGCCCTAGCTATCCGAGGCTACCCCGCGTTCTCCACGCGCTCCTCCACATCTCTATCTTAACACCAACAGTTATACCCGGCCCACACTGTATGCGAACAACGCACGTATCTTGCGTTCCTCCGCGATGTAGTTCACCACATGAAACATCTGACAACTACTCGCCATGCCTCACTCAGACCGTTCCCCATCTCCACAACGCGATTTCTTTCCCGATCTTCCAGCCTTCCCCGACAACGTACCCACCGCCCCTCTTCTCCGCATCTCGCTTCAAGCGTTACTTGACCACGACGAAGAAGAACAAAACAGATGCTGGCAGGCGTGTCGCGAATTGGGGTTTTTCTACCTGGACGTCCGCAACGCCACGCATTCGAATAGTAGCAACGACCAAAACACTGATACTGCCGTCGACGGCGACGCGTTACTCCAAGATGTGGACAAGCTATTTGAAGTAATGCGCGACTTCTACGATCTGGACGTCACTGACAAGGTCAAATACGATTTCAAAGACCAAGGCAGTTACTTTGGCTACAAAGGGTACGGCGAAGGTTACGTCGATAAGCAAGGAACGAAAGACCGGAATGAATTCTACAATGTACATCTTCCTCCATCCTTTTGAATTCGAACATTGGTACCTCAAGTACTAACCTACGACCTCCAGATCTCCAAAGACGATATCTTCGGTCTCAGCGACCCTCTTCCCTCCCCAGCTGTCTTAAACCCACACCGCGATCTATACAAATCCTACATCACCTCTTCACACGCAATCTGCATGCTCATAACCTCCCTTCTCTCCTCACGCCTTCCACTCGCGCCAGGAGTGCGTTCCGCAGGCGGACTCGCCGCAAGCCACCGTCTTCACGCCTCATCAGGCGACCAAATCCGCTTCGTCAAAGCACCACCACAAGAACAATCCCTCAAAGGCGTCGCACTGGGCGAACACACAGATTTCGGCAGCGTCACTGTTCTGTTCAACCGCCTGGGTGGCCTGCAAGTCAGATTGCCCGAACACATATCCCCTCTCGCACCAACATCCACATCCCCACCACCCACACCTATCGAGCAGAAACTCTGTGAAGACGGATGGACGTACGTCCGCCCTCTACCAGGCCACTGCATCGTCAACCTCGGCGACGCACTCGTCAAGTTCTCAAACGGTGCGTTGAGGAGTAATATCCATCGGGTTGTCGCGCCGCCTGGGGAACAGGGAAGTGTGGAGAGGTATAGTCTTGTGTATTTCTGTCGGCCTGAGGATGATGTTCTGTTGAGGAGTTTGGTCGAGGGAGGGAATGTGGAGGATGAGGAGGAGGTTACGGCGAAGGAATGGATATTGAGGAGGGCGTTGGGGAGGAGAAAGGCGGATGGGTGGGAGAAGAGTGAGGGGACGGAAGCAGTTAGTATGGGGGTTAGGAATGGAGGGATGAGGACGTGATTGAGAAGAGGGGATATGGAAGCGTACAAGTAGACGCCATGTCATTGCCATGTGCATAGTCAGTTCTGATGGTAAGTTTCGTAGCATGTTTCTATACAAGGTTCTTTTATTCCAAATTTGGGAGGCCATGAAGCCATGCGTCGTCTCCGAAGTCCCGTCATCTCATCTTCAGTCACAGAGGCAGTATATAAGCTCAACAATGCTCCTTCCTCCTTCTTTCTCTTATCCACTCCCACAATATGCGACTTTCCTAAACACTGGGAAGAATGCCTGATGGACTGCTCTTCTAAAAAAATCATAGATGCGATACTACATGATCCCTTCTTCGCCTTGGAGCCGAACATAGCAAGAACACATGTCACCAAAAGCCCAGATCCTCGATTGCATGTCCGAGGCATATCTATAAATCTAACAGCTGCCGCCAAGTTTCAAAAGAAAGAGAAGATTATCTATGTTCTCTGCTCTTTCCCGGATCAAAAGAGTTTTCAAAGACTTCGTGTCTGCTTCATCGCTTCTCCGACTTAAGGCTCTCCATGGTATCCAGCCTACCGTTTATCCAAAAACACGTTTGACTAGACCCATGGTATCCGCCTCGCCTTTTCGTATCAAATGAAGATATAAGGAAGAACTGCCATGTCAGCTCCTGTGGAAGCGTTGCAGCTACTTCAAAAATCTCCAGGACACGGATATTTGTTGATCTCCAGCACTCCATCACAAACACTCCTCGCCCGCCGGCGTGTATAAGGGACCATCTTCTCTCGACCTTGTACCTCTCTCACATTCTTCACATCCACTTTTCTCAGGACCAAAAATCCTGGCTCCCCACAATATGTGTCTGGTTCCTCCCGAAAGACCTCAAGAAACAAGTAATGTTCCTCTCCTCCGCCGTTCCCCAAATCGGCGACGATAAAACACCCAGACGAGATATGCGATGGTTGTCCTCTGCCTTCCGAAAAAGACACTATTCCGCTTGAATGATTTTGTGTCGCTGTGCTCTTTCTCCACTCTTCCGCCGAATTGAATCAGATCGTATTCTCTAAAATGAAGACATTGTCGCGCGCTATGGGAAGGTGCATTGGAACACTGCGAAACAAAACTTCCAAAAGAGACTGGAAACATCACCATACCGCTTCCTGTCTTCTTCGCCTCTACAATGACTCACTAATGTAAAAATAAAGACTAACAGATCGGCATCATGCTGCGTTCCAGATACTCCAGCTTAGTGCTAGAAAAAGAACGAGGCAAACATGTACGGAGAAGAACGAAGACGCAACTTGCAAGCACAACACTCTAAAATCAAAATCACTCACGCTCTATGTGTGTGCCCCCAGCTTGCTTCCCAAGCTTTCTACATGTGAACAAATTTTCCACACTGTCGACTCTTGTCTCTTCAACCCGGCCTGTCTACTTCAAATGCTCTTTGCAACAAAGACACGTCATTGACCGAAAAGCCGAACTACAAGAAGGATGACAATGAACAACGATGATATTTTCTCATTCAGCGATAAACTTTATTTTCCAAAACTAAACAAAAAAACGCTCGCACGCTTCACCCATAGGGCTTTCGTTTGTGGCGTCATCTAACCCATTCATCTCAAAGGGCTCAAAACCAGTCCAAAACCATTCCATACGACTACGACTGCGATTGCGCTTACTGTCCACCCATCTTCTCATGCGTGCTCATCAAGCTACCAATGAAAGTAGTGATAAGCCTGCTTTGGACGGCAACGATATCATCAGGTACAAGCCAGATGGTAGCACCCATCTTTCGTGCAATACTGATGGCCAGCTTGGCGTTCTGGTAGCATTCGTCGTCGTTGCGGCCCTGGGCGACGAGGTCGTAATCGACGTATGCGGGCTTCATGCCGGCAAGGACGTCGAGCAGGAAGACGGCGTTGGCGAGGGAAGAGTCCTTGAAGGAGCGGACTTGGGTGCTCTTGCCGCCCTTGCGCGCCATGTCGTTGGCCCACTTGATCATGTCTGCGTCGGAGATTTCGCGCTTGCCGAGCTGTTGGGCGAGACCGTTGAGGGTCGAGACAATGTCCTTGCGCATCAGCTGCCATACGAGACCAAGGGTGAGTGTGCGCTGGCCGTCGGTGATGTCGGCACCTTGGATACCCGGCAGCGAGAACTGGACCTGCTTGCCGAGCTCGACGGCGTAGTTGGTGTTCTCGAGGGCCTTGAAGCGCATCAGCTCCTGGCCTTCGCGCGGCTTGTTGACGTGTCGCCAGTTTACGCTGCCTGGAATGACCTTGTCGTATGCTTGTAGGATGACTGTGCCGTCTTTGAGATCCTCGTAGAAAGATTGCACGACCGGCTTGACGTCGAGAGAATTGAGCCACAGAGTGAAGACGCGGGCCTCGCGCTCTCCTGCCGCATCAAAGTCGTCAATCTCGGCCTTTTCCTCCTCGGTGATGGGGTCGAGGCAGGGATGTGTGTTGAACAGATTGGCGACGAAAGCCAGGTTGAGCTTCGGGTTTCCAGCTACGAGCGATGTGGGTGTGAGGAACTTGCGGCAGTCGAGGGCGTCGGCATTCTGCAGGACCATCTCAGCGCGCTGAAGGAGGTCGGTTTGTTGGAGCGGCGAGCGAGAGCAGGTTTCGGGGGCGAGCTGGTTGAGGAGGACGGTGTAGTTCTCGCCATCCTTGACGTCGGTCGAGAAGTTGGAGACACTGGGAAAGTCAGCTATGTGCTGCTGTATATGGAGCTTGTACGTACGTCCTGTGCCACTTGGCGTTCTTCAAGTGGTAGTTGAACCATCTCAGCAAGATCTGCTCCGGGGGAAGGCGTAGGAATTGCTCTAGTGTCTCGTCGTCCTCCAATAGCCTGTACAGCTCAGGATGTAGCTTGATGTCAATCTTGCCCAGCAGACCTCTCCGGATGACCTGCCAGATCAAACCAAGAATCAAATGCTCGCGTACTTCGATGATATCTCCACTGCCAATGTTGACGACGGAGCACCCGATGCCCTTGGCCGACTCAATGACAATATTGTTGTTTTCCGTGAAGTGGAAGTTGTTGAGCGACTTGATCTTCTTGCCCGGCTTGTTCAGCACACGTTCATCGATAGTGTCCGGTACGCTGTCGTTGATGAGCTTGGACAGGACCAATCCGTCCTTGCAGGCGTCGAACATCTCAAACGTGTCGGTCGGGAAGGGCAGACGGTCGCCGATATCTGGGTCGCCAGCGAGGACAGCGTTGATATGGCGCGTGAACTCGGTGCGCTCATCTTCGTTGATGGTGTGGGTGACGTTTGCCGAAGAGCCCTGGACCTGGATCCTGCCACCGCCGACGCTGCCTTTGGAGGCGTGACCTGGGTTCGAGGGCGAGTTGACGCTGGAAGCTGTGCCGGCTCGCGGGCGGGTTGGGCCGGTCGACATGCGCTGCTGGGCAGGCGACGAGACGCGCAGTTTGGAGATGAGCTGTGGCGGTTAGCTTGCACGTGTCGCGTAGCATGCTGCAATGCGTACATCTACATAGTCGTCGAGCTCTACTCTCCTCGAGCTGTCGAGTTCCACCTCTTTCAGGGCCTGTCGCACCACGTCGTACGGCTGGTGCTCCGACTGCTGGGCGGCCTTGATGACAGTGCCCTCGTCGAGGTAGCCCTTGTCGTCGACGTCGAGCTTGCGGAAGGCATCCTGCAGGCCAAAGATCTCGCCCTGCTCGAACTGGGGGTATTTCCTGTGCGCAATGGCCTGTTAGCTACCGTGGAAGCCAGCGGATGCCGCGAGAAGGACGGCGCGCCCACGTACTTTTGCAGCTTGATGATGTTCATGTTGGCGGTGCAGGTCGACAGAAGTCTAGCACAACGGAAAGGATATACTAGGCGGCAAAGTGACTGCCTGGCTCCGCCTCGTTCTGGGTGCGCGTTCGTCGACTTTGAGCCTCTGTTTTGCTTACCCGATGACGACGTGGGGCGACTGCCAAGACGGACTCCTCGAGGGGCAGGTCGCAACTTGATCCCGGATTACGTACGCACGTCACCGCGCTCCCTGCATTAGGCTGCTATCCCTTCGCCTGTACCCAACTCGACCACATAGCAGGTGGCACACACTGATTACCTCGCACCCCTGGACGCGCAATGGCTTTGAATCTTTTCGCCTCTTCACCTCTCTCTAACACCCGCCCGTCGTCAATGCCCAAGGCCTCCATGGGTCCCTAGTGTGTGAAGCGGTGTCCATTGCCACCTCACCCGTCGCTAGAGCCATCCTTTAGTGTATACTTGTGAAAAAGCCGCATACATACAACGCATCACAGCACATCACAGTCAAACACGAACGCATAACATCAGTGGAAAAAGAGCTTTTGATTCCCTCATTAACATCATAAGGTCCATGTCGCCGGCTCGTCCAACGAAAATAAGACACTAAACCATCCCGTCTCCTAAAACGCTCAAAGTGGCTTGACGGCTGTCCGTATGCTATTCAGCCCGAACGCACCACCTAGTAAAAAACAACAGGGCAACATGTCGACTCTAGACATGTCCGCCAAATCAATGTCATCATTGCGTGAACATCCCGTCGTGTACGCCTGCATTTTCGTCAAACATGACGCGCCGTTGTTTCCCAAGCAGGAAAGAGTACTGGACTTGTGTCGCTCACGTCGTCGGTCGCACTGCCACATGTGTCCGGTATTAACGGTGGGTGTGTTGGCGTGTGTCGAGCGAGAGCATTACTGAGGTGGCAGGACGACCGACATCGAGAAGCTTCCTTACTCTTCCAAGCTCCAGAAAAGTAAAAGACGTGGTTGTAGAATGTACAAGACTTGCACGTGCTCGTGCCGCATGCAGAAGTCGTATATCATGAGACTCAAAGCCCAGGATATGGTGTGATGGAACACTAGTTCCGAGAAGCAAATGGTCGTTAAAGTCGTGAATGCCGAAACGTGTTGAAATGTAGACAAGAGACATAACCAAAGAAATATAAACACTAGGAAATACGAGAGAGCGACAAGATGGGCGTCTGGGTCGCCCCGAGTCGTTGCGTTCCGGTCGGTGAGTCTGCTGGTGAATGTCGAGGTACCATGTTGTGTTGCTGCTGAAAAGACCGCTCGCTCAATGCCGCGAAACCGCTGTAGATACAGACCAAACCGCCTTCTAATGTGAGAACAGGCAGCTGGCCACCCGAATGCTTGCGCGAATGAGTCCGATTACCGCCTGGTACGCTGGGCCTGGGCCGTCATGGTATGCGCGCGCTGGATGCCAGGGTTGGGGTCGGCGTAGTTTCCACCAACTGCACCGCCCTCCATAGTCTTGCGTCTCTTGAGGCCGCCCATATCGTCGCCTTGAACGCTGTCAGGGCGATATGGATCCTGCTCCTCATCGTCGCGACCGCGCTTACCGGAGTTGTTCACTCCGTTGGAGGGAGGGTATCCCTGGGTAGAGTACTGCGAGACAGCGCCGGGACCTTGGTAAGCATCGTGAGCTGCGTTACCGTTAGGGGCACCTCGAGGATCGCTCATAACACTGTAGAGGTTGCTGGAAGGGGGTCCTTGACGCTGCGGCGTGGAGTAGCCCGGGTTCCATTGAGGTTGACCGGTAGCTGCCGATCGAGGCGTGGCTCGTCCGGACCCGTTTTGGTGGGGCGATCCCGTCATTTCAGGGGACAGGTGGGCGTGGTCGGGGTGCATGGCGCCAGGTGCACCGTTGGAGGCGTATCCGTAAGGGCCTCTGTTTCCATTGTAAGGAGCGCCGGAGTGGGTGTACTCATTTTCATGATCGCCCTCGCTTCCGGCTTGGGGAGGAGCCACCTGCTCGCTACCCTGCGGCATCATGCCATCGGCTGGCTTCACGTCGCCTTCATCCGGCACATCGCTGATGCGCGATGGTGGTGCCATCTCGGTCTTTGGGTAAGAACCGTCTTGACGGTATCCCATCATGGGCTGGCCCTGCGCGTATTGGCCTGGTTGAGATGGTGGTCCCGAGTACAAGGGTCTGGAGCCATCAAAGCTCTGACCAGAAGCGTAGGACATGCCCTGCTGCACAGCGCCAGGTGGAGTGCTGGCGGGGGTTGTTGGTACAGAGCGCGTGTTGCTCAGTCCGGTGTCAATCGACAGCGGCTGACCCCCTTGGGAGTTCTGGACATTGGCGCCGTTCCACTCGTAAGAGCTACCTTGGTTGCCCATACCCATGATGCTTGAGGCGCTTGTGGGAGGAGTAGGGAAGGTATGAGCCCGGTCGATGCCTGGGCGACCTGACGAAGGGTGCGGCTGGATAGCATGCGGTGGTTGGGACATGGCAGCACCAATGGGGTTGCTCATCGAGTGGTGATGATGGAGCGATGGAGGTTGCGACGCTGCCGGTCCGGACAAGTATCGCTGATGTGTCTGCATCTGGTCAGGTCTTCGGCGGTCAACAGCAGCCATGGCAGCGCTTCCTACACTTGCCCTCGTCTGGTTCGAGGGATGATAAAGCAGTGCTCCAATATCGTGGACAAACAGAGGATACAGCTGCTCGGTGATCTTCTCCTTGTTGGCAAACTCGAGAGCTCGCTCAAAAGGAATCCTGTCACAAGTCAGTATATGAAAATCAAAGATGAAGTAGCGACACTTACCAAACACCCTTGAGATGCATTGGGCCGATCTTAACGACATGGCGCGTCTTTTCGCTCTTCAGTATGCCGTCGCGACGACCCCGGGTCATTCCCGCGACATTCAGAAGCTTGGTGCCGTTGATCATGTGATTGTCTATGACAAGTCAGCTCGTCATTCCGCCATGTGAGTGAAGATCGAACATACCTTCACGGCGAGCAACACACACGCCCTTCGCTTCAACCTGAAAGCAAAGACTGCCCTCGTCTTCCCACAGCGTGGCAGTCACACGGGGCTTCATTCCTGGAGGAGCGACCTGGCCAGTATGGTCAAAGGTCTGAGATTGATAGCTCTGGGAACCGGGTAGTGATGACGCGGGGGCTCCGGACGACATAGCTAAACCAGTCAGTATTGTCTCTGTTGGAAATGGCATCAAGCTTACCTGGCAGCTGGAGCGTTGAAGGCACCATAGCCGGATTCATTGAACCAGAAGAAGCAGGCATCTGCGAAGGAACACCGGTGGGGTAGCCATATGGATATCCGGGCGGGCCTTGGCTGTACTGATGTTGAGGCTGCATCATCGAGGACTGCTGCGGGGGGTACGAGTAATGCGACAGGCCCGAAGGGGGAGCTGACGCTGGAGCGTGGGTAGCGGTAGCCATGTGGGGTTGATGCACGTCAGCATACGATTGCATCTGGTTCATGCTGTTGTAGCCGCCTGTAGCAAAGCCGTATCCGTCTTGGGTTCCGAACGGTGACTGCGCGTTCACGTGAGAGTCGCGACGGATAGACTGTGGGGTGTGCTCGGGAGAGGGCGTCTTGAACCCAGTCGTCTGACCGTTGATCGATGCGGCGTAAGATGTATGGGAACCTGCGCTTCCACCGACCACTGAACCAGAGCTAATGGAGTCGCCTCGAGGGGAAGAAGAGTTTGACGAGGCGCTAGGATGCGATTGTATCTGAGGCAGGGCTGGCAGACGCTCGTTGGACACTGCAGGCTTGGGCTGGTAGTGGGATTGGTACCAGGTATCGACGGGGCCGCGGGCGTGGACCGACGAGATCGACGGGAGCTCCAGCTTTACGGTATTGACGTGTTTTCGCGCAGAAGTATCTTGTGTCGCTCTTCGAGAAGCCTTTCGCGAGGATACTCGAGTCAGTCCTCACGATAGCCGAGCGTGTTGTTGTGGAGGAGCAATCAGTCGACGCTCACAAAACTAGATTGCAGTATCTGCGCACGTATCCGACAGACGATAGCTCGCTGATGTTATAGCTTGCCGCAGAAGGTTGGCAGGACGAATGATCTTCACCGCAAGTTAGTTGTTTGCTTCCTCAAGACGAAATCGGTCGACTGCAGCGGCAGCCAACGAGATGCGGCCAGACACGTGTGGAAACAAACCCAACTGGAGTGGCAGGTTTGAGGGTGCAATAGGGAGAGTCGAGTGAAGGGTGGTGGGCTGGATTGATTGGGGTGGGAGTGCAGTGCTGGTAATCGTGGATGGAGGAACTGACCAGGATGTTTTGTCGATAATAGACGCGACGTAAAGCTCAAGGCGCGAGTGAAGCTGCAGGCTGAATTCGAACGCTGCAAACAATGCTAAAGTGTCAAAAAGCTAGTCGTTACGTCGTTGCAGTCGTAAAGCAGAGAAGAGCTGGTAGTCGACAACGCTTTTGACGCTCAGGTGCAAAACACGCAAAGGGACGAATTGACAAATGCCGGCCTGGAAGAATAGCTGAAGATGGCTGAAGGGGCTCGAAACATGTGCTGCAGGGTGGACGTGGGCGTGGGCAGTGTTGTTGTCGTGAAGGGTCGTAACGTCGTCGCGCTTCGTTAATGCGGGCCGAGCTGTATCGATACTGATAACCGCTGCACCTGCAAGAAAACACTACGCGCAGCACGCGTCAGTACTCGCACGTGGGACACAAAAGAGGAAGAAGTGCGAGCAAGGCAATCAACAAGCGGCCGTCTATGTGATGTAAACAGGGAAAGCCAACAGAGAGGCTTCTTCGCAGACTGCGGTGGGGAGGCGGAGGGTTTAGAGGCGGAGGTGGTTGGGATGGGACCTCTTGCTAGTGCTGGACCAACCAGACAACGCGCGACAGATAGGCGAGAGGAAACGCAGGCGGCGTGTCCGGCGGGCAGCAGTCGAGCGTGGCAGAACAGAAGAGAATGGGTAGACCCTTTACTTACCAAATTCTTCAACGAACGAACGCGAAGAGTGCGGACAACAACGACGCTGTACGGTTGCTTGCGTGTGGAGAAGGAAGTCGTTCTTGACGGCGATGCTGCAGGATTCTCTGCAGCGCTCGACAGCAGGCAGGCCGCAGCTAAGAGGGCTGACCGAGACAGGCGAGCAACGCACGCCCCGCAGAGTAGTCTGTTCGAGATGGTCGCTTCTTTTGCGGGCGGCGTGTCCAATGCTTCTACACTGTCAGTGCGCGATGGGCGTCGCTGGCAAGTTGTTCCGTAGAGAAACGCTGTAGCTGCGTGAACGGGCCGGCGCGAGTTTGCAGGAGCGGCTCAATGAGACGGGCGATGCAGTCGAGATGAGGCCGCAGCAGCGCGTGAAGCCAGAGACGGTGCGCCCAAGGTGCAGGCTCTTTACTGTAGCTAGGCACGGGTGGTGGAGATCTTCTGGGGACTCAGCGCTGCACACACACGAGCCGCCGCGAGCACACAATCTAAAATCACATCGGGCTTGGTGAGAGTCGCAGAGGACACGATGCCATGGGGGTGGCCCGGCTTGCGCACCCAGCCTGGACCCGCGAGCAACAGTCCCGTGAAAGGCAGGCCGTTTCGCTCTCGACGCACAGACTCCACCTTGGAGCATGCTGACTGGGCTGATCCGCCGACGGTGCGGTTGACAAGGGCGCTGGATGGAGAACGAGATGACAGGGACAGGGCTGCGAGGCTATACCGCGACGACCACTATGCACGCAAGCGAGCATAGCACTCTCGTGCCAGCGACCACCCTGGCCCAAAGAAACACGACAGCAGACACATCCTCTCGCACGCCTGCTGCCATGAGCACGTCTCAGGGACCGTCAGACTGCTGCTATTCCTGTTCGTCCCCTCCAGACTCCTTCCAGCTTCCTAGACACTGGCGATGACATGGCGGGCAAGGATAGTGGGCTCCATGTTTAGCGGGCGCCTACTTTTTTTCGCCAGTGTGCCGCTTCCTGAGGCATCGGATGGGCTCCCGATGGGGATAACACGGCTGAATACATGGGACCATTGAGAGTAGCCGGAGATATTCGACGCGCAGTGCGAATACACCTAGTCAGTGGTGGAGTGATAGGGAGCAGTCGCGCAAGGGCTGCAGTCTTTGACTAAGCTGCGCCGGACCGCGTTGATGCGGAGCATAGCCCAGAAACGCATCCCAACAAGCGATCGGAAAGCCCCAGGTCAAACGTCTGGGTCCATATCACGCACAGTCGGCTGGTGCTGCTGAGTGGCCCGGCTGGCGCGATGATTTGCACTGCTGCGAGTCAGAGCGGGACGCTTGGTAGCGCTCACTGAGACGAAAAAGCAGAGAGGAACACTGCAGCACTGCCGGTCAGCCACGCTCGCTCTGAAACGGGCTCAACTGCCGCGGCACGCCCATGGGCTGGCCAGCTTCGTCATCCTTTCATCTTTCACAGCGGCAATCGATGCTTTGGGCAGGACGTAGATGAGATCCAGCTTCCCGAATGTCTCTGGACACCCTGATGCCGTGCGAATTCCCTGCTCAGGCTAAATGGGCGCCCCATCCAACTGTCGCAGGGATGGGGCCAGAGAGCGAGCGGGATAGACGGACGGTAGGCCGTGCAAGCCAGCTGGCTTCTTAGTCTGGTATTGGTCAGACCCCATCTGATTGGCTGTGTAGTCGACGGTATGGACTGGGACCAGCGTCTATCATTGCCATGGGCTTATCCACTCGACAGCCTGGACACGCAAGACATGAGGCAAGCATGTGAAGCAGGTGCAACGTGGGGACTCGACTGTGTGCGACAGCCATGTCATGTCCGCAGCGTCGTCCATAGATGCTGGAAGCCCTCCACACTGCAATCGATGGACAAACGTGCCGACAGTGACGCAGGCTTGGGCTTGACGTTGGATGTGGACGCCGCAGAGTTTGATAGGATGCCCACTAGTTGCGGTGAGTAGATGCGCTGGCAACGCTAGCCCCAAGCAGCCCTGCCAAGCCGAGGTCACGCTTTCTTACTGCGCCCTCATCAGCCACCCGCACCACCGCGCTATGAGTGCAACTCAATATTCATCACCGTGTCTCGCTGTCGGAATCTCTTGAGCCAGTACCCTGGCAGTGACCTAGTGCAGTATCACAAGGGCATTCCTTTCGGCCAGCTGAAACAGCAATACGGCCGGACGCCTCCTTCGCCGCAGTCCTCAAAGCGAGCAACGCCCTGCCATGTCACTCCGTCACGGGATTCGCAGCACAGCGCACGGGAGAATCCGCTTCCATCCCTGTCAGAACCATGCGAACGGTGACAGCCTCGACTCTGGGACTCAAAGCAGGCCAGCCACTTGACAGTTGGCACCTGTCCTGCCCATGTTATCGCCTCAGGCGCCAAACCAACTGTTCGCATCCATCTGATCCCCCCTGCTAGCCGCGGTGCGTACATTGATGCTCTGACGACCAATCCTCCCATGTTATCTTGCAACATGTGGTCTCAAGTCTGGTCGGGAACAACATTCCCGCACACCTGTACCACTACAGACGGCATCAGATGAGGGCTGTCGGAGCATATCGCATCATCAGTTGATCCTCGCCAAGATTGGAATGGCCATGCCAGGAACTCTATTACAGTGCGGTAGTACAATTGCTAGTATGTGAATCACACCAGATGCAAAAGGTAGGACCAGAAGCTCAAGCGACCCGCGCAGTATTACCGTGTGTAGGTCTACGTTCAAGGAGCTGTGCGCACTATCTCCTCACCAAGGCGCAGTCCCACCCTCGTCGCGTGGACTACCGTGGCTAGCAGATATGCACAGGTGTAAATAAGCGTGCAGTGCAGCCGGCGCGATGTGGGAGCGGATCGTGGAGAAAGGCCCGCGCCTGTCTCTACCTCTTACTTGCTGACGGCCACCGCAGCGGCAGTCAGGACTGGCAACATCAGTGTGTCAGAGCAAATACCGTCCTTGACCGATCCAGTCGAGCGCCCAGAGGTTTCAACCTCTCAGCACAAGACCAGCGTTCTATTCTCGACCCATTGACAGGGTTCATGAAAAGGGCGACTCCTGTTGCATCAGCCTTAGCTCCCTCGAGCATCGTGTTCTCGTGCAGTGGCCACGCAGTGGGGTCTGTGTACATTCCTGTCCAACTGGCAATAAAGCGCAATCTGTACTCGGACCACAGCTGTCTGTATCCCCGGAGGAGGGCGTCGTCCTGAGCCTGCTTAGTACAGCTACCAAGCTTGTCTCTTGATTGACTGAGAAGACCGCTCAGGAGAAAACAAATCATTCTCCACGTCGAAGTCAAAGACCATCTCGAACACCTGTACGAACGTTCCTGCAGCGTGAGGCCATCCCGCGATGCGGCCGCGCTTGGGATAATCTAGCCTTCGATTGGATAACGCCGCGTATGCAGCAAGCCGCACTTGCATATGCATGTGATATAGGGCATCCCTGCATGGCCTGAGCCAAGCTCGTGCCCCTCAGTCGTCCACGATCACGGCTCGATCGAACTGCTGGAATAAGGCCTTCACGTGCGGTTCCACTGACAATTTTACGGCTTCGCTTGATAGCACACGAGTGCGAAGCGACCATCATTGATTGAAAGCGAGATATTGAATTCTCCCGCGACGGTCATTCTGGAGCCCTTGCTTCCATATTGATCAGCACCACATCCTCGTTCAAGCGTTCAGATAGGCGTTCGGCTACCAATCACCACCGGCCACGTCAGGAGACAGCAGAGCCGTTATCGGGGTATCGACGGAGCAAGTAAGCCACGACCGCTCCTAGCAGCTCGTGGGGTGCGACCATTGAATTTGATTGGCGGGTCGACACGCTCACCGGTCTTGCTTCATGGGTTCTCGCCCCACACCATGTCACGCTCTGTGGACGACTCGCTTCTTCCGACGTTCTCTAGCGTCTTTTCGATTGCACTCCAGATGCTCTTCGATGCTCAACAAAGTTCAACAACGAACAATCGAAGTGAGGGGTTCATTGTTCGGTTGAGATGAGTACCCGTTTTGCCGGCAACAAACATCCTCTAGAAGCGAAAACCTTCACCGCTCTTCTATTCTTGTACCTCGGATCTTCAATGGAAGGTTGAAGCAATCTAAAAGCTTGCTGGCGAGCTAGGATGAGGTAGACGGCCGTGCTCCCCCCGCTGCGCCGCACACTCAGTGTATGTATGTACTTCTAAAGTGCCGGCAGCGACGCAGACGTTTTGAAGTCGTCACTTGAGTCAGAAAGTCGCCGGTGGGCACACATGTCGACTTCCGCCTCCATGCAGCATCTCAACGGCAGCCAAAGCAGGCTGCCATCTCGCAGCAGAGTCGCTTGTCGCTAGGGCATGATCCGCACGACATACCTACATGCGTCAGTTGTATGTCTTGCCACAATCCAGGGTACACTGCAGTATGCCCCACGCTATGAAGCGGATTATATATGATCATCAAGAACCTTGGAATGACTCGAATTGAGGAACATAGGTTCTAAGAAGGGTCTCAGCGCAACTATGCATAGGCGGCGATGGATTTCCATGGGTACATTCAGCCTACCGCGACGTCCTTGCTGTATTGACCGTCGGGCCCAGCTGTCCGGACACATAGCGACCCGGTATACAACTGCAGAACGCGGCTGTACCGGTATCGACGCTCCATACATCGACTTATCTTTATCCAAAGATGTACTTTCGCCGGGCAACAGGCGAACAGATAACGCGTGCAAGCGCTATTGCGCTATCTACTGGAAACACGCCACCTTCGATATCTTCTCGATACTACACCGGCTCGCTAAGGAAAGCCAAGTGCGTTACCCGTGTCCTTGGTAGTGGGCGGCTGGATAAATCACCACAGTCGCTTAAAGGCATGGTCAATATACCTCAGAAGTGTCGGTAATATGACGGCATTCTAGAGCTTCCATCCGAGGGTCTCTACACAGGACCCAGAGCACCGCGCGATATTCCATCACCTACTTGTTCCCTCTAAGCCTTCGAGTCGACTAGCGTGTTTCGATAGGTAATCAAAATCAAGACTACCGGGTCGTGTTGTCGTACCGAGCAAAGCAAAAACACTTCGAGCCGAGCTAGTTTTGGCCGAACCTCTAATCCGTGGCTATGCGAACGGACTACTCACCGAATGTAACGGGCTATGACGCCTAGGCCCGGGCTATATACGCCAAAGCGTTGCTAAAAGCTAAATACGCGTCAACGGTGGTCCACACAGGATGCTCAAGCTCTTCCATCGCTATCCGAATACACCGAGGAGAACGTGCTCAGCCAGCCATCCCGGGATACGCCGGGGTGGCTGGGAAACATGGGCTGATCTGGTAGGAAAATCTCTGCATGCATCGCGGGCCGAGAGAACTCGCGCATTGATCGTATTGCAGTCAAGCGTCGTAGTTCATTTAGTCATGTTGAAGTTGCTTGAGTTTTGCTGCGCCTGCTTTGTGGCTGGGTTCGCATCATGCGAACCACGGTACCAGGTGTCATAGCGTGGTGCTACCTTTCAGCACGCATGTATACTTACGTCTACACACCCTGCAACCACCAATACTAGGTCTCTGCCTTCTAACCCCGCATCACAGACGGCAATGTCGGGTGTCGACCACCGACTCCTCCCCACGCGTACCTACAGTTCTGCCTCAAATGTACATGCACCATGCGCATATCCACGCATTGGGTCCCAAGAACTTGCCTTTGTTGACATCAACGATACGGAATAACTTTGGAAAACAACATTACTGTTACTGTTGACAATCCCCCGACACGTTCGGCTCCGTCGCGCCTCTCATCGCGACATCATCACTCAAAGCGACCGGCTAATGCTTCACCCCAACCCACTCCGAATCACACACCTACCAGATCCATGAAACCAGCCAGGCTAAAGCCTGAAACATACAAGTTTGCTACTACGGTAAAACCACCAAAATACCCATTCGCAATCTCCTGCGAACACATGTTGTAGATCAAACACTCGATGTTGCAAGTGTCCACGATGCCATGTTCAACCCAAGACGGGCGCACCCCTCCTGTCGAGTAATTGACGTGCGTCGCGGGTCGGCTCTGCATGTTTTGACACGTTCGGTATCTTTGACCCTGCATTGCAGACGTGCCTCGGTGAGGCGTGCATGCGCAGGCTTGCTCGTGTCTCAGATGTGGCAGCATTGTACTGCTGCAAGCTTGCTGGTGGAGGCTGTGATGTAGAGTAGGATGACATCACGTGTGTGATATGCGCCTGCATGCGCGCTGCGCGCTGCCCATGAGCATTGCGTTTCCATGACTCTCTATCGACATACGATCATCTTTGTATGGCAGTTTGTATATTCGTACAAGTGAAATGTCAAGTCAGTCGATAATCAGATATAAAAACAACTTGTTCACAGTCATTCGTTGAAGATCAAGTTGCGCCTGCCTGAATAAGCACGATACATGGGTGACCCCGCGTTATATGCGTTCTGACCGCGCAGACACCTAGATCACAAACATTCATTGCTTTCTAGAAATTAGTTGCACCAAGGTGTTTGTACTGAATGGAATTACACCCTGTCAAGCGTGTCCAACCAGAATGATCGTCGCAACCCTACTATGCCTCCTCTTCACCCAATGCTTCGTCGCCTATCCGCTATACCAACTGTATCGCAACTACGTTTCCGCTCGGAGATCTGGCTTACGCATCATCGTCAGTCCTATCACCCCATATACCCTGCAGTGGCAGCTGGCAGCCAGCCTTCTCCGACCGCACCTGCAAGACTACCGGTGGTTTAGGGCCATTGACTGGACATGCTGCTGGCAAGACAACGACAAGTTACATCGAGAACTAGGTCTTTGCTTCATTGTGGTGGCCCCGGGACATAACATACTATGTACGAGTGACCCGAAAACGATTGAACATGTGCTCAAGGATTGGAGGGGTTTTGTAAAGCCTGACAATGTGAATGGTGAGTCCGACGATAAGTGAGAGAAGGACACTGGCAGCGGAGACTGACTATGACTGTAGAGATCCTGGGCACGTTTGGGCAGAACGTCGATACGGTATGTGTCATGGACACCAGAAGTTCGCGGGTCTTCCAATTTTCTTCGTATTGAAGTCCGTAAAAAGCTAATACAAAAAGTCAAATGGTGATGATTGGATCCGTCATCGTAAGCTCACAGCGCCCTGCTTCAACGAGCGAGCCTCGGCCACAGTGTGGAACGAAGCTCTGGAACAATCGAAAACCATGACTGAGCGCTGGCTCTCATCACCCGGCGGAAAGACAAACAGCATGATCAAGGATACCGGTACACTGGCGCTCAACGTCATTTCTTCAGTCGCTTTCGAGACTACAGAAGTCAATGAACCGACACCAGGGCACACACTATCACTTCGCGATGCACTAGTAACGGTAATGAGTACTTCGATATCTCCGGCTATAGAGAGTATCGTGCCACTCTTCAAATACCCCGTACTCCAATCGATACTTCCAATTAGTACTAAGGAATTGCTAAGCGCTATGCATGAGTTTCGGCAGTACATGGACGAAACTATCGCGAGAGAGCGATCAAAAGTGGCCGGCGGGCAATTCAAAGCTGCTACACTCATCAGCACACTGATCAGTGCCAACGAAAAAGCCAAGACCGGAAGTGGAGTGTCAAAGTCCAAACTCTCAGATGTTGAGCTCAGAGGCAATATCTTTATCTTCGCAGTTGGTGGACTGGAGTCTACTTCCATCACACTATCATACGCATTGACTTTACTGGCTGTGTATCCTGACATCCAAGACTGGGTAGTGGAAGAGCTGGATGAAGTTCTGAAAGACGAAGCGGCTGATGAAATGGAGTACACAAATATATTCCCGCGATTGAAGAGGGTGATGGCTGTCATGGTACGTCTTCGGTTCTTATCAACACCAACCATCTACTATTGCGCAAAGCATGACTTTAGACTAACATGATTGCAAGTACGAAACGCTGCGTCTCTACGGTCCTTCACCGCCTCTTCCGCGCTCGCCTTTTCCTGCACATATCCAGCGAACCATCCCACAAACCAGTTCAGAATTCGAGAAAGCCAATGAGACTGTTCTTCTTCCGGCTAACACCCAAATCATGCTCAACTCATGGGCATCTCATACCTCAGCCGCCAACTTCTCCGATCCGCTTACATGGAACCCGAAGCGCTGGATTCAGACTCCACCCTCGGACAATAACAAGACGGCTCTATCTGAGATGCTGTCTGCTGAGGAGCTCAAGCACCCAACGAGTGGTAGTGGTTTCTTCGCATGGGGTACTGGTCCGAGGATCTGTCCGGGAATGAAATTCAGTCAGGTGGAGTTTTGCAGTGTATTGAGTAGTGTTCTGAAAAGGGTCAGAGTAGAAGTAGTGTTTCAAGAGGGTGAGAAGATGGGGGTGGCTAAGCAGAGGGTGATGAGTATTTTGCGGGACTCATGTGCAGACCCGCTGCTACTTCATGTCAGACAACCAGAAAAGTTGGAGTTGAGGTTTTTCGAGCGCTGAGACTAATTGATAGTGAATTTGGTCCCTGGCAGTAGCAGCGTGGAGACTTTTTGTAGTTTTGTAGTGATAGTAACTGCCGAATAGATGTGCATTATAGTCCCTAGATCACCCACGAAGAAACAATCTTGGATATGCTATGGTCCATAGTTACTCTTGAAGACCCGAAATTCGGCTCGGCGCCCGACTTCCAGCATCGGTAGACATGTAAGGAACCCTTGGTTGCGGCGTATCCTTCTCCAGGAACGCAAAGATATCCTGTCCCACCTGTCGGCTGATCTTACTGTACATGGATCTCATGACATCCGTCCCCGCATCGTTCAGCTCATAGTCTGGTCCGCGACAGCCGGGTATAACTCTGCAGTGCGTTGCAGGCTCAGAATAGCCCTGCGTGTGTAGGCAGAGCCAAGTGTAACAGAAATAACACGCTGGCTTGCTGCACCCGATATACTTGTCGTTGTCAGCAAAGTTGATGGCCTGCGACCGAGCGAACTTGTCTGCGATTTGGAGTTCGGCGTGTACCTTGGTCACTACCGTTTCTTTCGAGGTCATGTGGTTGTAAATTGGTCTCGTTGGTAATGAGTCTAAGTGGTACAGCCGGAGGAATGCTTGTTGAAACTTCAAAGGATTATTTGGGCTGGTCTCTTTGAGCACACCATAAAAGACCTCATGTGGACTCATGCAGGTTGGTGATATGGCCTTCTCGACAACTTGAGGCGTACTAATGGTCTGTATCCTAGATATTCGCTGGAGAGAAGGAACACGAATCATAGCTTCGACGACTTTGTTTGCTGCTTCGCGTGTCGCGCCTATGCGATAGACAAAATGCGCTAATTTGCCGAAGTCGTCGTCCGCGGTTCTGGAATGCAACTTGATGGTCTTGATGCATTCGGTTCTCAGAGTATGGCACAGATCAACGTAGTTGCCCAAGCTCATGCTTGGTGACGGCTCATGCAGCTTCTTCAACCTGGTTCGTAGAAGATTAACTCCCTAAGTAAGCATCTGCCTATCCGAATATTTCATCACACATACCGACGTCATCTCTCTTGACTCTTCGGAGAGCCATCCTGCAGTTCCGTGCAAGTTCCTGCGCCGCTGCTTTGTAAACCTGTATTCTCGGCCTACACTTCTCGACACTAAGAGCTGCAATGCGGTCTTGAATGATGCTCTCAGTCTCTGCGGTTGCAGATCTGATGTGATCCAGGATATTGTTTGCATAGATCAGTATATCATCGCGTATACCTTTGTTCGCCGCTAGCCATAGATGGTTATCCTTCTCCAGTCTTTGCAAGCCAGTAGCCGTGACTGTTCCGCCGCCTTTCTCCACGTCGCAAAGATAAGCAAAAGAATCCAAGAAGTTTCGTCGAGCTTCACACATCGTGTCACCGGACTTTGCTCGTTGTTTTGGTTTGTCTTTGAATCCAGCAAGAGCTTCCAAAAGAACTAGACGGGGATACAAGACAGTGGACTCAAGTTCCGTGATTTGCGACTCCCTCTCTATCATCTTCCGCGGTCTTGTAGGGGTCGGAATCGTTTCGATCGAAGCGGGTTGACGGGCAAGTACATCAGCCCGTGGTTGCGAGCGCGACGAAGACATGGCGATAGTGACAGAACGACTGCCAAAGCCCAAGAAATAGCAACTGTTGCCGCGCAGATTCCAAAATGAAAAGCAGTCAATATGAGATGATATTTACGAGACTCAATGATTTTCTACCGGTTTCGATGACGTTCTTCAGCCATTACGAGAAGTCCGCGTTTGTCCAATGGGGGCGTAGCACACGTGTGCTTGCATGTTGACAGGGGATTGTTCTGCATACGGCGCCTACAGGAAAGCGGACAAGGCTCGCATGGTCGATAAACGGTCTAATCGTCTTCTTGTATTCCTGAATGATAACAGCGAGCCTTGTGCGGTACGCGCATCGGTCTGCTGATGTGTACTCGCATACGGGTATACTTACGATGAGTATCATATCGGGGGGTTATCCTTGAGATGTAGAGGGTCGAACAGAGGTAGAAGAACAAGCCAAGGTAGGCATCTTAGAATTACGACTTATTGGGGCTGATCATTCAAACTGACATCTACGCAAGACCTGTTCATGCGGGTAGTTCACGCAACTCACAAACCCCAGACTGGGAGACTATCTTTGTGCTAAGCTGCATCCTGTGTAGTCCTCCTCTCACGAAGTCTCTCACGCCATGCGCCTATGTTGCGGCGTCTCTTCTCCTCGGCTCGCGTCTTCTCTGGTGCTCTCGTCATAGTGGTCAAACGGCCCTCCATCTCTTTCTCGGTTAGTTCGCCTTCCACAAACTTCCAGGTATCCGTTATGACGACGTACTCGACCTTGTCTTCGGTGCCGTGGTGACTCCATCTTTGTCCATCCAGCGTGCTTGGGCCCTTCCAAGTCCATTCTTTCAGTTCAGTGTTCTCAGCGCTCAGATATCCCTCAAGGTCGTTCTTCTGGAAGTTACCACCTTCCCTTCTCACTGGTAGCTTCCATTTCTTGTTTCGCTCGATGATGCGCATCATCTCCGCTTTCTTCCAACTGAGCGTCTCGTATTCAACCTTCAGTACGCGCAAGCCGGGGTTTGCTTCGAAATAGCGTAGCCACGTCTCCTCCATACGAAGTGGCTCATTGTTCTCCCAGAACCACCAATCAGAGTATCGTATGGTAATAGTAAGCTGGTTTGGTCGAAACTGTGGTATGCTGAAGATGTAAAACAGTTGTTTGCCTTCTTCGAGCCAGAACATCTGCGTGAAGAAGCGAACTTTCTGGAGTGCCTGAACAGCTTGTGGAGATAGGTTGCGGAAGAACCTTTCGCACGCCGGGGTGCACGTGCGGCCATCAGGTCCTCGATCTATACCGAACGAGTCAGTTTCAGTATTGTCATGGGCTACGCATCGACATACTAAACCAGAATGCCCATTCTAGTTCCCTGAAGAACACCTTCTGACCCTCCGCGTACGCGAGCTTGCACGTGCGCAAAAGCGCACTGCTGCCCTTGAGCGGACCTGAGAAACCTGGCCGGTACCAGTACGAGTCTTCCGGATACGCTGCTGCGCTGTCTTCATCCTGCATGAGCGCCAATTGGAAGATCTCATTACGGATCTCGCCAGGTATGACATGGAACAACGGGCTTTGTGGTTGAAAGTTGGAAGGTAGGGGAATTGGATCGGTCGCCATTGGGACAGCGCGAGAGGTCCGTAGCTTGTGATGAGTTGAGGATGATCGCAAAAGTCGTCCACAGAGGGCATTAGGAGTTTATGTTCGGCCAGCTCAGAGGTTGTAGTATCGAGCCTAGGCTGATGGCTGCCTGTCTGGTGGCACGGCCGATCTGGTTAGCGGCCTTGCCCAGGCACTCGGGGCCCAATGAACGGACGCGCTAGCTGTCGCATACTCACCGGATGGTTCCACGACCACAACGCCCTTCAGCCCTTTGCTTCCCTATACCTGATATTCACTGCGCCTTAGTCACATGATATCCACATTCTGCTCTGCAAACGTGCTCGTCAAGATATCAGCTGCACCGCCCTCACACTCATTCCTTTCCCTCACCGGATGGTCAAATGCGGAGATCCCTTCAATGCCGATAAGAGATGCTATGGTGGAGGAAGGACAACAGCAGCCTAAAACTCAGCACAGTGTCAGCTGTTCCAGTGGATATATAGAAACTTCGACTGGAGAAAAATTATGCGTCAGGCGCGAACGTGTTGAGTAGAGCTGACACTACGGTTATCGAAGGCAGCTGCATGTGTAACGAAAGAGGGGAAACTACGTGGAGCGCCCATACAGTTATAGCTGGCATACCTAAGCACTAAGGCTGACTACATTCGAAAGCTGAAAAAGTCGGCTGTAGGAAAGAGAGATGAACGAATGAACGCTGCGGAGCTACCACATGAGAGCTGAATCAGTAGTACTCGCCAATATTGATCGAATACTTATCGAAAGTAAAGGAAGTTGATAGGCTGCATGGTAGTTCTGTGATGCTTTGCTCTCCAAGTTCATCTGGCAGTGACCCATTCTGGTGCTGCACGAGCTTTGACAGGGAGCATAGAGTAACGACTAGACTATCTTGCGATAGAAAAACGAGTACAACACATTCGAGCTTCGTCAATGGTGTCTAAAGCGACACCTGTAGAGGACAGTGAAGGGAAAGTCACACGATAGCGCGTTCGCAGCTTACCCAGTCAAGACTAGGCTTATTCGCGACTTCCTGCTTTCCAGCGCTGAACCAGGCTACCGCTCTTTCATCTCATCCGGAATCATTACCAATCGCCTCGAACACGCGTGCTTGTCGAGATGACTGAATTGTATGGTCTCCCAGACGAGCTCTTGCTCGCAGTCGTCAATTGCCTGCGAGACGACACCAACAACAGATACCGCGATCTCAATCGCCTCGCGTTGACTTGCCGCAAGTTACGACCTATTGCGCAAGAAGTATTCTACACAGATATCTCTACGAATCCGACCCTGAAGCGAGGTCTCGCGCGTCTCGCGCGCACTCTTTTGCAGCGACCTGATCTTGCGAACAGAGTGCGAAAACTAAGCATCAAGCTCACCGAGGGGCCAATCACGCATTTTGAGAGCTGTGTATCTTCGGGATACTATTATGAAGAGGACGGGGAGGAGTGTACTTGCGGTATTCCTAGCTTGGAACCCAATTCATCGGGTTTGCTAGCACTGTCGAGTCAAGCAACGGTGTCGCGCTTCACACCCATGGCTGGAAAGATATGCTGATGAGTGGCGTAGATGCTGCTCTCATCAGGCTCATCTTGTGTATCACGCCGGTCCTCAGTAATCTCACACTGGTAACCTGGGACTCACCGATGTATGAAACCCATAACAACATTGCTTGGGCCGAAGTCGAAGAAGTATTCGAAGACATTACCAGGCACAAGGACTTGGCAGATTGTCTCCAGGGTCTCTCTAGCTTGACGCGGCTATTCACAAATGGTTATCCACCATGCAGCTGGCTAAGTTTACCACGGCTTGAAGCCGCGAGGATCAACCTATTCGAAGACGCTTACTATGACAACACGATGATATCACATATCGCACCTAGCACAACTGTTTCTACGACTTTGACCCGTCTGATCATCCAAGCGGACTTCGAAGCGCTCTACTCTTATGATGCCACTCATATGAAGGATGTGTACGGTCACATTAGAAGCATTGTTAGCGGTCTTACACACTTAACCCACCTTTTCATTCTGTACGACACTATTGTCGACCCATATGGCGAGTTCCTTCCTCTAAACACTCCACGAGGATCTTGCGCGCATATTGTCTCGCATCTGGAGAGCCGCAGCCTGACAGATCTGACACTGGACATTGAGCCCGCGCTCAAGAATCTAGTCAGGTACATGACGTTGTATGAGTATATTCACGATACAACTCCGATGACCACATTTGCTGGATTGACTAGAATTGGCAATCTTAATGTTCCACAAGAAGCGTTCTTCTCTGCCAACGAGAAATTCGGAACTTGTCATCTACCTGCCACGATCGAAAGCATCAGTATCATGAATTCGACGTATGAGACAAAACGCTACCTCAAGCATCTTCCGGATCACCAAACAGAATGGCCAAACTTGAAGATCGTCAAGCTTGGGGAGGATCCGTGTAACAAACAGTCCAGATATCCAGAAGAGAGCAATGACGATGACGCTAGCGAAAGCGACGAAGGAGAGCGGCGGAAAGTCTTCGGCGTTGATAACTCAATGTACGAACAGGCTCGGAGCCGTGGCTTGCGAGTGGAGAAGGTACAGGATAGAGTGGCATGGAAGAAGTGATGGGAAGGTCTGAATCTTTGAAGAGAGTATGTGGGAGCGGAGATGAGTTAGTCAGCAGACAACTGTGCGCTCAATCCGGACTGGAGTGACAGAACACAATACCTGAGCAGACACTGCAATGAAAAGTAATAAAGTGATAGGAGATATCTTACCGCTTTAAAAAATGAACTCGCAAATAATACATCGAACAGGTGTCTTGAGAAACTTCCACAGTCGCGATGTGTACATGTCTTTTAGATAAGCCACCAGCGCTACGACGACTGAGCATAGCAACATACACTTCATCGCTCCGGGTAAACTATGCGCAGTCGGGTGAGCTTTGGGCAGTTGGGTAAACTCCGGGGGTCGCTGAGCCGGCGTTGCCTATGCTGAGACTACAAGCCATCGCGAGTGGTCGCAGAGTAAGTATGGGAGCCATCATATGACTTGAAAATTCTTGTACCGGTGCCATATCGCAGGAATTTCTTCTATAGTATTATGGGTCTAAAGTTGTTGCCTGAAGGTCTGACCGGTATGATTATGTATCCGGGAACAACATGTGGCGCGGCGAGCACCTCCGGGCTGTAACATTGGGTCTCGATTGTTGGTCGAACGCTTGCGCGATATAATCCTATATAATGCGGCGAGTACCTCCGGCTGTGGATTTGGGTATCGGTTTCTGGTCGAAGGCTTTTGCGATATAATCATGTATCCAGAGACACCTAATGGGGCGGCGAGTACCTCTGAGCTGTAAAGTCGGGTCTCGGTTCTTGGTTGATGCGCTGAATCTATTCGGTACGTCGTGTTTAAGGGTAGCTCGATGACTCAAGTGACGTGATGGTCTGCTGGTTGGACTTTGTGAGTGGTACAAAGACATGGGCGACCTTATGACTTTTCGCCGTCGAGCAGTGCGGCACTGCAGTTAGCGCGCTTTGAGTCTGAATAAAAGACAACCTTTTTCCCTCTCTCTCTCTCATCAGAACTTACCTCTCATTCCATCTTACCATACCCGTCCGAACTCGCTCCAGACAGAACCAGTATGCATACCAGCACTCAGACAAACCATTATTACATCACTATCAATACCATCGCCATGTTTACCTTTACACTCTTCCCAAAACTACCCCAAGAGCTCCGCGACGCCGTCTGGCAAGCGAGCATGGCTGCAACAGCAACCGTCGAATTTGACGAAGACGAATACATGGTCACAAGCATTTCGTCACCAGCCGCCCTCTTCACCACATCAAAGGAGGCGCAAGCCACAGCGCTGTCCTCCTCTCTCCAAAAATTCCCCATCTGGGGCCCAGAAGACTGGGAAGATCTGGCCATAGATCCTGAAAACACGATCCTCGAGATTGTCATCAAACCGTCCAAATCAGCCTCCCTCAACATCACATGGACAGACATCTGGAGTGTGCTTGGCGACGCACTACCAGCCATAAAACGCCTTCATATCTCTTGCAGCAAGCCTGAGCGTCTCGCCAGGCTGTACATGGCAGAGGAGGCAGAATACCTTGGTGTCGGCCAATCCTGCATCGAAGAAGGATTGTTCAATAATGCCGAAACCGTTTCGGGTGAGCGAAAAACCCGCCAATCACTACACACACACCTCACGGTCACTGCTAGCAAGCATACCATTGAAGAAATCGACCAGAACGCCTCTGAAAACGGGGTCAGCATCTGGAAGATGACCAAACACACTTTTGCGGAGTTTGGGCCCGAGGCTAAAGTTTTCGCCAGCAAGGGGCTAGCGCGCGTTGAGCTCGACAATGCCTCAAAGATGTCCGTAAAGCAGCTTCACGATGCTGCGAGGACCTTCGCGCTGCCCGCTGAGGAGGTGGAGAGGGAGGTGTCAGGGGTCGAGGAAGTGGTGGAGGAGAAGTCAGGGGCGGAGCTGACGGAGGATGCTATCGCAAAGCATCTGGAGTATCAGGGGCTGTGGCCGCCTAAGCCAAAGGATTTCGACTGGGATCCAGAGGGCAGCGTCGCGAGTGCGAATGACGAGGCCGTTTGGAAGTGGCTGTAGTCGTTTCGCGGGACTTTTGCATTTGTGTTGGCAGCGGAGAGATGCGGTGTCTGCTCCTGGCTGAGGTTTGGCGTTTCGGTTTGCGCTGGTTTTCGATGTGAGTTACTCCCGGCACCATCATCCGCCGCACTTGCGTTTAGTTTAGTAATTAAGTCGTCCTCAAAACATTTCGTCTTCTGCTACTGTGAATGCATTCCTGTTTACACTATTGGGTTGTAATATCCAAACCTGTTCTTCGGATCCCACTCACCCTTCAACTTGACCAATTTAGCGAGCCTGGCGTCGTACCCATACATCTCAGGCCTATCCTCTTCTCCATTAGCGTAATTAACATAGCAGTGTCGCTTCTGGTTGGTATTATCGAGGCCAGTGTAGAGCGCATCACGCATCGCGCGCGTGTGTGCGTACGCGTCTTTGGTCGTCTGCGCATCGTCGCCAACCCACCACAAAACCGGCGACGCAAGAATAGGATACTCGCGTTCCTCGGGTGCCAACGCAGTGGAAGATTTGTCGATAGCTCGTACGCCCTGCATGCCGTAATTCTCCATCAGAGTGATCGATGTGTTGAAGCGCGGATCCGCTGTGATGTTACCAAATAAAGTGAAGGCTTTGCGAACACCCTCAAGGTCCCAGGTCGGTAGGGAGACACCAGCTCCTGCGATGTTCTGGTTTCGCCTGCAAGCTTGACCTCCGAGGTTGTTTCCAGTCACCGTGTATAGCTCTACGTAGTTGATGTCCGTGGAGACTGTGGTAGAGATTGGGCCGATCGCTTTAAAACGAGCGGCATAGGGTTCAGCTTCCGCTTCCGTGCCCTCGTAGGCGACAGTATATGCTACGACAGGCTAGTGAAGAGTCAGTATTTGGCAAGCGTTTTGAGGACCCTTACTCACATTGCCGGGATCAACAGCAGGTATTCTCACGAATACGCCTGTGAGCGCTAGCTTCGCAGAGCGTTCCGTACTCGGCTCTTCGAATTCGTTGATCAGACTGAACAGCGCCTCGACCTTGTCAGCCGGGAAGATGATTGAGTAGACGGTCCAATTGGAAGGAATGTCGTAAGTCTTCACTTCAAGACTTGTCACAATACCAAATTGATGGCCTGCACCTTGTAGAGCCCAAAACAGGTCGGCATTCTTCGTCCGAGAGGCTTCTACAACCTTGCCGCTGGCCACGACTATGCGCACGGAAACGAGACCGTCAAGAGAATAGCCGTATTGATTTTGGAGGAGACTGTGGCCGCCTCCCAGCAGTGGGCCTGCTACTGACACGCATTCTCCAAGTCCAGTAACTGGTGACAAGGACGATAAGTAGTTGTGTGTATAAGGGTTCGCGTTCAAACTCACCAGTATACTTGCCCGAGGCGAACAGAGAGCGGGTAATTTCGTGTTGCATTGTTCCGCCTCCAACAATAGCAGTCTTGCCGTTCTGACCGAGTGTCATAGTATTGAGCTTCCGCATGTTAATCTGAATACCATATTGTAGCCTGTTAAGCGTCGTAGTCCATCCATGACCCCCAGTGACGGCCAGGAATGGGATGTTGAAACGATTGGCCAACGCGACCGTCGTCTGCACATCGGACTCAGTCGCTACTTCAACTACAACATTGTAGTCAGGAGATATTCGTGGAGAGGCGCCGCGGACTTGGAGATCATCCCAACGAGCATCCCGTGGAAACGTGATGATGGCGTCCTTGGATAGTTGCGGGCTCAATGCGGACGCTGCGAGCTCCAGGTTGTACGATCGGGACACATATGAGCGACGAGCGATGCATAACAGCCAAACTGTAGCGGTAGGAAGGAGCATGATGACCGATCGATTCCGCCGATGCTAGAAGTCAGGAGATCGGATGCAGATGAAGAGACTGTGGAAGATACTGTGTCCAAGACTTGCTTTTCGCTTTGCGTGAGCTTGTGCCTCTCAAGGCAGATAGCATGGTAGCTTTCCTGCACTGCGCAGGTCAGTATGTCAGCCGTGGATTCTGGCCAATCCGTGCGAGCGTGTCGCTACCGCACTGCATTGCTTATTCGATAATATGGATTGCATGATGCAGAGCGACGCCGCAGGACACCGCAGCTGCGAAGATGCTTCTCGGGACTGAGTAGCTGCATCGTTTCCCGTGCAATCACCGATTCGCACCTGTCTGATACAGTTAGTGCGGATTCCTGCCCTTGCCGTGTGGTCGAGGGCGATGGGTTGTTACGATGCAAGGCGTGGAAGGAGGTGAGCGCTAGCGAATCGCGTCGGGAGGGGTTGGCACACGCGAAGGAGCCGCCAAGGCGGCGCGCGGATGGTCCCTCTCGACGCGAACTGCGTCTTCCCGCACGACATGTCAATACCTCAAGGTAGTCGTTAATGCGACATTGCGTTACGGGTCTTGGGACGGAATCACACACCCCGATAGGCACAAGCCTTTACTACTCTAGAAAGGGAAGTTTCGCCATCCTAGTGAGCGTTGTGTTCCATTCAAGATTGGCAACGATAGGTAGCTACGACTTGTGACCTCATCCACGAGAGCGCCGGATAAGCGCTCGACCAATATCATTACACATGATGATTAGTGGCAGGTTGAGAGAATGTTTCTGATGCCTTTGGCACAATTCTGTTTGATCGAACCGAAGAGACCATTACAATCGTCTGAATGCTTCGCTGTACAACCTTTCAGTACTCTACTTTTACCGACCGACAAACGTTTTGGTCCAGTCCACTATAGCCTTTGCACATTCCTCAGGTGCCTCCTCTGCCCCAAAATGTCCAACCCCATCCCCCAACCCATGATTCTCGATTTTAACTCCCTCACCAACCCACTCCTTCCACACATCTGGAAAGTCAAACCTACTCCCGATGCTCGCCGCACTGTACACCAACAACAACGGCACACCAATCTTCTTCCCCTCCTTCTGATTCTTCTCCTCCCTCTCAACGTCCGTTGTAGCACCTTCCTTGTAGTCTTCACAGCTAGCTTTCAGCGTATGTTCCTGTGCGAAGAAATCGCCGTAGACGGTTAATGCGTCATCGGTCTTCAATTTCTGGATACCGGTATTACTCTTGCCAGACCATCGTAGGATCATCTCTTGACACCAGTTGGATGGGCCGAAAGCGGTGATCATACGCGTTGCCAAATCAACGTTTGCGAGTAAGGGCCAGTGGAAGTAGCCTGTGATTTCCTTGGCTGCAGTGGCTGGGGAGGTGAAGTGTTGCCATTGTGTGGAGGTTGGGACCTATCGAGATTAGCCCGCCTGATACAAGGAAATCCATGGAGGAAAAGCTTACGATGTCAATCAAACAAACACCCAAGATCTTCACTCCATCCACCCCGCTAACAGTGAGGTGATGAGCAACTCTCGCTCCACGATCATGGCCAATGAGTATGACCTTCACATCCCCATCTTCACTTTTACTCTTTTTCACTTCCGTTTTCAGTGCCTCTAGTACCGCGGTCCCTATACTTACTTTATCGTTCCGCTCAATCGGTGCACTTGCGCCGTAGCCAGGTAGATCCGGAACGAAGAGCGGTGCTTTGGATGGGAGCAGAGGGATGATGTGTCGCCACCTGACCTTGTGTCAGACTATTCGATGCATTGAATATAGGATTGGGGATATGAGGAGGAAGTTACATGTAAGCTGATTGCGGATATCCATGGATGAGAACGAGTATGGGGTTGTCATCGCTAGCGTTCTCCAGCGAGCGCGTGTAGCAGCATACTTTCTCTTTGTTCAAAGTGGACTTTGAGAGACCGAGATCATTGAACTTGGTGTCTTGGATGTGGAGGGCGGATCTAGATGCCATGATTGCAGTGCGATTTATTCTGATCGGGATTCGGGATATTGTAGGAAAGCACAAGGGTAAGGTCAAGATATATATTCAGTTCAGTAGTCACTGTTCTGCGATAAGGTGTTCGGCGCCGGTCAAATGTCACTTTTCGCGCCCTTTCGAGCTGTGGACTACATTGGGGTAACTATCAGACCGAGGTATGACGCAATCACGCAAAGTCACGTGTATGATCATTCGAAAAGCATCGGTTCCAATGCAAGTACTTGTTCCTGGAAAGACAGGATGGGGGAGTCAAATATTTCATATCTTTTGAACTACGAGCAACACCTCAGATGCATCGAATAGTACCCCAGGTCCTCTGTCTTAATACCAAGAACGCCAACGCTATGCAGAAAATGTACTTAATCCTCCTTTTGACTTATCATTGCTCTCTCGCCAAGATCATCTTCTCACGTTCTGCCTTTCTCCGGACTGTGCCCTTCTTCGTGTGCCTCCTCTCATTGTCCTCCTTCCTCTTGACAGCCTTGAGCTCCTCGTTCTTGATCTCACCCGCCTTCTTGACAGTCTTGGGTAGATGCCTGTGTTTCTCGATGCGCTTGATCTCTGGCATATGCTTGTAGCGCTCCTTGAGCGCTGCGTCATATTCCAGCTTCTGTTTTAGGGCGAATGACTTGACGCCCTGCCTCTCGGAAGCTCTCGCTCTCCATAGCCGGACGTTGCCATCGTCTGATCCGCTAAGTACGTAGTTGTTATCGGGACTCCATGCGACGGAGAAGACGCGCTGCATTCGCTTGGTGTGGTAGACGTCCCGAGCATGACCCTTTGATCGCTCCCAGATTCTTATGGATCGGTCGTAGGAACCGGTGATGAGCTCTTCTCCTGTTGGAGAGAACTCAATCGACATGACTGCGGCGACATGTCCTTTCTATCTGGTGTTAGTAATGATTATGACCAGACCGAAGACCGAAGACTTACCAAGACTTGCAGCGCCCGCTTCATGTTGCGCATGTCGAATATGTAACCATTGTGGTCTTCCGACGCGACAGCAAAGTTGTAGGCCTCCATAGGATTCCAGGAAATGCAGTTTGCGGGGAAGTTGAGCACAGTGCGGTGTAGAGGCGAGTTCGTTCGGGCATCGTAGAGGATAATCGCTCGGTCGGTCGCGCATGATGCGAGTATTGACGTTTCGACCTGGTTGAACTTGACGTCCGTGATTGTGTCAATCGCCTAAGACGCAATTAGTATATGCTTTGTGTCTGCTGAGCAAGGATGACCTACGGATGGCCACACAAGGTTGGAAACAGGAGCCCCAGACGTCCTCGATGTATCGTATATGGAGATGGTGCTGGATCCAGCAGCAAATGTCGGTAGCGAGCGGTGGTGCGAGACGGAGGTGAAGGCTGAGTTGCCATGCCATGTGGCTTTTGGCGCCGATTTCGAGGCTTGCGCATATGGCTCGAACAGTTGAATCTGGCGGTCTGATCCACAGGTTATGAGTTTCTTGTCTCTCGTCCAGCACATGCCCTTGACGAGGTTCTCATGCGCCTGCGCCTGCCACTTCTCCTCCCTGCTGGTAAAGTCCCAGACCTTGACGATGCCGTCGCCACTGCCACTGGCGAAATGCTCGAGCGAGTTGGGGTCCTTGGCGAAGGAGTATACACCGTCTACGTGGCCAGGCTCGAAATCGCCGAGGAAGGGCTGCGCAAACATGCGCTCGACTTTGGTCGCATTGAGGGCTCTAGTGTATTCTCGCGCACGTTCAAACGGATGGAGGTTGGGGTCGAGGTTTCTCGTGACTTTGGCGACGCTGGAGCCGGGGGCCTGGGTGGACGCCGTGGACCGGCTGAGTGCCTTGATCTTCATGGTGGTGGTTGTCCAGCTCTGTCGACTGGCTGTCGCGAACTTTGCGGGTCTTCAAGATTTCCTAGAGGCTGCGGCGGGGCCAGCCAACCAGCGTGTTTGGCGCTAAGAATTATAGTGGGGCGGCGCCGGCCAAACTCATCGGATCAAGCGACATGCCACACACCATTTTTGCTCTGGCGACAACCTCGAACTCCAGGACCAAGAACCCCATCACTAACCCGGACAACAGCCAAAATGAAGTTGTGAGTGCCCCGATGCTGCACACGATTCTCTCTGCGATACAAATTGGCGCCCCGCGATGCTCCCGGAAATGCGCAGCGGGACGCCAATAATCGCACCCTGGAAAGTCCACAACATGCGACAGAACAGCTGCTAACATTCCGCCAGCCTCAAGGTCGGACGCGTTGTCGTACGTTTGAATCGCTCGAAACACCCCCATCGCACTCACTCACAGTCCGCCTAGATCATCACCCGGGGCCGCTACGCCGGAAAGAAGTGCGTGATCATCTCACCACTTGACAACGGCACCAAGTCGCACCCCTTCCCCCACGCTCTCGTTGCCGGTATCGAGACCTACCCCTCCAAGGTCACCCGCCGCATGTCAAAGACCAAGCAGGCCAAGAAGAGCAAGGTCAAGCCTTTCGTCAAGCAGGTTAACTGTACGTGGATATGAGGACGCAGTCGCTGGGCAGACGCTGATAGACGCAGACACCCACATTATGCCCACCCGCTACACCATCGAGCTCGAGAACCTCAAGGGCGTCATCTCCGCCGACACATTCAAGGAGGTCTCGCAACGGGAGGAGGCCAAGAAGACCGTCAAGAAGGCATTCGAGGAGCGATACCAGTCCGGAAAGAACAGGTGGTTCTTCACTCCCTTACAGTTCTAAGCTTTCCTTCGGTTACGGCTGGGCGCAGATGGGCATGATTTGATACGGAAGATGCTGCATGAGCGGTGGATATCATAGGATGACAGGACCTCACAACCGGCCTGCCGTCCAGGCGTGTATTTCGGCTTGATAATCAAAGCATGAAAAATCCGGCATCCGCTCAAGGCATCCGGCTCAATTCACGAACTTCATGAAATGAACATGATTTTCACGTTGGCCTCCGTCTACTACTGGATGATACTGATGATGTAGTGAGGCTCATGCTGACAGTGCAGGATTAGAACGACTATAGCATTGCCAAAGCGAAACAACGAGCCGATGCAGGACACCACGACCCGAGCGCCCCGTATTGCTGCCTTCACGTGCAACGATGTAATGAAGCAGACGGCCTCGGTCCCGTCAACGAAGAAGCCGTCTAGGCCCTTGCTGGTTGGGACTACATACTGACACAGTGCACAGTAGAGACGAATCGATCGAACAGAAGGGATATCGTGTCATTAACCGGTCTATCTTATAAGAAAAGGTGCGCAGACAGGCACAAGAAAGTTACTCGACATTATATCGACAAGCCATACTGATAGACGCCCCTTCGCCTTTGCTTTTTCGATCAGCGAGCCCTAATCACCTCGCTTGTCATCGTACAAACACTCCGAGATACCCTGCATATCATAGACGCACTCTACTGCTTAACCTCATCAACCTTCTTCTTCGTCTGCTCCTTGCCCTTGTTCAGGTATCCCAACACAACGTCGCACGCATCGCTCACCATCCTGAGCTCGAAGCTGACTGTCGCAACACCCATCTTGACAACACCGTTGTTGTAATGCGTCTTCTTGTACTCGTCTTCCCAGGTGCTTCGCACATATGTGACGGGCGAGAACGCGTACTCCTTGAGTTTTGAAGTATCTTCCTTGACGATGGGCAGGTGTGTCTCGAGGGTGGAGAGGCCAGAGTCACCAAGCTGGTCGGCGCGCGCCAGGTAGGGCGAGAGGTAAGAGTATGGTGTGCGCAGGTAGGGGTGGAAGGGTGCAACGACCGAGTTGTAGGTATTGCTGGCGAGGTTGAGGGCGCGCGAGCCGTAGGGGTTGGATTTGAAGGTCTCGACGCTGTCGTGGACTACGGGGTAGGAGTTGAGGTGCTAGAGGTTGTTAGTCTCATGCTCGTCTATCGAATCTCAAAGTATGTAGTTGCGGAAGTTTCCACGGAAGCTTTTCGGACGGCTTCCGCGAAGTAGGGTTCATGCTGTAAGAAGGTTCGCGGAATACTAGGTTGATTGGCTGAGCCGTAAGCTCCGCGCCTGCATCGTGGGTTTCGTGCGCCGTGTTACTGGTCCGAGTAGATTGCGGTTCCCAGGTGCTCGAAACCCCACGACGGATCGTTATCAATGCTAGATCGCAGCGAAGTGATCCGTGATGTCTGTGAAGAGACGTGTTTGCGGGTGTGATGAAAGAGAAGAAAAGTAAGTAGTACATACCGAAAGAGCCTTTGAGCTGGGCGTCTCGCCGTTCGTCATAGGCGCCTGGGAGCTCATGTTGTTGCCGTCGTCAGTTGCGTGTGGTGCCATTAATCGTTGTAGTAGATATGCAGTGTTGCAGGTCCTACTGTGGTGGAAGAAGAACTGTTGAGTTGCGAGGCAGTGGAGGAGTAGCAGTAACGTAGAGCAAGAGAGAAAAGGGTCTTGGTCGACCTTATTATACGGCTGTGCGCTATGATGTGACTGTATTTGGTTGGGAGGCTTTGCTGAAAAGGGCGTGGTTCAGTGGGCTGGGGTGAAGCAGATGCAGTGGCATGTGAAAGTGGCTATTGTCGACAAGCGCCATGTCAATCTACGCGGGGACCTACCAAAACGTCACTACCCAAAGTGAACTTCTGGCCTCGCATCTCGTCTTGGATGTTGAGACTCAGCGTGCGGAGTCGATGCAAGCCAGCTGTTACACAAGGCAAGCCGCGACATGGTTTCTTCATGTCTGCCCCGCGTCTCGAACTCTATCTCGCGCATGTAGAGCGTTGGGGAGTTGGGATGCAGGGCGTACAGCTTTCGCCTGGCATGTGAAAGACGCGACGCTTTGACCACTCACGACGCGGCGACGTCAGATAAGGTCGGCCACGCCCCTCTCCTGTTGGCGAAATATTCAAACAGCTTGGCCAGCCCTGTATACACGCATATGTCGGCCTTGCATTGCTTGTCCTATCGGTCGCGTCTTGACGATACGGTGCATCGACTCCGCTTGCGCGTCAGCTATCGCGGAAGGTCCAATTGCTTGCCGGAAACCTACCATGGATCGGTTGGCATCGTGCATGGCAGCTAGTAGTCCTTGCCTCGCAATTGGGTTCTCTTATCACGTCGACAATTCCAGCGCTGCCATTGAACGGTGGCGGGAACTGGCTCCGTCATACGTGCCCCATAGATACCTCCTGTGCATGAGCAGGATTGCAGGACAGCGCGCGTCTCGATATCAATACGGTGGAACGTGTTGAGGCCGTTCTGGGTCCTAGATCAGAGTAGAAACCTTCAAAGCATGTGAAAGTGGATGACGAGGTTTGGCGTGTTGCTAGAGCGCACGAATCGTGTTTTGGCGAGCATGCTGAGGGCGCTTACTCATCGGGCGCCGATGCGGAGCTTGCATGTCACGCGTTGCGGCTCAAGCTCGCCAGGAAACTCCTTTCGCCTCTATTTTTCAACGGCTTGGCTATCACGAGTCACAACGCCTTTGATCAGCTGCTACCGAGCCCCGATGGAACCGCGGCATGCATGTTCCTCCGAACCTCGATAATCGGCATTCCTACTTCAGCAGGTGGGCCCACAGGGAAGGATGCGATAAAGATGGCACGCCACTTTTCATCACAACGGCCGCTTTCACGTGCTTATGCAGTGTGGCAGATCGACAGGCTAAGCGAGGACGGTTCATCGATGATCGCTGTCGTTTGTTGAGGCTAGTTTGACGACATGCGTCCTTGTGGATAAGGAGATACCCGCAGAGACTGTTGCGCAAGACGGCAGCTACCCGTCAGCGAGTCGTACGGTAGGGCGCATACCGATAGCAGCTGGTCGGCAGCTATTATCCTCTTCGGAAGTGGGATGATCTGCTGGGTCATCAGGGCTTGGCTTACTTCTACCAAGATGCAGGGCGGTGCCATAAACTGCGTATCTTAGGACGCATTCTATTGCCTTGATTAGCCCAAGACTACACAGCACATATCGGCTCGAACGTCGTCACAGACTGTGATAGATATCAAAAGATGATAAGAGCAGGATAAGTACCGGCCTCGGGTCTGCTTTTGGGCATTCGGGCATGATTAAGCTACTCGACTGTTGGTAGTTACCGATCTTGCGACTCTTGCTGGTCCCACATCCTCCGGAACTGCCCGTCCGGTTTCTGAAGGAGTTCATGCGGGTGCCCAGACTCAATCAGGCGCCCCGCGTCCAAAACTACAATCATGTCAAAGTCGACAATGGTAGCGAGCCGATGCGCAACCGCTATAACTGTGCTGCCCTCGAACTCGCTTTGCACAAGGTCAAGAATCGCCTTCTCGGACGAAGAATCCATGTAGGAGGTCATCTCATCCACCAGTAGGATATTGCTCGGGCGTAAAAGTGCCCTAGCAACAGCAAATAGCTGCAGTTCACCTTGAGACAGACCGATGTCGGCCATGTTGGTTTCAATACCACCCCGATCAGCGACGAGTGAAGCGAGACCGACTTTCTCCAAAGCCGAATTCATCTCGTCGACATTCCTCTTTTGCAAAGGGTCCATATTCTCCCTCATGGAACCAGGTATTATCAATGTCTCTTGAGGAATCGCCGTAAGGCGTTCCCGGAGTGAGCTTCGAGGAACAGTAGTAAGATCAACATGGTCGATGAAAATACTGCCACTGGGAATGTTTTCCAGCATGTGGAAGAACGAGAGCAGAAGAGATGATTTCCCACTTCCCGACCTGCCGCAGATGCCGACTTTGGCTCCTGGCGCAATACGAAGACTGATTCCGTGGAGAATATTCGGACCATCAGGGGTGTAAGTAGCGCGCAAGTCTTGGATGATAATCTTTCCTTCTGCCGGCCAGTCTTGATTCGGTTTCGCCATTCCCTGGGGCAGTTGCTCGTCTGGTGTTGTTCTTTCAAAAATTTGACAACGAAAGACGGCACTGGCAGACGTCTCGATCGTCGTCCACGCGACTACGAAAGTAGAGAGTTGACCGTTAAACCCCAAGATGTTGAGCAAGGCTAAACCTAGAGAACTCGCAGATGATGTTGACGGTATGCTGACAGCTAGGGCGACAACGACGGTGGCGATAATGGCTGTCAGAAGGTCCAGCATGAGGCTTAGCCATCTTTGAATACACAGCAGAAGGTAGTGCGGGCGTTGAGAACGGTCCAACAGGCTGATGAATTTCCGATGGGAAGCAGATTGCCATCCAAAGGCGTGAATAGTCGAAACGCCATACATCGTCTCTTGAATTGCGTCAACCAAAGGTGCCTGTGTTTCAAGATCCATGTGGCGCAGCTGGCGCGATGTGCGAAGGTAGAATCGCTGTAAGAGATAAACAGTCGCAAGCAGGAATGGTAGAGTGGCACTGGCGTAGCTCGATCCAGCCAGTATCAACGCCGCGCTGCCCAAGACCATCGTCAGGCTCTCCGAAGCTTGCAAGATAGGACCGGCAGCGGCGCTCTCGATCAACGTCATGTCATTGGAGAAGCGATTCACTATCGACCCCAGATTCGTCTTGAAGAAGAACCAGTATGGAGCGTTCATCACGCTTTTCAAGATCCGTCGGTGGAGATGTGCTGATGAGTGAGGTACAGCCCAGACGAGGATGGTCCAGAATTTGGCAAAATCGAACAGCAATGCGAGGAGCGCGAACGCAATATGCCAACCGATCCAGTATCCCAGAGAGTGTCGCGGTGCTTCTGCATCAGACCACCACCGAACCCAGATCTCCATAAACTTCCAGAAAAACCCTGCCAACAACGTTGCGGCGAGGAACAGAAGAGATAGTCTCGATCCGAATGATCTGAACCAGTATGCATAGGTCGAGAGCTCTCCGATCCGGCGTGCAGAAGGAGACTCTAGAGCATCGTCTGACTCGCCGACCGGATTCGTCGGAATCTGAACAGCATCATTTGGCTCTTCGGACATATTGCCTGCGTTCTCTTCCCGAAGCTCGATGGTATGGAGAAAACTGTTCGGATTGCTTATCAGCTTCTCGAACGACCCTTGCTCAGCGATTCTGCCGTCACTTCCTAAGACGACTATCCGATCAGCACGCTGGACAAAATACGTAGCGGTATGAGTGGTCATGAGGACTGTAAGACCATGCCGCTTGGCTATGCCGGAGGGGCCGAAGACAGATCCAGCAATATGTTTGAGGGATTTAATGTCCAGCCCACTGAAGATGTCATCCAGCACCAACACTGGGATTCGCGAATACAGCGCTCTTGCGAGGGCAAGGCGTTGTTTCTGTCCGCCACTTAGTGACATCCCTTTGTTACCTACTTTTGTGTTCTCTCCGGCCGGGAATCGGGCCATATCGATCGACAATGCGCATGCGTTCACGACCGTGGTGTACCAAGCTGGGTCATAATCTGACTCCCCAATGATGATGTTCCGAATCGAGTCGTTTGGCAGCCAGGGTTCTTGAGAACAGAAGGCGAATGAGTGGAAATCTTTCGAAATGGTACGACTGCCAGCATTCAGCTTCATGTCGCCGACCACAGCGCGACCTAGAGTCGACTTCCCACTTCCAACTGGCCCAAGTACGAGAGTGAAAGACTCTTTTTGCAGATCCAGGGAGATGTCCTGAAGGATGGGGCGTTGAGGATTGTCACCAGCGTATACTGCCGCATCGGTCAGACTGACGCCATTTGGAACCATCGCCATCACCTCAATGGATGGGGAAGCACTATCTAGGACAAACGAGGGCTCAGCGTCATTGCCGTCGTCGCCAAGCAGAAAATACTGAATGCGGAAAAGGCTCGTGTGAACCAGCTGGAGGTCAATGATGGCCCAGACCACCTCTTGTATTGGCGCGGACAGAAGCGAGACCAACGACAAAGTACTGAACGCCACACTTGGGGTCAGCTTGTCGCCGCCATTGATCAAAGTAAACACCATCAAGGTAAGAGTTGGCCCCAAGGCATTGGGCACTGAGGCGAGTGTTTCCCTAACTGCAACAAATTTCCGGTATCCAGCATAGTCAGCAAGTTCTTTGACTCTTAGCTTTTGAATCTGTTTCGAGAGGAACTCAGTCAACCCCAGCATCTTGAAGCCTTTGGAGCAACCGAGTACTGCAGTCGTGTATGCAACGCGTCGCTGGATGGCATCGAGCCAAATTCTCTGCATCGGCAGGCCTCGCTTACTATTGAGAGCACTGATGATGGGCACTGCGACCCCTACAGCGATTGGAGCAACGCAAGAAACACCGCTTTGACGAGCTAGCAAGGCCGCGACACCGATGATTTCGAACGGGGCAGCAAACATCTCCCCGACTCGCTGCAAGCTCATACCAATGCGCAACACGTCGGTGCTTACTAGCGTGAGCATATTTCCATCTGAGAGCTGGGTGTTGGAAAGGGCCAAGCTCCGCGAATGCAATGCGGAAACAAGGATCCCGCGCAGCGTGGTGAGAAATCGGTCGGCCTGCCTTCTGTACGTTACAGTCAAGAGGGCCATAACCAGGTAGATTAGCATCGTCGCGGCAATCAAGCCTTTCCCGGTATCATGGTCTCGCGAGGTAGCACCAAGCCATTTTGTTATTCTGTCAATCAGAAGAGGCTGGGTGAGCTTCATAACGCTGAGACAGAGACGTGGCAATATAGTCGCAAGTAGACTCCACTTGGTTGTCAAGACCATAGCTTGCAAGAGAGGGCGCCTTTTGATGTTGTATCCACCTAATCGCTTCGTCAGAACGGGCTGAGAAGATATGGAAGTTTGGCTTACGGAAGCGTGACCAATGTTGCATGAATCGCTCTTCCACTGATTCAGACAGCAGACTTTCATCGATAGCGTACAGGTCCTCGAACCTGATATTCTTCCGATACGCGAGGAGAAAGAGTGGACCAAGCCACCAAAGCACAGTGCGCTCGAAGACATTTGCAAGTGCCTCGGGCGCATGGGCTCGATATGGGGGAAGTAGCCATGGTCTCTTAGACCTCGCTTCGAGGAAGAGTATGACAATTTTGATGGCCAGGCAAGCGGTGAAAGTGGCTGCGACAGCTGTGTCTGAGCGGTGACGCAGCCACAAAGTACGAGCTTGTGGCACATCTAAGATTATGGAGATGAGGATGAAGACGCTGATGATGTCGCTGGGTCTCGCTGAGCGCGTGTGCTCAACGGAAGAGAGCCAAAGTAGACCCAAGCAAGCGAGGAAGGACAAGCTTGCCGCTGCCACAGCGGTTCGACTAACACTCTTAGAAAGGGCCCAGGAAATCAGTAGAGCGCATTGACTCAGAGCTAAGAATGATATGATGGCTTGTTTGCCGACGCGCGTCCATGACCTTGCGCATTTCGCTTCTTGTTGTCGCAATTGAGAAGCTCTGATGGGGAGAGCGAAAAGGAGTAGAGCACACGGCGCAATCTGAAAGAAGCTCTGTTCGAAAACTAGTGTGAAGTCGAAGTTGTCGCAATACTGAGGACCGAAGCTATCGTCAGAGACGAGAGAGCAATTCATGATGGAGTCCGCGTACTTGGCAATGACTATGCAAAGACAAAAGCTGAAGGACCACACGGAATAGTCTGCGGATCAAGACAGCACGTGGTAACAAGGCGTTAAACTAATTAGAGAAAATGGTAGGACAATGCCGCAACAGCTGCACGCTATCACATAAGCGAAATCCTACACTAGCTGGAAGCGATATATGAAGATAAGAGAAGAGTGACATGCCTTGATTGTCAAGTCCTAGGCTGCCACCCCAAAGTGGACTTACCAACGGAGATAAACACCGGCTCATCACTATCGTGACTTAATAGCGATTCATCTCTAGTCTTCCATGACAACTCATCTGGCGATCTTGTCTCATTTCGCATCCAGTATAGTATCATATCGTATTGTTTGGCATTGATCTTTGCAGGAATGACGACATGGGTGTTACAAAACGGCTGCCTAATCCCAATCTCGCGATGCGGGGTAAGGTTCTTTCATGCGAACAATGAACCTGAACACAAGGGGACCGAGGGCTCAAACCGCACATGAACATGAGCTAATGCTATTTGGCTGTTCATTCCATGTTAAATGTGTGCTACAAGTTATCGAGATGAGCCCTAGTGACGACAGTGAGTATTCATCTATTAATTACTACCTAGGTATCGCAAGAAGCACACTCGAAGCCTTGGGCTCTTCTTCAGGATCAACTTATTGCCAGGTTATGCAACTGACTTCCCGACAGTCAATCGGTACTTGGCACTCTAGAAAAAGTAGTTCCGTGCTGGTTCGGATGGACCAGGTCGCACAATCCTGAGAAACCATCGCCAACATGGCTTTAGAGGATGCGTCACTATGTACCGTGTGTCAGAGAGCTTTCGATATTCCAGAAGAATCTGGTGAAGAGTACAAATCGGTTACTTACGATCTACAATGCATTGTTGATGCAGCTACAAAGGGTTGCCGCATTTGTATTTGCCACCAACACACACTCGAGACGAAATACGGCTCTATCAAGAATTTAGAGCTCAATAGCAGCCTAGATGTGACTGCACAAAATCCATACTTTGTTCCAGGAGTCTTTCGTATCTACCCGAAAGATGATAAGAAAAATACGTCGCATTATCTGTACATGGAACACAACGCTCCGAATAAAGGCTTCACGGTACCGACAAGCCTCATGGCGCGACACACAAAAGACCAGATATGTCTCGACCAGGCGTCGAAATGGCTGCAGCACTGTTTGGGGAGTCATGAACGATGTGGGAAGGCAAGACTGACCCACACTTACGCCACGTTTCCTGCGCGTCTACTGGAACTAGGAAAAGGCTACGTGCGGCTTGTTCCAAAAGATGACATCGATGATGTTGGAAGTGCGCACTACGTAACGCTGAGTCATAGATGGCAAGCCAGCATAACGCCGAAGCTCTTGCGAGATAACATTTCGACGATGCAACGAGGAATTGACCAGGAGGCCTTACCACGAACCTTTCAAGATGCCATCTTCCTCGTTAGAGAACTGGGTATCAAATATCTCTGGGTAGATGCGCTATGTATCATTCAAGACGACGTCGCCGATGTACATCGCGAGATTGGTCTAATGGGGAAGATTTACCAAGGCGCGCTGTTGAATATTGGCGGCCTTTTGGATCAAGGAACGACGAAGGAAACGGGGGTTGGCTTATTCACGACGCGCGATCCAAGGCAACATACGCCTTTCGCCGTGAATATTAGATGGCTTGGTAAAGACTTGCAGCTTCGTGTCTACGGGTCGGCCGCATTTGAAGAGATTGCAAAGGCCCCACTCATGGGCCGCGGATGGGTATTGCAAGAGCGCTTACTTAGTCCAAGGTCACTCTACTTCGGAGAACAGATACATTGGGAATGTACCGAAAGCTCGGCATGTGAGTCCTTTCCGGAGAAGAAGGCACAGCCTTTCTTTAGCTTTCCGAGGTTTGGACATTCTGTTCCTCTTCGCATTACCACACTACTCGAAGAGAACGTTCCATTTCGAGGAGGAGAACACGAAAAATCTGATGTGTATCGAAGCTGGATGCAAATCGTTGAATGGTTCTCAAACTGCAAATTATCTTTCGGGGGGGATTGTTTCCCTGCCTTGTCGGGCCTTCAGCGTCAATTTGAAGAGGTGCTCCAAGATGAATATCTGGTAGGGATGTGGCGGAGGGATATAATAAATGAGCTTGGATGGTTTGTAAAGCACGATATCCATGAGTGCGCGTTTGAAGTCTTCCCAGAGAAATACAGAGGTAATATCACCAAGCAGTAGCCGATCCCACTTTTGACTTACAAGAACAGCACCATCTTGGTCATGGGCGTCGGTTGTCATTCCAGTGGCGTTTCCGATGCATTGGGACTCAAATGAATCTTCATACTCAGAGAGGACTATCGCCAATGTCGAGTCTATCGAGATGAAACAGGACGATAAATTAAACTCAGGCAACATATCCAGCGGTAGGTTACGAATCTCTGGCCACATGGTACGGAGCAGTGAAAGACTGTGCGAGAGAAAGCCCCTGGTCGTCGACTCTTTTCCCTCCAGCTACGAAGTTTACGATGCCGGATACACTGCAGATGCGCTCCGGTCCTCCAGCGGCAGCTTTCATTTCATCCTCCATCACTACGATACGACATTCGGAACTTTGCGCAGAATGGATGAAGTCAGAGTGCTGCTAGGATTGATCGTCGAATGTATAGACCAGCGGTTGCAACTTTATCGGAGGATTGGCATGTTCAGGCATTGCTTGGGGTGCAGTGACGAACCCTGCGAGTACCATGAGTTCGATGACTGGGACCCGTCTAGAAGCGAGCGCCACACGATCACAATTGTGTAACATCGTTAAACACGTTTCGCGCATATTAATTGAGCCGATTGTTTGGGCCTTGCTATAAAGAAAACACTGATGACATCGGTGGCACACAGATGGCCTCTTAATAGTGATTGAAAGGCTCATAGGCATCATCGTCGAACCAGTTGACGAAGACAGAACAACGTGGCGCAGAATCGGTGCGTTCGATCATCCTCGTGGTGATGGGTGGATGAAGCTGGACTACAATCCAGGCTATCCCGAATTTCATGACTGGGACCCAAAGAATGACGAGAGGCATACAATCACGATCATCTAGACGTCTTGCTCTCATACAACCAAATCCCGATGTACCTTGCTTTGCCAGTAGATATTATAACTGAAGTCAGCCATCGAAAGCAGGCTAGCGTGAATATGAACACTTTTGCCATTTCACAATGCAAACATGCTAAACTACATCGATATTAATCCACCTTTTTCCCAAACGCCCAAACCATGCTCAGAAATACATGACTCATAGTAACGTACAAGCAAGCAAGCCCAACGACGCCTAATCGCTACTCCGCCTATGCTTCTTACTCTTCTTCTCCTTCTTCTTCTTCGGTGACTCTTGAACGACCTCTTCCTCCTCCTCAACAGCATCCACATCCTGCATCTCCACATCATTCATCTGGATATCGCCATCGACGTCTTCATCCTCCTCTTCTTCTTCCTCATCCTCGGACTCCGAGTCGGAATCGCGCTTCTCGCGAACACCGTTAGAGATAGCTTCGTTGACCTCCTCTGCGACGTTCTTGAGCGGATCCCGGATCTTGACCGGCGCAAGTACGTCAAACGCACCCGTACCGATACCACCTAGTCTACCGACGACAATACGGGCGCTGGGGTTCTTGAGCTCGTCCCAGTCGCGCTCCATGACGGCGTCCTTGAGGAAACCGACGGTGGTTTCGAAACTCATCTTCATGAAGGGACTGACGTTGCCCTTCATGCCGATGCGGTTGAAAGGTGTGAAGCCGCCGCCCTTAGTCATGGTGTCGGCGATGAGGTTGAGATGGCGTTGGTCGACGGAGATACCGTGACCGGAGAAGACGCCGTGCATTTCTTTGACGATGGTCGCGCGGGCGGCTTCCACACCGTAGAGGTGCAGCATAGCTACGATGTCGTTGGTCATGGTGCGGTTCACGTCGATAATGTGGGCGTACTCGCGCATGGCGATCAGGTTAGAACCTTCGGTATTAATAACACTGTCTGCATCTGAGTATTGAGCGGCAGTGATACCGGGGATGACGTGGATGGTGGCGAAGTTGGCAGCATCTTCTACGTGGTGCAGCATGAGCAGCTTGGGAGTCGAGGCGAGGAACTCCAGGGTAATCTCGCAGAAAGCTCCCTTGCGGTCGTCAAAGGTGAAGTCACAGATGTCATCGTTCTTGTGGCAGATGCGGTCGTGGCGGATATCAGAGGATTCGTCAGTGGGTACGAGTATACCCTCATCCTCGTCATCAGAGTTGAGTTCAGGGGTAGCTGCGCGCGAGGGCTTGGGGCTGCCACCGTAGGTCTCGTCCTCGTCGTTGACCTCGTCTTCTCGATCAAGGTTGTCATTGACCGCCTGTTCCTCCTCTTCTGGCTCTTCGTAAGCTACGCTGTCTTCACGTCGGCCTCGGTCCTTGGCGTGGGTAGTATCGTTGTCACCCTCTCCGTCGTCACTGTCATCGTCCTCTGCACCGCCTTCCCGTCCGGCGCGGAAGGTCTCCTCTGACTCGTCGACTGTTTGCTCTCCGCTTCTACCAGTCTTCTCGCCAATAGTTGGGATGGCAGCCGACTTCGCCGTTGACAAGGATTTGTTCGCAGCCTTCTTCTTGAGGTCGGCCTTGACGATCTTCTGGAGACGCGGGCAGAACTTCTGCTCGATGGACTCGGCAACGTCGCGAACCTTGATAGCGTACTCCTTGGTGTACTCCTTCGCTGGGTAGAAGTCAAGGCGGATCTTGTAGCTCCTGGCCTGACTATGTTCGCGGCCGGGACCAGTGGTCTCAGTCACAGTGACCTTGTCGAGCACAGCCGAGAGCGGCAAACGACTGATACTCTTGGCGAATTTCTCGTTGTCTGATTTGGATAGCTCGGGATGGGGGTATAGTTGCATCGACGGAGTGGAGATGTTCGCACTAGCAGTCATGACGATTTCACGAAGACGCGGGATACCGAGTGTGACGTTCTTCGCGGAGTGACCAGCCAAATGGAAAGTGTTCAGCGTCATTTGTGTTGAGGGCTCACCAATGGACTGGCCAGCAACAACACCGACAGCCTCGCCAGGCTCGACGAGGGACCGCAGGTACTTGAGGTCAAGCATTTGCTCAAAGGTACGCTTGAGGATCTCGCCCTCTTCGTCTTTCTTCTTGTTCTTAAGCAGCTTGTCGGGGTTTTGGTCACAGTACTATGATTATTAGCATCTTATGGTTAATCGGGATGAAGTAACTTACGTCACGCTTAGCCTGCAAGAACAATTCCGAAGTACTACCGCTATGCCTTGATGGCGTGTAAACTGCAGTGACAGGATCCATTGCGGCTACATCACCCTTCCTAGCCTTCTTCGCCGCCTTCTTGTTGTGCTCAACCGCTTCAGCACTGGAAACCTTCGGGTAGGCTTCAGCAGTGTGGAGGGACTGGGCTAGCGAGTAGAAGTTCTCGGCCTGGAATTTGAAGTCGTTGAGGTACTTCTGTTTGGTTGTGTCGAGCCCGTCTTCACCGTATAAGAATTGGACCATGGTACCATCTGAGTCGCGGACTGAAGTGTCGTATTCGACCTTGAGACCTTCCATACCCTTGATGATACATCTTTGCAGATAACCGGAGCGAGAAGTCTTGACAGCGGTATCAATGAGACCTTCTCGACCAGCCATCATATGGAAGTAGTACTCTTGTGGCCGGATACCAGTCAAAAAACGGTTGACAATGTAACCACCGGCGCGTACGCTCGTCTCGAAGGGCTTGAAACATGGCAGTGTCTTACCAGAAATCATGACTGGAACTCTTCGACCTTCCAGAACTTGCTGACCGAGGTTACATGAAATCTGGTTGGCGTTGACCATACTACCCTTGGCTCCTGAGCCTGTCATGGCTTGCATTTGGTTCTTGGGGAATGGCTTGATGAGCTTATCAGGTAAGCAGGCCGAGGTGACCGCAGAGGAAATCTTGCCGTTGGCAGTGTTGGTGAGCAGATCCAGACCGTGCTGCTTGGTGTCGTCTCGCAACACGGATTCGAGTCGTCGCCGTAACTCTGGGTTCATAGGGTCGATCTTCTCCGCATCCATGGTGACGTACTTGGAGGCCACCTCAAATCCAACTTTCTCTGCCTTACGGAGCTCTTCCAACCTGGCACGGTCTCCTTCCTCTGTGAGAATCAGATCCTGAACACCGCAAGAAAAGGCACGCATATGAAGCATCTTGGTAAGCAGCCGTCCGATGATACTGAGGGCTCGACCAGCAATCGTCTCTCCATAAGCCTCGTAAATGCCGTTGATGAGACCACCCGCGGCAGGTCCAATTTGACCCTTATCCATGATACCGGAAAGTAATTGGCCATCCTTGACAATGACGAACTGCTCCTCGACGTGGACACCCCAGAGTTTGCCATTCGTTGACGACTTGGATGTGAGCGTTAGTTCCTGGTATTCTGCGGGCTTGATGTTCTTCAAAACAGTGGTGATGATTTGCTTTCCTGTCCACATCGGCCGAGGCTTCATGATAGCAGGGTTAACTGTCTCAAGTCTGCCTGAGGTGGTATGGCCGTCTTCCGGTCGCAGGCAAGAGTAGAGTAGTTGATGGTACTCTTCTCTTGTGAAGAATGTGTCCTTGTTCGAAAGCCAGACTCCCATGGAGATATGATCTTGAATCAAACCACGCAGAGGCTTTCCAGCAGTCGCAGATAGGTATTGATGATCGGTATCCGCTACCGTCATAGCCTCTGCTCGGGCAAGCTCATTCTGGGGGAAATGCATGTTCATCTCGTCACCGTCAAAATCGGCATTGTATGTGTTACAGTTGGCATAGTGCATGCGAATGGTCTTCTCTCCCGGTAATACACGGGCGCGATGTGCCATCATTGACGGCTTGTGCAGTGTCGGCTGTCGGTTCATGATAACAACATCGCCGTTGTTCAGATGACGATGCACCTTCTTATTCCGAGCTCCATTGGAGTATGAATTTGTGGGTGCAAGCAGTTGGTTGGCCAAAGCTAGTCGCTCTTCGTAGTTCTTCTTCTTCAGTGACACTACTTGTCCAAACTCGTTCTCGATGGCATGCGCTCCTGGCCACTTGTCGGGACCGTTCAGGACAGCTTCCTTGAGATCGTAGAAGTTGTGGTTCGTGACAGGCTCTGGGTATGTAAGTTTCATGGCGAACACTGGAGGGACACCAATCTCGTTGGTCTCGATGTTCGGGTCAGGCGAGATGACACTGCGCGCCGCGAAGTTGACACGCTTGCCCATCATGTTCTTTCGGAAGAGACCCTCCTTCTTTTCTAGACCCTGCTTGATACCATCGGCGTTTGTGACTGCAGCGCGGCCTTGTACGGGGTTTGCATCGCGATCGATGAGGGCGTTCACGGCACCCTGGAGGTTGACAAACTGGGTCTGCATGTCGTCGAAGTTACGTTTCCGGTATCCGAGCTCGTTCTCCATGCCTTGCATCTCCTGGCTAATCTGGCGGATTGTGTCGCATGCTTCGAGAATGCTCTTGTAGAGCTTGTTCCTGGCGGATTCGGCAATAGAGTCGCCCGTCTTATCTTCGGGTCTGTACTTGTTGGGTGGTACGACGATGGCCTGTGTGAAGAACATGTCGGGGTTTACGTCCACGAGAGACTTGGTTCCGTGAGGGCTGTACAGAAGTCGCATCATCTCAGTCTCGCTCTCGAAGAGTAGGGTCAAGGCTGCCTTGACCTCTGTCGCGTTGATGTACTCTTGCGCACTCTCCGAAACAGCGGATGATGACTTCGCTTTCCGTGCCATGCGCGATTCTGTAGCGAGGAGCGACCCGTCGGCCTGTTGTATGTCCTCCATCTCAATGCCTTCGTCTTCACTCGAGTTGGGATCCAGGTCTGCCACACCCTCATCAGCGTGTACGTGTTGCTTCTTCGCCTTCGCATCCCTGCGAGCCAGGATGTCCAGAGGGTTCTGTATGACCATCTCCTTCTGCGCCATCTTGGCCTTGTCCTTCTCGCTCAAAGGCTTCCGGAAAATCTTGATGCCGCGGTCCTTTCGGTATGTTGGACTGATGCCCTGGCAACTGCCGCAGGTCTTGCGCTTGGTGAGATCTGCATAGAAGTCCTTGATGACTTGTCGCCGCGCATCGGAGATGGTCTCGTTCTTGTCGCGGATAGCACGCGCATCGTGCTTTGTAATGCCTGCCCTCTTCATGCAGCGCTTTACGTAGTTGTTGCGCTGGGTGATGATGTCGGCATTGTCGTCGTCATCGTCATCCTCCGAGTTGTTGGCTTCTTGTGTCGTCTTGCCCTTGTCCATGTTGATGTGCTCGTGCATTTCGTTGGCTTCTTTTACCAGCCCACATCTTATCAACCGCAGCTTGGAGACGAATTCGTTGACCTGGACGCGGGCGAGCTTGAGCTGGTGGCAATATGCGCACTTGCCCCGCAGCAGTCGCAGCAGCTGGTCCATGAATGTGAGGTGGTATACGGGTACGGGGAGCTCGATATGGCCGCAGTGGCCGGGGCAGCCTTGGAAGCTGGTGAGACCGCATGTTCCGCATCTTGAAGTTTGTTAGCGGAGTGAATGGAGCTTGTAGAAACGCGATGGAGCTCACGCATTGTCCAAGAAAGCGCCCAAAGCAGCATCGTGTAGGCCGCCAGGTACCGGGTGCAGCAGCGTATCGAAGGTGGTCGGGTTCGTGATGCGCTTCACCGAGAGCGACTTGATGTCGTTTGTCGTCAAGAAGCCAAACTCGACGCCATTAATGGCCGAGGAAGTTGGCTGGTGGGTGTTCATGGCGGCGCCAGCTTGTCTTTTGCGCCTATTGTCTGAAGAAATCGCGCGCAAAGGCGTCTAGTGAATGTTCGCAACAGCGCGAGCCTTGCGGGGAGTTTTTTTCGGGACCAGAGAAGTTCGACCAGGGTTTAGCCGGCAGTGCCAAGGCGCTTGTCGAGGCGGCAGCGCGGATTTCGCGTCACTCTGCAGCGACTGGCTTTCATCATCCACTACACCCCACCCGCCAGATTTGGGAGACTGTCGCCGGCTACATCCTACGCGCATCACATGTAGTGAATTGCGTTGATTATATACAGCGCTCCAGCGACGAGATTGCGCGACTACGACCAAACTTCACCCCCGGGCCTCCGCATACGCCAATCACACGACCGTCACTCCTTTATCCACCACATCCACCATGACCATGGCAGAGAAGCGCCCGTATCCCGATGGCCAGGGCCCGAATGGAGACGCTAAGCGCGCAAAGGCTTCCGATGCCATCGAAGCCGCAAGGGCGAAAGCCAAGGCAAAGGCCGCTGAGATCGCAGCCCGTTTTGCGAAGCAGCCCGCAGCTGCGGCTCCTCCACCGGCGTCGGCTGGCGCCAGCGAATCTGTCCAGGACAAGCTGGCTGCCATGAAGGCACGTATGGAAGCGCTCAAGGCCGGTTCAGGAATCGCGAAGGCGCCAACACCAGACTCCACCGGCCCTCGCTTTGCGACAACACTGGGCAACCGCCGCTCAGAGACACCCAAAATCGACCCCAAGGCCAAGCCCGCTGCCTCAAAGCAGAAGCAACAACAAGAGGAGGAGCTGGAGAACCCGTACTTTGACCCCAAGGCTGCCGCCCTTGCCAAGAAGAGAGGCCCTCGTGTCCTGGCTTTCAATGAGCATGGAAAGTACCTTGACCAGGCCTCTAAGCTGCGCGCGCAACGTCGCCTAGAAGAGATCAAGAAGACTCTCGCCATCCAAGCACGTCGCGCTGGTCTGGACGAGAATAGCGAGCGCGGATTCCTTGTTCAAGCACCTCCGGACATCGAATGGTGGGACGAGGGTATTCTGGCCGAGCCTACCTATGAATGCTTGGACGACCCGACCAAGGTCAAGGTTGAGACCGATGATTCAATCATCACTCTCTACGTCCAACATCCTCCCCTCCTGAAAGCGCCCCAGGATCAGCGTCTAGTCCAGGTGAAGCCCATGTATCTTACCACGAAGGAAACACAGAAGCTACGCAGAATGCGCCGTGCGGCCGACCTCAAGGAGCACCAAGCGAAGATCCGTCTCGGTCTGGAGCCGCCTCCGCCACCCAAGGTCAAGCGCGGAAACATGATGCGTGTTATGGGTGAGCAAGCTATCGCAGATCCTACTGCTGTAGAGATGCTCGTCGAGTCACAGATTCAGCAGCGTCACGACGACCACATCACTGCAAACGAAGACCGGAAGTTGACCAAGGAAGAGCGCGCGGCCAAGCTTGCAGCCAACCAAGAGAAAGACGCGCAGAAAGGTCTCTACATGTGCGTCTTCAAGATCAACACACTCGCCTACGGAAAACATCGTTTCCAGATCGACAACAATGCGAAAGAATATGCGCTCACCGGCATCACACTATTTAACCCCGATCTCAACTTGGTAGTTGTCGAAGGCGGCGCATACGCAATCAACAAGTACAAGAAACTCATGCTCCATCGCATCAAGTGGCATGAGAACGGACCACCAACAGAGAACCAGGCTGAGAAGCAAGCATCGGATCCAAAGTGGCTGAGGCCAGTTACCGATACCGGAGACGTCAAGGACCATTCATCCAACAAGTGTATCCTCATCTTCGAGGGTGAGATTAAAGAGCGCTCTTTCCGCAAGTGGGGTTCAAGAGTCTGCGAAACCGCTGGCGAGGCTCGCGAGACACTTGGAAGGGCTAAGCTTGACAGTCTGTGGGCGCTCGCCAAGAGCATGGAGTGAGCGCATCTTTCATCGCGACTTGACTATCTAGGATTACACTGCATACTTGGCGACCTGGGCCGACATCATTTCGGACGCATACCATTCAGGGCGTTCTTTTGAAAAGGCGAATTTTGGGAGGGCTTCTCTTCATGCTCAATGTAAGTTTACTCATAACTCCATAGTTTGGAATCTACGTATTAATGCACACTCTCTTGTTCCAGCCGCGCGATTGTGATGTTGCATATAGTCCACATCTACCCATGCCATGCCAGCCGAGCTACCACAGAGCCTACTGGCAATGCTCTCAAGACTGAGCCTCTAGAAACCTGCTTGGGTATAGTAAGTACAGTAGCATGCGACCTACACGTGATGTATTCGGCATAAGTCGAGGTAGATATGAGCGTAGGTGACTTCTCTGTACTCGGTCTTCTTCCAATGTCATCTCAAGCGTGTCTTCTATCCTCTCCATTTCATGCGTATGCGGCAACGTGCCCCTTGGAAATTTCTGTGAGCTGGATATCATGATCGTATGCTTTAGGTCGGAATTTTAGCCGCCTCGCTGCATGGCATACTGGTCGTAGTTGCAACGCCAGGCTGGGGTGCAGTTGCCAGATTGGGTGCCGCGAAGGCCTCCACGCTATCTCATGACGTGTCGTACGTCAGTAGTGGACAGTGAGGTAGTTACCTCGGTGGAAAGCATGCACGCATTTGATTCATTCTCAAGCAAAATAGTAACCCACCGTGGAGGCTACATTGGTTTACTTTCTTCCAGCGATGACCCGGTCAGTAGAGTGTGTCTGTCTTCAAGGTGTCTAGAAATTTCCTGTGTGAGATAAAAGTGCTATGAAGGATACAGGCTCACTTTCCAGATGCTCCACGTGTATGCTAAGTGCTCTTTCCTGTGCTGGGAGAAGGAAGGAGCTGGTCGCTAGCGGTAAACAATCGGAGGGGTATATGATGGTTGGGTGGCTTCGTCTTCATTTCTGTAGCATATTCTATCGTTAATATATTTTACCATTGTTTTCGAAGACTCCGCCGCTCACTTTGCAGTATTCTTAACAAGTATATCTTCAAAGGTCAGCCTTGGGTGTGGCTGTTCACTAGAGTTAGTTCCCCTCCATCTTCCCTTCACTCAATCTTTGCCCTTCACCCAATCTCTGAAGATTATTTACTAATCGCTCATCACATCTAGATCGCCTGCTGGGTGCTCGACCTAGTGGTAGCGACCGCTTCAAGGGCTTTGTGGAGGTACCTCCCACCTAGAGTCGGAGAGACCGGCCGCCTCAGCATTGACGCTTGCAAGGCGGTCATTGCGAAGGTAGCCTAGCTAGCGGGAGAGTCTCCACCGGCGGAGATACCAGGGAGAGGACCCGCGGCCCTTCGAGATATGGTCTGAGGATGCCCTTATGATCGACCGCGCGTTGCCGTTAAGATACGCCGGTCGTGCCTTTACGATTCCTCGACCCTCTACTCGCAAGCTACCACCGACCCCAGCAGAGACAGCCACACCCCGGGAAAAAAAGAGAACCCCCCAAAAGGATTCCCTTCGCCACGTTCCTCGCCTTGCCGTTGACATGGAGGCTTCTCACCAAGAGGGACGCCTATTTGTAAGCCTCATCGACATCTGCCATCCACTTAATTTCTAACATGGTGCGCAGCTTTCTCACGTTACCGACTCCTCATCAGTTCGACACCGGTCCGCCAAACCATGGTTCATCAACTCGGTACCCACCCACCGAACAGCCCTCTTTGCTTCAATATATAAAACGAACGGCTTATACCTCGATATGCCATACACACACAACCCTCTTGCCACACCGAAGCTATGTCACATAACGCTGGTTTCTGGGACAGCTTGACGTCCTTCTGTGGGTCCTTCTGTGTGATTCTTCGGCGAGAATTCCGCAACGCACCGAATTTGCACATCATACTGCTCCTTTGCACATCACCGGGATTGTTGTTGCTCACCTCAGAAGCTCTCAGGCACCATTTTCCGGGAACATATGCAGTCTGCTCCTGGGATAAGCCGGGCGAGATGCGAACATCGTATCCCGAGTGCCCGTTCAATCGACACGTCTTCGAAACACCTACGCACCGCGGCTGGCCAGCCTTCTACATCTTTGTCGGCGCCACGCTCCTATGCAGTCTCATCGCCTACCGTAACAGACTCCGACGTCTGCTGCAAGCCACATTCTGGCTCCACTTCCTCATCACCACCGTCATCCGGGTCCTGTCTACCTTCTCCGGCTGGACAACCCAACCCAACTGGTCAAGCTTGGTCTGGAACTCCAACTCCTTCGGCAAGATCTTCTGGCTATGGCCTCTAGTCGACAGCGGTTATTGGAGCTGGAGCTACCTCGGTTTCTACGACGATTACTACTTCCGCGAAGAGACCCGTACCGTGCACAACCGAAGCGGCGACCCAGTATGGACCTTCACGTCTGAAAAGACGGGCGGGGACCCAATCGACAAGCTCTACTTCCTCTACAGCCTCATCTTCCGGCCATGGCGCGACATTGCAGTTCGCTTGTCGTACATCCACCTCGTTGATAACGCAATCCACGTGTTCTGGTTCCGATACTTCCACATCGACGCTCCCTACACTGCTTACATCAACAACTCGGAGATCTTGACCGTTCTCCTCTTCGTCACTCTGGCTGTATACACTTACGCACGCATGCGGACGCACGTGTACTTTGACGACAACGTTACCGGTCCGCTTGTCGATATCAAAACCACAGTCCCTCTGCCCATTCGATCGGCTTCGCGCGACCTGTTTACCTTTGCTTCGCCGCATCATGTTTTTCGTACGTGCTCTGAGAAGCGTCAGGCGTTCATGATTGCCGTGTGTTTAATGACGACTGGGGCGCTGGCGACTTGGGAGTTGCATTTGGGGTTCAAGATCTTGTGGGCGCTTTGCTTCCAGGTTACTTTGTTTATACTCGCGGCGGAGTTGGAGGGCATGGATAAGAGGGGTGAGAGAAAGTTACTAGGGGAGATTAATCATATATGATGGCTGGCCTCGGAGAGGGTTGTAAGGAACATGGGGGGTGGGGTGGGATTACACTGTGGATGTGGTTGAGTGGGTAATGCTGGTTGGTATATCGGGTGGTAGGACATCAATGTGTATGAGGGTATTGTTGGTTCTGTAGCGCGGTCTCTTGCAAGGCATCTCCCTGGGTGATCAATCGTAACTACTGGCCATCATTGCTCCAACTATTGCTCCACCACCGCTCTCTTCCGTCACTCTGCAATCATTTCCCCCCAACACGTGTCCTTTCAGCAACCAAGTGCTCACCCACCAAAGTAGTCTTACATATCCTTGCGGGCTCCGAAGCTCCCACTGCACCCGTACCCAGCATCATGAGGAATTGACTTTATCCCGTAAGCAAAGACGTAGACCATCACATGTCCGCGATAAACGACAGAGCAGGTATTGCTTAAAAGGCGGAACAAAACCAACTAGCACCGATGATGGAAAGTAGCTCAAACTGTATAACAGATAAGGATTACGAAAAGAAAACCAACACGACGTCTCCGATGGGATATCAAGACTGAATTCACATACCCAACCTATTTACAAAAGAACGGCCCCGTCCCTACGTCCAACCCACACACACAAAGAAAAAGCAGGTAGTCTAAATAAATTGGGGTAATTAACATCTTCGTACTTGCATCTACACTTCCACCTCTTCCTCGTCCTGCCCATTATTCAAGCCAACATCTCATCTCGACCCATCTAGACACCCAAATAAGTCCCACTAGTAATCTTCTTCACAGTAGCGACAGGCTTCCAGCCAATCGCCGGACTAGGCGGCGCATTCTCCTCTGCATCCGCAAACGGATCCGCTTCGCCATCGTCCTTCTTCGCGTTGAGAGGCGCACTCATGCTAACCCCTAGACCGCTACCCAGAGTCAACGACTGCTCGTCGCTGATTTCCCAGCGCGCTTCCGTGTTACCGGGTTTAGCTTGGCCGTCGGTGATGAAGCGGGCGCGGAGGGTTTGAGGAGCGGAGTCTTTGAAGAGGGTTACGTCGCCTAGGCGCCAGTAAATGAGGCCTTTGTCGCGCGAGAAGGTGCCGGTGGGTTTCGATTGGCAGGATGTGGCTTTTGACCCGGGTTCAAGGCGGATGACGAGGACGAGGTTGCGGATGGTGATGCTGGTTGCGCCGCCAAGTTCGAATTTGGGATTGAGGGAGTAGTTCAAGATGGCGGAAGTTTGTGTGGGTTCTGACTTCCAGGCCGGTGACAGCATGAGTGGTGGGAGGGAGGCGATGTTGCTGTCTTCGATGTGGAGTTGGTAGTGGAAAGCCACTGATGTCTTCATAATCTTCGACAAGTCAACGGTATAGTTGCCTGGGTTGTCTGACGACTGCTCGATGAAGGCAGGGTTAGGCGCTACCTTCTCGAGCACGGGGAAGTTCTCCAGACGTATGCTCTCAGTGCCCAATGGGCCCGCAGAGACGTCGACGGGATTGTACGCGAGCGCGACCTGTCCGATTACCATGGCCTTGGTAACGTTACCCTGTTCGAACCACGCGCTGACGGTCTCCACTAACGACGCATTGAGCCCCGGTTCATGCAGGTCCGGATGTCTGATTGTGGTGCTAGCGGAGCTGCTTAGCGATCGGCCCGATCGAATGGATTGCGTATCCGACGCTGGGTGGTCGTCTGACAGCAGTGCCCGATGGGGAGGCTTGAAAGCTGGAGATGCAGGTTGGGGAGGGATAGCCGGGGCGGGGAATGTTGCTGAGCCAGGACCAGAGGCGAGGCCAGAATCGCTCGTTGGAAGTGGAGGCACTTCGCCTATGCTTTGAAGCTCGGGTGCTGCGGGGTTTGGTACGAATATCGTGTTACGAACATCTCGGCGACCACGCAACGTGCTTGACCGCTTCGGCTGGGCAGCTTGCTATATGGGTGTTAGTATAGGATTGAAGTTACCTCTGCTATTACTTACTGTGCGCAGCATGTTAACCAGGTTGGCGGTAGCCGCATCAGCATCTCCGTCTTCCTCCTGAATGGGGGCATTTCTGATGTCGAGCTTAAACTGGGGTGGTGCGTTGCCGTCATTTTGTGCCCTGATAATGATTAGCTAAGTAGATTGTCGTGTGTATAGTCTTCTTACAATCCTGCTTCCCTCTCAGCTTCGGTGATGGCATCAAGGGCCGATGGAGGCACAGAGAAACCCTCGGCATCTTTCTCGGGTTCTGGGTGCGTCTCTGTGACTGGCGGTGGCGATAGTGGCTCTTTGAGTTCTGGTATGGACTCTTGGACAGGTGCGGTGCCATTGACGGCGGCTGGTGCATCTGTCTCCAGGGTCGGCTCAGGCGTGGGGCCGTTGGGCGCAACATCAGTGCTGGCCTGCCGGGTAATGCTTGGGGAATCAGATCTTTGAGAAGTACTGGGTCTCTGCGATTGTCGGAGGGGTGATATCGGGCGTTCCGCAGTAGGAGGCAGCGATGAGGCCTGGTTATCACGGTTTTTCGATTTGCCCTTGCCAAATCCACTAAATGCCGAGCCCAGGTTTGAAGAAGATTGTCGCTCTGGTGATTGCGCTCGGCCATACGGATGCGCACTTTGTCTCCTTCTCCCCAATACCGTGCCGAATCGCTTGAGAGGGTTGGAGCTGTGCTTTTCTGGTACAGAGCCACTCTTCTGGCTCCGGTTGTCGTCAACTGCGGTAGGGGATGTTGGTCCAGAAGCCGGGGGTGCTAGGCTTCGCGAAGGAGTTGGTGGGTTGCTTGGTTTCCGGGAAGGCTGAGGTGCATCTCCGCTCCGCATTCTCAACGCCCACGTTTGTATTTCATCGGCAGTTTCAATGTTCAACATGGCATTCAGTGTCTCTTCGGCGGTGGTTCTACTCCGCTCTACCTGGTCTACCTCATGCGTTTGGAATTGTGTGAGCACATCGCGCAGGTGGTTCAGGCGGGTCTCGTCAATGGCCTGGAGTTGCTCGAAGACGTAGGGTGCCTGGGAGTCCCATTGCAGCTCCGCCTTCTCGATATCCTGTACAGCGTCGGCAACGGCGGAAGCTTTGGCCTTCGATCCCTTATCACGAAGCTTGCTTTGCTTCTTCTGCGCCGTGTCGATGTCTTTTGCGATTGCCGAGAGGTTCCCCTGGATGTTGCCGAAGCCCTGCACGTCCCGGTTGTTGGCAGAGAAGTCGCGAAGGGGTCGTTCGACGTCGGCTTCGATCCTGGAGGCGAGATGCGCATGCGACGCGGCGATGGATTCGGTTGCGCTCACAATCTTCTGCCAGGGCGTCGCGAAGATGCTGCCCCGTGTTAGCTGGTGCGCTGTGAGACGAATGGGCCGGGTGCATACCCCAGGTCCGAGGACTCATCGGGAGGATGTCTGTTTGCGAGCTTCCGCAGGCCGGTGACGTATTGTTCTTCGACGCGACGGCGTTCCTGCGCATTGGTGAGCACCTATGGCAATGCGCGGCAGCTGGGCCTGACGCACCTGCAGCCAGTCGGCAATGTGGGTGTTGAGCTGGCCGACATGTCTCATGCGGGTGTCGAGGACCGTCACGGCCTGGGCGGGCGAGAGCGATGTCTATACATGGTGTGAGCCGAAGAAGTTGCGAGGGCATCGAGGCACTCTCACCAGCAATGCCGGGTATTCTTTGCGTTGGAGCTCCATGGCGAGGAATGCGGGGGACAGGCGCACAGCCACAGAGAAGCGATTCGGGCTATTTACATGGAGAGGAAGCTCGGCGAGCTTGTCGGGAGTCGTGGAGCTGTCACAACTGCGCTGGCTGTCATGGCTTGGGGCTCGTCGCTTTCGGCCTAGCCCACCGCGGTTGTGTCCGGGAGTCTGACGTAACCTGGGAAACGACTAAACCTCGAGATGCCTCCCCTGACCCAGTCGGGGCTTTGCTGAGGACTCTGAGACGCGCCAGAACGTGTCGAGCGATTGCATAAACATTGACCTCTGTGACCATGGCCACGCTGCCTTTGGGCACCGACCGCGTGGGCTTGGGCAGTGGCGTACGCTGAGTCGGGGCGACTGGTCTCCTTCTCTGCCTGACAACACCGCTACATGTTTCCTACCTCGACTACCAGCGTCTGAGTAACCGCGCCACATGGCTTCCTCGGACTGGCGAGCGAGCTTGGGCTTCACTGCCCGCCTGATGGCTGTCACAAAAATGCAAGTAACATGTTTATACCGTCACGCTAGGGAACCTGGTACATTATAGTCCGGAACAGGGCCCGACCATGTGAATGGCATACTTGCTTGATCGCGATCCTCGATGGGAAAAAACGATTTGGCCCAATCAGCATGCGTGGAACATGGAAATTCAAAACTAACATTATTGCAGGACATCAGCCTACCAGGCAGCGGACCCTTCACTTTCGGCAGACGATGCTCGGAAAAAGGCCACTGTAGCTGAGACGACCATCTACGCAGACGCCCGCTCTCTGGTATAGACCAACATGGTGCTTTATGATTCCATTTTAACCATGTCACAGGACGACTACGACAGACTATGCAATGACCAGATAATAAATCTGCCCAGACCGTCGCTCGACTTCCCAACACCAGAGGTCAGAGCCGCCATACACATCAACATACACCAACTCACCGTAATCTAGGACGAAGACTATGTCCCAACACCGGGCGGCAAGCCCGTTGGCAAGTACCAGAATGCACTCTACCATCGCGAAGGTCTCTTCTCCGTCATCTACAAAGCGCCTGCAATTGGAAATGAAAGCTACTTTCCCACAAAGTCGACTACCAAGACCAATGTCGTGGCGCTGAAGATCACTACACCATCAGTAATGGAGCCACCGCACGACTCACAACGAGAGGCGAAGATACTCGCCATGGCGGCTTCAGAGCGGGTTATCCCTCTCATAGAGACTTTCCGAGAAAATGGGAGCCACTTCGTTTTGGTCTTCCCATTCGTGCGCCACGACTTCAACGACCTACTGCGGGACAAGAAGCTGTCCAAGAGCCAGATCAAGTCATGCTTGAAGGATCTGTTCACTGGTCTAGCCGACATTCATGCCAAAGGGATCATACATCGCGACATCAAGCCTTCCAACATACTTCTCAAGTCTCTCGACGGGCCAGCATATCTCTCTGACTTTGGCATCGCTTGGGCGCCCGAAGCACCGGGTCCAGAAGCAGCGGATGCAAAAATTACCGACGTTGGTACTACCTGCTACCGACCGCCAGAACTACTCTTTGGGAACCAGAAGTACGGCTGCAGCTTGGATCTGTGGGCTGCCGGTTGCACAGTTGCTGAAGCACTCGATGCCAGCCATGAGACGTTGTTCGATTCTGGAGAGTTGGGAAGCGACCTGGCCTTGATACAGAGCGTGTTCAAGAAACTTGGAACCCCGAATTTGGAAGTGTGGCCGGTAGGTTGATGTGTCTCGCTTATCTGAACTCTTTACTAATTGAAGCAGGAGGCTGCGGGTTTCCGCGACTGGGGCAAGGTGCAGTTCTACGAGTACCCGCCACAGGACTGGTCGGTGTTGCTGCCGAGCCTTTCAGAGGAGGAACGAGACCTTGTTGGCAGTCTTGTCAAATACGAGAGTGGCTCAAGAATGAGCGCATCCAAGGTGAGACGACAGGCCAGATTTGAAGACGTGGCTAATTCTGTATCAGGCCCTAGAGCATGTCTACTTTTCGTCGTGAGCATAGAGCTTCTAGGCTGTTGGTCTGGGACATTCGCGTCCGGACGCGATGTGGAGGAGCGGGGCAATTCCGCGCGCGTTGAACATACAGTCATTAACATGACGAAACCCGTATATAATTGAAATAGTGGTATAATTAATTCCCGTTAGCCGTCCACTGAGGAATTAGCTCCAGTCTAGAGTGACCAGCTGTGGGCGAGTGGAAGTACAGGTCAGCGCAGGGTGCACTAGCCTGGCAGACAGGGTTGATCCTCGGGCCATTCACAAGCAACAGCATCACCAGGGCAGAGTAGAGACAGGACAACAACCGCATTGGCCCCCTGTATACCATAACCGCCCTCGGAGCCCAATTCATATTGCCCTACCGTCGCCTGTATGTTTTCGCCGTCAAGATAGCAGCTTCCCGGCCCTGGCCTCAAGTCACAGCCCCTCATAGCACCGCCGCCATCGCACCTCGATCCCCGCCCTGCAAAACTTCCGAGCCCCCTCAACATGGCCTTCCTATTCCGAAACAAGCAGAAGAACAATCTGGAGCTCACCCGCTCCATCAAAGAGCTTACGTTGCGGCTAGGACAGGAGGACAAACCCAACCCCAAGGTGCGACCAGTCGACTGCAATGGAGCGCTTGGGAGACATGGCTGACATGTGATAGCTGGAGGAAGGACTAGCACTAGACCTGCAGCAGATGAAGATTAGGCTTCAGGGCACACCCGGTGCGTTTGTCTCTTGCGACACAGTCGAAAGCATACTGACATGCCAAAGACACAGAAGTTAATCCAGAGGCTGTCTTCCAGCTGCTCACGAGTATCCTAAATGAAGACCTACTCTACGCGCTAGCAATCAACATCCACAAGCTCCCCTTCGAGTCGCGAAAAGACGCGCAGGTCATATTCTCCACCGCATTCCGCTACAAGCCTGCTGGGCAAGCCACGCCGCAAGTCCTAGAGCACGTCGTCGCGTACCGACCAGATATCATAATAGCGCTATGTCGAGGCTACGATAGGCGGGAAAGTGCCATGCCATGTGGTGGCATTCTGCGCGAGGCACTCAAATACGATGCGATTGCTGCGCTGCTGCTCTACGACGAGCCAATGGAGGACGGTCAGACGCTTGACTTGGGCAACGTGAACCCAGACCTACCAGCGACCGGCAATGGTGTGTTCTGGAAGTTCTTTGGGTGGATAGACAAGGGCGCATTCGAAGTCAGCGCAGACGCATTCAACACATTCAGGGTAGGTTGGCTGGATGAGTATGGCATTTCGTGGGCTAACATGTGGTAGGAAATCCTGACAAAGCACAAGCCGCTGGTGGCTACCTTTCTACAAACGAACTTCGACGCCTTCTTCTCGAAATACAACTCGATGTTGGTCCAGTCGGAGAGCTATGTGACGAAGCGCCAGTCGATCAAGCTCTTAGGCGAGATCCTACTTGACCGGGCAAACTACAACGTTATGACGCAATATGTGGATTCAGGAGAACATCTCAAGATCATCATGAAGTTATTGCGGGACGACAGGAAGATGATCAACTACGAGGGCTTTCACGTCTTCAAGGTTAGTCATGACTAGTGTCAGAGGATGTGCGCATGTTAACAGACGCAGGTGTTTGTTGCCAACCCGAATAAATCAGTCGCGGTGCAACGCATCTTGATCAGTAACCGGGAGAAGCTACTGCGCTTCCTGCCGTCGTTCCTCGACGATCGGACAGAGGACGAGCAGTTCATCGACGAGAAGAGCTTCTTGATCCGGCAGATCGAACAGCTTCCCTCAGCACCAGTAATGCCGCCGACACCGACATAGTCACACGTTTTCTCTGTTTAGACTCGCATCTGATGGCGTTCGAGGTTGGATATCCTTGGAGTTTTCCGTGGTTGGCGCAGTGATCGGCGCATTTCCCATCGATGGAAGGTGGGAATGCAGGGCGGACTGCAGATGCAGGGCCCGCAGTGCATTGGGTTCGGAAGTCGGGTCGTCAGCGTCATGCTTTTCCAAAAGTATGTAGGCACTGTTGGACTAAGAATAGGCATCAAAGGGATTGCAGATTGTGAGATGTTTGGACAGTCCAACATCTGCATTTTCCATGACATAGATTATGATGCATACCAAGTGGTCGCGTGCAGTAGTCGGCATCTCGGCTGGCAGACGTCTAGACTCCATCTCAATCACCTGGTGGATCTCCCGCGGCGAGCTTCCCCGCTTAACAACTAATAATGACACGTGGTGATGATTGGCCGCTGCTTGGTGCGCCATCTAAGGAGCCGGCCAAGCCGGTGTCACAGAGTGCAGGCCGTAACAATCAAAACGTCGCGCGCTGCGGCAGCGGGTGTGATATTGTCGCGTCTGTCTGTTTGTACCTGCATCCTTCTGTCGCGTTGAAGCATCCCTTGACGCATCTTCCCGCTAAGCCCCTGATGCTAGCCCGTCGCTAGCACTGCTAGGAAACCGGGCCAGCTGGCGGGTCTTCCTCCTTCTCGGCTTGGCGACCAGGCTAAAGCGAATCAGGTGCACGCCGTCGAGCAGCATGACTTCAGAGGGGGCCCGGATAACTCGCTGGCTGCAGTTGCAGGACACCGCTACACAACAAGGCCCGCTGCTTAGTCCGGGGAATGAATTTCCTCTGAGAACACTACCCTCCTTGCCCTCCGCCAGCTCTCTCTCCGACCTGGGTTCGGATGACGGCCAAAGAGTCTCGCACCGCACCAACATTGCGAAACTCATCCATCCGCCCACCCCTACCATGACGGATGAGCAGACGGCCGCTCGTAGACGTTCCTCCTCGCTCGCCGGCGCCACCCTGCCCACCAAGACAGACCTGAAGAAACACCGACGCCGCCGTTCCGACCACATTGCCGAAGAAGGAGAGGAGTCTTCCTCGGGTGCAGACCGCTCCGACTCAGAGTCCAGTGACAGCGGCGGCGACGACGACGACGACATGAGCGCAGACGGGCTCGAAGATGACGAGGAGACGGGCCTCACCAAGCGCGACAGGCGGAGACGCCGGAGAAGAAAGAGGCGGAACACGTTGCTCGACCAGCGCATCGTGCCGGATGATACATACACAAAGGAGGAGAAGAAGCTAGCCGACCAGAACTTGCTCAAATCGATGCTGGTCAATGGAGTGCTGATATGTTTATGGTAGGACGTCAATAGGAGTATGGATGACACGTGCTGACAGCCCCAGGTATCTCTTCTCGATATCGATTTCCGTCTACAACAAGTGGATGTTCAAGGAAGCCAAGGGCGACGGCGAGACCAAAAACATCTTTCCATTTCCGCTATTCACGACATGTCTGCATATGATAGTCCAGTTTACGCTCGCGTCGCTCGTCCTATTCCTAATACCCTCCTTCCGACCGCGACACGACTCCCTTAACCCACACGCTGCCGGCTCGCGCGTAGAGCCGGTAGACCCCAAGAAGCCGCTCATGACCAAGTGGTTCTACTTCAGCAGACTCGGGCCGTGTGGTGCAGCCACTGGCATGGACATTGGCCTGGGCAACACGAGCTTGAAGTTCATCTCGTTGACATTTTTCAGTAAGGGATGAAATCTCACTCGTGAAAACACAACTAACATCAGCAGCTATGTGCAAGTCATCTGCACTCGGCTTCGTCCTCATCTTCGCCTTCCTCTTCCGCCTCGAACAACCCTCCTGGCGACTCGTATTCATCATTCTCATCATGACCTGCGGTGTCGTCATGATGGTAGCCGGCGAGGCTGCCTTCCACACCCTCGGCTTCATCCTCGTCATGGTCTCAGCCTGCTCGTCCGGCTTCCGCTGGTCACTGACCCAGATCCTGCTCCTTCGCAACCCCGCCACGGCGAACCCATTTTCCTCCATCTTTTTCCTCGCACCCGTCATGTTCATCAGCATACTCATTCTCGCGATACCCGTGGAAGGCTTCCCCGCGCTCATGGAGGGTCTTTCACAACTTTTCGAAGCCAGGGGCACCGGCCTCGGCATTGGCATTCTTTTGTTCCCGGGCGTCCTCGCCTTCCTTATGACCGCCTCCGAGTTCGCTCTGCTGAAGCGCACTTCAGTCGTCACCCTTAGCATTTGTGGCATTTTCAAAGAGGTTGTCACGATTGGGACTGCGAACCTTGTTTTCAAGGACCCCCTTACGCCTATCAACCTGACTGGCCTTGTCGTCACGATCGGCAGCATCGCGGCATACAACTACATGAAGATCAAGAAGATGAGAGAGGAAGCGCGGATGAACGCACATCTCCAGAATCAGGAAACGTATGCGCCCGTCAATACCGTGGACCCATTGGAGCGCGACAGAAGAGGAAGCGTGGTCGTGCGGCCAGGACAGGGCATCGTACGCAACAGTCTCCAACTTGCGCCCGGTCTGAGCGGGGCGTCCGTATCTGAGAGTCCAGCGAGGGCAAGTCCGATCAAGACTGCACGGGACACTGAGTAGCATACATGTGTGTAGCAAGCAAGCAATCATTCTGGATTTCAGCGCTTGTATCGTTGGATATTTCATCGCACTTTTTTGTTAGCATCTTCAGGCGTTCAGGACACTTGGGAAGTTTTGGAAGGCGGGTGTGCAAATGCCATGCCGTGCCGCGGGATTACTATACCCTTTCCTTGCGACTGCATCTGAACCACATTCGCTATGTACTATCATATCAATATCTATTTCGTGTGTTTCAACAAAAATAGACTGGACGAGTGTGCCCCGTTGAAGAAAAGACCCAGGATCTGTCTCCTAGAACTCTACTTTGCCCAGAGTTTTTGTAAACTTCAGCTCTTGTCCTAATGTAGACGACAGCGCACCTATACGGATTCAGGCTCTTCCTTGTATAGGGTGGATGATCTCAAGGCAGCTGCTCGGTACTACGTGCTGTAGTGCATCTCGTAGCTTGATATCCAAGAAGTAGCCAACCAATCCACCACCGCGGAGGCATTTCGGGGATCGGCGGGACAATCCAGGACCCTTGGCCGCAGTTACCTCATGTGGCCATGCACGTCGAGAACACCTGCCACAACCACCTGCACATCCACATCTGGCGTTGACCGTCAGACCTCCTTCCCTCCCCTTCTCTCGCCGTTTACACGCCGGCATATCTGTTTCGGGCAAACGTCCGTACTTGCGAGCGTTAAGCGCTTCGTTTCGCACGACGCAGGTTTCAGAAGCCCCGAAAGTCCGGCAGTAGTAATCAGCCTCATCGTGTGGCTTATTAAATCGAACTGCTTCTTGCCTCTCTACCTCCTTCCTCACGCGCAATACCGCATTCGCTTTTCCCTGTTCGACCGCGACCGCGACATCACGTCGCTTTACTGCCGCCAGCCATGCGGCTCCTCACCTCCCTCCTTGCGCTCCCCCTCGCCCTGTTGCCTTCGCTTGCCTTTGCGCAGGATCTCGAGGTCCAAGTCACCAGACCGGCGGAATGTACGCGCAAGACTCAGAAGGGCGACAAAGTGTCGATGATGTACAAGGGCACGCTGCAGAGCGATGGCAGCAAGTTTGACTCGAGCTACGACCGAGGCGCACCGTTCTCATTCACGATTGGCAAGGGCCAGGTGATCAAGGGCTGGGATCAGGGACTGCTGGACATGTGTATTGGAGAGGCCAGGAAGTTGATTATCCCGCCTGGGCTGGCGTATGGGAACCACGCTATGGGTGACAAGATTCCTGCAGGATCGACGCTGGGTATGTTTGCTTTAGGCGGGGAGTTTGGGTCTGGCTAATGGTGCGTGCAGTTTTCGAGACGGAGCTTATGGGCATCGATGGTGTGGAAAAGGAATCTGCGAAACCTGTTGAGCCTACGAAGGCTGCCCCTGCGACACCGACACCTACTGGTATCACGGACGATAACGTCAACGCCAACGACGAAGAAGCTGCGCCCGAAAACGTTCCCAGACCTACATCTACACCTTCGTCTGAAGCCGCTCCGGCAGAGACCAAGCCTGAGAAGACTGCTGTACCAGCCGCCGAGCCTAGCAAAGCCGTGGCCGCACAAGGAAACCCGATGGACGGCGAGAGTGATAAAGGCGAGTGCAACCTCCTTGGAAACTTTGCACTGCTTGTACAAGGTTTCCTCGGACTGCTCGCCGTATCATCTCTTGCAATCAAGAGGCTGCGGGAGTCTCCGCGAAGGCCTATGAAGATCTGGTTCTTCGATGTTTCCAAGCAGGTTTTTGGCTCGGTGCTTTTGCATCTGGCAAACGTCTTGATGTCTATGCTATCCTCCGGTAAATTCGATGTAGCAGCAACAACTAGCGCGACGACGAAGTATGCTGGAACGAACGAAGAGGGTGACCAGCCAAATCCGTGCTCGTTCTACCTCCTCAATCTGGCCATCGACGTAAGTTCATTCTCACGACCCCTCTACATCCAGCAACTAACAACTCCAGACCACAATCGGTATCCCGATCCTCGTGCTCCTCCTCAAAGTCCTCCACGCCGCATTCGCCAAAACCCCGCTAGCCAACCCCCCAGAGTCCATCCGTAGCGGCAACTACGGCCAGCCCCCACGCGCATCCTGGTGGCTCAAGCAATCCATAATCTACTTCCTCGGCCTTATCGGCATGAAACTCTGCGTTCTCGCCATCTTTGCCTTCCTCCCGTGGATCGCATGGGTAGGAGACTGGGCACTACGCTGGACCGAAGGAAACACAGCGCTGCAAATCACCTTCGTCATGTTCATCTTCCCGTTGATTATGAATGCGCTGCAGTACTGGATCATTGATAACTTTATCAAGGATCCTGAGCATGGGAGTGGTAGCGGTAGTGAGGGACGTTATGGTGTTGTTGGTGAGGATGATAGCGAGGATGAGGACGACGAGGAGTGGTTGGAGCGCCAGAGGCGGAGGCGCGAAGCGGGTATTGATGGTGAGGACAGTGACATCGAGGCTGCTGAGGTGGACCCGTTGAAGGAGGCTAATCCTACGATGGTACCGTCAAGGAGTAAGGGTTTAAAGGCTGGAAGCGACTATGATCCCGCTGTTGATGGGGCGAGTGGTAGCATGAAGACAAGAACGGAGTAGGGTCCTTGTACGTGGTGGTTGTGGTATTTGTATCATCAGTAGGCTTAGTTTGTTGTACTTGTCTCATAGCGGGCTTGGGGTTTTTGGAATAGACATGCATTATCTGTGCAAGAAAACGACATTGGTATTTTATGCGAGCGCGAAGACTACAATTGTATATCTCCTACAACATCGGCTTGATCTCGGCCGCCTCCTTGAAGTCCGCACCAGTCTTCGACCGCACCTCATCCACGGTAACACCATCCGCAAGTTCGATAAGCGTCAAGCCCTCTGTAAAGTCAACATCAAACACGCACTACACAATCATTAGTCTCTCATTCGAATCATTCAAAAATGAAAGGGGGATGAAGAGGGGGTACTCACCAAATCCGTAATAATCCTGCTCACGCACGCCTTACCCGTGAGCGGAAACTCGCACTGCTTAAGAATCTTGGGCCTCCCCTTCTTATCCGTATGTTCCATAGTAACAACCACCTTCGTCTTCTCCGGATTACTCACAAGATCCATCGCACCCCCAAATCCCTTGACCTTACCCGGCAACATCCAATTCGCGAGATCGCCCCTCGCACTCACTTGCATAGCACCGAGAATAGTCAGATCGATCTTGCCCGCACGAATCATACCGAAACTCTCTTCGGAGCCAAAGCACGATGCGCCAGGGAGTAAAGTAACAGTCTCTTTGCCCGCGTTGATGAGGTCCGGGTCTTCGAGGCCTTTTTGCGGGTATGGTCCTAGTCCCAAGATGCCGTTTTCAGACTGCAGTTGAACTTCTACGGACGGGTCTACGAAGGAAGGGGCGAGCATGGGCATGCCGATGCCTAGGTTGGCGTACATGCCGTTTTTGAATTCCTTCGCGGCGCGGCGCACGATGCGTTCGCGTTTTGAGGCTGCGTCGCCGGCGCCGAGGGCGGACACGGCTTCTTGAGGGTCTTTTGCGTTGACGACTTTTTCGATCTTCTTTTCGGCGGTGGATTGGATTACGCGGTCGATGTAGATGCCGGGGACGTGGACGGCGTTGGGAGGGATCTCGCCAGGCTCGACGATGTGCTCGGCTTCTACGATTGTGGTGGTTGCGTTGCGGGCCATGGCGCCGTTGAAGTTTTGGGCTGAGAAGCGGAATTGCACGTTTCCTAGGCGGTCGGCTTTGTAGGCTTTGATGAAGGCGTAGTCACCTTTGATGCTTTCTTCCATCACGTAGCTCTTGCCCGCGAAGACTTTGACGTCGCGAGGTGTTGAGTATTGGGCTACGCTGCCGTCGCTGTTGTGCTTGAGGGCTAATTCACCGGTTTGTACGACGGTGCCAAAGGCGGCAGGTGTGTAGAAGGCTGGGATGCCGGCGCCGCCTGCTCTACATCGCTCTGCGAGAGTGCCTTGGGGTGTGAGTTCGAGTTCTAGCTCGCCGGTGAGGTACATTTGCTCGAGCACTTTGTTCTCGCCTACGTAGCTGGCAATCATTTTCTTGACTTGCTTGCTTTCGAGCAATAGGCCGAGTCCTCCTCCAACGATGCCGGCATTGTTGGATACTGCGGTCAGGCCTGTGATGTGTGGTGTGCTTTTTACTTGGTGGATGAGGGTATCTGGAACGCCTGAAAGACCGAAGCCTCCGCACAGCAGCGTGCTGTCAGACGACATGTCTTCGATGGCCGCAGCGGCACTCGGGTAGACCTTGTTGATCTCATTGCGGCGGAGGGATGATGAGAAGGAGCGCGAGAGGTTGAGATATGTCTGTCAGTGTTAGCAGCCGCTGGAGGGTACCAAGAGAAGGTAGAATGACTTTTGTTGTGCTTCGCGAAAAGGTGCGCGCAGTGCGCAGTGTGAGGGATATTGACGGCATGCTGGGCTGGGCTTTGCGCAAGTATACAAACTTCCAGACTTCCAAAATATGCTATGCAGCGCTCAACTCACAGACTGTGGAGGTGTATATAAGAAGTCACTGTGGGGAGAATTGGGACGCTCCCGGATATCTGTATACCCAAGCATCGTCGCAGCCTCGGGAAGCTCTAGCATGGGTTGCGTCGGCATCTTCAAGCGGGAGGGCGGAACAGCGCCGACGCGGAATGTGGAGGAAAATCGAGGGCCTGGAGTGCGGAGTCGTCAGGTACTGCGTGGTGATTGGGTGAATCATGGCTGACTCAGGGAAAGCGCGGACTTGTTTTCCTCGTGGCCTGGTAGCTCCGGAACGTCAGACATTAATGAGCAAGCACGCAAGGTCGTGAGTCTTTCTTCATCCACACGTGTATATTAACGACGCAACTTTTGATAAGTCTAACGAAGATATGCCTCATATTACCCTCCGTGGGCCTCTCCGACGATCTCCTGGCGTTTCGCTAGCCTTTCTAGTTGATCTGAGCGCGCTGACTTGTGAAGAGACAGGTAACATGAACATGACAAGGGCAAAAGAAGGAGACATGACCCAGCGAATTGAGAAGTTACACTCGCCTTTTGCTAGCCGCGCATAAGCTGCGTCTGCGTGGACTTGACATACTCACACAAGCATTGTCTCGAAAATTCGTCTGTCTATGTCTTTCCAGTACCGTTCTCATTTTCCTCTATGTCATTCTTATCAATTCCTATTAGATACTAGTCCTATTGTCGTAGTCGCCTCTTGGTTTTCATTCGTCTCCCTATTCGGCTTCGAACCTGGGCAAAGCATATGCTCTTCCGCCAGGGATTCGTTAAGAGCGCTTCAAGGCTCGCAAAGAGAATGTATAGCTCTTTGTGCCACTGTGACGTCGGCCGCTGTTTTCACGCCAACTACTGTCCTTAGTGAGGTTGGAGCGAGCTCGCCAAGACAACTCGCGGGTGTTTGTATTGGTAACCACAACAACGCCCATTGACTCCTTCAACATCTCACTCGCACAGTTCAAAATTCTGCACTCTGAGTATGTTCAACGCAAAAAAGGACTTCCTGTCTTCCGACTCGCCATGGAGAGTTCAATGCGTCACGAGTCCACTCTGCCGAGCTTCTGCTCAAATACGTCGAGTCAACAGCAGCTAGATTTAGGCAGCGCCAATCCTGTGGAGGGCGACTTGCACGCAGATCTTCACAACTCTCACATCCAGGCTGTACGTATGATCTGTTCGCTATCACAGTACACTGTTAGTATCGACAATCTGTTAAGGCTCCTGATGGCGAAACGTCTGTACAAGGCGAAAGTAGGCCTGAATGCAACATCCAGGAGACGGAACGGCTCTCATTCGTCGTCGACTTTGCCGGAATTAGTCAACAAGACTTCTTCAACAACCAGCATGATTAAAGCTGGCGCTATGACCTCCAATTCCGCTTCTTACATGAATGATGGCCACAACAGCGATGATTCGGAATCATTTGGGCCCCTGAAGCGGGAGTCTTCTCCAAGTCTTTCGCTGGGCATGGAGAGCATGAGCCTTGAACACACTTGCCACGATACTACACTTGGAGCTCATGCGAACTACCAAGTTACGCGCAAGGACGGTGCGCTACACTTGCTGAACAGAAAGCATGGGAAGCTGGACATGCAACAAGAAACTCCCCTCTTCCCCACGCGCACACCGAGTACGTACGATTCCTTGCACGCACGTTCAGACGAACGATCGACAATCCACACGAAGGAGGAAAGTCACAAGGGTCTCCAGCATGCCATCGAGAAGGGCCGCCAGGTTGGTCTCGGCAAAGACACAGCGTTGAAAGACCCACTCGTAAACACGGCCCCAAGACAAGAGCAGGGCGTCATGACTTATGCCTCAACACGGGTAGCGCTGGATTGGAACCTTTCCAAGGACAACAGGCCAGAGAGAGAGTGGCGTCTCCAACGAACCGCCTTCGACGAACTATTGGAATTGCTCTAGGAGTTGCCCCCACAAGCCTCCAGGTCCCGGGAGCTCGAGTCCTACAAATGCAAACTCTATACTTCTGAGACACACAAGAGGATGCAAGCAGCGTTGAATAGCAATATGCTGAAGGAATCGTATACCGCAATGGTGTTGTGGCACGAAATCCACACACGACTACACGACTTCCAGACGATCACTAACTTCACCGGAAAGGCTGGTGCTGACTGGCAAGCTCACAAACAGACTTCGAGGGAAATTTCCTGGAAGAATGCCCTGCTACCTGCTTTAGCTGCGCATCGAGAGCTGGGCCTGTTCGTCAAGGTGTTGGACATGCGTGGGGAGTGGGTTGCGTCCAGACCGGACGAGTTTGCGAAGCGTGTAGCCTTCTTCTATGCTACTCTGCTACAGCAGCCAATGTTCCCTACTGAGGACCTTGTTGATGGGATTCAGGAGTACAACGTTGAACTGCTCAAGTGGTTCGAGGTTGGAGAATGATTGACAGGAGACGTGGCGATCAGGTCGGGATATAAGATGGCGGAAAGTTAGAGTGCACGAGATGGGATAGATACGAGGCGGAGGATGATCTGATGCTTTACCAGCACAAGGTCATGACTCTTACATACAGGAAAAGCGTTGATTCATAGCGATGTATAAAATCTTGTCACAGTACGAGTCAAGTAGACGTCTGTCAACGCCAGTCAATTTCCACATCACTCCAATTCATCGTCGAAGACGCATGACAGGAAGAGTAGATATACTCCAACGCTTCTCGCTCCTTTCAACTTCCTTCACACACACACACACACACACACACACACAATTCCCCTCAAGACTTCCACTACATGCAAAATACCACGCTCTTCACTATCAACATCTATCAAAAAACCTACGCAGACGACCAGATACTCATAGCGCATACTTCCATATCCCCGACTCTGAATCTCGACGATGGTTTTCTACGCCGAGTACTTCATGCTCTTGGGCCTCGCCCTGGTATTAGTGCCACACGGTCAACAAAGCCCCTTCTCAGTCGCAGGCGTAGTCAAGAAGAGCGAGGCACCGCTTCTGGGCTTGACATCGGCGGCTGATGGTAGCATGTCTATGAATTCGGTCTTGGAGTTCATGTCGTCCATGGGCGTGCCTGCGGCATCTTCTGCAGGCTCTACATCTCCGGCCATGGCTTCTGGTGCTGGTACCGGCGATGGCGCTGGCGGTGCGAGTGGAACAGCATCGGGTGTGTCACCAGCATCTCCCACGGAGTCAGTTGGCTTGGTGGAGGAAGAAGGACCGAAGTACGGTAATGTCATTATCAACAACCACTGCGAACAAGAGTTTGATCTAAACTCGGTCGCTGCGTATACCCTAGGTGGTGACAGGTCCGAGGAAAAAGGGGGCAACGGAACATGGGATTTCTACCAAGACCACGTCAAGCACACTGTTCTAGTTGGCGGAAGCTACAAAGAGCCTTTCCGCGTCACCTGCCCAAACTACGACGATATAGTATCGCCCAATATATTATTTCGGAAGGACCTATACGAACGAGCCAAGCATGGTTTGTCAAGGGGAGTTCAGAGGAGATATGGTGCTGGATCTTTGTGCAGGAAATGGCGGTACTGCAGTCAGTACCGCTGCTAGCACTGGTGCAGGAAATGGTTAGACACGTTCCTATGGTCTGTGCTGAAAGGTTGGATTTGAAAATGGTGCGGAAGTTGATGGTATTTGAAATTCCTAGATGGTCCTTCAATCGGATGTCAGTCAATATGTGAAACTGCCCATTCCTTCAAAATAAATATAGCTCTCTCATCACGAGACATGGGCCTAGACTCTGCACTGAAAGAATACGCGCGGCTCGAACGTTGCTGTTCGCGTCATTGGAGGTGGCGATCATCACGATCTGATCGGCGATTGCGTGCCGTGGTCGTTACGAATGTAGAACTCCGCGGACCCTGGACAACGGTTCACAGAAAGATCATCCTGACTGTACACGGCTGTGGCGTCTCGATATTGCGATTGTCTGTAGATCTACGTTGGGTAGTAATGGGCGATGTAAGGTACCCGTTGGAAAACCGGTGTGTGATGATTGGTAGGGGTAGTCGTTCCGAGTGTCGGAACGGAAGCGCGGCAAGTCGCGGATGCTGATAGATTGCGAGTACAGGGCTGCAAGCAGGCATAATCTGATCTCACGATGCAGCTGCCGAAGGTGACGCGGGCATGATGGTGGGTACCTGTCAGCCGTGGTGTTCGCACGTGAGGCAGGTACCCGCCAGCTGACGGCTAGAGATTGTTAAAGTTTGGAGCGCAGCGTGTCTCGCATGGCAGCTGCTCGGCACATTGTTACCGCGTTGTCTTGGAAGTCCGCCCCGCCGCATTTGACAGGAGCTAGAAGAATGGAAGCGCCAAAGCCGCTGAGGCTTCCTAGTGTATTCCAGTATACTGCAAGATCCAGCCGGCTGGTCCGCCCTCGAGTACAATGACACCACAAGTGGTTCCATGAGGCTACATGTAGGCAGGCGCAGATTCGGGCCGAGACCTGACAGGACGGCCAAATTTGCGGGATAGCGTATTCAACACATCAATCGAGAGAGGGACAGCAGTCTCGCTAGTGAGGCTCTTGAGTAGTGTAGAGAACGTCGGTGCGTCGAGCGTCTTCGAGGCTTCCGGAAGGAAAGCTGCTGGAGCTAGCCAGGTTGGGACGTCATGGGAAACAGTCTTGGAAATTTACAGGGGTACCCATCCAATGGGGAAACGTGGCATCCCGCTGGCCATCGCTAAAGTGGTAGTTGACGCCATGTAGAGCGCGTCAAGAGCGGTCGGCAGGGAACAGTGGTGAAAGTCGGATCACGATGTATAGACCGCGAGGATGGAGAGTGCGGTGCGGTGAGTGAGGGCAGCGGTGGTTGGGCGTCGCTGGCGGTTTCTAGATCGGCGTAGGCGCGGCTACTGGAGTACAGAGAAACCCTGATGACGTCGCTGGCCATGATCTAGCGGCTCGCAGCCAACAGTCAATTTCGTCCAAGCGGGCGGCTGTAATGAGACAGGAGCAAGACGGTTCCTTGTGCCAATACACACCATTTACGCGATCCACGATCCATCCAAACTGCTTTTGTCCTACGCGTGCAGTGCGACCCCTCGTCCTTTCTGTAAGTGTATGCGGGCGTGTGTTGAAGGCCGTGGGCGCGAGGCTATCCTGCTCCTGATCCTGGCATGAGCCCACCACCTGATTCTTACTCACCAAGCACTCCCAGCTTGTCGCTCTGCGCTCCGGGGGGAATCGGCTCCTGCTGGCACTCTGAAAGCCTGGGTACCACTGGTGGTCACTAAGTCGTGTTGTTGAGTTGTCCATGTGCTGAGGCCTCTTCACCGTCCACTCTTGCTAGGAGCACACTCCGCGACGTCATAGCTCACCATCCCATCTATGCTCCCCGTTACCTCGACCCCATCACGACACCACTTGCGCGTTACGTGGGAGACTGGGGAATGCAATAATGACAAAGGCCCCGTCACCCTCTCCTAATTCTAAGAGAGAGACTGCGCCGCCACCCACGACGCGCCCGCCACTGCAGAGACTGGCCGCCAGCGACGCGAAGACATATCAGTCGCAAACTTCGCAGCCCTCGCCCGGAACCCGGATCCCGAGCAAACTCCGCGACGATGCAGCCACCGACAGCGAAATGAGCGACGCAGAGAGCCAGCAGGGCGATGAGGACGAAGGGGTTGGTGCGGACGAGCAGGCCGGAGAAGAAGCGCCACTGAGCGAGGCCTCGCCCGACGAGATGGAGGTGGAGAGACTGCGTGGCCTGCAGCTCAAGATGCTGCAGCAACAGCAACGTGCGCGCCTGCGGGGTCCGTCCAACAATACCTCTGTCGCGGCGCTGGGCTCTCGTCGCATATCGCCCATCAAGGAAGAACCCATGCCCGGCATCTCGCCCACCCTCGAGGGCGCCTTTATTAGTCCAACCCCGAGCCCAAACCCGCCGCTCCCTACAGGCCTTACCACGTCGACCGAATCGACCGAGTCTGCGAGAACCATCCGCGGCAGCATGCCACCCACGCCCGCCGCCCACGCTGTGCGAACGCCGTCGTACCCTTTCCCTTCCGTCCCAAACACACCGCGATGGGCCTCCGCATTCCACATGCCCTTCACCAGCCTATCCCCCACGGTAGCAGCGGGGCAATCGCGAGAGTACGCCACCCCGCAAGAGCGCATCGCCTCCGAGAGCAGCACCCCCGCAGCATCAAGCACGCCCTTCGCTCCCGGAGGAAGACACCGCCAGAGCCCGGATGTGGAAGACCCGCGGTTCCCGAGCCCCAATCTTTACGATATCGTGCTGCGCCTGGGTGCCGAGCCCGGTCTTGCTGCTTGGTGGACGGCTGTAACGTCCATCATGCGCGACCACTATGGAGCAGAAAGAGCCACCTTGGCAGTACCAGCGGACGCCTCTGACATCGAGAATGTGCCCTGGGGCCAGAAGACTAGTTTTACGGCTATGGGGAACGAGGGAAGCCCACATGCAGCTACCTACCAGGAAGCAGCAGGCTCACAGAGTCAGTTCCCGTCAGAAGAGAACCCAAGCTCACGCGGCTATGAACATGCAGACATGCCGCCCTCCACCATGATCCCGGAGCGCAGGCCAAAGCTATTCTCCCATCACTCCTTCGCGGGCTACGAACGCCAGAAGTCCAACACGGCTCCAGATACGCCCACACCGGCCTCGCTCAACCGGCCAAGAGGTCCAATGAGGTCTGCCAGCCACGCACCTCACATGGCTGCAAGGCCAGAGCATCCGCTGAGGCAGGTATCGCAGGCTTCCTTTGACGGTGCGTCTCCTACATTTGCTGGCTCAACAGCAGGAGGTGGTCCGACCTTCAGCGATCCAGAATTCTCTAGTGTGGGAGAGCCTACGCCGCCTAGCGCCGTATACCATGTGCTGCGTGCTCTCGATCACGAGCCAGATGCTCTCATCGATAATACAGGTGTTAATCGTGTCTTGGAGAGAGGTCGCTTGGTTACCCTGACCAGAGATTACTCAACTTCACATACGACATCCAAAGAGGACCTGGATAAGGACAAGTCGGAACAGACCAAACCTTCTGCGATACAGGGTAGTGCTGCTGCACAAGAAGCCCACAAAGCGGCCGCTGCCCGCGGGCGTGCTAATTTAGCTACAAATGATCCCCGCCTGCCGCAACGCTATGAAGAGTACGAACAGTACCCAAGTTCACCATGGGCACAGTCGCCCGCCCCATCACCGGCTATCCAGAATGATGCTGACGCCAATCCATTCTTCGCTATAGGCAATGTCGATGAGGAGACATTCAACCCATCGCGCTCACCTCAAGACTACACACAGTATGGCATGGTGGAGGCCATTGGCGTTGACAAGGCCAGCACTGTCACACACATACCGCTGGTGCATCCCATCCTATCTCAGGTAATGGCCTCTCCAGCAACCTCCACGCCAAATCAAACGCCGTCCATGACGCGAAGACAGTCCGAACAGTCCATGTCAACGTCACTGAACAAGGAGGGCTTTGTGCGGAAAGCGCCCATTGCGATTCTTTCCATACTGTCGCCTATCGTGCCATACCCGCGCAACCTTACCAATTCATTGAAACACCTTGGCCCTCACCTTGCTACGTCATTCTCCAATGCTTGGCACTTCACCAACGCTCAAGCTCAAGTCGCGTCGGTCCGACAACGGCGCATGACAGCTGGCACTTCTGGCGGCATTAGCCTCCCCTCGGATTCTGATAGCCTCGACGATCTGCTCCACCTTGATCTAGAAGACATCACCAACTCAGCGGCGGGCAGTGTTACTAGTCCTTCCGACTACTCGGGTCGATCCAAGCACAGTCCCGGAGACTCCATCGCCGGGACACCTGGCTGGGACACTTCTTCCGTCGGATTCTCGAGCAGACACTCTATGGGCGGGACGCCTGGCCATCTCACAGGTAGCGAGGCGGTTGAGAGTTACTTTGATGCGCGAAAACAATATGGCAAAACGCTGAATGCTCCCACTTCGACGCCTCATGAACAAACTGCACGCAAGACAGATAAGCGTCACGCGAAGCGAGTGACTGTAAACCCAGTAGCCGAACAGGCCAATGACGATGCTTCTAAGGCGCGTAACGATAGGCCAGACGAGTCGTTGAGCACGCGTCGCGCCCAGATGCAAAGCAACTCAAATCGAGGCCACTCGTTCTTGCACTCATACGGTGCAGACTTCAGCTCGTCATTCCAGTCCTTGCCCTCGGCGACAACACCCGGAGGGAAGCCTCAGCCTCCGCATGGTCAAGTGAGGAGACCGTCCATCACCGAAACGTCTGACATGCCACCTCCTTCAGAAAGTCTACTCCGCACAATCACCGACTCGTTACCGGTGCAGATCTTCACCGCCGCTCCCACTACCGGAGCAATCACTTGGGTCAACTCCAAATTCCTGATATATCGAGGCCAGGATCAACGCCAGGTGTTACAAGACCCATGGGATTCAATTCACCCAGAGGATCGCGATTCGTATCTGGAGGAGTGGAGCAGATCACTACGCACTGGCCAGCAGTTGCAGAAGAAGGTGAGACTGCAACGTTTTGACCAACAATACAGATGGTTTTATGTACGCGTCGCCCCGCTCAAGAACAAGCGTCAACAAATTGTTCACTGGATCGGCACCAACATGGACTTTCACGAACAGCATATTGCTGAACTCAATTCTTCCCGACAACAGGAGACGGCTGCGTCGGAGGCCAAATACCGCGCGCTGGCAAACTCAAGCCCGCAGATTGTGTTTGTCGTGTCAGATCGCAGGGGTCTGACTTTCTGCAATTCTCAATGGATTTCTTTCTCTGGTCAGAGTGAGATTCATGCCCTAGGCAACGGCTTCTTGGGGCATGTGCATCCTGACGACGTTGTCAAGTGCAAGCTTCCAGAGTTGGATGAAGACGGTGTCGCCAATGTACCCACTTCGATGCCGGCAGACCATGGCCGAACCGACTCCAACTCCTCCGACGCTTCTTCGGAGACTGAGAGAACAATCACCAGCCCAGGTGGATCAGTACCTGACCGCATGGACATGCCTCAGGCCAAATTGTCCAAACTCGCAAGTACTGGTATACTCAGGGTTGCAAAGGATGCAGATGGACGGGCATCTTACTCCACCGAAGTGCGACTCCGCAACAAAGACGGTGACTACAGGTGGCACCTGGTCAGGATCCTGTTGGAGAAGTCGCTCTCTGAAGACGGCGATGAAGAGACCTGGTATGGCACAGCTACCGACATCAACGACCACAAGCTGCTCGAGCAGACATTGAAGGAAACCATGGACGCAAAGTCCAAGTTCCTCAGTAATATGTCGCACGAGATTCGCACTCCCTTGAATGGTATCTCTGGTATGGTCAACTTCCTGCTCGATAGCACGCTCAACTCGGAGCAGTTGGAGCATGTCAACATTATCAAGGCTAGTACCGACAGTCTACTGAACCTCATCAACGACATTCTCGACCTGTCAAAGGTCGAAGCCGGCATGATCAAGCTATCCATGGAATGGCTACATCTGCCGTCGCTGCTTGAAGAGGTCAACGACTTGAACATGGGCTTAGCCATACAGAAAGGTCTTGAGCTGAATTACCTTGTGGATGAAGGCGTGCCAGCAGAGGTCAAGGGCGACAAGTTCCGTATTCGCCAAGTTCTCCTTAATGTCGTTGGTAATGCAATCAAGTTCACTGAGCGAGGAGAGATCTTCATTCGATGCAGGCTGCAACCGTCCGATCGATCTCGGCCCCTGCGAGATAACGAGACCATGGTCCGCTTCGAAGTGGTGGACACTGGTCAAGGCTTCACAGATGCTGAGGCTAAATATCTGTTTAAGCGATTCAGTCAAATCGACGCCAGCAGCACCAGGCAACACGGCGGAACAGGGCTCGGCTTGGCTATCTCTATGCAATTCGTCGAACTACACGGAGGTAGAATGGATGCGCGAAGTACGCCAGGCAAGGGCTCAACTTTCTTCTTCACTATCAAATTTGGGCTTCCTACTGCAGACGACTTCCCCAAGCCACAAGTGTCGACACCAGGCACGCCGGCCTTCGAGACACCGCTCTCGGTGCCAGCAGTACCTCAGCTACCCCAGCCCTCGGCTCTTCAGAAATTTGTTCAGTCACAAAATCCTAGCCAAGCACAGATTAAGCGCGTATCAAGCGTCTCCTCCGACAAGAGCGAACCTGTCAGGTCGCCTGCATCTAGCCTGTCAGCCTCTGAGCGTTCGCGCGACTCTCCATCTCTTTCCTCTGGTAGCTCAGATCACTCTTTGACAAGCGCCGCACTTACTGGGCAGTCGAGTCTGCGTTCGGAAAGATCTTCTGCGTCTTCATACATGCAAGAAGCCAAGTCAGCTCCAGACCCAGACATGAAACTCGCTCTACCTCCCAAACGATCCGATAGCGAGGAAGCTCCGAAGCCCGACTCTTCAACCTCTATCGATTCGGACAAGACCCTCCGCGCGTCCTCACCCCATCGTAGTCTTTCACCGCTTGGCAGTGCCCTACAACCTCCCATGTTTTCTATACTGGTGGTTTGCCCGCTGGAACACAGTAGGGAAGCTACGATCCGACACATTAGGAATACGCTTCCTCAGGGCATACCTCATCAAGTGACGGGTCAGGCCAGTGTCATCGAGGCGCAGAAGATGATGGGTGGCGACAATCCTGTGCTTTTTACCCATGTTGTTCTTGTATTACACGACACTGCCGAGGTGCACGCCATCGTGGACCAGATCTTCAGCTCCATGGCGTACGGTAACACATCTGTCGTCGTAGTCTCAGACCCGTCACAGAAGAAGGAACTCATCAAAGAAGCCCCAGTCTATGACTATGAGCAGCTCCATATGGATCGACGCCTGCAATTCATCTACCGGCCCCTCAAGCCATCGAAGTTTGCCATCATCTTCGACCCACAGAAGGAGCGTGAGTCTAGCACGGATCGCAATCAAGACAGCGCGCAGCAAGTTGTGGTCAGCCAAAAGCTTGTCTTTGAAGAACTCAAGCGCCGCGTGGGCGGCAAGAATCACAAGGTCTTGCTAGTCGAAGACAACAAGATCAACCAAACGGTTAGTATCCCCCACATGTTACATTCCTGGCCATACTGACAGCGTGTAGGTTATCCTGAAATTCCTTGCCAGGATCGACATCGAAACAGAGACGGTACAGGATGGTGTCCAAGCTACCGACACCGTCTTTTCAAAACCGCCTGGCTATTACTCAATCATTCTTGTAAGTAGCAACATCTATCACTTCCGCGCTTCACTAACATTGTCCAGTGCGATTTACACATGCCTAACAAAGATGGGTATCAAGCCTGCAAAGAGATACGGCGATGGGAGAAGAAGCACAGCTACCGCCGGCACCCTATCATCGCGCTTTCTGCCAACGTCCTTGGTGACGTTTACGCAAAGTGCGTGGAAGCTGGCTTCAACTCTTACGTCACAAAGCCCGTCGAGTTCAAGGAACTCTCCCTTGCCATGACCAAGTTCCTGGATCCGGCCGACCCTTCGAAACAGCCTGCTCTCATGAAGAAGAAGTGAGAGTGGCTGTCTTTACGTTCACTCATACGCACATACTTTGTATCGAGGCACAGTACTCGATTTCGCTCCTACCTGCATCAGCGAACGGCGCAGTTGGGAAGCTATAGGAGGTGCTACTAGGCACACCGGACATGTCAGTTGTCCACGTTTACTACTATCGCACTAGAGGCGCTGGTTGCTACAAGAGATGCTTCTCGCATCTCATATTCTTAGTTTGGTTCGGTATTCGGATTGTTAATGGCTGTTTTGTTTTGAAGGTGAATGCATGAGCATTTGAAGGCGTATTATTACTTTGGAGCGAGCGCAGCGAGTGGAGGAAGATTCCCCGCGGTACAGTCCATCAGGCGGCATTTTGGCGGCAGACTCTGCCTTGGGATAGAAAGAGGGGGATACTATACATGGACTTGATACCTCAACACGCAGCGGGGATGATTATGCTGACGCAGCGCTACGGATGAGCGCAAACTTGTACGATAGAGACGATGTAACGGAGACGAGAATATATTCAGACCAACACCGATCCTCAACTTCCCAATCTGCGTCTCCTGGTGGGATGAATTGCGCATGCAAAGTGTCCTCACGCGACCGCCATGGACGCGCTAGACATGCATCTCGCGTTAAGAACGCCTTCTCCACCCCCCAAACCCCCAATGCAAACATCACCACTTTCTCCGCTGTTTGTCATCTCGGCGCTGATTGGCCGGACCTTGGAGCATCTGACATCCACATCACGCTAATTGGTGGATACGAACAGGGGTTTGTGTTGTCGTCATTGTCTGCCGGAGCTTCCTCATCGCCTAAAGTCCGAAGCGCACCCCTCTGACACCTGTCGCAGACTGACACTGCATCTTTCGATCCTCTCTCAATTCTCAGGCTTTTCATAGCATCGCGCTTCTGAGTCTGTATATCACAGCATGGCTTCTGCGACCGGGATACCGCCAAATGCCGCTGCGGCGCGTGGCCAGAGTGAACAAGAGCCGCTCCTAGGCAGAAGAGGAGATGCTAGCCAGATGCATGGGCAGCCTCTCTACCATAACCTGTGGATCGGTATGTGCTGTCAAGCTGTGAAGCAAATGCTGTAAGAAAACAGTCTAACAAACTCAGGCACCGCTCCCATCGCGCAAGCAGGCATATGGATTGTAAGCACCAGGCCGACACATCTTCTACCACGTCCATACTAACGCGTCTAAAGCTCGCAGCCATCATCTGGGGAGCCATCTTCTCCAACAAACTCATCTTCTTCTCCGCGCACCCAGTAAGCCCCATGACCATCCCTCCACCCTCAGCCAGCACCAACTAACCAACCCACCACCCAGCTTCTCAACTCCGTAAGCCACAACACCACCCTAATCACCCCCTCCCGCCAACCGTATCATTGATACCCCCTAGGCCGGCTTCCTCCTAGCCATCCAAGCAGCCCTCGTCCTCCAACCCACGCACACCCCCGAACAAAAGCGCTCAGGCACCCTCGCCCACTTCCTCTTCCACGCTGTCGGCGCCACAGCCCTCACCGCCGGCCTCATCATTATCGAAATGAACAAAGCCGGCCCCGGCCACGAACACTTTGAGTCCGCGCACGCGCGTCTCGGCCTCACCTTTTACATCCTCGTGTACATCCAGGCGATTGTGGGCTTCACGCAGTATTACGTGCCGCAGCTGTATGGCAGTGTGGACAACGCGAAGAGTATTTATAAGTATCATAGGATGTCGGGCTATGTTATTGCGGTGTTGGGTCTTGCGACGATTTGCGCGGCGACGTGGACGACGTATAATTTGAATTTGGCGCATATTCAGCATTGGGCTGTTATTGTTGCGAGTGTTTTGGTGCTTGTGGGTGTTGTGCCGAGGATTCGGTTGAGTAAGTTTGGGTTGAAGAGGGAGGAGGGGGAGGTGAGATTGCAGTAGATGGGGAGGCATGAGAAATGAACATGCTTGCGCGGGATGAAGGAAAGATTCAGTCGCATACGAAGAGTACGAGTTGGGTATACTTGATATAGATGATGCTAGGAGTCATGGAAACGGCGTTGCATAGTAGGGTATTGGCATCACTTCATCTTCCACACTCTTCATGTCTCTCTTGTTCCAGAATGCACATCTAATGTGTCATGCTTCTCTTCCAAGCAGAAAGACTTGGGGTAGATCTCAGTTTTGTTCCTTGTGAAGCTAAATGTGAGTATGATATCAGGTGGGTGCTTTCGTTGACTATGAGATTAACATCATGCCAAATTTATATACTGAAGTTACGCGGAAAACTTCTATAGAGTCGTGAGAGCTTGCTTATCCTGAGAGGTGTGAGTACTAAACGGAACATCATAGTTCGGTAAGTGAGTTAGCCTTGAACAACGAATGGATTCCGAGCTATGCTAGTCCTGGTAGCTTGCGGCCAGGGACATTATGTGCGGGCCTTTTGTTGCTCTATTCTAGCAAAAGCTCCAAGCGTTTGTATATCACCCATTCCTCCATCGAGAACTTCCGATGTCGCTTCATTAAGCGCCAATGTTCTCAAGAAAGCCTTCGGAGTTCGGAGAAGCGTGTGATCTCCCTCTACCAACCATTCTCAATGATCTTCTCTTCCAGAATTCCCAGAGCAAGGCCGTTGAACTCAGTCAGGAGGACCTTGACTTCTGGCTTCTTGACCAACCCCATGTGTGCGCTGATCGTGGCACTGACGATGTCGCGCAGACCCTTATCGGTATCAACCGTGGTGGAGAAGACATGGTGAGCGGCGATGGAGAACGCGTCCTTGTCCCAGAAGTGCTTGCAGGCTCTGCTAAATTTCTCGATAGCCAGATCCTTTAGTCCTACGACGTCGTACTTGTCGGCGTACTCGTACATCTTGGCGTGGACAAGGAGTTGACTGGCATGGCCATTGAGTGAAGGCAGCGGAGGAGTGGAAGGGTTGCATTCTTCGCAGTTGAACTTGGAACAAGCGTACCTGCATTCCGTGCCCCCGTAACCATTATACGTACAAGTATGGTGTGGACAGATTCTAGTTTGTCTGCAGTGACTGTTCGGCGAGTAACATGTATGGGGAAAGTCGTAGCTGTAAAGATTCCCACATGAGTCGTGAATTGGCCGGGAAGCTTTGACATTGGCCGACGGTAGCGCTGCTGAAGATTCGCCGTCTGGCAGCAACGGCTTGTACTCGCCTTCGTAGAGATACTGAACCAGGAGCTTGACAATGGCCGGTTCGTCCTCAGGAAGATCGACAGTACCGCTCTCCGACTCCTTCTCAGAGTGTTAGTTTCTGGAGCCTTCTCACTATGTCAAGTACTCACTTGTCCGCCAAATTCGGTGGCACGGGCGAAGAAGTCGGCGCGCTCGCAGACGATGACCTTGTGGACCTTGTATGTGTCGTTGCCGCAAGTGATGGTGAGATCAGAGTAGGCGCCTGATTTGAGGAAGCTGGTAGCAAGTCAACATGATTCTGATATAATGAGTGATTCAAGGGATGCGATGTTGAAAAGACACGTACCCTTTGAGTGAAGCCAACGCTTGTTTTCGAGCAGCCTCCGCCATCTTTTTCGTTGATCGTGGTCGCAGTGATGGGTGAGGGAGGAAACTCAAAGGCGTAGAGAACGGTCCTTCTCTGAACCTTGTCGATCGGCCCAACTTTCTTCCGGGTATAGTTGATTATGAAGTAGAGAGTGCTGTAGAAATAGACAGAAGTAGTGGTGCAGTAGTAACACAAACTTTGTGATATGTATTAACGTCTAACACCGCGAAAAGAAGATCTAACTAACAACAACTGGTTCACAACCTCGCCTCCACCGCCGCCCCTTGCGACGATTGCTCCTGAACCTGCCCTTGACCCTTCTCCCGTATCGCCTCCTCAAAGATCTGCATAAACCGCCAAACATCGCTGAAGGTGTTGTACATTGGTACTGGCGCAACACGAATGATGCCTGGTTTCCTCTTGTCGCAGACAACACCGTTCTCCACTAGCGCCGCGCTTGCATCATCAAAGACATCTTCTGGCAGCAGAACACTGAGTTGGGCGCCGCGAAAACGAGGGTCCGTGGGTGTGATGATCTCGAAGGGGAATTTGCCGTCATTGATGTTGCGTGCCGCAATTTGAGAAAGCAGATGCTCGGCGTATGCGGTCAAAAGTAGAGAACGTGATCGTAGGTCGGCCATGGATGTCTTCTCGAATACGCTGAGTGAGCCAGCTAAGCATGTGAGGTCGACGATCGATGGGTTTGAGCATTGGAAGCCTTGCGCGCCGGGTGTAGGAACGAATTTGTTGTCCATGAGGAAGCGCGATGACTTGTCGTGGCCATACCAGCCCTTCAGTCCTTTGTAGTGATCGTTGTTGCCGTGCTTTTCGTGGATGAAAGCACCGGCAATGGAACCGGCGCCAGCATTCATGTACTTGTATGTGCACCAGCATGCGAAGTCGACATCCCAGTCGTGTAGCTTCAGCTCGGCGTTGCCTGCGGCATGCGCTAGATCCCATCCGATGGTGATGTTGTGCTTGCGTGCGTGTGCGGTGATGGTGGGGATGTCGAGTAATTGGCCGCTGTAGTACTGGATACCAGGCAGCATGATGAGAGCCAGCTCATCGACATTCTCGTCAATGAGCTTGAGAATATTCTTTGTCGTCATGATGTATCCGTCATCCGGCTCGACCAGTAGCATAGATTTCTTCGGGTCAAGACCGTGCCATTCTATTTGCGACTCGATCGCATACCAGTCGCTAGGGAAAGGTCGCCACTCGCACATGATCTTGTGCTTCTTCTCAGTCGGCTTGTAGAATGCAGCCATCATCAGATGCAGGTTGATGGTCAATGTGTTCATCGCAACGATCTCTGAAGGTGATGCGCCGACAATATCAGCCATCTTCTTGGAGCAGCCAGCAGCCATGTCTTGGTAGGGTGTGAGCGGCGAGTCCTCGAGGGCGGTGAAGTGGCCGCCAACAGCGATGGATCCCCATGTCTTTAGGTATGCGTTCAAGTGTTCGCCAACAGCTTTCGGTTGCAGACCTAGAGAGTTGCCGCAGAAGTAGATGGCCTCGTCGTCAGGTGTTGATGCAGGGTTGGCGGTTTGTGCGTCATCGTTCAGGGTTTTCCGCTTTAGTTGCGCCTTGCTGGGAACAACAAACTCGGGTCGGAAAGTTTTGGGAATGTCTGTACTTTGATCGAGGGACTGCGCAAAGTCTGCTGATTCGGCGTTTGTTGGCCACTGTGGCTTTTGCCCTTGGCGAAGCTGTTGGATTGCGGCAGGTGCGTCCATGGTGATGATGTGCTGTATGTAAGGGTATGGTATATCCTGGGGAAACCAACGAGATGCAAGGTGATGTACGAATATGAGAATGCAGATGAATAGACGGCGTCAGACTATATATGCATCACGATCTGGCAATTACGTCTCGAAGCAAGAGGCTTGAGGCTTGCATCAAACTAAGCTTGCACCTTCTTCATTGGGGTGTCGGACTCGCATCCGACATCGCATCCGTCATTCCGAGCTCGGAAGACTATCGGAACGCAACCGTGGGTGCGTGTGGGCCTCGCTCTTCAGCGCAATAAAGCAGGAGTTCGCCGCTACAAGGAAGGACGTACTCTTCCGATATTACTGTGCAACCTTACCGTAGCTACCTTTTCCGTCGCAATGAGCCCTCACAGAATTCCCGTCCTCCCATCATCCGATGCACTACCTAGTTACGGCATCTCGAAGAACGGGTTCTTGCCTGCCGAGCCACCACTAACTCGCCTACCGCATACCTACTATCAACCATGGGAAAAGATCGTTGAGCAGCTTCCAAAACTCATAGAGACACAGCAAATACGGCAGTGGGTCGATGAATTGCCGGTTCTCGATACGTCGCATCTCTCCAGTGAGGCAGAATGGCAAAGAGCACATTCGATGCTCGCTGTCATTGCCCAGGGCTATATATGGACAGGTCCCGAGCCATCAGAGGTATATTAGCATGGATCCGTACTACCATCAAGTGTCCAGCCGCTAACGAAAAATCTAGCGACTACCCCCAGCGATCACTGTGCCGTTTCTCCAGACTGCCGACTATCTTGAGGTGCATCCGGTGGCCACATATGCAGCCTTGAACTTATGGAACTGGACACCACTCAACGAAGACGCCGACCTGACCCAACCAGAGAACATGGTGGCACTACACACAGCGACTGGTACCGATGACGAGTCGTGGTTCTTCATTATCTCGAACGCCATGGAAGCAAGAGCGGGCCCATTGATCGAGGCCATGCTTGGTGCTGTCGAAGCAGTGGAAATCAATGATGTCGCAACAATCATACACGCCCTGCAATACTTCCGACAAGGAATGCAACGCATTGGCCAGCTCCTGGAACGCATGGACGAGCGATGTGACCCGCAGATGTTCTACCACACCATACGACCTTTCCTGGCCGGGAGCATGAACATGGCGAGTGCTGGTCTACCAAACGGCGTCTTCTACGATGAAGGCAACGGAAAAGGCACATGGCGCGCGTACCGTGGCGGTTCCAACGGCCAGTCTTCGCTACTGCAGTTCTTCGATGCTGTCCTCTCTGTCGACCATTCAAGAAGCGGCGGCTTCCACGCAGAGATGCGTGGGTACATGCCCGGACCCCATGCCCGCTTCCTTGACGACGTGCAAGCGATCGCAAACATCCGAACCTACGTCGATAGCCATGCAGACAACACTGAGCTTCTGACAGCGTTCAACGAAGCCGTCGCGGCGCTCAGCGGCTTCCGCGACAAACACATCGCCTTGGTGACCAGATACATCATCATACCGAGCCGGATGGGAAAACCCACTACCGGTCCGAAGAGAAGAGATATAGCTTCCGCTTCGACGGAGTTGGCTACCGAGAAGCCAAAGACGCAAGAGTTGGTTGGGACAGGGGGCACCAAGCTCATACCGTTCTTGAGAACTTCAAGAGACGAGACCAGTGAAACAAAAGTCGTGCATTGAAGTGCCTTGGGAGAAACCTAGAAGAACAAAACTACTCGTGACACCATCGCATCCATCTCGACCTTACGGGAAGAAGTCACCGCCCATCTGCTGGTCGTGAATGGGGAACAGCGGTATATCAGCCACGGATACACCATCAAGGTTGTGAGTGCCCGGCTGGAGGAAATCCTGGAGGCCTTGATCATTCTCACTCGGCCATGGCATAGCAAAGAAGTCGGCATCGTATATAGTCCAATCGAGTGGCGCTGCGGAAGAGACGTTGCGCTGGACGGAGTCTCGGGAGACCAGCGAGCCGTGGCCGAGTTGTGCATCGCATTCGTCTACCTGGGGCGGGACGTTGGTAGGCTCTCCAGGCAACAGGCCAAACAATTCCGACGATGCTTGTTTCCTTTTCCGGCGCAAATGCAGCTCCCTCTTCTTGGCATGTGAAGTAGTGATCCTGAGCAGCGATTGGGCGACTTGTGAATATTGTCGCGCATGAGGGTCGACTTGACCGAAGTAGTCCATGCAGGTGATTGCATCCTTGCAGCTGTCCACTAGCATGAGTCCCGAGTCCCCAAGAATACCAACCGCAAGAACGAGTGTAGCCGTGAAGAGCCAGGATCTGATACTTGTTAGCCTAGTCAGTTGGGTAAGATGGCTTTACTTACACTATCAGTGGCATCTTACGAGGCAACTGCTTTGTAATCGTCACGACTAGCAGTGTATCCACCAAGGTCGACGCGGCATCGAGTGCAGCATCTGCGTACTTGCGCTTCTCTTGGTGATCAGCTTGTGTGCCCCCACTCTTCAGTGGAGCACCCATGTACTCATACAATTCATAAATGAGGAAAGGTCGCGTCAGTAGCATAATGCCATAGTAATAGGAGCAGAGCGTGGAACAAGCGCCCACCACTGCTTCTCGAGAATGAGGCCTAGTCGTAAGATGAGAGAGCTTTTGCAGCCACTTGGACGCCCAGCTCTTCAATTGCCGCGAGACGTAGTCTGCAATGCGTAGTGATATACGTTTGCGGGAATACACTTCAACAACGACGCGTTCGATGATCATGAAGATTTGGACGCTAGCATCCAGTATATTGGCATCATCAACTTCGGTTGTCTCCTCGAAGGCGTTGTATTTGACAGTGCAGTCGACATCGGAAGTAGACGGAGGTCGGCCTAACGCGTTGCTACATGATAAGTTGAGGGTCAGCTTATGCTCTCAAAGTGAAGCTGTGGAGGCTCCGCAGAGCCAGAAGGCGTCCGAAGGGACGATGTCTGTGGGTGTATCTTACCTTATCAATTGGTCAGTGACGCGAATGCTCTTCCAAATCCGGTCTCGCACCAGCTTAATGGTTTCGCCAAACGATGCGTTGACTTCAGTCCGATGTATGCCGATTGCATATGCGGCACGCGCAGCCAGAGCTGAAGAATGTTAGCAATTTGTATACTGCCATTCCATTCTCTCACGTGCATACAGAAGTACAAGTAGGCTCCATTCGGTTGAGATGCTCGCAGCATGTAGATCGCTACGAGGGCAAAGCCTTGGACGGTAGAAACGTTCATGCTACTGCACATATGCTTCAGAAGCACATCCCGAGCAGTGTTGAACCAGGCTTCCGCCTTCTCTTCATATCGTTCTTGGGCACCGATCGCAAGGACGAGATAGAAAACCGCAGCTGCAGCATCGTCTGAGCTCGAGGTTCTGCTGCTTACCCATGCTTTCAGTTCGGGAGCAAGATCCTCTCGCTGGAAAAGCTGAACGAGACCACTGCTTGCAGCCATGTATTCATCCACTAGTGTGTCGACCTGATGCACATCAATTGGAGGGCATGAGGGCTGACCCGCTGACTCTGGCCGAGCGATCTCGATGATGGGGTCGCGAGTGGCTTGGACAGTAGCTCTTGGATCCACCTCGGATGTGATGAGATGCCTGACTGTCTGCAGGAAAGACAGCGGGGCGCAGTCGCCAATGAAGATAGATTTTCCCTGTGCGTCACGAAGGATGCGGCCTTCAAGAGGCACCACTGTATCGCCTTGTTGATCATCTCTGCTTAATGTTGGCGAGAGTGATGTTCCATCCTCGGCAGCTTCACGATCAAGTCTTTGTCGCACAGCATCGTCCTGTTCATCGCGATCGCGATTATTAGGTGTATGGCCTGTAGAACGGGGGTGAGGACGGTGGATATCGTCGGAACGGACACCGTGAAGGGGAGTGTGACCGGCAGAATGCGCTTGTGGGCGTGCATGATGACCACTGAACGTGCAAGTAGCCGCGCGATCTTTTCGAGTGCAATAGGCGCATGGTTGCTCGCCATCGCATTTTACCTTTCTTTTCTTGCACAGATCGCAGGCCGCAGCGACGCGCTCAAGTCGGCGCCGTTTTTCCGGACGCGTCGTTGCCAGTCCATCCGGTGTTGACATCTCGTGGGGAAATGTAGCGTCAGCTGAGTGCGGATAATTAGCTACCAGCTAGCAAGGCGCGTGGATGCACTGTGTGGTTGCTGGAATGGCTTGACGGAACATCCGACGAAGCTGAAGCTGTCGGACGGATGACGACTGCGGCTGAAGACGGGTTTGCATTGCACTAGATGCATTAAACCGACGCACAGACGGCATCGCGCGGACTCGTTCCGAGCATCTGTCCAGCGCCCACATCGTTACACCGCGTTGATCGGACAATTCTTGAACGTGATCTCAGTCAAAGTGGTCATGATGTATAGCAGTGTTTTCTTGGCTAACGATCTCACGAAGAGATATGTGACGTATACACCTAACCAATAGCTTCAACGCCACAACTTCCATGAACGCTTTTCAACGCGCTGCAAGCCTCGCTTCTCAAGTGCACCCTTCTCGTGTCCAACGCCTATCGTCCATACCAATGCGCTCAATATCTCTCCCTCGACAACCCCGTCCACCTCCCTAAGACCTCTCTCCTCGAACCCCAACCTCTTCAAAACATTTGCGCTTGCCGTGTTTTCCGGTTTACAAAAACCGCAGAACTCCTTGTGTCCTTTCACGTCTGTGAAGTACTCAATCAAACCCGCTGCAGCTTCAGTAGCGTACCCGTTTCCGAGGTACCGGGGTAGGAAGCTGAACCCGACGTCTGGGATTGTTGGCGCGGACGGTTCGGACGGGAAGCGTGCGAGTTGCATTGAGACGATGCCAATTGGCGTTAGTCGTCTCTTTGAGAAAGGGACGTCCTCGTCTTCGTGCGGTGAATTGATGTGTAAAGCTGAGTTTTGTCTCAGCGAGACCAGGTAGCGACCATAGCCTGTTGTCTCCATCCTTTCAACGTCCTTCGCGATGAACTTCCTCCCAACATCGCGAGGGGTCGCGCTCTCTGCCTTCTCCGCGTCGACTGCGGGCTTCTGCTCAACGAGACCTGGACTGAACACTAGCTCGTATACGAAATCGTAATGAGCATCGTTCGTAGGACTGAGGTGCGATATGAAGAGACGAGGTGTCGTGAGGTGGAAGTCAAAGTCAAGCATTCTGTTCAAGGCTGAAAGCTTATTTGATGGCCAATCTCTGCTATATGTATATTCCTTTCTGAACACACTGGATGGTGGCTGCCTAGAGATACGAAGCATGGCTCACGTAAATCGGGTTTAGTCTGAACATTATTGATCCTTCGCTCCATCACGTGATGGCGGAATCATGCTTCAAGATGTCTTCGGGTGATGATAGGCAGCGACAAAGCTGATTGATTGGTTATTCTAACTAGGTATAACATGCGACTGTATGACTACCGCACAACATAGGCAAGATTCTGAAAGTCTAAGGAGCCGTCTGCGTCGCAGTCGCCGCAGTCCGCCAATAGGCATGAGCTTGCATAGCTGGAGTGGTTGTCGCTGGAACATCATCGTAACACCTGCCAAACCATCCCTTCGAGGTGCATGTAGTTGTTGGTGCAGCTGATGTAGTAGTAGTCGTAGCAGTCGTAGTAGGTCCGGTAGCAGTCGTTTTGTCTTTACAGCCGAACCATCCGGGCTTCAAGAAGTCAGCTATGTAAGCACGATTACAAGATTTCAGGACTCACAGTCTGACAGGTACTTGTACTTGTGCTGGTTTCAGTACTTGATACGCTGGACGATGTCGTTGATACCATTGTGGTAGTCTCATCACGGCATCCCCACCACCCAGGCGTCTTACATGTCTCGGTCCGTGTCCTCGATGATGTGGTACTTGTTGGGATTGTTGAACTACTCGTCGTCGTGGTTTTCGTCCCGTTCTCAAACTTCCATAGGTAGCAATCGACACAACCAACATCCTCTTCTTGGCATGTTGCTGCCTCGTCGTACTTCATGTACACATTGTCAATGGCGTACCTCAGGCTATGGGTCTGTGTGTTCTGTCTCCAGCCCCAATCTTTAACCACATCGTATGCGCATTTCTTTCCGGTATGGCAAAGCGTTTCGAAGGCGTACCCGCCGATAGAGCAAAAGCTGGTCGCGCCGTTGCAAGTTCCCATGTACACGGGGTCAGCGGTATGCCCGAAGTGAAAGCCACCTGTATTCTTCCTGAGTGGAGCAACGTCACCGGCAGCTGGTAGTCCTAAGCGCTTAGCTGCCAAAGCCTGTGGGTAGGCTTCAAAGGTCACCGCAGGGATACCGTGCTGCAAGCCGATCAGAGAGGCGAGGACGCCTCCTAGACTATGTCCTGTCGTCATGATGTGCGCATCCGGATAGACTTTGACAACTTCCTGATACAACTCGACAGTCGCGGCATAGTATCTGTTCGGCTTCCGTAACTCCTTCTTAACGCATTGCTCGTCGCAGCTGTAGGTGCCAGTCTGACAGTCGCACACTTTGCGCCAAAGATATGTGCCGCCCTGACCGCAACAGCAAGAGCCGTACAGGTTGTCGTTTTCTTTGTCGTGCACCGATGTTCCGTCGCCTTCGAACATGGCTACTGTCGTTCCCTTTACCGCCAGGATAATAGTGGAGTTGGTGTCATCGCTGAAAACATGACCTCGGATGCCACTATCATCCCAGCCAAAAGGGACCGACGAGTTGTAATGCCCATCGACGTCCATCCATCCAGCGTCATCAGGGCCGACTTTGTAAGCATCTTCGGACATGTTTGCGAAACTGATAACCGTGTTCTTGTCCGTGACATCTGGACCTGGTATATCCTCGGCGATCCACATGGGCGACATAGGGATCTGTGCATCGTAGCCACGTGACGCGGGTCTTTCGATCTTGACTGGCGCCGTCTTGATAGTGAAGGGCCCGATGCGGGAGTCGACACCAGCAACGGCAAACCGCTCTGGAGTCACATCAAACCTTCGTGCTCGTGGTCCAGGTTGCCCAGCACCGTGATCTAAAACGTGGCGAAGAGTGAAGCCGTTTGGTCTTGGTGATGTCTTGGTTGTTGTTTCCGCTAAGGCGGTCGGCTCACGGGGGTTGCCATAGCTAGTGTAAGTCCAGAAGATGCAGGCAAGCAACGCGACCTGCGCGATGACGCCAAAGGCGAAGAGACTGGTAGAGGGCCTGCTCCGATGATTAAGAGTCGATTTGTTTGATTGCATGATTTGTGGACATTACAGAAGAGACAACAGGGCGAGAGACGGGACTGTTATGATAAGCGCGGCGATGGCTGAGTCGCCGCTGCGCACGGGCGGCGATGGCTCGTGACGGGCAGTCTATGCCTGTTTCGGTTAGCAAATTATGCTACGTCACGCGTGCTTCACCCACGCGCACATCACATCCGACGTGGATTACTTCACGACTTGCGAACAACGTGAAAGTCATCGAGCAATAACGCGAAATTTTTTGAGCGCATGATGTACCGATAGACTATGTTTGTATATCAATAATATAGTTTAAGCGGAACGCGTCCCGCCGCTATTGCCCCGGCAGCCGGTCAGGAACGATCAATGCACTACAGCACATCAGCACGGTGCAACTGCCGGTGTCTGTTCTTTCAACTCCTTCATGTGGACTTTGACATGGGCCGACACGCTGGGCTCTGTCAAAAGACCGTGCTAGGCGTGACAACACGTCGAATCGCGGCGCCGGCGTTGAGCTCCACTAACTTCGGACCGTTGAGTCCTGGCCTTCCTGTCGAAACATCATCAAGGTGTTGAACCCTTCTCTCCCATATCATCTCAGCATTTATCGATCATGGCTTTTCCCAAGCCGCTTCTTTATCTCTTGAAATGTCGCCGGCACAGCGTTCGACAAGCTGATTGCCGCACAGATCGCACCACAGGTAACAGGAATGATGTGGCTTGTCTTACAGCCATCCAGATACCCTTTCAACACCTGCTCAAGCTCATGACCCGAGAACAGCCCGCGGATCTGCGTCGCGCCAGCATCCATTATCTCTTTCGCGTCGAGTTGAGGCAAGTTGCGGGCGAGGCTTGAAAGTAGTCCGTTCGTGAATGCCGCTTCACTCGATGCGACGGCAAATACGGTACCAGTGTTCTCCATGAAGAGCGACATAGATGTTACAGCGGCCAGGTCGTCAGCAGAAACGAGAGCTTGATTGGCAATCATCGGGATTTGAAGAGCGAGGCCCACCCCCGTGGCTGTCAATAGCTCGAAGCCGACCCAGTCTCTGGTCGGTGCGCTGGCATCCAAGGAGTGTATCTTTACGTTTCCAGCTACGGCCAAGATTGCTCCAACCAAGAAAAAGGGCTTGTAGTGGCGCCAGAAGGTGAGCGTTCCATTAGATATCATGGTGAAGAGCGAGACGCCCATGACGAGTGGTATAAGTCGGACTCCACTCTGCGAAGCCGTGTTGTTGTTGACGGATTGGAACTGGATTGGCAGTGTATACATGAGCGGGAAGAAGGCGCCCGCGATGAAGGAAGCATATAGCAGATTGGCGAAGACCAGTTTGTTCTTGAACACGCGAGCTTGTACCATCGCGCAGCTCCCCATATAGCGTTCGTTGATCGCAAAGCAGATGAAAAGGCCCACGAAACCGACAAAGCTGCCAATGATACGAGCACTAGTCGGAGGCATGATGCCGATCCAGTGCGTGGCTAGAATGAAGCAAGAGAAGCATCCAGAGAGTAAGATGGCGCCGTTAAGGTCCAAGTTCAGGAGCTTCTCGCGGAGAGGTACATCCTTAGGCTTTCCTGGGTCATGAAAGCAGAGGAACATCGTGAGCGCAGCAGCGAAACCAATCGGTAGGCTGATCCTGTGTAGTGTCAGTGCACCGATCTTGACCTTGTAATGCCTTTCTGGTTTCTGTTCACATGGAAAGAAGTTGGTGAGGGGTGTATTGCAGACGGCAAAGCAGTCAAAACACAAAGCGGGGACGTACCAAAAGCAATATCGCCATCCAGGGCCGTCTGTCAGAACGCCACCCAGTAACGGTCCCACAACGCTTGCAGATCCAAAAGTCACACCAAACACGCCCATATAAGCGGCCCTGTACTGTGGTCCAGCTGTCATTGCGACGATGATGAACGCACCCGTCATCACTCCGCCACCGCCCATGCCAGACACGATTCTCCCAAAGATCAAGACCTCGCTTGTTGGTGCTGTTGCGCATATCACGTTTCCAACTTCAAAAACTGCGATTGCAGACATGAAAGTGGCTTTGAGGCTGAAGTACTGGTAGGCTTTGCCCCACGCAGATTGGAATGCAGTATTGGTAATTGCGTAGGACGAGCCATACCAGGCTAGGCTGCTGATGCTACGAAATTGCGTAGTAATGCTCGGGATCGCGGTAGCGATGATTGTGGAGTCCAAAGCAGCGAGGAAGATGGAGAGGGCGAGACCGACTGTTATTAAGACCAAGCGGATACCACGAGGGTATTCAACGACCGATGCAGTCTCCTCTGATGGGGTCTCAACCTTGGACGCCCCAAGGTTGGTGAGCTCAATTGGTTCGTCGCTCATGATCTCATGCCTTGAGGCGATTCCGTTGAGATGTTGAAGAGTAGAGGTGGAAGTTCGAGATTGCTGGCCGTGTCGGTCGTGTAGAGCGTAGTGTCAGCGCTAAAAATCGGAATGGGCCAAGTGTCGGGATAAAAGCTTCCTCGGCTGGTGCTTACACCGATCCTTGACTAACACACTACTTCCTTCGCGCCTCGAAGCACGAAGTTTTAACGTAATGAACGATCGACTTGAAGCCCTAGAGGTGTCGAAGAGGGATTTGCTATGAGTTGCAACTAGCAGGCGATGGAAGTACGATCGGAAATTTAATCATAACAGCTTTTGATGTAACAGACGATGCTGTGTAACAGTGTAGGACGTATGCTGCAATCGCATGAATGTCACACACAAGCCGCACTAGGGGTGTCTACAATTTGTGGTGTAGTCTACAAGAGCCTTGGGCGTTGTTGAGGATATCATTAAGGTAAATGTTTATGTTGTCTTAGGAGCTACCTACTTGTCAATGTTTAATAGTGTGTATGCAGCAAGCGCGACACAAATTCTAGCCACACTTGATGCCCTGGCAGAGTAACAGACATAGAGCTTGTTGACACGAGTCTTCCTAGCTGTGCTACTGGCGGTTTTTACTCATCTTTGTGCCCACGCACAATGTGAAACCTCGTTACGGATGTCCGTGAGGCTTGGATGGCCTCGAGACAGTTCGCGATACGTTGCATCGTCTGTGGGACCGTGTTCCGTTACTTGTGCGTGTAGACGGTGCCTGATTATGACACATAGCTACCGTACATGGCTAAGAGCTATTGCGACGTGGGATTCCATCGAGTATCTTGGGTAGCGTTGGTGGGTGGTGACGCCCTGTTGAAGTTTGGTGGGGATGCTCAGGCTATCGGCTCCCTGGCTGTCGGCCCGCAGCGTGTCGTGGTTCCCAGCAGCCAGGCGCGTGTCGGGTCGAGCTTTCACACCTTCACACCTTGACGCCGCTTCTGCCCTCGAATCCTCAGCGTGCGCGCCAGATTCAAGACAAACATCATGGCTATAACGCCAAGAATAGCGACAATGCATGCGAGTGGAGCCAGGATAGAAAACAGTGAGAAGACGTACGACGCCATGCCGAAGGAGTAATCGTTTGCGAGAGGCTCTGTCGAAAGCCCAACCTGCATCGCGGAGAGCACGATGGTAGTGTATGCGAATAGCGTGATAAGACTGTTAACGTTGTCACGCATAAAGGCTCCATACGTGGTGCAGCCGCTCAGGTACCCGCGCAACTCGCCCATGGTCAAGCGATATATCCAGTTTAGCCGCCCGAGTCGTAATTCGCCATAGTTGAAGCGTTGGTTGACGCCTGGACGGTCCTCTAGCAAGCTTACAGACGATGCAGCCGAGGCATCAACTTTATGCGTCTGTACCGAGCCGCGGACAACCTCATCAACGAGCGTCAGCCATCCAGCCCAAGTGACCTCTTTAGGGACGAGGCCGTGGTTGATGGCTAGATTGTAGTCAACTTCTCTCTCGATAAGCGCGACATACGACAGCAAGAAGCCCAATGCCGTCTCGTACAACTGCCGACGTGGGCAGATCTCCGTGACCCAGAAAGTCGGGCAGAGAAGGAACCGCGGCAGTGGTTTGAGCAGAATTGATGCCGAAGACGACGACGAAGACCAAACGAGATGCAAGTCTAACTGCTCCGTCACCACAATTTCCCGTTTTTTTACGACTTGATAATGGAGAGGTCGCGGCGCGCTTGGAAGGCCCACGAGCCAGAGCCATTTGTGAACATCGTTCAGTCGGCGGACGTTCAGCTCGATATCCAGAAACGCACCAATATCGTTGCCGACGGGCTCGATTTTGTAATTCCTCCGGTATGTTGCTGGCAACAACGGAACCTCTGGCTTTAAAGAACCATCCGAGCTTTCAGTCTTTAACAGAGCCGTACGGAAAGGCGCTGGGTATTTTATCGTTTGCTATACGCTGTTAGTGTAATGCCGGATGCTCATGGTGTGCTACTGACCTCAGAACAGTCAATCATTGTGGCAACGACATGGCTATCGTAGGAAAAGAACGCGACAGCGAGAGGGGCTTGAGTCCGTCGCCCAGACGGATTGGCGAGCCTCGACCCCGGTCTCGCCCCATCACCAACAGCGCCAGGCGATCGATATTCGGCAATCAATACAGTTGTGTCCAAGCGGCTGTACGCCAGCGCTGACGCATCTCCCGCGTCTTACCGTTTTCGGTAATTTGGCCCCCAAAATAAGCGGCCCCCAAAGTCACCAGTGAAATCCCCATGCAGGGGGTAAAGCCATCAACGAAAGCCCAGCGCCTTTCGAACTCAGAAGGCATGCCTCACGAGATGGTTTCGACATTACGCTATAGCCTTTAGTTGCCAGTTTGCAGCGCGATTCTGCAGCAGCAGCACGATTCGTGATGGCTTCGGCCACCAAAGTCCAGCATTCGAAATTCGATGCGCAGGTCGGTTATGTCCTCATAGTCAGTCTTCACACGTTAACAAGCGCAGTCTTTCAACCCAGGACTGAACGTCGTCTACCCTAGCGATGAGCAGGCAACGTCAAAGTTCTCGGTCAAAATCGAGTAGGTGGCTTCAAGTCCAACGCGGGAATTGAACGCTAAGAACTTCGAGGATCATCGCCATTCCAGGCTTGGGAGCGGACCCCGAATATACATGGAAAAAGAGCAAAGTACATTGGCTTCGCGATGCCAACATGCTTCCGAAGAAGATTCCACATGCCAAGATCAGCGTTTTCCAGTATCAGTCGCAGTGGTTCGGAAAAGGATCGGTTGACGAACGCATCGATAATGTCGCGAACAAACTACTACATAGCCTCGACAGGTCACGAGTGGTGAGTTAGTACGTACTTGTGAGGACTACATGCTAATAACGTATTGGAGAACGAAACCAAAACGCCCATCATCTTCATCTCACATTGTCTCGGGGGCATCATTCTCGAAAAGGCCCTACTGATGTCGAGGTCACGCCAGCAAGACTTCCCCAACGTGTATCCTTGGATCGCAGGATGTTTCTTCCTCGGTACTCCTTTTCACGGCACCTCAAGCCAGTCCAAAGCGATGGTTCTGGCATCTATGGCTGAGGTCGCCGGCTGGGGCACGCCATCCAGCTTACTCAAGGTATTAGAAAAAGACTCGGATATTTTACGCAGTCTTCTCACCGAATTTTCTTACATGGCGCGAGAGGCTCAGTTTCGGCTACTTTGCTTCTGGGAAGAAAATGATAGCGATCTGGTTAACTACCTCGTGAAGGGAATCACATGGCTGAAAAGCAAAGAACGCATCGTGGATCAATCTTCGGCAACAATCGAATCATTCGACAGCATCTCCCTCATGTCAGATCATTTCCAACTCAACAAGTTCCCCGGGCCAAAAGACGGTAACTTCACTTCCGTTTCTGATGAAATCCGTGAGACAGCCAATAAGGCGGATAGCATCATCAAGACGCGTCAGAACATGCTTCGACAATCTCAAGTGGATGATCGCACCTATCACAGCATGATGGATGCCCTCGGCAAAGGATTTGCCGACGTGGAAGCCGCTGTAAAGGGCACTTACACAGGAGCGAAGGGCACGAAGTCATCATCAGTGCTGGAAATCGAAAAGTTCCAGACCTGGAGGAATTCGAATGCCAGCCCTATCCTTTGGATCCATGGAAAGGCTGGTACGGGTCAAGGTGCGATCGCATCTTCCGCTCTTCAACTTCTCCGAAATGCACAAGCAGACACCTCTATGATTATATCATTCTTTTGCGACCAGGGTGACACGATGCGACGATCGCTCAAAGGCTTGCTGCAAATGGCTGTCCGCCAGATAATCGACATGGACCAAGATCTTGCGCGACACCTGCTTTCAGATTCTCGGAGCAGCAAAGACGCTGGAAAGCAAAGCTTTGACACCGAGGAGATACTCAAGGTGCCCGCTTTATGGATAGCACTACACAAGATGGCGCGGGATCTGCCTAACACTAAGATCTACATCGTGGTATACGGTGTGGAGCAGCTTGCGGAGGAATCATTGGAACGATTCCTGCGGTACATGTCAGAGACGCTAGACACCGACGTTACGACAAGCGATAAAGAGGAGTGTCAACCCGTCAGATGGCTGCTTCTGAATCGGAGCGGCCGCCCAAACATTGAGAAATGCTTGAGACCGAGATCGTTGGAGATCAATCTGAACGACGCCGAGAACTCTGCACAAGCTAGTGACGATCTCAAAGCACACATATCTGTCAGCGTCGACGAGCTTGAGCTTCCAAGGTCTTTGGCATACTTCGTGAAGCGCCACATCTACTCGCGCGCGGAAGACAATTGGATCTACGTTAGTCTAGTCATTCAGGAAGTCAAGAATGCGTGGGTTTCTGGATCTACTCAGCACGCAGAGATCCGAAGACTGTTAGAGTCGTTTCCCTATGGTTTAACCGACATGTTTGAGCACGTGCAGAAGCGCGTTCTAAACCCACAAGCGAAGGGTCACGAATACACGAAAGAGATATTGCGTTGCAGGATCTCGGCATATGTAGCGCCCACGATGCGCGAGCTTGCAATCATGGCTGGGCTGCCTCAGCAAGATCGCGACGATCTTGAAAAGCTGAAAGCATACATAGTCCGCTGTGGTGCCTTCTTCACCTTGAGAGGTAACGATTGGGATTTGGATAACAGCACTGTCGAGTGGATCGATATCTCTGCGCAGGAGCACCTCCGACAGTATGCAAAGAACGACTTATCTCTGGATCTCGACGATGTTCAGCACGGCATCATCGCGTTACGTTCGTTGGAGTATATATACGACGCCATCAAAAACCACGACGCTACAGAGCGTGAGGTAGATATTGAAAACGAAGAGCGAGAGGAAAATGAAGAGGAAGAAGAGCCAGCGGAGGATCGTGACGTCGGAGCAGAGGAGATGGCCGACACGGCCGAAGCCGACAGCAAGTCAGTACACGATAGCGCAAGCCAACAAAGCGAACAGGACGAACAGGAAGAAGATGAAGAAGAAGACGAAGAAGAAGACGAGGCTGATTCATCCTCGGTTGGAGAAGAGAATGAAGACGAAGGTCTGCTAGACGTTGATCTACGATACCCTGTTCGGTACTGGGTGGAACACGCGAAGCGAGCACCACCCGATGTGCTCGAAGAAATCGACTTTGACCACTCATTCTGGCAAGAAGACTCCGATGCCCGTCAAAGATGGTGGAAAACCATAGAAGAAGTCCATAACATGACGGATCAAAGAGATGTATCACCACTCCATGTCGCCGTGATCCTCGAGTTTCCCGCTTTGGTCGACCACATTCTTAGCCATAGAGGGACATCGGAAATCCATGTACAAGACTCACTGGGCTTCCAGCCTATGTATTATGCATGCGTTGGTGGCCGTGAGGAGATTGTCAATGCGCTACTGGGAGCAGGTGCCGACATCGACTTCTCGAGCAGCAGTGCCAACCCTACCGCGCTGCATGCTGCGTCAAGTAACGGCCACTACGATGTTGTCAGCACTTTACTCGACCGTGAGGCCGATGTAAACGCTACGTCGTCCGATCATGGAACAGCGCTTTACGCGGCTGCCGGCAACCTCGAGAATCGCATCGTGAAGCTTCTGCTCGACCGCAACGCCGATGTCAACGTCATTGGTGGACCTGGCCGAAGAGCGTTGAACGTGGCCGCATTCTCAGGGAATACTGAAGCTGTTCGCGTATTGATCGAGCGTGGCGCTAGCATTGACCCTAACGAAGAGTACTTCTACGGGTCTGCACTTGGTGCCGCCGCCCGTCGGGGACATGCTGACGTTGTTCGTCACCTCTTGTCGCAATCGTGGAACCCAAGCCGCCCGATGAAGACCTATGGAAGCTTTTTGAATGCAGCTGCTACCTACAACCATCTGGAAGTCTTCGAGATCTTGCTCGAGAAAGAGGAGCGCGTTCTCGTGCTCGAACAGGCGTTGCAAGCTGCTGCACAACGGGGCTACGATGCCATTGTCCAGGCTGTTCTGGAAAAAGAATCGAAAGTGCCGTCATGCATCATCAGGTATCAGAGAGCGTTCTCTTTGGCCGCCCTCTACGGTAGAACGGAAGTGCTCAAGTTACTTTATCCAAAAGGAATCGATCAAGCGCAATTAGACGAGGCCCTCTATCAGGCTACCGACAAGGAGCACCTGGAGACCGTGAAGTTGCTTCTCGACTTTGGCGCCGACCCAGATACGGAAGGACCTACGTACGGATTTGCGTTAGCCGCCAGTGCATACGACGGTACAGCGGACATCATGAAAGCTCTTCTCGATAAAGGCGCAAATGTGAACAAACGCGGTGGAGATTATGGCACTTGCCTCCAGGCAGCGGCATGGTTTGGTGATGCCGACAACGTTCGATTGCTACTTGAGCGCGGAGCCCAACTCAATACTGAACCCATTGGTTATTACGGCAACGAGCTGCAAGCCGCCGTTCATACTGGCGATGAAGACACCATTCGCCTTCTCATCGAAGAAGGAGCTGATGTGAACGCATTTGGAGGACACTTCTCTTATGCTATTGTTGCTGCGGTGGAGCAAGGCGACAGCACTGCGACCAAGATTCTGTTCGAACACGGCGCTCATGTCAACGTACGCGGAGGGGAGGACAATTGGCCAGTGATATCATTGGCGGCATCGACATTGCTTACTGAAGACCTGGAGCTTCTCTTGCAGAACGTCAACGACATCAATGCAGCCTGCGCTAAAGGTACAACAGCTTTGATCAATTGCGCCGACGCATGCGATGCAGATGGGTTGAGGTTTCTCATCTCTCATAACGCCGACGTGCATATCTCAAGCGACAAGTACGGTACAGCACTCCACGCCGCAGCGTAAGTTCAAGCCGCCCTTACTTTTCTCCAGAGAAACTAATTTCTACACAGTGCCGAAGGCGACGAGGACTGTTGCGAGATATTGCTCCAAGCTGGTGCGGATGTCAACGCTGTTGGCGGGCCATATGGAACGCCGTTACAAGCTGCTGCATGGGCAGAGGACATGGAAAGCGTCCAAGTCTTACTGAAAGCAGGTGCCGACATTAGCATCACGGAGCCCATATCCGGCGAGTATGGTACGGCTCTACAGGCCGCTTGTGCTGCTGGCTCTTTTGATATTGTCAAGGAGCTGTTACAGCATGGTGCAGCTGTTAACGTCCGGCCAGCGAATGGAAAGTTTGGCGGCGCACTATCTGCGGCCGCTGCCGGCGGATTTGACAAAATCGCAAAGCTTCTCATCAAACATAACGCTGATGTGAACGCTAGTGGTGGTTTATACGGATTCCCCATTCTGGCTGCCGCTCAGTCTGGGGTTTTGCCTGTCGTTCAGCACTTGCTCGATAACGGGGCCAATGCTTCAGCGCTGGGAGGTTTACTTGGCTCCACGGTAGCTGCTGCAGCTTACGGCAACAACTTGGACGTAATGAAGTTGCTGATAGAACATGAGGCCGATGTACACGCAAAGGGAGGGAAGTACGGCGACGCCCTACAAACAGCAGCGATGAAAGCCGATGTTGCTATCATTGAGGAACTTCTCGACAGAGCTATCGAACTCGTTAATCATCGCGATGGCAAATACCACACCGCTCTCGTAGCTGCCTCATACTTCAATCGTATGGACGTGGTTATCAAGCTACTTGATGCTGGAGCAGACTTTCGGGTCCAAGGCGGAATGTATCGAAGTGCTATTGCTGCGGCCGCCATTCGAGGCAACAAGATTATCCTGGATAAGTTTCTGACGATGAAACCCCCGGATCACCTCCTAGATGAAGCGTTCATTGAAGCTTGCGCTTATCGTCAATCAGCTTGCGTTGACGCTCTACTCAAGGCTGGCGCCAACGTCTACGCACGAGATCCGACTCGGGGATCCGCGACCGAAGCACTTGATGCCGCAGAAGAGGAAGGTTATAACTCCGACCTGGATGATGGCGATGAAGACGATGAAGACGACGACGAAGAAGATAGCGAAGATGAGGACGAGGAAGAGACTGAGGATGACGAATGGGAGGGTGACGACGTCTCCATGGCTGGACAGACCGACGCAGGCAGTGTCACTGATGTGGAACTTGAAGAAGAGTTGTCGGAAGAGGCCAAGATAAGAAAGTTGCTGAGAGAGGCGCAGGATCGCTGCAAACGCAACCCAACTGTGAAGCGGTTTAGGACCGTGAAACACCAAGAAATTCCGACAAGCCTCAGTGTTGGGATAAACCGTCATCGTCCGGCACCACCATTGCCCTCGCAAGTGGTGCGCGAATCTAATACGCAGAGCGATGAAAAGGAAGTTGCACTACCACATGGACAGTACGCTCAGGAGCCCTGGAGTCTGCCTTTCCACATTAGATCAGGAAACGCAGAGGCTACAACGGTTCAACATGCTCAACAAGCTCCAGAGGTTCCAGTATCATCGTACGCTGGATATCCAGCCCCTGGACCTGCTCAAGGCAAAGTTCAATCTCCACCATCATCGTCCGAACGGATACGATCGTCCATTGATGATCGACAACGACAAGACTCGGCCTCTTCCCTGCCATCACAGAGACATAGCTCGATTGGATCGACAGCTAGCGTACCGCAGCCTGACAGTATGGCGTTGAGAAAAGGTAGTGCAGACCACGGACTGAAGAGACAGAGTAAGGCTGTAAATCGCAAGTCAGTTGCAAATCTGGAAGCGGTCAATCGGTATCACCAGCAGCGGCAGTCGAGCTACTCGAAGCCCACGCCACCTCTAGACCGATCGATATCAGAACACGATTACGCTGCTCAAGGTCAGCAGGTCGCGTCTCCACCACAGTATGGATCACCTCCGATTGCTCCACAGGGCAACAACACTGGTGCCGTGAATCAATCGTACCCGCCACCTCTGCCACACCGACAATCACAACAGTTCAATCAGTCTCAACCATGGATGTATCCAGGTCCACCACAGCCACCTCAACAACAGTACTTGGCGTATACATCGCCACCGGTCCCTTCAGCACAGCAATCATACATGCCTTATTCGCATACAAGCGCGGCTTCATCTCCTGCTTCGAGGCCGAGTAGCCAGTATACGAATACAAGTAGCCAGTATGCACCCTGGGATACGCCGAACTCAAGTATAACCACGGTCAATAATGTGCAGGGTCAGGGTGAGGCGCAGGGAAGGAGATGGGCGAGTGGTGGGTATGAAGGGCAGGGATACGGATGAAAGGCTTCTTGTACCTGTAACATATCGTGTAAACATGCGCGCAAATGTAATTCTTTCGGATCGACCTAGCTATCTTCACGTTCCTCTCGTTCGTCCAACATCTTACCAGCACCCACCTAAGCTACCTTCCCATCCCTAATCAACGCACTCAATGTCTCATTTCTCGCTGTCCACTCGCCAAACTCCTCCCCATACTTAGCTACCAACAAATCACTCACCATCCGTGCAAACACCACTTCACCCCACGGATTCAGATGCGTGCGATCATTCCCCGTCGTGCCGTTCTCACCCCAGTTATACGTGTCCGCGCCCTTCTGCCCAATTGCGTTTACATACGCCGTCGACGCTTTGTTCAGATCTATGACGTGCAGGTCGTTGGACTGGGCGACGTCGAGTGTGATGGCGGTTTCGTTCGACAGGTTCTCGATGACGCGGCTGGTAGTCGTGTTGAATGTGCGGCGGGTGAGGGGGGAGAGGAGGATGGGTGTTGCGCCTGCTTGTAAGACTTCGGAGGCGAAGGTTGCGAGGTTGGTGCGGTAGTCAGTTAGGGAGACGCCCGAGGCGGGCTTTTGGTCGTTGTGGCCGAACTGGTGGAGTGTTAGTTATTTCCTTTCTCTCTCTCTCTCTTGTTTGAGTGCCATACCTGAATCGTCACGTAGACCCTATAATCCTCCTTGTACGTGCCGATGTCTCTGGTCACGTTGGCCCAGTCGCCGCCGGCACGGAAGGATCTCGTTGTCGCGCCGCTATGTCCGTAGTTGTGGCCTGTTGAACCGCTCGCAACGGTTGTGGAGAGGAAAGCGTAGCCCCAGCCGCCATTGGTGGCGGTGGTTGAGTCGCCGGCTAGGAGCCAGTAGATGGGTTTCGTGGCTTGTCGGTGGAGTATGGCGGGTGCTGCGAGAGCGAGAGGGATGAGAGCAAATAATGTCGCACGCATGATGAATGTTCGCAATGGCCTATAGAGGGTTGCTAGGGGTCCTGAAATGTGAGCTTCATCCAATACATAAGTACGTTGTTAGCAGCGACAGCTATACCGCGCTCAGCCATTGCGCCGGCGGAATGGAGAGCATAGATCTTCCAGATTTGGGTTGCCATATTGCATCTTTACTTTGCCTGAAGCAGCTCTACATGCGCTCGTGATGCGCGGAAGGATGGCCAGAAACCGAGTGGTGGTGGCAGATCTTCGGGGAGTTGGGATGGATGGTAGAGGAGTTGCGGGGTGCGGCGCTAATCGTCAGGTACCTCGCGGTAATGCAGCCCGAGATGCTTCATGCCGCCATGGGCAGGACACTCATACCAGCACGTTATGCGACTCTGTTCAATTGTGTCGCATGATGTAGCTGGCGATGTTGAAGGTCTGTGAACGATTTCATCACATGCACTCATGAGAGCTTCGCCGGGACGGATGCGTATGTTCGTGCGACTTCCGATCAGATCCGCCATGCTAGGCGGCAGCGAAAGTCAAAGATTTGCGAATGCCGCATGATTCTCGACATCGCAAACGGCTCGTGGAACATATCGAGATTCATCTGCAGAATTCAATTGGCGCTGCTATGTCTACCTTTCCTGACTATGTCGCGGCAGTACTCCCGCCTGTCCACCTCCTGGCCTACTCCACACTACTCGGAACCGAGCTATACCAGACTTTCGTAATGACAAAAGTCTCCTACCAAGCCCTTCCGAGATCGGCGTTCACGACTTTGCAGAAGCGCGTCTTCCCCATATATTTCCAAAGCCAGTCAATCCTTTTGCTCATCGTCGCTGCAACATGTCCGCCTCAAGGGGCGCTTTCATTGCTTGCAGAGAAGAGTGATTGGATCGCTTTCGCCATTGCTGGTGTCACTGCTGGACTCAACCTGGTGAAATTTGGCCCGAGAACAAAGGACTTGATGATAGAGAGGGTTCATCAGGGTGAGCATTCACGAAACTCTGGACATATCATTGATAGCTAATGGGTCGACAAGCAACTCGTGATGGCAAAGCACAGCTCAATGGTACCACGAGCGATGAGATGAAGGTTCTAAATCGGAAGTTCTCTAGGGCTCATGCGATGAGCATTCATTTGAACCTCATGACGATTGGTGCAACGCTTTGGTACGGTTGGCGGTTGGCATCAAAGCTACAGTTCTAGGTTCATTGAATGTCATTCCAAGATGTACACGAAACGTTCAAACAATCGAAGCGCGAAAAATTGATGATTCAGTGAGTAATTGTTCATTGCAGATGAGTCTCTAGAGCAGCGAGGACGATGCTCGTTTCCCTAGTGGTTAGCGTCGATGAGCAAGTTAAGCGACCCGGGGCGGATGTTAACGATACCTCCGTCCCGTGTTTGGTGTGGCTTTTGCTCTCCTTCCGTACCCGCATCGATCCTGCGCCATCGCATCGGATGGAAGACACTGACGAACCTTCCGCTACGAGAGCGGGCGTATCGCGAACTACACAGGCGTGCCAGCGCTGCCGGAACCTGAAGACGCGATGTTTGCCGAGCGCTCAATCTGGACTATGCCAAAGGTATGCCGGCCAATCAGCGCGCCGGCATTCCAGCCGTTGCTCCCCCCATCGTGTCTCTACGAATGCTGACTATCCGCCAGATGTTTCTCTGCTGGCAAGGAATGTGCTTGGGCCGAAGCGCCACGCAGAGCGAGAAAGCTGCGTGCGCCTTCGTAAGTCGCTGCGTGTTCTGTTAGATCTTGACTCACCATGTTTGTAGCCGAATTGCGCAGGTCGAGCAAAAGATTGATGGCCTTGTAGCCCAGCTCGTCCACGCGGCTGACAGTGAAGTCGCAACAAGCTCAGCAAGTGCATCGCAGCCAACCCGTAGCGAGACCACAGCAGAATGTTGGCGGAGTCAGGGCGTAACCAACGTGGCCCCGGGTACTTGGATGCCTACACCATCTTACGAGCCGAACGCTGTGCAATCCGACAGAAGTACCGAAGATGCATCACAGAGTGTTGAAGTCGATCGACAGTATCTTGAAAACATCCGCAGCATACACAGATTTGACGATCGTGAAGATGTTTCAAACCCTCCCGAGGGCATCTTCAAGGCATCAAAGCGCCCCGAAGCTCCCATCGAGCATGATGTCGTCGAGCAACTACTCACATCTGGCGAAGCAGATACTTTACTAATTGAATATCGGAAGATGTCGGCGACATTCCCTTTCGTCATGATACCGCCACAGATCACTGCCAAACAGCTGCATGAGCACAGGCCAATGCTCTCACTTGCGGTGCTTCTGGTGGCATCGTGGAGACATCACAAACGCCAGATGACACTTGATGGTATCTTCCGCACGGAACTCGCCAATAGAACATTAATAAAGCCCCATAAAACTTTGGGTCTAGTTCAAAGCGTATTGGTCTATCTTTCATGGTAGGATGGTACCTATTGTTGCCGAAGATGTACTAATCCGCACAGGTACCACTTTGTTTTCAGCCACAAGACACAGCAGATCTTCTTTTTGCATAATGTTGTGGTAGGCTTGGCTCTAGACATTGGCCTACACCAAGATTTCCAGAGTTTGGGCTTTGGCTTTCCAATGATGCCAAAACGGCCTAAAGCTCCGCCACCGCCAGCTATAGAACTGCGCGAGAGGCGCCGGGCGTTTCTGGGTTGCTATTACCTTTCCTCAATGTGAGCGCCCTCGTTCTCAGGTTGTGTATTTGCATGCTGACTCAACCAGGGTTGCGGCAGGTTTGCAGAAGCCGAATATGCTCAAACATTCTCTAATCATGACCGAGTGGGCGGAAAGCCTGAAGCAAGATCGCGAGTACGAAACAGACGAGACAATAAGCCTTCTAATATCTCTACGTCAGATTGATGACCAAGTACAAGACGAATTATTCACAGCTGATACTTCGCAGCTGCCGATGTCTGATGGGCGCGCGTTGATGCACGTTCGGTTCATAGATGTACAACTCGACACATGGAAAAGGGGATGCAACGATGTAGCTTCTCAAAGACTACTCGAGCTCTCTTTTGCATACGCCAAAATGCAACTACACAGCGTAGCTCTGCGTCCGTCGCCTTCGGGGTTACCCGCATCGGCACGTTCGTCACAGATCAACAGTCTGCTCTCCGCTCTTGAGGCTAGCAAGATCTTTCTGGATACCTTGCTCTCTTATCCAGCGCCCGAATACCACCTCATCTCGTTTTCGGAATGGATGCGTCTGCCACCGGTCATAATGACAGTCGCAAAACTATGCATCCCCAATGAAGACCACGCTGCGATTGGGTGGGATACTCAAGCCGCCCAAGACAGAGTGCGCCTAGATCTCTGTCTCGAGTCGCTTTGCTATCGGATGCAGACTCTATCAACATACGCGAAGCCACAGCGACCCCATCCGGACTTCTGGTACGCTATGGGGATGATTACTGAACTGACGAAAGACTGGTACATTCGCAAGATTCGACCGGAGGGCCATAGCCAGACACCATCAGTACCCACACCCAGCGACTCGATTGAGCGGGGTCTAAGCGAGACCTCGTATCCCATCACCAGTGCACAAACAATGTGTCCGGCAAGACACGCGGAAGATGGGCACAGCACGCTAGCGGGCACCAACTATATGGAAGACTTCAACATAGAAATGAACCCCGGGATTGGGGTTAGCAGTGACCCCTTCGCGTTCATGAAAAGTGCCGACTTCGATATGAGCCAATTCTTCGACATGGCAGGAGGTATTTGGGGGGATGAAGGCTACAATAACTATACTGACATGGCCTTTGGCAACGGAACACCGTTCTAGTGCTCATGCCTGACCGTCAAATATTTGCCACGAGCAGTCATGCGTAAAGTTTCTACAACATCTTGACACACTGAAAGACGTCGCATTGCACGGTTGCGCTGTTGGCATTACAGATCACTTGTCTGCGGGCTCGTGGGCATGCCTCGAGGCCTTTCACCCTAGCTTTGACCAGACTGCCGATCTTACACTCTTGTACAAAACAGCTTCTCTCGGATTGTACGATAGCCATGGACTGTGATGGCATACAATCTGTACGCGTTTGCAGCACATTGTCGCGGTGAACAATAAAATATTCCCGGTTGTTTTCGGCGCTGAACAGGCATTAGAACGGACGCAACGCAGGAAAACGGGCTTCTTCGAATGTACATCGTCGCAAAGCATCGCGTACTTCCGCTTACCGCTCATTAATACCTTCCATTTCGACACTAATCCGCCCACCGGGCACCGTCCAATACCAGTCCCAAGATACCACGCACACTGCACCCCGCGTTTTAAGTGTCAGATTCAGATGCCACGAGCCCGCCACGCGTGGTTTGAACATGGATTTTTACTCCATCGGGCCGCGACATGGTGGTGTCGCTTGTGAAAATGTGATTGGTTGCTAACGCGAAATTGTTGACGTTAGGTCCGCGCGCGAGTCGGCGATCGCAACAGGTTTGCACGTGCCTTGATCGCCCTGGAATCTCGTCGCATGTGTGACATCAGCTGGACCCTGCATTCACGCCTTGAAATTTAGGACGTTGGCGCGTTTAGGGGCATTGACTATAACTGGACGGGGATATATCTTGTGTGACGTACTCGCGGTTTGCGCAATTACAACATTGTTGATATTCGCTGCTTTCCTTGCCTTTTTCTTGCAACTCGCATTACATTTACCTCTACCATCGCGTTTCTTTATCAATATACCCGGAACTCATCTTGAACGCTACCATGAAATCGTTCAAGAGCTTCATGGACAAGCGTCGTCAGAGCTGGCAAAATCGGGGCAAGAAGGAGCAAGATCCGGCACCGGCACCACCCGCTCCCACTCCCGCCGACGCCGGCAACGAGAAGCGCGCAGCAGCTCCACAAGCCAACAACGAACAGCAACAAGTGCTAGCTGAGGCCGCACCTGGCACTCTGCAGTTGGCGCTGCAGAACAAATCCAACTCCGCCGATGTATACTGCTACATCACCGGCCTTGCTCTCGAGCGAAACAACACTCCTCTCTTTGTGCAAGCCAACGGCCAGTCCATCTACTACCCAGTAGCCCCGAAGGATATACAACAGCCACTCCAAGCCGATGTCGCCATTCCACTTGGCCGCCCGGGTAACACCGTCAACGTCAGGATCCCCAAGATTGCTGGCGGTCGTATCTGGTTCAGCATTGGCGCAAAGCTTACATTCCTCCTCAACCCAGGCCCTGCGGTCGTTGAGCCCAGTGTGACCAACCCAAGCGACCCCAACTTCAACATTAATTGGACTTTCTGCGAGTTCACATACAACGACGCGCAGTTGTTCGCCAACATCAGCTACGTCGACTTTGTCAGCATTCCCGTTGCGCTCAGCTTGACCAGCAACGACGGCAAGACCCAAACAGTACCTGGCATGGGCGCAGACGGCTTCCGGAGAATCATGGAAGAGCTGCGCGCGCAAGCCCAGCGTGACGGTCGCCCATGGGATAAGTTGATCTACGAGGCCAACGGACAGCCTCTGCGGGTGCTGAGCCCGAACAACCTGCTCGTAGGCAATGAGAACGCATGGGGCGACTACTGGAACGGCTACATCCAGGCTGTATGGAACAAGTACCGCAACGAAGACATGACCATCAACACCCAAGCCGCAGCCGGCAACCTCAAGGGCCGCGTCCATGGCAATGAGCTCGAACTAGGCGAGGCAGGAAAGTTTGCTGCTCCATCAGCACGGGATATCTTCACCTGTAGCACCGGACCCTTTGCAACGGGATCGAATCAGGCGCGCAATGCAGTCATCCCCCGTCTCGCAGCTGCGTTCAACCGTAGTATCTTGCTGAACACGCCCGGCAACCAGTTCCCCAACGGCAGCAACCCGAGCCAGTACTACAAGGACCAGACGACCAACCACTACTCGCGCATCGTTCATCAAGTGCAGAAAGATGGACGCGGGTATGCTTTCCCATATGATGACGTCGTTCCGGATGGTGGTCAGGATGTGGCAGGCACGATCTTCGCTGGTAGCCCGAAGTTGTTTACTATCGCCGTTGGTGGGCAGTGAGATGCTGAAGTGGATGGGAAGTATGGGAGTTGGATGGTGTATTTACGATGTGATGAGTACATACTATTGAGCTTGTTGTATATGTTTCGCATAGATCTTGGTTGGGTGGGTCTGGGAGAGATCTGGTACATAGTTGACTTTGATATATATTTGATGATCAATGAAGTTTGCATTTTCACCTCCCTTACTATCATAAAAACACCATGGGTGCGGTAGGCTGATGGTGCGAATGTCAAGTGTGAGGGCTCTAGGTCTGCCCTTCCTGTCACATGCGTGTGCATGAATCGCATAGATGACGTCATTAATCTAGCTATCTCAGGGGACAAGCATACCAGCCTCTTTCACCCACACGCGACGCGCAAATGCGACGGCATCTTCGCCGAGTACAAAACCGGATAGCAGTCAAAACAAAGCTCATTTCAGCTAGGTAGCTTGCCTCGTGTTGATGCGGTTCGCGTGATCATGTAACGTCATCGAAATCATGGAGCGCTTATGATCCATCCTATCGACACTGCGCAACTTTGGCGCAGAACCTGGGCTCAGATGCTCAGATCGGATATTCCGTTACCGAATGCTTGGTATCTAAAGTAGTCGCAATCTTTCAAGGGTGCTGACCCTACGGGAAAATGTGTTTTGTTAACATGCGCACTCAGTCATACTACATCCTAGAGTCGACGATATGCTCTACATGAACGATGTATAGAGCAGAATGTAATGTTTATCTTCAATGCGAACCTTGGTATTGGAACCAACTCAGCAGCGCGAGCTTCTCGGAGGTATACCTTCTAGGGTTGCGCGGTAAAGCGCGCTTCCACAAACGCTGCAATGACCAAAGCTGCATTCACTATGACTGTGATTAGCGCACACACCACATCGCGCAAACGGCCATTTGCGTTTCCATCACAACAACAGGCGACCGACGGATACTTGCTGCAGCACCTAAGTCCATCGCTCGACCGCATTCTGCGCCCACCTCTTCCAACTTGCGCGATCTCGAAACCAACACGGATATCCGATTGCGCAAACATTATCCCAAAGGCCAAGGTACCCGTAGCCATAAGACGGGATCGACCGGGACCGCTCTGCCTGAGATACGGTCAGATACCCCATGGCTGTCTCATCAAAACACACATACGGCCAGCTCTTGTCACGATACCGAAAGAACCGAATCGACTCATGGATTAAAAATCTACCGTACGACTGGCAATTAGACAGCGCAAACACAGCGCCTCTAGCTCCTGCGGCGGTATATGAAGATTGGCTTGATTGGGCAAAGCCCAGAGCCCTCTCATGGCTCGCTAGACTGGACAAATACGAAAGGCGGTTTCGTATCGCTGGAGTTGCCTACCACAAGGTTCCGTATGCCCTCCGACGCTCAACTTCTACTTGTAGCTCGAAAAAGGTCGAGCAGACCGTGTGTTCACGGCTCGGCCAAATGTTCGAAATTGGCCGCCCGCGCTCTGAAGAGCCGTTCTTTCACCCATGGGACGAAATCTTCGACGCTGCCTATGTAGTATTGCAGAAATGGGTATTATCAAGAGGCACTACTCCAGAGAACATCGATCAACTTCGCGAGCTGGAAGCTGAATGTGAGCTCACGCTTTCTCAACTGGCGAAACCACTCCGTAATCTGGAGGCTGGACTGGTATGGGTGGAGGAGCAAGTAGCGAAGCTCGCCGAGCGCTCTGACCTTGATGGAACTGAGATGCTGGCTGCTAAACACAGCCGCGAGGGTAACATGTTTCGGATGTGGGTACAGACCTTTTTGGAAATTGAGCATGGGGTGGTGAAGTCAAAATCTGCGTATACGGAGGCTTTCGTGGATGGCGCAGTGGAAGACAAGGAAATAGCGAAGGACCCGTACTGGACTATGTTGGCGGTTGCTGGAGGCGAGGGTTGGTGAGACGATGAGTGCCTGGGGCTGTATACATTGTGACAACTACATGTATATTGTCAGGGGCGAAGTTTCACAGCGCTGTTTGCTGTAAGTCTCTATATCACAAGACGTAGTTTCATCCCATCACTCCCTCAGCCACTACAACGAGAGCTAAACGGGGATAATCAATCCAACGTAACAGTGATCCTGCCAATATGTGCCAGAACTGCAGGCCCATACACCCAGATCAAGCCGAAGCGGCTGCCAAGAAAGCCCGCACCGGTATCCAAGAGCTTGTCGAGCGCGCTGATAGTCTTCTCAATCTATGCAACGCCTTAGAAGATCGCTATAGAGAAGTCGGAGTCACCTTCCACAAAACCCAGCGCGCAGCCCGCATCGCCATGGAAAACAGTGAAAACTGGAGTGAAAGTCGTTACACAGCCCTCGAAAAGGCCTTCCTTCTCGAAAGCTACGAAGAGATCTTCGCACCTCTCGTGGCCTTGGTCAAGCGACTCACCGAGCTTCGTACAAAGGTGCAGCATATCCCATCATCGACCGAGGCCCACCACCTCTTATTTGCGCTGGAGTTCACGTTGCTTCCTAGAATGAATGTATTGGTCTCGGAATATGAGACGTTCTCGAATAAGCTATGTAACCTCGAACAAGACGTCTATCAACTGGATGTGTTCAATAGGCAGCATTTCCAGGTCAACGAACTGGGCGAGCGTTGCGCTTGGTATGATCCCGTGTTGGATATAGCCAATAGCAAAAGAACCGTGCGGAGCCGTGACGGCGAGTATGTGTTGTTCGCCGATTGGGTTTATAGTTTACCTGAAGCGCGACGTGCCCTGGGGGTTCAAATTGAGATAGACGGGCTGTATGCATCTTGTACTCTCTTTGCGGATAGGCTATTTGTTTATTCGGTCGATTTGATTTGGCATGCAAATGAGGGGGTTGTTGTTGGGGGTGCGGAGTAGATGCTTTGCTATCACTGCAGGGAACATGCGTGACGATATGAAATAAGAATGCTATCTTGTATCTGTGTTTTTTCCCTGTACAATTAATGTACGGCGATGTCGAGCAGCCTTGGTTGTTTGTGGTTGGACTTGAATGGCAGGCCAGCTGGTGTGAAGTGTGTGACAAATCCTGTCAAGCTATTGTTCTGCTTAAGGTAATGGTATTGTTATGCTAGCAAAGATAATGCGCTAGCAATCCATATCCCGCTTCAAGTCCGTTAGATGCTCTAGGAACTCTTCATTTACATGAGATACAATCTGGATGTCTACGAGGCAGGAAGAGTAGTAAATCGGTCAGTAAAGCTCAGTGTAGCCGACAAGATGAGGTTTACCCATGTCTCAACGTTCCATTTTGGCCAAGAAGCAGTCTGTTTTACAACATTTCATAGTCCAGGTTGGGTCAGACTCAAGTAGCTGCCACCATATGTTATATACTCCAATTTGATGAGCCAAAATGTGATTTAGATTGGTCATTTTCAAGGAAAAAGAATCTCAACAATCCAGTATATAATCGGAGGAAACAATGTCAAGGCTAGTAATCCATGCTACTGATACGTATAGGAGAGACAACTGAAAACAGATAAATATCTTGATGGAGCGTAAGAAAGGAGCTGTCGATCGTTCCAAGTCTCGGGCATCAAAATCTGTCTGTATTATTTGGGTCTTGCGTTACCTCGGGGTCTTGCTTTGAGTCACTATTCTCCTGGTTCCAGTAGCCAAGGAAAGTGGGAAGATAATCTGGATGCACGTGGCCGAGGTTTTTCACCTTGACGTTGTATTGAATCGGGTGGTGGATGGCGAAGTAGATTCTGGAGGCCGGGACCAGCGTCCTGTTGTTTTCTTCCATGACGATTGGGATGGGAGCCTTCCGAAGCGGCGATTCACCCTGTACAAGTTGCGGTTGCTGTCCTAACGAATAGGCAATGGCGTGCTCGTCAGCGACTACTCCACTCTTCGTGGTGGCTTTACCGTAATAGGTGAAGATTGGACTGCCAAATATTAGCCATATCGTAGTCTGCATTACATTTATGGTTGCATACACAGCGAAGCAAAATTCTCGTTTGCGTTTAACGACGATGAACCTGCGTACTTGGGTATGCACATATTCATCGTATTTGACCTTTGAGAGGTTGGTATTGTAGTCGGCCATGGGGTTCAGCCCGTTCAGGGCGTTGGCACTCGCTGGCTCAGTAAAGAGAATCGAAAAGACCTGATAAATCGTCAGCAATCTTTGTCTCGCTCTGTGTGTCTACTACTAACCTTCCCTTCCTCGAAGAAAGCACTGCCTCTGACGTAGAAAGCTACAACATGTCAGTTTCTTGCACATGTAGCGATAATTGGAGTCTAACATGGATCGAGTGTTTCATAGTGGCTGGTAGGATGTGGATTGGCTGGACTATAGGTCGCATAGACCATTTCGCCCCGACCATAACCAGCAGGCCCACCTCCCGATGCAGTGACTGTCTGCACAGAGTCATCGCGTATATGCGGCTGGTTCTGGCGTTCAAACTGAGCCTGTGGAACCTCTTGCCCCACAGGCAGCCAGTCAAAGAATACCCAGCCTTGGCCTATTTCCAGTTAGTCTATACATGTGTCAGGGCACGGCTACGGACCTTCAATGTAGTGCTGCCGGTAATAGCGTCCATGTTGTGCGTTCCATAGAGTGATTAGGTATCTCTGGAAGGTGGTGCTCCACATAGGTTGTGGTTGTGACACAAACGTTGTTATTGGAGAAATGGCCGCTGTTCGGGAATCTACTGGAGTCGTTTCGTTATCAGCTGAAGGAGAGTTCATATAATCGTGATCCAGATCTAGTAGCTGCCATCCGTCATTTCTGATTTGGTCCAACAACTCTTTCGCAGATACTATATAGACTACAGATTGTCTGTCTGAGGCAGCGACGACCATCCCGTAAAGTTCTTTGCTGAACGAATCGAGTAGAAGAGATCCACAATCGCCCTCCCTGATTGTGCCTTCGTACTCAAAGGCATAGATGAAGTGGAAAGAGTTGCTTCCTGGTGGACGCATAAGGATTGGCGATGCTCTAAGCATACCATTAACTGGACCATGAGTCGTCCAGGCTGTTGCCGGCGATGTTTTGGGCGTCGCCGCAGATGTGTAAGTGCGATGCGACCCTCGAGAAAGATCAAGTTCCGCTAGTCGTTGATGGTACATGGGATCTTCAATAGTGACGATAGTGTAATCCAAAGGGTTCTGAATCTCTTCGAGAGCGGACACTTCTCCAAAGTATACCAGTTCGGTGGATGGGGGCAGAGAAGTGGTTGGTGTAGTCAATGTCGCGACTACACCTGCATGTGTGTCTGCAATTTGGTGTGTTTGGTGTCCTGGTGTTGGCCGTTCAGATGCGAAAGAGAGATTTTGATCGGACGAGTCGTGAGCGCCATCGTGACTTTCATCATCACCATCGCTATCGCTATCGGGTAGCATGTCTAGGCTAACTCCCCCTCCGTCTATAGGAGGAATATCTTCACTCCATGAGCTGAAGAGATGTGCGACGGTAAGATATCCGAGGATAGTCCCGTTAGATACAGCGTTTCCGGTTGCCAATCTTAGCCCTGTATCTGCCTTCGCATATATGGAATGTCCCGTCATTCGAATCTGCTGATGGGAGTCATAGAAGGCCGACGAGGGGATATGTATGGTCGACTGGGATATACCCGACCTCTCCACTTCTCGATCAGGTATATAATGGAGAGACATAGGGGTGTCATTGCCAGGCGAGCTGTTGAATGAGGATGCAAATCGTTTGATGTTGCCACATGGATAGTAGTTCAACGCGTGTGTTCGGAAGCCAATACCGCCCGGAATACCGCTTTTATCGATCCGTCTCTTGACTGTAACGCGTGCTTCTTCGTGCACGCTACAGATGATGATATAAGGTCTCGCTTTCGCTGGCCTCTTCCCGATCATGAAAGGGCCTATGAGCGTTGCTCCAAAGGAATCTTTCCCTGAATCATCCAAAATTCTCAGCAGCATAGATGCTGCGTTATGGTAGCGTAGTAAGCAAGAACCCTCCATCTCCCAACAACATCGACCGCCCAGCGATTTCTGGTCTTCTCCATAGGGGTAGACTTGACGGTCGATCCTCACACAACTCTCATCGTATGACATATCTCTGGCGCATGATAATCGAGATGTTGAATGACTAAGAACAAGAAAAATGTCGATTTCTGAGGTTAGAAGGTGTCTTAATTGCGGCGAGAATCAGAAGTTGCGTCAAGACGCCTTGAAACCGACCCCGCACCTGCCGGTGAAAGCCACGACCCCCACAACGCATCAATCAGCACATTAAGCCGGTTTTTTCCCCAGCACGCGCTCAGCCATGAGTGTGGCGGATTTCCGGTGAGTGCTCAGCCACCATGAATACCTCAGTCGATCCGAGAAGACGGCCCAGTAATATGGTCTGCACGTTATTGTGCGAGCCTTGCATAAGAAGTCGATGGCCCCGATTACATTATTTGAAATGGGAAATTTATCGTGGCATGTTCTTACCTCTTGGACGCTATCTGCTACACAACTATCATGTCGAATACATTACTCTCTGGAGAAGCGAACGAAGACCCTCTGCATCCTCACTGCAAGTACAGTATTCTAACAGCCTTCTGGCCCAAGGGCGTAGCAACGCTGGTACCAGTGACAGCCGATCAAGAGTGTCCTTGGGACGCCTACTTCCGACACTACACAACGGAATGCAGGAATGCAATCGATCCCGACAGAGGCGAGCATGTCACCATACGACATCATCAGGATATCGTGGACATCGTCAAGCAGTTCGAGCAGAACAAGACAAGGGAAGAAATCAAGCGCTCTATTATATTAACAGATACACAACAAACGAGTGAAGCAGTCAAAGAAAAACGGGCAGAGGGATCCATTCGCGTCGTCGCACGCCTGTTCGCCATGGTGAACATGGGCCCTTCATCAGAGCGCTGGGAATTGGGTCCTGAGTCCCGGCCATGGAACGAAGCGAATCACAACCTGAAGACTGTCCTAGCAAGATACTTTTCCCCAAGTTCAGTAGATACTGGAAGCCTGCGGTTCAAGGCTGACCTTACGGCGTTCAATTTGAAGCACCTCATCGGACTTAAGATTCTATGGACCAACAATCTTTTCGACCACTTGCGGTTGATGGATGACGACAGCACAGTCTGCATTTTCCATCATGCAACCTTCCTCAGACATCAGACCAGGTATGCCACTCAACAGATAATTGTCTTCCCTACTGATTACTCTAGTGACGTCTTCCCCGAGAATCTCATCTCAGAAACGCTCAAAACGCTGGATCTGTTATTCCCGCAGAGAAACACTCGTACACAAACATGGTTGAAATCTTTACTATCGCGGAACAACGAGCCACATCCAGACGTTTCACTACTTCATCGGAACAAAATATTGTACGGTCAGCGGCACGCCATGGAATTCGTGTACTGGCGTGACAGACTTCTGATCTTGAAAGAGGTGCTTGAAGAGGCGCATCATACTAGTATCCGTTATTTTTGGCACGATCGGAGGAACAAAGCCCAATGGTACACTTTTTGGATTGCCGTCATTGTACTTTGCCTTACAGCCGTCTTCGGTCTTTTGCAAAGTATCGCAGGAATTCTGCAGGTGTACAAAGCATACCGCCCCACACCTAAGTAGACGAGGTATTTCTCGCCTATGGCAAGAACACGACTGGTGCCTGCAAGTAGTGGGATGTTCATAGTGTACGAGAATCTCAAACATGCAGATATGTGGAGAATTGTGCTGAGGCCAAGGTGATATGATATGCCTTCTTCCAACCCGCATATACGACAAATATCCGTGAGCGTGCGCGTCGCATAATATGAGTCATGGAATAACGAATTAGTATTGCTCAGGAAGATTGAGCTGTCAGGCTTAAAGCAAGAGCACTGCAGGCATCATGGTCAACACAACAGGTGATCCGCACATAGCGCAGAGATCAGAAGGTTTCCTTGCGAAAAAGAGAAGACCGTCTTGTTGGTGCAGAACTGAAGCGAGGAGTGCGTTGACCCGGTAGGTCTCGACTGTTCCCTTGAACTAGGTCTTCACATGCGGCACACCTCGAGAATCAGTGCTCGGGAAAGCATGGCGCATGATAAGACCCAAGACGTTATGATTGCTGGCGGCAGCTCGATCTTGTTCACATATGTGGAACTGAGCTACGATGCCCACAGACGGATGTAGCCTGCCTCAAAGTCTCCGTAGTCGCGTCTAGACGTCGTGTTCATTCCTAACGATATCGTCCGTGATGTTGGAGATCCCAAACTCCAACCTAATACAATGGAGTGCCTATGTTATGGTCGATAGCCAGTGCCGGTCACGCTAATCTCCGACGCTCGACGTAACATGTATGCGCAAAATCGGTGGCGGTAGGAAACGGGAGCGAGTGCTGGATGGAGGGCTGGCGGAGTGGCGAACGAGTGGGACGAACGAGGTTTTGATATGAGTAAAGCCAAGCTGGACCAAGAGGTAGTTCGATCTGCGCCCTTGTTAGTTGGCTTATAATACACTAGCTCGGAAACCACCTACAAGCTTAACCATATCTTTCTTGGTCTCAGTCCGTTGCGCAGCAACAAGGATTGCACTGATAGTCGTATTGAGGTACCGTCCTACTCAGTCCAACGGTGTGCAGTGGGCGCATCTCGAGTACCTCCAACTGCCACGTAGAAGCGACAATGCCATCTCTTTCGTAGCGTGGACTGTCCTGGCGAGCAACAATTGTGTGAAACGGTACGGCTACGCCAAACCGGCGGAGAACTCCCGGGCGGCGTTGCGGGTGGATTTCAGAGAACGGACCATAGCGTTATGGCAAGTCAGGTTCGCTGAGACCTAGAAACGGTGGAGGGATATGCGCTTCAGCTCTGGACAGTCGCGAGTCTTCTGCGTGCTAGTGATGCGTTGTGTAGACATGCGCTAGGGTCGTCGGCGTTCGCGGTCACATGAGGCCCGGCTGCATAGATCGACGTGCGGAAAGTGGGCCTCCTGGGCGGTAATCCGTCGCACTAGACACTCACACCACATACTCCACCACTTCTTACACAATAAGACCTACTGAGATGTAACAAACGTTTAGATCCTCAGTGTCTTCCTGGACTGCGACATGTAGTCAACGTCAGCTCATACACATGAAGATGGCACTGATCGTGGCTTCCTATCCCAGAAGGCACATTGCTAGCAGGATCGCGAAATACTCGATCCAAGTGCAGACCACGGAAAGAGCATACCCTGAAACTGAGAGTCGTGTCAATTATGGTACTCTCTTTGAGGATAGGCTGTTTGTTTACTCGATGGACTTGATCTGGCATGCGAACGAGGGAGTTGTTGTTGAAGGGGCATAGTAGAAGTGTTGCCATTATTCTGGAAAGACATGTGTATACAATACGACTAGGACGAGTGATATATTGTCGCACATTAACCACGGAGACTCGTCTAAATATTGATTTTACTACCGATTGCTAGAATAGTCCCAACGACCAAGACAAGGCAAAGATTCCAGGACTCCGAACTGCCTAAAGCCTGCGTATGGTGCAGCTTTTCGCTTTTTAATCATTCTGACAGCATTGCAGCATCAAAATACTGTTTGACAAGGTATCGGTGGGGTTCTATAACCAGGCCCACGTCGAGTACTTTGACATTGTGCTCAACGGCGTAGGCCTTGCCATAATTGACACGACTCGCAGATTCGAGCTTTTCTCCTTCTGTGGGCCGCACTTGGATTGAATATTTTGTGAGTTCCTCGCCTGGAAGGAGGTTAGGCGGGTCTACACTAGTGTGTATGACACCGTGATCACACATTCTCACACCCAATTTTGCGGCTCCGCGGCCCCTGTAAGTCTGAATAGGACTACCCCATTGTTAAATCGATGCGAAAACCCCTTGGTATCAAACTTACACGCACTGGCTGAAGTCTCCCTTATTGCGGACAACAAGGAAACGACGTATCTCACTGAACGCTGTCTCTCCATATTGCACTGTACTAAAGTGGGTGGAGTTGCGTGTCTTCCCAGGGTTGGCTTGACCCGCAGGTTCTGTCCAAAGCATTTTAAAGACCTGAGTGCATGCATTCAGTAATTGGCCGATCTCAGTCAGTGAGTTAAACCTACGCGGCCGAGAACAAAAAATGTTGCGCGAGATGGTTGTGCAACCCGGCGATAGCCTGAGTGTTGTCAGCGGCGACCTTTTAATCTACATGTCGGGTTTCATACGAGAGTCTAGCGGCTCGATATTGGTTTCGTTAAGGTTTGTCTGGATATATCTTCGATCTAGACTGTGAATGGTAGACTGCACATCAAATGGAAGAGAGGTCACTGGTCGTCGCGACCCAATATCCATGTTTGGCGCTGCTTGCTGTGTTTGCTGTGCGGGCCTTGGTGAGAAGGGACGGAAATTATAGCGTTCGTAGTCCTGTTGTGGGTATGGCGAGCTTGCAAAAGCAGTCGTTGTGGAGGCGTGGGCGGAACCGTAGGATTGAGCTCTTGGCGATCCATATTGCTGTGTTGTATAATTTGACCATGACTCAGTGTACGTCCCATCCTGCTGCTCATTGTTCACTCTTTCTGTTCCTGTCCCATACATAGTGCCCATGGATTCATTTGACTGTCTAAGCGATGAGGTGGTGTACGATCGAGAGTGGGGTGGGTCTTCCCATAGTTGAGAAGCTGCGCCGCTCGAAGGGCCTGCGAGGGAAACCGTATGCGACTGGCTTTGTAATGATGGGAGAGGTTTGTCTACAGCACTACGGGGTGTACTATTCGTTCATCAGGCAGCGCTTGCTTTAGTGGAAGATGTAGATCGTACTGACCTCGCTCTCGACGTCACAGCAACAGAACTTGTCGTCGGTCCCGCCCAGAGAGTATCTAACACTGTAACCCCGTCGTCGGCTAGAAGATATGTGTAGTGACGATTATGTGGTTGTGACCATGTCCAAGGCCCGTAGCGCGGCATAGCTACATCGCGCAGGCGCTGGAGCGCGCGAGGAGATAGGAGGCTAGAGCGTACTTTAAAAAGTGTAAAGGGCACCCAGCATACCAGCACTAATTTGGGCCGCCATGCCGTGCCTTGCTGTACATTGGCGTGTAGGTGTAGTAGGTAGGGTTGCGATGCGTAGGTAGGCGCCCAAGCGGGGCGACCCGATCATTCAGCCTGACGCTCCCAAGATCTGGGGCCCGTGCTCGGCAACTGAGTGAACCTTGAAACTACCAACCGGGACCAGTGGTGCACGAGCATTTTCCCCTCGCGTTACCAGTGGCATGCGTGGAGCATTTGTAGCCAGTCTACGATACCTACTTTATCGATGTGTTGATATCAGCCTGGAGTGATCCGAGCGTTGCCCCGGCATTGCAGGTGGGGACAGGCGGGTGCACTCCGAATGTGGGCCCAAGATGTCCACGCCATCGGTTCTGGACCCACAGGCGGTGACTACTCGATCTGCATTATGGTAAACGTAGCAAGCTAAGTTCTATAGACGCAAGCCAGATCCGCAACCGAGGGCGGAACGTCGCTGCCCGCACAAGTCGAGGCGCACAAAGCACGAGAAGAAGGCGTGATTGAAAATCGACCATACGTCCAAGGTACGAAACACCCATCAACGGGCGACGGCACATATCCATCCATATTCTCCACATTAGGACTGTGAGTTTTCCACGATCAAGTTAGCACAGTATGGGCGGGGTTTCCGCCCACAGGCCTTCTCTAGTCCAGCGCTGATCATCTTAGTTTTGTGAGCGACTCCTCACCAACACGGCAAGACCCAGGGTCTCTGCAACAATGCTCGTCCTGTGCTACTCGAAAAGGCATTTTGAAGAAAGTACGATTTCTTGAAGAACCTAGGATTCCTTCATCTCCTACCCAATCCGCAGGATCGAGCTTGCGTAATGCAACTTCTGCCTTTCCAAGCAGGAGTCCGCTGTACCCTCCTGTCCTGCCCTTACCTGCTCCGCCGCCGCCACCGCCTCCAATACAGGCTCCCCGACCGCCAACACTCTTCAACAAGACTATTGAAACGAACGAACTCCTGAGTGTTCCAGCTCTCCGGCTGTATACCAACTTTATGGACGAACTTTACAACTTTGTCGCACGACAAGCGGAGGTAGTAGTAACTCGGCTTGCCGTTCAAGAAAGGCGCATGGAGCTGCATAGACTAAGAGAGCATGTATCAAGATGCGATATGATCCTCTTCGATCGTATGCGCGAGCAAAGAAATGGAAATCTTCCCTTCAACGAGGACGCCATGGTCAACTTATTCGAGGCATCACAGGCGGCGAGGGACGAGATCGGGCCTGTTGAATCAGAGTATGAGCCTCTTGAGATCATGCTCGGATCAAAAGAACAACATCTAGTGGATATGTACTCAAAGCTAGAGAAGACTTTCGGGCACTTCTTCAGACTTGACACAACCCCGTCCACGAAGCCTACCGAACCGTCTGAGATCGAATACGAGTCTTCTTCCATCGCATCCCTAGCCGAAGAATTTACGTCTTTTCACGACATTGAGCATCTCCATGGCGCAATCGTTGGAGAAACCGTCAATATCGCCCAACTGCCAAGACTTGCAGGACTGGACAGCAAATTACCAGAGCTCGTTATTGCTCACCGAGAGACATCGTTGATAGAATTAGCCGGCCTCCATACGGCCCGTAACGTTCGTTCTGCCGAAGAGTATTCCAAGCTTGATTTAGGGGATACGCTCAACTACATCGGAAAATGGATTACAGATAGTTTGAATGAGCTTGAGATCGGTACCAGGTTTCAAAAGGACGTTACAGATCAACTTGCATCTGATGAGAGTAACTATATCAACATACCCGGTGCGTTACAAGACTCCATGACTGAGTTGCCAGTCAATCGAGGTTTGGAGGAAGGCAATCCCTTGCTTTTACACGACGAGAGCATTGAAACTCGGAGAATTCTGAGCGAGTATCTGATGGAATTTGACAGTACGCCGGATCGGGTCAATCGCTGGATGCTGCACCAGCTCCGCATTTCGCCACACGAGACTTACGCTCTCTATAGATGTAGTGCTGTAAGCACGGAACAGCCGTTGCACTGGGCTACATCAGTACTGAAAATGTGGCCACATGACAATTTTGGACAGGTCGATCCATATGGGCAAGGGTCAGTAGAGCTCGAAGAGAGTGTTAATGATCCTCAGCGTCTCGGCTACCATGGAGCTTGTCTTCCGGGATGTCGCTCTCTGGATGCATGGCCCGCTAACGACATGTGGTTGGAATCCGAGTCGTCCTTCGACTCGAGAACGGAGGCTGCCCAAAATTGACCGACGCAGATGCAATCACAAACCTTTTCGAAAATAGTACACGAGCTGGATTTTATTCATGGTCAGATTCTTACATATCGATAGTCGCTACGTCCAATGTACGTTTAGCGGATACTTTGATTATTCAAGCATAATTTTGGGATTGCGTGATTCTCAGTCGGCAGATCTGGTCATTGCGCGAAGCACTTTCATCACGAGCCTTCCCATAGGAAATAGTCTAGCTTCCAGTAGGCATATAACATTACGAATTCCGTCATTTGTGGCTATCCTTTTGACGGGCTTTTGAGGCTACTGAAGCCATGAGTCGCTCGTCTCGCTCCGCGGGAGTGCGGGATTGACAGCAATCTAGAGACTGGCACGTATATGGGTGCGAGTCAAAGCGGACGCTTTTGCGGCAAAGCATTGTTTAATTCGTTAATGTATCGCGGTAAATAAGGAAACGTGTAGCTGTTTTTAAAGAGAGTCTGCTCACATGTAGACTACTTAGGAAAGGTCGTAAAATGCTATGTGTGCTGACTTGATCGGCATGTCCGGCGACAAGCCTTCAGCGTCTCGTAGAAAAGGAAAGAGCTGATCAATCCCGAAAAGTGTGAGAGGCCGTAGATGTCACGTCCCATACATGAGGATTATGCCGTAAGCAATGAAACACAACCACCAGAGAAATAAATAACAAAATCAACCCTGCGTATGTTGCAGAGGGTCTTTGAACACCCCGTAACTGTTGGGGTGTCAAATAGTATTGATTCCGGCGACTTCAGAATGTCATTTGAAGGCCTTCCGTGTTTCCTTCACGCTGATTGCGTAGGTTAGTCTGTGGTGCTCTTCTGCGTATGGTGCAGAGAAACGTTCTGTTGCACGACTGCGCTCCCATTGGCAGACTGATGCTGTTCTTTGGGAGCCACTCGCGCCTCACTTGCGATGACTGCATAGCCTGGGTCATGATGGCTCTCAGCATAAATGTGGGGTACGTTCGCCGACATTGTATCGACATCAAGCATGGAGATGACTTCTTTAGCCTGTGCGCTGTCCATCCTGATACTGGATGGTGTATTGGCGGTGTTGAACATACCATACACCTGCTGGTCTGGCTCGGTATTGCGGACACTGCAAGAGTGATATATGCGTACTGGTCTATATTTGGTCAGAATCAAAGTAAATGTCTACTGCAGCGAGCATCAAGCTTACATGCAGTGACTGAAAGTCCCCTCGTGAAAAACAAGGATTGTAGGGACCCCCGCAAGAGTCTTAGGCATACCAAGATACGTGATAAACGAGTTGGTGAAGCTTGCTCCTGGTGTGGTGTGAGAACGCCCTAGCCCAACTCGACCCTGCCCTAGGAGGAAGGTTTTAGGCTCTGCATTATCCGGCGTTTCTTGCGCATGAAATACAGCACTATTATTGTGCTGCATCATTGGAAATGTGGAGACTCGTCGCGGCGAAGGTTCGGCAGGAGGAGGTGTTGAGAAAGGTGTAGGATGGCTAGATGTAAGATTACCGCTGATGACCTTGTCAGCGTACACATCATGAGCTCCAGTGCTATCAGAAGTCATGATGATCGTAGGGCTGTCCCTGTATGGCGTCATGTTTGGCGTCATGGACATGCCGCTCGGAAGGTGTCCCTGCAAAAGGGTAGACCTATCCATAGTCTCTGGGACGTGTTCCACAAGATTGGCTAAACTCTCGTCAGAGATGGATACCGCTTCTCGCATTGCAGATGACCTGTGTCCTATCACGGCTGAACCTGACGTACGAATACTTGGACTAAGCATCGAGGCCTTCGTCTTGACCGACCGACACGCATGCTGAGAAGCCATGGCCGATGTCTCGCTTGGATTATCAGCATCTTTTGGAGTGTGTGATACGCGTTCCTGAGTCGTGTCTTGTGTTCCTCTGACACAAGTGCCGATCTTCACGCACTCCGAGTCGGGGGTCATAGGATGCATTGCACACTCTTGACATGAGAGTCCAGGCGATCGATGGGTCTTGCTAGCTATGTGTACAGCACACAAGCGTTTTGAAGAGTCATGTGCGGTCATCTGGGTTATCATTACCGGCAGTGAGGCAGTTCGCGGGCTAGTCTGCCAGTGCACGATATGTCGATGGATGTCGTCCATACTGTCGGCGAACGACCAGATATCCTGGATCTCAGGCCTCGATGCCGACGTCAACGCGGAAAGTATACTGATGAACACGCATCCCAGTGAGTATATGTCGGAACTGGAGTCTCGGGCTTCGTGTGCCAAGACTTCGGGGGCAGAGTACTTCGCGGTCATGGGCCCAGGTTTTCCATCCGTTATGCTTCGGCTGAGCCCATTCGAATCGAAGGAGCATCCAAAGTCTGTGTAGACCACTCGTCCTTCGTGGATAAGTATGTTCTGGAGCTTAACGTCCTTGTGTCGGACCTTGTTCGTGTGCATGTAAGACATGCCTGTGGCGAGGCAGCCAAAGGCCTGCTCAAGGACTGCCGACATGGTACGTACATGCGGATCGGGAGAGGCAGGGTCTTCTGCCAGGACGGCGCTTCGATAGTTCGCAAGATATTGTTCAAGGTCTTTGTCGCTTGCAACCGGTTGTAGAATGAGTCCGAATTCGTCGTGGGTTGTATAGGTCGCAAAAAGACTGACGATGTGGGGATGGCCACCTAGTCTGCGGATGTTCTTGATCTCGTTACGGAAGACTATCGTCTGCTCTTCCTTGAAACGCCGCTCGTGTCGTCTGCGTATCACTTTGCGCGCGAATTGCTTGCCAGTCAATATGTCTTCAACCTTTTCTACATATCCACTACCCCCATAGCCTAGATTTTCAAGAAGCCTGTAAGGGAGCTGAGACTTCACGAAGTTATCGTAGTCTTTCCCTTGCTCGATCGGTAGCATAAGCGCGGTGATCGTGCTACTCGGCACGCTGGCGATGCGTCGTGCCAGGTGTAGGCGTCAGCGAGGGATGGACGGCGGCCTTGTAGCCTTATCCCTGCAGTAAACACGAGATGATCAGTACACCAACGATGCATATACAGCTGCTGTTTCGCACGTACCGGTATGAGTATTCGTTCGACTAGCTTTGGGACACCATTTTGCGGAAGGGTAGGCAGGAAATGGCAGAGCGGGAGAGAATGCCTGGGTATCATGCTTGCAACGACACGGCTGTGAAGGACCTTGGTGGAATGCAGCACGGCACGCAGGGCCGTTGGAAGCAGTGCGTGATTGGGCAGGAGGTCTCGCTCAGTACGATCTGCATGGCGTATAGCCCCGCGCACGCATTACCCAGGCAGATATGATCGGTGTATGAGCTGGCACCGACTGAATGTGTCGCAAACCGTGCAAAGGTAAAGATCGATCGAGTATACGCTTGTTGCAACTGATTAGGCCGTACTTTGTAGGAAGATGTGGGGTACGTGATGCGGAATTAGTGCGACGAATCTCTGGCCCACTTTTCGCGTGCCGGTCCATATGTACGGGCCATCGCTCTGGGTCGACAGATCGCGTCGTGGTTACCCAAGATACGCGCTCGCATGGCAAGTTGGTACTTCGTGTCTCACACGACTGCATCAGCCCTGGAGAGCTGTAGCATGGAAGTGTAAAGAGGCGACGGTCGCAATGGCAATATGACCTCGGGAATCTCTCAATCTCAGCCCCGCTGTCTGCTTTGGACTTGATTGACCCTGACTTCTTCTCAGCCAACCTCATCATCACTCCGCTATGCAGCACATGGTGTTATTGCAAAAAAGTTAAAAGATTTCTATCTGCTTGCTTGTGCTCAGAAATCCATTGCGTGACGCGTACTCTTGGCGACGGCATCATGTGACTGTGCACACACTAGCGTGAGATTCTCGTGCACAACGCATCACTAGGTCAAAAGCGGCGCACCAATCCGTCCCCTCAACCCCCATCTAGCCAGCCCGCCATCCGCTCCTCTTCTAGTGCTCAACCTGCAGCTCTCCAGCCCTTGTCGCGCCGGTGCGTTTCCGACCTACGTCCCTCCCAGACGGCTCGGGAGTGTGTCAAGAGCTGAAGGGCCAGTCTTCTCATCGTTCCTGATCCTCGGCGAGCGCGACTTCTGTTGATACGCTGTCCGAATTCGCCCGCAATGTCGACCAGGCGCGAGCGTTCGCTGGTTTAGCGGGGCCATTCCGACATCACATAGTCGTGGCTCTCCAGTAAACTACACCAATATCACCAAAAGCACTGTTGCTCCCGAAGAATTTCGAGTCTATCAAGACGTGCTCACTGCAGGAGTACACCGCCAGCCTGAACATTCCAGAGGCTTCAACATGGAAATCGACCCTACTTTCGTTGCTGCGCAACGACAGGAGACCGATAGTTGAAGGGTAGACCAGTAAGCTATACATAGCCATGTACGATAGACAATTTACTAATAAGATTGCAGAACAAGTTTCTCATTAGCCTAAGTTGGTTTTTCACACGTCGAATACTCGTTAGTTGTAGTTACTTGCTAGCCGTTTACTATGCATTCGCTCGCGTTCCCCTACTGGCGCTGTTCGCGCATATTCCCTACACGGAGATCTAGAGATAGGCATGCCCAGCGCTAGGCATTGTGGACCATACGATGAACCCGCGTCATTGCAGGATTCACTGTGGATAATATCGCTAGGAGTGCTACGGTTTGTCAAAGCGGATAGGAATAGTGCTAGGCTCAAAATTCTCGACTTTGGTCATCAGATCCCACACCTACATCTTACATGATGCCGCTGCCACCAGCATTGACGGCATTGTAGCGCCGGTCACGCTATGCCTCCACGGTCACACATTCTATAGAGTGACCAAAAATAGGACTCGGTCTGCTGAAACAACCCGTATTATACCTGCTCAACGCATCCCACACCTCGTCTCCAGATCCATAGAACTCCCTTTCTCTTTTCAACGCGTTCGTATGTCTTGATCTCTTCACTATCTTCGATATACGCTTTAGCCCAAGCATTTCTACTGCGATGTGTGTAGCATTCGGCTGACTGAGATCATATACTTTGCACAGGGAACTCACGCTTTCCTTTCGTCAGTCAGGTTGTTCCGTCATTCCACCTTGATTGGAAGCATGCGCAACGCGCAATCTTCCAATATTCCCACTTGCGCTTCCTTTATACAATCCCTATTATACTTTCCACCTTCGAATTTAGGCTTTCAGACACGATTGTACACGATCATGAGTGTCAGATGGAACAGATTTTGAATTCCCGAGCCAAGACTTAGTGTCCAGTGCCGCTTCCTCCTTAGGGAAGCTCACGGGTACGCGTGTACTGTCATGGATACTTAAGTATCTTGACAATACATGCTGCATCTCGCAGGATGTCTACACCTGGACCCTTGTGTCACCGCAATTTGCTCTACGGAATCCTCTAGAGCGGCAAAGCTACGTGACTGGTGTTTTCAAAACAGGCAGGAGCAGTGAGCTAGCGCACCAGACTCGCACACAAACAAACCACCAACGTTTTCTGTCTTGCTGCTTTCTCTCATCCTCACACGACCTCAAAAACACTTGCTTCTTTCCTAGACTGCACTATCAATTCGATCGAGGTATGCGTCCATGCTCATAGCTAATATCAGGCAGCGAAGTCAGAGGCAAAGCATCAAGGACACAAAGCCGCTTCCAAAGAGCTTCTGAAGGCACCCTGTGAGCCTTTCGACCGTTAGTACATCCTATCCACCAGCATGGTAGACGCCGCTAACAAAGCACAACTGCCACTACGCGCGCCCAGAGCGTCGTCAGTGATGCCATATCCAGAGGCGAGTTCGGCAAGATGAGTAAGTCCTTCTATTTCGCGATGCTCGATTCATGAGTACTGACGCGCCGCAGTCGAAGTGATCACCCATAGACCCCGAGTTCCTCTCACCGAGAAGAACGTCGCTGCGCTGGGTCATGACACCGACACTCCTGCGCCCGCGGAGGAGCACAAAGCCGCCGAAGTTACATGACACTTTACCCGCAGGTAAATCCAAGCTAATCTTGTTCAGACATGATCCAGATCCATGTCGGAGGTCGCCCGCCATGCGCAGGCCTGCTAGAGAACACCGACCTCGCCTTTTCGGTGTCGCTCTTCAAGCTAATTCTCTCCGCCCCGGGCGTCAACAAGAGCAGTCTGCTGTACAGGACCTGGCAATACTATATCAATCCCATCTCAGATGAGGGCGTTCCGGCGACGGTCAAGAACCTCACATACTGGAGGCCGAAGTACACCGACGCCACAGCGGAGGCGAAGGAGTATGACCGAGCCCCACTTCCTCGTTCTCTCTTGGTCTCTATGAGGTCATCTTCGGCAGCTATGAGACCTGCCCTTATGGTGCCGAGTGCCCTTGGCGGAACTCCAAGTGGACGTTCCCACCAGAACACTTTGCTCTAGTACTAGAAGACGGTTTCCACAGAGATGAAGCCACTGTGTGATGCTGATGACGCGGCATTCGTCGTACGACACCGGACGTCTGTTGCAAAAAGCCGCGAGCAGAACGAAGCTCTCGAGGAGAGCTGGGTTAAGTCAATGGTTCCATTCCGTAAGCTCGTGGAGGATAGTGACGATGAGTGAGGGGCGTGTATCGAAAGTCTAAGTGACCCGGCATACATAATAATACCAGCTTCAACATCTGCTTCTCCTCTCTATCGCCTGGATGCGTTGGCGCTTCGCCACGATACTTCCCATTGGAGTGAATCCAAGTGTTGTGTTGATGAAGGTCCAGCGCAACGCTGCTATCTTTTGCCGTGTCGCAGGCCACACCATCCAGGACTTCTGGAAAGCCCTTGAAAGCATCGTTTATATGAGCTTCATGATGCCGCATTGACACCTCATATAAGCTTTCATCCCTAAACGCTGCCCGTGCATAAATACTGTTGTGCGGTCCTTTTCCGAAACTCATTGGTCTATGTGGCAATCCCAAGACTTCGACCGCATCACGCGTAGCTATGGGAACTGTATGAACCGACACTGTCGATTTATTTTGAGAATTGGTTCTAGTGACTGGCTCACATGTATTCGCAGTTATTGCAATTCGGTTCACCACGAGCCATGAGAAGTGGTGGAGTGATTTGACTGTAACTCTCATGTGACTGCAGCTGCGTCTCTTGGTCATTCGAACAGGCGTAGTTCACGGCGTGGAGGTACTGGTACCCGTCGCAGTGTTCGGGGTAGCTGCCGTCCATGCAGAGGGACGTAATGGGTCCACCCACGATGGCACCTCCTACATCTAAATAGGTGACCATATAGCCTCTTCGCCTCAGGTTGTCCTCCCTCTTCATCTCACGTCACTCCACACTAACGAGGTGCTGCGGGCACAGGCAAGCGATTCATCCTTACTCTATCCTATCATATCCCGTCCTCGCCCCCACGTCATGTCGTGGCTTCGGGCACATGCACAGTTGGTTGGCTTCGCTGGTGAGTACCTGTTTACTGTGATGTGTGTACATTTCACTGACCATCACAGCCACCTCAGAGCAGCTCAAGACAAAGAATGAGCAGCTCAAAGCAAACCGATGCAAACTTAAACCGATGCCAGTCACCTCCGAAATGAAGTCAGGGCGTTGAATATTGAGTTCTGCCAGGTCAGAACTGGCCAGTGAGCGTCTACTTGCCTTACCAGATTTACATGTACTAACCAAGCTTTTGACTACACCAGCAAGCGACACCGGGCTACCCTATACGATACCGACGAGTTCCGTCAGATATTGGTACTTCCATACCATGTAGTCACCAGACAGGACTTACGGTTCACCGCTGTAGGCCAGGAAGCCCCCGGAAGGTTCAAGGTGATGATGACAAGCCCGATATCATCCTCTTCGTTGGCACGGCTGGACCCACATTGGATACCTACTTGCCCATCAGCCATACTCGCACAAAGCCAACGACCTTTCCCTACGGACTTGTTGCGGGACAGATACGCCGACACAACCGGCTGGTGGTGATACATGAAGACAAGTGAGGGGGAGTACTCGACGAAGAGCGACAAGTGTTTGAACAAATGGACAAAGAACAATCGACCACTGTCAATGGAAACGAACCTCTACGCAGAGACCGCGTGCGACTACTGTCGTGCGCCAGGTCGCATATATGCTCGAATGGTGCTCCACGACGGCCAGTACAAGCTAGCACTGTTTCCCCCTCCCTCAAAAGACGGCATAACCGTAGATGATGCGAACTTTTGGCCTCCATAGAATGATCTCTACCCATACTATGCATACCACCCCAAATGAACCTTCATGTAAGGGGTAGTTGTAGGCAATAGTACTTGCTTCACACTACAAGAGAATAGTGGGGGACAGCTCTATATTCCTACGTTGATAAAGGTAGTTGTATGTAGGAGGAAGAGAATAATTCTTGTCCTTTCCTTTGCGGGCGGAGCGCAGGTTAAGAGCAAGTTTCTAGGCTAAGACCTAAGCGAGAGAAGCAAGCATATCATGTGACTGTTCTCTTCACTCCGCCTTCGCCATCTTATGTTACACCTCATTCCGCGACGTGGTGACCCAAAACAACATGACACAAACAACAGCGTCGAATAGTAGTTGCTCATGCATACAACTATCTTCTCACTTCACCTCGCTTAACATGTACAAATCATGTGGTGGAACGAACGAGCACTGTAAACCTCCGGGGATTTGGGTAAGTATTTACTAGCATTCACGAATGCGACAAGCAAAACGACAAGAGAGCTTGTGTCGCTGTTTGCGTATGCCTATCATGTAAGCCGGCATAGCTACGGTGCTTTGTGTGCATAACTATCGCAGTCTGAACAGCTTCGCCACATCATGGCCATCTGCCACCTGTTCCAACCCCTTTCCAAACCATGACGCTCAAGGAGAGAGACACGATAATCTGCTTATAGGCCGTCACACTTAGCACGTTCGAGAATACGAACCGAGGAGGTCAGAGGGAATGGGTGACGGTTGAATCGTACAGAACCATCGGCTTTACTATCTAGAAGTGTCCAAATCGACAGTGCCAGTTTCGATAGCATCGCAATAAAGGCTCACGTTCAAACGCATACGTAGACATTCTTGGCCTCATGATTATCGCTGTAACGCTAAGTTATAGCCTAATTCCATGCAAACTGTCCGATGCAGCATGGCCATTAGATACAGATTGCAGATATGAGATTACTAGAGCTAGAATTAAGAGATCCATATCTGGTATTGTGATCCCAAATACGCAAACTCCACTGCGCAACTGAGCGAACATCCCGCCAAAAGAACTAGACTATAGTAAAGTGTAAGAAATTTGTGAACATCGAACTAATGGAGGGCTGTCACCGCCTTTCCGAGAACTTAATCACCGCCAAAAGATGCATGATCGGACACTTATAGTATAGTGCGCCTTACTGGCGCAGCCTGAAGCAAGGCTTAACGTATGGGTAATGGAAGCAAAAGCTACCTGCGTCTTTGCGAATCATTTTGTTGTTTACTTTTTCCAGAGCTAGCTTCTGAAGGCCTATGGGCGCGAGGTGTTCGACGGTCATCTTCGTACAGGTCGGCATGGCTGTTCGTTGCTGGCGCGTATTGCGTCTGGCTGTCGACTAGTGTATAACCAGCAGGGTATTGCGCGGTAGGCCTCTGTGAAGCAGGCGAGGCGTAGTGGCTGGTACTAGGTGTAACATAAGCCGGATTTTGAGAAGCCACGTAGGCCGTGTTACTAGGGTGTGGATATGAGAAAGCAGATGAGGGATGAAACTGATTGCCAGGTACTTGGTAGGCTGAACTGTTCGGATAGGCTTGAGACGAATAACTAGATGCTTGGTATGTTGCATTGATTGGCCCTGCGTATGCGCTCGTGCCCGCGCTTTGGTATTGGCTGTATGGCTCTGGATTATGCAGTGTAGATGTGGGTGTTGTTGAGTCTGGTCCATACGCAGTCTGCCACGCTGAAGCATGGGTCGATTCAGTGAAAGAATCTTGTCGTGTTTGTGTTGGAGCTGGCCCATAGGTATGACCATCGTAAAACTTGGTATGACGAGCGGGTGGCAGAGGTTCCGCATCCTCGATTCCCCAATGCGACTTGAATTGAGCCATCAGCTTCCACTCGTCATTGGGATCAACATGACCAAAGTCCTCCACTTTGACGTTGTGCTCAACAGTATAAAGTTTCAGAAAATTTACACGCGACCTTGAATCCATAGTATTCCAAGGGTCTTTCCCTATCACGCGGATAGGTTGGCCCATCGGTGGCTCTGTCGGGACGAGTTCTGAGGCCGTGGCTCGTGGAGGCGACTTCCCAGTGTACATGATAGCATGATGGTTGTTGGGCTTATTCTCTGGGACGCCTCTGCCACCATATGTTTGGATCGATCTGCAATTGTCAGACTTTCTGACAACTAATAACGAAGCCTGCGGAACTGACAAACAGGTACAGCAATTGTGCCCTTCTCGGATTACAACGAACCAACGGATTTTGTAATAAGTCTTTTCTCCGTATGATGCGCCTATAGAGGTGGTTGCAATCGTAATGTCTTGCTTGACATCTCCAGCCAGCTCAGGCCATAGCACGCGAAATACCACGCCACGTTTGTAGAAGTTATAGCCCGGGTACTGGATCTGGAAGCCTGTAACCCAGTCAGTGGACTATAACATCATGTTTGAATGGGACATACTTGGCCTAAGTCTCTCGCTGGTTCCATGTCTTTCAGATCCCTTGAGTATTCTTCGCGGCCACCGACCTTGACTCCATAGAGGAAAATCGGGCGGCGTGCTTGAGGCATCGGGATGGAGAACTACTTCTCGGCCAACATTCTCAAGCAATTCGCCATCACTTGGCCGGGTAGGTGTCGGTACATGGGTAGGATCGATATATACCGACTGCGTTGGATAAGGATTAGGTGCGGCAGCGTTACCCCCAATGTTTGGGAGGTACCCGTATTGTGGTAGCGTATAATTGTTGCTTGGATATGGGGCGACAGCTGTGTTGTGATTAGCGTCAGCTGCCCTTGAATAAACATGTGGATCAGGGCGAGCATTTTTACCAAGGTTATCGTGTGCCGCATTGACTCGATTGATAGAAAGCCGTGAGAAGTCGTCCGCAATGTCCACGCTGCTACCTGTGTCGGCTGCGTAACGATCATGCCCAGCTGCACCTTGCAGGGTGGTAGTAACTGCCTGAGCTTGATCACTGCCTGCGCTTCTGTCACAAGAAGCCAGTCAGCTTCGAACTTTGAAAGGTACCGAGGTAGATAGGAGTGTTAGATGTTCACGTACGCTGTAGCAGGCGTTACTCCAGGGACTCTCAGACCGTTGGTGTAAATGTACGTGTTGGTGCCATAATCGTAATAGTAATAAAGCCGGCGAGCATAATCATACAGGTCGTACCGCTGCATCGTGTGCACGGAGCGACGGTTCGTGCCCCGCCATAATGCGGGACTGCCTACGGTATATAGCGCATCCAATGCAGCATGTGATGCGGCTCCAAAGTCTTCACGTTGGGTGCGATATCGAGGAGCAAGTTAGATTGATGAACAGCTCATCTTGCAGTCTGCTCTTGTTCATGTGGCTTTTCCGGTGAGCGCGCTTAGATTAGATTCATGGATGCGTATCTCCCGGGCAGCCTTAGCGTGATTGGCTTTAAAATGATGCGCGCCCCAAAGTTTCCTACAGCCACACGCGACCAGGAAAACCCCCGGCCTACAAGACACCAGCACCATAACTTCCGCCATATCCGACTACACTTCCAACACTACAGAACTTCCTAGTTATAACATTGATGACTTGCGACATATTTGACGTCTACCCTCAGTAACAGATCCAAGTATTTCACCGCACGGAGAGAGGCGGCGTGGGCCATCTCACTTACATTTTCCAGAGCCCACGATGTAGTGGCCAAGGCTGCTGAAATGAATAGTGGTAGCGAAGAAAGCCAGCTTCCTCCAAACGGCGCACCCGGACCGTTCACTTTGCCATACCATACATACGACACGCAAACGCGACAGGACGAATACCCGACCGAACAACGTGCGAGTCCATCTGTCAATACCTATATCACTTGCAACAATATGTCGCAGTCTCCCCTCGCAAACCATGGTTCAACAGCACAAGCGCAGTTCATGAAGATCTGGTTATCCCATAGGTCACGCATATCTTCGTTACGAAGTACGATATTAGTTATGCGAACAAACCTGAGAAAAGAGAGGTTGCAGTGTTGGCATAAAGAGGAAATGGAACAGAAACTTCTGGCACAGTGTATGACCCATCTCAACGAGGATGCTGTCTACAAGAACAGTACTGAAAGCTGGGATCGGTGGATCAAAACATTCGCATTGCTCGAACGATGCAGAGCTGATCTGATCTCTTCGCGGGAGCACACAGCAGCTTTGGAAGATGCTCTGTCCAATCGAGAATACCAACTGGACCGCCTGGAAGAAACGATCTATTCCGATGTCGACCAGTCACCAAATCAGGAATGGTCACACCAACCGGTACAAACTTCGTCAAGTTTTCTCCACACTGCTTTACCGATCGACAACGATCATGATCAAGACATGGGTCTACTAGAAAAGCTCTATATGCGTATGGGCGATATACGCATATATCACGAGAGATTGAGCAACTTCGAATTTGACCTTCGCGAGCGTGCAGAAGAAAGAGAGCTCATCCGCGCTGCAGGAACAGATGAGCTTTCCACTGACGCGGTCTTCTTCAACCGAGCACGGATGCAAAGATCGAGGATTCAAGAAGAGCACACGAAGGCACATGGAGATGTGCATTCACTCAAACAAAAGTGTATCGAACAAGGAATCGAATTTCAAGAACCAGAGTTCGCCAAGTCGATGTACTGTACTTTGCTGGAGAGCACTACCCCGAGTTCTAGCTCAATCCAGGCGCCGCCAAATATGGTTGGGGATTATTTCGCATCCCAGGAGCGCGTTGAGACATGGCTGGGGAAGCCGATAGAGCCTGAGCTCCACGTATCAGAGGATGATGGAGAGACAGATCACCACGAAACTGGCAGGCATCCGGCATCTCCTGATGTGGTATGGATATCAGCATCACGCCCAGGAAAGCAATCATTTTCAGATACAAGCTTGCGCAGACGGAATTCGGCCCCGTACAATATCTCGCAATGGCGAATGACTCCATCGATCGGCTCGCACTGGCCGGAAGCTACGCCTCGGGACACGGCTGCACCAGGCCTCGGAACAAATCTGCCTCAATCAGAAACCCGGAACCTCCCCAGAGCCAGGCATTCCCTTGCGATCTACGAATGATACTATGGTCCGACGTAACACCAGCAAATGGGACAGGAGGCATTCAGACACGGTGAAGGTTACGCAGGCTCCCACATGGCTGCACGCTTACTCTTCGTTCTTTCCTACGGTCTGACTCACCTGTCATACAGTCAGTCGCGTGTGCTCAGCACATTGGCCTTGTATGTTCGCTACCAATGGCATCGCAAACTGTTATCGAAGTGGCTCATGATCTCTTGGATGACGACTTGTATCCCAGACGTGTCTCGAAGTCCTATGGCCTCTTATTGGGCGCCTCGTCGGTTGTCCGCACACAACTTGACAACCTTGCTCGAAGTGGCGTTGGAGATTCGCTGCAAGAACCCCGATGACATGGGGCATTCACCAATGTATCAGTGCATCATTTGAGGCTTGCAGAAGCAATAACAGCAGAACGAGAAGTCGATCGGGAGTGCGGCTGGAGAATGCGGTGGTTGGCTAGCGGAAGAAGGCTGATCGGTGAACACCTAGGCAGGCAAAGTGTTGGAAATTTCATTGTCTAATCTTATCCAAGCAAACGCTGATCTCCACATGCCAGGACCTCACCAGACATCATTCTGCGACTGGATATCCGCTATTCAATCCTCTGCATGCCAGAAGAATGCCATGTCGTGTGACACAAGACATGCCAAATATGTACGATGAGATTGGGGATGCAGCCGGCCGGAAGGTGGGGCAAGTGGGGCAGAAATACCGATAGTGCAACGGCATGGAGCGCGGAAAGAGCGCTGGACAGCCATGACGGGTTTCAGCTCTGGAATCTGCAAAGTGCCGTTGGAAAGCTAGGATATGCCCAGCAAGAAGGCAATGATGATGCACTACATCAGTACTGCCTGTCCAGGCGACGTATCGCCATAGCCATCAATCCCGATCTAGCCCCACGGATATAACCGTGCCCGCAACCGCCCGTTAAATCGATCTGACTGCAGCCACGGACATATAAGCCTTGGTATGCTTAAAGCTGGCATCCTCGATATCTCGTAGTCTTTGGGCTCAGATGGCGAAGTTAGCGACGCCGTGGTGGGAAGAATATCGAGGGCAGGATGGTCAACCGCTACTAGCTTTGACCGAAATAAACGTCGACATCACCGCTATGATCTGCACTATTACACAGCTCTAGGTGGCACTATGTTATCAAAAGCTGTAGGCTGAACGTAACACGATGCGGGGCTGATGTCTTTGATTCGCTAGAAAGACTTGGAGGCAATGGTCCTTGGAAGCCTGGCTATCAGCCATCCACCTCGCTACCTGGTGATGCATACCCATCACATGGTTGTCATCTCTTACTCAAGTGCATCGTCCTGTGTATGTCCATTCGGGTCGAGAGCTGCACAGTCAGTAAGACTCTACAGCTCTCAGTGGATTCTGACTTGCGATGAGAGCATTAGTCCATGGCGTCCTTGCCAAGGCTGCATACCCATCCATACATTCACCGTCACAAGCCAGTTTCTGTTACCAGAGGTGGCAGGAATTCAGGTTGTGTTTTATTGCACACACGCCGTCAAATTTTGATAGGTAAGTAGAGTTCAAAACAAGACACACTTCTACCTTGAGAATAACATTGGAGATTACGACACATTGTAGCCACGCTCGTGTCGCTGAATGAAGCAGCTGAGTCCCCGCACTTGAGGCACACGCATAGCCAATGCAAGCTGCAAGTCATCATGCATCCGTATCCTTGGCATGCGGCATTGCTTATGTCGCATCGATCGACTGATCTAGCCAAGCCTGTACGCGCATTGTTGGTAACTTTGCCAAAGCGAACGCTCTAATTTACAGTCTTAGAGAGAAAAGAGTGCGCCTTTGACTCAGACTGCGGTCTGGTCTAGTTCGGGCTGGGTCCTTGCATACAGTCTTAGACTCATAGCAATTGTCAGCCTCCTGGCTGAAGCCTAGCGGGCAGAGCGCAATCATCAATATTGGCGGTTATCGTGAGTAGTGTAGCGATCCAAACTATACTCGATGCTCCACAGAGGATAATATATTCCCATTCAAAACCTTGATGAATTGTCTTCGTAATATGGTGTTCAAACTTCGCAGTAACCAAACGCTGATCCTCAAGCGCTACGCTCATCTATCCTATATTGTTACATCGTAGTATGTGAAACGGGCGTATAAGGAGATGAAACCTAAGAAATAATGAACGATATGTGTAGCCGATGATCGAGACCGCGGCAGAAAGGCTGGAGCATAAAAAAAAGATGGTTTCAGTGAAATGTTTAAGCATGAATTATATTACAAAACGCCCACTGTTATCTTGCTGGGTATGCGTTATCAATTGACTGGTAGGAGACTGTTCTAGGGTACGGGCGTAGGGCGGTTCGCGTTGGAAGGTCTGCGAGTTGCTACACGATGGTTCTTCTTCAGAAGCCTGCGGATAGTCCTCTTGACTACTGGGTAAATTTTGCGGTGTTCGTAGTGATTCCAAACGACTGGCTAGGGCCGTTGAGTCCTGTTCTAGTCCAGGTTGCAATGCATGAGCATTGTCTGGAAGTTGCGATAGCTCGGATGTAGAAGTTGTGCTGAAGTATTGCCTTTGACGAGTAGGGGTTGTGCGAGTGCTTTCAGCAACGTGACTACGGTTTTGATGATCTCGAGCGTCGTCCATATTCTCCGGATGTGTCAAACAGTCAAGAAGAACACCACCAGTGTGGGAGTCCTGTGATGTAGCGTCACTTTGTGTATCCGCTGTATCCGCTGTATTGGTGCAAGAAGTACGTCGGCTGGGTATTCCGGAAGTCGCACAAGAGACTGGTGATCCACTAACACTTCTTGTAGGAGGTTTGAGTGTAGCAAAGTCTCGCCTGCCGGCGTGCAACAGGTCTGCCGATGGAGCGGCAGGCTGGGCTTTTGGGTGATTTTCTGACGCTGGAGATGTGCTGCTAGTGATAGCCAAGGTGGGCGTACCTTGGCTCGGAGCATCTACAGTTCGTGAAATATTGGGCTTACTCGTGGTTTGGTTGGAAACCGTAGAGTCTCCAGTACGGAAAGGAGGTAGCTCCTCACGTGATTCGATCAGAAGATGGCTTGTATGCTTCCACCATGCGTCGTCATCCGGATAGCCGACGTCATGTATCGCTTTCAAATACAATTGGTGAAGACGTGAATCGTCAACAGTTTCCAGTAACCAGTCATCAATCCTTGCCATCTTACGCAGCCAACGTTTACGTTCTTGTTTCTTTTGCGCATTCTCAATGCCCCGTTCGATTGGGCTTACAGCAGCATGAGCATCAACATATAAAGCCTCTCCAGAAGACATGAATTCTTCTTTCCCCAACGCTTCTCCCTGCTGGGCTATTTCCGTCTGGACTAGCGTATCGCCCCCAGGGTCACTGATTTCACAATACATAGTGTGGTTCCAGGCATCACGAGATTTCTCGGTTCGATCGGTCATGCCGTGCGTTAACTGTGCAATGTTCAGATCATCCGCACTGCGACTTCGACTCACTGTACCGATTGGTACAAGTTTGTTAGTCAAGGCTCCCTCAACGAACTTTGCCTCTTTATTGGAATAGTTCCACTCCAAGGTGTTGTAATTGGCTTCAGCTGCATCATATTTTGCCTCGAGTAATCCTAGCCGATCTCTCAACGTTGACGCTTCGTTGAAGGCTTTCAGGATCTCCTGCGGTGAAAAGGTAGCGCTCTTGTTGAGATGCTGGCGTAGTAAGTTAAATGCCACCCCCTCTTTAGTACTCGTTTCAACATGTAGATCTTTGAGTTCTTTGCGCATCTCTGCCAGTTTGAAGCGTGAGCCGAGCAGTTCGTCGCGACAATCCCGTAGCTCTTCTTGTTCGCGATCAAGCTTCTCTGCGTGTACATTCCATGTCGCGTCCGGTTGTAAACCTGCAACACCCCCTGTGGTTGCGGGAGGAGGTGGAGGGATATGAAAGCCAGTAGAGGAAGGGTGCGACAGTAGTTGTGGCGGTGGCGGTGGCGGTGGAGGAGGAGGAATAAAGGATGATCGTATCTGACGACGCCCATATTCCGAGTTCTGTCGCCCTGAACTGTCTTCGCCATGCTTCCGTACAGCCTGCGACCTCATGTCATCGACCTGATATTCACGAACACCATCTTCTCCATATGCGTATTCTGATTGTGGTGTACGGAGCTCAGTGGGGGAAGGCTCAGCACCGGCCGTCGGTATCGATAGACGAACGTAAGGAACAGCATTTACTACTCGAGCGTCAGCAACGAAATACGATAGTAGACATAGAAGCATGTACCGGAAGAGGGCACGTCACCACTATCAATCGATTCCAAACGAGAAGAGCCATATGTCTCTTTGTCAGACATTGAACGTCGAGGTGCATGTCCAAGAACCAAGTGATGAGAATGAGGACACAGATACAAGCGGCATGGCGTGGCCAACACCAGCTAATGTTTGCTTGACCCAGGCTGATGCGCAACCGAAACACTCCAAGCAGTCGGGCGGCATGTGGCTGTCTAGGGGGTCAAAGCGCGCTAACCAGATGCAGATTGCTCGAAGATAGAGTGGGGTCCGCGGACTAAGGGCCGAACGCGTCGTAGCAGTTGCCGTAGCTTCACCTTGGCGGCCTGCACGCAGGCCCCCTCCATCCTCTCCCATGGCTGGCATTCGCGCCAACGCATACATGGATTATCACATTACCACTTTATCGCAAGCTGTAGGAGGGTCGCGTCGGCATCATGGATGTCAATTTCAGATGGCTCTCCGTCTCCTAATCTCTCATGCGGCTCTGCGCGTCCAGTCATTCGGCACACATAAGTAGTCATCATACTTGTGTAGTCTGAGTCGCTGCGCTTTCGGTGACATGTTGCACCAATTACGACATGTTGGATCCAAACGCACCCCAGCCAGAATGGAACCACCAATTCCAAAGGTATCTTCACCTACACTTCAACATCAGTTATCAGCGTTGGTTCTGGAATCACTATGACGGTAAGGAATCGCCTTGGTGACTGCGCACGTTGACTGACGGGCTTCAGGGCAAAACTGGGTGTTCTTTGACTGGGTCCCGCTGGAAATTGCGCCCCCTGTCCCGCAACCCCAACTCATCGTCAACCAGACCCTTCCAGCTCCTTCACATCACCGCTTCGACTCTGCAGCCGGGCCAGCCGGCACTCGCGAAGGTACAACAGTCTTTGGTTCTTACGACGGAAGAAATGCATTGCCCACCAGTCATTATGAATCCCTCGATCCTTGTAAGTCACCATTAGACTGTCTACAATAATAGAATGCTAATCTCTTAAAGCATTTTACGTCAGAGATTCGACCTTCTTCATCGAAGGAAGGGTAAGTGTATTCGTACTCAGCTAAGGCGAATTCTGACAGAACTAGGTCTTCTCAATACTCTTTAGTGAAGCAGCAGGTGCAAACGCAGTTGTTGCACTGAGAAACATCAACAACGTGACCGATTACAATAGCTCTATCTCCATGGTGAAGTACCGTGAACTGGTACACACACAAGTGCGGAGGTTTATTGTGGTCAAACGCAAAAGAGAATTTTGTTTCGCTGTGTAAGTAGTACATACATCATGGTTATACGCTGCTAACAATGATAGACCCATTTTCACCTACCAGGGTCAAGGCACGAAGAAGCAAGGTGTCTCTCCAACTGAGCACGCTATCGCTTTCTCGCATGGATATGCTGATCAATTACTGCCGGGCGAGGCGCCCCTCACTAAACATCCTATCTGTATCGTCATGAACAACGGCGAAAGGCGTCTCGCGATCGCGTCGAGAATCTACTTTGGGATCCATCATCCGATCCAATATAACGTCAAGGTCAAAGACCTTGGTGTGGTACACCAAGACTGGTTGGCAACCTTTCTTGGCTATTGGAACATGGAGAACCTCGCCGATACTCAGCAATCTAACGAAATCACCAACGAGGCCGCCCAAGGTGAAGGTTTTTGACTTGGTGCCTTTCTCTCTTTAACTCAACCATACGTTTTTGCTTCTTTCTCACGATCTATCAACGTTTCCAACTTTGCTTATATGACGCTAATGAATCACGGATTTCCTGTTTTGTTTGATACGTCTTTCTTTCGGTATGTAGCAAAATTGCACTCACATCATTAGTGAACAATATCCAACAAATGGAGCGTAATCGTTTTCCAAAGACGCCTGCATTGACGAGGTTCTTCGTGGACGGAAATCCACCTACTGTATGGGTGCTCGCAGCCTGGGTTAGGAGAGAGATGCGCATAGCCTATCAACATACACATGTCCCATAGCATTCCTGTACGCACATGTAGTGTCATACATGCGTCGCCTCTGCTTCCAAAACCCTATTCCCCAATGAACAGTAACAGGCAGAGCCGCTTGCCTCTCCGCCACGCCCATATCATCCCCCTAATCAGGCAGCAGGTCAGTTGTTAACGTCACCGTGCGGTTGTGATTGCCTTCCGCCCGGCTGTCAGTCAGCTGCGGTGGAGAAATCGACAGCATTCGGGGGTAATCTCCTAAACACATTCAGCCGTGCATGGATGATCTCAGCCGTACTTACCGCTTCCTAGGCTTCCGATTTGAGTGGCTTAATGCGGTTGCGATAGGTCGAATCTCGCGAGCCTCATCCCGTAAAAACAACTTTTAAACGACGGCATGGAATAATACACAATTCCCTGTTATCTTATTGGTGGTGTGGCTGCTTCTCTCTTCCCGTCGCTGCGCGAGCAGTCCGCCCACGTTCCTCGCTCCATCCCTCCACCATATTGGATAACGCAAGAGCCTCATAGTAATACGTGCCCGCTCTGGGCTATCAGCCCACAGTGCATTCCGACGCTAAAAACAAGGCATGTGGCAAATTCCTGTCCACGTCGCGCGGGGCTATAGGGCGATGGTCACTGGCTTAACCAACCGCGCGGGGAGCTGGATGATGCGCATATGCCGTGCGGCATGGGTCATGCGTATACGCATGTATTGTGGTGTTAGCCTTCTTACCGCAAGTAGAAAGACCTCTTGCGATAAGTGGACCGGACTGCATTCCCAGCCTTATAAGGCGCATTCACTGTTATTGGTTGTAGCGCCAAAGAAATCGCTTGTGCTGGTGAACATGTAAGACGGGAACTAGGTGCTCTTGCATCCCGTGGTGGGTCAAAGTGGGGTCGACGGGCCGTTGGAACTCCATCAATGAGGCAGCGACGACGCCGTGTTACCTTTCTCTATATCTCAACCACTGAGCTGGAATGAAAAGGGGGTTGGGGGTAGAATGAGTTCCACGATAATGAAAGGCGTATCCCACTGCCGATAGTCTCTGGATGTAACTCCGACGGCGGCTCATCTCAGATTCGATACCAATCAATACACTACTGCTGAGGTTTAGAACTCCTTCCAAATCAAGCATGTCGCGCGGCTAGCGATCATCGGTAACGGCTGTCGTGCATCCGCCGGGTTAGTGAGACCGGCAATTATCTTTCTATCGGGCCGAAAAAAAGGCATCCATAAATTGGCCCTACCCTCGGGATGCGACGCGCTGGTTCTGACCAGCCAGGCTTCGCTCACATGTAAGCGGGCGTCCTGCTGATCGCCGTCAACGTGGGACATGTGGAGCTGAGCCCGACTGAGTGGTCACACGGCGCAGGCTGAGTGTAAGCTCGCATGAATCTTGCTACTGTTGGCGCAGTTGCCCGTTTGCCTTCTTCAGCTGCTGATCATCGCATTCAAGCTGCAGTTTCAAGAGGTCTCGGATCGAACGGCATGGCATGTCTGTGAACCGATATATGCATTAGGATAACGGGAAGAGGGAACAGAACGACCAGCTAACGCCCAGTAATGAAAACCGGCGAACTTTGCCTGAACAGATATGCGGAAATGAAAAGGCGTGCTCCTGTAATCTTACGTCCGTGAACTATACAGTGTTGAAGAAACATCCAGTAACAGGTATATTTGTGAGGAGGATGGAAAGAATAACCGAGAAATGATGCGAACGGCTCTCGGCATAGGGTGACGGGACACTGTCATGTCACCGATTGCTGTCATGCACGACCTCCAGATTCATGAATCGCGATTGTGGGAGTGCTTTTGCTCCGCAGTTTCTTGACCGAGGAAAGCCACTCCTTGAGCCGATTGCCTGAACTCCTCCGTTGTGGAAGGGGTGGTCGAGAATGAGGCTTGTTCAAAGCATCGGTAAATTGGAGATTGCTAGTGTGGTCGAGCGCCGACAGCTCAGCTGTACGTATCCAAGGGTTTGTCGAAGCAGGCTGCGCAATAGTATCGGATATCGATTGAAAGCATGCACCATCCACAGGTTCGGAGTTTGCAGTGGGTGACATAGGTAGACCCAAGAAGTCTTCTTCCTGCGCCAGACCACAGCGATCACGAGCTACTGAAGCATCAGTCTTCGTCCGGATGTTGTTTGACACTTGTGAGGAGGCTCTTGTCTTGACTTCCGGTTTATACCTAGCGCAGCTGATGTGATGCTCTATCTTCGTACTCTGAACACTGTCCTTTCGTTGGGCTGCGTCGCCATATTCCACTGGACAGGTACATACGACTTCGGCTACGATATCATCTCCTGGATCACGATCCTCAGCTTTGTGAGGTTCCTTAACCATGGCAGGTCTATCCGAGGGTGTCTTCGGACTGTCGTCATCAGAATCCGTTGAGTGTGACAGCTGCGAAGATGGTATCGATGAGTCGTCGTCACAACTCTCCTGTGGATCCTCGTGCAATACCTGAGAGTCTGAATCGTGGTGCGACCCAGGATTACACCTCATCTCGTTGACGGAACCTGTCTTGCAACGTTCCGCGTTCTCGCTCTCGACGAGGCTATCATGACTCCAGAATTGTGCTGCTCGAAGTTCCCAGTCATCCTCGATGAGGCTTGCTATCCCGTAGTATGCAAGAGTGTTCAGATACAGGCGCTTTTGCACAGCATCTTCCTTGAGGTGCGTCAGGGACCATGCTCGAATCTTCTCTCTTACAAGGAAATTGTTTCGCATAGATGCAGCGGCGCTTTCCGTTTGCGTTCGTCTCATTGCAGTCGAATCTTCGGGTATAGTTCTGTATGAATTTGCTGGATCAGAAGATCTCCTCGCCAAACGTGAGGCAGCCAGCACCGGAAACATTTCTTCAGCTTTGTATTTCTCGGCTTTGGCCTTCCGTGTAGAGAGCTCGTATACCATGTTCCCAAACTCGCTTGCAGAGGTTGTGAGATTACCATCAGGAAGCCCTTTTCCTTCCGGGAAGAACACGTCATCTCCATCATCCCAAGTAATGTTACTGGCTTGCGTTTGCCGCATTTTGTCGAGTTCTTTCTTCAAAGTCTCGACGCCTGCCACCATGGCAGCATATTCTCGATCAACTCGAACGAGCGGAGGCTGAGCTGCGATAGCAGAAGAAGCAAGAACCAAAGATGGTGGTGGAGCAGCAAATTGCGGAGGAGGTGGTGGGGGCGGTAGCTTCAAGACTTGACTGGGAGACAATGATCCTGTAGGGCAAGGTGGTATGTGAGAGAGTGGTAGATGGTGTGAGGTCTCAAGACGTTGATCGTGTAGAGAACCGAGCTGTTCGTTGTCTGGCCCAGAGAAAATGTTGTTGATATCGAATTGGTAGAACTGGGTCTCGCGGGCGACAAATGTCCATTCCGCCCCAGTAAGATCGCTTTCGGCCCCAAGATAGTCGTCTTCTAGCTCACCCAGATCATCCCGTGCTTCTCTGACAAGATTGTATGCGGCCAAGAGCGCCCTCGAGAGTTCATCTGGGTAATCGTTGACAAACTCTCTCAGTCGAGTCATGAAACTCGCCTCTGCGTTGCCAGCATCTATCCGCTTCTGTCGAACCTTGCGGCGAGTAGCTCTTACTCTTTCCCGCTCGATCAATAAGTCCTCTCTAATAGATGAAAGTCTCGCCTGAGAATCGGATAGAGTGTTCAAGCGCTGCCGATTGAGATCGTTTAGCAGCTCGAGCTGCGTAGCTGGTTGTTTCCCATATCCGGCTAGACTTCGCGTCTCCATAATGTCTCGAAAATGGAGTCATGAGGTTGCAGACGCCAGATCCGCTGGATAAAAAGACTTTTGAAAATTCTTGTTCCCTTGCATGACGTGGCAGCAGCTTCCTTTTGATTGACAAGGACAGCCCTTGGGGAATTTGGCATGAGCATCAGCAAAGACCGTCCACTCTGACACTACGTGTTGGCATACGTGGTCTTTGTCTGAGTAGTGCGGAGGATAAGGGGTATCCCAGAACAGATGTCAGCCAGGAAAGCTTGCGCACGGAAGAAGCTGAAGCGGTCCGGTCGCTCATCATATGTGCTGAGATGAAGGAACCATTGAGCAAACAGATCGGAAGCTAGGCGCATGTAGGCACCCGGCCTGTCTGTCGCACGGATGAAGTATCGGGTATCAGGCTGACACCAACTGTTCTGATTGGCACTGACCGGGTCGCCGCTTCGCTCGTTTCAATACCGCATAACCGCCCTAATGTCGGGACCAGCCACAAAGTCCGGGAAACGACTGAACACTCACCACGCACATGCGCAATACGCGAACAGATGAAACGCATATGCAGGCGCGTCTGGATGCAGAGACAGCGATCGCTCTCTCGTTACGCACTACATCCTCTCCATGCTGTTTGGACGTGACAGCAGAGCCGCATTGGTCGACACTTTGCATCTTATAAAGTCACGCTAGACTACCGATCATGAGGTCGAATTGTGATTCACGCTACCGCGGCAATCGAGCTTCTACAACTGATCGGCGTATCACCAAAAGCTCAGGACGTGTGGTGGATATTAAGAGAGCTTTTCTGACGCCGGCGTTGGTGTCCAGTAGCATTGTGCAACATGTCGACTAGCAACTGGATATGGAGCCAGCAATACGGGGATTACTATTGCGTCACATACGACGAGTTTCGTGAGTATTACCACGTCCTGATCAAGCTTGAGGCCCACCGAATTCCACTGATTCAAACAGAACAACCGGTGTATCACTGGGCTAAACAGCAGGCCCAAGCGGAGACCCCCGAAGTCCCTCCCAGGCGAGACTCAGGCAATCAATACGATGGCTCAAACGTGGCTCAAATGCCCGAACCCGGTGTGTCCTTGTTCCAAATTGGGTAGTTGAGGTTTCGCCTAATCCGTAATTCGTAGCCCCACAGGATGTTCGCGCCATGAGAGGCTTCATCCAGGGGACGCCACATACCGGCTGGTACGATAACCTAGACTCGAGTAAGCGTAGCCTAACAAGAAACACTTTCTCGACTGACCTTGAGAATCTTAGGCTACTGCATGAAAACCGGCAGCGAAGCTTATCAGTTCTTCGTAGTTGGAAGAGTCTTTGCTATGCTCTATACCGAGGCTGCAGGTGAAACTTCGCAGGCGAACCCATACGACGATGCATACACCCTCGTCCGATTTGGCGAGCGGGTATACACTAACATACGTCGTTTTGTAGTGCTCAAGGTCAGAAGTGGCTTTGTCAAAGCTTGGTACGGACTAGGTCGACATCGCAAATACGTTTTGACTAACCTGACTCAGCGGGATTGGCACCTATTCCAATCGGGGCGCCCGTAAAGGTGGTTGCAGACCATCCGAGCATGCAATCGTATATCTCCAGGGCACAGATCCGGCTTCCTGTTATCTCGAAGGAGAAAGAGAAAGCGGGATGACCAAGGAAGCGATAGAGATCATACCAGTTGATCGCTCCATCAAACTCCGAAGCAATTCCCGCATACGTTTCGGCAAGACGTATCCTATCGAGCAGAATGTCAAGGTCAAAGACATTGGCCACATTCATCCGAGTCACGTCGGCAAACTTCTTCAGTACTGGAAGGATGAAGACTAAGTCCAGAGTTGAGGACATGACCTCGGGCATCCAGATTGTCGCGTGGTAGTGTACGCTGCCACGTCGGCCACAACTCTTGCCAACATGACTGCGAACCTGGCTGGGATCTCCAGTCGCATCAATCCCTTATTCATTCAGACCTGTCATCCTCTCATTGGAATACGTTTATTCTCTGGCCCTTTGTTCCTAATGGAATTATGAATTTGACGAAATTTGACGACCGATTGAACGCTGGGTTTAAAGAGGAAGGGGATCACGGTATGATCGCACTATCGTTACGACCTCTTTGCCTAGCACATACGTTATATATGACTAAATTGGAATCTTGTCTCTTCCATAGCCCACGGTGTGCGTTGCTGTGTGACCTGAACCCTCCCTATATTTGTTCCGCAGGACGAAACCCGCAACCGCAAGCCTATACAGGCTCCAGTGCGACAGGCGCATGTATGATGGTAGCGCTTCTGCGAAGGCGTGTGTGCAGTTGAAGCGCAGGCGGGGGAGTCTTTGGTGTGTTCGGTTACGCCGCTGTCACATATTCAAAGCTCCGCGTCGGCATCTGCGACCCGGCTTCGCTGCATACCGGCCTACGTTCCTGCATTCTATGACCCGCAGGCGTAGTCCGTGGAGATGTCGCGGTCGTCGAGTGCGAGTGCGAGACCTTATCGCGTAGTATAGAGGCGCCGCGTGTAGCTATAGCGACATCATCAAGGGCCAATTCCCGTCCGATCCAGCGGCTCGTCACTATACGTAAGTATTACGGAAATCCTTTGGTAGCGTGTGCGAAGCGCTGGTCAGTAGCGCGCGTGGGTGAGCGAAGTTGAGTATGTGTTGTGGGATGAACGAGGAGCGTAAGGCGACATCGCGAGCTTGGGCGCAAGACTGGAGGGCCGGGGCCGGCACGGTACTCCGGAACCACTATTATCTGCCGCTGCCATTGAGGATCAAGCTGAACATAAATTCCGCAACGAATGTGACATACAAGCGGATGATCGAGTTACGACTTCGCGCTTCAAAGGCGTTCCCGTTAAGCACCCATGCTAGTGCTTGGGCAAGTGTGAAGTTCCCAAGGCCACAGACGCGGCCCGCATTTGTCTCCATACATTGCCATAGAAACTTAATTATGCCGAGACCTTGTCAAGCTATAGCGGTAGTCATCCGCCTACACCTGCGCAGCTTGATAGACACCCAGGTACCCGCCTCGTTCACTAACATTTTCCGGGCACGTTGAATACACTTTTACAGCCACAACCCGGCTTTACCTCGGACGACAACAACAACTATGCGCCATGCCTGTACACCCAAACGCCCTGCTCGTGTCTTCATCCTCGTGTTCTGTGGTCTACACCGTTTCCAGCAATTGCGAATCCTTGTAAGCTGGGATGCGGGAAATGTAGATTGACGCATCGAATACATCAGCCCCAGATCCGCCCACACCGCGAATCTCCCACACACGTTTCGACCGAACGCTACCCGTTGTAGCCCAAAGACACTTAGATTGCTGTACTCCATCTCAGGTTAGTAGCGATGCAGCATTGGCTAGGCCCATCACGGCATTCTAACCCGGCAAATCATCAAAGGTGCTGGTCTATGTACGGGAAGTCGTTTGGTCGGATCACATACAACGTCTGTGATGATCGAAAAGCTAACGAAATGGCACTAGCCCCAGTTGACGCTAACATGGAAATCTAACTCCATACTTCGGTCATGAGTTTCATGATCTCGTACGGGTAGTCGAAACCTTTGCAGATCGAATAAGATCAGGCAATATATCCTTATACTGACAGTAGGCATTTACACACACTGAGATGAGAACTCGCCCGATGACCAGTTGCTTGAAAAGGAACCGTTCGAAGATTAAAGAGCAAATGCAAGGCTCGCCGTATGGTTTTCCTGCGACCAGTAGCTGAGCAATGCACTGATCTGATCTTCGCGAACTCGGCCAATATCCTTGACCTTCACGTTCATCTCGATTGGATACACTTTCCCAAACCGAATGCGAGACTCCCTCCTGATACTTATGCTTGATTCAGCTGGCAAAACCTCGATTGGCTCTTTGGTCATGCCAGTCTCATATTCGCCGGGAATGTAGCACGATGCAGGATCAGTCCCGGAGAAGTACACGATTGTGTGTTCGGCTGGATTGCACCCGTCCTTGAGAGTGCCACGACCAGAATAGGTACCGATACCACTAACACGAATCAACACTTTGCCACGACGTCCGATAATCGCACTGAATCTTACCAAGCGTTTACGAAACCTCGCTTCACTTCCACAACAACAAAGCGGCGAATATTAGTGTGTGCGGTCTGCCCAAACCGTATCACTGTGTATGCGTCGTCGTTGGGGTGCTGTACGGAGGTGTCGCTTACTGTCTCGGTGTATAGCATGGCAAACACCTTTCCCACCTTGAAAAACTCTCGCGCTTCCTGACCAGTTCGCATTCGATAAGCTGACTTGGTGTTAGAGGAGATCTGCGAATGTCTCGATATACTCACCAATGTCTAGACCATCGTACCACCCAGTCTGTGGCGTGCCTGATATGAAACCTTGTAGCGTACGAACGTCTCGGGGAGCTGGAAAGACCAAGTCAGTGCCTACTTTGCTGCCAAATGACTACTCCGCCATACCTGGCTCGGGCATCTGCGGCTCAATCGCTGAGTCTTGATTGGGACGCGTGTCGGGCGCGTGAGACCCAGCTTGTTGGACGTAGGCTTGAGCCTGTGGACGCCAATAGTAAACAGGGCGATCTAGAACAGTTAGCGGCTGGACATCAGCGTGAGACGTTGCATGACTGACTGTACTGATCATATTGGATATAGTAGTACTCCTGGTATTCGTGGCTCCACGTCCATCCTTGGACATTGTCCGCCCTGCCGGGCTTTGATACTGAAGGTGCGCGTAGATCGATGGAGCGACAATTCGAGCAAGAGAAGCCGCTATTGTGACAGATAGCGTCAAAAAACTTGATCAGAGGTGGGACGACTCAACGAATCTCTTGCGGTCATATCTATGACATGACACAAGAGAAATGCCAGTTTTGAAGAGATTTCGGCGGATAGAAGTAAAGCGTGAAGAGAGTCCATGATTCCTGAGTAACAGGCCTCTTCCAAGCCTTCAGGTTCTGACAAACGGCTTAGGCGTATCAACATCTCAATGAAAACGCAGCCTAGGGAGAAGACGTCTGCAGCAAAGTTCCTCTTCTCGGACTCAAGTACTTCCGGAGCGCAGTACCTTCGAGTCACAGAATCGGGTGCCCATTCTGTAGTACATTGGCCATCCTTGGTAGTATCTTTTGACGCCCCAAAGTCAGTATGTATCACGATACCCTGATGGATCAAGATGTTGCGCGGCTTGATATCTTTATGACGTATCCCTTTCTTGTGCATGTATACTAGGCCACTTGATAAGCATCCGAAGGCCTGTTCGAGAATCTTAGTCATCTCTTCCAGATTGGTGGAAGGGTTTGCGGGATGTTCGACCAGGTCGGCAAATTTGTCGAGGTAGTCATGCAGATCTCCTTCATCTGCAGCAGGTTGTAAAAGTAGTCCGCCAGATCGCGACGTCGTATACGTAGCGAATAATCGAATGATGTGCGTATGAGTCCTTAGACTGCGAATGATAGCAACCTCATTGTGGTATCGCTCCTCAGCCTGTTCCCTGCTTTTGCCCTTACGAGGAAAATTGATCACCTTCTTTGCGAACAGTTCCTTTGTTTGCCTGTGTTCCACCTTCTGCACGACAGCGCTCCAGCCGTTACCAAGCACTTCTTTGCACTCGAACGGCAGGTATTTCTCGTTCTCGATCTTGTAGTCACCGTCCTGTTCAATAATGACTTTGTCGCTCAGCGACAGGATACCAAACGAAACTGAGATTTCGCTTGCTTTAGCGCTGGAAACCGTATCTGCTTCCATGCTAAACGCAAGGCGCGACACAATGGGTTTGTTGCAAAAGCACGACAGCAATACCGGCTAGGTCGCTACCATGTTTCTCTCAGTAATGTAAAATTTCATGCCCGGTGGCGAATGTACCTACATCGCTTGCTCAGGAGCGCGGCTGAGTGCCTGCGAGTGACTCGTGGGCCAAGCTTACAGTCTGCAACCCGCTTACTGCTCGTCACATGCGGTGGTTGACTTCGCGCATGTCCATGATCATATTATTTGAATGACCGTCGGTTGTGAATGCTAAAAGACAGGATTTCGTCGGGGTGAGCTGACAGCGACACGGGCCAAATACCGGTGAGCCTACCGTGCATATAGTGGCGTTGTCTGGAAATTACGTGTAGGGTGCCCAATACCTAGGTATCCAAGCTAGGTTCTGTATCGTGGAGCAATGCAGTTAACCATGAGAGAGAGTGGGAACGTGCGCAAGAAAGATGGAAAGCCAAAATAATGCAAAGAGGATTGTGTAGACGTAGGGGTCGTAGCAGATCATGATATACGATAGAGACACCAACTGAGCTGGCACGGCCAATCAGATGTCAAATCTCTCTTCCAGATTTCTGCCAATATTTGCTGGGCTATTTCCTTCCTTTACCCCTCGCGTTGAACGTTTTCAATGGGTCGACCTTGCCATTCCTTCTTACCACTTTCCTGCCCTTGCCCTTGGCGTATGTCTTCTTCGCCCTTGGTATGTTGAGGCCGACAAAGCCAACATCCTGCGGCTTCTTCCCACCTGGTAGGAGATAATCGGGAATATGCCGTAAGTGGGGTTGTATTCTGGCGGGATGGTTGAGAGTCTGGTCGTGGCGGAGATGCGCGAGCGCTTCAGGGTTCTCTTCAAACTGTTACGATGTTAGCATGAGCCAGCAGTGAATGATGCGGATGAACTTACGTATCGGGACAACTTCTGCGACTTGGCCAGCTCCATGTGAATTTCCTTGATACGTGCCTCGCGAATGGCGATCCTGGTCACCGACTTCAGGGCATCTGCGAACCGGTATCGGAATGGCTCTAACCGTTTCATGTCGAATTGGTAATCCTCCAGCTTTTGACCCTCTTCTTGATGCTGCTCTACCTTCTTGAGAACCTCTTCGTCGTGTTCACATCCCGCAAATGTAGTGGGCTTATGCTTGCGGTATTTGTCCTTCGGGATAATGAACGAAATGGCAGTGCCAGACTTGCCAGCTCGTGCTGTTCGTCCAATTCGATGAAAGTATGATTTGTAGTTCCCGGGGAAGTCGAAGTTGATTATGCAGCTTACGTTCAGGAAATCGATGCCGCGAGAGACGCCGGAGTCGGTCTCCTTGTCCTTTTTCGCTTTCTTCTTTGGTCGCGACTCGTCTTGCACGCCAACGACGTCGGTTTCGTCCGAAGCAATCAGGATCTTGTAGAGGTCTTTATTGAACTCCTCTACAATGTGTGTTCGGGACGCCAGCGGCAGTTCGGAGTTGAGTACGATCGCCTTGATGCCGAATTGCTCGAGGAAGAGTTTAACACGGTATGACCTGTCGACGTCACCAACGAACACGATGCTAGAGGTACAACGTTAGTATATGTCTCACATGCGGTTCACGCGGTTGCCTCTTACCTCTTCCCATGTACCAGATTGAGTTTCATCATAGCGAAAAGCAGGAGGAACTTGTCGTCCTCTGCTACCTTGAGAACGTATTGCTTGACCTTCTGCGAGTCTTTGTCCAGGTCTTGTAGCTTCAGTACAACTGGATCCGTACAGAGCAGGCTGCCGAGCGCCTCAACATCGGTTGAGAGAGTCGCTGAAAGGACGATCTTCTGGACTCCAACAGGAATCTCCCGAGCAATGTTCTCCATGTCGTCCGCGAACCCGTAACCGTTGATCAGGTCACCCTCGTCGACTACAAGCATCTTGATGTCGCTGACTGCCATGGCAGAACTGTTGATGTTTGCCCATGCTCTCGCTGGTGTCGCGACGACGATTTCTGGTTTATCCGCGAGGGCTGCCTTGATGACGACATCTGATTCCTTGCCAGCGATGTTACGGACCCGGATCGATTGTCCGCAGTGTTGAGAGAGCGATTTCGCGACTGTCGCGATTTGTGAGCAGAGTTCCTTAGTAGGCGCCAGGATGAGCGATTGGCCTTTCTGCTGCAGCGTCTTGTGAAGGATGGGGAGAAGATATGCTCCCGTCTTTCCGGTGCCTGTCCCCGAACGTGCAAGGACGTCACGTCCCTCCAGTATTAATGGTATGCCTTGGGACTGTACTGCCGTTGGTGATGCCCATTTTAAGTCGCGGATCGCTCTCAGCAGACGGGGCTCGAGTTGTAGTTCGGCAAATGAAGCGGCTATGGGTACTGGCTCGGCAGTAGGCTTCGCCTTGGAACCCTTCTTCTTCTTCGGCGTGGCAGCGGTCGCGGGCGCAGTCGCAGTCGCAGTGGATGTCGTGGGTTCGGGCGAGCTGCGGGGCTCGGACTGCGACTCGTCGCTCGATGTCACCTCTGGCACGTCGTGTTCGTTGAGTTTGCGCTTCGCCATTGTGTCGGAAGTTGATTCGAATCTAGGGAATGTGGTCGCGTCGTTGTTCGTCGAAGTTTGCGCTGCCTGCATCTACCAGTTCTGAACTTTTTTGACGCTAATGCCGGGCGGCCTTGGCACGCCCCACAGCGGAGGAGCCACTGCTGAACGCTGATGCCCTGCGCCGGCCGCGACTTCCATACTTCCACACATGCGACGGGGACTGAGCAGCAAACACATGACACGGGTAACGCAGAGCAACATACTACAAGATCGTACATCAAACACTTTCCGCCGTTACTATACAGCACTACATATGTCTTCTCGTTGATCATCGACTACAGGAGTGCACCTCTCAGAAGTCACGATGCGGAACACGAGAGCGGCCACCCGTTGCGATGATAAGGACCTCGAACACGATCTCGAAAGCTTGATTCCACCGCCAATCATGCTGTGATTCCAATCAAATCCTGATTTGTCTTACAATAGTCGTCGCATGTAGCCTACAGTTCTACGTCAGCAGGTGCCGTCAACCACTACACGAATACGTACCCTGGGCATGCCTCTTCTGCCGCCATCCTGCACCATCCTCTCTAATGCTGCAACATACTTGGTGATCTCTTCATTGTCCAGCTTTCTCAAGGCCGTCAGCACAGCATCGATCGTTTTCTGATCAGGTCCTTGATCACTCGTGCTCAACAGGTCGATACCTGGGGGCGTTTGGGTGAGCTCCACTGCCGTCGAATAGCTCGCGTAGTAAGGGACTCTGTTCGCGTCGCAGCCCCAAACTAGAATGCTGTATTGGCAGGTAGCTCCCGCCAAGATTCCGGTTGCTGCAAAATCTAGCACTGCAGGCAGGTAGGGATGCGGTGTGTCGACGCCATATGTGGTGAAGACGGTGTCATTCCCCGGGAACTGGAATGAGAAGAGGTCGTTCACAAGTCCGGTGGGCTCCGAGGGGTCGATCGGTGTCGGGTCGTATTGCACATTCCGCATCGCAGCATACTGAGGGTTCGACGCAAGTATCATGGACCATGGCTTGAAGTAAAATCCGACGGGTGGTGCTTGCCATGGCCTACCGCGGTGGGCATGAGCGGTGGTATTGAAGGTTGGTGGTATGCGAACCCTCACGCCTTCCGCACCCACCTTGCGCGGACATCCGTCTGGAGTGGTGTGCGCGATGGCACCGAGTGCAACCACGAGGAGTATCAAGATGGAAAGCATGGTGCTGGTGGTAGTCTGTAAACCGAGCAAAAGCGCTTAAGACTTCTGAATTTATGTATGTGACATCCGAAGCTCCCGCTGACTGTCTACCTGATTAGGAAAGAGGCCGGGGTAGCTGCTCGTGGTCGTCGTACGTTGGCGAATGGACACCAATCGAGCCGTGAGTCAGGGTCACTCGCTCCTCACCGCGCACAACAAGTACAAGTTATTACCCGATCTGCATCCAACAAGTTCCTAGTTTGCGCTGAGATCCTCTACATGATAGTCCTATTGTGGAGGGGTGTTGACAGCTACCAGCATTAATGCAAACAGAGGTCCACCCAGGATAGCAACACGCGTGTCTGGGCGAAAAACGCTCACTAGTACGACAGCTTTGTGCAATCGTGAGTAAGCCGAATGAGGCACGAATAACGAATTGCTTCTCATGACGCGACGCCAATATGAACACCTCATACATTGAACAACGAGCCTTCTCGTAGGTATCAGAAACGTTCATTGCAGTCGCAGGGCGCAATGTTACCGAAGAATCTCCTTCGTATCATTCTGTTTCGCTGTTTTGAATCAACAATTCGAACGAATCCTGTAGCCTCAATGACCTGAACGCGAGGATACGCTGTATACCTAGATGTTAGCTCTCCTCTTCTACCCGCGCACAGGTACTATATTCTCACAGCGAGAGCCAGAGTAGTACCATGCTGTCCTCACGAAATTGTTGGTGTTGAGCGCATAGCGACCTGGAAGGATATGGCGACAGAGAATGGCGGGTGGACGGCCCGTGGATGCCGGATCCAAAGCTTCGGTGCCACGAACATGTGCGAACGATGACAATTCAGCTGAAGTGGCATCTTAAGACGAACAACCACGTATGTGTCGAAGCTATCGAGTAACGACAACATCGCGAAGATGCAGGTCGATCATTACCGTGGAGAAAGCTGGGACACAGGGGTAGTCTCCTGCAAGCCGACTTCGGACTCCACCGCCAGCGCGTCGTGATTGGACACCACACCATCGCTTATCTTCACTCTCCTGTTTACCTCATCGAAACCACCAACCCCAACCTGCCTCCAGCATGCCCACCATCTCCACGCCCAGACCCAGCTCTGTCTGCCCAAGCAAAAAGTCACGCATATCAGCCACTCAGGGCTCAGCAAGAAAATTTCCGCTGAGCCATTCGGTCCTGCCCGCCACTACGAGGCAAGCGCGATGCACCTCCGTTGCAAGGCCGTTCGTTATCAGCATACGCGAGCGATCATGCAACGCCCAGTCGGCTAAGAGCTGAAAGTGCCCTACAACAAGACCTCATTGCTAATATAAGCTTCAAAATTGCGTAGAAGACGAGAGATTTCTAGTCTTGGCCTTCGTTACACGTTACCTAGTCTTGACATGCGCCTATCTTCAACCAATCATGTGCCGGCCCGATTGCCAATCGACGAGATGGTTGTGTGCGGTTGAAAGGCTCCAGATAGCAGTCTTGGGACCGAGCTGAAGCCGGGAAACGGTAATCGTGGGGATGCATTGGGGTATAGATACCTCGTCTGCCCCGTTGGGATGGTTCGACAGCCAACGCTTTGAAGCTTGACATTGAACCAAGCTACATCTTTCGACATGGCTGGCGGCGGCACTCCAGTTGGCCCTTCTGCTTCACCCCTAGGCCAGGGTTGGGGCTATGGCATTGTGCTTGGTGTTGGCTTCCTCTTTGCCCTTGGCATGGTATGTTTACCTGATTGTAACAAGTGCCTCAGTCTAACAACCTCAAGGTCTTCACCACTTGGGTTCTCAAGCGCTACAACAATGAGGTGCAGACTTCGGAGATGTTCTCGACTGCTGGTCGTACGGTCAAGTCTGGTCTTGTTGCATCTGCAGTAGTGTCATCGTGGACCTGGGCAGCTACCCTATTGCAAAGCTCTTCGGTCGCCTTCCGCTACGGTATGTTAAGAGACCGATTCATATGGAATTCCAAGTCTGATCATCCATAGGTGTTTCTGGGCCTCTCTGGTACGCCGCTGGTGCTACAGTGCAGATCTTGCTGTTTGCTACCGTTGCGATCGAACTCAAGAGGCGAGCTCCCAACGCTCATGTAAGTGCAATATGTTCTCGCCATCGAGCGACCACCAGATCTGACGACCAATAGACATTCCTTGAAGCTGTTCGTGCTCGCTACGGAAAGGCCACGCATTTCGTGTATATCACTTTCGGCCTCTTCACCAACATACTCGTTACAGCCATGCTTTTGACTGGCGGGTCTGCCGTCATCAGCTCTCTAACCGGGGTACCTACAGCGGCAGCCTGTTTCCTACTTCCTCTGGGTGTCGTAGTCTACACTATGTTCGGCGGTATCAAAGCCACCTTCCTCACAGACTACGTCCACACCGTCATACTCCTTATCATCCTTCTTACCTTCGCGTTCACGACCTATGCCACTGGTGATCGACTTGGCTCGCCCAAGGCCGTTTACGATCGTCTGCAGGAGCTTTCGGCGACAACACCAGTTCCTGGTAATGCTGGTGGAAGCTATCTCACGATGAGGAGCAAAGATGGCGCTATTTTCTTCGTCATCAACATCATTGGCAACTTCGGAACTGTCTTCATGGACAATGGATGTGAGTGTTCCTCTAGACGGAGTGTTATCAGAAACTGACAAGAGGCAGACTACAATAAGGCTATTGCTGCATCGCCAGTTCACGCTCTTCCTGGATACATCATCGGTGGTCTTTCTTGGTTCGCTATCCCGGTAAGTTTTCCGTTCATGCGCCTCTCAAACCAGTTCTAATCTCGTTGCCAGTGGCTTTGCGCAACCACTATGGGCCTTGCCGCGCTGGCACTGCAAAGCACGGAGTACTTCCCTACCTATCCCAACGGCATGGATGAAGCCTCGATCAGCGCGGGCCTCACCCTCCCGTATGCTGCTGTAGCACTCCTTGGATCTGGCGGTGCAGTGGCTACCCTCCTAGTCGTGTTCATGGCCGTCACTTCAGCTTTCTCGGCGCAGCTCATCGCCGTCTCCAGTATCTTGACATACGACATATACGCGACCTACATCAACCCCAGCGCGAGTGGCCGACGTCTCGTCTACACTTCACACGTCTGCGTATGTGGATTTGGACTTGTCATGGCTGCATTCTCAACTGGCCTCTGGTATGCAGGCATCAGCATGGGCTGGCTGTACGTCTTCATGGGCGTCATCATCTCGTCTGCTGTACTTCCAGCAACCCTCACCTTGATGTGGAAGGGCCAGAACAAATGGGCGGCAACTTTGTCGCCAGTTTTGGGTCTTTGCTGCAGCATCACCGCTTGGCTCGTTACCACCTCTAAGCTGAACGACGGTGTCATCACCGTCGCCACCTCCGGCGCCAACAACCCGATGTTAGCTGGTAACGTCGTCGCGTTGCTTTCGCCAGTCATCTTCATCCCGGTCCTGACACTGATCTTTGGAGTTGACAACTACGACTGGGTGTCAATGAAGAACATTCGCCTTGTGGACGATTCGGATGTCACAGCAGCTGCACACATGGATATCGAAGCGGTGCACGGCCGTCATGCTGCCCTCTCCCCAGAAGCCGAGGCCGCCGAACAAGCCAAGCTGTTCCGCGCCTCCAAGATTGCAAAGATCACCACTGCGACGCTGACGCTCGTTCTTCTCGTACTTTGGCCAATGCCTCTCTATGGTTCCGGCTACATCTTCAGCCAGTCGTTCTTCTCGGGCTGGGTCATCGTCGGCATCATCTGGTTGTTGTGCAGTACTATGGCTGTTGGTGTATATCCTCTGTGGGAAGGTCGTGAGAGTTTAGCCAGGAACTTCGGTGGCATGTGGCGCGACATCACTGGCAAGGGCCGTCGTCGCGGGGACCATGTTCAAGTGGTGGAAGGTGAGAAGACGGCTGAGTCAGGAACGCACACACCTAAAGAGGCCGAAGCGAAGGCGTTGGAAGGGTAATCGTGGATTAGTTTGCAGATACTCACGCACACGGTGTAACCTCTATTAGACTGTCTTATACCCGGCGCGGAAATGGAAGGTCTTCTTCAAAGCACAGATTCCCATACATTGCTGATTAGTGGAAGCTGTTCCAGGCCGCAACAGGCAAGCGTCCCACTCGGTGCTTCCCTCGGCCGCCTCCTGAACTCTTGCACATCACCGCGAGCATCGACCCGGTTGCTGGTACCCCGTGATATTGATTACAACTCTGTCTAACGCTCTCAAGACGATCTCGGTGCTTCTTCGCCCAACGTTGTGGCGGTTGACCACGTTTTGCAAGGAGCCTCACCCGTGTCACCACGAACGCCTTCCCAAATCCAGGATGCACGCGCGGGCAAACATCGCCCCAAGAACGCGCTACTGGACAACGAAGAAGCGCGATTGCAGGAAGTTCCGGAACAATGTTCTTGTCGATCAAATCGTCCGGGGTTACTCCAGGTACCCCGCAACCCCAGTGCTTACCCGGTAATAAATTCGGGGCATCTCCGCCGAGAGGCACGTTAGCTTTCGTCTAGCTACGTGCATGCTTGCAGCGGTATATAATGACCAGAGCTACTATGGCTTCAATTTTATCCTCGCCAAGCACACTCGCGCATCGTTCTCATCATCATGAGCGCCCTCAAGTTCCTCGGCCTTGCTGCGCTCGCTGCGGCGGCTCCAGTAGAGGAGCGCGCAAAGAAGCCCAAGAGTTTTCTGAAAGAGCTTGGAAACTCGACTTGGATTATCGGCAATGAGATCTGGAATGTTACGCAAAATCGCCAGTATGCCGACAAGCTATGGTATAAGGGAAAGGATCGTGTTGGAGATGCTGTTGGGCACTACGTTAGTTACAGTATGTGCAAAAAGGGTTAAAGACAAATTACAATGCAGCTAACCAGTATGTAGACGGTGCAGCATCTGATTTGAACTGGACATCGGCCGCAATTGTCGACTCGGACACCGATTACATCAATGTCAAGTTTACGGCGAAGGAGGGTGACTTCCATTGGGTGATCTATGATGACCTTCCAGGCGCATACCAGTACTTTGTCAACCACGACTTGCCTACGCTGGGTGAGTTCCGTACGTTATGGCGTCTCGATAACGCCTCGTTTCCACGTGGCCACAACAACGTCAAGGATGGTGTGCTTCCCGCGTTAGAAGAATACCGTCAAGCTACGAATGTTCAGGATGAAACCTGGCAAAAGGCTGACGGATCGTTCTTGACTAAGTACGACTGGAGTGGATTTGTTCGAGACCAGGAGTACTACGGTGTTTACGGCGACGAGGTGGGGAGTTGGTACCTCAACCCTGGGAAGGATTACTACAATGGTGACCATCTCAAGCAGGAGCTTATGGTATGTTTGATCCGGTCGCCTCGCTGGTATGCGGTTTGATACTAACCTCTAAAAGGTCCATCGCGAGTCTCAGACGGGCGATGCAGTCCAGCTGAACATGATTCACGGCACACATTACCAGGCCATTGCGCGTGACTCGTTTGCTGATGGCAAGATCTGGGGTCCATGGCTCTGGTACCTCAACGATGGCAGCAAAGACGACGCCGCAGCCCGCTGGGAGAAGGAGGAAGCAGCCTGGCCGTACAAGTGGTTTGACAACAAGCCCTACCAATCTCGCGGCAAGATGCAAGGCAAGCTCCTCCTTAGCGACGGACGCCCAGCTGCTGGCGCTGCCGTCTTCCTCGGAGACAACCGCAATACCACAGTGTCCACGCTCGACCAAGGCCAAAACTACTACTACACCACCTACGCCGACAAAGACGGCAAGTTTGACATCCACGACATCCGTACTGGCACCTACGCGCTCTATGCCTGGGGTAACGGCGGCGCAATCGGCGATGTCACAACAAACTTTACTCAAAACGACGTCGTCATCCGCGAGGGAAAGAACACGAACCTCAAGGAGATGACATGGAAGGTCACCGATAGCGCAAAGCGCATCTTCCAGATTGGCGACTTCGACCGCACAAGCGATGGCTTCAAGCTCGCCGACCCAGCCCACCCCTTCGAACACGCCCGCATCTCCAAGTGTCCTGCAAATCTGACCTACACCGTCGCTACCAGCTCCCCTCTTGACTGGTGTTTCGGTCAATCTGCTCTTGGTACCTGGTCTGTTCTCTTCCCTTCGAAGAGCACCTCCGCCGCCAAGTTGACGGTGTCGCTGGCGGGCTTCTCTCAAGGCTCAAGCTGCGATATCCTGCTTAATGACGTCAAGGTGGGTAACATCACCAGCGCCAGTCTTTTGAACAGCCAGGATACGTATCGCGGTGCTACGCGGGCGGGCGAGTGGAGGTTGCTTGAGATTCCTATTGCGGAAGGCGCGTTGAAGGGGGAGGGAAGCAACCGCTTGGATATCAAGGTTACTAGGACGACGCAGTGGAGAGGTTGGCTTTGGGATAGCTTGGTTCTGGATGAGATGTAGACGAAAAACTCAATCGTATCGCGCATGCATCGTGTATGTTCTCAAATGCTTGAAAAGTAAAGGATGATAGTCGCCAAGGTCTGTGGCTCAAACGGGCTGGAATTGTCTTGGGTGTAAACGTCATATTGCCCAGCTCACTCAAGGGGTATGGCGACCTCGCCCCACACCCTGGTTTAGCAGCAAAGCACTAGGGGAAGTTGTTATGACATCTGACTTCAGTAGGTACGAAACGATGGTGCTGATGTCCTTCTTTATCTTTCTCCTTCCTCGAGACCCGCCATGAAGGCGGATGGCTCAATGAAAAAGATACTGCGAGTTGAATCGCAGTATGGACATGCCCAATGAAGACGACTTGCGTCGCATGGCTTGCCACTTGATCTTGGAAGTGCGAGAAGTCTCGACGCTTGCCTGAGGTGAGATGTTGAGATCTCGTCCGGCCCTCAAGACATCCGTCAAGGCGCTCTGCGGTCGGGACTTTTCTACCCTCGGTGAAGACGATACCAAAGGGGTGCTAAGATGGGAAGGGGTACGTACCTGCTGATCATCCTCCGGACCCCACGAGTAATAGTCCTGAGTCTGGGTATGTATCTCTACGCGAGTCGAGACCGTGGCAAAGAACCGACCTCTTAGGGTATTGGGTCTGCGCTGGACTAACATCGTGCAAAAGACTGACCTCAGGACAATGGCTGTGTTGCTGTCACTACGTTGGCCTGCACAACGATAGCACAAACATCCACAAAGTTTACCTATGGTGACATAGGATTTTCCACCGGCGGAGGCGTACGACCACCGATGGTTGGCTGTCTTGGAGAGTCCAGAAAGCGGCACATGGGCCCCTCTCCAAGTGCCGTGGTTCGAGAAACAGAAGAACAGCTTGGGCTTTTTACAACCGCAGGTGATCTCTTGTCTCTCTGTCGTCGATATGGGAGTCAGCTACCCGCATGTCATATATCGTGGGTCATTTGACCTGTCAGAAATCTTCTTATCGCAGATATCTTCCGCGCACGTTTCCCTGAGAAGGGAAACACCGGCGGCGGGTACACGTAGGAAGTGGAGTCGAACCACCGTTGTTGTGACCTGGGATAGGACCACGAAGAAGGCAGCCGGGGCTGCTGTTTCTATTCGTCTATCCGACGCTTGTACCTGACATACGAGCAGTGACTGTCCATAACTGAACCTGACGACGGACTCACTATCTGCCAGAGCGTCTCACCTCCGTGGTGGTAAACCGTCGGAGCCAGCGGTAGTGAACTTGCGAACCTACTATAGCCTCAATCTATGCGGTCAAAGAGGCCATCACTCTCCTTGACTTAGCATAGACCCTGCCGAACCCAAATCCATAAAGGCTAAGGGCCAGCCAACTGTAGAATAAACCACAGCCAATATAACAACAGCCGTTGTTGGAGTCCAGCAAACCTGTCGGGTTCACTCAGCTGCGTTCGTCTGTCGACATGTACTCTCGGTTCCGTGAAAGTTGTGCGCATACGAGTGCGCCAGAACCCGGCAATCTGTAAGTATAAGAGTCAGCTGGATACTACAGGCTTGACGTGTCATCTCCAGAACTTACCTTCATAAAGAAGATCGAAGGTTGAGAGTCAGTCGATCAGCGGCAGCGGCCGGCGCAGGCTAGAACGCCGAAGGTTGCGGGTCGCACCCTGCGGACGTGAGTGCGACTGAATAGAGAGAAAGGTAAACAAAGTGGAAGCTGTTATTCAAAAGGATATGGAAGGCGCTAGACGGGCGCTTGGACCAGTTGAAGCTCTGACTACGGTCGTAAAAGATAGTGAATGGTGGATTTGCGTGGTCACACAGCCCAAAGTCTTCTCCGCATGATTCAGGCTACAGGCTCACGTTCAAGGAGTTATGGCGACTTATACAAGATGCAAGAGGAATTGGAATGGGAGGAGGTTCAAACGTATCGGAGCCATCCGGCTTTCCAGTACGAGACTGAGACGTGTATAAACGGTCCATCGTGAATCAGATTGCTGACAGACTATCGGCAGTCACATGTGTTTGAGCAGACTCTAGACCTCCATTCCGATCAGACTATGTCACTGCAAACCCGGTAGGCTCCCATTATAGCACCGCACAGAGCACTGTCCTCTTCCCACAACAATTCTTTAGCGCCTCCTCAAATTGATACCACACGATTGTTGTACTCGCCCATTGCTCCCCTTTACTCACACCCAACACTCAACTCTTCATTGTAAGCCTTTTTGGTATCCACGAAGTGAAGCGTTCAAACTGACATACAGATAGAAGTGAACGCAATGTCCTCGTCTGGGTATGACCTAGGACCGGCGGTGGACAGTGGTCAAGGCTATGAAGCCTCCAATCTGGGGGATACCACAGCAACTGTGATGGCTCGTCTCGATGTCGCCCTCAACGACATGCCGGGAGTCACGATTCTGGACAAGTTGGACACTCTTATGAGCAAGTTCGCTGCCGCCAAGGAACTGCTGGGAGGCTTGGAGCCAGACATACTACTACAAGCTCTCAACACAGTCGATGAACCCGATCGCGAGTTGTTCAAGAGCTCAACCCTAGTAAACGCTTATGAGCATATCTCCAAGAACGGACATGGTACGTTGACCAGATTGGAGAGAAGACAAATTCTAATGTCTACAGTAGACGCACCCGAAGAAGAGGCTTCTGGAGATGAGCTCGCGACTGCTATTATGGCTGCGCTTGCGGCTGTCGACGAATCTGAGACATCCCAAGAGCAGACGCACCCACAAGAGCCACCTCTCCATGACACCCAGCGTGTCTTGCAGCCACCACGAGTCCAGTATGTTATTCCGTCGGTAGCCTGATGAGATAAAGTAACCATTAACGTCGATACAGGCCTCTCGAGAACAACAGCCGCCAGTCCAACCCCGCACAACAAGAAGCCATCTCAGAAAGCCCTACTCCTCAGACCGACTCTCGTCCCAAGCAAACACCCAGATGGTATACAAGGTGCTCGAAGGAAGAAAGGTACATCCTCAGTCCCGCTGGGAAAGGCCCTTGTACTCGCAAAGCGTGTAACTTCCTTCACGAAGACCAACATGCATACATGGTCAATGGCCTATATCAAAAGGACGTGAGCACCGGAAAGATACAAGCATGGGATTTGAAACCCTATACCAACCGCGCCGGACACAACACGGGTATAGAGAAGGCAGGCAAGAACGACCAGAACTTCGATGCATTCCTCAAAAAATTGAAGAACAAGGACAAGGTAAGCGAGACGAAGGCGAAGGAAGAATACGCTCAGAAGAAGAAGAAGACGAAGTCTGCTCTTGAGGCCAAGGCTGCTGCTGAGACTGCAGAGAAGTCCAAGAAGGCTGCCGTGGACGCTGAGGCGACTACCAAGGTATTGCCTAAGAAGCGTAAGGTCGCGGCTAGCTCAGCAGCCAAGGGCACTGCGGAGCATCCAGTGAAGAAAAGCAAGGGCAGCGAAGCTGATCGCTAGGTGTCTCCATGGCACTCTCTCATTCCGTCTACTGGAGTATATTTGGTCGCCTGCGCTGCAAGGACCTAACGATTTTCATGACCCAAGGTATCGAGACTTAGAACAGTACATGACTCCACGTCCAGAGCGCTCTCGCTCTGTACAGACGTAGTTCGAGCTGTAGCTAGATCAGTCTGCATTTCAGTAGATAATCCAAGATACCCACTTCCACAAACTACGCTTGTAGATGATGAACGTGACAGTATCGAATGGGAGACAAAGAGCGACTACTGGGCATGTGTAGTGACATATAGCTTGTTTTCATCGCATATAGGTACACGTGGCGCCTCTTGCATTTCGCAGAGTGATGAATAGGTTGATTTCGCGTATAAGAGATAAAGCGAGTACGTATATACTGCTGATGAGATGTGATGGCAATTTAGCAATCTGACTGCACTCACGAGTCCGCAACTAGCGTTATTTGTCATTGATCACGGTGCTTTACTCACACGCTCTGAAAAATTCCGTATGCCCGAGTTCTACTGTTGTCTCAAGTTATAATACGGCTGTATCAAAGTCGCATTGGACTAGTGGTGTCGATAGTGGGCGCGACTACGACAGAGGTGTCTTCACGCGCGTTCCGTGTCAGTTTCCTCATAGTGTACAAAAGCATCACATTAGTCATGATGCGAGATTAATATGAGTAACTCAATAAATTCCTGTATTCCATACTCCCAGCGCAATGCAAATGTCTTTCCAGTCCCTACCATACCGTGCCATGCCATACCTAACCTGATGCACCACCCTAGCCGCTATGGAACGAACAAAGGTCCAATCGGAACCAAAAGTAAAGGGCTAAATTATGGATACATAGAAGAGAGAGATCAAACGAATGTATTTGGATTCGCAGAGTGCAATCCGCCTCCAAGCTAAAACCAGAAAAGCGCTGAAAGTCGCTGGGGACGGAGGCCGGGTCCTCCAAAAGCTGGGCAATGCAGAAGAAGAAGAAAAAGTCATGATACAAACACCATCGCTGAAGCGCAAGGTCAAGGAAGGGCGCTCAAAACCACTCGCTGTGAGAGCATGCGAACAGCTGGTTCGGAGGAGGCGGTGTGTGGTGGTTTGCAGATCGAAAAAGAAATTCGTGAACGGCTGTGGAGCCGAAGGAAAAAAATGGTAACGCGTTTGCTGATTTCGCGGTTGCCGGGACGGGACAAGTCTATTGTGTCGTGAACTCGTTTTTAGTGGGTATCAGTTTCTTTTGGGCGATATTGCTAGGACCACACGGTTGTGCTGGCCCCTCTGGTTCGGGCAATGTTGTGGTACAGGATAGGACATGCTATAGGAGACTCCAGAACGGTAAGGCTCTGCGGTCGTAACGTCCCCAAGGCTTTGTTGATACAGGTAATGGATTCCTCCTCTTTTCTATTTCCTCTGCAAAGTCGAGCTTCTTCTTACGTTCAATATCCGGGTCGTAGTAATGGGTTGCCGTAACGGGGACTTTGAACTCTTGCGTGCTGAGAGGCAGTGTGTACTTGAAATTGCCTCGCACGATTAATTCGAAAGGATACTGGAGGACCTCTTCCCAACGATCACTGCCACCAGCTTCGGTCTTGTTTCCGGGATGCAAGAGTCGGAGCTCGCCAATAGATTCGGCGCGGTGTCGCTGGAAAAAGGAACCTTCAAAGTTTAATGGCGAATCGAAGTGGGCGATGCGGCCTAGCAGCATGGTCCGTGGTTCGCCCTCGATAGGATCGGTTCCTTCGTCTACACCGGTAATCGAGACATCTGGAACTGCGTCTTCCTCGATCGGTCTCCAATCTTCTACATTGTCATGTGGGCCATTCCCGTGCTCACGCCACCAACTGTCCGACCCGACGTGCTTGCTCTTAGCAAATAGCGAGATGTCCATGTCGGACACTGTGACGCCGATAATGTTGGGATTGACCGCGTTGACTATGAGATCTAGCATAATCTCTTCTTGACTTGCAACAACATTCTGAATGTCTCGCACTACAAGGCTAGTAAGCGGCTTCGTAGTTGCAAAGACGAGCCCAACAGCGCAGAATACAACGACGAGCAGCAGGATCGAGAGAACCAGGCAGCCAGCGAACCGCCGACACCACCCACCATCACGGTGATGGCGGCGCTCTAGCTGGCGTATAGTGGCAGTGTTGCGCTGGCGAGGCGTCCGGGCCCGTGGGCTCCGCCCAGACTGGATTAGAGGTGTGCGCTCATCATCGGCGATGTTTTCGGCGTCGATATCGTATGCTGCAGAGAATTCCCCACTTTTCTTGCTGCCGTTGCTGTGGCCATTGCCAACATTGAAAGTATGGAAGCGAGGGCTGTTCGGTTGCGACGTGTGTCTGGAGGACGGGCCACGTGCGCGCGAAGATTGTGGTACGGTATTGTCGGTGTCCATAGTGATGTGGCTGAGCGCGCCCCGACCCTGGCCGTGTCTTCCAATGTGGTGATGGTGGCTGCCTCCGCCCGCTCGTCCGGAGCCGATGCGGACAGTGCCTTCGCCGCGGTCATCGCCATCGATACTCGCGTTACTGTATGGGTTCGTGAATTTAGTCCTGCTGCTCTTCTTACTTGGATGCTTGTGGGTATCGAGGATTTGGAGTCGTGGATCTGTGAGGCTGGCTAGCGACGTCATGCTTGGCGTTCGCGAGTGATGCTGGCGGCTGCGAGTGGGCTGCTCGGGAGGATTCGATTCGTAGATAAAGGTAGCATCCGAGTCAGACGAGTCGGCCTCGTCGACGGCGCTGGCCACCTTTTGTTCGAATACATCTGCTTTGGATGAAGCTGTACGGTAACTTGTGTTAGTGCTTGAATAAAAATAGCTGAGATGGGGAGGGCGGGGAGGAGCCATGCTCAACGCTGGGCTTGGGGGTGACATGGTCAGTGAAGACGGCCGTTGGTCATATGAGCGGTATAAGACGGGGCTGCCGAGTGACGGGTTTACGCCGGAGCGAGAGCCGTACTCAGGCAGGCTTGGAATGTAGTAGTGATACGAGATGTGTTGGAACCTACCAGTGCCTGCATTGATGGATGCGGCCTTCCGTTTGGGGGCTTTCTTCTGGTTCTTGGGACGAATTGTCTCGTTACTGGGCTTTAGCCGTATGCCGCCGTCGACGCGACCCGAGGCGGATCGGTCCTGGTTTACAATCGATGGCTGCGCGACAGAGGGCACGGTCTCGGTTTCGACCGTCATGTTGCGGAGGGGCGGGTCTCGCGATCGCGTCGACATGGAGGAGAGGGAGGGTTTGGCCGAGACGGTGTGTGGACGATGAGTGTAGGCGGAGCGCTGTTCCTGCATCTTGCCCTTCTTGGCGCTCTTGGTCGCGCTGTCGCTCCCACTCTCAGTGTGCTTGGACGTGTCGTGCTTGGTGCTGAGGTCTTCGGTGACTTTGGAGGAATTGACGTCATTTCGGTCCTGGTCAGTTTTGTGGGAAGTCGCTGGGGGAACAAAGCTAAGAGCGAGGTTAACAAAGTTTGCGGATGGCAGCGGAAATTGGCTCCGTTGATAGTCTAACGTGCGTCGCGATGACAAACAGTGGGGCCGTTGCGGGGAAAGCGTACCTTTGCGGCTCTAGACCATCAAATCCGGGTGTGGCAGGCAAGCTAGATTCTTGCACCGTTGCCAGCTTGGGAGCCACGCCGCCGGAACTCCGCGAGGGCGCCTTGATGGTTTGCTGAGGCTGTGGCTGTGGCTGGGAGGGTGGCTTGTCGACGTCGCTCGCGGGCGCGTCTTCTCTGACTGGGAAGCGAGAGACTGAGGCTGGGGACGAGCTCTGGACAACAATAGCAGGCGTCGACTGGGCCTCGGGCTTCTTGATCTGCGAACGGAGCGAGTTGGTGCGCGAACGTGAGCGGCCGTCGTCGCCCGGCGGTGGTGACTTGAGGCGCGGTGAGAGGGGCCAATGGGGAGTCGTGTCGCCCGAATTCGGTTTTGACGATGGCTTGGAAGCGCGTGAGGCTCGCACCGTGTCGGTCGACGATGTTGGGGTGAGCTCCGGTATGCTGGTGGAGGACAGGGCACGCTGCACGCCCGGGGCAGCAGTCGAGTTGGACAGACTGGAGGCGCGGCTGGGACTCGCATCGGCGCTGCTCTTGCGTGAGCGGAAGCCCGGCCTCACGCTGGCACCGGACGGCGTGGCACTGCGCTGGTGAGGGCCTGCTGGCGAGGCTTCTCGCGACGAGCGCGGCGAGGGCGAGCCGTTGACGCTGAAGGGCGGGCGCTGGGCAGCCAGCGGGTGTTGACGCATGGGTGCCGACATGTCTGGGGCGGTGGTGCTGCTCGTGGGGTCGTCGCGGGCAGGCGTTGACGTAGTGGGCTCTGCACTCTCTGCCACGCCGGTCAAGGACTGGAAGCCGTCGAGGTCGTCGGCAGTGGATGCAGTCGGAGGCATCATGGACGTGCTTTTGCTTCAATGGGCCGCAGCACTCGTGGCATCCTGTGCGGGCTCCGGCGCGTCTTCGCTGGTTGGGGCCTGGACAGCAGGCAGGTCCGGGTGCGAATGGGCGGTAAGTAGATGAGGCTGCTGTAATGAGTACGCGGCGTGCGGCCGTTGGACAGGGCCGCCGCGCGGGGAGTGAGCTGTCGCTGTCGGTACAGGGGGGCTGTGGCGTGCAGACAGCGTGGGCATTTGAACGCGCTGCAGTCGACGATGGACGAGGTTTAACGTTGTGAAGACGGACACGTCCAGCGCTGCCTGGTTGCATCCGGCCAGCCCTGGACGGGAACGCTGACGCACCCGAGGCGCATTTCAGGCACGAACCGACGCCTGCCAGCGCATCGCACAAAGACCTGCTATCTCCCGAACACGACGAATCGCTCTCCCATCGCATCGTCAGCTGAGGCTCGCCGTCTTATGGAGTGGCTTCAACTTTCTCCACGCCCTGCACACCTTGCCTTGTGATAACGACTGATCGCCAGCTGCGCTAGCTTCCCTCTGGGGGTTTGCGCACCACACCTACATGCCCGGCATGTCGGCACTCGTGCAGAAGCAATTCTCATGCACATCCTGCAACGGGCAAGTGAACACCCCACGGACTTCATCCCACATGTCCATGAGCAGGTTATTCTCTGCCGCGTCGACGCTTGAGGGTCGGCACGGTCTCACCTCAGACGGGTGCAGGTCACTCAGTCATCGCACGTAGAGCCTGCTGCAGGTTTCCTGATTCACTGTGCATCATAGCCCTTTAGCCGGTCGAAACATCACCGAGACGCTGTGACAACGGGAGCGCATTGCCAGAACTGTAATAACTTAGGGGCGCAGTACTCTCTAATGTAACGTGACAGACGGCTCTCGATCACGATCCGATCTTGACGTCGCGCCAGCCCTAGGAATCGAGTGACATCTCTTACGTCGACTACATCAGCAGCAGACACCTAGCAGCTCCTTCACATACTCATATAGAGTTAACAAGGTAAAAAAGCGACAAAGACACGTGGCAGGGATTTCATTTCAATACAGCACCTGTAGTAAACAACACGTTGCGCTCCTTCCATTACATACAAGATCCGAGCTTCGCCCGGACATGTACGGCTCCGAATGTCTGCTGATAAGATTATCTTTGAATCTAATCAGATCGAATTTTCCGCGCTAGCACCTTCACGAACACCACCACTCCACTTTACGCATCCTAAATGCTCCTCTAAGTATCGATATTCCGGGACCAAGCACTGCCAAGTATTTGAAATCGCCTTAGTGGCACTTTGATAGGTGCGAAATGTAGAAGACGGTTCCAGCGTCATGGTCCTGGAGGGTCGGTAGTGGCCTGATGGTGGCCTCAAGACTGCGGCTCTGTGGATTTATACGAATGATGAACGGGTGGAATAGGGTTCTGGAAGATTGAAAGGGTATAAGAATGCAATGTAAGATACAATGATTGGGTGTAGTAGGCCTCTTCGTCGAACCTTTCTTCTCGTTTCTGGCAGGATTGCGCCATCGCTTCGGTGTCAGACAGCATGCAGTTCCTCTCTCGTTCCAAAATCCAGGCCACCGACTCTGTCGAGCCCGCCGGTATGTCTCATCAAGCGGCCGACCCAGAGAAAGGCACCCCCACCAACGCATCTCACGAGAAACCTACCGATCAGGAAAGTCTCTCCAGCAATGCCCAAGCCGGTGTCAAAGCCGTCGAGGCAGCGGCAACAGTATGGACAAAGTACCATCTCATCGGCGCCTATGTCATGTTAGTGTCACCCATATATTTCCTCTATACTCCTACTAACGTATACTCAGCATCTGGTGGATTTACTTCGTCACCGCACTCCAAGAAGTCGTCATCCGCGCCATGAACCCCTATGTAACCAGCGCCTTTCGCCTCCATTCCCTCACTGCTGCCACAGGAATCATGTCCTCCATCATCGGCGGGCTGTCCAAGATCCCCTTGGCCAAACTATTGGATATGTGGGGGCGACCACAAGGACTTTTGCTCTCGCTCTGCGTGTGGATGGTGGGATACGTCATGATGGCTTCGTGTAAGAATGTGGAGACGTATGCTGCGGCTCAGGTATTCTCTTCTACTGGGTAAGCACTCTTCATCTTTCGTCAAGCAAGGTCGAAAGGCGCACCACTAACAAGGATACAGATCACAAGCAGTATCCTACATCCTGACCGTCTTCATCGCCGACACCTCGACGCTCAAGAACCGCGCCCTGATGCTCTCCTTCGCAACTTCGCCCTACATAATTACAACCTGGATCGGCGGTCCCGTCGCACAATCCGTGCTCGCCGGGCCAGGCTGGCGCTGGGCTTTTGGCATCTTCACCATCATCATTCCTGTCGTTGTCACACCACTTGCTGCTTTAGTTCTCTTCAATGACAGAAAGGCGCGGAAGCAAGGTCTGCTCGAGCCACGCAGCATCGACTGGAGCGCTACAGCCATCAGGAAGTTCTGTGTCGATATCGATGCTGTCGGCATCCTGATACTGGTAGCGGGCATGGCGCTCTTCTTGCTGCCATTTAGCTTGTACAGCTACCAAGCGGAGAAATGGAGGAGTCCCATGATCATCGGTATGATAGTCGCTGGCTTCGTCCTACTTATCGCATTCCCCATTTGGGAAAGGTTCTTCGCGCCCGTCACGTTCATCCCGTACAAACTGCTACTGGACCGCACCGTCTTCCTCGCGGGCATCATGTTCGTCTTCGTCTACTTCAACAGCGCGGTTTGGGGGAGCTACTTTGGATCCATGTTGCAGGTAGTCTGGAACCTCAACGTGACTACTGCCAGTTACGTCCAGAGCATCTACCGCGTCGTATCCTGTTTCTGGTGCTTGGCGGCTGTCGGACCGGCAATCAGGATCACGGGACGATTCAAGTGGGTTGCAGTGTTCTTCGCACTCCCGATCGACATCCTGGCCCTAGGACTGATGATCTACTTCCGACAGCCAGGCACATCAGTGGGTTTCATCGTGATGACGCAGATCTTCACTGCGGTCGCAGGCGGCACAATCGTCATCGCCGGCGAGCTGGCTATGATGGCGCCATCCGATCATCAGCACATGGCTGTCATCATCGCTGTGCTCAATCTCTTCTGCTCTATCGGCAGTGCAGTCGGAAGTACAGTGTCGGCCGCCATCTGGACTGGAACTTTCTACAACAACCTCGTCAAGAACGTCCCCGGTGGTGTCAATGTCGCCGACATCTACGCTTCACTGCCTAACCAGCTGTCTTACGAGTGGGGATCGCCTGAGAGGACTGGTATCGCGCAGTCTTATGCGGATTCGCAACAGCTCATGCTCATCACGAGTATTTGCATGCTGGGGTGCGCTCTCATCGCCGCTGTGGGGTGGCGCGACATCAACGTTAAGAATATTAAACAGGTCAAGGGTCGCGTTGTCTAAAGGTTGTTCGCCTTGCCGTGGATTACAAGTCCAATAATAGGGGCGGTGCGTGTTAAGTCTCGAATTTGAGAGTACCTAGCAGCCGCTTTCGAACATACCATGACACAAGGTCAATAAATATTCCGTACGCATCCGCAGGCGATTTAAAAGATGTGCGTTCATATGCTGCTATTGAATACGTAATCATTCGCGTTTGGGTTCTATGCAAGACATTACACGATGGAAGGTTCCACCACTGACTCAGACCCAATAGCCGCTGCCACCCGAGGACCCCACCATACAAATTTTCGCCGCCAGACCAACATCTACCAACCACTCATATCCGTAGCCATGCAACATGAGCATCATTCGCATTGTTGTTGATGACGCACAATAAGGTTATAACTGTTAGAATTTTGAAGTTTTCCATCAACCACCTACTCAACTATTAAGTTGATCAATCTTCAGTAGTATAGTGGTCAGTATTTCCGCTTGTCATCTTGCAAAAGACAACTCGCGGGAGACCGGGGTTCAATTCCCCGCTGGAGAGCTTCCTTTTTGCTGCTCCTACTTCCCGGTGAATGTCCAAAGTGCTGATCAAATGGTGTGGCATGGTATGGGCACGTGATTAGCTATCATGTCCATGCTTTTTGCACGCCGCAGAAGCTAGTGATGGTAGATATAAGGTTGGAGTAGTCTTGGAATACATTGGAAGTGTCTGCAGGATGTCGAGTGTTGTTTTTGCAAGAAGGGCGTCTGGGTAGTTGGTTAGGCCCGCGGGTTTGGAAATGGCACCCGTGGACAGCGGAAGCTAGGGATAGTAGATGCAGAGTGGTAATAGTCCAAGGTTGCATAAGAAGTGTATGTACATAGCATATCATGTGTTGTTTTTGCGTAGGGGTGTTTGGGCGGGTTGCGTCCGTGGGTTTGACATGGTACCCGTGGACTCCAAAGCTGCTTAAGTGCATCATGCGAGAGGATACTAGCAATACGCTATTCGAATGCTGCTTTTGAGGCTAACTAAGGGCACTTCTTGGAATATACGTATACTTCTCCAGTCTAGATTTGTGTGGATGCATTGTGAGGTTCATCCGGGGGGGGGGGCTAGGTGCTAGTTACGCGGCAGCGCGATCTCGCGGGAATTGCCCCGCCTGGCCCTCCTGCACTCCATGAGCCCGATCACTAGCTATGCGATAGCTCGACTGCTGGACTTCTTACAAAACATGCATGGTATCTATATTAAAAGCGCATTAAGTAACAGGTCTGTAGACACCAGACTTGGCGCGACAACACTATGCAAAAGCAATCACCGTTAACCTTTGAAAGACGAGGCACTGCTGCGTCGCTTGGACTTACCGACCACCTTTCTCAGCTACCAAACGCTGGCGCGGATCGAAGCCATTGAACTCCCAAACTGCAGCAACTTCAAAAGACGATTGCGCTAGATCACTCTTGCGAAGAGGGCGATGTTGAGCCCAATTCACGAGCGATATTGCCCACACTCCGCCGCCGCCCATGTTTGCCCTTCTCTGCTACTTTGAGATGGTCTGGAGAGGTAGGAGTCCCAGCGCCCACTGTCTTGTGCCCAGTGTCACCGGTATCATTGAGGATCACAAGCATGTCGTCCTTTGCAACAGTTAGAACATGTAGCAACTCGTCGTTCCGTGCACTATCTTTCCGTAGCTTCTCAATCATCTGACAAGCAGTCGTTAGGTTTCGCTCACAATATAGGTGGATTGCACTGACCTCGACTACCGGCGGATTGAGCTCTGCGGAACCCTCATGATTGATCACAAAGAAGCAGGAACCCCCATGAACAGTATCACGTTGGCGCTCGAAGTCCTGAAGAAGCTCATGCCCTCCAAAGTACCAGCACACAAACTCCAAGAACACACATCCAAGGGCCCAGACATCGCATTGGGCGCTGAGCTCACCGTTCGGGAGTCGACATTCGGGTGATTGATACGATCTTGAATATGGAACGGTGTTCCTATCTTGCGTCGAAATAAATTCCTTGTCACTGAAATGCGCGGTCCCAAAATCTGAGAGCTTCAGAATACCGAGTCCCGGAGTCGATGTTTCAACGGAAGACGTATGGGGAAACCAAAGGATGTTCTTGGGCTTGATATCTCCGTGCCGGCCAAAGAGAACTCTTCGCTGCCTGATCGATCCAATGGATTGTGAGCGATACCGCCCAGCTCCGGCCGCCGGTACTGCGAATGTGATGTTGCGAAGCATAGTTGAACCCGAAAATGTGTTGTATCGATGTATGTAGGAGACCGCCTCAGCTAGACCGTGACACTGTTCCTTCAACCAGGTAGACAGTGCTGCTTCATCATGACAAGTTCGAGGATTTTTTGTTCCCCAATACTCAGCGAGGTCCATCTCAGCCCAAGGAAGAATGAGGCAAAGGTGGTTGTGTTGCTCGTAGGTCGCGAGTAACTTCACTAGATGGCGAGGCGCATGTTCATGCTTGCCCAGATTCTGTAGTACTTTTAATTCATGGAAGGCGTCACGACCTCGGCTGCTGATGAAGATCTTTTTTACTGCAACGATATTGTTAAGAACCTAAACACGCGATTAATTAACGGGGAAGACGATGCCAGTGGTTACTTACTTCTTTGTTGTCAAATGCGTGATGATCGTGATGAACTTCAGCTTTGTGTACTTGCCCAGACCCACCTTTGCGACCAGTATTGTCCCATTTTGTGAATGGTAAGATGTGGTTTTCAGAGACTTTGCAGTGCGATTCTATGCTACCGTCTGGCCTACGGAAGAAAGGTGCGAGAACCCACCACTGGTATAGCAGAAATTGACTCACATCATATGATCTCTTCAGGCACTTTAGTACTGGTTGCGCTTCACCGCAGCGCCGCAGTCTGAAGACATCATCTTGAAGTTGAAGAACAAGAGGCAAGTCGGCATCGCAGACTCGTTCTCTCACGAAAGACCATATTTTGCGTGGTCGACGCATCAGCAGCAGGATTGCGAAAATCCGTTGATAAGAAGGCTTGTCAGGTTGGGCCGTGGCGACAGGGCTGGTCGGACTCGCCTGGCCATGTTGCGCGCCCTCATCCTCTGCGGGCAAGTCGATCCTGATATCGATAGCTAATCGCCGATTGCGCCGCAAGTATCTGGTTGGAAGATATACCACCCTTGATAGTTCACGTTCGACTGATTCTGGCGTAACAAGCGTGTCTAATTTGCCCTTTGGCAGGAATTTTCGCTCGGTGGATGGCTCGCGGATCAAGGCTATTCGAAGTTGATCGCCCAAGCGATCCTCATCAACAACAAGGCCGCCGAGAGGCAAGTCTTCTGCTCTCTGATGAGATACTCTACGTGTAGCTTCCTCTCTCTCTTCCCGTGTCGTATTTCCATTTTCTGCGACATCTGGTGGCGAGTGGAGGACAGCTGAGCGAGTTCTCCGTGGAGTCACTTCTTCCCTTGGGTCTCGAGGGGTCGTAGCCAGCAACACACCTTCAGAAAGAACCTTTCTGTGACGTTTCGGAGCCGGTCCTCGGATCAAAGCGCTCAAACGATTTGTGCTGGACTTCTGACGAGATGGCAGGGTTTTGCTCTCGTCGTCTATGTCGGCTGCTGATGCTGCTCTTGCAGGTTGCGTCACGTCGCTCTGCATCGCGCTGTGTCACCTGTCATCAGCCGTAGTGCAATGGAGAGAATGCAGTATTTGTATACCTCATCACGCTTTGATTCGTTGACCCTGCAGTGTAGCGTATCTCGTATATGAATTATGCAAGCTCTTTTTTGAAGTATCCGTTCGTTCGACACTTGTGCAGGTATCGACATGTCTTCTGCATTCCCGACTGGACAGGCTAAACAATGCCGCGAGATCAAGCTCCTCCACCCGCTTATCATGGCTACTCGGTTGTAAGGCATGTCCGCTGTAGTGGCTGCAGTATATCACATGAATGGTAGGAGGACCTTCAGCCTCGACCCCGCAGTCACCGCACGGGCATCCCGTCCCGCTTCTAGGCCGCCTATGCAATTTGCCTTGCCGCTGCCTTCTTCTCGCATCCCCCACAACACCCACTTACACCTTACAGCTGCACACCAAGTTAAGCCACAATATCGAACATGCGCGCCTGATCACGAATGTCTGCATGTAGCAGTCTGGGATCATTCGAAAGCCTTATCTCTTCGCGCTGATTTGCTGAGCAGAGCCTCATCTTGGATGATTCCGGTAAGACGATGGCTCTCCTCCCAAGCAGGATCACTGCAGCGGGCGGCTGGGACCATTGGCTTTCTACACATCGGTAGAGGCGATGCCAGCTCTTAGCGAACAAACGACCAGGGGGCCGAAGAGCCGCAAGAGCTGTTCCCGAGGTCTGATGGAGCTTAAATGCCCACCGTTGGCGGGCCAAGATCCGTGTTTTCCTGGCATCTTGATTTCTCAATAATACTATCCAACCTACAGCAGTCCACGAGTCTATCGACAAGTAGATTCACGATTGAAGACACCCACCAGGATATGTCCGCAAACAGCGACCGGGCGATAGGATGCGACGACAATTATGCGACGGAAATTGTGTCTGAAGACAGTTTTCAGTCAGAATCCGAAGCCGACTCCGAAGCCGAGCCAAATCCTCTTCAGGCGCTATGGAAGAGCCTTCGGACCTCCATGAGCACCAGCATGTTCGAAAGAACAGAGACCAAAATGTTTCTCCCCCGAGACGCCTTCGAACAGATATTGTCACGTACCGCCGAAGGTCTGAGTGGCAGACGTAAGCTTGTGCTTGAGGTAATGGGTATAGAATCGAGCAGGCCTAGCGAAGACGACAGAGCACTCGCAAACTACATTCTGGACAGTGCGCAGAAGGTCTTTCTCATCGCAGTCTATATACAATTGGAGCAACTCCACGCGGCGATGAAACTTTTCCAAGTTTCCCGGTATAAAGATGAGAAATTGCCGGTTGAAGAATGTACAGCACAACAGCTGCAAGATACACCAAAATGCCATCAATTCGTGCGAATGGAGACTGTTCAAAGGAACCGTAAGAGAAAAGAAGGAGAAAAGAATCCAGTACGGATATGGGATATCCATACCATCAGCAAATTTCAGGATAGCCAGTGGATTTTTCTAACACCAATCATCTCAGCTCACGATCAGAATTGCAATTTTGATAATCGCTGCCCAATTCCATTTACTACGAAGAACACACAACAAAGCAGCGGCGCACATGGTATTGTATACAAGTATACTATTCACCCTGCCCACTTCAAGAATTCACTTCATCAGGTAGTTCACGTCACAGTCCAAGATTGACTGGGATTTGCGGGCTAACGGCGAATTACAGTACGAGACTGAGCCTTCCGTGGTCGCAGTCAAGGCTTTTAGGAAAGGCGGCAAGAACGTGGCTGTCGATGTGAAAAGAGAAGTGGACGCGTTGGCCAAGATGAACCAACTCAGAGAAAAACACATTGTCCGGTTCATCACATCCTTTCAGCGTGGTACAAGAGATGATTTGGAATACTATGTTTTGTTTGAGTGGGCGGACGGCGGAAATCTCGGTGACTTTTGGCATCAACCGCACAAACCGAAGCGGACGGCCTCTTTGGTAAAGTGGGTGGTGGAGCAACTTTGTGGGCTTACGAGAGCGCTGAGAGCAGCCCATTACATGCCAGACGGGGCATCTTACCGCCACGGTGATTTGAAACCCGGCAACATCCTCTGGTTCCCTAACAGCGATGGATACGGCACGCTCAAGATCGGTGACTGGGGCGAGGCAAAAATTCACAATCAAGTTACTGCCTTGCGCCATGGTCGCGTGGATACAACCGCCAAGTATGGCACAAGAAGATATGAACCACCAGAAACGGGCCTGCAGTCGCTTCTACCCAAGGGAGCTCCGCATGTACGGTCCCGCTTATACGACGTCTGGGGTATGGGCTGTATCATCCTCGAGTTCATCATCTGGCTGTTGTACGACCATGAAGAGCTCTGTAGATTCAACAACAGTAACCAAGGATATTTCGGTCCTTCTGACATGTTCTACGAGATCAGTCACGAACGAGTTGTACGAATCCATCGCGTTGTGGAACACTGGATGGAGCATATGGCAAAGGACGGATTATGTCGTTCAGGTGAAACGGCTGTCGGGAATCTCCTCCAAATTGTTCGTACAGGTCTTTTGGTCGTTGAGCTCCCCGAAGATGGTGGTCTTGCCCCTCCAGTTGAGACCGGGATGACTTCCAATACGCATGATGACAGTCCATTGATCAGCGTCACTACGCCAGATTCCACAAACCCTGAAGTCGTCCATGGGTCGGCATCAAAACAGCGGACTAGATTGCGCGCCAATGAGCTTGAGACTGAATTGCTCCAAATAGCTCAAGGCAAAGAAAGTGAACACTACTGGCATCAAAATCAGGAGCCAAAACCAGCGCCTGTGGACATCATAGGCTCATCTCATTTACCGGTACCTACTGGCCATAGAGCGCACTCTCCTGGTCTTCGCATTCCTACAAATGACATGGTCGACTATGCGCACCCATCTTTGGATCCAGAGGAATGGGAGTTCGAAGTCGATAACGACTTTGCTGCGACCATATCGTCTCGGTTGAGAAGTACCATGGGAATTTCTCCGCATCAAGCCCCGCCGTCAGCGAAGCTGTGCACTATCTGTAGAAGCTTTCAGGATCGGCTACTAGAGGCAGAATTTGCAATTTCCTACGCTACACAAACGCTCCAAACACACTCGAAGGCCAAGAGCTGCGATCTGTGCTACCTGGTATGGCGAACCTGCCGTGACAAGTTGGAGGGAGGATGCAAAAGTGTGCACCTGCAAAGGGCTGGCTCTACTGTGCGCCTGAGAGGCACGAAGCATCCGGTACTTACCGTATTACGGAGCGATGGTAAGTCACCGCTCTGACGCTGGGACGACTATCTTGTGCTCACTGCTGTCACCAATATAGATATTGGCGGCCGTGCGCATAATGTTCAAATCGGATTTCCTGAGCTTTCAGGGGCAGGTACGGATCTGCACCTTCACTTGATAAGAGATTGGCTGGACGATTGCGATGCAACGCACTTCAAGCCTGTTTGTAAGCCTCCCGAGGACACAAAGCTGACGGGGAATGCAAGTGTCAGACTGCCGACCCGTCTGATTTACGTTGGAAGCGAAGGCGGACGTATCGTCAAACTCCGGGAGATGCAAGTTGGAGATACTGGAGACTGGATCGCGCTTTCTTACCGCTGGGGCGACTCTCCACCTTTCTCTACCACTCGACAAAATCTCACTCGTCATATCAAGGGTATGGCGCTAACGACTTTACCTCGTACGTTCCAAGATGCGGTCAAGGTGACTCGCGCTCTTGGGAAGGAGTACCTATGGATAGACTCTATCTGCATTATACAAGGCGAAGATGGCGACTTCAGTTCTGAGTCAAAGCGGATGGAAGATGTGTACAGTGGTGCCTACTGCGTGTTAGCCGCCAGCTGCGCCACCGATCAGAGGTCAGGGTTCTTACTACCTCGAGCAAAACGAGAGCATGTCGCCCTAAACTGCGAGAAAGGTGGCAGTAGTGCAAAAATCTACATCTGCAGTACGATTGAGGATTTCCGCAGTCACGTACTACAAGGTGCCCTGCACAAGCGGGGGTGGGTGTTGCAAGAGCATGCCTTGGCTCGACGCACGGTGTTCTTCACCGAGCATCAAACGTATTGGGAATGTGGTCATGGCGTTCGATGCGAAACCATGGTGAAAATGAAAAAGTGGGTGATGTATTCTCGTTCCCTTTGGCGTGAGTCGCTGGCTTGACGGGAGCTAATAGTGTCGTCAGTGAGTCCGCTGCTTTACTCGGGGATCCAGAGTTCCCTAAGATTCTCGACCCGGCAAAATATGGTGAACGCATTCTCAGATTCCAAGAGCTGTATCGACAGTATTCTCGACTGGACCTTTCAGCAGATCACGACCGGCCGACAGCTATTGGCGGGTTGCAACAGCGTCTTCTCCGCACGATGGATGTGCATGGCAGATTCGGCATCTTGGACGACCCCAACAAGAGCAGCCTCCTTCACCGTAGTCTCCTATGGCATCGTGGAGAGGGCATCAAACGGTTGAAATCAATCGCATTTCCAAGCGATCGGGAACGCGTGCCTTCTTGGTCCTGGATGTCAGTGTCGGGTGGAATTGACTATTTTTCCTTGACATGGCGTCAATATGACTGGCAAGTAATACAACCTCCGTGGCCGCCTTCGCCTGTAAGAGCGCCCAACGCTTTCCACGGAAAAGCACAAGTATTTGATATCACGGCTGCAAGGGTGAACGAGGACAGTGTTATGTTGGACAATACACTGGATTCGGAGGTTCTGGAGTCCATGGCAATTGTGCTAGGTATTGAGAAGGGGTCAAAGGCGATCGAAGACAAGAAGCATTATATACTCGTGGTCAGGCCAAAGGTGAAACCCAGCGCGAATGGTGCAGTGCTATACGAACGGGTCGGAGCAGGTTATATACCAGGAAGATGCCTGAAAGGAGAGTCTAGATCTTGTACGCTAGTATGATCCGTAATCGTGCTTTTCCGCTTGTGAACTTAAAGTATCTGGGCGGTTATCACGTCAATTGCAGCATACCAGAGCCCAGCACTCTATCGATACTGAAGCAGCAATACAGCTAGAATCGAACGATGTATTAGCATAGTATTGTATCTAGACGACTCTTACTTCTGGCAAGCATACAATAATCTTCACCCGCTTCAAGTGCCAGAGTCTGAGTTGCAGTCGTTGAGGATACTACAAATATGTGTCGTAACCTCACGTACCGAGCCTGCGCTGGGCTGCAGGTGACATAGTACAAGGTCACGGAACGAATAGCCTTCTTCCCGACAAATGACACGAGCTGTGTATCCGACATGCAAGAACCCCATTAAAACGAATTTCTCAGAATCGCGTGTCATTAGCGAGAGGCTGCCGCGGTAAACCACGTACAAGGGCACCAATATTGTCAGACATGAGGCGGTGCTAATGCGGGGTCAGTCGGGCTGTGTAAAGGGCTGCCACATGACATGCTACCCCCTCCTTCTCTCCTCTCTAGGGTGTCAACTCCCGTAATCGCCACCAACCTAACGTTCTAATTCTCTCGTCTTCGCTTCTATTGCAAAAGAAACTGCAAACCGCAATTTTCAAGCCACATCGCCCAAGAAAGGAACCGGTGCCCATGCCTTCCGCGAGGTGCATCACCAGTAATTGTAACAATTGGGCAGCGACGGGGGAAGATTTCTGTCATGAGTGTCTGGACAAACAGGAAGACCAACATGCAGATTGCCCTTACGTATTGAGTGCTCAAAGAACGATGTACGAATATCGCCAAGCATGAGTCAGTCGACGCTGCTGACTGCAATGTAGCATACCGCAGAACTATTGGATGCGCACGACTTGCTCCACGATATCTCGGAACTTGCGACCAGTATCTTTGCCACCAACGGACAGCCACTCAAATGGTCTGACATGTTGCGCCTCGCTTGGGAATGCGTGCTCGCAACCGTTTCCACGATACATCTTACCTGACCCTATACCGATGCGTCGGTAGGTGTTGGATTCATGGTCCGATCTTGCAAGGATCAAGAAATTGTGATACAGGTATCTGCGGTGATGGATAGAGTAAAGGCTCAGAAGTGTAATCGGCTCCTCTCGTTCTTGGTCGAGAGCGTCGTCATACGTTCTACTTCGTAACTGTTCTGAAGTGCCTGGGGTTTCGTTTGCATTGTAGGGTGGTACGGATGCATCAATAGAGAATTCACATGTGGCCCGCTTATCGGTATTTGGCGAATATATTGCACCGTCGATGCAGATTGTATAGGTTTCGATATCGTGAGAAGGCCGCCGCAAAAGAGCTGCTACAGCGTGGCCATGTACAGTCAATGAGCATGCCAAAGCTCTGCTATATGGACTGCTGCCAGTACTCTTATAGTAAAGGTCGACCAGTCTTGTGTGCTCAATTCGAGAGCCAGGATATGAGTGACGCGCGAGCCGGAAGTTCACAGCACCAGACGATGAGGCCCACGACCAACTTGGGGCAAGCCAGGTCGAAGGTTCTAGAATTGGACCAAGATCGCGTTGCCAGACCAGGTCATAGAGCAAAGTCTCCTTCCATCCACCCGCGATGTACGTATATCCGGTTTCGGCCCCAAATTTGTTCGCTAGACCACTCAAAGCTGGGAGTCTGTCTTCGGGGAATTTCAACTCTCGAGCCGAATACTCTTCGATTATTTGACTCCAACTTCTAGAGAGTTTTATGATTCCGTTTGTTGTTGCCGTCCCAATAGGTGCAGGGAAGAGTGGATCTACTGGAAGTGCACTATGGCGGCACTCGCATGCTTTGGATGCTCTACAGGTCCACTGTAACTCTGCACCAGTAAAGGCTATAAGTCGCGTTGAGAGCATCTTCTCTTGCAGACCCCACGCCCGTGTATCTAGTGGATCGATGTCTCTCGACCGTCCAGTCTTGGCATGTATGCCTCGAGCAATCTTCCTTCTTGCTTTGAATACCACATCAGGAGGGCCTCTCTGAAATCCGCTAAGCAGTTCAATCTCTTCGTAAATTCGTTCCCGTTCCTGAAACAAAGAGTGGTGCGGGTCTGTCGACAAAGACGCTGCTATAGTGATGGCAGACCCTTCGTAAATTTGGCCCATCCTTGCAGCTTGCTCTTCCCAATCTGTGGAGCTATCTTGAACTATACATAGAGTATCAATCCAGAGGTAGCAGATGCCAAGACTTCGTGCCATGTCTGCAGCATCCCGGAAAGCTATAGGGAGTCTTTGTCTGTCAAATCCAAGCTTCATCTCTTCATAGTTTTCTGACGTAGTCATAGCAAATCCGCTACTGCCCCACGAGTACGATAGAGTGGCATATATACCCTCCGTTCCAACAGGTGGCTCGACTACACGGTATCGGGTTCTGGAAATATCGACAATGCGTTTGGGGAGGCAGCTTGGTCCCCGGTCACATTCCTCATGATCAGTGACACAGGTATAGTAATTTTCCTTCAGGAAGTTCACTGACGCTGCGAAAGTCGATTCCCTCGGAACGTCGTTGCCCACTGTTGGATACATGGGTCTTGTATTCGCTACACCGTGATTATTTAGTGATATGTATTTGTATAGGATTTCTATCAAAGGAAGGATACATACTCGGACACGGATAAATTTCGACAACCTCATGGAAATCGTTTCCACCTGATGAGTGTAGCTCAGCCGGCGAGTCTGCGTATAGCAGCAGTTCAACCCGCATCTCTTCAGCTACAAATTGCAACAGCAAAAAGCTCTGCAGAACGACATCACAGAAAAAGCATCCGTGCTCCGCCGATATGCAGAAGTCATTGAAGGAAAGTCCAGGAAGAACAGTAAGTTCGGGACGACGATCATTGTCGTGGTCGCGCGCGTATAAGTATCCCAGGGAGCTGCATGTTAGACAACATACATCTGCTGTTTCGTCGACAAGCTTCAAGCTCATGTCGCGCGGGTACCTATGTACCAGTGGCGTATTGAGGAATGAAAATATTTGCGAGGGGCCTGTGAAAATCATTGGAAAACGGTCCGTCATATACCTAGGGCACAGCCTCCTCATGCAGACGGGAAGGCGCTTGAGCCAATCAGATGGGGACCCGGCTTGCTGGAGCCAAGCCTACGTGAGTTCTGTGGTCAAAGGGCCAATTCCGGGCCAATTTCGTCATAGCATATGCACCATCCGCTGCACCAGCATTAGCAGTATCGCGACCGCGATTTTTACAGGGTGAAAGTGAGCTGCAGAGGTCGGGGAGATAAAGACGAGCCCCTAGAAGAGAACAGCTTCATGCATATGGAGGAGGGCACTACGTGGCATACACACAAACAGCGACGCGATCGTCAAGCTTCAAGATTACGGCTCGTCGCATGATGCCGTGCCTCAGGATACACCGGTATTTGCGCTTGGAGCGTTTGTTCAGCCTTTTCGTTCAACGAACACTATGTATGGCCGGAAAGAAGGCAGCAGCTGACCTCATGGTGGCAGGTGCGCCGCTGGCGAGTAAGTGCGAGGAATACAATGAGTGCACCTATGGCTATGGCGGTCACGACCTCGGATCAGAAGAGCAAGTCGATGCCTTTATCGTTTCTTTACACAATAGAAGCAACTCCAGTAGCCAGAGAATAGAGGCGAGCTTGTCATGTTGCGTTGCGCATTGCTCAGTCAAAGGGCGCCCTGCTTCAGTCCGATTTAGCTAATTACTGCGCAGACAACCACCCCTCCTTTAGCACTTTGGATACCGCAAAAGTACATCTTTTACGACTCTTGTGGAGCTCAACCATGGTACGGGGATGGAAAGGTCCCCACATTGAACGGTGAGCCAAGTGACACCTAAGGCATCACGGCAGAATTGCTTGTTGTCGGATCCATACTTTGGCACAGCATCAGACGCAGGAAGCCATAAAGGTACGAATTATCAGCCAGACTCAGCCATGCACCTTCAAGAGTTCAACTAGAGCCATAGGACTGAGAGCCCGTCGATACGCCTGAAACCTCAAAGTCTCAGCCCTGTCGCACTTTGAGATTCATGATGCCCCGTTCAGCCTCACCGCTTTTAGGTTTAGCTACGCGCTTCTACAGCCAGTAGCACACATCCCGAGCCAGCGAAACCACTAATAGCATTCAAAAGAGCATATGTGTAGCGGCATAATGGGAATATAGATGTCTGGCATACACAACTGCGTTGCGATTACATGTACAGCGTTGCTACGCCGCGTTGCGCCGCCTACAGTTCAGCACCATCAACTCGTCATAGCGATTATAATCTAGCGACTGTCCCGCAGCCACAGTACTGTACTCAAACGATCATCTCCCAGATCGACGGTTCCGCAAGTATCAGGATGTTAAGAAACAAGGTTCTCGACTCTCACAATCAAAATTAGAAATCTTCCACAACACCAGTACGGCGCAGTCACCCCAGATCAGACTTCTCTGAGACACCGATAAATTAACCATAATCAGTGGTAATCTTCATTAGCGACCCCTTACAGATGATGAGATAATACATCTCTTCGCCTTTTAACAAGCCTGGAACTTATCGAGAATGAAATGAGATGATCCATCGATACAGCAACGTAATGACGATCAAGACCAGTTGTGTAGCAAGCCCCTCGAGTGTGACAGTTCAATAGATCTCTTAAGAAGAACTCATTTGGGGCCACTGCCAGTCAGCATCCAAAAGGGATTTTCTAACAACTCCGCGGGGAGCATCAAACGCCACAGTCGTACAAGATCAATCCCATCAGCATATCACTCACTCAACTCCTCCTCACATCCCGCAAACCGAAATGTCCTTCCCACGACCTCCCTCCCGTCCACAACCAACCTCGCAGCAACAACCTCATACGAATCCCCCTCATACGCCCTCAATGCCTCTTCCTGATCAACTGACTCGCAAGAGAATGCAAGACCACCCATCACAGCGCCCGGCTCATCAACCAACGCTTTATACCTCCCCGCACAAACCCTAACACGCCCGTCTAGCAAGATAGCAGCTCGCAAAGGCAGCAGCTCGCAAAGGCAGCAGCTCATCAGCAGGCACACTAAACAGTCGTTCAAGCCTTGCCGGATCCGCCAACGTACCATAGAAGAAGTAGCGAACGGGGTACTCTGATCCCTCCTCTCCATCAGGGATGCCCACGACAGGGAGATCAGGCCTATGGTGAGGCAGTGTCGGATCCCACCCCAGCAAAGGCAGCACTCCAGTATCTTTATGCGCAAGTCCAATCCTAATATTAATGAACTTCTGATTCGGACAGTGCTTCTCGACCCAAGCATCAAGAGCGTTGATGCTGGATTGAGACAGCCGACAAAACCCCGATTCACTGTCTTCTCCAACGCCACTCTCAAGTTGTGGTACGCGAGGAAGGCCGAGAGCGTTGGCTACATCGCGAGGTGTGGAGAAGGGGTGTTCGAGGCGGAGGAGATACGGAGCCTTTTAACCGACGACGGGGACGTGTGCGTGAGGTGGTAGAAGTATACATAGACTTGGAAGGTCTCGATGGGATGTGTGCTGAGGTGGAGTCGCCGCCTAGCTCCTCGAAAGCCTGGGTAGCGGCATCGTCTAGTTCGAGGTAGTCCATGGCTGACGGGGTGATGGTGGACTGGAGGTGGATCTTGAGGTTGAGCTGGTGTTAGAAGGTCCAGGGAGAACTGGGATGCGACACCGCGAAAGGAAGGGGTGGAGAGTCCTCATGGCATTTACGAAAGGTCGAATTATGGTTGACAGTTAGGTAGCGAACGGGTAGTTCCTTGGTTACACGAGTTCAAGTTGACTGTAGACACCATTCTTATCGACATACGTGATTGGTTGGTTCATTAACCGTTTCCATTCCATTAAGCATTACACTAGATAATAATATTCTCTTTCTTTCTGCGGTGGTAGGCTCGAGCCGAGCCAGTCATTACCACCTATTCCCAATCCAACATGGACATAGCATCTGCCATCCACGTCATTTCGTACCACAACATCATCAAAACCCCCTATATGCAGACATCCAGCCGCTCAAAAAGTAGAATGCGGAAAGGGTGGCGGCCGGGCGCTGAAGCGAATGTATACAACAACACACAGACACAACTGTGCCAAAAAAAAGTCCAAAAGGTAAGCGACCGACTTGGGTATCAAAAAAGGGGTACAATAAACCGCGCGTTGGTAGCGCTACAAGGGATGCCCACGAGAAGAATGGTTGTGGTTCCCCGATGCATGCATGCGGCAGCGTCTCCGCTACTGCCGACACCAGTGATTCTATGCCGTCAAATCCATGGTGTAGATAATGGATCGCTGAAATGCTTCGCAAACAAGAAAAACTCCGCTCCAATGCATAGGTCGTTAGAGGCCGTCACCCGAGGAGGTAAGGTGATAGTGCGAAACGTAGGGATGAGTATAAGTCTGTGGCGAGAGAGATGTAGATGAGTCGTAGGTCTTAGTCTTTGCGGAGGGTGGTGGGCTCCGTGTCGGATCCGATAGTCTCGCCTTCCCAGAGGCTTTGAGAGTCGTCGGTTGGTGATCGTGCGCCGATGGGACTCCTGCCACCGGTGGAGTAGGATGAGGAGGAGCCGCTAGCCCAGTCGTCCGAGTCGGAGTGGGCGTGAGATGGGAATTCCTCGTAGATGTCGAGCATGCTGTAGCCAGCACCGTCCATGGGGTCGCCGATCTCGACGAAGTCGTAGTCCCAGCGGAACTCCTTGTCGGATTGCGGGCGGGGGAGGAACTTGGCGCGGCCGAAGAAGTAGCAAACACCAGCAACTGAGGAAAATTAGCGCTAGACAAGAGTGGGGCGGAGAATCGAAACTTACGCAGACTGCCGGCTACCAGGTCAACGGCGTAGTGGTGGGAGAAGTACATGGTCGACCACCAAAGCCACATGGTGTAGAAAACGTACACGGGGAAGAGCCTGGGAAAGACGTGTCCCATAAACAGCGTCTCGAGAGTAGCCCATCCAGAGTGCAACGAGGGGAAAGCACCAAAGACCATGGGCGAGGCGTGGAAGCCCGAAGTGTAGATATCAATGCCAGTCAGCTTGTCGATTGCCTTGAGTCCCGCGGCGTCACCAGGGATGCTGTAGTTGGCGGGGGCCAATCCGTACGAGTTCTCGTACCAGGGGGGCGAGCATGGAAAGACGATCTGGATCAGAACAGCTGTGATGTTCATGTAGCCAAAAGCGCGCGCCCAGATGGGGAGGGTACCAGGAGGCGCCCAGATGAACATGCATGCGCTGACAATGACCGGCGATACGTAGTGTACGACTCCGTATGGCAACCAGGCGAGGATGTCCAGGACTGTGTGCTTGTGTGCGGAGAGGATGTTGCTGAGGTTGGCGCCGTAGAGGATGTTCTCGAGGGCGGGGAGGACGCGGACCCAGATGGCAGGGCGGTAGTCTGCGGAGATGTATCTGGGAGACATTAGTACGGATCTTGCCACAAGTTTGAGGAAGAGGATTACGTACTTGCAGCTAGAGAAGAGGAATAGCCATGTAAGAGTAGGAAGTAATGGGAGGAGAAATTGCCGTGTGATGGGCAGACACAGGCCCGTCATGAGCAGCGTGGCTATGAATGTCTTTGCAAAAGGCCCCGGCGCCTCGCTCACGGAGAGGGAGAAGATGGCGACGATGGCGAGGAAGAGATACTGGGCATCATATATGCTCCAAGAGTGGGTGCGCAGGGAGCGCAGGGTATCCGAGGGCGAGAAGGACGTCTCGAGGCCGGCGATGGATGACGTGGGCGCCTGGCGACTGCGTATGCGCGACTTGGTGGCCCTCCACTTCCTGCGCACGCGGTGGGGGATAAGACTGGGCAGGGCAGAGAGCCCGGGGACCGAGGTGCGCGACAGCATGTCGGCGGCGGTGCTGTTGTCGAGGAATGCGAGGTAGCTCTTGTTGGTCATGGTGAAGATGGCGAGGAATGGCGCTTCAGGGCTCGGTCGCTCGGGGGTTTGTCTGTGTGGCACAGTTCCAGGTAGGTGCAACAGCAGACACGCGACCAGAGGCTGGTGAAGGCACGTCAAAGTTGTACGTCGTGCAGGAGGTGGGCGAGCGGACAAGAGGGAAAGAAGGCGGAAGAGGGCGGACTAGGGATTATGAAAGGCAGCCGTGACTTAGTGGAAGCTCCGGATGGCTGAGGCTTGCACAGCGCGCTGCCGGGGGGTCAAATTAGGTCCGCGACGTGAGCGGCTACGACGGACCTGGTTAGCCCGCGAGAGCGTTCAATTTCGTTTACAACAAGACGCTGTGACAGGCGCCAGGATTCGCATCATTGTTTCGACCGCGTTGGCAAAGAATGCGAATACCCGTGGTTGACGCTTTCGCCTTCATCGTGGGCATTCACGGTAGCATGCGACTCCAACCATGGCACTGATAACGTTGTCCAGGGCCTCTGCATCTGCAGGCATGTGACCCTTGCAGCACACCCGTAGACATCCTTATCACGTTGTCCGCCGCACTCACACATGGCTTTGTCATCTTGGTACGGGTCCCGTCTTGCAAAACTGCTGCTGGCCTGGCGCCAGAGTGATGCAGCGGTGCGTTAGACCCTTGGTTAGCCTGTCATGACATCAACATACAGGTGACCGCATCGTGCCGTCAAGCCATGGCAACCACTACATGCCAAATCGACTTCCATCGACTTCCGCATCCCGGTCTGTCGCCTGTACGAGATACGGGCATGTGCTGGTCAGCCTCGTTCGCTGTCAGCATGGTCTCACAAGGCGTGCGGCCACCCACCCCAGCCTCAAAGGCACACGAAACATGCCCTGCGCTCCACTGCATTGCCCAAACTTTCTCACCTCTTGCACGCTACTTACCAATCACACCCCGACACAACGCTCACCGCACCAAAAAAGCCACCGCTGACTGTACCCGCGCCATAGCTACCGTCCGTCGCGACGTCTGAATAGGCGCCCTCGGCACCTCGCAAGATCCGCAACCCGTGCAGTCCTCGCCCTCTTGGCGCAGACACATCCTCACCCGTTTTTCCACTGCCATGGTTCCACCCGCAACCCTGTGCTTTTCTCACGCCCGATGCGCAATTTCTTTTTTCCTCCCCGATCCACCCACTGCCCAATCGCCGATGGCCATCTCGGCCTCGCTCTCTCGGACATGTCAGGCGGAGGCTCGGACGAACACAACCTCCACCGCGCTTTCCTCTCACGACATTCGCCTTTCCTAAACCACACTAACCAACACTAACTAATCAAACAAATCTCTTTACCGAGTCACAGCCAAAGGAAAAAAACTCAATTCAATAAAGACTCGATCACGCATACTTCACTCGATTTGTAGGCTAAATCACAAAAGAAGAGTCGAGATCGCGACCATCGCAATTTCCCTCCTCCTTTCGCCCTGACTCTCACACCCTTCTCCAACAATGCCATGTACATCCTTTTCAACACTAACATTACCATGTTCCTGCGTTGACTCGCTCACTGCCCCAACAACATGCTGCCGCTGCCCAAACAAACAAAAACCCACCCGCATCCGCCGCCCGTCCCTTTCTCCGCTCGTTTGCTGTCCTGCATCCACATCGCAGAAAAGAAAAGAACACGGCATTTCCCCCGTGTTTCACTAAAGCAGAATCCAGGTACAACTGCACTACGCGAACGCGAAAATGTCGCGCAAGAACCTAGTAGTCTCTGTTTCGTATCCCGCGTATCCAGCCTCTCTCTTCGTCCGAGGTGCTTCCCCGTCTCGCACACCGCGATAGGGTCCGAGCGCGGTCAAACCGTCGCGCCGCCGCCGTCCCTGCTGCGAGAGCGGGAGTCGGGTAAATGCCATTTGCTGACTACTTCTGCCGAGACCGTCGTGCTGCCGTTCGGCACGCCGGCTGACGGTGAAGGGTTACAGCGCTGATCTGTGGTAAGTGATGAGCTGGTGATCTCGGATGAGTCGGAACGCGGATGCGGTGGGAGGAGTAGTAGTAGGGGAAGGGGATGCCAGGGGATACTCCACTGAAAGTACTCAGTTGGGGTGGGATCGTCAGGTACGGTGCTGCGGAGGGATGCTCATGACTCTACATCGGTGTACATGACTTTGTGAACAACAAGACAGATACTCATGTATCCAATCGATGTTTGATGGGGAGACCAGCCTAAAGCTATTGTTCAACTTGACACCTCCAGTATGAAGACAAGTGTTGGACACACAAAATGCCCTGCTTCTATATAATATACCGTAAGAGACATTTCGCGCTCACGTTCACCGGATCCCTTTTAAAGGAAGGCCAGAACCTCCACAGTTCAACCTGCCTGGGTATCTTCCTCTCACAGGACAATCTGTGCTTTCACAGTATCCTGGATTCGGGAGCGCTTTTTTCCTCCACTTCCTCGTCACTTGCGACGATTGTTCCATACTGGGTCCTCCTTCCGTTGCTTCTATAGCTCACTCCTCTTCTCATTTCTCCTCATCCATCTAGTAATCCCCCATCTACTTTTCGTTGCTGTTGCCTAACCTAATTATCGGTATGCAATTACGAAGTAGCGTTGTAGTCGGCGTGATTTGATAATTCTTTGTGTTGTTGCTGTTTGCGTCCTTGCGGGTTCGCCCGTTTCATGGCTTTTTAAGCATAGCATTTCATCTTTTGCACATCGTGGCAGGTATCGGAACGGGGCATGTCGTGTATACTGTGTATGTTGTCATGTCCAATAGTTGTCTTCTAGGTTGTGTAAGTAAACACTTCGATGGAGTAACTGAGTAAAAGACGGTAGAACACAGCACGCCGGGCTTTATGCCTGCCAAGGTTGGATTGTGTCTTCAGTCTACAGCCTTGAGCCTTCCTGTTTCGACACAGCAAGCGTGGCATGCTGTCCGGCTTTGGTGGCGCAAGGCAGACGCGGCTGAGGTCCTTGGAAAGTAAACAGATTTTGATTGAGCCACATCACAGCCTATCTAGAAATCTTGAGAGTCACATGAGAGCATCATGTGCACGTCGATAGACATCACGCATAGTCTAGCCTGATGGCAGATTACCACAAGGATCATCACTGCCTACGAGCAGACACGAATGCCGCTGGGTCGCGTCATCAGGCTGAGCTTTTTGTTGTATCAGTCCGCGATGCAATTGGGCATTTCAGTGCATCAGACTGTGGAGGATAAGAGTGAGCGAATGCAAGTTTAATTTCCCTCTGTGTACGAGGCAAAAGTCCTACGCTGCGCCATGCTATGTAACGACAACGCTATATGCCCTTCGCGTAGAATAAATGCAATACATGAACCCCCCACCACAAAATGAAGCTGAAGCTATGTACAACCAGAAGAAGACCTCTGAGAACGACAACATACAACGCCATGCTCGCTCATCCCTCATATCGTATGCGAACTAACACCCAAACCATGCATCCCGAATCAATACATCCAACCACGTAAACCCACCATCCTACGGCGTATCAATGAGATCCTCCAAGAACTCATCAAGTTCAATAATCGTAAACTGCTCCGCCCACTTGGCCCTGAACTGCCTCCTCCTATACCCGCCGTTAATCTGCTGACCCCAACTAATCAACTCAACCTTCCATCCCTTCTTCAACGCGCGCTCAACATGCGCGAGGAAGCCATCCGACATCTCCGCCACCGCACCATCACCCGTCGCGAGAACCATGGTACTAGGTACTTCGGTATCAATAATGCTCTGGCACATCTTCAAGTGAAGAATCTCGTCGACACCTTGCTCGACCCATTTCGGGGCCGAGGGGGTCTTCGGAGTGACAGCAGATGGACCCGTTTCAGAGTCGCTGCCGCTGCCAGAAGAGCGTATTTGAGTAGCCTTGTGCCAGCCCATCTTCTTGACGTCGTTGAAGAATTTCTTCTTCTCAGAGTCTTCGCGTACGATCAGGACTTGCTCTTGCATGACGCTGTCGTAGCCGACGGCTTTGGAGGTCTCGACTAGTTTCGCCACGTGGGGAAGGGGGTTGGCTTCGCGGTGGGAGCCGGCGAAGAAACGCTTTGCTACCGGTCGGCGGCGCTCCATCAGTAGCGCTAGACTGTCAAAGGACATGTCGTACGCGTTGTGGTGCAGACCGTGGTAGCGGAGCATATCTTTGAGGCCTATCATAATGTTGGAGGCGTCGACAAAGACGTGCAATCCATGCGCTGAGTTGCGCTCGTTAAGCATTTGCATAGGGGCCACCAGCCACTTTCGATCATCGGGGAAAGTGTCCATCAACTTGTTAAACAAGTGATAATGACGTTCTACCTGTGATCTAATCGTGAGAGCTGGTCGCTGTCCGCTGAATGATTTACGATGCGGCGTTGGGGTAGTGGGCGGTTGTTGAACGACAGCTGGTTGAGAACAGGTTCTTGGTACAGTGACGGGTCGAACAGTCCGGGGAACAAGTCCATGATGTCCCGGTGTGGTGGCACGAGGCGCTTGCTGAGCTTCGGCTACGATGTCCTGAGACGAGGGAGGTGCAAGTGTGCCGAGTGTTGTACTTTGGGTCTGGGTAGGGGCCGGTACAGTCGAAGGAACGACTGCAGGGACTTCTTGAAGAGGCTGAGGAGTCACGGGCTGTGCCGCGGAAGGCCGCTTTAGGATGCTGGGGCGGGCCTTGGGTGTCCTAGGCTGCTTCGGTTGTGTCTGAGGAGCCTCGGTTGTGTCTTGTGCAGGTATTGGAGTAGGGGTCGCAGGCCTGATCTTAGCGCCCACGTTGGATCGTGAATGTGCTCGGGACGGCTTGGTTGGCGTCTGCGCCACCTTGACATCCTTGGTAGGTATGCTGGCGATATCGTCTAATTGTTTCCGCAGTAACACCTGTTGTGCTTGTTGCCGCCTCTGCTCGCGCTCTTCCGCAAGCTGAGCCAGGGTGTCCTGAACAGCTTGTTGACGGCACCGCTCCTCTTCGAGCTCTTTCTCGGCGCGTCTGCGAGCCTTCTTCCGTTGGGTCTTGGTCAGACCTGTGTTGTCTGTCGCCTGCTCGTCTGAACTCTCGCTATGCTTGGCAAGTGTCTTGGTTGATCCGAGGACAGGCGATGGTAGTAAAGCGTCATCGGAATTGCTGAGTTCGGACTCAGGATCGAGTGGCGGCAACGGCGCGGAGGCAGTATCGGCGAATCCTAGGTTTTCGAACAGCTTCGAAAAGCTGCCTAGACGTATCCCTCCATCTTTCAATGATGAAGCCTGAGGTGTCGCCACCGACCGAAGCGGTGGAGAGCTAATGTTTTGGTTGCCCGAATCTATCAGACCGATGGCGGTGCTGAAGTCCCAGCCGGAGTCGAGCGGTTGTGAAGGCATTTGATAGTTCTAGGCTTGCGAATCGGCGAATTGGTTTGGTGTATGCTTGTCGTAAGCAATTGGTGCTAATGCGTAGAAGACACTGGAGTCGTCAGTAAGGTAAACGATGAAGCATGGTAAGCGGTCCCAAGGCTACAGCTCGCGCGTATTGAAGCCTGAACAGCCTTCACAGTCTAGATATATACCGCGCCGCCTGTACCGCAATAAGTGTCAAACATACCGTGTAACTGATCTCGAAACAATCGTCTTAGTCGCACGCTCATGGTCTATCGCGACAGGTTCAATGGAAAGAGTGTCTTCAGACCGAGTCGAAAGCCACAGACACGAGTGAAAGGGAAGAAATGAGTAATGACAGAGAATAAGTCTTGCGCGAGTGTAAATGTAAGTGAGTGAGGTCTGGGTGGCGGCGGGGTGAGGGAGATCGGCAGGTAGTCAGGCGTCTCAGCCTCATATGGTCAGTGCTCAATGATTCATTCGGGTCGGGTCGCGAGGCCAACGCGGTGGCGAATGACACACACGAGATGCATGGCCTTGGGTTTTCCCTAGGCCAACCTCGACTGGGCTTCAAGCCAGTCTCTACGTCGAGCTAGATTCAGAAAATTACAGCATCACAACCCGATACCTTCCACGCATTGCTTGTTCGAAATACTGTCGGTGGTCCGACAGCGTCAAGCGTCCCGAATGAAACAAGATGGATCGTCGCACAAGTAAACATGGTCTTGCATGCTTCGCTGCAGGGTGCTTCTAGTCTAGCTTCTAGCTACATATTCACATGTACTTTCGACAAAGTCTCGATTTACTTAGCCTTTGAGTTTGCCTTAGGAGTATGCATTCCGTAATTCGCTGTTTAACACATTAAAAGGCCGTAGACAGATCCTAACTGATCGCGACTTGCAAAAGGAACAGCACTCATCAACATCTATTGCTTTGGTCACCAGCAATATGCTACATCAAGGTCCTCACAGTCAATATTCATTGACAGCATTCAATTGAGCCTCGGCACCCAACCCTCGCGTCCCTTGCCCCACAACCCGCAGCATGTATCTCCAGCAACTCTTCCCCAAGTACCCCTCCCTTCACCTCCCCCTCTCCAAACCCCCCTCCCTTCCCAAAAAGCCATGTCCGCGGATTTCTGGGCAGGCTACGTATCCGGCGCGGCAGGAATAATAATCGGCAACCCGCTCGACTTGATAAAGACGCGTCTACAAGCCGGTCCCTCGTCCCAACATGTCGAAGCTACATCTCCAGCTACCACAGGCACGGTAGCAGCACCACGGGGTTTCAAAGGGCAATTCGAGAATGCGGGGACACTCGTAAGAGGTGAGCAAGCAGAAAGATACCTTGAATCAGTTTGAATGAGAGTAGGATACAATTGACTGACTTGACTCATCCAGTACAGGCGCAACAGCACCCATCCTAACCTATGGCGCCCTTAACGCCTTATTATTCATGACCTACAATCGCACCCTCACCCTCCTCCACGACTCCCCCGCGTCGCCGACAAACTACTCGAAAGTCTTCTTGGCAGGCGCAACAGGCGGCCTCGCATCCTTCGTCGTCAGCGCACCAACCGAACTCGTAAAATGTCGCGCGCAAGTAGCGACCAACGCGACAACGACTAGTTGGAGTGTAGCAAGAGATGTGTGGAGGGCAGAGGGAATCAGGGGACTGTATTATGGAGGCGGGATTACAAGTGTGAGGGATGCGGTGGGGTATGGGTTTTAGTGAGTTGCCCACCTGTCCGTTGCTGTGGATGGAGAACCACGATGTTAGAGGACGTTGGCTGACTGTGTATGCAGCTTTTGGTCCTACGAACTCTCGAAACAGGCCTGGTCCTCACCAGACGACTCCGATCGCGAAACAGCCATGAAAGTGCTGTTGTGTGGTGGCCTTGCTGGTGTCATAACATGGGCGTCGATATTCCCGCTGGATGTTATCAAGACGAGAGTGCAAACACAGATACTGCATGCGCCGATGCGGGATGGAGAGGGAAGTGCGCTGTTAGGATCGGAGACTGCCAGGACTCGATTGAGCGCTATCGAGGTTGCCAGACATGCCTACAAGACAGAAGGCGCAGGCGTCTTCTTCCGTGGCTTGGGCATATGTAGCATACGCGCATTCGTCGTTAACGCCGTACAATGGGCCGTCTACGAGTGGATGATGAAATTGCTGCAGCAATAACACACATCTAGGGCGTCACGAATGCGTATAGACGATGACAAAGAAGAGCTTGAAACCGCTAGGTTACTATTCGATCCCCTCATTACATTTCGAAAGCTAGCCCTTTTGTCGACAAGGAAATTTTGGTCCACTACAGACATGCCCGTGATCAAGACCCGTAACATGATCTCTCCAAAGCTCCGTCATGTGTATACATGTGAAATGAGAGAGAAAAAGGTGTTCCTAACATGACAATGCTCATAACCAGAGCAGATGGGAACCCGTGTGCATCAGCCTCTGATGCTTGCGCGTCGAAGAAATACCGCAAAGCAAGGACCACTTTACATGATCTGATCCTGGGTCAAACCACTAGTGTTCTCAGTACCCTCCATGGCATCGCCGCCGTTGCCCATGTTGGTGTACTTGACATAGGCGAGACCCAATGGCCTACCACCGTACTGGTAACCTGTGAACTTGGCTACGAATTGTTAGTGATGGAAGTCATGGTGTATGAACAAACTTACCGATCGAGGTCTCGGCATCTCCAGCCTGAGCAAACTCGACGACACCAGTTCCGCGAGAGCGACCGTTGGGCTCATACTGGATCTCGGCACGCTCGACCTTGCCAATCGTGGTGAAAAGCTCGACGAGATCCTCGTTGCTAGTCGACCAGGGGAGGTTGCGAACGTAGATGGTGTTGCTGGGTTCTCCGCCTGCAGTAGCGTAGTCTGTGAATGGGTTGGGTGCGGCGGGCGCAGCGTTGGGGTCGAAAGCAGGGCCGCCAGGAGCACCCCCGAAACCACCTCCGCCAGCGTAGCCACCGCGACCTCCAAAGCCACCACCGAATCCGCCACGGCCACCAAAGCCTCCACGGCCGCCGAAGCCACCAGCAAAGCCACCGCGTCCGCCGAATCCACCGCGACCACCGAAGCCACCAGGAGCGCCAGCGAAGCGGTCTTCCCGGACCTCTAGGTTGCGGCCCTGCCAATCGTAGCCGTTGAACTGGGTGATGGCGTTGCGGGCGTCCTCGGGAGTCTCGAATGCAACGACACCGGAGCCCTTAGGACGACCGTCAGGTGCGATGTGAACGTCAGCGCGGAGGACTTGGCCGTTGTTAGCAGCCTGGCGGAAGAGGTCCTTCAAATCCTGCCAGCCAACGTTGTAAGGAAGCTATCAAACTGGGTTAGTACGCGCTATCGAGGTAAGCAGGGGGTAAGAAAAGGGTACATACGTTGGCGACGTAGACCTGTCGTCCTGCACCGCCTCCAGCAGCAGGGTTGCCGCCGAAGCCACCTCCAAAGCCGCCGCCGCGAGGCATTCCGCCGCCAAAGTCACCGCGTCCGCCGCCGGGGGCGCTGAATCGAGGCTCGGCCTCTCGGTCTTCGCGAACGTATACGAGTCGGCCCATGAGGTTTTGGTTGCTGAGCGATGCAACAGCGTTCTGCGCCTGCTCCCGAGTGGCATATTCCACGATGCCACAGCCCTACACCCAAGCAAAAGCCAGTCAACCTCCATCCTTCTCACGATCAAGACAAGCCATCATCCATTACCTTTGACATTCCGTTCGGCAGCAGCAAAACATCTGCGAAGAGGACCTCGCCAGCTATTTTCGCATTAGCCCAGCTCTTGATGCGGCGCAGCGCATGCCGTACCTTGGCGCATGAAGTCCTTCAGGTGGTGCCACTTGACATCGTAGGACAGGTTGCCGACGTAGACACGGCGATCTTGTTGCGAAGAATCCCTAATACTCTGCATCATTTCACCCTTGTTCTCGACAGGTCGCGATGAAGCTCCTCGGCCGGCACCGTACGATTGGTAGCCTCCTGCACCTTGCGCACCACTTTGGGGGGAGCGCGAGCGGCGTTCAGTGCGGCGGTAGTCCTCTCGGCTGCGTGAGCGGCTACGGGGCGAGTAGGAGCGTCTGGAGCGTCGCGGTGAGCGAGATCGTCGACGGGGGGAGCGGTCGCGCTGGTCATAGTTGTCAGTTTCGTACGACATGATTGCAAAGTACACGCAATATGTCGGGGCGACGAAGAGGTTCTGGGAGGTTCGGCGATGGCGAGCAGGTGCGGGCTCGCGTGGGTGATGGGGTTGAGGAGAGGTTGCGCGAGCGGGTGAGGGCAAGCAGCTCGGAGCTTGGGCAACGACAATCCGCCCGGGCGGCAGTTGCCGGCAGCGACAGTCACGTGACGGACCACCACCCAGGCGTGAGCGACGAGCGATAAAATGAAGGGTGCTGGCTGCCTTGGAGGGGCTCACAGGTAGCTAACACCGGTCCCCTCACCATCGCTCACGCTTACAGAGGTCCAGCCAGCACTGTAGCAGCCTCGCCGTTCACCTGACCTGCGCATGGAGGCGGAAACAGAAAGAAGAAACATGAGTACTTACTCGGTCGCTTGGACGATAGTTATCTCCTGCAGAGTCTGGTAGGGAGAGGTCAGCAGGCAACGTGTCTGGTCGTGAGAGAAAGCAGAACCGTGATGGCGCGGAGGATGGCAAAAGCTTTGGGAAGCCAGGGAGGGGAAGTTACGGCTGCGTATATAAGAGGGGCCCACTTACCCATCCTGTGTATTAGAAGTAGCTACCGGTGACACTTGCTAAAAGGCCGGCTTCCCTGCCAGCTGGAGGGCCAAGTGGTGCAGATATCACGCTGCAGAGAAATTGCCCTTCTTCCGTCCACGCCTCAATGATGACGCTGTATGGGTCCTCGACAGTGCAAGCCTCCCCACGGCACAGCACCCACGCAGCCAATCGCGTTGCAGAGGCGCCCACCGAAGGCCTGAGGGACGTCCCAGCCGGCTGGGTTGGTCGACGGAGGTTGAGGTTGCAAGACCGATCGGGAGCGCGTCGGTAAGCCTGGGATATAGCTGAACCTGTCGTGAACTGCCAGCTGTGGTCGATATCACGCTATCCCACCTGTTGAGTCTGGGGTTTTTCGGTTTCGTGGGCAAAGAAAAGCGCGGCAGATGTCATGCAAGCAAACACCTTGATGGGTGGATTGATTGTGATGGAGGGCTGTGTGTGGGTCTGTGGAGTCGTTCGGTCGCTGGTCGTGCCTTCCCCCACCATCTCGGAGGCCGTGCGCCCCTGCGGGAGCGGGTTCCCTAGCCGCGGCTTCTGTCTTCCATTCCACTATTTACTCCGCGTGGCTTCGCTGTCCAAACGCTCAAAAATCCACATCGCTTACCTCGATTCAATCGCGAGCCGACCAGAGATAGCCGGTGGGTACGGCTGCCAGTAAGCACAATTAGGCCACCACAGGTCTGGACCCCTAGCCGTGTGCACTGTTACATCGTCAGATCTCATCATCGCTTTCGCTCAAGTCGTAACACCAACATGCAGCTCCCTACCCGTCCTTGTATCACCGGTTCACCCGGTCTGTACAGCAGCTTCAGCTGCACAGCATGGGCATGAACTCTAATTAACAGGCCCCGGTTCTCATTGAGGTATATACGTATGCTTCGAGAGACACGTAAGCTGGCTAGTCAATTGAAGTGCAAAAGGCCTACTTGCTGCCATTTTGGAAACAACCCGTTTGTCAGCTTGCCTTATCTGCTTCTCAACTCGAGCAACTGATCGCCTTCAAATAACCTGCTTGCTAGTCGTGGACAGGTACGAAGGCCTTTTCCTCCACCTCTCCGCGGAGTGACATAAGTTGGCCAAGTTCTTTGACCTATTCCAGATCTGGATGCTGCGCATACTTAAAATACGCTTACAGCTCTGACACGGGTGGAATAGGGAATCTTCCACAAACGCATTGAACATGCTACAATGCGATTCGGTAATAGGGCCAACGGGTAGGCGACGTCATCAGGACAAAAGCCGAGGTTCCCCACAGATTGACATCTCTATGCATCTCAAGTTCATCCATTGATCAACCTGCATATTTACTCTGCATCAATACGTATCCAATATAATAGCAACCTGGGAAGACTTCTGTTGAAGGTCTCGTGACCACAGCATTTCTGCTATCGAAGTCAGCATGCCCACCAAGTCACCGTTTCCCGATGTGGACATCCCACCCGTTGACCTCTGGGGTCTGATGTTCGACCGCAAAGACCGCGACTTCCCCGACGACAAAGTCATATATCGCGCCATCAACTCCGACCGAAAGTACACATTCGTTGATGTAAAAAGCAACGCGACATTGTTCGGCGAAGGACTCCGGAATCTCTGGGACTGGCAAAAGAACGATGTCCTCGCTCTATACGCGCCAAACGACATCGATGTACCGCCAGTCATTTATGGAACCTTCTTTGCTGGTGGCATTGTCACGCCTGCGAATCCAGGGTATTCAAAGGACGAGCTAGCTTACCAGCTTGAAAACTCGGGAGCTAAAGCGCTTGTTACAACAAAGGCTTTCTTGAACACCGCCTTAAAGGCCGCAGAGAAGGTTGGAATTGCAAGTGACAGGGTGATCTTACTGGGTGCCGAGAAAGACGAGACACATCGCTGTAAACATTGGACAAGTATCAGGAAGACTTCAGGCGCATTGCGATATCGCAGGAGGAGGGCTGATCCTGAAGACCTGTCATTCCTTGCGTATAGTTCTGGAACTACAGGATTACCGAAAGGCGTTATGCTCAGCCATCGCAACATCGTCGCCGATCTGCTCCTTTGTCAGGGCGCAGTGGGAAACTGGTACTCATCTGCGAACGACAAATTCCTCGGAGTTTTGCCATTCTTCCATATCTATGGTCTCACCGGCCTGGTACACCAGACACTACATCGCGGTATCGAGCTCGTGGTAATGCCTGCTTTCGATATGGAAACCTTCCTACGGACGATACAGGAACATAAAATTACCTTCATCTACGTTGCACCGCCAGTCATCGTGCGCTTGTCGAGAGATAAGATGGTGGACAAGTACGACCTGTCGTCAGTCAAGATGATTACCAGTGGCGCGGCTCCCCTTACAAAAGAGCTAGTCGATACTGTGCATAAGAGACTGCACCTCAAGATCAACCAAGCATACGGGCTCAGTGAAACAAGTCCGATGACACACACTCAGGTACGTTCTCTTCTCCACGAGGTAGGGAGAAACATGCTAACACACCCCTCCAGCCATGGAACGAATGGTACACCTCCGTCGGCAGCGTCGGAAAAATGTTCCCCAACATGACCGCAAAATACATATCAGCCTCCGGCGCCGAACTCGGTCCCGGCGAAGCCGGCGAACTCTGGCTCAGCGGCCCCAACATCTTCAAAGGATACTGGAAGAACGAGTCCGCAACCGCGGACGCCATAACCCCAGACGGCTTCTTCAAAACAGGCGACATTGGCTTCCAAGACGAACAACACAACTTCTACATCACGGACCGCGTCAAGGAATTGATCAAATACAAAGGCTTCCAGGTCCCGCCTGCGGAACTGGAGGGGAAATTGATGGAGAGCGAACTCATTGATGATGCGGCGGTTATTGGGGTGAATGATGAGGAGCAGCATACTGAGGTGCCTAGGGCGTATATCGTTGCTTCAAAGGCTGGTGCTGGGGAGGCGGAAGCGAAAGCTATAGTGCAGTGGATGGACAAGAAGGTTGCGAATCATAAGAGGTTAAGAGGGGGCGTGGTGTTCATTGATGAGGTACCGAAGAGTGCGAGTGGCAAGATACTGAGACGCGTGCTTAAGGAGAGAAGTAAGGATGATGTGCCATTGGGTGTGGTAGTTAAGGCTAGACTATGAGCGAAGAGGATCTCACTGCTATGTTAGCCTGTCTACTGTACTGTGCCGTACCGGCTGTATGCCTCAAAGAAGCAAAGCTGTCATGCCAAAACCCTCATGCTACAGAGGGGAGAGAGCATAAAGTGTTTGGTGGGATGTGCCAGTGACTCGAATATGTGCTCATCACAAGTAACAGCAAGCATTTTGATGCTTCATACTAGTATCATAGTTACCAACTCTTGATTTGTACACATGTCATCGAATCGGGGCACGCTTTTCCAGCGCCAGTAGATGCTCACTAGATATACGTTTTCGCTAACATACAAAGACCCAAACTGGAGCAATGGTCTCGAGACCGTCTATTTAGAACAAGTCGAGCAAATCCTGGTTGCTCTTCTTGCTCGGCTCGCCGCCTAGTTGCTGTGCCGGTGGCGGCGGTTGGTTGGTATCCATGCTCATGCTCGCGAATCCATTCATGATGTCGTCGTTGCTCATCTGTGCGGCCTGTGCTGGAGGTGCGGCACCGCCTCCATCTCCAAACAAGCCTAGCAAATCGTCCATGTTCGATTGTTGTGGAGCGGGTGCGTTTGTGGCTGGGGATGCGACGCGTTGCGGGGTGCCAGCGAGTCCTTCGAGACCCGATGAGCCATGTGTGGGTGTTTTCTGCATTGAAGCAGGCGCGGAGCCGTCGAAATCGATATCCAAAAGGTTCTCCACGTTTGAAGGCGCTTGTCCGCTGACGGCAGCAGCGGCTGCTGCTGCCGCGATTGGGTTTTCTCTTGCTTCTTCCTGTTGCTCTTCAATGGCAGCCCGTTGCATGGCCTCTGCACCAAATCTGCCTTGTCCAAGGAAAGCCTCTGGTGGCTTGTGGTAGACTGAAGCCAGAGTTGATAGTTCTGTGAGTAGCGTCTCTAGTAGTTGAGGAGGCAGTGACCGTATTGTGGATGTGATCGGGGGTTTGTCGGAGAGCACAATATCCTACTCAACGTTAATACTTCATGTTGCGCGGCGTAGTAGACTAACGTACCTTGGTGATCTGAGGATCACTAGAAAGCAGTCGCCAATACACGTATGCTCGATCGCGGATATCTGGGTTGTCGTTATCTGCGGTAGCGGCCTGCAAAACCTTTGTTACCAAGCCTTGTGCTTGATCTGGCTTCTTTAGGAAAAGCTTGACGACGGCTGTGAGTATTTGAAGTTGTGTCTGATGACTATTAGCTTCCGTAGGTCTATCTTGGAGGGCAGACATACTTGAGTGAACTCTTCGGCAAATGTGTCCACGAAATTTGAGAGGATCTCGCCGGCATTGTTGATCTTCTCAGCGTACTCTCCAACAATCCAGATCAAAGAGGCTCTCGCGTTGGGCTCATCCAGCTCGTCTATGCACTGGCAGAGTGTCGGTATTATGCCTTCGTAACCGGGGTATTTGCGGAAAATGTCCTTGATGACTACGATTGCTTCCTGCACGACGTAGTTGACTTTGGTGTTGATGAGGTCTAACAGTGTGTTGACGCACTTCTCGCTTGCGCTTTCGATCTTGATTGCGACCTGCCCGATAGCCTTCACGGCTCGTCGCACGAAATCCATGTCCACCTCCATAGCGTACTCCTTGAGCTCGGCCAGTAACTGGTCGACGTTCTTGTCGTTGGCTATCCGCACCATGATTTCCAACTTCTGCATCTTCAGGTACGGCGGATCGTTGTATTTGCAGAAGAAGACGCGCATCTCTTTGCTGAGGATATCCGATTGTTTCTGGAGGAGGAGGTCGATGTTTCGGAGCGCAACGTATTGTACTTCTGGAGCGGACGATACGAGCGTGACTATACCATGTTAGCGACACCCCTGTAAACCTCCGTTGTCAACATACCTAGTGGAGGAGCCATCTTTTTTGCATACGACTTCATCATCTCGGGGGAGATGTTTCGCATGTGCAGGAAGACGACCTTGACAGCGGCTAGCACCACACTCGGGTTGACATGCTGGAACTGTGGAACGACTCGCTCGCAAATGTGCTCTGCCTCCTTGACATCTGCTGGCTTGTAGTCTGCCAAAGTGGTGAGGAGAGTGACTCTACCCCATTCTGTACACTCATTCAGCGCCAGAAGCATCTTCTTCAGCTGTTGTGACGATATAACCAGGGCCTTGGTTTCCGGTGCTGCCTCCTGGATCTCCACCAGCGCAGTGACCGAGTTTGCGACGACCATGGGGTTCGGGTCGCCAACAAGTTCCTGCAGCTGCTCCAGGAAGCCATTCTCGATGCACATGGAGGGTGCGAGGTCGAAAAGCTTAGCTACACAGAGTGCTGCTGTTTTCCGTACGTATGGAGATTCGTCTCTGAGTGTCTTCCGCAACGGTTCCTCCATATAGTCTGTCATTTTATCGACGCGGATGCAGCCCATGGTTCGGATCGCCAATGCTCGTATGAGCGGGTTTGCGTCTTCGGAGTCTTGTACGAAAGTGTTTACGGCGAGAATACAGAGGTCGGGGTGTGATTTTGCGTAATTCCTAAGTATTTTGTCAATTCCCACCTGACTCGCAACCAGAACTTGGACCTACATGAGGTATAGATATACCAGCTTCTTCTGATCAAGGTCGGCAGTCGCAATGTTCTTCAGAACGTCAGGGAAGAGGGCCGAGACATCTTTGCCTAGCGTCATGGACATGATAGTCTTCTGAATGGCTTCTTTCCTGCCACAGTCTTAGTATATCCCCAGTGTAGTCTTCGCAGTTCCATGCGCTCACCGTTCGTAGGCATATTGAGATCTGGTGCAATGGTCAGTTGTGAATCGCTACACTGGCTCTTGGGGGGATTCATACACCAGACCCGCCCTCAATTCGAACGTCTCTCCCTTTCGTGGGGGCGCAAATGCGCCTCTTATCCTATTAACGGCCATCTTTGTAGGACCGTGAAGGCTAATCGCTCAGCCAAACCCCTCCGACTCCGGCTCGTAGAATCTGGAGCCAACTCCTCTGCAAGGCCGAGGTATTGGGAAGCGCAAACTTCTTTGGCGGTTTATTTGGGGTATCGAGAAGTCGGTGTCTCTGAATCGAGGGGCGTGGGTGAAGGTGAAGTGCGGGTCGGGTTAATGTTCGTGGAGCTTCGCGATTGCCAGACTGCCACCTTGATGATGCGGTCTGTGCGCCGCCCCGGGCCCGCAACCATGCGTCGCATCTAGCCCAGCCCTGAAATGCTTCTACGCTCCCGCCCTCATATTACCATCAACATATCAACATGGTAAGTTGAACTCCAGAACCCATACAAGTCCTCTGAGCGACAACCTAATGCCAAACGACAGCCTTCCAACTTACCTAATCTACGTCGACTGTTCGTAGAGGCGCGCAGCGAGGCGGAGGAGAGCGCGTACTCGAGGAAGGCCGTATGCTCACTTCATCAATACCAGTTCTGTGATTTGGGGAGCTGACACAATCACAGTTCTACAACCTTGCCATATTCATGTCATCAATCGCTGTCTTTAGCTTGGTCGCACAACGAATGGCTTCTGCAAAGGCTATCGGTTCATGACCTGAGAACACCACTACATCATGACCAACTCATGAGATAAGAAAGAGGAGCACGGCCCTTGCACTAAGAGTGCAAGAGGACGCAGTTCCTGTGCGCTTTATTATGGACAGACCTGGCGGCCGGCGCTTACTTGAACAACAACAACCCACCTCGGCGCTTGAGACAGCGATTTCATGAGTTCACGCCAACCATCCGCCAATCAATTTAGTGTCGGATGAATTACATGCCTGTTGCAAGTAGGTGAGGCGCGAAGTGATACTATGCACCCTACTAGTTTCCGACTTACCTGCATGTAACCCTGAATTGCGGCACAGTAGCAATACACCATATCAATAAGAGGACATGATGCTTCTTGCTTCTCAATCCATGCTCCTGGAGAGTTGTCGATCTTCAATTCTACAGACATGTTTCGTTCCGCGCCCGCAGTTCCCTTCCATCAATATAATGACATAAAGGACCGGCCCCTCATTCGAGCATCAACAACGTTCTACGACCGGATCGTCACTGATTGGTGGTGGTGGGAGCTACTCAGCTGGGTCGTTAGTTTCGGCTGTATGGCGGCTATCATAGGTGTGCTCTGGTATTATGATGGCAAACGGCAGCCAGAGTACTTAGTGACAGGCATCACGCTCAACGCATACGTTGCCGTCTTTGCTGCAGTCTCCAAGGCAGCATTGCTACTACCAATTTCCGAAGCCATTGGACAGTTGAAGTGGATTTGGTTTCGAGAAGAAGCTGCACTGTGGGATTTCCAACTCTTCGATGCAGCCAGTCGTGGGCCTTGGGGTGCAGCCATGCTTCTTATCAGAGCAAGGTGTAGGTAAGCGCTCTCACTATTCCCAGTACCATCGTTCTGCTTGCTCACACCCATGTAGACATCTTGTCTCACTGGCTGCCCTCATCACCATACTAGGCCTGGCATTCGAGCCCTTCTTCCAACAGATCGTTGCTTATCCTAATCGGATGGTAGCCGTTGGACCTGGCTCAATATGGGCAGCATTGAGTTTTATACCCCAGTTTCCGGTCAGCACCCGCCAAGGAAGCTGTAACAATGGTAGAGACCCGGCAATGACTGTGGCGATTGACAGAGTATTCAATGACCCGGACGCCGACATGAGCCCCCCCACGACGCAGTGCTCCACGGCTAATTGTACGTGGCCTACATATGCCACACTTGGTGTTGGCCATAGCTGTCAAGACGTGTCTTACCTCCTTGAATACCATTGTAAGAATCACACTGATCTACTGTTCTCACAGGGAAGTGTTATAGCGACGGATCCCTGTGGCTACAAAGTGAACAATACGTTTGTCACTGGTGTAGTAGGTAACTTGGGCTTTCGTACGGTGGTCACCTTATCGACAGTACTGGTCGAAACTCTTGATCTCATGCCGGCAGGCAACAATTACTGGAATAGCACGGTCTTCGGGAATTCGACTCTGCCAATCTTGGATTTCTACATCGGTTATACTCCCGGAGGTCCGGAAGCGACACTCAAAAACTCAACACCCGTATTGCTGGAATGCTTGATCACATGTAAGTCAAGTTACGCCTCCACTTCGCCTGACTGGTTGGCTGACTGGAGTTTTTGATTTAGGGAATGCTCAAATTATGGAATCTCGCTTTGTTCGCGGTTCATTGCAGGAATCCGTATTAGACACAATCGTCATACAACCGGAGTCTCTAGATGAAGACAGCCTTTGGCCCATAACTGCTAGCTTGGGATCGAACAGTACATTCCAGATCCTCAATGGTACTACGCAACGCCTCCGTGACTGGATTCTATCGGATCTTCCCTTTTACCTCTATCAAGATCCTGCGTACGAATTCGGGCTTTACTCTGGCATATGGCGCTTTCACCAAGTCGCACCTTACGACTTCGGAGGCTATCTCACCAACCTCACGAAAGCCATGACAAATGACATGAGATCACGATTCTCTGGCACGAAGCGAATTGATGGCACGGCATGGAGCTCAGAGCGTTTTGTGGAAATTCGCTGGGCTTGGATTACGCTGCCCGCGGTATCGCTTGTGGGAAGCTTAGTCTTGGTATGCGCAACGATTGCAAAAGGGAGAAAAAGCCAGGCACCGGTTTGGAAGTCGTCTTCATTGGCTACTCTGTTTCATGGTTTGTCAGAAGAAACGCGTAATCGCATCGGCCCAGACTCAGCGACCAGCCAGATTGAAGCCTTGTCGACGAAGCTGAGGGTGCGACTTTCATCCCAAGACGGAAGCGCGCGATTGATCGCTTGATGAACCCGGTTTTATGCACCTTCGTGTCCTCTCTTCAACCATCTTTGCCGACCTGGCATGGGTCTGATTGGCGCCTTCGCTAGTCTCTGCTCTCTTTTCTTCTCATAGAATTGCGTTATGAGATTCTTCCACTCCAACTTCCAGATCCATGCTCCCTGTTCTCCATTCCAGCTCACATGTCGTGGTACATGCATTTGGAGACCGGTCAATTGGTTTTGAGTGAAATGCACCCATACTGCAGCGGCCTCTAGTCGTTTCAGCGGTAGCACAGAGGTGTTCTTGAGCTCTTCGACGCTTTCCGCACGTGTTCCTTCGCTGAGTACACTCGGAGATCTGAAATGGATGTAGCGGCCATCGGAACTGAGGCCGTAAAATGACATACTCATTTGAGCGCGGGGTATTGGTGTACCGGGCCATAGCAGAGCTCCAGAAGTGGGATCGCGGCGCGGGAGTGAAAGCGTCATGGCGAACGCTGCGAGATAACTTGAGCTGAACAGCCTCTCAACGAGATCCCTGAACTGTGGTGAAACGCGGCGTACTGTGAGCCAGAGATGACTGGCTTCCTGGATACTCGTTTGTTCGAGGATGAGTAGCCATAGTTCAGCAGGCAAGGCTGACGTGGGTGCTCGCCCTATAGATGAGTATTGGGCTTGTCTAGTTGCTGCAGTTGGCGTCATGCTGCATTGTTATAAAGAGTTCGTTTCTGCAAGACGCGGTCGAAGCCATATATTGACGACTTGAACTTGTGAGTCACCCATGGTAGGCCTAACATTCCTAGGTAGCACAGCCCGCACTAAACTAGTCAGGCGCTGACGCATGCCTATATATGCAGGAAGGAACATTCATACGCTCAAGGATATGAAGAAAAGTTTACTTCGAGTCTACGCGAAAGTTGTCAAACATGTAGGTGCTGATGGGTCGATTAACGCGGATGTTAGCATGTCTGAAAGAAGGCTGGTCTAGTCAGCTTACGAAATGACGACATGCCTCGGTTGGGACATACCCACCAAGTATCACAAGTGAGAACTTGGCAGTATTCGAAACACACGTGCATGGTCGCTCGAAATCTTTCCGTGCCTGATCAGCAGCCTGAGACGGCAACGTCTCGTCGCCTTCAATGCGTCGCAGGCCCTTGAAGCCCAGATCTTGGGGTCTAATGCGCACACTAGCGATCCCCAAAGCTTGAGACAGACTGAAGACAGGATCTATGGATAAAACATTCAATAGTTGTACATTTCATGAATTGTAACTAAGCGCCGGGTAAAGAAACAGCGCCCTCAGAACCAGTCCAATGAAGCGCTTCGCTTCAATCTCCGTAGAGTGACCTTCCGTGCCCCTCTAGGGCAGAAAGTGCGTTCTATGTTACTACAGTAGTAGAAATTGTCATCAAAAGAAAAGCACCATTACTGCGTCTACCACCTTAAACCCCAAGCCCCTCATCAACTATCTCATCATTTCCCCGGGTTCCGTAATGTGTTCAAGCAACGAAGTCGCGGGCTGCGAAGCTGCGGCGGTTGAAGCGACCACGACCGCGACCACGACCGAAGCCGCCAAAGCCACCTTGTCCTCCCTGACCTCCTCCTTGGCCGCCTTGGCCACCCTGCTGACCGCCCTGCTGACCACCTTGCTGGCCTCCTTGTTGACCGCCCTGTTGACCGTTGTTCTGACCACCTTGTTGACCATTGTTACCGCCGTTGTTTTGTCCATTGTTCTGGCCATTGTTGCCACCGTTGTTGCCACCGTTGTTACCGCCGCCGCCGCCGCCGCCAACAGTGAACCTCACACAGTCATCTTGAGGACCACGTTGAGCGACAGGCATGACAACAGGCTGATGGTTGGAGGCAGAGGTAATGGAGCAAGCACGGTAGTTACCGGCAGGGAGACCAGCAGCAAGGTTGGCAGTGAGAAGACCATTGCCGTCACCAGCGTCGTTGATACCCTTGAAGAAAGCAAAGGTCTGAGCATCAGGAGGGTTGTTGGCGTCATTGCCCATGTCCTGGACGGAGATATGGGTGTGGCCGATGACTTTACCGCCCTGGAGCGTCTGTGGGGCGGCGTAGTAGGTGTTGTCAGGGTTGGTGAAAGACCCGGCCGCCAAGTTGGTGATCTTGACGGAGAAGTCGATCGGCTCGCCTGCGTTCTTGTTGTCATTGTTCTTGGGGTCAGTGAAGACCGCAGAGATCATGTTGCCGACACCAGGAATATCACCCATGACTATTGGAAAGTTAGCAGCTGCCTTCTTGAGCATGCGTGTTCGGCTGAAGCTTACCGATACCGTTGCAGGATCCCTCCTTGACCTGGAGACCGTTGGTGAGGGTCTTGCCTTGGCAGAAGTTGATGAAGTTGGCTTGGTCACTGGTCTAGTTAGCAAGGGATTTGTACAAAGACGTGCGTGCCAACATACGTGAGAGATGCGGCTTGTCCATCTTCCTTGCCCTGGTCGAATCCATCGGACTGACTGGCTTTTTGAACAACAGCAGGGTTGAGGGCTAGGTTACCACCACCACCGCCATTGTTGCCTCCGTTGTTACCACCATTGTTGCCGCCATTGTTCTGACCGTTGTTCTGGCCATTGTTCTGGCCATTGTTGCCTCCGTTCTGGCCGTTGTTCTGTCCGTTGTTGCCGCCGTTTTGACCGTTGTTTCCACCTTGGCCGCCAAATTGGGCGTTGGCAACACCGGCTGCAAGCAGCATAGGGATGAGGGTTGAGAAGCGCATGATGATAGCTTCAGGAAAAGAAGTTAGGATTGGTAAAAGAGTGGAGTCCGGCTAGCGGTGGATTACAAAAAAGGCAGATACGTTCAACGTAATCTGAATGAAGAATTAAGAGGAAGAGAAAGGAATGTAACCCTCAACTGCAGAACCGGAGTTTGTAATGGAACAAGCGACTGATGATGGTGAGGAAAGCAAGATATCTGAGGAATCGCATTGCCTTAAGTCCTTGGCGAGCGAATACAAGGCAAAGAGCAACCTGGTAAGGCGGCTCGTGGTTCCTCGGGCATGAAACCCACGATGAAGGCAGAGACGTCTCAAACCCACCCATACCGACATCGATAACGTCGCGCACGGGGCGCTGGCATCAACTGGCGCCCTACCGCTGACTGAGGCTGGCATGGCAGCCTCTCCGGAACGAGAATGCGCCAGGCATTGAAGAGGAGGTCCGAGAAACGGTTCGTGTAAGAGGTGTGCAAGAACCCCAACAGCGCTAACCCAAACAGGACGCACTAGCCGCCCTTCAGGCTCGAGCCAGGCATCTTCTAAATTTTGAGGAGAGCACGCTCAAACTCCTATGATGCCTTGCCATGCGCCATAATAGCAACCGAATGCACGGCAGGATTGTGTAACTGGCTTCCGATATCCGTTCGTTACCACTGCAACACCAGCGGGGAAATTTGGTTTACTCGCTGCGACCCACTTTGCGACCCACGCCTCCTCCATGAGCCTCACTGAGTTGTCGGAAGTCATGTGCGGCATCTACAAACAAGGTTGGTACGTGCTGTCACTGTCTCGATTTTGACGGATGTGACAGGTGACAGTTGAAGGGCTACAGAGTAGCAAGTACGCATCCTGCGTCTGCACGCACTGTATTGGATTCCAGAGTCAATCGGTCCTCTTTGTAACAACATACGATGGCGGCAATTCTTAATCCGAGATCGATAAAGATCGATGTTTGCTGTTTGGGATGCTGCCGTGCCAAGTTGTCACGCCCACTCACCAACTCCACTGTGGACGTGGCGCCCAGACGAAATGGCGTTGTATCGACGTACCTCCCCACCATTAACAGGAATGTGTATACCCATTCTCGAAGATCTGCACTCTGCTCCATCGGCTCTGCAAGCGACGATGCCACCTTCGGCCCACTTTCAACGACCGTGCCCTCGGCAAAAGGAACTGAGACAGCTACTGTCAAACCCCGCTACAGGTTCGCTCCTTCAACGTCGTGAAGGATTACGGAATCAGGGTTGCCGTATTTGGGTTGGTGTCCACGGGTCGCTCGGCTTGCCTGAGGCAGGAGGTGTCTTCAGGCACGGAGGATCTACATCTGTAACCAACACCCGCAGAAACTCCTCAGGTTCCAGTCTCTGTGACGCAAATCCTCGAGGTTGGGATTTTCTGATTAACAATCTCAAGCAAGCTTACGTGCGTTCTCTTCTTCGGATCTATCCCTTCCATGAATTGTACCGCGCCGTCTTCGAGGAGTTGTCGTGACACGCTTCGGTCCTGATCCATCTCAACTGTCACAAGGAGGCTTACAAGCGGCGACTATACATACGCGTTCTTTCGAATGTATCAACTTCGATACCCTCAGACGGTCAACTCCCAAGCTCGACCACAACATCATGACCGCCAACGCACAGCTCCATGACGATCATGAAAACCTGAACAGCTCTCCGAGACAGACAGTACTGCTCTCCATCTCAGATGATCAGCCATCCCACTATCGTCTGTACTGCATGGCCTTCAACGAAGAAGTACGAGGCAGTCGGGGTCTCCTCTATGTTGACAAGTCCAGGTAGGTTCACAGATGCGGCTGCACATAAGTGTTCTGTCGGATCTGTCGTCTTCCATACTTCCATACAGTCAGCTCCCAGGCTCTACCACAATCATCACGAACGCCAATCTACGGCTCCATGACGATCATGATCAACCATCTCACTATGGGCTGTACCGCGCAGACTTGGACGAAGGACTACAATGGATCTAGAGCTCTTCTCATGTTAACAAGATTAAGCAGGTCTACAGGTATCGACTGTACATACGCCTTCTTTCGAATCTGTGGTCTTGCATACTTATAGCGATCCATCAGTGCGCGATGTCGTACTCTCTCTCTGCCATCCATCTCATTTACTATTGCTGCGATGACTATGCCATACGGGCCACCCTCAACCTCTGCAACGCGTACGACGACCATGCGGGAACCTACTCTCGAACGAGAACCATCGCAAATACGAAAGGCTCAGACAGTCAACCGCCCCTCCATGACCTGCACTGCGCTCCCTTCCAAGAAAAGCTGCGCGACACGCTTGTCCTCATTCATCTCGACCTCGATGAAGATTTCGCTTCGCCTCCCCATCTCTACACCCTGAACGATCTCATACTTGAACTTCTTGGTTCCTTCTTCTGCTGTCTGCGACAAATACGCTGCCAAATCGCTGGCGGCGCTACCGGTAGCCGGATCTTCTAAGGGACCCTCGATCATCCTCGTCCTTAGCTTCGTCACGCCATCGTCGCTCCTTCCCGCCCGAACAAAGAAATATGTTCCAATGAATGTCTCGTCCCAGCCCTGATCCAGGCCCTCGACGGAGAGAGACTGGCCAGCTAGCGATACCATGCTCAGTGCCTCTTCGGATTCCAGTTCGACCAGAACGAATGTCATGCCCTTGACTATCGAGACGATGGCATGGTCATCTTTGACTTTAACTTTGCCTTGCTGATGGGCTTCAGCCAATCGCGGCTGGAGAGCGAACAATTCGTCCTTGGTATACCTCTTATTGTGGATATGACTGCGCTGATTAGCTTCGATATACACACATCTGCAGCACCCCAGGTCGCCGGACCGCTCTCAGACCGTGGGTCTGGAACGCCCCGAACTAACCATCGTGATGCAGACGCTCTAGACAGGCCGAGGAAGGACAATATCAAATGTAGGAACATACACGTCATGAGGGATCGAAGCCTTCGCCGTCTTCTTGCCGCAATCGTACCGCAACCCAACACGCCCAGCTTTCAGGTTGAAACTCGCTTCCATGACACCGCTGCTGACGCCACGCTCCCGAGCCGTCCTTCCCAAGACATAGCAGGCCGTGCCCACAGTAGGGTGTCCGGCGAACGGCAGTTCTCGCGAGGTCATGAAGATGTCGACGGTCCATTGGTCCTCTGCCGCACCATCTGCGTGTTCGTGCAAGAAGGTCGTCTCCGATAGGTTGAACTCTCGCGCGATTGTTTGCTTTTGTTCCTGGTTTAGGGTCCGGCCAGGCGGGATGCGCACAATGGCCAGCGGGTTTCCGCCGTATGGCTGCGAGGTGAAGACATCCACGGTCACGAAGTCGAGCTGCGAGGAAGATGCCATGGTCAAAGTATCCGAAATGACAGATTGATGGTTGGTATTCAGCATTGCTCTGGCTTTGTAAATACGTGGGTGAGATGACTCATCAATGAACCTGCATGCTCCACCGCAGGATTTCGCTACCACGCCCTACATGTCACATAGATTTTACGTTTCAATCCATTCTATATAATTTCAAATCCCTCTCGCCGTGTGTATTCGCCGTTCATTCTGATGGAGGTCTTGCTGCAGCTCAAAAGGATGGTACCGAGGACAGCCCGCCAAGCATACCGAGGTTGTGCATCTAGAAGGCTACATGAAGGCGCGATGTACGCATGGCGTCTGTATCTGTCATGTTCGGGAGCACAGTCCTTTGCATCGGTCTTGGCAGTATTTTCTATCTCCGAACGTGAGGCTGCGGTCGTGAGGCTGTGCAGTCGTTGCGCGAACACCATCCAAGGATCACTAGCCCGCCGTTACGTGTCCTTCCGGCTTACCCGAAGAAGTACCTGAGGCCTGGCTGAAAGTACTGTAAGGTCAACCCTACCTTATGCGTGCTATGATACAACAATGTACCTGGCTATAGTAGCATCTCTAAGCTGTCATGTCAGGAGGTTTGAAGTTACCGCATGGGGTAATGAGAAAGCTGAGATGTGGTACTTCCCTCGGCGACTACGCACTAGCTGTTCGCGCGACGACCGTGTCACGGAGAACAGCGAGAGTGGAAACCTCCGCAGGAAACCTGATGAGATGATCGCAGTCTTGCAGTTGAACCAAACTTGAGAACACCAGAGTGGCTTGCATCTTCGATCCCAGATCAGAGGTCGACTACGCCACCAGGAGAAGGCATGACAACATGGCTGGCCATAGCAAGGGACTGATTTGAAATCTCATGCCCTGTTTGCTTCAGCTGCCCCCCGTGTGCGTGGCGGCGTGAAGTCGATCTTCAATGCGCATGAATGTTCTTGCAACGATGGTGTTGCTTCCCAAAGGGGAAGCAATTTTGGGCCGCAACGAATGAGACACTGCAACGTTAGGTGTGGGGACGAAACGGGGGATGCTGGCCACGCTCTGCCCAGGTGCGAGCAGATCGACGCGGAGATTATTTTCAACGGTCTTTATCGATTTGTACAAACGCATCCTGGCATCGTTGTGCTAGCTGCGTTTGTTCCTGCGCGGCTGTGGGTTGTTGAGAAGAACCACCGGCGTTTGTACCCGCGGCTGACTGGCCTGTGAGGATTATTGTCACACGGTATGGCGTCAAGGCCAGCGAAAAGGGACCAATAGCTCGTCAATCTGGCGATGTGCAGTACAATCGCACAGCTTCGATCGATGAAATGAGATAATTTCGGCTCGTGCAACGATCGAGTTGCCCTCGGTCTTGCAGTGTGTGGTCTGCAAGCGAGAAGGAGCACTGGTGATAGGACAGGAGTCAGGACGATCCTTCGCGTTACCTTTACCAGTCCGATCTCCAACGCGTACATGCTGCTGCACCGCGGCCCAAGGCCATGAGCATGCAGTCTATACTTGTTGGTACCTTAGGTATACTCGAGGGGCCTCAATCACATGCATCGGAAACTGTCCGACGGCAGCGGGCGAGACTTCCACCCATCTCCTAAATCATAGTGTGCGGAAGCAAGATTTTGACATGTCAAGCGCGTCGCGTTGTTTGTTGACATGCGATAGCAGACGCTGTTATGATGCTTTTTGTTATATGAGCAATCTTTTATCGGAGCTGCAAACACCCCACTCGGCTGCAGGGTTGCACAACGGGGGCAGGGGCCGTGAGCGGTGATAAGTTCGCATGGCTGCAGCTCCGAGTCTGCAAGGTACATCGCGTTTGCGAATGTGCTGGCTCCAGGGTATGGGTCGTGAATCTAGGCTACAAGAGTCAAGTTCAGAGGTTTCATCGTCTACGGGCCTGCAGCGCCGCAATCCTTATCGCTACACATTGCCACAAAATTGTCGAGATGACGCGGATCATGAGGAATTGGGTAAGGTTCGCAAGTGGCCAACTTTGCCATGTTTCTGTGCCATATTGACGTGCCTGAAGATAGGGTTTTTGCATTGAGAGGTCAAAATGCCGATGCAGGCCCAACCCTGTGCTCTGACAGTCGCAGCTACCGCGATGTCCTTATTGGTAGTGCGGAAGAATCGAAAATGGGGTTGCATGTGCATGTGCATTCTGCAAGGTCCAAGTGCTCTCTCGAGGGGACATGCATCGGCACCCAGGATGATGCGGTCGAGTCCCAAGTGGAGACTGCATGTAGAAAGACTAGCCTTTGTCGTCGGTGAATTGAGTTAGGGCGGCGCAGAGTTCGCGTGCGGTTGGGCAGACGTAACACGATTCAGAAGCCACCAAAGCAGACCTTGGAATGTCGACAGCGGCGGACCCTTTGCGGCCAGGATCAGCCTGTGCCACAAGTGCAGGCTGTGGGTTGCTTCTGGTTCTTCTCCATGTTTTGGTTCGACCATGGTACTGCTGTTGGCGCCCTGAGAGTGACGTCTCAGGGTCCTCAGGGGACGCCCGGAGATGCACGTCGTACCAGCGCGACTGTGTATAGCGCGAGGCAATGATTGGGATCATTGGGAGCAGCTGTGCCTGACTCGGGGCGGGGTCGGCAGCAAGCCTGACGCACTCGAGCTGAAAGGCGTTGCTGTGAGTGAGATAGCTAGGCCGTCTTGGTCGTGGTTCTCGGGGAAGCTGGAAGCCCCTGTCACTGACGCCACTCATGCAAGTGCGAAAGCGACCATCACGGGCCCTCACTCAGGGATCATGAGAAGAAGCGTTGACTAGAGCAAACGCAAAACCCTTTCTGTATACCTACCCGACGTCTGCCCGTTCCAGCCCTCTGCGATCGTCTGCTCCTCATAACCCCGTCCTACACCACCACTGCCACTTGACCCTGCACCGCTGTGTTTGTCCTTCTTTTTTGCTTACCGTGCTCATAACCGCCCTGCCCCGTCGCACATTGCAACGCCAGCCACACTGGACATTCCACCATCAACCTTGCCTGGAGCGACTCGACGTGGATTCACCAAGAGCCGTGTTACCAGCTGCCTGCACTTCCGCATTGTCTGTAGTGCTTGATACCTTGCCTCTCCGGTCGCGCCTTCCTTTCTTCTCGTCAAAGCTACGACCACCCCACCAAACCCCACGCGCCGCCCGCTAGCCCTACTTCCCCCGGGCCGCCTTTTCTCCTCGTCAACACCCTCAACTCCAACCTCGCTTTCGCTTCTCGGGGATCGCATTCCGTTCGTTGCTTTTCTGCGATACGCGCAACTCTAGCGCTGCGCCATCGCCGGAACCATTCGCCGCACTTTTCACGTGCTCTTCAAAATGGCATCAAATCATTCCCGGAGCGCGTCGGACGAGAACCACAACTCAATGGCATACATTCTCGAACACGTATTACAGTACCCTGGCAGCTACGACATCCCTCTGAAGACCATGTACGAGCTCAACCGCGTGGACCGCGCCCAACCCATCCCCAAAGGCTATGCCAAGTCTGGCAACACATCACCAGTTTCCAGCTCATTCGCATGGAACACGACAGAAGCCGCAACCATGAGCTTCACCTCGTCGTTGATGAACCAGCTCAAAGCGTTACCCACACGGACCAGCGCACTGCCACCCGCCTTTATCGTAAACTTTGTTACCCGCACCTTCATGCCCGAGCCAGCTGATGTCGACTGGAGCCAAGCTTTGACTGCGCTCGACTACCTGAAGGACCTAGAGACGCGACGACGCAGGGAGATGGCTACCACGTTCGAGGCCCTCGACGTCCACAGGGACACATGGGACGCCGACATGGCCCGTGTCGCTGAAAAGGCACCTGGCATCGCACTCTGGATTAACAACCTCGAAGGCAAGAACCGGAAAGCTGAGTCGTACTATGCTCAGCTATGGGTCGGGCTCCGCCGATGGGTACGTTATCTGACTTCCTTCTCACGTGATGTCAACTGACATTGTCTGGCAGATCATGATCAACCATCTCTCTGACGAAGAGTTCAACAAGCTCAACTGCATTAGCTACCTCAACACCCTCTTTCCTCCTGTACATGCCCAGACCAAGCTTCCCTCGCAGTTCCTGAACCACGAAGCTCTGAAAGAAGAACGCCAGATCTTCTTCGAACTGATTAGCCAGGTGCAGAGGAGAGGACCCGATGTCTTACTTCCTCTCATCAACCGGGACAAGCGCCCGGAAGATCAGACTGGCTGGCCCACTGTCCAGAGGATCGTCGACAAGTACCTTCGTGTCGCGCAGAACATGATTCAAGACTGCATCGCTACCCACGGCCCAGAGTCGTTTGATCGCTACATGAACGGACCTGGAAAGGAGAAGAAGCATGACTCCGGTGTCAGTTTTGGTTCCGAGCGCCGGCCCAGCGTACAATCTAGCGTGCACGAGAAGCAGGCGCCCGAGCCCATGCTGAGCTACACCCCGTCCATCAAGGGTCTCAGCAAGCTTGAGAGGATTACTCGCGAGTTCAAGCGCATGCGAGTCAAGCCCCGGCCTGAAGTCGAAGAGATAACGCAATTCAATCAGCGGGCCGCCGCTGACCACATTCCCCAGACCGGGGCGAATGCTGGAAAGAAGTCGCTCAAAAAGGCCCGATCGCTCGCCAGTCTCAAGTTCGGCAACGGCAGCTCGGCGTCACTGGCTAGCAGAAAGGGCAGCGATGCTCTGGCATTCGACGCAGACGAGATGAAGAAGCATCGCGCGATATACGAGGCTTCGGTCAGCAAGAACACCCACGCGCATGCGTAGACGGCGGAGCAGCTGTTCACGACGGCCTTTACGACTTCACGACGACTCGTATCTTCACCACGAGTCAATGTAGTATGTTCACATGCGCTCACGAATCCACGGCTCATACCGCACTATTCGGACCGATTGGCAACGCGATGCCTAGACAACATGGAGACCTGGCATCGCCGCAAAAGCATGCAGGCGTTCCGAGTCGTTTTATTAGAGTACCCCATTGTTTTCTTTTCTGGCACCGCGAAGATGTCCCGACGTCTCGCTGCCGCTTTCAGTTGTATGACCTTTCTTAGCGGGCGTTGTCAGAAGCAATACCTTCGCAGGTCAAAATTTTTATTTCCATGTTAGTACATTCAGCTCATGTGATCTATGACGGATACAGCATGGCGTTCAGGAAACCGGGTGCATGGCAAATGGCGTACTACAACGAATTGTTTTTGGAAGCATGTTTCTTTTCCTCGGCTGTACATACGAAAAGGCACGCGACTGCGTTGCTGCGGAACACGCATCAATATCCGAGATACTTAGTGTAATTGTGTCGTCTCAGACATGGACGAGTAATGGATAATACACACACACATCACAATCAGCTTGTTTGAGCATGGCGCGTATATCGCATTCGTGTTATTGGCGGCCTTGCCATCAGGTGAGGAGCAGAGCCGCGCAGGAACGAGGCTGCCGTTGCTGACCTTCCGTATTGAACCTCATGGTTTCACGCAAAGGACTGCCTTGCCCTCGCGTAGACGTCGCAGTATGGGATTAGCAAAGTTTGTTTTGCAAAATCAATGGACCTCGACTCAGGACCCTGGCGTACGTAAACTTTGTTTTTAATCACATTGCCCACTGAGCCCGCAGCTGTTCCCACATGCGTCTGCAAGCACAACAACAACAAGGTAAGTCGCCCCCGCCACGCCTTGCCGCATGCAGCCCGGGTTCGGGTGCCCGTTGCAACGTCAGTGGACAGGACATGGAATCCTTCACGTGCATTTTCGGCGGGCAGGCGAAAATGCACTCGCATCACATCCCCCCGGCTTGGAAGGGCCCCGAAGCTAACCGTCCACGCAAGATCAGCACCCGATATGGCAACACGCATACCGAACGCGGGCCCGACTTCTGACGACGCCCGCCATGCCGGCCGCCCGTCACCTGCGCACGCGTCTGACGCGCCTGAAGCAGCCTCATCCGCGACGCGTGTAGCCAAACCCTGTCCCCGTCCCCGTCCGACGTCCCCCGTCGCCGCCGCACCGCCCAGACGTACCTTCTTCGACCCCTGGAATAGCTCCGGTACAGGCCATCAGCGCGCTGAGAATCGCCTCGGAGGCTCCACTTCATGGCGCGCCTCACGGAGCCTCAAGCTGGGCGAGCAGTTCAGGGCTGGCAGGCAGGGTGGCAAGAGAGTCGCGGATACAGTGGGTGCAGGGAGTGAGGACTTTGGCAAGGATGGCCGCAAGGACAATGGCAGCTGGGAGAAGGGCGCGAAAGGTCTGAGGACCGGCGGACAGAAGAGCCTGGCCGAGCTATGGGCTGCCAGCAAGGCGGGCAGCAGCAGAAAGCCGTCACAGGAGAAGGATATCGGCATTGCGGATGTCTCTAAACATGCGCCAGACGTGGGGACAGACTCAGACACGCACCCCCAGAGTGACGTCTCTTCAGCCTCGTCAAAGCTTTCCGAAAAGCAGATATTCACCGGCCTCTGTTTCTACCTCAACGGCTCCACCGCCCCTCTAGTCTCAGACCACAAACTCAAGCAACTCTGCGCTGCCCACGGCGCTAGCCACTCGATATCTCTCGGCCGCCGAACCGTAACGCACGTCATACTTGGCCGTGTAAACTGCATTGGCAGTGGAGGTGGTGCAGGCGGCGGCCTCGCAGCAAGCAAGATCCAGAAGGAGATTACTCGTACAGGTGGCAAGACTGTCAAGTTCATCAATGCGGAATGGTAAGCGGACAGCAAAGTAAGCCTTTGGGCTTGCGCATCTCCCGTCCATCACAGCTTGTCCGGTTGTTTCACACGGGATTGCGCATGTGATCAGGGTTTATGCACAACATATACATCCGCTGTGTCAAGACATTGTTTAAGACGTCGACTGGCTAACACGTTGAACAGGGTTTTAGACAGCATCAAAGCCGGGCGCCGCCTCCCAGAGTCTCGCTATTCGCCGCTAAAACTAGCGCACCAGTCTCAAAGTAGCGTACTGGATATGATGCGCATTGGTGCTACGAGTTCGAAGCAGCAGCAAGAGCAGCAGCAGGGATGAGAACCCAACCTCGCTTTCCCTTGTCACCAGCAACCACGCAACTCTCGCCGGATCGACGACATATTACCCCGTTGAGCACTCGCCTAACATGTGTATACCTGGACTCATCCATTGATACATACAACTATACCCACATCCCAAAACGGTAAAAAGCGTGTCCGAAGACCCTTGAAACACGCCTACCATACAACAAACCTTCCCTTTTCCAGCGTCAAAAAACGCGCATCATTCACATGATAGTGCTAATGTACATGCCACGCGAGTCTACACCGGCCGGTGTAGATCCACTTTACAGCTGCAGCAACTGAAACGTTGTCTGTGGGGAAGTTCGTCCGGGACCCGCGTTCGCGCATTCGTCGATCAATCAACATGTTTTTGCTTTCGAACAAACCGCCAACGCTGTCGTGAAGACCCTGGACCCTTGGAAACTCTAAGTTGCGTGATAACGTGGCGCGATTTTTTGGGCTAGTCAGTTCGTTAGGGTTGCGTTCGGCTTGCGCTATACCTGCCGTGGATTTTCCGTGGGAGGCATCGCTGATATGCTGAGTTGTTACGTTTGATAGATTGTTATCTTGATTCTGATGGAGGAGTAGATAGCTAGAAATTGGCTCATTCAGTGCTAGCGCAATTTACTCCATTAACATCCTCCATACCTACACCCATACAATCAAGTGTAGACAACGACACCAAAAACCTGTTCTACCAAACTCTCCGGCTCACGTTGCAACCGAACAACATCAGGCAGGCCAGCCGAACAGTCTACTCCCTTAACAAACGCAACTATGAACCACTCTAACGCGGAAGCATCCGTCAATAGCGCAAAAGCAGGCATCCGTCGATGTCAACGCTGGCTGGCGCGACCGCTGCTGGCTGCAAACAGCACTGGCGTGAACTCTCTCTGTTCTATCCATCCGTCAGTCAATCAGATGTCATGTCGCATCAACGCCAACGCCAACGTCAACGCCAGCGTCAGAACGTAACCTCCCCCACCTAAACATTCTAGCTCCCACGCCTCGTTTCGGCCTTGATGGAACCTCGGGAAAAATACTTGGGTAACCAAAGTTTTCCCGCTCGTTTCGAACCAAAGTCGCTTGCAAAGGTAATCAAGATTGAGTGGTTGGTTTGGCCGGTTCAACGACTGTTCGCTGAACCTAGGTTCGATGTGGTAGTGCGTGCGCGTGGCCGTGGTGGGATAAGCCGCGCAAGGGCAGCGTCGAAGGTAAGTGCTGAATTGGATTGGACCCTGGATGGATGGATGGATGGATGGATGCGCCATGTTTGGCAGGTGCAGGTAAGTTCCGCGTGTCGTTCGCCCGTTGTTTATCGTTTCATGAGGCGTGTTTCGTGCCTGGCGTGACTCGTTACGAGAATGGGTGTATGGTTCCGTGGGGGGGGACTATTGTTACGGGTTTACTCTGTGCTGACCTGGCTATGATGGAAAGGGGTGGTGGCTATTACTTCACTTTCTGTAACAAAGAGCTGCGGATGTAATGTTTGCCGATGGTGAGTGATGAGATTACTAGTGTCTCTTGCCCGAGCAGTCGCAGCGCTAGGGTAGTGTGTTGTGATACTTTAGTTGGAGGCGTTGGAGACATAGAGTTCGGTTCGCCGGATTACTTTCATTCCGTCTTGAGATGACGATGGTGATGGTGGTAGGTTTGATGTGATGTGCAGTAGTAGGAACAGGATGGCGGGTATCGGGAGAGATGTCAGAGGCGAACTTGGTGAAAGTCGGCGATATCCCTAACTCTGCACAAGGCGATATTGTTCGTTGTGATCTTATCCGTAAATGGTGCAGTTGATCGTAGGAAGTAAACAACGCATTGCACGTCGTATTTGTTAGCCGTAAAGAATTGAGAGTGATGAAATAAATTTCAGAATTTGACAGGTGAGGAATCAGTATAAGATAAGGCGAAAGCAGATGCTCAACACATTCTTGAGATGCATACTGGGACTTAAACCCGGATACATTGTGCAAAGAAACAAGAAGACGGGTATCAAGTCAAAATGTGTATAGACACTCAGGCGTATAAGATAGAAATCGTGCATGTTACATTGTTAAATTCCCTGGATTGATATAGAACGAAGCTACATATCGAGACACCATAAAGTAGACATGATATGACGAACCATATACGTGTCGTATGCCTTGAAAACGCCATAAGCCCACCGGTATCACTATCCCATAAACGCCCTTTTCGCGCAAACTCCGATGCTGCCTCCCCTTCTCATCATGCTCTAACCAGCAGTCCTCGGCTTAGCCTTGGCCTGCTTCTTTGCCTTCGCATCAGCCTTCTGCTTCTTCTTCTTCTCTTCGAGCTTCTCCTCTGCCTTGCGCTTGAGACTAGCCTTCTCATCAGCGGTCTTCTCAATCGGCTTGAAGAAGCCCTCCAGCCTACTCTGCTGCGCTGTCTTCATGTTCTTCTGTAGCTTGGCTGCTCCGTTGCGCACCCTGTCTTCGTTGAAGTGCTTCTCCTCGACTAGGAACTTGACAAGGCCTTCTACGTCTGGGGCTTCCCACTTGAAGTCACATTCTGGGTCGTCGGCAGGTCGCACGTCGGGCTCGAGGAAGAGGAGGCGCGCATCGGCGAATGGCCAATCGTCGGGGATGGTGAGCTTCTTGGAGGATTGGGATTTGATGTGTTCGACGACGCCTTCGAGGTCGGTATGCTCGCGGATGAGTTTGAGGGCGGTGCTAGGGCCGATGCCTTTGATGGGGTCTAGGTAATCGCAGCCGAGGAGGATGCAGAGGTCGATGAACTGGCAATGGTTAGTTCACCATAGGATGAGGATAAGGGTTGGTTCGTACCTGTTTCCGCTCCATGTTCAGACCTTCAAGCACCTTGTCCAGGTGGATCTCCAGGATGGGCTCTTTGCGCTGCTCGCTAAAGGTCAAGTGTCGCAGCAGGATGGGCGAATCAAAAGTAAGAGTGTCCATGTCCTCTGAAGCAGCAGCGTACACTTTGCCTCCTCTAGCCAGCACAGCACACTGCGCTTCAGCCTCGGTCGGTGCGACAATGTACGGGATGCCCATGAGCTTAAGCAACCGCTGGCACTCCTCGTTGTGCTCCCTCGTGACCCTGACTGTCCGCCGCGAGAACTTCTCGACGTCCTCTGCTGTACCAGTCTCTTTCGCCTCCTCAGCCGCCGCGTGTGCCTCTGTCTTGCGCTGGAAACGCTTTGCGAGCTCGCCGGACTTGAGCTTGGGTGGAGCGCCATCGAAGACGTAGAGGGGCTTGATGCCGTTGTCGACCATGCGCATTGTGCGATAGAAGAGACCCATGAGATGTGATGTGGTTTCGCCCGTCTCGCTCATGAGCTGCTGGCCATCGGAGCGGACCGCGATGAGGAAACTGTAAATGCTCATAGATCTACACAATATTAGATTGGGGAGCCATGGAGGGGTTGATGTGCATACGCATCCTAAATTTGTTAGCGATTGACCGCGTAGGTAAGACGACAGCAGACGTACTATAGCGACTTTGCGTCCAAACTGGTTCTTGATCTCGCCCTTCTTGATTGCCTCTGGCGAATGCTCCTCAATGAGCTGGTAAAGGTGTTTGATACCCATGGCGACTGGTTTCCTCTGATTATTGTACGAGCTTCGAATAGGGTTGAGGTGCTGTTAGCCCAGGGTGTTGTGTGTAGAAGCGTAGGCGACTGCGTGGTGGCTGGAGAAAGTGACGCCAGCGATCGTCACGACGCGTTCGCGTCTCACCGCGCGCAGTCACGGCCTACATTTCTTGGCACTGCTACCCCACATTTTGCCTGTCATCGCTTAGTGAGGCTCTGCATGCGTTCCATGCGATGCATCTCGGATCTGGTATCTGCAACTCGTGATCCCGCCAAATCCTTCAATTGCCGCGTGTCTGGAGTGATGATGCTAGCTTTCTTGCCACCGCGGAGTGCTTCCGAACCGCCTGCCGCGGTTCTTTCAACGGTGGGACTTCCGAGGCCAACTTCATCCAATTACGCAGATTCTCGTGAGAACCCGGGTATAACTGTCACTTTTGTGTAGCTGAGGCCCTTTCTGCATTCCTGATCACACGACTCCAAAATGCTGCGACCAACATACAGACATGCCACCAGGCAATTGCGCACCCCACTCCGGTCTGCGGCTCTCGGTAAACGGTACCTACATGCTCCAGTCAAGTTTGACTGGCAAGACCCATTGAACACAAGCAACCTGTTCACAGAGGAAGAGCAAGCCATCTCAGAGACAGCAGAGTCATATTGCCAAGAGCGTATGCTGCCGAGGGTGCTAGGTACATATACCGTTGTTGGGGAGTCTACAGCCAGCTGACGTTCTTCAGATGCCTACCGCAATGAGAACTTTGACAGAAAGATCATTGAGGAAATGGGTGAGCTTGGACTACTGGGCGCAAGCATCCAGGGCTATGAGTGTGCAGGAGTCAGCAGTGTTGCCGCAGGTCTGATCACCAGAGCTGTGGAGAGAGTCGATTCTGGCTATCGTTCCGGTTACTCGGTCCAAAGCTCACTTGCCATGGGAGGTATCGAGGAGTTTGGATCTGAAGAGCTGAAGGAGCGTCTCCTGCCGAAAATGGCCAAGGGCCAACTCCTAGGTTGCTTTGGTCTGACTGAACCCAACCACGGATCCGATCCAGGCTCTCTGGAGACAACTGCCAAGCCACATCCGACCAAGAAGGGCTACTACTCTCTGTCTGGATCAAAGACGTGGATCACAAACTCGCCCATTGCTGACGTCCTTCTCGTCTGGGCGAAGCTGCAGGAAACGGGCAAGATCCGTGGCTTTGTCATTGAGCGCGACCAATGTCCACCAGGTACTCTCGAGACTCCGCCAATCAAGAACAAGAACGGTCTGCGGGCATCCATTACCGGCATGATCCAGCTTGACGAGTGTCCTGTGTCGGAAGCCAACATGTTCCCAGAGGTCGAGGGTTTGAAGGGACCCTTCAGTTGTCTCAACTCGGCCAGATATGGCATTGCCTGGGGTACGATCGGTGCTCTCGAGGACTGCATTGCGAGAACCCGCGAGTACGCCCTCGAGAGGAAACAGTTCAAGAACAACCCGATTGCCAAGTACCAGCTTGTGCAGAAGAAGCTGGCCGACGCAACGACGGATGCTGCATACGGTATTCTTGCTGCCCACCAAGTCGGAAGGCTCAAGGACGAGGGCAAAGCTGCACCTGAGATGATCTCTATGATCAAGAGACAGAACTGCGACCGAGCCCTGATCAATGCGCGAACGTAAGTAGCACCAAGCGCTTGAACGAAAAGTGCTGACTGTGAGCAGACTGCAAGAAGTGTTTGGTGGAAACGCAGTATCCGATGAGTACGGGATCGGAAGACATGTTGCCAACTTGTTTGTGACGCAGACATATGAGGGCCAGAGCGACATCCACTGTGAGTATCATCGAAACGTGTCTCGACTCTGACTAACTCTTATCAGCTTTGATCCTTGGTCGCGCAATCACGGGTCTGCAAGCATTCTGCTAATGGTGAGATATACTCAGGTTGTTGCTGTACCACCAACAAGAATACATAGAAGCGCAACCAATCACAAGCAACATGTCAGCTGTAGGCGCCTAGCAGTGGTACGCATGCAGGCAATGTTTATTTAGAAGTAAATGCATATCAAACCCAGCGACTCTTGCCTCGAACGCGGCAAGTATCACATCTGATTGCTCGTATCCACAGTGCCGTTCGCCACCCGAGTAAAGGCCTCGCTATCGCCTAATGTCTGGTGACTAAGTCAAGTTAGAAGCAGGCGTGAATGTCCATGTCAGCCTTGACACATCTTCTCCAGGCTTCGATAGGTCGCCACGCAGCGCGGTTGCTGGGTAGAAACGCTCGGTGGAAATGTGGGCAGCGACAGTTGGGCGGTCAGCTTTGTCTCGCCTCTTGCGGTTGGCTCCTCACACATGATAAATACAAACGCCCCTGCTCCAGCCCCATAGTGCAAAACAGCGTGCTTCTACAGCGTGACCGTCTTTGTCTTCCCACAGAGTCAGAGGTGAGTGAGTTAAAGAGTGGCGGATGAGCTTTCCGCGCTGACACGCCGCACTTACTTTCTTTGGATCCCCGCCGCTAACTAACCGCCTTGCCTGCGCAGACATCCCACTTCAACTCTTCAACACCAACTCGCTCGACCCCAACACCCGCGATACCCGTCACCACCACTCCACACACCACACATACACACAGCAGCCATGGCTCTCAAGCGCATTAACAAGGAGTTGACTGATCTCGGCCGGTACGTGACCTATCTCCCTGCCCTCGTGGCTGGCGGCGAGGCTCGCTCTTTTGCTTGCATGGCCACGACCGGATGCGGGGCCCTCGAACAAGGCCGCAACGCCTTGGCCCCGCGAAAACACGACGAGAAGAACATTTAGCTGACATGTTACCTCTAGTGACCCTCCCTCTTCCTGTTCAGCTGGCCCCATTGGAGATGATCTGGTACGTCACTCTTCGTGAAGACAGCCACGCGGCTGAGGCGCTTGCCAATACGCCCGTGGGCGAACGAAAACCACACCGGACATGATACTGACAACACACAGTTTCACTGGCAAGCAACCATCATGGGTCCCGGCGACTCACCATATTCCGGCGGTGTCTTCTTCCTAGCAATCCACTTCCCAACCGACTACCCCTTCAAGCCCCCGAAGGTCAACTTCACCACCCGCATCTACCACCCCAACATCAACTCCAACGGCAGCATCTGCTTGGACATTCTGCGAGACCAATGGAGCCCTGCTCTGACCATCTCAAAGGGTGCGTCTACCCAATTCTTTTGACAAGCAGAATCTATACTAACAACTCACAGTGCTGCTGAGTATCTGCTCGATGCTGACAGACCCGAACCCTGACGACCCGCTCGTCCCCGAGATCGCACACGTCTACAAGACCGACCGGTCCCGCTACGAATCGACGGCGCGCGAGTGGACCCGAAAGTACGCCATCTAGGTCCTCGAAGCGCACAAAGGGCGTCAAGACTGGTGCGGCGGAGAGCGTGTCTTTTGTCGTTAGCATCTGCGAAAGGGAGGCTAGGATGATGGTTAGGGGCAGACTTTCATGGGCATGGTAGTGACTGATGGGGTTTTTACACTTGTACTACGGCGTGCATGCTGGACTGGGGTTCATAGCATCTGGCTATTATCACTCTTAAGCAGAACAGGCTCGATTTCTTCTCTGACGTTCTTTCTGAGTCGCGTGCTTGTTTTGTGACGGGGTTGAGGCGTATTGCTCTAACCACTGCAGACACGCGTGTGAGAAGATTGCTGCATGTGATGATATTTTTACAACATTGGTAAGCGACTAGGCCTTCTTCGCCTCGCCTTGTCCGTCCACACTATCTTTACTTGTCTGCGGATCCTCCACTACCGGCATACCCAGGATAGAAGACATGGTATCACCATAGTCTAATATCGACGTGTTCTGCGCTTCTTCCTTCAACCGCTGAGTCTTCTCCTCGGCGAGCTTCTTCCATTCCCTATCCCGCTCTTCTTTGGCCAATAGTAGCCTAGTCTCTTCTTCTTTCATCTTTTCCAGTGTTTCCTCGTCCACATCCTCTTCCATAAACTCCTTCGGCGCCTCTTCGTCTACAGCGTCTCCCCCACTCTCTTTCGCCAATTGCCATCCACCCTCTCTGACCTCCTTTGCCAGTTTCGCAAGGTCCCTTTGTTCCCTTTCCACCCACTCGCGACCATAGTTTTGTAGTTTCCTGCGACGTTCGAGTTGCAGCATGTACGACGTGCCTACGAGAGGGCAGAGTATGGATGCTCGCTTGTTGAATTTCATGTCGAGGAGGAGGTGGTGGTGGAGATCGCGGAGGGTAGCTTGGACGTGCTTGATGGCTATGCCTTTGCGGCCGAGGTCGTTGGTTTCGTCGGCGGGGTCGCGGAGGGAGAGCATGTACGAGGGGAGAGGCTGGGTTTCTCCGCTCTGCGTGGTGGTTAGCATGATGCATGATGTAAAGGGGGGAGATGGGTGAGTTTATACCTTTAACTTGGCTCTCTGCGTATCGGTGAGGACAGGATGTTTGGCTTTGTCAAAGAGGTAAGCTGGTTCGATAGACACACCGTGCTTGGTCGTGTCGAAGTTGCCCCAGAAGTCGAGGAAGTGGAGAAGGGCACGCGCAGAGTCTTTTGGTGGCTTTGGTGAATGCTTTATGCTGGCGACTACCATCATGAAGAGCGAGTAGGAGCCAAAACCGCCCCGGAACACGTCCGACAGACCTCGTATATCGAACATGGTCTTGATCACCCAGTACAGCTCCTGTAGATAGGATATCTTTTCCATATACTCCTGCATGGTGACCCTCGATATGGATGTATCGTTCGCGAGCACAACCTGGACATCCAAGCCCGATTTGCGGTCCTGTGCAGCGATGAGAGGATAGCGCGCGTGACGAATCGCGGCCAGTATGTACGCTCCGTTCTTATTAAATGTTTTCCAATACAAATGCCTCAAAATATTTGTGCCCTTTTTCCGCTCTTTCGCATCTGGCGGGAGTTTTGCCTGCGCAGGGTTTGACGGTTGCGACTTCAATACGAGCCTGAAGTCCAAGTCTGACAAGGGCATAGCGATACCAGTCCGCTCGGAGCCGAATAATTCGATGTTGTATTTTGGAAGGCATTGTTTGACTTGTCTTTGCACCTGTTCGATGATGTGCTTCCGGGCGGCCGTTTCGTATCGATCGGGTTTTGTGTATTTGTAGAATCTCACGATTTCGGAATGCAGACTGGACCTCGACTTAGCATGGCATTACGAGTGTAAGAATCGCTTTGGGGATGTACCGATCCATGCCTGTCATTGTTGGTTCTCCCTCCATGTTCACACACCATGGGAGCGCACTTTCTCTGATGGGCTTCCCGCCTACGATGGGCCGCACAACTACGCCCTGGTAATCTTGTGACTTTGCGAACGCGTCTCTTGCAATTGCTAGCTGGTCCTGGGATTCGACATTCGAGGTATCTGGATTTGTCCGCTTCAGGTGCTTATTCTTAGCGATCGAAACCTCGGCCTTGCTGGACAGCCAGCGCCCTTTGACCGTGGTCATTTTCCTCACGGGCAATTGCCCTGACTTTGCATTCGACGTTTCTGCCGCATTTTCCGTGACTATTTCGGTATCTTGGGGATCGCGCGCCCGAGAACTATCGCCCTTGCTACTTGAGTTCGCGCGATCTTGTGCAGCTTCTGTCGCAGTAGAAAGTTGGCGCCGGTCGCGGGGTCCTGGCGAGCCAGGTTGGACAAAGTGCTGCCATAGCGCAATTGACGGATTGAAGCGGTTATGGGCGCGACATATGAGCCGGGTGCGCGAGAGTTGCATTAGGCCCGGAGAGATAACGACGACTCGCAATGCGGCAAGGTGGTGTTTGTGCTCACTCTACACGAATCTTCTGCATGCATCTTCGCGTGCACCATGCCAAGCATCTAGTCCGCTTTGGGCCGACGAGTCGACGGCGGAGAATACCAGGCACTCCCGCGGGCATGCTGCATTACAAGTCGCTCTCGTATGCACCCAGCCGTTGGACACTTTTATCGTTAGCCCTGCATCTGCCATGTCCCATGATATGTGAAGGGCATTTGTGAAAGCGGCCAGACTGCCCCCAATACCCCACAGGCACTGCAGAGGCCCCAAGGCGTCTCCGTCGGTCCACTTGCAGCACTTGCGCCGGCCCACACCCTCATCCGATATGAAAGCTGCCTGACATCATATTGACATGCCCAACAAAACTTCGCAGAGCGGTCAGCGAGCGGAGCGTGTGCAGGCACGAGGAGTCGGTGATGGCGCGCTGCTGTCCTGGATGCCTTGCTTGCAGCAGAGACAGTGAGGCCCGAGCTGGTCGGTTCCAACGTCACAGCTATGGTTAGTGGGGCGTTGAACCATCCCACCACGGCCAGCTTTTCTTCCCTCATTACCCTCGTCGACCTTCTGTGAGCTTCTCGACACACGTGGTGTCTTCTCCCTGATTTCCTTCTCACACCACCCTTCGTTTGAGACCCCTAAAATACCCTCGTTCCGTGACAGCCCCCAGCGCAGACCCATTGCGGAGCTCTTTCCTGTGAGACTTCTCCAAGACAGCGACTCAAGGCCCAGGTAATTCACATTTCATAACTATTTTTAGTCGCGCCTCACCACTGCATACGCATATACATTGCACTTGCCTGTCTATCACTCGGCAAATTTCTCACCTGTTATCCTCACCCCTCGCATCCTCTCGCCTGCAAGTATCTGACAGTTCCATGCAGAGCACCGCCTACGCTTACATTCACCATGGCCCCTCCCACAGATGAGAAGCCCCAGAGGCCTCCGCTCGACTCCCAAGAAAGCACACATCCCGCACTAAACCCCGCCATTACCAGCGTGCCCGTCACACCCGGCGTACATCTCTCCGGCAAAACTGCCTACTTCGATGAGTCCACTGCCGAGAAGACGAACAACCTTCCCTTCGATCCCGAGACTGCCACACCCGGCCCCCAATGGAGCGCCAACTCATACTTCTCTGGCCAGCAAAAAGAGGGCCAGGCTAGCACTCAGACTGAACGGGCAGCCGGCGCACAGACTGATGGAGATGTCAAGAGCAAAACGAGCGAAGTATCCAATTCGAATGCTCAGCCTGATCTTGCAGACGTAGATCCTCGCGCTGCACACCCTGGTTTGAACCTCAGCGGTCGCGTTATCAGTGCGACCTTTGCCATACCGTATTCAATTGGTTACTCGCAGGGCAACGACTGGGAACTTAACCCGCGACGCGGAACCTCGGCCCTTTTCGACTCCTTCTCTTACCTGGCTTCTAGCTCTTCTCCGTGGAACCACGTGCTCGTAGGCTGGACTGGTGAGATCGCGCACGCAAAGACAGCATCCGTCACAGCTACGCAAGCGCCCACGAACAAGGCTGCCGCACCCATTCCCGTCGATCCGAAGAAACCGACACAAGTTCCCCAAGCTCCAAACAGTTTCCGGATAGGCCCTGACGACCGAGCAAGATTGGATAAACAGCTCGAACGCGATCACGGAGGCAGAATCGTGCCAGTGTGGCTTGTCGACGAGGTGGATGATGGCAAAGATGAATACATCCTGAAGAACCAGAGCCATTGGAGGACATATGCCGAGCACGAGCTCTACACCCTGTTCCACTACAAGCAGAATGAGCCAGCTGATGGGCGCGCTGCCCGGAAATCATGGGCCGACTACTATCGCATGAACAAGCTTTTCGCAGACAGAATCCTCGAGGTTTACAAGCCAGGCGACATCGTCATGGTACATGACTTTTACCTAATGCTTTTGCCCAGTCTCCTTCGCCAACGTCTGCCCAACATCTACATTGGCTTCTACCTGCATATCCCCTTCCCGAGTAGCGAGTTCTACCGCTGCCTGAGCAGACGGAAAGAGATCCTGGAGGGCGTGTTGGGTGCCAACATGATCGGCTTCCAGTCATACAGCTACTCGCGGCACTTTTCGTCTTGCTGTACTAGGATACTAGGTTTCGATTCGTCCTCAACTGGAGTCGACGCATACGGCGCGCACGTAGCAGTCGATGTGTTCCCTATTGGCATTAATGCAGTTTCCACACAGAAACAGGCCTTTGGCGACCCGGAGATTGACGAAAAACTCAAAGACATTCGCGAGATGTATGCTGGCAAGAAGCTCATTGTTGGTCGTGACAGGCTGGATGCGGTTCGCGGAGTGGTTCAGAAGCTCCAGGCGTTTCAACTCTTCCTTCAGAAGTATCCCGAGTGGGTAGGCAAAGTAGTCCTCATCCAGGTCACGAGTCCCAGCGGAGTCCACACCGACAGAAGCGATGGCGCACAAGAAAAGGTGGTCAACAAGATTTCTGACCTTGCGGCCAAGATCAACGGCACGTACGGAACTCTCGACTTCACGCCGGTTCGTCATTTCCCACAATACCTTTCCCGGGAGGAGTACTTTGCTCTGCTTCGACTGGCAGATATAGGCCTCATCACCAGCGTGCGAGACGGTATGAACACGACAAGTATGGAATACATCATCTGCCAAAAGGAAAACCACGGACCGCTCATTCTTTCGGAGTTCTCTGGTACCGCGAGTTCTTTGCACGACGCAAGCCACATCAACCCCTGGGATATGGGCGGAGTTGCCGATGCAATCAACGACGCTCTGAACCAGAGTGACGAAGTTCGTGCCAACACTCACGCCCAACTCTACAGACACGTTGTAGAAAATAACGTACAGGCTTGGTCGAACAATTACCTAAAACGGTTAATGACGAACCTGTCAGCTTTCGATCAAGCGTTCGCTACGCCAGCACTGGACCGAGCCAAACTGCTCTTCCAATACCGTGAAGCCAAGAAGCGACTCTTCATGTTCGACTACGACGGTACTCTGACACCCATTGTCAAAGACCCGCAAGCAGCTATTCCATCCGATCGTGTCATCCGGACCCTCAAGACCCTGGCAGCGGACCCTGCAAATGCTGTTTGGATCATCAGCGGCAGAGATCAGGCTTTCCTAGACGAATGGATGGGCCACATTCCCGAGCTAGGTCTGAGTGCTGAGCATGGAAGCTTTATAAGGCATCCTCGCAGTCAGGAATGGCACAATCTCACCGAGACGACCGACATGAGCTGGCAGCAGGAGGTTATTGACGTCTTCCAGCACTACACTGAGAGGACCCAAGGTGAGCTTTTACACTGTCAATCGAATGGTCTAGCACTAACATATGATCCAGGTTCATTCATCGAACGCAAGAAGATTGCCCTGACATGGCACTACCGGAGAGCAGATCCCGAATACGGTGCGTTCCAGGCGCGTGAGTGCCAGAAGCATCTCGAGAGGACTGTCGCAAAGAAGCACGACGTCGAGGTCATGACGGGTAAAGCCAATCTTGAAGTTCGCCCGAGGTTCGTGAACAAGGGCGAGATCGCGAAGACGCTTGTAGAGAACTACGGCGAAGGTAGCGGCAATGCGCCTGAGTTTGTTCTCTGCATGGGCGACGACTTCACAGATGAAGGTACGTGTTGCACTTGTGGCTACGCCGTCCAGCCGCTAACATCAACAGACATGTTCCGATCGCTGCGCCAGTCCAAGCTGCCCACTGATCACGTCTTCTCGGTCACGGTTGGCGCCAGCTCGAAGCAGACGCTGGCGAGCTGGCATCTGCTTGAGCCTTCGGATGTCATTTCTGTCATCTCATTGCTGAACGGATCCGCAGATGCAGGCAACGTTGGCGCGATTGCTGTGGTCGATGGCACGGTCCCGGAGTCTCGAGTAATCGCGTGAGGTCATGGTCGGACAATTTCAACTGTAATGGAGCACGGAGCATGGTGAGGCAAGCTATAGATCTACGGTATGCAGCATGGCGATCCCGGAATTTTTTAGGCATCAAGTTTTGGAGAAGCAATCATATCCTGTGTCATGGTGGTTCTCGTTATCCTGCGTGCAAAAGGATCCTATTCTGTGATCGGCCGTGCCGATTGCTACCCGGCGGATGAATTGTGCTGCACGACGATTAGCAATGCGCCCCTGGGACGAGCGTCGGTTGCCAAGGCGGTAGCGTCGGCACGTTCTGGGGTCTCGCCCAAGACCCCTAGTCACCACGTGAGACCCTGACTCGAGAACTGGGCCACCTTGGGATGCGAACTCTGGGAATTCCAAGGTTTTGGAGCCTTCGGAGAGGTTTCCGCGACGGCTATACTTACAGATTGCCCAGCCGTCAAGCAAGTAAGCCGCTACACCCCGCAACAGTGAACAACGATGCCAGCAAGCCGCGCAATGGCGAAAGCAGCCCACGACTCACGAATCCGCGACACGGACGCGATGGCTCTTCTAGGCCTGGTATGTTTTGGCTTTCGACTCTACTAACCCCAAATCATGCAACTTGGGATTCGAGAACTGCCAGTGCATGAAACCTGGAACGCCTAGCAACTGTCCCGCCCCAACAACCTATCCGAGGGAAGGCCCTCCTTCCTCTTAGAACTCGCGTACCGTAGTCGTTAATCCCGTCTTTTACCAGCCATCCGTTCCTTTTTGATCACATCGTTCCCCTCCCGCGCCGCATCTCTACACTCGTTTACCCGCTATCTACCCTCGCATAATCTGAGCACCAATATCACAGGTGTAAAGGGCATTATTATAACATAATTCGAGTACCTGGTCTGACCTCAATCCGATACGGCATCTGCAACAGCGCAACAGGGAACTAGCCGGCGAACACATTGCGACATCACAACCGCGCCGTATCTACGATCCGCCTCTCCTTGGTATTCCTTCTTCGACACAGACACAAACACAATATTCCTCGGCGCACGGCACAACAAACTTCACACAATACACAATGGGTCTCATTGAGAAACTGCAAGCTCGTATGTCTTACCTCGCTTCGTCCCATCTTACCTTAGCCCCGAACCTTCACACCTGCGACAGCAGACTAACAGGAACTCAATACAGGCCTCGAGCTCTACCGCCTCGAACAACGTTACACACGTCGCGAGAAGCGCACTACTTTTATCAGCGAAGCGCAATATGTCGACGGCGAATACGTCTATGCGTCGGCTCCTTCCTCGGCAAACTCCTCCACCACCTCAAGTAGCAAGCGCTTCAGCAAGATGCCTTCTACCATAAGGATAAAGGAACTGAGCCGTATGGGAACTGGACGGTCGTAAACGCTCCTTAGGGGAAGCTGCTCCTGTACCAAGTGGTCGACGACGATGCTTGGATCCCTATCTTGTCGGACCAACAGAGAGAAGACAGCGTCATAGCCTACGGAGGAACACCGTGCGATGCATGACACTTTACACGGCATCGCAGCACACGACGTGTCCAAAGCTTTGAGGACGTCGCACAAGAAAAACATACACCACGCGCAAGCAGAAAGAAAGAGGAGACGAGACGCACCCCGCAAAACACTGCGCGAGCGCAGGATATAATCATTAACGCAACGACATTTACGCCAGAACAACCATAGACGAAGGGAATAACGGACTAAAAGTTTCTTCCATCATGTCAGGTTCTTCATTCTTTACACCCACATTTTCCTTTCTCTTACCATCTATCGAGATTTATAAGTCATGTTTGCGAATAGTTCGAATACCCCATTGGCTTCCAGAATAGACCTGGATATGCATCAATACAAGTTTATATGCAATTGGTTGTGTTGGATGATGTGTCAAGTGAACGTATTGCGGATGAATGGCTGCCAAGATTACCCTGCAGATGCGTAGGGCGTGCGGACCAAACTGCACATGAGAGGGGTTAAGGATGGGAAGGAACGTAGGCGTAAGGCGTATGGGCGCAAGGCGTGTGCAAATAAGGTAGTATATTGCAAATACAGGAGTTGTATATTCACTTCAAGTAATTACAGACACTACTTGTTAGGACAACAGCCTTACGAAAGCAAGACCATTGGGTCATCTTCAAGTACAGTCAACAAATCCTCCTATCGCATTCTTCCATTCAATCTGGTCCACGTGCTGGCAACCAGGGAGATGTCTAACGATCCCATCGAAAGCACACCAGCAACGACTGCCGTTGAACCAAACGACCAAGATTCACCCCCACGAAGCGACGTGGAAGAGAAATGTATCTCACAGCTCCATGAGGACCCTTGCGTACTGCCTTCCAACTTCCCAACCATGGACAAAGGAAGACACGCCTGGCTCTTCCTCACCGCAGCCTTCGCCATCGAATTCTTAACCATCGGTCCGTCCCCTATCAACCTTCCTCAACCACCCCCCATCTCTCTCTAACACACCTCTCTCTACTACGCACTCACCATCCCACAGGCCAATCCTTCTCCTACGGCCGCTTCCAATCCTACTACACCACGCACGCCCCCTTTGCTTCCCAATCCTCCTCCTCTTTCGCCGCTGTAATAGGCGTCCTGAATCAATCTCTAATCCTCGTCTTCCTACCCCCCATCCTGTACCTCGCGCGCCGGAAACCGCACTTCGCACGCTGGATGGCGACAATCGGTCTCTTCGGCTGTGTTGTCTCCAACATAGCTAGTTCCTTCTGCACTAGCATAACGCAGCTCATGTTTACCCAGGGCGTGCTGCAGGGTGTGAGTGGTAAGAGAATTCCCTTTACGAACTGCATATGAGACGTTGACTGATTGCATGCACTCATCTTAGGTAGTGTAGCGTTTTGTCCGCTGTTGGTCTTCGCAGATCAGTGGTTCGATAAGAGGAAAGGATTGGCTTTTGGGGTTATTGGTGCTGGAGGTGGATGCGGAGGGCTAGTTCTGCCTCTCCTGATCAATGCGTTGCTAAACCATGTGGGATATCAGAGTACGATGCGGGTTTTGGCTGGTATAATGTTTGGGGTGGGGATGCCGTTGGCGTGGTTTGTCAGACCGAGACTTCCAATCACAGTAGTCGTGACTGAAGAGAAGAAGTTCTGGAACTGGAAGCTCATTCTTTCAAGGTCTTTCTTGTTACACCAAATTGCTAATCTCATTCAAGGTGCAGGGTACTATCTCCCTGGTATTTACCTCCCTACCTTCACCCGCGAGGTGTTCGGTGCATCAGATTGGTTGTCTACGGTCTCACTCATGTTACTCAATGTATCCGCTATGGTTGGTCTCATCATCATGGGATACATGACCGATCGATTTAACTCGCGAGTCTGCATTGCGGTCTCCGCTACGGGCGCTACGCTCTCTGTCTTCCTTTTCTGGGGCTTGGCTACACAAATCGCTGTTCTATACATCTTCTGCATCTTATTTGGTTTGTTTGCCGGCGGCTTTCCGGCAGCGTGGCCGGCTGTCATGAGGGAGATGGCGAAGAAGGGGGAGGAGAGGGGATTGGGACACGTGGATACTATTCTCATATTCTCGCTGTTTTGCCTTGCCAGGGGAGTTGGAAATATTGTGGCTGGTCCAATGAGTGAAGCGCTTGTTGGTGGCATGCCTTGGAAAGACGAGGCACTTGGGGGCTATGGAAGTGGTTATGGTGGACTTGTTGTCTTCTGTGGGCTGAGTTCCTTGGTTAGTGGGATGAACGCGTTGTGGTATCATCTGATGTAGAGGTTCCCAAATCTGGTAGAGGAAGGAGCATATCTATCTGGACCAATCACGTACACATCCATACAATCTAGAAGAGGTGTAAGATATTGCCCGGCTCGTATAGTATTACGCTTGTGTAACGTACAGTTATACGTCACTCCACCTCAGATACTGTAACGTAGTAGCCACAGATGTCTTCGCAGATGTATCACATATTTAGTAACGTTCCCGCATGACATTCTTTCCGCAATTCTGACCGACCGGACACGTATCCAAAAGAGTCCCATTGTGCGAACTTGCCGATGACGGCCCCGATCCCGCTAGGCTTGCATATGTATAGTGACCTAGCAGTGTAAGGTCACGTAAGCAAGCGAACCGCGCCCTTTGAACACCGATCACTCCACCGAAAAGAAGGTTAAAAAGCAAAAAGCAACATCGGTACTGCAATTGGTGGTGTGCGACTAATCGCGGATGGGCGGACCAGATATGACCTGCATTGCATGGAGCTGCAACGCTAGTAGCAGAGGCAAACCTGTGACCATTGACACCCACGCAGCGACCATGCGAACCGAGGAAGATGGAGGAAATTACTCAAAGTAGAAGATTGTGATGTTGAAGTATATTGCGCTAAATAATAAGGACATTGGCGTAGTTTTGCTATCGAGTACGCTTGTGGCTGGCTGTTTGAGGGGTATCATCCGATCTATAGGTATCTTGCGCAAGTGAATGGGAGTGTCCCCTGATCTCTTCCCTTCTAGGTGGTGACTCCGTTTGTTCGAAAGAAAAGATGAAAGAAACCCAAAGGATGACCAACGCCGAGATAAAAGATGCCCACTACCGTAAAACTCCTGGAAAATAGAAATCCGTGTATAGATATTACCCTCAGAGGGTCTGATGTCGTCAAAGTCGTAACGCTCGAGGCGGCCAAGCGCTCTCAGATAGGGATAGGCGAATACGATGCAGAGCTGTGCACTAAACATTGTCGTAGTCGCTGAGGATGTCCTCTGGATCCTCTGGTGGAAGCATGTCGATAGTGTCGCTTGTGCGCGGGCCGGTGTACTTCTTCCTTGCACCCGCATACCACCAAGCGGTGCTAAACAGGCCGATGAAGGCTGCCACACAGATAGCGTAGTTCATGTTGTCGACCTTGACTGGCTTGACCGTCGGGAAGAACAACACAACACTGATGAAGATGACCCATGTCACTGCAATCGCATTGACCGGCTTGCTCCATCTACCCATTGTATATGGTCCAGGGTGGAAAGTGACAGTGTTCTCGTACCATCGGTGTGCAATGATGACTGCGATGTAACTGATGTCCAAGGCCGGGGCGGTGATGTTGAAGATAGCCGTAATGGTAAGGGTACTTCCGATACCGATTAGGTCGAGGCAGCTGCAGAACAGCACAACAAGCCATACCGCATTGACCGGAGTGTGCGTGTAGGAATTGATCTTGCTCCAGAAACTATGCAAAGTCAGCACCCCTCAATACTAGCGCCGATTGGAGGCGAAAACTCACCCCGAAAATGGGAAGGCTGCGTCGCGGGAAAAGGCCCAAGCCATTCTAGCATTCGCCAACATGGCGGAACAGCCGGTGAAGAATTGGACCAACATGACGAAGAACCACATGATGGTTCCACCTGTTTTGCCGCCGGCGTTGAAGAAGATCTGGGCCACTGGCAGACCGGTCGGCGTCGCCATAATCGCATCGTAGTCTGACATGCAGAAGCAGAAAGTGACGGTTAGCATCCAGCCGACGACGCCAGAGACGAGGATTGCAGCGCGGATCGCTACAGGGCCGCGAATAGCGGCATCGTGTGTCTCTTCCGACATACTGTGTGACGTTGATTAGATTGGCTGATATGCTAAGTTGTAGGGCTGACTTACTGTGTCGTGCCGTCATAATCAGTCATCGTCCATGCAACGGAAAGGAAGCTGGGACTAGTTAGTGTTCTGGTGTTATGCGAGTGTTGATTTGGACCTACCCAAGAAGAAACGAAAAACCCTTGCTTCCCCAGCCCGAGCCGTCCATGACTGTTGTAAACACCCATTGTGGGCTTTGCTTGTTCGGTGTGAGAATGAGAAGAGCGATGCAGATGCAGATTGATGCAATGACTGTTTGCTGTCAGACGGTGCTCAACACAGATCATTCGTGGACGTACTGTTGATAGGGGCGAACCACAAGATGATACGATGAAGCCAATTCGTGGGAAACGAGCATATTGTGCCAAACATGCACAATACGAAGATAGCGAGAAGGACGGTCTGATATGCTTGCCTGCATTGATCGGTAAGCTGCTGCAGGTGATCCAAGTGGGGTGGGTCTTACGGCGTAAAGGCAGACTCTCCATTGTCTAGCGTGTGCATGACAACTGTCGCCAATATCATCTGTGAGATTGTATACGCCAGACTTGCAACGCCAGCGGCTTGACCAAGGAAGTTGCACCAACCGATGATCCACGCCCAGGCTGCGACGTGTTCAGGTGGTACAACGTGTTTTGTGACATAGTACATGCCTCCAGCTGTCGGATATGCTGAGACCAGTTCGGCAACTTGACGAGAGTTAGCTAGGGCTCTCTTATGCATGTTACGAACGTACCTGAACTAGCTATGCAGTATGCCATGATGCTGCCAATGAACCAGGCCCATACTGCTGTTGCTGGGCCACCCGAACTCATTGGCGCACCAAAGGTCGCGGGCACTGAGCCCAGTACTCCTAGAATCGAGATGGCATATGAAACCGTAGACCATCTTGAGAAATGTCTTTGTAGAACCTGCGAAGACTGTTGGAAGATGGTCGAGTGAAAGACTTGGAACGCTTACAGGAGTATACCCAATGCGCACGAGTAGGCGGTCGTCGTCGTCTGCGATTGTTGCCATGATGCTTCGGTTCTGATTGTGTCCTGCTGCTTCTGCTGCTTTCGATTGACTGGAGATGGTAGGCTGGAGCGCTCGTGGCTCACTCGGTCCCAATTCTTTGGAGTCTGGATTGAAGCCCATGGTTAATACCGGTGGTCAACGAACGAGCATGAGAAGTTGAAGAGAAACAAGAAGGGTCTCTGCGATGGAAGCGTAGAAGGAATTTAGAAGGGTGTAAAAGACGGTGGGCCGTCAGCGGAGACACACTAGGAGGATTGACAGCCACGGCGTGGATCCACAAACCCAGCTACCAGGGAGTCGATACTGGATGTGGAAAGGGTACGTGGTCGGGTGAATGATGTAGGGACATGGGAGACATGTAGTGGCTATATGAATAGCCTGACTAAAGGAAAGGCCAACAGTGCGACCAACGGGTGCCCAAAACGGTCCAGTAGTATCAAGTTGCGAGATGCGACCTACATTCAGGGTAGTAATTTTACAGCGTTTGCCATAATGACACGTGCGGAGTGTGTTGCTAGAGGCGTGAACGTGGGAAAAGGCAAGTAAGGAGTGGGACGACAGGGTGCGAAAACACAGCCAATCGCAAATAATCAGCCTCCTTTCGCAGACGGGCAGATCCTGGAGACGCTGAAGCGATTGTGGGTTTACGGTACTGTCATTTGCGCACGAAGACTGGTGCCGAACGTTTGCAGGAAGTAGCGTGCTGGGGCCAAGAAGAGTGGTGCCGCTTCGGCGACCCAAGGTGGCGGGCCGTTTACTTTGCATTCCTGACTGGGGTATATTCAGCCCTGGGAACAATATGTAACCCACCTCATGAGACGCTTGTGACGCCTGTCGAAGTGGCATGGGCGAGTTTCTTGATCGCTGGCTGTCGACGTTTAGCCTATGTGTCGCGAGGCGCGGTAGATTAGGTACTCAACGCGCCTCAGCAAGGAGCCCTTACTCAATGTCCGGGCAGGAAACTGCCGCGGTCTAACATATTCTTTGGAGCTATGACGCACGCAGATGGAAGTGCGGCTTGCCTTGCGTGAGCTCACGAGCGGTACGACTCGGGTGTTACTACGGTCTACCTGTAACCGGTACCCCCTGACTGTTCGTAAGAAAACTTCGTCCAGGCGGTGAGGAGGAAGATCTCTATTGGTCCGCGCGGCTATTTTGATACGACGTACGTTCGCCGAGGGACAAATCTGACGAGCATGATATCAGGGAATTTTGTAAGCTTCTGGCTGGGCTCTTACGGAACGCAGACTTCGGAGTCGCTCCATGAACCGCGGCGGGAGCTTTCATCCGAAACCTTGATCCCTGACTCTCGACTGAAACGTCGGCCATGATTTACTCGGGATTCGTATACTCGACAATATACTTTGAGAATGAGAGTCTCGTCGACAGCTTATCAGAAATCAGTCCCACGCTGTGTCATCTTGCCTAGACGAGTAGCATAAGCGACACCCGTAGACATGCCTGCGACGGCACACATGCGCGTCGCAACAACCAATGCACATGTAACACGAACCTGACCAGATCGCCCACGGAGATTTGCTTTTCATTACCATTGCGCTGGGCCTCTTGCACCTCTGGTAGCGTGCTTAGTCGCGCGCCTTGGTGCGCGCCACATATCTTCGAGGACCCGATTTAACAGCAGCACGGATCGTCTTTCTGCAACCAGCCACGACGAAGCATGGATCAAGAGCGTCGCCTAAGTATGCACATGGCCAGGTGATCATGATGATGGTACCAAGGCCAGGATGTGGAATACTCGCTAGACGTCTGGGAGTGTTGGCAAGATCCGAAAGAGCGGTGGAAGCTCACGGCTCTTCACCCATCGACTAATTCCAGGGTCTTCCTGTTCGACTAAGTCTCCGCCTGGCACGGAGTTGAGCACGAAGCGGAGCTGTTGGACAAATTACCAGAAACCCTGGTCTTTAACGTTTGTCAAGCGTTCACGGCTACGACGGAAGACGATGTGTCGTAAGATGAAGATCCTCTAGAGTTTCTGCGATGATATCCCGATATCGCTTGCAGCTGCCTCATCGATCATCACAGACGACATGGATACATCGTCATGCCGTTTCGGGCTGTCGGGCGTGTTAGCACTCGAAAGTTAGCTTGGACGGCGCAGATGTGAGTTGGGGAAGGAGCAGGACCGGCGTCTAGGACCCACTGTGGGCATCATCGCATTGCTAGCTGCAGCGCAAGCCCTTGGACTACCGCTTGCTCTTCACATCATCTTGACCGCGATTCCAACCGCAATTGCATTAGCAGTTGCCTTTTCAAAGCACCGCCGACGTTACGGTAAAAAGAATTTAGAAGTGTTCCTGCCTCATATACGCCATGCGCCTTTCGTCCGGGCATTTACTGACTCGTCTCGTTTCTCCAAGCGAACCTGACATCTTTTCCAGAAGATACCTCTTCCTTTCGGCGGTTTCAAAATAGTGCCGAAGCCATGTGCGGACCCGTCCGTTAGGGCCGGCGATCAGCCTGGCACTTAGACTGGCGCAAGCCCACGCTGGGTTGCTTCCACCTCCAGACGGTGTACCATTTTCAATATAGTAGCTGAATATATCCTTCTAGACTGACCGGAAAGTGGCGTTCTTCCCCATATCTTTCGAGAGTTACTAGGCACGTTCAACACCAAGATGCAACCTTTAGGTTTCGCTGACCTTGATGTGTCTTCGCAAACGCGACAGCACACTGCGCTGATCAAGCCTCACCGATCGTACAGGGCGCTACCGCTTCCAGTCATCTACAACCGTTCTTGCTCACACCCTCGAATTCATAGTACGAGGTAAGGCCGACATCGACAGCGCAGAACCAAAACGAAGCAGCCAATCCAAGAGTATCCCGAACTGGTGGCCCAGATAGGCTTTGCACCCGTCAGTACCGTGATAAGCGTGATTGCATTCACTCTGGTACACACGTGTGAGAAAGATGCGAAACCGAAGTGCCTGACAATCAGAGAAAGGATGCAGAGCTCTTAGTGCGAATCAGACCTGAACACGTAGGGGTGGCGGATATACGGCTGACGGGGAAGTAAGAACGCTTCCCCTCCACGCACAAAAGCGCCAGAGAAGGCCCGAGATGGTTGTTCATCTGACCAGATCTTTAAGTCCACACTCAGGATAAAAGGAAGTGCCCTGCGTCCGCGGAGTGAGAAAGATGGGAATCAAGGAAGTTATCGCCGGTCAAGAAAAAGAAAGAGCTGTAAACGTCCGCGGCGCAGACGGCGAGATTACACCTTCACAACGAACTCCGGGGAGAGTCGCATCTGAACACAAGACAGCCATCACATCAACATGCACGCTGGATCCATTGTACTCTTAGCACTCGACACCTTCCTATGCGATAGTATACGTTTTACAGCGATTCTATCACCAGCGCATCAAGCAATCGCACGGCTGTTGTAAAGATCGCAGTGGAACGGCGAAAGTTACACATGCAAACAACTCTTCAACGATCAGCTATCTCCTACGATTGATGAATCGTGTGCGCAAGTGTCGATAACATTAGACCTCATGGAGGGAAATGATGACCTCGCAAACAATGTTGCAACATAGAACCAACTACGCGGCACGACACGAAGCACTACAAACAGATACAAGTATTACTTAGTGTGATGCAGAGATTCATTCATAATGACAGCTATATACGACTGCGAATATATACAAAGAAGCGTTTTGTAACCCATCTCAGGGTTCTTCATCCCAGAGCGCCCGTATCTCAGGGCCCCTAATCACCTTCACCCACTCCCATCTAACAAGTAAACTTCTTAGGACCAGGAATAGTGTAAGTAGCCGCCTTGTACGCATCATATGTAATACCCGCATCGCTCCCCTTGTACGCACCAGGGAAACCAACAAGCCCACTTGGCTTCGTTGATCCACCCCCAGTAACCTTGAGCTGATGGCACCCAGGGTAGAATTGCGCACCAGGGTACTGGTATGCAGCGTGCAACGCAACGATTTCATGGCGCACGAGGTAGTAGCCTGGTGCGATGCACTTGGGGATCGTGTATGTGACGGAGCCGCCGGGGACTTGGAGCGCGTCGGAGCCCCAGACGTCGGATGTGCCTTGGCGGCCGTCTTCTTGGACTTTGAACCAGACTGCACTGGGGTGGTGTTAGTATTATGGTTGGGGGAAGGATACGTGGGTGACTTACGCTGACTCAGGCATCCAGTTGTTGCATCCAGCATCGGGGCACTTGGCCATGTATGTGATGGTAGGGCCCATGTGGCTCTCAGGCCAAAGCGTCCAGTAGAGCTCGACGTCTGAACCCGCGGCGGCTTCGGCATGAAGAGCAGCGGGCTTGGAGCCGTTGATACCGCCGGCTGCGTAGCCACCGCATTGGATATCGGAGATGGCTACGTCCTCGACGGGGCCGTTGCCTTGGATGGGTCGCGAGATGCGCTTCACGTCCGTCATGTAAGGGTCTTGGTAGGGTTGGTAGAAGATGTATTCTTTGCCGCCAATGGTAGCGTTGTTGACGTAGCCGTGGGCTGCGACAGCGGTAGCGAAGGCGAGGGCGGAGGTGATGTACTTCATTTTGAAAAAGATGATAGAGTCGATTCGAATTGGTTTGGGGGTATCAAAGAAAGGGAGATTGGAGGTGTTGCTGCTGTGAAGATACGATCCTGCGTATCGAGCGTGCTGATAATCCGAAGATGGAGAGAAAGAAGAGAACGACTTATAAGTTTGAACAACACACAAAAAAACGAGTGAATAGACGACGATGGAGTTAGACAGACGACCGGTACCGAGTGACCAAGATGCCGAAAAGTATATTACTCGAGGTAGTCTGCATGTCTTATAGTAGTCCCCTTCTCCGGCGGCTGGTAATTACTCCACGACACAGGAGTGCAGTTGCGTCACCATGGGATTCGATCCAAGGCACCAAGCATCGAGATGATTGTTTGAAACTTGCACTGGCTTGCCATGGCGATGGCCACATGCTGGAGGGCGATCATGAAAGGAGGGTGCGTAGATTAATCATGGCGCGCTAACGAGGCCTTGGGCGGCTCCACTGTTTCCCCTATGAGGCTGTCAGGCGTGGCTGGATCAGGCTGGAAGGAGCCGTTGGGCCCGTTGAGGGAACTTGGAGGAGGTAAGCGAAATGAGTTGATGGGAGATTCTCTTGTCAGACGTCATATTTCTATTGAATACCATCATACGCTGTGCAGAAAGGTGAACAGTCTCGTTCTGGGTTGGTGATGCGGCGTCACAGGGCACAGGTCCACGGGTTCGTCCGTGAAAGTTAAAAAGTGTCGAGACCTTTTTTTGTGAAACATGACGCACAGAACATGTTCAATAATCAACAAACGCTTGCGATTCACGCACCATTGGTGGACAAGAAAAATGCTCTTGGTGGTTGTCTCAGATTCGATATTGCATCTGGGCATCTCCAGGGCTGCCACGTGATTGCGGATGTTCGTTTACCCAAGTACCGTACCAGGAAAGACCCATCCTGCATCTTCGGAGAAATTAATATAGACGTTATATAGAGGAAAGCCGGGTTGCCGGTCGACGTGGTGTCACGATGCGCATTTTGCGCGGCCTTGTCGAACGACTTTAGATTGTTCATGCTGCGGGACTGTTGCGAGGCGCACCGCGGGGTTGGGGAAGGGTTTGGTGATGGTGCCGTGGTTAGATTGCGATAGGCTGGTCAAGAGCTTGGCTTTGGCTGGACCGTGGGGATGGGGAATCCTGCCAAAGTCACGACTTTGTTTGCTTGGTGGGATTGCCATCAGATGGTGATTTTTGCGTCGAGTGTCTAAGTAGTATTATTGCTACTCTACTCTACCTAGATACACAAGAAGCGCATACCCGCATACCCCCATCAAGACCGAGACCCTCCCCTAGACCCGAAATGCAGCTCGATACTCACATCCGCCTTCTCCAGCATACAAACCGCAAAGTCCTGTGCAAAACGCTTGTTCTTCCAACACGCCTTTATCAGCTCTTTCTTCACGACATCCTCACCCGTGTCCCCGTCATCAATGTCAATTTCTTCGTCCCCCTGTTCTTCGTGGTCCATGTTCTGACTAGCAGCCTATGTCGCGTTCCATCGCTGCGCTCTCTTCCAAATCCTAGCCGCTGTTCTGCAGATTAGACTTCTTAAGAGCCACTCCGTCTCATTCGGTACATCTTTCCCGTCGAACTCCACCCAAGTACTGTCATCATCATAGACCGGTTCCAAGATCAGGCGTAGCAGCCTTACGGCGTTCCTTGCTGTGTCAAATCTCGAGTCGTCCAGCCATCCCAAAATCTCATCCATGAAACGTTCGAATGCCCTGAAAGCATAGTCAGCCAGGTGAATGAAACCGTAATTCTTTCGATGCGCGAGGGCATAAATGGCAGCGTGTTGATCCGCTTTCAGCTTGAATAAGGCGATGAAGGTGGTTCCCTCTTCAGGGGGGCCAAGAGGTTCGTAGGATCCGTGGTAGAAAAAGGACAGCATGTCATCGACGGCATAGCGGTTCCTGTGAAGAATAGTAATGGTAGATCCAGGACCCTTGGATACGTTAGAGGACGAAGATTGCGAGATAAACTCAGACAGGACGGGGCGACGACTGGGTGTTTTGACTCACATATTCACCGGATGCAAACTGTCTCTCGAAAGTCTGTGAATGCTCGCGAAGAACTTTGCTGTGGGCGGGAAACTGGTATTCGTAATGGGTTATAGGACCGTACCGGATCACAACATCGGGAGTACCATTTCCTGTGTATAGAGGACTCAGCCCTGCTATCGTGGGGAGTTCAAACATGAGTGATGGTCGATACTGCTGAATGCTAGATGTCTAGGGTCAGCACCTCACTGCCTATATACCACATTAGTATATATCAAGCGCTTGTTCGATAGACCTCGTGCTGAACACTGAAAACCACAAGCAATTGAAGACAATCAGAGAGTAAGTATTAACACAGCTGCATGAAGTACCCTGCAACCTAATCCGTAAACTCCAAGTTTTATGGCCGCAGACACGCTCATTCGTATGCCAAACCATTGCCCTGAGCTCCAAAAAAGATAGCCATCTACCCATGTCTTCGTTCCATCTAGTATCCAGTCGCACCCGGTGCCTTCTCGTCCTTCTTCAGGCTGAGCAGTAGTTCCCTGAAGCGGGCCTTCTCGCTGCCTGACGCGCCGCCCTTGGTACCCTTTCCGCTCAGATCGACCAACTTGGCGATGCGCTCCCAGCTGGTGCCGCCCGCAGTGGTGTCGTCGCGGTTTGCAAGGAACTCCTCAGCCTCTTTCCGTGTCTTGGCAATCTCCTTGTCCTTCTTGTTATTGTAGTTCTCGTAGAAGTCGTCAATGTTCTGCTGCGCCTCCTGGATGGTTTTCTGTTTGCGGTCGTGGGAGACCTCGTCGCGGTGCTGAATCTGGAGGTCGCGGCGCTCGCGCCATTCCCGAATGACGTCGGGCTCGGGCGAGTCTGAGCGCTGTGGGGTGAAGGATGGGGCTGGTTGGCCGGGGAGGAAGGGCAGGCCTGATCCTGTGATGGTGCCGCCGGGAGCCATGTGCTGCTGGAGTCAGTATACCGTTGGGATGGTGATGTTTCCATGCTCAATTCAGGTCTCGACTGGCGCGTCACTTTCGAACATGCCAGATCGTAACCATGCCTTGGCTAAAGAAGCAGGCGTGCTTACGTCGTTGGTGGTGTCAATGGCGGGGAAGGAGCTCTCGAAGCCGCTCATCTCCTGGCCGCCGACGTTGGCCTGGCTGAAGTCTCCCCCAAGCAGGTCGTCGTCGCCATCCTCGACCGTCGCTGCCCTGTCGTTTTCCGAAGCAAACTGGTCGGCATCGTCGCCAAGAAGCGCGCGTTCACGGTCGAGGAAGTTGCTGGCATCGTTGTCGCCGCCGCCAATATCGAAGTCTGCCGCATCGCCGCGCGCTTCGGTCTGGCCTGCGAGGTTTAGTATGCGGTGCGGAGGTGCTTCGGGGTTCCTAGCTGAGCTCACCGGCGTCAATCTCGTCTAATGAGGGGAATCGGTCTGCCATTGTGGATGTGGAGGGTATGGGAGATGTCGTGGGAGGAGCGGAGATAAGTTTGGCGACAGCAGTTTGCGTACAAGTGTCTTGTTGTTGCGTCTTGGATAGTTACCGTTGGTGACGGCCAGCCAGGGAGCTGCTTGGCGCGGCGGAGCCACGTTTAGCCGCATAGCACCTAGCGTCTCTAGCTCTCAAGTGCTCCCTCACCTTGAACTCTTCCACCCATTCCATCTCCGACACACGTCATCATCTGGACACTGTAGTCGCGAACACTTGCAGAGCGTATATCGCACGCTGAAGGTTACTTACCATCTGTTGCCATCACGCGCACTTCCGCTGGGTGATTGTGTTCTGCTCGCGTGCGCACCATTCTTCGATAGCTGTCGCATATATTCGTGAAGACCTCCAGGGCTGATCATGGCTTTCACCGAGGACAGCCTCAAGGCCAAGCTCTCATCGCTCAATGAGACACAAGAGGCCATCTCCACTGTCGGCCAATGGATTCTCTTCCACAGGTAAACCATCCCATCTCTGCCAAGACCTCAGTTTGCTGCATGCGTCACGCGTTGAAACCATGGATCGCGAGGTTCTTCCTGCACTTTGAAACAATATACTAATGCCACGTGTAGACGACATGCCGAGCGCATCGCCCATGTATGGCTTCAGCGCATGAAGGAGTCGCCTCCGAATAAGAAACTGGTGCTCATCTATCTCGCCAACGAAATCACACAAACCTCGAAGATGCGCAAGAAGGAGGAGTTCCTGCGCGCATACGAACCTATCCTCGCCGAAGCGACGACGGCAGCCTATAAGGGCTCCCCCCACGAGATACAGAACAAGATTCGAAGGGTCGTCGAGGTCTGGAGGCAGCGCAACATCTTCAACTTGGCTGTACAGCAGGCAGTTGAGAGGGCGATTGACGAAGTCGATCGCTCCAAATCCACGCGCAAACCGGCTCTGGGTGGATCACTCTTCTCGAGCTCAACAGTCCCACCTGAGCTCACACCCGTCGCGCCTCTGGCAACCGCCCTCCAGAAAGCCGATGCTGCGACGAAACCCGCCGTAACCACCGCCAATCAAGACTACGAGAAGCTCACGAACCCAAATGCCGCAATCCCGTCTCCGCCCATGCACGCGGCTGGACTCGCTGCGCTCTGCAAGAAGCTTGCGCTGGCCGAAGGCGCTGTCGCTGAGAGCATCAAGGCGCGCAAGGCCCTCCTCACCGGTCTGGAGCACCTCCTTGAGGCGAACAGGAAGAAGCTGGCCGACGAAGAGGCGCAGGAAGCAGACCTCAAGACGCGCAAAGACGCCATAGAAAGCCGAAAGCGCGCAGTCGAGGAAGCCATCCTCAAGGGCCTGTCAGCAGCAGAGCAAAACAGAATCTCTACCGCGCCTCTTCCCGTCGCTACAACCTCACCAGTCGCCGCTACCTTCTCAGGCGCGCAAGAACGACCAGAAGTCGAGGAACTCACACCCCCGCCCATGGAATCCTTCACACCTGTCGGCTCACCACACCTCGCACCCGCGCCTCAGAACGAGCCCGTGCCTGCTATTCGCGATGAAGAAATGCCGCAACCCGCCGCCCATCCCGTCGTACCCGAGACCGCCCCTGCGCCTGCGCAACACACCACTCAGCCCGAATACGCGACCGCTATCGGTGAGCCGAACCAGCACATAGCCGCCGATCTTCTCAAGAGCCTACAGCATGCGCCAATGGGTGCTGCGGAAGGTGGTGTGTACGGACAGCATCATGCGTATGAGAATGCGCATAAGAAGAGGAAGATGAGCAGGAACGCTGGTGAGGACGACTTTGCGGCTTTCGCTGGCGATAGAGATATGGCTGGTATCGACGATAACTTTGCTGAGCTGATCTGAGGACACTGGGTCAGTAGAGGTGGCTCTAGCTATCCCTTCGTGGGATATTGATAGATGAGATGGTAGTTATAAAATGGATAGGCTGGGTCGCGGGAATGGCATCTGCTACTCCATGGCTTGCAATTTAGTCTGCGCAGGGCGTCTAGGGTTCAAGGGCCGATGTACGATATGGACGGGGTCTCAGCATGGGCGGAGTGGGAACCTCGCAGGTATAACAAGGGAGACGGTAGACCGGATCCAAGGAAGGCTATAAGATCAAGTAGAAAACGCACAACTAGGATTCTTGATCGAAACCAGTTATTCTCGGATACCATCATCAATCATAATATACAATTACAGGAACCACCATCCCATACCATGCCATATCCATAAACTATTCCCACCACATGTCCTCACCTTTCCTACTCCACCTCCTCAATCCTGCTAGTCCCCTGCTCCTGCGCCTGGCCCGGCATCTTTCTATTCTTCTCAATCTCACCCATAACCCTCTGCCCCTCCTCGGTCGTCGCATCAATCACGCCCTCTTCAAGACTCAACATGCCCCCCTGTCCCAATTTCTCAACTACCTCCTCCGCCTCATCCACACTCATCTTCGCAAGTACCTTGTTCACCTCGTCCAACTTCCCGCTTTCCAGCGCGCGCTGCAGGCCCGGCGGGAACGACTCGAAGATCTGGCGTGCTTGCTCTTCTGCTTCTTTCTCCTGAGGGTCGGAAGCGGTGGATTCTTTGGGCGGAACGGAGATGTTGATTTGCGTCCCTGGGTCGACGGCGTGGAGTTGGATTTGCTCGACGCCTGCGCCTTCGCCTTGTGGGTTTTCGGCGCGTTCTTTTAGGATTTCGGCGGCGCGCGTTTTGATGCGGTGGTAGGTTGAGTCGACGTCGTCGTTGAACATCTTTCCTGCCTGGTGGTCTTTCATTTGTATGCGTTTGAAGAAGAGCTCTACGCCTTGTCTGCCACCTAGTTGACGACAGTATTGTAACAGAAGACCTTGGTGGACGCATTGCCGCGCGTGTTTGGGCTTGCCGTCGAGTTCAGAGTTGAACGCTTCGACGAGGAGGCCGTCGGTTTCCTTCTCGGCGAGGATCTCGGGGTGTGCCATGAGGAATTGGAGACACGCGTACCAGTCTCCGGCTTTTATTTTGGCGAATTGCTGGGCTAGGGGGGAGGCGGTGATGTCGTCTTCGTTGTCGGAGTCTGCGCCGGTGGGCTCGACCACGCTGCCTTCTTCTATGTCGCCGTCTGCGCCGGAGGACTGGCCTGTGTCTGTTCGGGTGGCCGAGGGGCGGGAGGGGTTGTTGAGGAGTTCGACGGCGGGCTCTTTCTTCGATGAGGAGGAGGCGGCTTTTTTCTTCTCTTCTTCGGCTTTCTTGACGTTGGAGTAGCTGAAGCCTTCGTGGATGTCGTCGCTCGTGATGTGCTTCTTATCTTCCTTTTCCAGCTCGTCTAGCTTGGCGAAGAGTTGTTGCTGGAGATCTTGTATCCGCGCCTTCTCCTTCTCCAGACCCTGGATGAATAGTGTGTATCGCGGCTCTTCGCTCTTTTGCTCGTCAATGTCCTTTTTCACTGCGTCTACTAAGCTCGCCATCATCTGGGGGTATGTGGGCTTGTCCTTGATGTGCTCGTGTACGCCTTCTGGTGGTGGCGGCGGCCGGTCTGAGCCTCCGTCTTTGTCAATCTTCATGTCCATCATGCTCTCCATCATAGCCTGAAAGACGAGCTGGTCATCGTTCTGGCCATTTCCCTCTGCCTGCTTGTCCTTGTGCGACTTCAGCGCTGTGAGCAGGCGGTCGACGCGTTCGGTAAGGCCATCGTTGATGATGCGCTCGTACTTGAGTGTCTTTATTTGGTGGCGGCGGTGGTCGCGCTCTTGGTGGATCTGGGCTTGTTTGGCGCGAATGAAGGATTTCTTGTCGACGTTGGGGTGCACTTCGATGTCGCTGTCGTCGGAGAGCTCTAAGGCGTCCTAAGAGAATGTTAGAAGCCGCGTCTATGAGACTGGTACAAGCGCATGACTCACCCACTTGCTGTAGTTGATTACCATCGTGGCCGAGGTCTGAGTCGTGTGCTACGCTGAGTGTTTGTGTTGTTATTCGAGGTTGCACCTTGTCCGTAGCACTGCGGGGCTCAAGTGGGATGTCGCGTTCGGACCAGCTCGTCATCGAGAATCTTCGACCAACTTCACTTTCACTCCATCGCTTTCGACATGTAGCCCTGCTACCATCTTGGCACACGAACTGCAATCAGTCTCAGAAACATTTGTCGCATTGCAAACAGAGTATCACAGAATTATATACGCTTTGAGTCTACAAGAATTCGATGGCTCCGCTACGCGTCCTCCATACCTCTCTTAAGAACTCCATTGTAAGATATCTAGGTATCACAAGATCCGGGCGCGCAATCACTCGATATAACTGCCATAATCGTAGTCCTCATCTCCAAAAAGGCACTCGGGGATGCCTTCTATCTGATCCGACTTTAGTACTGCAACAATAAGATCCGTTCCAAAATCAGGAAACATTTGCGCAAGAGGCACAAGATGTTGACGATTGAAGTCTGGATGGGCGTTGACCCAGGCGTTGATGGCTCCCTCAACTAGAAGATCTTGGACACGATCGAGAGGGTGGTGTGAACTTCTATCCTCGGTTGAATGTGGGTTCGGAGGGTTGGGTGTTTCTTCCAGCGCACGGTTGTGGCGCTGAGATGTAACGTGTACAGGGACATTCTCTGAAGACGTGGAGTTGGGGCACTCAGTCCCAGACGGGCCTGTCGGGAAAGTGCCTTCTGCGGCCTGATCGGCCTGGTTTTGGTCGTCGCGCAGAGCTGGAAAGTATCGCTCGCTATCACGATACACTTGCCTCAACATGAATCTGAAGAACTCAGGTGCTGTCGTTTCATCTTCGTCACCATAGGTCCGTCTTGGTTCAGTGAAGAGATCCACGAGCTGCTTGAGCTGACGATAAGCCAGAGCTGCTAGGCCCTCGACTTGATACTTATCGGCTACTGCAAAGACATGCAGACGATGCCGGAACCGCTGTCTTAGCTCCGTCAACTCATCTGGAATTCCAACTGTCTCTAGATACTCTTTCTTGTACGCGTACTCAAAAAGTGCCTCCAGGCCCTCCGGATGGTCGCCCTTGAGAATCATAACCGGATCATTGGCTTCCTTGAAGTTTTCGGATGCCTTCATAAACCACTCACTCACTGAGCAAAGAACAAGACGATGACCGACAAACTCTTCTTCACCGTCGTCGCCGTATTTAATGGTAATGTCAGCTAATAGCGGATTCTTGTACCACATGGCGTTGGGGTGAGGCTGTTCTGGATCCTGGCGGACAACGGCAGTCCCGCAAGTGGTACACTGTGGGTTGGCCATGGATGCGAAGTTGGCCTAGCTGCTATATCGACAATTATACCGAGAAGTCAGGGTTGAGATGTGAATGAGCACAGAAGGTACTATATTTTGTAGTTGATGCAGCGCCACTATGTACTTTCACATAGCTGATCATTGTTTAGCCTCAACGATGCCTTTCCAGAACTGAGGAGGGGATGAAAGGCTGTCTACTGGGCTCTTCATTCCGCTACGGGAATGATCCCGCTAAAAGATGAAGCCTAAGTTAGGGTTGGAGCTCGGGGATAAGTCATGGAAGCGGCACACCGCAATACCTCCGTAGTGTAGTTCAGAGCCATGCCATATACTAATGGTATCGTATGGTGACAGAAAGCTAGCCCTGGAAGAGATGGTCGAACATGAGATCTGTGATGGGAGTATTCTGAAAGAGGAAAGTTTTCTTGTGCTCCAGCGAGATGCCAGGATTTGTGACGTATTGCACGCATTGATCAGGTTGAGTAATCGTCGCGATCGAGAGGCTTCTCAAGAGTATCAGATACGAGCCGCATTCCGAACGGAATGGTGAGAGCGAGTTGGCGAATGATGGCGTAAAGATACAGGAGATGGCTGGGAAGAACCATCGGAGAGGTGCGATGCCACGCCCCGGTCCTCGGAACGCTAAAGACGCGCTTGTTACCCAACAGGAAGGAGAAGGCCTCGATCAAGCCTTTTGGCATGGCTTGTCGTCGACCATGCCGAAGCTTATCTTTTTCACCAATAACCGTCACACGTGCGATCTTGCCGCTTCCGCCCCTGGGTGCATCTCTGTCCGGCGGCATGGGTAAGACAGCCGAGGCGGCGATGCACGTACGCGTACCTGCCATGAGGCTACATAAGAAGATGACGCCCTGAACGCTTATCCTCGCGCGCTGTCATTCATCCGGTCCTCATCATGCGGTCTCTTGCCTTTGGCGCTTTCATCGCGACGGTAGCACCGGCACTAGCGTGCGAAGGTCATCACAGCTGCTACGGACCGCTGAAAGATGACGTTGTGTTGACCAGAAATGTTCGTCGCATGCAGCCGGACGCGCAGAATGCGACCACAACACCCAAGGCGCCTCTGGAATGGGGCCAAATCAATTTCCTTCACACGACGGATACTCATGGATGGCTTGAAGGTCACATCAAAGAACAGAACTATGGGGCTGATTGGGGTGATTACGCAAGCTTCACCAAGCACATGAAGCAAAAGGCTCGGAATTTAGGCGTCGATCTGCTTCTTGTAGACACAGGGGTTAGTGTCTGCCATCAAGCCCTGGGGACGAGTAGGGCTGCGCACGTGGTTGATGAAGGTAGCAATTCGACTAACATGCGATAGGACCTGCATGACGGTGCTGGACTCAGCGATGCGACAGCCCCCAATGGCAACGTCTCGAACGCCATCTTCGAAAATATCGATTACGATCTGTTGACCATCGGAAATCACGAGCTTTATGTGACCGAGATCGCCTACGAGACCTTCAACAACTTCTCCAAGGTCTACGGGGACAAGTATCTCACTAGTAATGTGCAGATCAAGAACCCCGCTACTGGCCAGTTCGAGTACATTGGATCTCGCTACCGCTACTTCACCACCGAGCAGGGTAAGTTGACCACTCGTGGATTTGAATTCATGCTGATAGACTCAGGGCTCCGTATCATGGCTTTTGGCGTCCTCTTCGACTTCACCGGCAACAGCAACGTCTCCAAAGTCATCAAAGCAGCCGATATGGTGAAGCAGCCGTGGTTCCAACAGGCTGTCAACTATACCGAGCCCATCGATCTGTTCGTGATCACGGGTCACAATCCTGTGCGCACCAGCGCTTCCAGCAGTACTATGGGCACTGTCTTCAAGGCTATCCGCAGCATTAAGCCAGATGTACCTATTCAAGCTTTTGGTGGACATACTCATATTCGAGACTTTGCCGTCTACGACAACAAAGCCACAGGGATAGAGTCTGGTATGTACAGCGACTGAATTTTGATACAACTGACTAACATGGTCTCAGGCCGTTACTGCGAGACATTGGGTTGGGTTGCCATGTCTGGTATCGAATCAAAGACTTGCAAAGCGCAGCACAACCCTAAAGGCGTACCGAATCCGACACGCAGCGCGGTAGTACCGGCAAGCACTGGAACTGCATCGGCTAGTGCACATCTGCCTACATCTACTTCCAAATCCACCCTTCGCTACGCCCGAAGATACCTTGACTGGAACCGTAACACGTTCGCCTATCATGCCAAAGGTAGTCAGCGCTACACCGCGTTTGACACATCTGCTGGTGTCAGCGTTACTGACGAGATCACTTCCGAGCGAGCGAAGCTCAACTTGACTGATTTGTATGGATGCGCCCCAGCGACATACTGTCAGTACTGCAAGCCATTCCTTTCTGAAGGCAACATCTTCGGACTCCTTCAGACTGCGTTGGCCACCGTCGTCGTCAACGAGACGCGCAAGGACGTTCCAAGACTCATTATTATCAACACCGGATCAGTTCGTTTCGATCTCGCCAAAGGCCCATTCACCTACGACGACTCCTTCATCGTCTCTCCATTTAAAGATGCCTTCCAGTTCATCCCCGACGTACCCTACGAGCAAGCTTCTCAAGTACTTGGAATACTGAACGCCGGTCCCTTCCAGAAGAAGAAACGGGACCTTGAGACCGCCGACTTCGGCTTCAGCTCCATCCTCGCAGACCGAGACACGTGCCTCGACCCGCCGCTGACACACCACTACGAAGGAGTTACCCGCCGCTCAAAGCAAGGCGGCCGTCTCATCCGCCGTCAATCCACCGCCCCCAACCCAGGCTACACGACAAAAGATGACTTCGGCACCGACGGAGACGACACCGTACACTCAGCTATCCCCAACTTCTCGCAACCCAACGATCTCCAGGCCAATGCCTCCTTCCCGCTCGATGGATCAATGCCAAAGACTGTTGATCTCGTCTTCCTGGACTTCATTGCTAGCTACATCGTCAACGCTTTGAACCAGCCCGATGTTGGCGGGGACTTCGAGCTCAGCCAGGTGTCGTACTATATTGATGAGAGCTTTACGACTAATAGCTACTTGCCGGCGTATGCGAAGGTTGCTTGGCAGGCGAATGTGCCGAATTGTCCGGTGGGTGAGGGGATTGGTGCTGCTTCGTGAGGAGGGTGACGGGTCAGAAAAGATGTAGATGTACACTCCTTTAATAGGGATATATTGGTGTCTAATGTCAATTATTTTTTTGATATGTATTCACAAGAGCATTCATTAAGTGTGCACTCCCAACGAAAGATGCGCGAGCATGCGGTCACCACGTCTTTCCCGTATCTTCGAGCTTCTCGGAGTTGCGCAGTCCTTAATGAATGCCATCTTTCATCCCAGTGTACCATTGTATATGGGTTCGTCATGGGTCGCGAAAATTGTGAGTGTCTCATCGCGCTGCGTTCGGGTTCCGACAGATTGCCGCAATAAGAAGTGTGAAACATCTTTCCTGAGAGAGAAGGTGACTGCAACACGTTTCGATGAGATTGCCAGATATGATCCCACAGTTGGTCCTTGCGACCGAAGCACTGAATGCAGTTGTCGACGACGCAATAAACAAACTCAGCATGGGTGGTCCGCGCATGACGAACGAGTTCCGATCGTTTAGCAAAAAATCTGCCACATTCCTTTCTGTTGCATTGATAGTTCCCTCTCTTCACAAACCCTACAACCCCTTCCTGCTTTGATGACTCTGATGGCCGCAAGTCTAGGGACTTATCTCTATACCGAGTCATGTCGTCGGTATCATGTCCAAGTGGTTCATACAGCCAATGTGGCAACCCGTACCCTACAATTCTTGGAGAACTGAAGTTGCAAAACACTTTGCGATTCCACTCAGCCACTGCGATAAGACGACCCAGCTCTTCCCGATCGCAAAAGACCTTAAGTGATTCTTGCATCAACTTTGCAAAACCAAGTAGACCCGTGCTTGATCTCGCGATCTCCATTACTATCGTAGGCGCTAGTGGCGAGCATACATGGCAGATCATCTGCGTTAGGAGTTGCTTTGGATCGATCCGGTAGTTGATGGGTATCATACCGCTATCGCTTGCCAGTCCATGGAGGGCGTACACCTTATCTCTGACATCGGTCGAGTGTTGTCTACGATACTGTTCGAGTAGTGATGTGAACGGTTGAGGCACGCCATTCCATTGCGCTTTCGCCCTGATAATGATCGCAGCTGAGCTCTCGAGAACGGCTGGTACGCCGACTACGTGAAGAGATCGGCCTCTATCCGAGATAGCTTGGAAATCTTCTAATAGCTGCTGTAATTTGGTCCATCCTACGCAGTAGCCGCCGCATAAGATCTGTACGTGCTTCGCCAGTAAGACTTCCTGCACGATCCAGATTCTTCTCCAGTATCCCCTCTCACACAGCTCTAGTACAGCTTTTGCTTTGCGTGCAGTCCAGAACCTTCTCAAGTCGACATCTTTGCCACTCCAAGCTGCGCGTTTACTCAAGTACCGCATCGCCACATCGCTGGATTTGGAATGATCCGCTTCGCCGAGCCAGATCCACACGGAGTAAGCTTGTGTATAGATCTCCCTCATCATCTGCACTTGGTGATTCTGCTCGAAGACGTTCGCCTGATCGATACTGATGGCGTCGATCCAGAAGGAGACGTGCTGATGCTGCGTACGCATTTGGTGGAGGAAGTGCCACAGATTGCGACCGACTGGAAAAGACGAGCCATTGATCCGGATCTTGTCATATTGCTGTTTAGTGCCCCAAGCGTATGAAAGAGCGACGTATGCTGGACACTCGTCCAGCGCGTGGCTCTGCAGAATGCATTTCATGGGCCCTGACGCGTGGCTGGGCTCTATGGTCACCAGCCTAATGTTCTTTCTTCCGAGATTGAGCGGTACATCGACATACGGATCTCCCGACGGCGGCATTCTGTGGGGCGCGTCGGAACCACGAGAGTGTAATTGAGGGTATTGTAGACCGCGCTGCACATGTCAGCCTTCCTCATTGTGCCAAGGCTGCAGCCTAGTCTGCGCCACCACTTTTGCACCTTTGGAGCTTTTCCGGGGATCATGGTACAAAGCATTTGAATCCTTCAGTGGATTTGTCGTGCGCTACTCATGAACAAGAGTCAATTCCCACGTCCACGAGCTCCTTCGTGCTATGCACCTTACTTGTCTGGAAGCATCCAATACACCGTTCGGCATAACTTCAGCTATCTGAAGCCCTTACCAATACACCAAAGGCCCTTTTTACCTGCCGAAAGTTCCGAAAGTCCTGCAATTGAAGATACCGACAGCAAAGCTTCAGGGGTTGTCGCAGCAAGAGATAAAAAGCAGAATAGTGCTGCGCTAACGACACTAGGCCGCCCCACCCGCTTGGACAAGAACCTGAGGCAAACAGAACCCTTTTTCACACAATTCCCGTTTGAGAACCCACCCCCGTACCATTACTCCGCTGTCTTATGACTTGACGGACCTATGACAGCTGTAGCGCATGCCATTCACGCCACGGTCGCGATAGACTAAGCCAGACGCGGGAACATGCGACGCGAACCACGGGCCGAGGATCTTGGGCCTTACCACTCGTGGTGCAGCCCTCTCTGCGAAAGACAACCTGTGCAGTGCCAAAAACGCAGGTACCGTGCAGTGTATGATCTCCATAGCCTGTTGGCTTGGCTGTGCTGGGGTTTGCAATGAGTCGAGCTTTCTATTAGGCTTGGTTATCATCCGATCTTCGTAGGGGTAGGTATCTTCCGTTTCCTCTCGTGGTGTGTGGATTCTCTTCGTGGGTGGGCTCTTTCTCTATATCTTTGTCGTCTACACTCGCTGGCGAGATTATTTTTCGAAGTGAGGTATACGCTCTTTACATTCGCTCGTTTTCTTTACACTTTTTTTTAATAATCGGGTTGTCGTTCGTGAGCTGCTTGGCCCTCACAAGAGTACGAACATTTCTTCAACACGTTCATTTCGATTAATACGCGCGCGATATGCATTTCTCCAGCCTCCGCGGCGCATTTGCTGTTCTCTTAATCGCATACTTTAGCGCAGATGTTGCCGCGATTTCGGGTGATGACCTTGAGACGCATCGGCTGCTGCGAGCGGCTACAAAACGAACAGATCTATATCGAAGGGGTGTGAGGATCACCAAAAGATTCGAGTCTGAGTTGGCCTATGTGGACAGTAAGTTGCGACGATGACACAAATCATACCCACTACTGACGATGCGCTAGATGAGAACGTCTGGAATGACAAGTCTACATTTGCTTCACAGGTCAAAGTCAGCGGGCAGAAACCACTACTCAATCTGGAAGAACATGAACATCACCTGAGAGACGTACAGTGTGGGGATGATATGATGAAGCTACACTTTGTGGATACTTCTTCAGCACGAGACGCCCGAGCGGCCTGTCATGACGCTGATGGTGGTTTGATCATCACATCCCACGAAGGCTGTAATGATGAGGGCGAGCGATCAGTATATCGGTAAGCTTCTCACGGGCGTTTCGATGATTTCATCTGACGATCACAGGGTCAATGACGTGTCGTTCGCTGAGGACGGTGAAGCCCTTGAGCTGTCCGTCTCAAAGACAACATGGCGAGCAGCGTTTGACCATGTCGACATCTCTTTCGGCCACACGACAGACGATCACGTTTACCGGCGCCACTCCGATTTCGCTAGGATTCGTAACAAGCGACAGAACAAGGTCGACATACCGGCAGATACTCCTGACGATGTCAACACTGTTTCTTTCGACCTATCATCGGAGCTTCTCGATACCACTTTCCCGGTCGAAGCCTTCCTATCGGGTATTGCTGGCCTTGTTGGAGCACCTGATGTACCGTTGCCGATCGAGATTGGATGCAAGCGATGCGCAACAAGTGGGCAGATCGCCCTCTCGCAGGGTGCCTTCAACATCGATCTTTCCCAAATCGATCTCATTCCGGACATTTTCGAAGGCGGCGACGACGGCAAGGAAATCTCGCATGTCATCAGTGGTGGTTTCGTAGAGCTTGTGGCGACTGGTGTTGGTGCAACACTGGACTTGTTCGCTAGACCGCCCAGCTCTGGGAAATTTGAGGTCGCTCTATTCCAACTTCCTATTGCTGGGTTTACAATTCCAGGTATTGGAAAGGCTGGAGCTATCTTTGAGCCGAGGCTCGCCTTTGACTTTGAGATCAGTGGTACGCTTGAAGTCAACTACGGACTCCAGCTTACGGTACGTATTTCCCCACCAATTATTATGGAAATACTAACGCTCTCAGGTCCCTGATGGTTCCAGTATCCGAGTTGAGCTTACGGATCTCGCCAGCAGCCGCGTCACTGGCTTCCAGGAAACAAGTCTCACTCCGCTGCCCGTCAACGTCAACATAACTGATGCAGAAATCTTGCTTGGTCTCGCGTTTATTCCTGCCATTCCGATCGGCTTTGATTTTCTGGATCAGCTGAAGGCTGAAGTCACGCCATCTTTGAATTTACCTCGTCTGGACGCGAAGCTGTCCAGCAACATCCCGGAGAACTGCGGTGCCGCCGGCAACAGCAGCAATGCTACAGTACCGGATGCGCCATTCGCGAACCAGACATCAGGATTTCCACCCGAACTCCTCAGCCTGGGCCCTCTTGCTTTGGTCGAAGCAAATGTTTCCCTTTCCATCGATATTGCTCTTGATGTTTCGATACCAATCCTTCCACCACCTTTCAATGCGGTCAGTGTCCAGGAGAACATTTTCACTGCAGTCTTTCCTCTACTATCAGGCTGCGCAGCGCCTGATACTGCTTTCAACAACGTCACAGGCGTCATTGTGCCTCCACCTCCCCCGATGATGGTCGAAGCTACGTCCACAGCGCCGAAGTTGGAAGCCAACATGACCGCGGCGCCAAAGCTAGAAGCCAACATGACATCTTTGTTCAGCTCCACCGTATTAGGAACGCCAGTTGCTGATAATACGGCGAAAACTACAGCAACTATTGCTAGTGAGATGGCCGCGGCCCCCACTTTGATGCCAAACGTTACCTTCATATTCGCCAGTGACGTGGTCCCGTCCTCTGCAGAGCCGATTGCTACCTCGACACCGATGAGTAGCACCATGTCTACGACTTTGCTCTTGAACACCACTTCCAATGCGATGAGTAGTATGGTGTCTACGACTGCTGCTCTGAACACCACCTCCACTTTGGCAAGCAGCACCGCAGACGCGACGTCGCTGTTGAATACTACTTCGACGATGGCGAGCGAGGTAGTCTCTACGTCTTGTACTACTTCCCTGCTGAATTCCACTTCGACTCTGATCAGCTATGCTGTCTCCACGACATCATCGGCAGCTACTACAACAACCCCGGCTTTGGAGTACACCACGTCAGCAACGTCGTCGCTGAACACTACAACGCCATACGAGAGCACTTCGACCGTGGAAGTCACAAGCATAGCTTACGTTACTTCCAAGGTGACCGCAGAAATCACTGTGACTGCTTCCGAAAGCGCGTCGTCAGCTGCTGGAGCCTCGAGCTCTGCCCTTCTTACATCGGAAGCTGCGACGAGCAACGCAACATCTATGGCTTCGAGCACGGCTGTCCAATCTTCGGCTGAAGTCCCCGCTTCGTCGATGGAAACATCGACTGAATCTACATCGCAGGCTTCGTCTGCATCGCCATCTTCATCGTTTATTCCCACCTTCAACATATCGAGTTCAGCAAGCCCAGCCTCTTTAGCTTCGTCGAGTGCACCCGAAACGTCTCTCGCAATTTCGTCCTCCGTCGCTTCGACAACACCAGTCGCGTCCGCACCGGCTGTCGCGACCGAAAACCTGCCGCCGCCGGCACCGGTAGTTACTATGGCGGCTGGCTTCTTGGTCCCGAGTAATGCCAGCGCTGCGCCTGTACAGCAGACGCCTCCTTTGGAGTTCACCGGTGCTGCGGTCAGGCATGCACCCGAGGTGAGGGGTATGTTCGGCTGGCTGGTGGGTGTGGTGGGCTTTTGTTTGGTAGGGCCATTGTTGTAATCTTAGTTCACTCCTACTCATGTAGCAAAAACACATGTTTATCGCTCAAATCACATCTTTCATGCTCACGACTTCCTGGATGTGACTTCAAAAGGTGTATAGAAGAGTAGAGATAGGCACGTTTCGTCCTGGATGACTACCTGTGGATTACTGAGCATTGAGTAAGAGAACAAGAGACAAAGAGCGACTATTATAGTAAAAGAAGTATAACGAGCGACGAAAAGGAAAAAGACTTGAAGCACGGTTCCCACGTCCACATCTAGGCCTCCTTCTCAGGATCAAGCCGCCACTTGTAGCAATTGTTCTCCACTTCACCACCTTGCTTGCCATTCTCCCCAGCACAGTTGCAGCTGTCGATAGGCACATTGACGTATCTATCGCAAGCAGCGTCAGAGTAAACAAACTCGCACCCTGCCTTAACCTCCAGCGAAGTTTCGACACCAATAGCTCCCAGTTCAGATTGATCATACGAATATGAGAACGTTTGCTTCACAATATCTCCAGGTCCAAGTCTACCGCGAGACTTGATGATTCCGCAAAGGTGGTTCGCCGCATCTTTGATTCGAGAATGCGATGTCCATTGGCTAGCATGATAGCATCTCCTTTTGTTGTTCTTGGTATCGGGTATATCGAACTCGACGGTTGGAGGCTTTGGTGTCGGAGTCGGTGTTGGAGTTGAACTTTCTTCTTCCGTTGGGGACGGGCAGGGAAGTCCATCGTCTTCAAGGGTTTCTTCGACGCTGGGTTCATCCATACCTCCAAAAGTCCACTGACTATCCCAGCCTCCCGGAGAACAATCAGGATCGTAGAAGCTACACTGCTCGACGACTGGCGATGGATCACCCCTCTTCACGACGAGCGCGTTTAACGGCCAGTCTGGTGATCCTGGATGCGTTGGTTTGGCCGGCCTGGTTGTGCTCTGTTTACCGTCGCCACCTCGGAAAACTAAAGATGGCCAAACAGGAGTACTTGTGAACGTTGGCTTGACGGAGGTGATCACTTCATCGCGACGAGCTTTTGCCGTAACTGCAGCCGCCTCAGAAGCCGTACCGCCAACCGTGAGTACTTCCATGACCCATTGAGTGACTGTAACAGGGCTATTAGTAATCGCTGTCGTCCAACCCTCGCCAGTGGCAATCACAACTGGGTAATTGAGAGTGCTAGTGCTCTTCTCCCAGGGCGGGAGCTTGAGTTGGCATGGCGGCTCACACCACACAGTCGGCTCGTCCAGGTCCCAGATCTTGGGGTCAATCCAATGGATTTCGTTCTTGGACGCTTCAAATACGGTTATTTGGGACCAGTGCGGATGTCTCTCGACGTTGAGGTTGTCTTTGGCTGCAATAGCGCGGCCATCTTGAACGAGACTATACTTTGCTCCGATAGTGATGAGATGGTGCACCCGAATGTTGCGTCCATTCTTCTCAAGCCACAAAAGTGCCTTTTGGCAAGTCTGGCCATCGATACAGTCTTGTGTGTACGTCGAAAACCATGAATAGAGGCCAGCTCCACCGATGATGATGTCGCTGCTTTCGCGTATCATGACAGCCCAGGATGAATCGCAGCCGTCAAAGTCCTTGCCATCGCATTGATACTTGGGATCACCCGAAAACTTTCCGACGGCCTTTTCGAAGGGTGCTGGCGCCTTGGGCGTTGGCTGATAGTACGGTGACTCGGTCTGAATCATGCCCGCAAAGATGTTCTTCGCCTTATTGAAATTGTATTGATAGAAGACCGCATGCTCGGAGGCAGTGCCATACATCCACGTTGGTGATTGGCTTTCGACAAGCAGACCGCGAGCGACGTAGACTGAAGTCTGCGTCTGTACCATGAGTTAGCAAAGTTCGTCTATCCAAGGCCAGGTGGTTCTCACCATAGGACTGTTAGGATCGACTAAATCTGCGTCACTAAATAGTGTGGATCAGCTATCCGGTTAAGACGAGATAGATGGTCAATACCCACTCAATCATGTGATCCGCCACCCAAAGCCACATGTTTTCAAAGTACCCAGATGCTTTCGGGGTGATATGCATCATCAAAGAGGCGCCCTGACAGTTCGCGTTGACTCCCGATGTCACAGGCGGGCACTCATCCGGGTTCAGTGACGTGCCGGCTGCGCCTCCAATGCGAACATGACAGTCTGAAAATCGAGCTCAGTCAGCCAGATGACCTCGAATGCTGATGCGCAAAGACTCATGCATACCCCAAATACCTGCAGACCCTGGCTTGGATGCCTTGATGTTCCACTGAACCAGAATCGCCGTCCTTTGGTCGTGAACATCAAATCCTGCATCTCCACCTCACCAACGTCACCTGGATTACCGACAGAAAGCATGGCCTTTGGATTGCTGCTTGAGTCAGTCGCATATTCGGTAGCGTCGTGTGGATACGTACTTAGCATCTCCGAAGAAGGTGCCAGATGCGGCGAATTGTGACCACGTTTCGCCGACAAGCTTGCTTCCACTGGGAATTGTGACGGTGCGCTTGAGTATGTAGGTGCCGGCGTCGACGTGAAGAATCTTTCCTTTAGCAGCCCACAACGCGCTCTGAACTGCACTCGTATCGTCCGTTACACCGTCCCCTGACAAAGTCAGCTTCACGAATGTAGATATGATGTTAGAGAAAAAGGCAGAATGATCACCTACCCTTGGCACCGAAGTTTTTGAGGTGGACAAAGTCGCTTGCCGACTTGTCCTCATACTGTGGCTTTGCACGTTCAAAGTACGCACCCTTGGAATCCAAAAGACCAGCCGGTTTCTTGTATGTAGTCGATTTGCCCATCGAGAATTCTCTCTTTGGACTGTAGATAGGTCCAGCAACCCATTGGTCGATCTTCGCGGTGCTGGCAAGAATTGTCTTTCCGCTGCTGTCCGCCACGGCTTTCTGTACGCCGCTCATGGCAATGTTCTCCAGTACAAGCCCGGTACTGCCGGAGCCAGGGGCAGAATTGAGTGGGCCAACAAGAACTGCTGTCCCAACGTTCGAAAACGTGGAGTCGAGGATCATGGTAGAACCGATGTTTCCGTTCTCCTGAGTAGCTCGCTTGGTCGGATTGGCAGTCGACGTCTTCTCTTCAGGCAGCAGCTTGAAACCAATGTCGGCGTTCTTGATGGTGATGGACTTCCACGTCTGCGTTCAATGAGTGATCAGTATGACACACGACAAGAATCGTTGAGGTATCGCAACAAGCGACTCACGAATGACCAATCCCACATAAGATGCACTGCTGTCGCACACCCATCGAAAACCATGCGTTGCACCGTAAACTGTTGACTTCCACCCCCTGTATCTCAGTCAGATGGTTTGGTGGTGAACCGTGGGATGGACCAACTTACACAAGCCGTATGCGCCACCTTTGAATGTAATATCGGCCAATACCCCTCCACTGCCATTTTCCGATGCTGATGCTATTAGCTTCGCACCCCAAATACGCTGAAACGCTTGAACTTACCAATACCCCGCTGTTTAGTGCCAGACTTTGCGGTCAGCTCCAAGAACTGGAGACTAGTAGCTTGTCCAACTTGATTGTGAATACAAGCAACTTGTGACGCCGCTCTCGTCTGCGTGACGTCGATCTTGAAGTTTCTGATCTGTCGGTAAAAGCTTGCGGTATTGACATACCATTCCTGATCGCTGCCGTCTATACCAGTACCGCCGCCAGTGTATTCGTTGGTAGATAAGGCAGCAGTTCCGATAAATCTTGAAGAGGCCACAATTGTGGGCCATTTGGTGGCGTCGCCGATAAGTTGCGTACCGAAGTAAACAGGAATAACAGTACTGATGAGATAGGTTCCTTGGGGAAAGTAGACGATAGCGTTCTTGGTGCTTGAGCCATTGCAACCTTTTCCACAGCGCTTGCCTTCATCCATAGCCTTTTTGATCGCGGCTGTGTCGTCCTAACAAATGGTCAGAGACACTTAAAACCGCCCAGTGAAGTTGAACCTACAGTCTTGCCATCGCCCTTTGCTCCGTAATCTTTGACGTTTCGAAAGACCTTGTAAGAAGGGTCGTTACCCCAAGGAACCGTCCCTTTCCTTGTTATAGTCTCCATCCAGAATGAACCAGCAGCTGCTGCTGATGCAATACTCACTCGATCGGTTACGTTACGGCCCGTTGTGGTTTGGTTGTTGGCCGACATGCCAAAGGCTTCGAACTCAGTTAGAAGTGCTGCTGCCGCCTCAATCTCCGGGGTAACAACGAAGTCTAAGACTAATCTTTTCTTCCCCAGTACAGGATTCAGGACGTCACCTGACCCTCCAACGATCGTTCCGGGTTTAAGGCGATACTGATTGCGGGACATGTTTTCCCACCGCGCTTGGTTGTATTCTGCTGACCTGTTCAATGCTTCCTCAACGATCCTCGTAGCGGCAGCAATTCTTGCAGTCGTGAAGTTCTTTGCAAGTGCATCCGTGTCGGAAAGCAAAGTACTGTCAGCCGAGTCTGTCCGGCTGCTGAACGAGTCTCCACGCTCAAATTCGGAATGCTGGTCTTTTTGGCGAAAGCCTCCAACGGTACCCAACTCGAAGCTCCAGTCGTTTGGCCGCTCTGTATCGCTCCGAGCAGCAATAGTACTTCGCGAATAGTTCATGTGTTGGAACATATTCAATGCACTCTTGTCGAGATCCATCGGAGCGGAACTTTGATTCTTGAAGATGTGATGTGTTTTCACCCCAAAACCGTGGCTGCTGAGCTCGTGAAGAGGGACTGTGTCTGCCCATTCCATGTAGTCCTTAAGAGATCTCTTCCTCAATTCCTGAACCCTTTCGCGGGCAGACCGCGTCCCCAATGGTGTTGTATCAACCTCTCTTTCGGTATCAGTGGAAGTATCTGCTTCGTATATCCTCACGGGGGTGTCGTTTTCCTCGTTCACCATTCGGAAGTAGAACATCAGCGGTGAATCGGAGGTTTCAGTCCAGCCAGGAATGCAGTTTCCTGCCAGTGTTATGAGTGTGCGCCGAAGTTGGTTATGCCCAGCAGCCTGCCAGTTCTGCTCCGCGTCCCTGCCACCTTCAGCTCTCTCGCAACGAAATCCGGCGCATCGGGTGTAGGACGGCTCGGCGTTCCGAAGTCCGGATCCTCCCTGGATCCACGTGGCAGGCGGGAACTCGTCACATGTGTACTTTACACCCGATAGCTCAACAACCTGGCCATTGGAACGTCTGTGGCGGAGCACCTTTCCAGCAATAGCTGGAAGATTTGGTTCCAAGGCTGTCGTGTACCATGGTAGCCCATCCGCACGGAAGACATCTGGCTGCGCCTGGTTACCCGAGCCAGCAATCTCTGGACATGTATGTCGAGAGGTCCATCCGCGTCGTCCTGATGGACATACCCGTCCTCGACGCCGTGTAGCACGATTGTGGTTGAAGTCATAGGCAAAGGCTTTGCGTGGCGCTCTTGAGGCGCCTCGTGCAGAGATCAGGAACGTGTTTGCATTCTGACAGATAGCGGTCATATAGTGACAATTGTACTCGAGACTGGTGTTGCACGTGAGCTTTCATTGAGGTGCCCGGTAAGCACAATCCTTACTAGACAATGTATGGTGGTAATTCTTCCACTTTCTCCTGAGGACCATTTGCCGTTGGACCCCACCACATCTCCTATTGAACATGACATCTCAGCTGAGAACGATAATCGCTCAGTTAAATGGTCTCCATACCTGAGTAATTCCACCAGGACTAGTTCTCCATGTCCATTCTTGGACATATTGGGACTTGACAACATAATAAAAGAGGCATAAAGTAGCAAGCTTGCGAGCTAGAGTGAAAAGACCCATCTCGACAGAGTCAACCTGAGGTGTTTGGCATCAGAAAGAGACAATTTATGGTTGTTCGGTAAAAGCTCTGCGTGTGAGGGAATGAATTTAGACCTTCGACATTCTCCTGTTGTGGTACCGCCACTTACCACACATCTCTGGACAGAGTACCAACAGTTTGCATCAGCGTGAAGATATTCGGGAACCAGTCAAGGCGAGGACATATGCAGCGCATTAGTCCAGATAACCGGACACTATGGTTATACTGCTATTCTGGAAGACTGAGGTCACATCCGGAATAATCCATGGCAGCCATCAAGTTGTCAAGATACCCAGATCCATCACTGCACCCTCCTTCGAAACGAGCAATTAGACAAATCGAAAACCTGGACTTTGATAGGCTGGCATAGAAAGCGCCCATGCACATAGTCTTGGATCTTGATGTTAGCTCCGTATCGATTGTGGCAGTGCGTAGAGGAAAACTACTAGCACAGTCGGTAGGCTTCGAAGTTGCATGGCTGGTTCGAGAACTCGTCTATTGAGATTGCATTCTGACCTTACATATCGGCTAATTGGCATGCAAATAAGCTTTCAGTATGGGAACCGGTGAGTCGTCCGGTACAGCCTTGGCAAGAACTCGGCACTCCTGTGCGCAAAGGTATCGGCAATGGCCTCAGCAGATGAAACGTGAACGCTGACGTTAGGATTAACTCAGTTGGTTCTTTGCTTTCCTGAAAGAACTCACCCATATCTCTCACACTGCAAAAAAATGAGCGCTCTTCGCAAGCTTGTGTCTTTCTTTATAGGTTTCTCGACAATCAACCCCTCTCTCTCAGCGGATGATTGCCAGCCATACCAATGGACCGCGAAACGAGATGTCACCCCAGGCCAAATTGTCTGCCGTTACACGCTCACGTCACCGTCCGAAGTGAACTACTACACCTGCACTGAGCTCGCGGACAGATACGACATATCCATCGACAAGTTTTTCCAGCTCAACCCCGACCTCGACCGGGATTGCGAGGCTATCAAACCGAATACAGACTATTGCGTCGCAGGATGTGAGTTTCAGCGCTTTTGTTTAGGTCTTTATCGGTTCGCCACTTGTAGGCATGTTACTAACGGCTGCTTGTCTACATAGTCGTTGACCAAATCCCGGCTTTGGACGGCCTCTGTGGCCCTAAACACAACAATGCCACCTGTAGAGGCACCAAGAAACAGTGCTGCAATTCTGAGACCTGGATATGCGGTGACACAGCGTAGGTTTGCCCTTTTGCCTTGCTCCTGTGTTATGTCTCAGTCTGAGCTTACTTTATAGGGACGACTGTCGTGAAGGCACTTGCTACGAAGGTGCATGCCACGGCGCGACCGAATACGCCATCGATGGGAAATGCGGACAACAGCATGGCGACCTGAAATGTGGGGGGAAATGGGGATCTTGTTGCGATTACAATGGCAAATGCGGCAATGGGACAGACTTCTGCAGTCTCGGGAAATGCCAGTCTGGCGATTGTGAGCAGCGGCTTCCTGATCCAACTTCTCAATTCCCATGGTTGGACGGAAACTCGACGGATGGTGCTTGTGGTGGCACGAACAAATATGTATGCAATCCCGTATTTGGCTACTGCTGTGGAGGCGATGGTGAGTGCGGAATGAACAAGAAGCAGTGCGGCTCGGGATGGTAAGTTTCTATGCATACTTCAACTCTAATCAAAGATGCGACAGCTAACGCGACGAGGGTCCAATAGTCAAGCGACGTTTGGGAAGTGTGATTGAATCCCAAAGCTTCCAACACGTGCGATGTGGCTTCGATGGAGAAGTACGGGCAGTCTGTTTGGTCTTGCTCTTCGTCCCGAGGATGTGCATATTCGGAGGGCCGACTTTCGCGACGAATGCTCTCTTTGCTAGCAATATCGGCGTTGTTCGTATGAGGCTTCGCAAAAACACGGTTTAAAGTCTCACTCGCGCCTTCCTTGATCACTGAACACAAGTGCCGACTGTTCAATAAGCAATAAATATACATGTTGTTTACGTCGGCGACTTGTAAATCTCAAGCGTATGACACCTGCGCCGCAACATGTTGATAATCTCATCCTGGCCCCAATATTGGAATTTTGCCTTCCGAAACTCCCGTTTTTGCAGCATGTTTCCGTGGCGGCATCTCATCGATTACCCGACCTGGCTTACACCCGGCTGTAGCGAATATTACCATCCATCCGAGAATGCAGATGCCGCCTTCAGGCTGCTTGAAATGCGGTTACACACAAGCTTTTCTGGGAATACTTGGCAATAATTTTGACTATGCTTATATTGGCTTAGGAGGCTGTGCACGGCGAAATATACGACTTGCAGTTGGTAGCGCTAAGCGGATATTCGGGATTTTGGTTGTATTCCTTTTGAGCACATTCAATCCGTACGCCCTGCAGCATTGGATTAATTACGGTGGCCAATCCATACCCGGAGCCATACCCGGAGGCTTACGTTGGGCCTTGTTCCCCCGTAGTAAGCTTTGGGTTTCGTTCAATCGCTATGTCCCAGGGATGGGAGGCACAGGGCTTGGAACAATGGAGATGTACATAGCCGGAGATGAGCTCGTATTGCTGAAGAGATACTCCTGCAATCCTGGTGCCTGAAGTTCGTTGATATGCGCTCCAAGATCTAATCTGCGCCAACTATCGTGGTCGCGCTTTCCGTATGATGGCCGTGTCTAGAAGTCCAGATGATGTTGACAGTCCTCGCATGTGGCTTGAGATATAAAGCGTAGCTGATCAGATACCCTCAGTATTCGAGGCCAATCAGCAACCAAAGCCCTCTTCTCCACTGTGGGTTGTGAGCCAGCGCATAGTCAGTCATGCACTTTGCACTCTTCTTTCGAATGCTTTTCATAGCATCCGCTGCCGCAATCACCACCGCCTACTAGACTCTTCTTAACCGTCAAAGCTGCGACGAAGGCAGCAAGCGAGTCTGTTACGGGAAGGATGGTGGCCAAAGCCAATCACTAGACCCGGCCGACATCGAATATGTGGCTTCTTATCTTCGATTCGTTGGCGAATCCAACACTGGGGCTAATGCACGATGGACGATGCCTGCCAGCGGCGCTTGCGAGGAATGGGTAATTGCCGTTCCTGACGCTGGCACCGTTCTGGCCTTGGCCAAACACAGCAAACCCGACGTTGCAACATCAATTCTCTATTCCGACATCGCAGCGACTATCGATACTGTCGGGGGTCTTTTGGAGTGTGAGAAGAACGGCGGCCAAATGCCTACCATCGTCAACAGAATCGACCCAGCGTACACTTCAGCAGAGTACAAGGCCACCAAAGCAACGCCGGATGGAATCACAATCAAGCTGGTTCGCGACCCCAACTTCTCTGGATGATTGCGCTCGTCTCATGACGCAAATATGAACTGATCCAGAACGCCTCTCAACATGGATGCGGTAACATGGGATTTGATCATTAGAACCAATACCATGTTATGATAGCGTAATCAAGAACGCGTCGTGCCGCCTCTGTGTCGTCGTACATGTCGCTCAACTGATTCCCACAGTCTTCCCGCCCGTGTTTCTTCCTCGAACATCAAGACCCTCAGGATCACAAAGCTACTGTAAAGTCTTGTTGATGGGGAACTCAACCCGTCTATAGCTGCCAGGATACTTGGTTTAAGAGTTTGAAGCCAAGCGTGGACTTGAGTGATGTAGTCGTGTACGGTAACGAAGGGATGCGTAGTAGGCAGCACCTCGAGGGACGGCGGAGGTGGTGGGCAAGCAATGCCGCAGCAGCGCAAAAGGTCCCGATCTTCATCATCTGAGTCTCCGGTCCACTCTTGATTGTCCCAGTTATCGTCTCGATGCTCTCCTTCCCATCTGTATCCCCATGTGTCTAGATCATCTACGTTTACGCTGATAGACGAGACCGGTGGTTCCGTTGCGGGCGAGGTGGAGATCTTGTGAAAGGAATGACCGTCGGTGGTGTATGGTTCACATTTAGAGTCTTGGTCGAGGGTGTCCGCAACTTCGATTGAAGACTCCAAAGGCCCAAAGAGCGACAAGCGCACTCGCAACATGTCCATAGAGGACAGAACGATGGTGCCAGAAGAGCGGAGGCTATCGTACGTTGGGATATCCTTAGAAGTCGACATGGTGGAGAGGGATGAGAAAGCTTTGTCAGTTTTGGATTGAGCAGAGGTGCTCGATGGACAGGATACGCCAGGTGTTGGGTATTTAATCTATTACATGTAGGGAGGCGCCACGCCGCAATCAAATAGAGAGAAAACGAAATCGTCAGCTGATCAAGGAGACGAGCCGACGCGACAACCAGTAAGCAAAACTGGTCCGACGTCCTGCAACACAAACAAATCTAATGTTTCGTTCCCATGCACCTGGGGAGTTTCAAGGTCCCGAAGTTTGCGACTAAACACGTGACGTCATGGCTTCCCGTAATCAACAATCGCTCCTTCCTGCCGTGAGCTGTCGCGCTCACTTTCACTTTCTTGGCGTGACGCAATGTAAACAATATTGCTACTCACTGCAGTTTCGCTGCGGCCCTGACCATAACATGTTTCGCATCTTCCCGCACCTTCTGCACGATCTCGCCCGCGCCTTGCACTTCCTTCACTAACCCCACACCAGTGCCAGCCCAAATGGCGGCGCGCCCTTGCAAGCCCGTATTGTATCCTTTGTCTTCACCTGCAGCGGCCTCATTGTGCAGCTTCTGTATCTCTTCCAGGCTCATGCCGTTCGCGAAGTCCTTGTGGCTCTGTGCCACCAACCCGCGCCCATCATACAGCTCCGGCCAGATATTAGGCCCGCGCAGCTGATCAAACAGCTTCGAACGCGTCGTCACCTGGCCGCCATCTTGTGCCTCTAGGACTGCGGCTTGGTATACCGGATGGACGTTCACCTCTTTAGAAGCGAGGAAACGCGTTCCCATGACGACGCCCTCGGCACCGAGAGTGAGCGCTGCAGCAACACCACGTCCGTCGACGATACCACCTGAGGCGACGAGTGGTATGTGTGAAAAGCCTTCCGCAACAAGCGCGTCGGTCACCTCCGGTAGTAGCGAGACGATGCTTGCGCCCTTCTCAAAGCCGTGACCACCGGCATCCGCGCCTTGGAGACACAGCACGTCTGGATGCGCGATCTTCGCAACGTGAAGAGCCGCCGCGACGCTACCGAGTTGAATCCAGATCTTGCTTTCCGGCGAGGCTTTGCGTATCGTGGGCACCCATTCCGCGTAGTCGTCCAGATCTTTCGGCACGAACAGCCAGATGACCGCGGGCTTGAAGTCATTGAACACCGGAAGAACCTCTTCGAGTTTGAGCACAAATGGGAGGAAGCCGACACCAACTGGGAGGGTTCGCGATGCCGATAGTTCGGGACTGTTCTTGAAAGCTTCTGCGGCAATACCCAGCTCTTTTCTCAAATCATCCATGCTGCGTAGACTTCCGATCATACCGAGGCCACCAGCGATGGTTACAGCTGACGCAAGCTTACCACCCGCGAAGCCCGCCATGGGCGCGTTGACGATCAGCGGTGACGACGTCCATGGCAGCTGTTCTTTGAGGGTAGACATGGCGGCCCAAGATGAGGTTCACGCAATGTTGAAGACCGAAGGTGAAGCTGTTCGATCAGAGAAACCTTACCAGGATTGGTACTTATGAACTGAGCGTAGGAGTAAGCAGCGTCATTCATCAGGCCTTCCACATCATGTTGCGACCTTACCGCCAGCCCGATCCGGTTACGAGCGGTGTATTGTTCAGCGAAAGTCAGCATCCTACGTATATGCTTGATTCGTTCCTTCGGAATTCTGAGTGGAGATGCGACTATGCCACGACAGCTTCTTTGCCCCGCATTCAGCCCCACCTTCGTCTTTCGATCTCGTTCTTTCGCGATGTTGCACAATATATTGTGATATCTTTTCCATTCTGGCATCAAAGTTGGTTCGATGGTGTAGTTGGTTATCACGTTCGCCTCACATCTGTGCAGCACGCGAAAGGTCGCGAGTTCGAGCCTCGCTTGAATCATCCAATTGTTTTTTGCTTCCGCGACGGCCTCAGCAGGACGTAGATTGACGCGTTATCATTATCTTGGCCCAGGATTTGATTTCGAAGATAGCCAAGAATCTGTCACAGCAGCTATATCTGTCGAACGGCACGTATATTTTGATCCTACATCCAACAAAGCATCCAATGATAGACATCATCCGGGACCCCTATTGGAAGCTCATACCCAATACCCACGGCTTCCTCCTCTCCAAATCCAATATCATCTGCCCAAACAAACCATTCGCCCAACTAAACCACTGCCGACTCCACACGCCCTTGTCCCTCGCATGAACACTCTCATGCATCAGGCCCAACCCATCGGTACTTTGCACCAACCACATCAAATTCTGAACGATCTCGTCATCATCCTCACTCGTCAGAATAGTCATGATGAGCGCCATGGGCCATGGTCTACCAGGCAGTGTATGCGGACTCGCTACACCGGTAATAACCGGTCCGACGGCATAGTACGGGTTATCCCTGCTCAGAATCTTCCGACGTGTATTCTGGTATATCGGATCGCGAAGTGTCGTGTACCCCAAAAATGGTGCCGAGAGTAAAGAAGGCACATTCGGGTCATCCATGATATTCACCGAGCCATAGCCGTCGACTTCGTACGCGTATACCTTGCCGAAGTTGGGATCGTTGACTATACCGTATTTCTCCACGCCCCGGTTGATCGCTGTGCTGAGGGCTTGCATGCGTGCGGCTAGTGGGTTCTCGCGGGACATGATGCGCGACATTATCGTTGAGGAGGTGTTGAGCGCGGAGGAGAACATCATGTTGGAGGGGATGAGATACTGGTATGTGCATGCATCGTCGCTGGGACGGTGGAATGATCGAACGAGACCGATGTTGCCTTTATGCGGACTGCCGTTGCAGTTATTTATCGGTGTGCCGCCATAGGGAGCGCAGTACGTGTATGGCGTGTGCTGCCATTCGCCGTCTTCGGTGTAAGAATCTATCGTCATGCTTTCTGCGGTGTTCAACACCACTTCAACGGCTTTGGTCCAGTTACTGCTTTTCTCGAAGAACTCGTAGTCTTTTGTGGCTGTGACGTAGTCGACGGAGAGTTGTAGGAAGGATGCCAAGGAATCAAGTTCCCATTGGCAGGAGAAGACTTTGTAGTAGTCAAACGACGGGGTGATACGATCGCTGTTCATAGAGCTCTTATGTTCAACACCGCTCTCATCCGGTGCTTGGAAGGCGTTGCAAAACGCGTTTTCGAGAATGTAGCGTGCTTGTAGATTTATGGCTCCCCGAAATAGACCAGCTAGACTGTCATGACTGTCGTCTTGATTCAAAACCGAGATATATGCTTGGAGTTGGTTGGCAGAATCGCGCAGCCACATTGCTTCGATGTCGCCCGTGATGACAAAGGTAAGTTCTTCGGGCTTCATGCTCATGAGAGGTCCTTCCAATGAGTCTGGGTCGCTAGTTGTGTTTGACCATCCTCGCCATGCAATGGTCGTGTCTAGTGTACTTGGCCATGTATTCTCGAATATCTGTCGTCACATCAACATACCATCTCGACAACACTACAGTGGCAAAGTTGCGTACGCGAAAAAGATCAGGATCCTTAATAACACCCCGTAACCGCTCAATCGTCTTCTCCACCTCTTCCGACCGATACGTCCGACACGGCACAATCGGTCTAGCATAACTCAAATTCCACGTCCCCTGTGTGAAGGGTTCGTGGTATTGCGCGGCGTAGTTCTGGTAGAGCGGACATTGGGCCAAAGACAGGGATGGCAGGAGAAGCGAGATGCAAGGGATAAGGATCTTTGCGGTTGACAGCCTCATCGTGGCGTGCGCGACGGGCCGATAGTTGCCTGGCAACGTAGGAATACGGTACGATTCGATGCGAAAAATGGAATGCGATTAGAAGATATCGCCGATGGGTTAAGATGTAGTTGATTGTGTGCGATGTTCCCCGTGACAGGTGCGAGAGTTGAGCCAAGCCGGCACGAGCCACATGTCACTCGGTTGCAACGGATCGCAGCGTGGTGCTCATAAGGAGCCATGAGCAGTCGCGATACGAGGCAACACCGGACATCATTTGCGGACAATAACTCACTACCGAGGCGGTTGGCAGTTGTTCATTTGTATAGATTGCGTGCCAAGAATGCCTCCTCCGCCTACGAACCCCGCTCCGGAAGGACAATTCCAAGGCTGGCACCACCTCATCTGTCATCAACCTTTGACAATGGCTCTTACTCGCTTCCTCTCCTCTACGTCCAAAACCCAGGGTATACCCGAATCGCCTGATGTATCCTTCGCTACTTCTGCGAACTCGTCATCTTCCATGTTTAGAATCAGAGTCATTTGCGTGCTCTTTTGGAAAACATCGCGGAGTGAATATGCGCCGCCACTTGTAGCCGCTGTGATGATACCAGATATGTCGCGCTCGAGTCTGACAGCGCCCAACTCATTCACTCTGCCGTAGTAGCTCTTAATGCGCTTCTCGAGTGAAGACGCAAGAGAGTTCAGACCTAAAGCGAGGAGTCGGTCGAAGTTTGCTGAGGTCAAGATGCGCTTGATAGGACGGATTACAACTCCCCAGCCGCGGTCGAAACGCGACTTTACGACATCAACGTCCTCCTCCTCTTCGTCTTCATTCTCGCCGTCCTCAGGATCGTATCTGACGTCTCGGAATGCTTCGGCTAGGATGGGTCGAATGCGAGGCTTGAGTACGTTGGAGAACAGTACGGTGATGCCGTCGTTGAGCAGATCCCCGCTCTTGGACGCAAAGGCTTTCTCCATTGCTTTCAATGTATTCTCCACAAACACTGCGTCATGTCCGAATGGAAAGAGGTCGTGCAACGGCGACTTCACATCCTCTTCGCCGCCTTGTGATTGTCGGCCCAGTTGCTGCTGAACTATGCGCTTGACGTAGTCGTTCGCGATATCGAGATTGTTGATGAGCACAAGGAATGCAATGACCTTGTCCTCAGGAGGAAGACCGCCCTGTATAACGGGCTTGGGGTAGCTTTCATCGCGCATTTTTCGTTGTATCATACCGATGAACTCCGCGCCTAGAATGTGGCTGACCGCAGGCACAACGCTAGAGACTACGGCACGTTGCGAGGTTGCTAATGTTCTCTGAATGACCTGATTGACAATGTACATGACATCGTCCACGGCAGAGGTGATGAAGGGTGGGTTGGACCCGAGAGGCTTGGTTGGGTTGAGCGTAAGATCTGCTGGTGCCTCGTCCAATTGAAAGGCCTTTTCCACTGATCGACGGAAGAAGAAGGTTGTCATGGCATTGACAGGCTCGATGAGATGGCTGTTGACTTTTTTGTGGAGGTTACTGGTAGCTAAGAAGTTGGGCATCACCAAGCCGTAGTCTATGCGATCCTCAGGTTCAGAGGGCTACAGAGGTAAGTCAGTGGAGATAAACATGTACATTCGTCACTTACAGCACACTTGTCGGAGAGAAAGCGCGCATACAATGCATATCGACCCAGCATCAGCGCCCCCTCTCCGAGCAAGCCGTCAATCTCTTTCATATCAACCCCTTCATCTTCACTCGTCCGACCAGCACCGTTGGCTGGTGAGCTAGAGCGAGGTGTTCCAGAAGCAGGTTTTTGCGAAGGGAGGAAGCTTTGAACGAGAAAGGAAAAGGCATACGATTTGATATCGGTAAGTTTGCGGTCAATGTGGCGCTCTTCATGCCATGTGTCGAGCACAATGCCACCCTGGACATCAGCCTCAATTTGCAGACGTTCAATGACCTTCTGCATCATGCCGGGTCCATAGTGACGCTCTACCAGCGGCTCATGACCATCGACAATTTGTGCGATGTGCTCGAACAACTTGGTGATGGTATTGCCGTAGAAGAAGCCCTCATTCCTTTGGGCAGGCGCGGCCGAGTTGAAGTTTGTCCGCGCCCTTGAGGCTACTCCCTGGCAGACATAGCGGCCATATGCATCCAAGCCTACATTTGTCCGTCCGATCAAGGGGAACAGCTTGAAGAACCTCGTCACCTTGGAGCCGTCGCCTTCTTGCGCTGCCTTTTCAAACTCGCGCAAGAAAAGACCACACAGTGACTCTGCTGCTGCATCTAGTGTCACGCGGGGCGGATCAGGCACCTCGGCAGTGGGCACGATCTCCTCTGCGAAGCTGCCGTTTACGACATCGTCGGGTATCTTCGCGGCGCGACTGAGATAGCCCGCTGCCGTCTCCCAGTCCTGGGGAGCTCCCATAGACCCATGTACGCCCAGCACACATGCCTTCAGCTCCGCCACCTGCTCCACCACCTCGAGTGTCGCCTTGACATTGGACTGTTCCTGGTCTAATCGCTTGACGGCGCTGGAGATTCGGTTCGCAGTCGAGGCGGCGTCGGAGAGCATGCCACTGCTAATGGCTCGCGTGTTGACCGCTTGGGTGCCGAGGTGGGCGCGCAGCAGATCGAGGCGACCGAGTTCGCGCGAGAGATCCTTCTGCGAGGCGATGAGGGCGTTTAGGCGCTGGGTCACGCTGGCCTCCTGCTCATGCAATTGGCCGAGGGCTTCATGGATCTGAGCCACGCTGGCGGCGGCGAAGATGTCCTGGTGGTCGTCGATTTCAACTGCCATTTTCAATTGCTGCAATAATGCCGCTGGAGATGCAGCAGTGGAGGAATATCAGACGTCGCGTACTGGCTGTCGAGTGTTGATCATCTATTTCTGGCGCGGCAGCTGTCAAGCGTTGGTGGGCGGGCGCCGATCTCTTGGCCGGTGACGTCTCAGAGCCCCCCGGACACCCACGATCCATGCGCCGTTGCCCCTGCAGCAAGATTACATGTTGACGGCGGCGGGACGGCCTCTGCTGTCGCATGTGTCTGTTTACTCAAGCAATCTCCGCCGCAACTTTTTGTATAACAGCGTTTGACAGCCCCTCTGCGCCACGCTTGAGCCCCAACAGCCGTGTAAACACCACGACGACCCGCGCACCAATCACCCTCGCATCTAGACCTTTCAGCTGTACGCACCACGATTACGCACCAACGGCCCGCATCTGCACCGAAGACTGCGCCTTCCTCGTACTTCACCAACAGAAAGCCCCTACCACTTGCGCTTTCCTCTCCGATTTTTGCGACTTCCTCTGCGACCGCCTCTGCGCCTTCCTCTCTCATCTCCGTGGCGCCCTGGACCCTGTCCAAACAGACTTCCCAAAGCGTGCCTGCCTCCGCGATCCAACGTTCCTCCACGTGCAGCCTCGTGCACCTTCACACACGACATTGAAGTCGCCAACAGCTTTATTCATGCTTCCGCGGTAAAAAACTCAGAAATCAATTACACCCTCCAGGTCGAGTCGCCGGTGCACTAGCACTTGGTAGCACACACTGCGACCCAACCCAAATCATGGACGCAACGGCCCACCTCCTCCATGCCGCCGCCCAACTGGATGCCCGCGCTGGGGGCATGGGCGGCGATACTGGAACCCGTCCAGGCTCGTACAAAATCATTGGTCTCGTCCTGGCGATTGCATCGGGAGTCTTCATCGGCACGTCGTTTGTTATCAAGAAGCATGGTCTGTTACAGGCGAACAAGAAGTACAATGAAGAGGCGGGAGAAGGCTACGGGTACCTCAAGAACGCCTGGTGGTGGCTCGGCATGACACTCATGATTGTTGGAGAGATATGGTACAGACTGCGAGGCATCACGTCTGAACATCCTACTAATGCCTGGCAGTAATCTTGTCGCATACGCTTTCACCGACGCTATCCTCGTAACCCCCATGGGCGCCCTCTCCGTCGTTATCTGCGCTATACTGTCCACGATATTTCTGAAGGAACGATTGAGCTTTGTTGGGAAAGTAGGCTGTTTCAACTGCATCATCGGATCTGTTGTCATCGCCGTGAACGCGCCTGAGCAGTCGTCTGTTGCGCGCATCCAAGACATGAAGAAATGGGTCATTGCGCCCGGTTTTCTCAGCTATGCAGGTGTCGTCATCGTCGCATGTGTTGTCATTGCTCTCTGGCTCGGCCCAAAGTACGGAAAAAAGACCATGATGGTCTACATCACCATCTGCAGTCTGATCGGAGGACTGAGTGTTGTCGCAACCCAAGGTCTCGGTGCTGCTGTTGTAGCGCAGGCTTCCGGCACATATGGTGGACAGTTTAAGGAATGGTTCCTCTATGTGCTGCTCGTCTTTGTGGTCGTTACATTGCTGACGGAGATCATCTACCTCAACGTAAGTCTTTCACTCTTTCTTGGCTATGTGGAGTATGCTAAGCTTTGCCCAGAAAGCCTTGAATCTGTTCAACGCTGCTTTGGTAACACCAACCTACTACGTCTTCTTTACTTCCGCAACTATCGTCACCTCCGCCGTCTTGTTCCAGGGTTTCAAAGGCACACCACTTCAGATCGTCACTGTCATCATGGGCTTCCTGCAGATTTGCTCTGGGGTTGTTCTGCTACAACTCTCTAAGTCGGCAAAGGACGTGCCCGACTCCGCCGTCTTCAAGGGCGATCTTGACCAAGTGCGAACCGTCGCAGAGATGGAGGAGCCAGAATACGAACCCCGAGCCGACACCCTTCGCGGCGGCGCGGCAATTCTTAGATCACTGTCAAAGGCTAGGTCTCACAAGGAGCTTGCTGAGGCAAGGAAGATTCAAGAAGAGCACATGGAGCCAATTGGTGAGGGCGAGCAGGTGGAGTTCGACGGTCTCCGAAGACGTAAAACGGTTCTCGACCCCAATCGGCCACCAACGCGCAGCGGCACCATTGTGCAAACCCGAACAATCCACCCCCCTCTTGGAATGTCGCAGTTCCCGACCGACGAATCAGACGACGACAACGACAGCTTCCACCCCGGTTTCTTCCAACGACTGCGCTCCCGAGGCAAATCGACTAGTAGTCGCGGCAGCTCCCACGCTCCAGGGACTGCAGGGATGGGCATGCAGACGTTACCGTCTATTCCCCAAGCCGACGGCGCATCGGACCGCGAATCAGACGCCGGATCCTTCAAGCAAACCATAATGACACAAGACACATCCTACAAACCAATCGATACGCACATACAATTTGCCGCGCTCCCCGATCCGCAGTACCGCCACAGCCGTACCGATTCCAACGATTCCCTCGCTCCCCCACGACCAAACCCTCACATCGCCAAACGCCAATTCTCCTTCCAAAATGTTTTCTCTCGGCACCGCTCCGAATCCACAGGCGAAGCGTCAAGTAGCAAAGTACGCCCGACTAGTAGGCATAGTCGGAAGAGCAGCAGAGAGGGTAAAGCAGCTGCTACTGCTACTGAAGAAGAGAGACTGGGTCTTGTCAAGGGCGATTCAACAAATCTCCTCCCTATAGCAAGCCGTGATGATGATGAGTTGGTTGGACCGCCAGGGTACTCGGATGACTGGGATATGCCACGGACCTCTAGTCCTGGGTTTGAGCCCGAGAGACCGCAGAATAAGCCGGCGATAAGAAGGGTGGATACGGACGGTTCGGAATTGAGTCCGAGGGATCCTAAGGAGTTTGAGAAAGGGGGTGGGGGGACGTACTTATAGCGGCTAGGATGATGACTTTTTCTGTCTTTCCTTCCTGTTGCTTGAGATGGGCAAGTTTGGCTTCTTGAATGTCGTTTTGCATAGTTTAGTGGCTTCTTTGTCGGGCGCTGTTGGTATATATTGAGCGTCGGCGCTTTCTGCAGTGCAGACTGGCGCGATGAACGGGCCAATGTATGGCGAAGACGACAGGATTTTTTGAACGTTAATGAGTACTTTCATGTACATGAAGACGTTTTCGCCTGTTAGGTGAGTGTATACGTAGATAGCAAGAGGAAGCGATTTAGATACATAGTTGTGAGATATATATATCATGATGATCACCACCACCGCTTTTGACTAATTTGCGCATGTGGTGTCCGGGCGTTCGGCGCTTGGGTGCGAGTATACAAACTTTTCCTGTCTTCCTTCTTTCCTGTCATCATCCAAAACTCATTTCCTCTCTTACCAAAAAGCCTACGTGGTCAAGATGATGTCTGCGGGCTCTCCTTTTCTTCCAAAAGCCTGACCAAGGAAGACATGTGTCTTCGCGACTTCCTGCTGTCTTGCTCCAAAAATCAGGAACGCCGGAAGCATGTCCCATAACTCTGGAAAGAGGGCATCATGACTTTTCCACCGGCTCTAGTCTTCTTTCCAAAAGATGTTGAGTTAGGATTCTATATGTCTGGCGCTGCGCTCACATAAGATCCTACGCACAGAGTCATGTTCTGCGTTTCGAAAAATCTCGCGACCTTTATTTCGAAAACGAGATTCAGATTCCCGAAACATAGGTGTCTCAATACCATGGTGTTTCTGGGAGTGGGCTCGAGCTGCAGCTCGTCCTCCACGGTTCAATCGATTTCCAAATCGCGGGTAGATGCTGCGTATGGGCAGTGGATGGGGCTCGGGTATAAATACCTCCTTGCATCTTCTACCTTTTCTCGTCTTCATCCACGCAATTCAATGGTTATTACCAAAAATACCTACTGACTACAAGATGTTTCGGCATCTCTCTTCTTTCAAAAATACACAAGGACCCGTTGATGACTGCGCTGTTCTCTTCACAAAACTATGCAGCATGTTAAAAATGACTGGAACTTCGGGAGCAACGAAAACTGCAGTCGTGCACGACATGTTCCGGCGCTCCTTGTACCTTTCCAAAGTTTGATCTTCTAGCTGGGACTTTGAACGTTGCTTCAAAGACTTGGAGGGCCGTCCTCATGTTCCGCTTCGAGAGTCCGGTATTCCCAGCTTTTGAACGACACGTTCGCACATTTTTCTGTCATGATTGTAAAAGTGGCGGAGCTGTTTTCATGTTCTTGAGTGCGATATCATCCGCTCGACGGAGTTATCCTATCAAAAGAATAGGGCCTGTAGGTACGTTTCCTGTACTGTTTGGGCATCTCGATACCAGAATACCAAAACGCTATTCGCGGGCGTACATGGCTGTGTTTGGCTTCTCTCTCTCTTCTTGATTGCGGAGATTGAAAGCGGCGATATGTCTTCCGATGTTGTGGCGGTGAAAAAGTCCTCACTGTCGCACCTTTCTTCCTTCTCCACCGACCTCTGAGGCATATTTCCAGCAAAAGGCAACAAGAGCAAAGAAATATCTGCCGTGCTGCGCCCAGTTCAGCCACTAAAACTCCAAAGTACTGTTCGAAAAGATGAATGGCTGGGCCACTTCTCTCTTCTCCTATTCCTCGATGCAAGATCTAAAAAGGTACTTCGTCCGCGCATTCGAGACTTCCGGACCTGGCAGCGAATCTGAAGTTTGTGTACTTCATGGTGTGCCGGTAACAAGAAGGTGTGGGTTTACCGTGATACCATTTCTAGGCCTCGGTTGCTAGGAAGCTTATCTGTGGATCATCGCTTGTCTTGCAACCGAGGCTGTTTGCCACCTCAACGACTTAATCCTATCATCGAGCACTATCGAACTAACCGAACAACGAGTCTTTGATGTACACACCTAGCACCCTCGTCCACATGAAGTAAACCCTGCTAAGCCTCAAGATCTTCTTCCTGCCCGTGCCATCAAGATGCTGCTGAGCCTCTTCCTCGACATCGCTCTTATCCTCCAGATCCATGCACGTCAGATACTCCAAATGAGCATGTCTCATCGCCGCCCCAGATTCCCACTCTGAACCTTTCCTTACGTCCAGACAGATCAATCTTTCGCCCTTTGACGACAAAACTTTCAGAACAATGAACCCGCTGGCGAGCATCGTCGATAGCTGACATGGGACATCAATACTGAAACCCTCGTTCCCCGATTCGGCTCGTCTCTCGAACATGCCATTATATGGGCCTTTTGTTATGAGTGCAGTGTCTCTCTCATTGTGGAGTAAGCTCGTTAGGATCAGCTGATCATCGATTCCGGTCACCTCTGCCACCTCTTTGATCGACTTGCATATCACGCGTCCCCGTAAGAAGTCATGCCATGGCCATTCGCAGACATAGCGCGACTTTGCTACCACGAGAATGAAACCGGCGAGTAGCCATGCGAATGTGGTGATGTTGAATGGGTCGACGCCTTTGAGCCGGTTCTGCACGGAAAACGGGACCGCGGTCGCGCCGCAGATAAGCAGGACACACAACGTTAGGATAGTATAGACGTAGCGGTAACATTTGAGTGTTACTGTCAGCTCAGAGATGATCCAACCGTTCATACGTATCTCTGCTGACTTTTGCTTTGAGGCGTTGCTTCGATTTGGACTCTCCGGTATACTACCAGATGATGCAAGATCAGTCTTCGTTTGTTCTAACGGTGAGTTCAAGATGTCCGCAAAGCTGGTGCCGGCTTTTGGTAGTCAGCATAATTCATAATGCGAATGGAAAAAGAATCTTACCGCGAATTGTTCTGCTCAGTGGACTTCTCGATACGGGAAGAACATCCAGATCAGGCCCATGAGCGGCGTTGGCGAATTTAAGCTTATGCTGTTTGTCTTGCCATGCCGCAGTCGTGACGACAAATTTGGCCGTAAAATGTTTCCGCTCAAATTGTATCACGGGGTCTTCTTCCTCGCTGTTGCCCGTCGCAAAGTCTAGCATGTTACCGAGTTCAATCCCAGTATGTGGGTCAGTCAATGCTAGGGGCACCATAATGGATACGATGTCGTCGAACCGTGATGTACGGAAGTTTTGAACTGGCGAAATCGTGCCTTGTATACCCTCCGCCCATTGCCAGCGGATGTTTGTTTGCTCACGCGTATCATCGCGGGGCGGTTGACGCTCCGACTTGAGAAGCTCAACGTTCTTCATGAGATTTTGGAAGGCGGTGTAGCTGCAAGTAACATGTGTGGTATCGGAGGTTGCGGCTACGTCTCCTCGGCGGTCGTTCGATATCACTGTCAAGCTTCGTTCGAGACCCGTCTCGTATACCAGTGTGCACACCTCGAAGCAGTTGGGCGGATTACCCGTCTTCTCCGACGCATACAATGCGAACGCTGCATAATTGAAGAGGTTGGCTAGTCTTACTTGCAGCCCGTTGTGGTCTTGGAAGTAGTAACCTGTGATGTCCGCTTCGGCTTGCGAGTCGATATCGAGGTCGTCCTTGCTTTCGGGGCCCACATCCGTAGCGCGGACCTTTAACACTTTCAGGTTTTCTTTCGCTTCGCTATCGGTCATCCGCGCTAGTAAGTCTTCAGCAGCATCCAGAGAAAGAGAGGAATACTGAGCAGGGTTGTACGATAGAATTTTCAGCTTAGCGGACCATTTAGCCAAGATAGCGAGGGAATGGTTGTTCCAAAAGTCGCTTGTTGCAGAGCGAACCACGAGTCTAGCGACGTGGCTTGTAATATAATCGACAAGTGCGAAGTATACCTTCCGGTTCGCTTCTGGATCTTCGAGCAGCTTTGGGCGACGAGCCCTCACTTTTTCCTCGTCTTGTTCAAATCGGGTCGTGAGTCGCGTTCTAGCGCCTTTGAAGTTTCGAACTGCTGTCGAAAGAGTTCCGATCCAGCGGCAATGCTCGAGGATGTGGAGAGCGTTGTCGTGAACTATGATTGAGAAGTTGCATGTGATTTGATCCGCAAGGTTTGAGAGGTTCTCGAATGTCGTTGAGTCTGTCCGGTCGAAAATTCCATTGCTATTGAAGATTAACGCATCTTCGGAGGCTGCGTCTGCTCTCAATCGCCGTATCTCTAGTAACCAGAGGTGCTTCTCCGTGGCTGAGGAGATGCCGTAATTTTTGAGGTCGTCGAACTTGGGTAGACCGGTCAAGCTGATACCGCCTTTGCTGTATTTCTCGTATTCGGTTGCTCGGGTCATGATATCGCTCTCCTTGAACGTAAAGACATGTCCATCTCTGCAGAGAGTCCCTCGCTTGCTGGGCTTCTCGGGCAGCTGATATCCAAGGTCCAGTGACGACATTGGGTTTTCTCTCACACTAGAGGGTCAGTACTGTCTCTTGTGTTCGCTTCAGGGTACGTGTCTTACAAGAGCGATCGTTTCTTGCTCATGGCGGTTTACCACTGCCTGGGCATGCGCGAGATAACCTTGGAATGGATGAGCGAACCTGAATTTCACCCTCTTCGATATAAGCTCAGGGAAGCAAACCCTATTCAGGCTATGCAATGGCCGTCTAGCTATGCTTCTGCTCAGACTCACAGCCTTATGAGTCCCAGAGATCGGGATGCTAGAGCCACAAGGCTAGGTAGGGGCTGAGCAAATCGAAGCATGCACGCGAACCTAAGCCACAACAAAAAGCCTTGATCTAGGTCTATAGTCGTCAAAGCCAAGCTTCATGATCGGTCAGTTCAAATCCGGGCTGCGCCTTTCAAAGGCTTACTAATTGGTGGTTTGGTAGACAAGGCTGCATGAGTCTAACTCTCCTCGGCATAGCCTGACAAACATCCTGCATTATAGGATACTACTAGCTCACCGGTCAGCTGCTGAAATTTTTGAATACGATGAGACTAATCGCGCCAGTCTTATTGCGGTTATGTTCTCAACAGGCTACAATGTGCTCGATGAGGCTGGGAGAGATAAGGCTCAGCCTTAAAGGCTGCATGAGTCTAATCCTTTGCTATGCACTTCCATGAAGATCTTGTGTTAAGAGAAGAGACTGCCTTGTTATTCTGACGTCGATTAGAGCATGTGATAGTGCCAACAGATCTTCTATTGCTCAGCCGCAGTTGTGTACGTGTGTAACGGTAGGCTGCAAGGCTGATTCTCTTAGCCTCATGTTTCTCAAATAATTGATTGTGACACCAACCTTATCCCCACCCAGTTTTGAGTTGAGAGGCTACTTCATTCTCACTCATACTCTCACATGTCGGTAGAAGATTACAGCGCTGCTCGTCGGGGCGTTCTGCAAGATGTTGCCAACGTCAACACTACAACTCCACAACCAAACACATTACCCGGCGAGGAGACTATCGATTACAAGGTCGACCTGGTAGATATTCGAGAGAAGGAGCAATGGGGTGATACACCTTTGATCACTCTGACCCCCAATCGACACCAAGCAAAATCCACAGCAAAATACGAGGACTATGTTCTGGTTTTGCGAAGAAAGATTGGCTTGTCTGGCCAGAAACGCTCAACAGACCTCGAAGTTCGATCACCTCACATACTGAAAGCATTCCGCACTGTCTTGGGAGATTATCCTTCGATGAATTTCGATTCCACCCTTGTCGCTATCCCTAAACCGTACGCGCCGCTGTTTCATTACCGCCAAGAACTCAGGGATTATGCCGCCAATAGTGCGAGAACAGTGGTTGAGAAAGAGCACCTGGATGTGTTGATCAAGTTCATGGAGAAGAACCTTTCGCAAACCGAACGTGACTTCGGACATGCTGAGCCGTACCAGATGGTCTCTTATCCTCTGCTCTGGACACTGTTCAGGCCAGAGGAGGTTATAATAGCTCAAGGAGATCACTACGATGAGTGTTACGTAGTCGACAAATTTGAATACGTCAGCGAAGTCCACCAAGGCACCGACAGCGATATGACACCATACTTCAGAATCGATGTAAAGAGATGGGACTACAACGGTACACGTTTTGGCATGTCTGAGGAGAAACTCAAGATCAGGGAGTTCGCTACAGCGGTCAAAATCGACACCTTAATGGTCTACCCCATTCGGTTCCACAAGAAAGAGCCCACAGAAAGCTTGAAAGAGAGATTGATACGAAGAGGGAGAAAGTGGAGGGAGATCTTAGAAAAGACTCACATGCATTACAATGGTCGGTGGCTAAGTTATCCGTCTGAAAGGTACTGACAAGCTAAGCAGCAATCGCTTGGTCAGAGCCTTCCTACGACCGTGCAGTTCATATCAATGCGCTGGTCCCAGGCCATGTAAGTTAGCACCAGACACGTTGCACCCGGCAATATCATAACCGCTATCATCTCCAGGTTTCAGGACGAATCATGTTAGACTACGAGACACACGCGCAAGCTGCGCCCCGACTTGCGACCTTTCTTTCGACCTCAGGCGCGACAATGGAGTACGACGGCAAGTCTCCAGATAACGAAGAAAATGATACGGCAGCGAACCTTACCATGGCTCGCAAGGCCAGTGATAAGGAAAACAAATTCATGTCTCATCTGAACACTCCAGCTTATGAGATATCGAATGAGCAAGCACTTCTGTGCCCCGCTAGAGTGAGAGGCTACTCCTTTGTGGAGAAGACCTGGGCTTTCTTCATGGTAGACGAGGTAAAGGAGATAGATTGGCACCCAGACGCGTTCGGTAGTCTCGAATTGGATAGCAGAATGAAGTCTGCAATCCTCGCGATGGTTTCAGCGCATCGAAACCAGGATGATTTCGATGTAAGTTCCATTCCATTGGATTTCCAGTTTGATGCTGACGACAGAAGGATATTGTACCAGGGAAAGGAAAGGGTCTTGTGTTCCTACTTTACGGCAAGCCCGGACTTGGAAAGACGCTGACAGCAGGTACGCGATAGCCAGCATGATGAGTTTGAAGACTTAGCTAATACCACCAAGAGGCTGTCGCTGAGCATACCAAGAGCCCCATGTACTCCATAACCAGTGGTGAGCTGGGAACGGAGGTCGAGCAGACAGATTTCCAGCTCCGTACTATATTCTCCCGAGCAAAGGCGTGGAATGCAATCATACTGCTCGACGAAGCAGATGTCTTCCTCGCCAAAAGAAGCGCGACCGACCTCAAGCGGAACGCTTATGTTTCAGGTGAGTCATCAATGAGACGTCGGGTGTCGACGAATGATTCGGCCTTTGGTGACCGCTGACGTCCATGGGATCGCGCAGTGTTCCTTCGCCTGATCGAATATTACAAAGGCACCATGTTCCTGACCACGAACCGTCTCGAAGACTTCGACAAGGCATTTGAGTCCCGAATCCATCTAACCATTCGCTACGAAGCGCTCGATAGCACCCGTCGTACCAACATCTGGAGGAACTTCCTGAAGAAAGTCGGGTCTGGACGTTGGGACGAGGAGACATTATCGCGTCTCGGAACAGAGTAAGTGTGATGAGCATACACTGTGTGGCATTACTGACAACCTCAGGTACGCACTGAATGGCCGTGAGATCAAGAATCTTCTAAGAACTGCTCTTGCAATCTCGAAATACGAAGAAGAGGAGTTATCGGAGAAGTTGATCCGGAGGGTGTTGGACCTTTCAAAGGAACATCTGCTTGGGGATGGTGCTTAGTCATTCTAATGCCAGCACGAACCACACTAAGCTCCAGTCTGACTTTGGGCGTCGAAGGCGCATATTCTTCTTCTCTTTCATTCGTGATTCCGTTATCGGTGGTAAAAAATTGCAAATGGCGATTTTTTTGCTTCTTGTGCAGTCATGTATGTGAACGTCAGCGACAGGCGCGCATGCGCAATAATGTGGCATACCATGACATGCCACTGTCAAGGCGTTGGGTGGGGAGACAGGCATTGGGTAACGTGAGAAGGCAGCGACTAGCCGAGGCAGCCCAAACAGCGGGACAGAATGCGCGCTGTATGGTGAGACTTTCGGCGTGCAATATGGTCGCCCTAGTGCATGACGCATCTTTACAAACCCAAATCGTCGCGTCTGGAGGGTGTGTAGCTACTACTCGCCACCGACCACGCGTCTATCAACCCCGCTACCTGCCCGCTTCTTGCTAGCCTACTGTGATCAGTCAGACATGTATATATCAAGTACCACAACGCAGCTCACCACTGCAATACTATGATCATTTTCCACCTCTGAGTATCTGATCTATCCATAATGTCCACCCTCGCCGCCCAAAAAGCAACGGCCCAAGCCGTCATCGACGGATACAACGCATGGAACATGGATAAGGTAATGGCCTATCGAACGGCAGACTGCACACAACAAGTCCTTCCTGCGTCGCTAGGGCGACCGATCCAGAACAATACCCAATATCGTGAGCGCTTCAGTCAAATGCTGCCACATTTCAGGAACTTCAAGGTAAAACACAGATTCGAGCTTGGGGTGATAGGCGACTGACATCGTCGCAGGTTACTGTTCACACAGAGGCGCATGATGTGGATGCGCATACCTGTATCATGCATGCGACGAGTACAGCCGATAGTGACATTGGACCGTATGCGAACGAATACGCGCTCATCTTGCATTTCACGGAGGATGGGAAGCAGGTTACCAAGTTTCTGGAATTTGTAGATTCGGCTTTCTCGACAAAGTTCTTCAAGGAGCTGAGGGATGCAGGTCTTGGACCGCAGTAGACTTGCAGAGACGCAACTAAAGAGAGACCTAGATCGATGACATATACAAGCTGAAGACAGAATACATGGCGAAGAGGATGGATCGCTGACGTATCTTGTTCCTCGTCAGGACAGGAAAAGCGAAATAGAAACGGATATGCGACGTCGACCGGGAACATGAGTGCGCTCAGTGACTTTGCAATGCCGTTCTACTACGCTCGATCGTCCTCCCCTACTTTATGCCTCCATCCATCCTACCGCTTCACCTCGAAGTCACCTCCAGGCTTCCCCGGAGAATGCACCAGCTCGTGATTATCAAACTCCTTGCCCGAGAACTTGCCCTCGCGAACTTTGTTCTGGTTCTTGTGCGCGGCGATGCTGTGTTTGGTGACGCTGTCGCCGTGGCGGTCTTCCACGGGCTTGGGCACGTCAGAGGCGTACTCAGATTCGTGGCGATGCCCTGGTCGGGTGGTATCAGGAGTTTTCGAGGAGGGTGCAGGCGCTGGAGGCTTAGAGGACGTGGAGGAGGAGGCGGAGGAAGTAGATGGGTTGGTGGTGTAGTAGAGGGCTGCGGCGCCGACTGCGGCGGTTGTGGTGAGCCTAGGGGAGTCAGTATGGCGTTCCAAGTTGGTATTGGAAACCAATTTGTGCTGCGAAAAGAGTTGGAATGACAATCACTTACCATGTCAATCGCGAGGATGTCTTCAGCGTCTCCTTCGTACGCTGCTCATGGTCTGTTGCATACGGTCTCGTCGCTGCTGGACACTTGGCCCTATATGGTGCGCGAGACAGAGCTCGTAGTGAGGTTGCCCTTGCAGTAAACATTCTGTGGAATTGGAGATGCTGTGTATTGCATTGTTGATGGCCCGTTGCGGTCGTGGATATGTCTACATCATCTGTTGCTGGCTCGCTCCAAGCCACGCTACGTCATGGGCTTGTGTACGCGCCTTGGAACGTCGACGCGTTTGCGCACGTGCCTACGCGCGCTATGCCACGACTCCTGTAGCAGATAAAGCAGGTACACTAGATCTTGACTGATGCTTATGCTTCTACTACTACCACTGCGTCTACTCAGTCAACGGCATCGAGCTAATTTGATCCTCGGCATGCGTCACTATCACAGCTATAGCGCCTTGCGTCCTGCGCCTTGCCGCAGCGAGTCTCGAAAGACCGACGACGATGCAGGCTTGGACAGGATTGATCATGTCTAAGGTTTCATCTTTCGAGCACAACTCAGTGCTGGTCTTCTCTTCTGCGGTCGCATCTGTCCTCTGACGTCTATCATGCCGTCCTCGCCGCCGTTCTGCTCTCGAAACCAGGCCCATAGCTTTATTTACCACCACAATCGATCATTCCTTCACATACGACCATAGGATCATGAAAATTAGGCTTCCCGTCCGCTCAGCCATATACAAGCATGATACCGGCGGATTAGTAGTTAGGTGGGTGACCACTAGCGAATCCCCGCTGTTGTATGTTTTTGATCTCCTCCCTTTTGCCCTTGTTTTTGCCCATACTACGGCGATGACGCCGACAAGACGAACGACCTCCGATATGTATACAATCGTGCTCTGGTAGATAAAGAGAACCGCCTATTCAAGCACCCGAAGCCGAACCCGTAGCTATACGAGCCCACGCCTAAGCCACTTCGAACCTCTATACCTCCAGCCATGGGCATACATCAGCTGTGCTGTGATACTTTTGTCGTTGGATCGGGCCACCATTCCTAGGAAGAACCGATAGCAAGAACCTCAGGGCCAACGGTAAGGTCTTGCCTTCTTCGTGTACTGGACATGGTGCTGTGTAGGTACAGTATTTCGGAGGATCGCGAGACGACAAAGCTAACGGCCCCGTGCTATTGCGCTTGCTTCCACGCTAGGGTACCTGTACGTCCGTAAACTTGCCACAAGTACTGCTTGGCAGGCTGACACTTTCAAGCTAGGATATCATAGTGTTGCTCCGTTGCTTACGTCCGTAAACTAGATCTCGGGAGCTTTCGACCGACCGGAGCAACTTTGTCACAACAACAGGCTCGGCCGCAATGTACAGCAAACATACAAGGACAAGTCAGGTTATCATGGGTCACGGTTAATATCGACAGCGAAATAATGGTGCCGAAGTAACGGTATGTTGAACCCTGTTGAAGAATCCAGTACATGCGTTTCGACTGGGCAAGATATGTGCCTAGGTATATGAATCTGCTTTCTCTTCTCTCTTCTTGCTACACCAAACTTTTATCTCTTCGTCTCGAACATACAAACAATCTTCTGAAAGACTCTTCCAACCTGCACACCTACCCCAGAAACGATCAACATGACCGAGACTATATCCGCAGACTACCTCGTCATCGGCGCGGGCGCTGCGGGCATGGCTTTCGTTGATACCCTAATTTCCGATAAGAAGGAGACCACGGTGGCCATCGTCGATCGCTATTCGCGCCCGGGAGGTCACTGGACAGTTGCCTACCCCTTTGTCACCCTTCACCAACCATCCTTCGTCTACGGTGTCAACTCTCGACCGCTCGGAGATGGGAAAATCGATCAAGTTGGATTCAACAAAGGCCTTACTGAGGTGGCAACGGGCGACGAAATTGTTGCCTATTACACCAAGGTCCTGAACAATACTCTCCTTCCCTCCGGTCGCGTTACCTATTACCCACTGCACAACTACACTGGCGATGGAGAGTTTCAATCGATTGTCACAGGAAAAGCTATCCGAGTTGGACCGAACACTCGTATTGTGGACTCCACATACGTGAAGATTACAGTTCCCTCTATGGGTCCACCTTCGTATGAAGTTGCAGACAAAACCAACCTTGTCACGCCCAATGCTTTAGCAACACTGAAGCGACCATACGGCGCCTATACAATCGTCGGAGCCGGAAAGACTGCAGTCGACGCATGCTCGTGGCTCTTAGCTCAAGGCATTGACCCAAAGAACATTTCTTGGATCATGCCGCGCGACTCCTGGTTTTTAGAACGCGCTACACTTCAACCTCCAGAGACCACGCCCAACCCCGAAAAACTGCTACAAGAAAAGTCTGATGCTATCATGGGGTCCAAAACATCTCAAGAGATGTTTCACCGCATGGAGGAACTCGGGCATGCTCACCGTCTGGACAAGAGCATCGAGCCTACCATGTTCAGGCACGCGATTGTCACAAAGGCAGAGTTTGACGAGGTAAAGAGAGTTAAGAACATCATACGTCAGGGACGGGTCAAACGCATTGACCCAGACAAGGTCACTTTAGAGAAGGGCACATACACTCCTATGCCTGACACTCTCTTCATTGACTGCGCTGCCGCTGCTTTAGGAAACGTGCCACCTGTCCCTGTCTTCAATGGCAGAAACATCACGATCCAGAACATCAAGTTTTTTCAGCCCACGTTCAGCGCCGCTCTCATTGGACACGTCGAAGGTAGTTACGACGACGAAAACCTCAAGAACTATCTTTGCGACCCTTTTCCGTATACTCGCATACCGGCAGAATATCCTACGACCCTTCTGGCTTCTATGAAGAACAGACTCAAGTGGATGGCGGAGCCTAAGGTGAGTGAATGGTGTGCAAAGTCTCGTCTTGACTTTCCCATCATGGGTCTGCCGCCGAGGGATCCTGAGAAGGCCGCCGCCTTCAATGCCAGTATTGAGCAACGGGTGAGAGGTCTTTGTGATCACTTGGAACAGATGGCAAAGAACGACGCTGCAGGTGTAGCCTAGCCGTAGTTCAGAAGTCCTCTTTGAGGCAATTCTTCTCTTGGATCGATTTGTTTGTGGAATTAGTTACGAATCTGTATTCGAAACGAATCTATCCTACCAAAACGCTTCATTGTACCTATCTCTAGGCTTGTATCGCCGCGTAACCTCGCGTCAATCAGTCACTGTCGGTCCAGATAGTCGTGAACAAACTACAAGCATCGCGGACCCACGTCAACCTAGGAAAACACTAAGTAGGTCTGGAGCCTACATCAACGTTAGGCTATCTACTTTGCAGGTCTCTATGTTGATGTAGGCTGCAGACCTGTTCAGCGTCTTGCTTGTATAAGGTGGACTCTCGTTCCGCAAGTATATGTGTTCGCACATAGAAAGGGGTAATCACCAAACAACCTCTTCCCATCATAACAAGCATTCTGACTACACTATCTTAAAGAAAAAGAGGAGCTAATCACCCCAGCCTTCCGCCAATATTAGATCTGGTCTATAGCAACAACTGATCCCGTTGCTACCTTGGTATCCACCTATTGAAGGCCCTGTATGAAGTCGTAGAGTGCCTCATTGACTTCATCAGCTTGCTCTATATGAAGAAAATGGCCAGCATCAACAGTTCTAATCTGCATTCCCGGAGCGTATGGCAGCGTAGAACGTAACTGCTCCGACGGAATACCGACGGAATCCCTCTCGGCCGCGATGAACAGACTAGGCTGCTCAATGATTCCGGACATCAATCGAATCTCTACGCTGCATTAGATCATGTGAAACAAAGCCGCCTTCTGGGGTCCTTCTTACCGTCCTCGTCAACCGAGTTGATACCCCGCAAGTAAGATTTGTACCATTTCAGATTTGCCTCAACGCCTCCCTGTGCGCGGACGATGGTTTTCCATTGCTCTCGAGTCGAGTTGGTGATAAAGTCATTGCCATATTCCGCCTTTCTATCAGCTGCTAGCCACTCTTGAAGTGCACCGATCGTGTTGAAATTCTCCATCATTACTTTCGGTGCATTGAACGAGTACGCCAGAGAGTATAGAGAATCCAACTGTACTGTTGTAAGCTTGAGTACACGATGAACAATAATGTTGAACGTACGTGTGCATCCAAAAGGACGTGCGCGTCTGGTTGATCAAAGAAGTACCAGTACCCGAGAATGGGGTATCCGAATGTTGCTTGTGAAATGTTGTTATAAGCCTCCACGAAGGTTTGGTTAACGTCTGTGCCGGGTGAGTTGTAGCCGATATCCAAGAATGCAAGAGCTGAGAGGTACTGAGACTGGTACGTGTGAAAGCGGGAGAGTACATAAGCTCCGCTAAGGCATGTTAGTCTAGCGGTCTAGGAACAAGATAATATATGGCATTATTGGACTTACAGGTCATGCGAAACTGCGATTATCTTATCAAGACCTTCGCAGTCGAGCAGTTCAGCAATGTCAGATGCCATTGTCCTCAGACTATAAGCTTCCAGTTCGATGGGCTTGTCTGTACCACCAGTGCCTAGAAGGTCTGGGGCTATGATGCCGTAGCCGCGCCTGGTAAAGTATTCGATCTGGTTGACCCAACCATACGAAGTATCTGGGAAGCCGTGAAGGAACAAGAGGTATGGCTTTTCCTTGTCGAATGGGGGATTGATGGCGTAGCGGTATGTCGTTCTGGAAACAGGAAGTTTGACGTTCTTCATCATGCGCACATAGCTGATGTTTGCAACATCCGACTAATGCAAATCAGCGTCTCAGTACAATTCGAGGAAGCTTAGTTCTGGTAAACCTACGGTATCAAGGCCTACGTTGAACTGACATGTCAGATTCTGATCGAGTATGAGCGTCATTCTTTCAACGACGCATTGCTTTCAACCCTTACCTCTGCGCGACTTAGTCCTCTTGGTATTGCCCCTGACGCAAGTATCAGGCTACTCGTCAAGAGAAAAACTTCGAGGGCAGAAATCATAGCTATGGTCGAGGTGATGGGAGCTGTGTCTGGTTCTGAAAAGCGTTATTGTGGCAGAGCCGAGTGTTGGTATCTAAGTTTTCTGCAAAAGCAGCCATCTTGTATGAGCCGCAAGCTGGTGCGCAGGAATTATTACTACTGTTGAGGGATTAGTATCATATTGGCGACGCCTTCATCTCGGAGAACTATCATCCCGACCGTGTCCGGCACAAGTGTTGTTACGGCCGAGTGCTGCTTAGGTCTCTCCGACAAGTTCTCTACACCTATACTAGGCTTAATTTAACCTATGTATTCGATTATTCTGCTTTACTAAAGTCTAGCAATAATAGAACATAAGTAGAAGATTTGAAGTGGAACTGATAGTGAGCTAGAAGAAACCGGAGATAGCTGACGTGGTTATTGCTTCATGGTCGCTGTCAGCCAGGGCCATGCGGGGCACCAGACTAAGCAACAACCGGCGCTCACAGCTGCCCTGCCTGAATCGTCTGCGTTAGTCTCGTACACCCTTAGCTCAACCTTTCTAGCTATGCGAACACATCAGCTGTGCTGTAATATCTGTTTAGCGGTGAACCTGAGTCACTATTTTTGGGTCGCAATCGTAGTCAGAGCTTCAGGGCCGACGGTAAGGTCTTGTCGTTTTCGCGTACTGCTGTCTCGGTCTTCTACCACTGCCCCACCCTTTAACCGTTTCGACCACCGCCCCACCTACCAGCCTCTTCGTCAATCTTGTTATCTGTTGCGCAATGATGCCAAATCGAAGGTTCTGCTACGCGATAATAGTCAAATCCGATATATAGTACGTCGGGGTAAGATCGTATTGAGAAAGATGATTGAGGTAATGCTAAGAAAGATGAAGTTAGCCAGTCATCTCCTCGCTAACGGTACATGCTTCGCATACTTTGTTCCCTTTGTCAGAGTGTGGAACGATTCAGTTCCCCATAATAGTGCTGCACAAGACGCCACAGCGTTTGCAATCCAGGTACATGATGAATACAAACAACATGTTGTCTCTCTTCTGACACTGGTTCAGTATGCATATCCAATATCTCAATGGCAACAAACTGTGACGAACATCTTGGATGCTGTCGATGAACCAAACACTCTATGGCCGTATCATACACTTTCTGGTCCTCTAAATCGCACGATAGTCGGCCCAAATCCAGACACGTTGTACATTTGGGTGGCTGCCGACTTATCACATGAAGACCTCGTCTTGACTATTCCCAATATCAGCGATGGAAGAAACTGAATATAGCCTTTTTACGATATGTCAGTTTCATTAGAGATCAACAATCTATGAAAAAAAAGACTGACCGATCTCATTTATGGCAACAATTTTGCCGAGATGTCAATCAATGAGAACTCACCACCGGGGAACTATTTGATCAGACGTGCAGATGATGCCCTTGTTCAGCCAGGAATCGAATACACCACCGCGGCTGAACCATCCAGCTACAAAGGTGTGATATCTTATGCCACAACCTATGGTACAATGCTCGGTCGCATCCTCGTACGCCAAAACACCACGCAAGATATTGCGACCATACGCAGCTACCAAGATCAGACTTTCCTTAAAACGATTCCTCGTGATACATCTCAGCCTTTCACAGCACAAGCACCTAGAGTCTCACGCGCTCTCATCGACACTTCGAACGCCACCGATAGAGTCACGGGCTATCTAGACCTGCTGGCCAAGATTGGTCAGTTCAACCAACCCGACGTAATGTCAGACCGGTAGCGAGTAGCGTCCAAACTTGGCCTTGCTGGCATTGTAGATGGAGTCTACTCTCCACCTCGCACGGTTAACCTGGCTGCTTCTACCATTGCAGCAAACGTCAGCATCTCAGCGGCTTACTCCCAAAATCTAATTGATGTCGGCAACAACTGGGTCATACCCAAGGTTAGATGCCAAGGCATCTTCGGCGTCCAATACGGCTGTCGTGCCTACCGCGCACTCCGCGGTTATCTTGGCCTGGTGCAATCCGAAAACCTCTTCATCACGAACAAATCGGACAATTTGACTTTAGCCCGACGTCAGCCTTTCTCTTCACCTTCTCTGGCAAGCCCCTGATCAAGTCGATCGGGTTCTGGAGTTTGACTGTGTATGGGGCGGACCAGTATCTAGTGCCCAATGAGCTGGGTAGGTACGTCATCGGGGACCGAAGTACGCAGTTGAAGTATGAGAATGGATGCTTGGTGTATGCTGACGATGGTGCGAATCCGGCGAACGAGACTGCGCATGGGAGATTCCAGCTTCTATTACAACCTGCTGATGTTCCTCCACCGGATAACTGGACTAGCAAGTGAGTTTCCCATTATGCGAATTGATCTGAAGCAAAAGGACATGGACTGACTTGTTATACAGCTGGCTTCCGACTCCAGCGGGCGGTGGTAAGCTTCTGTACTCAGTACGGTTCTACTCACCAGCAGAGACCTTCACAGATGGGGAAAACGTGTTTCCAATTGTTGAAACTATTGACGCAATCAAGGGTTGAAGATGGTTCGTTCTTGCAGGTCATCTTCCGAAAATCACACCTCAAGATGCGCTGATGTTAGCGGCTTCGATGACGATGTGGGGTTACAGATGAATAGAGTACATCTATTCTATATGTTCCAATTGTCATTGAATTCTTCTATGCGGTGTATAGGCTAGTCGCTAGACATTTATAGAGCTTCTCCTCTGGCCACCTGATGTACAGCTGTCTCGAAATGCGTACTGTTGGTCATCGGTAGTCTCTCCATAACCCATGTGATGATACCCCGTTTGCCCCACAACGCCCTTCTCTCCATTCCACCAAAGCTCTCTTAGAGTTTCGCCCGCTAGTTGTCTTTCCGTACTCGCCCAAGAACTCAATATTTCCCCCCTAGCTTAGCTAGACTATAGATATGCGCATGCTTCGCTTTAGGGTAAAGCTAAGAGCTACTAAGTCTTAGATCCCCTAAATCTAACCGGAATCATCTTCGAATGATACCAACTCATAATAGGCGATGCTAGAGCCCCTACGATCATCCACATAGCCCCAAAATTATATTCCAGATACCGCTCGACAAGAATACAAGGTAGAAAGACGACTACTACCAGAACAGCAGTATAGCCAATGATTGGATCGAACTCTCGAACATCTTGCCAACCTAGAACAATTCTCTCTTCTCGTTGGAGCTGCTGAATCATGCGCCAGATATTCCACCTAACAAAAACGAAAATTAGAAAAGTAGAGATGATGTACATCTTTGGCGTCTGGTACTTGTCAGGATCTCGGGATGGTGATAAGTATGGAATGCAAAACAGCATTAGCGCTGCGGCGGGCCAGGTAAGGTCAAGGAGATTGCCCCCCTTGAATAACAGATCAAAGGTCCAGTAAATGACACGACATAGGCGGTATCCAATAGATCGAACGACTACAAGTAGTGATTCATAGATGTTCCGAGGGCGTATAAAATCATCTGAGCGACAATCGAGGATCTCGATGATTGTAACTCTTCGGCCTTGGATGACCTGTGCTACTGTTCGAAGAGCCACTCTACCATAAGATGAATGTTGAACCCGTTGCAGAGTTGACAGATCCTTATAGTTCCATGCATTGAAGATCTGTTCAATATCGGAGCTGTCATCGACGAGAACAGGGAGAAGCCGGGCATCCCAGACGTAGTCGTGAAAGAACCAATTCTCGCGGAAGAACGTCATGAAAAGGTAGCAGCGAGTGGTTCCCGAACTGAGCACCACAAGGGTTCGGTTGTCCGGATCTTGTGGACAGCTTGAACGATTTCCTTCAAACGTATGGGTTTCATGAGACCGTGGGCCGGAGGGAAAGATCTGTGAGACTTTGAGTCCTTTCGGCAGCGCGCGTAGAATGGATGTATTGTCCTTCAGGTGGTTTGTTGAGTAGTCAGCAAGCGGCTGCATGCTGATACACATTGGCTGCACTCTTGCAAGATCCCAATCAGTAAAGGGAACAGGCTGGAGCTCGCCGTTTCGCCTCTGATATTGGCGACTGCTGCCCTTCTGCTTTACCGGAAGTGCCAAACTACCGAATGTGTCAAGCCGCCGTGTGCAGTTGAGCACCGCGAGGAATTCGCCGTCAACGGCTCCCCTGAGGAGTGGTAGACTGATCTCAAGCCCTTTGTTTGTTATGGAATACGGCTTCACCGGTTCTGATTGCATGCTTCGCACTAAATGTTCACAAGAGGCAAATGCAGCTGGCGAATGGGCGAAAAGCTTGCCACTGTCAATTTCTGCAGACGGTGAAGTCCAAGCCAATATTGACTGATCATCCGAGTGCTTCACAATCTCTTCTTGTAGCCTCTGGAAGGCTTTAGCACCTTCGCCGTACAGCAGAGGCATGTTGATGTCGAAGATTCCAAGCAAGCAATAAGCGATGTCCTCGGCTCTTTTTGTTGTCCTCTTCGAGGCCCACGACATTCTTTCAGCGATACTTGCTTGCTTGAGTAAGGTGATATTGGAGTGAAGAAAGAGCTTATCGATTTTCGTGATCTCGCTTATCTTTTCTGCTAGATCGTCTTTTGTTCCGATGATGTTCCATTCAGCGTCGTAAAACTCAAGCCTAGGGGGTGCCAGTAGCTCTTGGAGTGTCCACCCTCTGGTAAACCATTTTGATTCGGTAAATGCAGTATCCTTCTCGGCCTCATCGATATCTGCACGGACATCGTCTAGGTAGACGTAACAGACTTGAGAGTTGCAGTACCAACGCCACATAGAGTTGATCGATTCGGAAAGCTCTGCACTGCTACTTTTGTCGATGCAGCAGGTATCAATCCAGAAGAGCTGGTGGTCATTCCTTTTGGCTTGTTCTCCACAGCCGCGGATCTTCTCATATCCTCTTTTGTCCCTATATGTGTGATCCATCATATCCTTGAAGGTGACTTCTTCATAGTCTTTTCCCCATCTATGCGAAAGAATTGCATAGCTCGGCTTGTCTTCTTCTGTATGGTCCTCAAGGTTGAGATCTCCATCTTCTTGCATCCGTAATAGACGCATGATCTGGATGTAATTTTGCTGTCAGTACTTTGGGTAGCATGTAAAAATATGACCAATAGAATTGAAATGACAGATTAGCGATGAAACTGATGTTGTGTGAAGAAGAACAGGAGATGACATCCAACGTGGTTGTCGCTTTATGGTGCGGGGGGCGGTAATGACCGCAGTCAGCTAGGGCTATGCAGGGAGGCTAGGCAATAGCCGGCGCCCACGGCTGCCCGCCTGAAGTGCCTGCGTTAGCCCCGTGCGCCCCATGAGCTCAACCGTTTGAAGCCTTGCCCCTCCGCCTTCACAAGGTCGATACCCGGCTATAAGACCTATCTGCGCAGTGGTTTTTCCAAGGGCGTGACTCCGAGCAACCATTTCGTGACCGTTGGCCGTAATTGTAACGCGCAAAGAGGAAAAATATTGCGCAAATGAACGTGACAGAACACTATAGAGCTACGGTATTGCCGTACCTAATAAGTACGAATGTGTTTTCTATCAACATGTAATCTTGTGTATGCTACAAGCGCTGCAATAAATTCGGAATTATTCCCATTTCAGCGCACCAAGCGTCATTACCTTATTCCCAATATCGTGTACCGCTAGCACATTCCTGTAGAAGTTGGCTCCGAGGATATACGGCAGGTCGCCACCCCAGGGCGGAGTAGGTGGTTCCATAAAACCCACTATGCATATCTGCTTCTGCTCGTCGATTACCCCTAGAGTTCCGTCGACGAGAACGTCTGATGAGGCGAAGGGAAGATCCGTTCCGTTGATGCGAATAGCGACAGAAGGTATCTTCGCATTGCACGAAGCCTCCCAAAGCCCATCATCCTGACTGAAGAAAGCTGGAGGGTCGAAGGCTGCGGCGATTGTGTTTACAAGGGCTTTCGGGAGCATGGTGTAAGCGGTACCGGTGTCCAGAATCGTGAATCTTTCTTGACTGTCGCCATAGTGGGTGCCTGCGGAGGTACCTGGTGCCCAGGCAATGAATTTTCCGTTGACCACAAACCCGTCCGGCCGAATAACATAGTGAACATACTCGCTCTCCAGCTGATAATGATCGAACGTCTCCTTAAGGATTGGCGTGGTAGCGTATACACCCGTGAGCGGCAACGACGATGCCGATGGCGCTCCTCCTATCGTAAGGAAACCCGTAGCTGACAAGTCCGGATCGTTCTTGCCCCTCTTACCCAGTACGACCGAGAAGATGGGCTTTGCCACCAAGCCCTGTTCATAGGCGGTCTGTAGCCATGGTTTCACAAAGATGGGCTTTTTCCCGCCGTCTTGGGACGGGTCTGCGCCCTCAAAGATGGCGGTCGTGGCACCGAGTCCCCAGCCTAGTGATTTTCGTCAGCAAACACTCAAACCAAGAGGCATAAATTGCCATCTGGGAAGCTCGCTAGCTACGCTGTTCAGAAGCAGGCAGCATGCTTTACGTACCCATAAGCCCACTAGTCAAATTGCCTGCGCTCTGCCAGAAGGTCCTGCTAACGAACGACATCTTCTGATTCTTGACGGTCACACCTCCAAAGCCGACGTTTTCGAGACCAACAACGCCAGTCGCAAATTCCCCTCCGCCATATGTCACATTGAAGTTCTGGTCCGGAATTAGACTTCCAGAAAAGCTTTTGGGGCCGTACTTTGGGAATCCGCAAGTGGCCTGAGATCTACATTGAGGAACGTTCAATATCAGACTCGAGGTACCAAATGAGAGTTAGGTAGGGTGTTAGGACTTACTGTTGCGTGCCGTTTACGTCTACACACACGAAATCGGCCTTCGGTACCCAAAAACTGCTGCTTCCAGTGTCGATCAAAACCTGAAGCGTCTCCGTACCGATGGTCACATCAATGGCATATTGCGCTCCGTCATAGATCGTGCGTAATGGCCCACCGCTCTGGCGTTTCGCAAGTTGTCTGCCAGCGCCAGAACGCAGTTTGAGGGGAACCGTTGAGTCGACGACTGGTATACCACGCTCTTGGAGTGATCGAGAATGGATCTCGGATAGGGCTGCTGCATCGCCACGCGAGAATGGGTGGGCTGGCGAGCTGGATGCAAAAGCAGAAAGGAATGCAACCGCCGCAAAAGCTACCTGTTGGTTTTTGCGCGTCTGCATTGTTGAGTTAGGCGTGAATCCAAGATTCAATGTGTAAGACAAACTTTGGGAAGAAGAGAGAGCGAACGGGAGGAACAATCAATACAACCATCCCCCTGGCTCGGGTGTAAGCGTAGAAACGGCCCGTAGACGATATTGAAGAGTATATTAATCTTACTACCGGTCAGCACGGCCGATAAAATGCCGAAATTCGCGCCGTAACGCTATACCTTCTAATGACTGATACGAATAGAAGAACCCCTAAGAGGGATCAACTTGTCAGAGGCCCTTCGTGCATAATATGTGCTAACACGGAATAATGCCAGGTACCAATTATGGAGCATTCGCGTACTCCCAAGTTCTGCGAAGATATTGCTCGAATCTACCTAGGTACGCTTGCGAACCGGGAACTTTCTATCTTGGATAGATAGACCGACCGAGATATGGTTCGCTTTTGTGGTCATAAGCATCGTATCGACGGATTAGCAGTTAGTCTCTTTTAGCCTCCAATACGGCGGTGACGCAGAGCAGACGAACGACTAGTCATACCCATACGACGAACCCATCTCAGATGAGAAGATCGCCAATTCAAGACCTCAAAACTGAACTCACAGCGACACAAGCCTCAGAACGTGAAGCGTGTGTAAGCCTCACCCACTTCCAATTCCTATATCTCCAACCATGCGCATACATGAGCTGCGCAACCTCGTTCCTTCTTCCGGCATTCCATGCCACGTCCCGCAAGCTCCCTCCATCTTCCTCATATCCCGCATCCGCACCACCCCACAATAGCCCATCAACACAATCCAGCCACCCGTTCGCCACTGCGAGGAACAATGAGTTTGACGATTTGATGTACTTCCTTTCTGTGTGAAAGCTGTCGATAGCATCAAAACCGGGTCCTGTATAACTCCTCGCTCCAGGATTGCGTGGCGGACTAGGGTGACTTGAGATTATCCAACAGCCATGACGAGAAACCTCCGCGAACTTACTTCGGAGACGCTGCTGGTATGATGTACGGAAGTGATGCGCGGGGATCATGGCCAATAGTCCCGGCATCTTCTCACTCCTTGTTGCCAGGATCGCAAGATTGGGGAGTAACGCGCATAGAGTCTGATTGGGAAGAGCTCGGGCGAAAATTGCTTTGAGCATATCGAGTTTGTCGTGAAAGTTTGGAATGCTCTCCATCCATTCACATAAGGCGTCAACTACTAACAGATCCCATCTTGCCAAGGCTGCGAGCAGGAGATTTTGGGTGAGGATGCGTCTTGCTACATCTGTTCTTGTGGAGGCGTTGCCCTTTGAATCTTTGAAGTGCTGGGCAAGGTGGTTAAGGAAGACGTCGATAATAACATGCGGATCTCTGGCCTCTGTGATGGCGATATACAAGTATTTGTACAGCCGTTTGTAAGTCATGCGTCTTACTGAACGGAGTAGCAATTTGAGCATCTCATGGCTTCCATTTTTGGCTGCAAAACCGAGGATCGTAGTACCGAAGCAGTAATTCAAATCGTCCACGCTGCTGTGGAAGCCGGCGAATGCTTCGAGCACTGCACCTCTATTGTCCGCGGCGATGGCGCAAAGTATCTCCAGAAACTTGCGATCATTCTCGATGCGCTTCTCGGGGCGGTCGTTGACAGTGTAGTCATCGTAGTGTGGCAATACCTTGCCTGTAGCAGCAGAGGATCCGTGCGCGACTAACCAGGTTTCCTCCCAGTACTCGTGCATGCAATAGCTAGTCCACCGGTTCAACTTCTCATGTCTAGCCGCGTGGTCTCTTTCCGATATTCCCAGCTTGTCAAGCTGCGACTCATACACAGGAGTGAAAAGGTGTGCGAACAGACTGTGCTTGGGGCCTTGCCTCTTGACGCGATGTTGGAGGTATGCATAACGAAGACCAGCTGGTACGGTACCCCAGAGACGTTTCCGATGGTGGTAGAGACCAGAGCCGCCGCCATCGACGAGATAATGTCGCAGTAACTCTAGAATGTCATCGGTGAAGAATATTGAACGGACTTCTTCGTTGAATATATCTATTGGATGTTAGCTACAGGATAAGGTTGGCTGGGCTTGAACAGCGTACAATTAGTCAGTCTCAACTGGAGAAACTCAGGGCGGCTATAGGAAGCGTAAGCTAGCTCCAAGATCCATTGGAGTATCTCGAGTGGCACCTTCATTCTCGCAGTTAATGGGTTGGGATTAGGAGAGGATATATCAAATGCGACTGTCGTTAGTTTTGACGGACGAGTATCGTTGTGTGTGGGTCTAAGTAATGTTCAGTGAGTCAAAGTGGACCGTACCTTGGTTGACCTCTTGAATTGCAGCCACTCTCAATGCGCACATGCTCTGGACGCACAAGGAGTCCAAGATTCGTATCGTTTCAGTGGCGTGCAACGTTCTGTATGGGCTACATTGAATGCTTGTCTGTTCTGGCCGGGCGAAGAGACGCATCTGGCATCATCTGAGGTTTTTGATTGGATGACTCGGCCAATGTCGAACGGCCTGCTTTCTGCTCTCAAGATAGCGATGATTAAATCCTGGATCGCTATGAGCTTCCGTCTTGCATTTAATGTCTTGGATTAGTCGTGCTAGCTGTTGCTCGCGTATCGCGATCCCGTTAGGACAGGCATGCGCTCCGAAGATTACCACGGCTTCGAGAATATTTGTCCAGTCATGGTCGGTTGCATGGTACATCGTCGTTAATATTTGAGTTTGTGACTTCACATTCGATGATTTTGTCAATGCGCGAGGTGGCTGGTTAAAGGGCGCTGGTATGACGCAATCGTGACTCGCGCTTTAACGATGACCCGTGCAGGGCCGTTGCAACATCGCAATCTTTGAGAGTGCATGCTTACATTCTTTTTACTTTCAAGATCGATTGACTTTTGTTAACATGTGTACAAAGAAGGCCGAATCGGCGTTTGTCGGCCATAACCTCTGGCGTCTCCCAGGGCCACCAATTCACCCAAGCGCCCTGCATGCAGCATCGTATACTATTGCCGCACCGTGCGCGCGTCGAAGCCTGCGTCCTATGGATCGTACACTGGGATTTCGAAATACCTAAAAGGTCGCGTTGTCTCAAACCAATGTTACGTTCTCGCTCTAGCCATCCACAAACACGATCCCGCCGACGCGGCTGTTGAATTCCCTCTTCCAGAGTGGCATCATGGATCTAGGGAGGGGGTTGCCGTCACCACCAACCCCGAAAACTTCCAAAATGACATCATGGCTCTCGGCTATCTTTCCAGCACTGGACGATCCGTATTGTCGGATGATCGCCGTGTGCAGGTTGATAAGCTTGTCTTTACGTCGCACTACGATATTCTTGAAGAGAGCCCTGAGCGACTCCTCAGACGGCTCTGGGAAGTTTGTGTTGACATGCAGCTCTCTCATACTCTCCGGAAGCATGTCGCCCATACAAGGGATGTCCATGTGCCCCCATGTCCTCGCTCCATCTGGAATATGCGCATCACGGCCCTGTCGCTGTCCGCTCTCCAGTGGCGGTCCACAGAAGCACTCGACGTCAACCTCCAGCTTCTGTAATTTTGTAAATCGCAGAAATGAGGAAAGGCCATTTACGACCTCGCCATGCAGCTCGTCGATGGTGATGGCGAGATCAACAATAGTATCACTATTGTAGTTTGCTAGAGTTTCGAGCATTTCGCCCGCATTCCAGTCGTGTTCGAGACCATCCCACTTCGTTTGGTGGGAGTATTTAAAAACCTCAAGAGCTGGTGTGTTTGCGAGAAAGGCCGAAAGACCGGTGGCGTCCATGCAGCAATAGGCAAACTCGACACGGGTCAATGGTGATTTGACATTTGGGTTAAGCCAATTGAAAGGTACGCCTCCCCAGTCTTCGTCAACGGCAACACAACTGACAGCGTAGATGTTCCGAATACTGTTGAGGGTCATGAAGGGCGCAAGACATTGCAAGCCAACTCTGACGTCATACCCTTCTTCCACGAACGGCAACAAGGTCTCTAGTCGAGCCAAGGGCTTCTGCCGGTGCCCGTTTGCATTAGACATGGCGACGAGCGACTGTACATGAGAAACAAGAGCCTCGGCGCCCTCACCTTCCCTGACCTCATGCCACCTATCAGGCAATTGCAGCGTCTTAAGGTTGGGTAGAAGACTCAACAAAGCGACGGTCGCATACAACTTGTCCATGGTCGCCTGATCACCCGCTCGGTCTTCTTCCAGAATGCGACCCCACCACTCGTCCTCGTCAGCATTGGCGTAATATTCGGCGCGCTGCAGCAGAGCTTTTATATTTTCCATCTCCTGCTCATCTTGGCGGAAACTGTGCGGTGTGGCATCATGCGGGGGCATTGCATTATCTTGCCGTCGGTCCCAGAGGGAAAGGGTTTCGATATACTCAGCAATGATTGGGTCGCGCGAGATGTCGTGCAAGATAGCCAATGTGTCACCGCGACGACTCCGGCTCATGTTAGTCGTGTGGCTCCAGGTCTTCCGTAGGTCATTGTGCTGTCGAATCTGGGATGCAGCACGTCCATACACAGTCTTACACGAGAGCACGAAGCTTTCGAGACCATCAGGTGCGGTACGGTCAATGATCAGGTCAAGAATCTCTGGCGGAAGATCGAGGAGTCCCATGGTAGCTTTCGAGGTGGCGCTGCCGGCGTCAATACCGCCAAAAAGTAAAGAGCAGGTGGAAGTCCTGGTAGGCAATTGAGTGGCGAAGTTGTGGCTTTAAGTGTCAAACGTGGATGAAAGGTATAATCCCACGGTTCCGATGCGAGCTAGGTGAAGCTACTGGTGGCGGCTCTCACCTGTGCATAAACGGATTCTAGAATCGCAACAGCGCAGGGTCCAGAGATGTTGGGCAGCCCGACGAGAAGGTCCGGAACCGGCAAGTAAGCGAAAAGGTGAGAGTCCGTTCATTGGCTCGGTATAAATCTCCTTGCTGCTCTCGTCTGAATTCTATGGTGGGGTAAGCTAGCGACGCTTTGGGGCTAGCCTGTGCAAAAAAAGAAGGCTCTCCCAGCTTCGATCTCCGACCATATGGACCTCGCTTAATCACCAACTTCACCTTACGTTTGACGTCTCGCTACGCCAATATGAGATACCCGTGTTACCAGTAATCCATGCAGCTATCCCGAACAGCGCCGCCTTGTCCGCCTCGAAGGGCCTTGCAATCCTGACCAGTTCGTCCGCAGGGTCTTCTGACAGACGCAAGGAGGACTACACAGAAATCGATCCCATGCCAGTTTTGATGCACATCCCATGATGTGTTCTTCCATGGCCCGAGCTGCGGGCGTTGCTTTAGTGTTTCGCGGTTGAAATACCCGTCTTACAATGTGGCAGGGTCGTAGCACTCAGTCCGTCCACTTCCTTGTGGAAGATAGCCATTCTCTGTCTAGAGAATTGCCGAGACATCGGAAGCACTTCCCAAAAGTGGTACACTGCATACCTTCTTTTGGTTAGCGTTCTTGTATACGTGGAGTCAATCTGTAGCTCAGCATTGTTGTTGCACATATCAAGAATTATCTGGGCGAAAACCTGATCGAGAACTGGCTAAGATGCTGCGTTTCCCCACAAAGAAACCTCTGACGCTGAAAGCCACATTAGTCACGAGGTACCTCTTCTGAAGTAGACACGCGATCTTCTAATTTTCCTAATCCCAAATCAAGAGACGTTGGTCTTTTCTGTGTATCTCAGATCTCGGATCTCAGAATTTGATACAACTCCACGTCTTGATCAGCTGGTTGAGCAGCTAGGTAATCCTCTCCTGATGCGGAGACCACTGGCATGGACACCGCCTTGTACTAGTCGATGAGGTTGTACCCAATATTCACAATCCGATGTCTCTTAGTCTATGCGGTCGAGCCCGGATGAGACTAACTGCTGAGATCGTGAAGCGAGACCTTGAGCCGGAAAGTAGGTTAGCTGATACCTCACTGACCCAGACAAGCGCCCGGCAGTTCTCCACTATGTCTTCCAGCATTCAAGAAGCAAGGATAAATACGGTCTATACTCCCAACACCAAGCGATTTGTACTCACGTCCAGGACGTGTAGTCTTCCAGAGGTTATCTGCAGCTACTTTTGGTAACACTAACAGGAAAATCGACGAACAGTGCTAGTCCAAGTTCAGTGCATCGTCGAGCGGGATTACCCTGGGTAGAAGTGACTGACTTGCATAACCATGTTTGTGTCAGACGTCTTGTACGCAATAGTGCTGGTGCAGAAGTAGTGTTGCTGGTACGGATGGGCCCTCCGATCCAATCATGGTGCTTCCGAACGCGATATCACGTGGACCCGGCAAATGTATCAGACACGGTTCTTACATACGTGGGCGCTACTACAGATATCATAGCATTTTCACACTTAAAAGGCTTCACACAGACCGTCAGGAGGCCCTTCCAAAACGGTTTGGTCGTCTTTCCAAGTGTCAAGGGTTTGCGCGACCCAAAGCGTCGAATATTCCCCGGTACCGTTTCAGCCCAACTGTCGACAAATTGGTTCTAGTAAGGCTTCTACACGTCCGCACATCATGACAGGTATCACGACTACTGGCGTCTTTATGCAGTCTTGTGACAACCACCTACCCACCGGGCTGCGGGCCAAGAAGCCAGGAAAAAATGTGTCATCGTCGGACCATTGTGCAATATGAGAATCCTCTTCGACGACCACTGAGATCACCGCGTAATGCGGCTATCTGTTTTGGAGCCCAGCACGTTCGGTATGATGTGGTTTCGCTGACTCAGCAGATCGCGGTTTTCTTCAAAGCAAGTACGACCTCTCTCCGAAAGTCTCCCTTTGAGATGCCAGTCTGCTAAATTCCGCTTCATTCATTTGTCAAAATGGCACTGTATCGCCATCTTTTGATGTTAGCATATCGCTTCCTCAGCTTTTGGTCCATGAAAAAACTGCAGAGTTCACTTATGCAATGTAGTATTGGGCAATAACACCGAACCTTCTAACCCTACAGGTACATAACGAGGTGGCCTCGCCCCGCTACTTGCAACTGCACAACTTTTGAGCTCTGTTGCGCAGTTTCTCAGTTCCAGCGCTGCTCGAAATCCTCCAACGGCTGCGGTTCTAGGTTGCGAAGTAACACCGTATCAGGCGCTGGTGACTTTCCATCTTCCCAGGTATCATCCTCGGCTACTTCCGTCACGGGGCCGTGATACGGGTAAGCATTACGACGACCATCTACATTCGGATGACTCGGCCGGCGGTGATGCTGGAAAGTTTTCTCAATCTGTTCGCCAACTGATAGGTGCGTGTAGTATACAGATGAGTCTCTTACCTCCATCGGCGATGGTGATGGCGCTCGGGGTTCGTCAAGAGACATTGCATCGAGGTGGGACTGAGTAAGTGGTGACTGCACGGTCCTGCGTGGGTCGAAATTGGGCTTGTTCATTTCCTCAATTCGATCTGCACGCAATCTGTTTATGTGCGACGGATGCCGTGATTCAGTAAAAAATCCCTTGACCTCCTGGCACGCATTGGCAACACTGTCAGCTAGACGATCCTCCCAAACTCGCTGACCTCGTCTCGGATGATAATCGCCGTAAGCCAAAGGGTCGTCTTCATGCGCGTAACTACTATGAGTTATGTGCAGCTGTTCTATCACATGCTTCCTTCGCTGTGCTGCATAGGGTGACTTCGTCGATGATGTATGAAACGAGTCAGGAGTCAGTTGTTCGGCGTCTTCGACAGACTCATCAGTACTGCTGGGAATGTCCTGACCCTCGCCACTGGAGTCATCGTCACGTACGCCTTCCTTCTTCTCAAACGTGGGTTTCGGGGCACGTCGATGAATGTCGTACTGGAAGTTTGTCTTTCCTGTCCGCTTTTCGTCGATGAAGTGGGGAAATTCATTGAGTGCCTTTTGTGGCTGACCACGTCTGTTCATGCAGAATTTCTGAATCTCAGCGGGAGTGAAGAAGTCGGATGGTACCATACGCCCAAAGCGGCGGCCCATGCGATTGAGCTCTTTCCGCGGCACAGTTACCTGCTTGTCGCTGCCAAATATGCGTGTGAATGTGATGCCAGCAGTGATGTCATCAGCGAAACCGAGATACACTTGGGTGTCTACTCGACCTGGGCGATACAAAGCTTCGTCTAATGAATCGGGGGCGTTTGTTGTCAAGATGACGATGTGGCCTTCTCGCGATCCAGGTCCATCTAGAGTGTTAAGCAAACCACTGAGAGTGACTTTTGTCCTCGACAGCGGAGGCGGCGGAGGCGGTAACTTCTTCTTTCTACAATCCACATTCCTGCTCTTCTTCTTCTTCGGCCTTACATTCCATGTGGTGGATTCTGAACTACTCTCCTCCTCTTCCTCTTCCTCCTCCTCATCATCACTATCACCATCATTTTCCAAAGGCAGCGGCGCCATGGTGCGTTCACGGACAACGCCAGCAGCGTCAATGTCTTCGAAGAGGATGACGCAGCGAGCGGGCAAGTTTTTTACCTGCTTCTGCAGAGTCTTATCGTCCATGCCGGCAAGGTCGATGACACAAAGCGGCAGATTGTAGTGACTCGCAATAGCGGTAGACAGGCTTGTCTTACCTGTACCAGCTGGCCCGTAGAACAAGTAGCCCCTTCGGTATGGCGTTCCGTTCTGATAATAATAGTCCTCCGTCCCATCCGCGAAGAATACCTGAAGATCAGTCAAAAGCTCTTGTTTCTTGAGCGGATTCATGTCAATCATCTCAAGTCTACGTTTCCTGGCAGTATGATGGTCAAAGCGATTGGCCGAAACGTAGCGGACACTCAAGGACGTCATCTGACCGCTGACAGTCTTATGAACGGCTCTCAGCAAGGCCTCGATGGGATTCTTACTCCCCCACATGCAGCGTAACGTGAGTTTGTCGTTGTAGCCTCGGCCGTCCGGTTTGTACAGCAGAAATGGTACGCCTTCGTGGAAGAAAGGAGTGTAGCCAGCAGAAGCGACGAGGTGGTGGGAGTTGCTCTCATCATTATTGGCGGTTTTTGATTCATGCGACAAATCTTTCCACTCCAGATGCTCGAAAGTCGGAAGCCAGGCGAATAGTTGGTTGGATGGTTGCTTGCTGATCCACATCAAAAGGTCGGTAACCAGCGCATCGTTGCTGTCGAGCTCAAGCGAGTTCGTGAGATTCGAACTGAGCCAATCATATGTTGCCTTGCCGTATGTGCGCGCGGGAATGCATAGAGCAATAGCCCAAACCAGATAGCTAAGGTCTATACCTATGTTGCTATCGATCCAGATCTTGATAGCTTTGAACAGTGGCTTGTTCATGCTGTTCTCGTTCGACGAGTCCATCAACGTCTCGAGGAAGTTCTTTTCTTCCTTCATCCTTCGATTTTTCGTCTTACGGCGAGACTCGTGGTGGCGGTCATCGTCGTCCCAGCTAGCATCGCTCATTGTTGAAACCGTTCCAACTGAAATAGTTGTGAGGCCGATAGATGACTATTAGTAAGATAGGAGAGCGTGTTGCGCTTGGTGTAGAAGAATATCAAAGATTGAGTGGCCGTTGAGAGGTGCAGAACGGCTGTAGCCGACATGAAACCAAGGGAGCGGTACATTATATAGACAGAAGAGTTCTCAGCAAGAACAGTCGTGAAGGCTCGATTGGTTCGTGGTCTGCTTCGGCGCCTGTCGAGGGTCGAGTGAAAATACATCCGACTGGGAACCATGGTCGGTATAGAACAACTTTCACCCGTTCTACAAAGTGACGGATACTTACTACCGGATCTGTTTCCAGTGTTGCATTATTAGCAGACTTTCGGATCAGACAGATGAAGGTATCTGTTGTTATGTCAACTTTTCAAAATGTGTGCAATCAGCTCCGCAGATCAGTATATCAACCCCGATCATGGAATTACTAGGTAGGGACTTTGGAGATGTAGCAGATTCTGAACGCGTCGAAGCGGAACGCGCGTGAGGCGACGTTGGAAGCGTGTGCGCGATCATAGCTGGAATCCAGAAGTATTGGCGTGAATAACACGTTGCTTCGCGATACATTTGCTGGGTAATTGCTATTCGCGATGGGGTGTTGGGAAAGTGAAAGAAGGAGGTACTGGGGAAAACGCGTGGCACGGCCTGAGAGCGGGAAGCGCGCTAGCGCGCTCACCCAACCATCCCGTGATCCGTGAGATCCCACCAAGAAAAACCCACAGCAGTCCAACGAAGCCGAGTCTGCCTTTCAGCCTGCGATGAAGCTGCTATTTCGAGTCGCGCATATTCTGCTCGTATTCTTTCTCTCTTCTCTACTAATCTACAGCGTCTATTACGCGTTCGCGCTTCTAGGGAAAGATCAGCAGTACGGCTCGCCGCAGGAGGTGCAGGCCAATTCTGAAATAGACATCAACGACGTCTCTCGCAAGCCGTCACCACAGGAGATAGTATGCACCTTTGATGGTCGCATCGGGATGATCGAGTATTGACGTTGCACAGGCTGCATCGATGAACACACTATGGGACTACCTAGACGACTGGGATGAAGAGCATTGCAAAAACGTATGCGAGGCTTCGTGGGTTGCCTGTCGACTGAGGAACTGTTATCATCTACCGGATGTCAGGAAACAAGAGTTGTGAAGACGGCATCCCGCAAGCTTGACACCTAACGCTAAGCGACCTGTACGCGATCTCGCTGCAACATCATTTGAAGCATTTCGATCGTGTTGCTGTGGCTTGCAGTGAGATTCGATATGTCCTAACAACAGTCATGTGGGGTTGCGCGAGGCTCTGGAGATGATTGCTCAATGCCGGAGTGCCCCACACTCTTCATCAATATGGCTGAGAGTACCAGAAGCACATGCATCACGATTATTCGCCCATGGAATCCAGGAACATGGTTTTCTATTTTGCGAGAACATCTACGGCTTGCGAAGATATCGGGCCTCAGGTGTTTAAAAGGAGCTAGAGAGTTCCTGCTGCGACTACAACACGATCATTACAGTCATCATGGCCTATCTCCTTGCTTTGGCTGCAATGGCAACGTCTACCATGGCCTTCGATTGCACCCGCGAGTATCTCCAAAACACAGCAGATTCCTACGTCAACCTAATGGCAACCGGCCAACACGACCGCTTCGAAAATATCGCCTACACCATGAAATACTTCGAAAACAACGCGACCGCCTCAATCCTCAGCGGAGTACCAGCCTTTGGTCTAAACATCGATGCCCACCGCTCCATCCTCGACACCACGCAATGCAAAACAATGACCGAACTCATCGTCACCGACACCAAACATCCATACATCATACACACGCAGATGACCCTAGACACCTCAGGCAACGTAAACCTTATCGACAGCATCGTGACAGATGCAGGCGACTGGGCCTTCAACGCAACCGGCACCTCCTACTGGAACAGCCAAGAAACCTGGACGCCCATCCCCGAAGCCTTACGCGACACCCGCAAAGTCGTCAAAGCAGCCGGCGATGCCTACGCCGACCGCTGCAACGACGTCACAGTTCACGTCCCCTTCGGCACGCCCTGCGCCCGTCTCGAAGGCGGAGCTTATACCGGTCGTAGAAACCTCTCGGCTAATACGTGTGACATCGGCGGGCTGCCGGAACATGTCCCCATGACGAATCGCAAGTATGTTGTTGATGAGGTGATGGGTGTTGTGGATATCTTCATGGGGTTTACGGGGCTGGATCGCACGAGGAATACGGAGGGTGCACCGGATAGTCATATGTTTCGGATTGAGGGGGGCAAGATTAGGTATATTCATACGGCGAGTGCGTGTTTTGTCGATGGATGCGGGATGAATGGTACTGGTACGTTGGTGGGTTCAAAGTGTTATCGATTGTTGCGCTGACGTGTTGATAGGTATTCCACCGAGTATTGGTCGTCGGACGTTGCGTCAACGAGCGGCCAAGCTTCATTAGCTCACATCTGGTGCTATAGCCGCTAATCGTTTCGGGATTCCGTGTGTGAATACAACGTGGGAGTATCTTAAGATGAGGTCGGCACGAGTACAAAGGAACTGACAAGCAATGCCACTTTACTAGACACTGCTGCACACTCATTAGCAGTCCGTTCCATCTCTTGTCTCAATACCCGCGCGATCCGTGTTGAGCATCACAATCCCCTATTCAATCCCAATTAACCCTCGCCTGAATCTCAGGATGATCCTCCAACCACTCCTCCACATCCCCCTCATCGACCACCAACCCAGGATGCATCTTCATAGCATCAACAAGCACATCCCTAATCCCCTTGTCATCATCCGGCGTAGACGTAAACGCCTCTTCCAGCGCATCAGCCAAGTCCAGACCCTCATACTGCCAGTACACATGCAGAACGTCTATGACTCCCTGGCGTGCGAAGGTCTTCAGGTCGTGCATATCGAAGTAGTCGGCGACCGTGTAAATGCGTACGTGCAGGAGAAGGTGAGAAGCAGATAGCGTCTTGCCGGCACATGGGCATTTGCGTTTGAAGATCTGATGGGCGGAGGGGGGGCCATGCAGGAGGGCGTAGGTGCTGTGGCTGCAGTAATCTGTGGGGTGGACGGCCTCGCCGCCAGGAAACTGATAGATTGATGTGTACATGTAGTCTAGGATGTGCTTCATGGTGGTGATGTCGACGTCGGGTATCTGTACTTCATTGTCATCGTCCTCCTGCAGTGTTTTAGCATCGCATGTATATCGATGTGATTAACGATACTCACCCTGCCATTGAAATGAAACATGCGCGTAAAATACGATGATGAGGCTTCCAGGATGCTCTTGTGGGTGATGAAGCGCTGGCCCTCGCAGATGATGGTGAAGTCTGAGGTTTCGTCATCGAGTGCCAGCCTTGTCTCTTTGATCTTGGGCTTGGATGGTGTTGGAGGAATATGGCCTGTCTCTTCGAGCACCTGAGATGCTTTAACCTGGGGCGTCGTGGGGACGACCTTGCGGATGGTGGTCGCTTCGGTTGAGAGATTCATGGCTTTGATGTGGTCTGGGGTCGGAACGGTTGTTGATCAACACGGGTGTTGACAGCGAGGGATGTGTGGTAATGCGTGTCACGAGATCGACAAGCCCATACGGAAAGGACTTTCTGGTGCGGCCAATTGCTTGGTTGCGCTGTACACTGTGGCCTATAGCGGGCAGGGAGTCGTGAGCGCAGCCTTTGTTATCTCAGCTCTACAGATTGGTGACGGTGTCGTTTCCTAGGCAATCACCGAAAGGCCTGCGGAGAGCAGGCAACGCTTACAGTCGACGCATTGATCTGTGATGGTGATGGTGAACGTGAGGATGAAACGTCTAGGCAAACATGTGGCGCTGAAGAGATCAGCCCGCCTTTGGTAAGCTTTGCAGGGATGTAGACCGCGGTGATGTGCGCACCCGCGTCGATCACGCGCATGCACGTGTTGTGAGTTCCGTCTACTGTCGTTTTCATGGACCTGTTAAAGTGAGGACTGGCCGTTCATTGCGAGCAATGCAGTAGTCTTGTAACGGTTACTTGCTTGAAGGCTGAAGGACTCTTCTCGGAACAGTAATAAACAACCTGAGTACAAAGATATAGCTTTGTTGTCTATGGACCTTCTCGTTGACGCGGCCTTTGTGCTGTCAACAGAGTCGTGAGTGTCAGAAAGGTCAATCTGGACGGTGAAGAGATTGCCGCGTTGAGCTACTGCTGTGACGTCATCGCGATTACCTTAGCTACGTCCGCGAAGATTCGCCGAAGGATATTGGACGAAATCGATTCACCAAATGTATCAGCACCGCCGCTAGCATGAACCCGCACGCATATCTGAACATCTTCCCTCTCCGCCTCAGCCCATACGAAACAAGCACCGTAATGTTAACAGCCATTACCACGAACTCCAACGTCTTTGTCAGGACCGAGGCAACACCCACAAAAATGAAAACATCGCAACCCAAGATCATCAGAGCCTCTCTTAAGAATGCAGCACCCCTCATAAACGCGAGCGTGTTCTGGTGCCTTGGCTGTCGTACCATAGCGACCTGAACACTCATTCCGGTAATGATGCATAGAGCCTGAACGACCATCCGCATGGCAGTCTCGGAGAGGTGGATCCTGCAATCCGTACTCAGTAGAGTGGAGAGAAAGAACATCTCAATGGGAGCGCCATAGAGATCATCCAGCCTCTTCAGAAGGCCTATCGACAGGAGAAACAGTGTCACGCCCCCCAAAGATACGAAAACCAGCTTCATGTAATAAAGCCAGAACGAGAAAGCGTCTGCCCATGTCAACTGTCGTGCGAAGAAGGCGTATGAGAGTAGCGCCATCTTCAGTTCGTGAGATTGTGTATGTGATCGACAAAGCAGAGGGACACTCGCGATTTGCGGGCCTGCGAGTACAGATCCTACCAGCAGTGCGTGGTCGACCAGTGTCTTGGTGTAGCAATTCGACAAGAGACAGCACATGGCGTGGTTCATGGGGCTCGCATGTTTGACGGCGAGAGGAACTGCGCAGAGAGAGCAGTTTGCCATGTTGAGCTTCGAAGTTGTCATCTTGAGACACTCGCTGCCGATGAGATGGCCGCAGGGTAAGAGTCGCACTGCTTTGCATGGAAGTTCGTTTGGGTCGTCTTCGTTGTCGACGTGATCGAATGGACGCATGCATACGTAGCATTCATCTTCCAGGTCGGGCGACTCGACGTCTTCTGTTTTGTAGGTTTTTAGTGAGGCTGTGATGGTGTAGATTGGCTGGATTGATGCCATTGCGACTTAGGTGATGCTGAGGAATAGTGAGTTGTGGAGTAGTTTGGGAGGTTGTAGTCTGGTGCTAGTAGCTATATCGAAGGTTTCGTGTTATAGTGGCGTTCACGTGCAGTGTACTAACAGATGGCCCGTTAGTGAAATGGGTGAAATTGGCAACGAATAGTCACAATGTGTTCTATCCACGGTCTGCACCCTTTTCATACCAAGCAGTAAGATACTCTCAACCAGTATGATCCACAACATCTTTATTGCTGCTTTGCAGGTCGCAACATGAGCTACCACAAAGTTAGCCACACTTCATAACAATCTCAAACTCAAACACAAACTCACAATGAAGTCCATCTTGTCCTCCCCACTCCATCGTCTCAAGTCCAATTCCACTGTCTTCACAGCCTGAAAACCATGCCTCGCATACATCGGCGCACCCATGGGACTCGCTTCAAGGAACGCCTCAACACCAACTTCATCCGCCTTCTCGCAACCCCATCGCACCAGCATGCTTCCCGCTCCTCTTCTCTCATGTGCCTGCAGCGTAACCAGTGTATCCAACACATAGTATGGCCTCCTACCCAGAATCTCTCGCTTGTTTGCGTTGAACAACTTGAAGAGTTCCGCGAACATATCCGGATCACTTTCTTCGTATGGTGGTGGGATCGTGAGGTCCGCGTCGACTTCTTCCCAGGTTCGTTCTTTTGCGTTAGGGTCATTGGGCTTGACGTAGCGCCAGCGTGCCCCTGCAATCATCTCGCCGGTCGAGGTGTCAACGCACTTGAGGTAGAGTATGCCTTTGTTGGTGATGCCATCGCGGATGTCTTCTCTTACTTGATCGAGGGTTTTCTCAGATGGCTCGCCTCGCGCGTAGAGGATCTTATTGACGGTAGGACGGAATACTTCGTGACGTATGCGCATGTATTGTTCCGCTTCCTCTGGTTTAAGGAGGGAGACTGTGAGGTTAGGGTCTGGCATATTGGTGGTTGTGGGGATGTTGACGATGAAAGAGTTGTGTCGGATCGAGACGAGAAACAAGAAACGAGATGGATGACACTGACAAACACCTCAATGTACGACGTAAACTTATATGTGTATGACTCTGCCTAAAGTAGAGTCATACCTTCCATGTTAGGCGTCGCCCGGCATGCCTGTCGGAATCGGAACTGGCGGCCAATAGTAGTCCGAAGGGATGGGAGCTGGAGATGAAATATGATCTTTCTTACCCCCCCTCCAAAAAAAAAAAGAATGGTGTACTTATCATTCTACACCCTGCACGCAAAGGAGCTGACACAGTGGCCTTGTCACGTGTTTATTAATGGATGATGCAGCCCCGGAGATGGATTCCTGCCGGGAGCAGCTCATGATCTAGAGCTCAAATACTCGCTTGCAGCATGACTTCTATTCAGCGTGCCCCCTTTCAAGATGTAAGATCTTTCTCCTTTGACTCACACTGTTCCATGTTAAGTTTAAAGGCATTGCCATGGTGTCGTTGTGTTACATGCCGAGTGCTGCGAGTGGTGGTGTTGCAAAGTGCTTATTGCGGGGCTTCGCCTAATCTTTACCGCGTACCAGGGTCACCCCTGCAACAATTTCTCCCTCAGTTTTGCGATCGCGCGCCCGCAGCTTTCATTGCACGTTCACGACAAACCACAATGGCGCCCGCAAAGACGATACCACACAAGTCCGGTGGTCACCAGCGCTATGCTCCCGAGAAGGCGAACGGCCCCGCGCGATTCCAGTCCGAACTCGAGGGCTCAGACGACGATGCAAATGCAGGCGCACTGCAGCCGGTGAAGGAACCACAAGACGATGACTTTGAGGGGTTCGGCACAGAGGAAGAAGCGGGAAACAACGGAGCTCAGGATGAGGAAAGCGATGACGAAAGTATAGATATCCAGACGGAAAAGAAGCAGGAGAAGCCTGTCTTGCCGAAGGACGCTGAGGAAGAAGAACTGGAGCGCATGATCTTTGGCGACTCTGAAGGCTTCCGTCAGGGTCTGGAGAACTTCTCGCTCGATCCTACGTCAAATGCATACGGCGACTCATCGGACGAATCCGGCGCAGAAGAGGCCGACCTCGACGCTGTGGCAGACCAGGACCTCTTCTTCTTCGATGCTGGCCCAGTCGCTGCGCCCGCGGGCTCCGTGCCTGCAAAGGCAGCAGAATCAGATGAGGACGATGGCAAGCCCGCCTGGGAAGACAGCGACGACGAGAGGCTCGTCGTCAGCTTGGCGTCGGTGCCGCAACTGAGGAAGCTGCGAGAGACGGCAGATGACGACATGGTCAACGGCAAGGAATATGCGCGTCGGTTACGGAAGCAGTACCAGAGACTATACCCGACGCCAAACTGGGCGGCACACGCGACAGGCAAGGCCAACAAGAAGCGTCGACGAGATATGGATGACGACGAGAGTGGTGATGAGTCTGCGAGCGATATGGATGTGGATGAAGAGGATCTGTCTACTCAGCCACTGGCTAGGCTACTGAAGGATGCGGACATCCTGTCACAAACCTCAAGAAGCGTGGCCAAGCGGAGGAAGGTGCAAGCAGGCACCATCGACATTCAGCGACTGAAAGATGTCGCAAAGGCCGGGCCGGTGAGTACCGCGATTCCATTGTATACGACCGTCTTACTGACTGCTGCTCTAGTCTGCCATCACCTCCCTCTCTTTCCATCCCGCGTACCCGCTGCTCCTCTCCTCCGGTCCTAGTTCGACACTATACCTTCACCACGTCAACCCCAACCCGCCGAACCCGAATCCTCTCCTCACGTCCCTGCACATCAAAAAGACTCCTCTGGTCACCACAGCGTTCCATCCTTCGCCTTACGACTCGCGCATCTTCCTCAGCGCGCGACGTCGCTACTTCCACGTCTGGAATATCGCGACCGGCAGAGTGGAGAAGGTGTCGCGTGTATACGGCCACCAGCACGAACAACGAACAATGGAAAATTTCTCCCTCTCACCGAACGGCAAATACATGGCTCTTCGGGGCTCCTCGAGAAAGGGCGGTGGTGTTATAAACATTCTGGATGCAAGGACGCTGCAGTGGTCCACACAGGTGCGCGTCGAGTCAAGAGGCGGTGTTGCTGACTTCGCGTGGTGGGGCGATGGCACTGGTATGAGTATTGCGGGCAAGAACGGAGAGATAACGGAGTGGAGTGTTGAAGAAGGTGTCATAGGACGATGGAATGACGAGGGCGCTGTGGGTACTACAGTCATCGCCCTTGGTGGCAAGAGCGGACGTGAGAGCTGGATAGGCGGCGATCGATGGGTAGCCATTGGCAGCTCAAGCGGCGTGGTCAACGTTTACGACCGGCGAGCATGGAGTGAGAACGACCCTTCAGTCAAGGGTGCCAATCATGATACAAATGGCGGCATCCCCAAGGCGCCGAAGCCGGTACGCGACCTGCAGAACCTGACGACGCCGATTTCGCATCTGGCGTTTACCGCGGACGGCCAAGTACTTGCTATGGCGAGTCAATGGAAGAATAACGCGATGAGGCTGGTGCACCTTCCATCTGCAACCGTTTTCAAGAATTGGCCTACCGAGAAGACACCGCTTGGCAGAATCACGGCAGTCGCATGGGGAAGGCCGAGCGAAGAGGAGGAGAGAGAAGGCAGCCTCGCACAGCTAGCAGTCGCCAACGAAGCTGGACATATCAGGATGTGGGAAATAAGAGCTTGATCTTGGGATCGTCGATACTACAGCGGACGCCAAATCACTACTGTTTTGAAAGAATTTCGGTGTCTAACATGGCCTACCGAAAGCATTGCACATGTCACACCGAAACGTTTCCATATATTCGAAGAAGCAGCGCAAATGATTGTCTTGTCCCTCATCACGATGGTAGGCAAGCTGCGTCATCTGCGAGGGATCAATAAAGCACGGGTTCTTACATGCTTGATCACAACTGCTGCGAACTCCCGAGCCAAGAGCGGTCAGCAATCATCCATCTCACTTTCCAACCATTCTGCAGACATGTCGGATCGTCCTCACTCTGTCCATTGATCCATCGTCTGTCCTTACTGTGTTTTCATCGTGACCATGGCAGGTACAGTCGTCACGCACCTGGGCTTAAACACCCGCCTCGTACAGCTTCCTCCATCACCACAACAGCACTTTTGGATACTTCTTGCACCACAATCATTGCACAACAGCCTATCAGCAACATCTTCGCCAGTGCATCATAGCAACAACATTTCCTCTCTCATCATGGGCAAGAACAAGATCCGCAGCAAGGACAAGTCAAGGAAAGGCGAGACCTCTATAAGCGAAACCAATAGCTCAAGCACCCCTTCGACGTGGACATCTGCTCATGGGGCCGTCATACCCAGATCCACTAGCAATACATCTGATCACCAGCAGCTACCAACAGAACCCCCTGAGAAAACGCTTTGTGTTCCAACCATTACCTCCCTCAAAGACACGACTTCATCCAGCCCTTCATCCGGTTCATCGCCCGCTCCTCCGATAACGCGTGTGAGGAACTCGGAAGAGAAACGAGACTCGGTCATCTCAAGTATATGGGAAGGTCCAAAGCAACCGTCCAAACCCAAAGCCACCACCATACCCAAGCCGTTCTGGGGCTTCATGCCCCGCAACTGGTGGCCATGTCGCATCATACGCTGGATATACCACTTCTTCGTCGCCCTGACCCGGATACGCTGGACCGACAGGCAAACCTCCAAGGACCTTATGTTGACACTCGCTTTCATCGGTATAGTCTTCGCCGGCGGCTACGTCGCCCTGGACATGTTGCTCAATGCAATACCTGGTGTCTCGGCTCAAGCCATTGATGGGAATTGCAGCATCGTCTATGTTACTGTTCCTGGACCGATCATTACGGTTTCGCTTGTGGGTGCGTCGCCGACAAACCCGGCGAAGGGTACTTACTACTTTTCCGTTGTGAATAGTACGACGGAGTGGCTTGACAGTATTGCGCCGCCTAGTCGGTTCAGTACTTTGCCTACTAGGACGGCTGATTTTACGCCAATTGTCTCCTCGGTGGGGGTGTCGAGTATGCCCTCTTCTGGTGCTGCTATTATGTCTTCGTCGTTGGGACCGACTACGTCTGCGCTGTTCGTATCAGGTCCTTTGGCTTCGTCATCTGTAAGTTCACCTTTGTCGGGCCCAGCATCGCCTGAGACATCGAGCTTACCTCGGCCCATCAATCAACCGCAGAGACCTTATCCGTCATATCCTGTTTCAACGAGCGTTGTCACTATCAGCAGCGGGTTGTCTACTTCCTTATCTACGCTTTCCACAATTCTGTCGTCGTCTACAATCTCTACACTTTTTAACACTACACCCTCCCCAGTCGTCTCATCAAGCACTCTGCCGGGTCTGAGCTCAAGCATACTACCAAGCACGCCTGGCGGAACATCTTCGGTGCTTCCAACCGGTTCGAACGTATCAACGACTTCAAGTGCACCTACAACGTTGACAAGCTTATCGGGTGGCTCGGCTACCCTCAGCCTAGGTACATCGACAACTACTGGGGACTCTTTTGTTTTCCCGTCCACGCAGAGCGATGGCTTCACCGTGTCTCTACCTAATCCCACTTTAGGACCGACTCTTTCTGCCGACATATCGTCTAGTACCTCCATGAGCCTGACGAGCAGTATCGGCAGTTCTGCAGTATCATCGTCAACGGATCTTACACGATCGCTATCTACATCTGCTTTCCTCTCGTCGAGTAGCTTGGCTCCATCTACTCTTCCCACCAGTTCAGGCAGCTCCTCCGTCGTGCCATCGACAGGTCTCATCACGTCACCGTCTCTTGTGTCCACCAGCGCGAGTTCCAGTTCGACACCAGAGATACTGCCAAGTTCAACTACGTCGCCCACTCTGAGCCTTACATCCAGCCCTGCATCGTCGTTGAGCTCGCCGAGTCAGCCTTTGACCAGTATGACCATCCCAAGCACCTCCACCGGTTTTGCCACACTGTTCCCCATTACGAACTCGTCGTCAACTCTGAGCTTCAATGTGACCTCTACCTCTTCTACGCTGTTGACTTCGGACACCATGACGAGCTCTTCGGTTGGCTCCAGCTCGTTGGTCGGTAGCTCCATGTCGTCTGCTAGCACCATGAGTATTCCATTCACCACCACTGCGTCCAGGTCACTATCGAGCTCTCTCTCAGTTTCGCAAGGTACTCAGGCTCTCAGTTCGACCGCCAGTAGCGTGGTGTCCAGCTCACTACCGAGCTCTGTCCAGGTTTCGCAAAGCACGCTGACACCTACATTGACGTTGACGACGACTACTTCTCCGTTAGCTACATCGTCTGCCCCTTCAGGCTTCAACGCCACCTCTTTGTTCAGCGCTCGAGCTATGACGAAGGTGATATCGTATGGGGATGTTGCGATCAGCTTCGTCTTCCCATCACCTAACATCTCAACGACCGTGTCCTACTGGACTGGATTATACCCCACGGTGACTGGACCAGAGCCTTCAGATCTGCAAACCATAGCTTTGACGACACGGACCGAGCGTCAGACACCACTCTCCGCTTTACCATCTTTTGAGATATTCTCATCCAGGTCCAGAAGTTTCAAGACGGTAGTGACGACAGTATACGAAGATGAGGGCGAAGGGACGACATCAGTAGCGAAGCGTCAGAATGTCCCAATCACAGTTGTTGTACCTACGCCCACCCTGGAGACAACGCTTCTGGCAACAGCGATAGTCGCGATTCCGGATGCACCAGGACCTTCATCGTGCGGTGAGTCGGGCAACTTCACGCTGACCTTCGATGACACGGTCACTGGGGATGACGATGACACGATACTGCTCGTTGCCAGTGGCATGAAGAACCCATATCACCACCTCTTCTACGGCAACGGATACACATACGTACCCGACATGTGGGAGCCAAACCCCGCGATCTCGCAACCAAACATCGCCATGTTCCTGCCTCTGACCGGGCGGCTCCTTCCCAACACGCCCTTTGCAGGCACGATGCTTCCCGGCGAGCTCGGTGCTGGACCACGAGCTTCAGTCAACGCCTACTGGTTCAACGCATACTCCGCCCACTTCGGCTGTGCTCTCAACGGTCTCACACCCTGCACACTGCGTATATCGGGCTACCGCTACGACTCAACTCTCCGAGAAGAAGTGCTCGTCGCAGAACAAAACGCGACCATCCCCGCATGCTGGGGTTACATCAACTGCCGCCTCACCCAAATCTTCTTCAACGACGGTTTCCGCGCGCTGTCTGGTATCCAGTTCAACGCCTACACATACAACCTGGGTATACCGCAAGTGCACATGATGGATGATTTGCAGATGGAATGGTACAACAATACCTGTTCGGCGGGTATACTACGCATAGGGCATAGCTAGTGTGTGGATCTAGGGTATCGATGTGGCGAGGGGTTAAGCCATCTCATCGAGTATATTATATGTTGTTGGAGATGGCGATGATTAGACTAGCATAGTATATCTTGGGAAACAGTATATCTAGACGACAGTTGAATACAGTTAGTCTACATTGAATGCGCCACTTCTTTCGCAGATGACCGTGATGTTAGCCTCAGGTGACGGCTAGACTGTCGCGCTGCAATGAGGCGTGAGCTCTCCATCCGCGTCGATTGGCCGGTCACGCCGTGCACGGCAACAGTCGTCCGAGGTGTGTTCCAAGGTGTTTCAGACGGAAGGTGCCATGTGAGCTGGAGGGGACTCGAAGACGCGTCGGCAGCCAGCCACGGAAGAAAAGACGCGTAGCGTGGATGCAAGCTCCCCACGGCGACTTCCTTCCTCGACGTCCAGGGTCCCGTTATGGCGTCACGCGGCGCCGTCGGATTTCCATGTCACGCGCGAACCGCTGAGGCTGCAGCTCCACGCGGTGCGCGCATATCGATATAGCCGGCGTATCAGTCTTCAGCATAGCTTTGAATTTCCTTTTTCTTCCTTCTCTAGACCTCACTGCAGCTCTCATTCGTCTTCCAGTCTTCGATTGTCGCATGTCCTGCTCCCGCCTCAAGCGACCTGCCGCATCTGCCTTTACCGCGTAGATACTAGCGTCTGCGCGACAAGCTTGACCTCTTCACAGGTGCAGGTGATAGCAGTCTCTTTCTCGGCTTTCCTTGCTCAGAGGGAAATTCTCTCACTGCTCCGCCGAAGGTAGACCGCCGACCCAGGCCCGAGGCCCGCTACCACATTTTGCAGAGCTATGGCGACCTTTGCGCCGACCAATTTTCCCTCAGACGTCCGAGACAAGCCACCCCACCAAGAGCCCCCACCACAGCATCTCCAACATCACGGACCCTTCTCCCATCAGCTCGACCCGCCCACCGCGCCTCAGTCCTCAAACCCTCTGCCGCAGATAGCGAGACGTGCGTCGCGCGACCTCAGGCCCCAGCACTCCAACGGCGCAATGGCGGGCGCGAATGGTCATGGGCCTATGGCGGTGCCGGGCGGGCGCGCCAACGGCCACGAGCATAGGGCAAACTTGCGCGAGATGGGCTTTGCCGGCCCGCGCAGCCCCCCAAACAACAAAAACACCTCACACGTCCCCTGCAAGTTCTACCGGCAAGGCGCATGCCAGGCTGGCAAGGCGTGTCCGTTTCTGCATTCAGACGAGCCGCTGACAGAGCGAGCGCCCTGCAAGTACTTCACCAAGGTAAGATATGTGCTGGAAGAGGTGAATCATCGCTGATCATGTACCCAGGGAAACTGCAAGTTCGGCCAGAAATGTGCCCTCGCCCACATCCTCCCCAACGGCCATGTCGTGAACCGCGGAAACGCCGGTAATCACTTTAGCCGCATGAACATTCCACACCACCAGGAGATGCCCATGAACAGCTCGCTACTTACGATGCAGGCTCACATGGGCGGTATGCAGCCAGGCTACCCCTACGCCATGCCCGACGAGTACGCGAACCAGAAGAACCAGTACGACATGATCCCGACCATCGACACCACCTTCTCCTCCCACCCAGGCTCTAACTATGGCTCGCCGCCAAACGAGAACGGCCGACTTCCGATATCGCCAACACAGAAGGGCTTGAGTGTGATGGATGTAGGACTTCCTGCGTCTTTCGACAGCCAGGGTGTCTCGACCATGGCGCGATACGGCCCCATTGCGTCCTCAGTACCCGCCAAGTTCCTCGCGAACTCCCCGCCGTCTTCGTACCAAGCCGATTCGCCCGCTCTTCGAAACCTACACGACTCCGCGTTTGGAGATGGTCTGCGGAGGGGTATTGCAGGATTGGGATCGTCTCCGCCTGAGTCGGTAGAGCAGCCAGTTGGACGGAGGATGCTACATTCTGAGCTTGCCGCGAACCGCTCCCGGGGCATCATGTCGTCGAGTGTAGGTGCGCGACCAACGTACAAGGACGAAGAATGGGATGAGACGGACATGATTGGCAAATTCGAGGAGGACCTACTGCCCAATTCGCTGAGCGATCTTCTGACACCCCAGGAAAAGATGCGCCGCTTCTCGCGCGATCAAGGCGAGAGCGACAACCGCGCTTCGCAGTCCAGGTTCGGGGTTTCGCCAACAGCATCGGACCTCAAGTACGGATCGCCATCCGCAGCCACGGCTTCCCCATCGCGTTTCCAGTCCATGTGGGCCAAGCCTCGAGGACCGACTTACGAAGGAGGATTCGAATCAGGCTCGCTACCCGGCCAGTCAGCCTTCGGACACGTAGGATCACCACTACGCAACTCAAGCCTCCATCCAGGAGCCAGCCCTTCACTACGCGCCATGAACCGACCCACCACAGGCGACATGAGCCCATACCTCGCCTCACCTCCCCGCCAAGCTTCCATGAGCATGATTAGCCAGCAACTACAGCGCACCCGCATATCAGCCCGGGATGAAAGCGGCATCACCAGCAACCCCGTGCACCCCGGCATCAACCGCGTCACCTCCGCATCCAGCATCGGCAGCTCCAGCGGCCGTCTCGGTATCGATCGCGCTGTAAGTAGCAGCAGCATCAACCGCGAGAGGATCGAGGAAGAGCAGGGTCTGTTCAGCATGGAAGAAGAGGATGATCTCAACAAGAGCAGGGACGGCGCTTCGACTACATCCAGCAACAGCAACAAGCGTCTGAGTGGTCTGTCATGGGGAAGTGGTGGGAAGGGAAGCCCGAACCTTGCTCCTGTTGGTGGTCATCGGACGGCGGGCACTTCTGCACTCGGCAAGGAGACGGGTGCGGGTGCTTGGGGTGGGAATGCTTGAACTGATGGATGAAACCAATACTGCCCATCACCATAGCAAAGCATTACACTCGACGCCCTGAGCCACTTCAGCACCAGCAGACACGTACCTCACCCCACGAGCGACATCTCTACGAAATTCTTTCCCTACATCACGAACAAAAGGAAAAGGTTGGAAAATTCTCAGCGTTCCCGGCGCACTTGCATACAGGGTCATGTTTCTCCACGACATCGACCCTAATCCTTCCATCTTTCAACGGCATATACACAAAAGTCTCTTAGCTTCGGCTCGACATACGAGCGTCAAGCAGGTGGAACTTTACCTGGCGTACGCAGCACATGACAGCATGGCATGGGCATGTGCCTTTTCTTCCCCATTTTCCTATCTTTTTTCTTTTTGAGTTACAACTCGGCGTTGGTGCGTTGTTATTTCTTTTTCTCACATGAATGGTGCGTCATGGGCAATGGAGTTTATACAAAGATGATGGCTAGTAGTGGTCTTCTTATAGCTGCTAGGCTTTTGTACCGTATGGGGGTAATGTAGTGGATGCGATGAAGGGCTACTAGAAATGAGTATTTACGATGACATATGAATGAGCATGGATCGATGGATGAAATGGATGGATAGGTAGCTTTAGCTGGAATGTATATATACATATTCTTGATCAATCGTTATCAAATAAGCCAACGACCATCAGCGGCATCACCTGACCACGTTCTCGCCTGGGTCTCTACAAGACCTGATTTCAAGATTTCCCACTGTTTTCTACAGATGTATCTAGGGTCCTTTCGTGGCAGATAGTCCAATCTCAGCCACCTAGTAGCTAGTCTCGAAAGTAACGCTCGAGAATGATAGTTTGGAGTGCTTCATCCGTCCCAAGCAAGGAGAGCATATTCCGAATCTTAGCCTGTAGTCGGAATGGAGGGTCAGCCACGTTTCCCATATACTCAGCGCGTTCATTTATACTGACAGCATTCCGCTCCCGTTCTTGCTGCTTCCACGTTTCGAATTCTGCTCCGCTATGTCGAATAGCTTCAGCGGCGTCCACGGCAGCTATCAATTGAGCGGCTTTTTCGCTATGGTATGCCAGGCTCTTCAGTATCCCTTCAAGCCGAGATTCGAAGCCGGCCCACATAGAACTGAAGAATATGGACCATGCTATAGCTGGTGAGAAAAACATAGTGTCAGGTTGCCAGGGCACTTACACTTTCTTTTCACAAACTTGTACGCTCGCCGATGGAACTCTGTGATGTCACAGTACACCAGAGCTAGCACTTTCTGCAAGTTGTGATCGCACACAAGTGCATTGCCAAGATGATTCAGGCGAGCAACTATATCCCCGATCTTGCCGTATGCTTCTATCATCTTTTCAAAAGCACCGCTAGATTCGACGGTGATCTGTCTTCACAGTGAGTAGAACACTCGTTTTCTGGGCGTGCAACTCACCATGAGCATCAGTTTTACCGGTGCCCAAATCCATGACAGAAAAGGATTCCCGTTGCACAACACCTCCATTACCTTGGAGTAATGCTCCATTGCCTGAAGGAACTTGTCTAGCCGGACCATATTCCTTTGCATCCGGCAAGCGCGGAGCAAGCGCTCAGTCCGTATCGCCTCATCTCTGACATCTCTTAAGGTTGTATTGTCGAAAAGTCGACGGTCGTCCGGTGTAACGGCAGATGAAAACCGCTCAAAGGCGTCTTGCATCGTGGCTGCTGCCTGCGCGGAAATGGCAGCCATAGGTTCAGCGGTGTTCGCGGTGGTGTGGGTGTTGTTAAGACTGGCTGTGTCATAGGTCTTATCCAGGATAGTGTGCGCGATGCGAGTCCGCGAGCACGTAACAGCTAGTTGAAAAGCTGTCTGCTTTGACCTGTTGCGTAGATCGCAAGATGCGCCTTCCGCAAGTAAGTCTTCGACAATGTTCAGCTGACCCGAAAGAACGGCCCAATGCAATGGTGACTCTTGGAATGTGTCCTGCTTGTTCAACTTCGTTGTAACACGACTCAATTTGTAGAAACGCAGAAGCTGCTTTGTAAGGAAGCTAAAGCCAAGTTTACACGAAAGCGAAAGCCCGGTAGTAAGATTTGGCGAAAGAGGATTAACTCCGAAATCGAACTGACGCACGTCGTCTCTGCGTGCTAGCACGGATGCATAAAATTCCTTAGTTGACGTTGGTGTGAACTGTGGGATATTCCCACTGCGGTCGCGGAACAAGGAGATCTGAACCACAGATTCGACCTTTGAATCGTCCTTCAGCAATTCCATTGCAAGTTGATGGAATGGCTCGCCTTCCAGGGATACTGGTAGTTGAGCTCTCTGGCTCTCAACCATGCTCATATGAACTGACCAATGGTTTGCAGCGTAGCTCAGCAAGGGCCATCTTTCCGTGCGCGCGATCAATGATTGCTGGTCTGTACAGATTCCTCCTTCGCATGATCCCATGTTGAGATAGGCAAGACATCTCATTCCTAATTTCAGGTTATGGTCTGGAATATATCCTGAGCCTTCCTTGGATCGCAGGTACTCCATGAGTGATTGATGGAGAAGAGAGACATTTTGCGATTCGTCTACTTCCACCAGACCATGACATGAACGTGCTATGGTATCCCAATCAAGCGGGGCCGTCTTCAATGGTGGCGCGCTGTCCAGTATCTTAATACTATGGAGTTCTCTAAGCTCGATAGTAGTCAATGGCCGAGCAGCGTCTTTGATGGCTCCAAGAGTCATCGTTGCTCGTTCGCATTGTCGACTAGTCGTGTTTTGAGTGATTCTTCGTAAGTTTCGACTATATGATTCAGCGAAAGTTGCCAGATAATGGTCTTCTCCATCGGATTTCGGTCGTTCAGTTGTTTTGATGGTTTCCAAGTCTCGCTCGAAAGTGTCGAAGCCTCCGTCCGGGTCGACAAAACCGAGGTGGAGTTTTGCAAGCAGAAACCTTTAGGCGTTCGCACTTGTCAGTCGTGGGTGGAAGAATGCACACATCTTGTTCGACTCTGCAATTATCGTGTCTATCAACCTCTGCCGGCAAGATGTGTCTTGTGCCCATTGTGCCACATATGTATTGAGACGTCGTCGAAGATATGTTCTGATGTCGGTTTCAAGTGCGCATAATTCAATTGTCTCGAGGTTGTGTCTGAAGTAGACTCCCCAATGACAGAGCTTGGTTCTGCTTGTCATGACAAGCCCAATGCGGCTCTCCAACTGTATCTCACACATGCCTTTAAGCACATCGTCCCTGACATCCTCCCGACACTCATCCAAACCATCGAGGAAGATACAGACCCATTTCTCTGGGGTACCTTGCTCCAGATGATCTGAAGCCTGAGTCTCCTCTTCTTGGTCACATGCGATTCCATCCAAAATTGCGACTATGGTTGTGACAACATCTTCGGTATAGGGATCCCGGCCTGGACGCCGTTTCATGAGTCTGTCGACTTCAGAATTAGCTTCGGGAAACCTGCACGTTATATCCGCAAGGACTTTGACGAACACACTCGTAGCTTTGATCTGTGACGGTTCGTCGAGAGTGAAATATACAGATGCGATAGCGACCTTTTTGTCGATGGCGTCCTCACCTGTGTGAATCATGCTTTCCTTGGTAGCAAGCGTTTCGTCCTTCAGACGCATCTTCTTGGAACGAGTAACATCTCCATCGCGTTCTTTCCGAAACCAAGCATCCTCTAATATTCGTTGGAGATAGTGCATCGTAGCCGTCTTCCCTACGCCCGGTCTCCCTTCAATCACGAGCGTATGACCTCTTGCCTCTAGACAGTTCCTGAAATGGGCATTATGAAGGATCCCACGGGCGCACTCGGGGCCGAAAGTGTCATTCAGAGACTCGTGAACTGGTTCTGTGCATTGGTATCTTTTCAAGAAGGCCTCTCGTTGGATATCGTCCTGGTCTGTTCGCGATGAGAATTTGTCAATTTCTTCTTTTACGGAGCTTCAGCTTGCCTAGTCCAGTGAACAGACCAATCTTCCCGTAGGGTGCTTGAAGGTTCGAATCTTTGATTGTCTGGGTTACATCGCCCCGCTGCATGATCTACTAAGTTCCGACTATTCATTACACTCAGATAACGGCGGGGAAAAGCTTGATGATCCGTTAAGAGTTGAATGCATGCATACAGTGAAAGGCGTGCTACTGACTGAAACTGCGCGTCTTGGTCCAAGCCGACGCTGCAAGGCTCTGGACACTTTGCAATCAGTGCAATCTTTAATTCCAAATAGCAGCATGGCATGCCTTACTTTCTTGTTCGCATCTGTCATCTGATATATCAATGTAATACTTCAGCCGCAAGCGATAAGAACGCGGTATCATCGCAGCCTACCGTTATGCTGCACAGTCAGGAAAAGGATGCATGTTCAGGAGCTGAGCCCATCTCAATACATTAACTGCAAGCCAAAATAGCGAAAGGTGTATGGTAACGGTAGATAATTGGTAGGCTTTGGGAGTACGAGGTACGCCCCGCATCCTTCGGACAGGGAAGGCGCAATTCCGGTGAACATCATCACGGCAGACGATGAGCAGTCGCTTCGCACATGTAGCCCGCATCCCGTCAACAGAGAGAAGGCTATATCGAGCGCGATGGCTGGGCCAGAATTTATAGGCGCTATCTTTGGGCTCGCCGACGTCTCCTTCCGAACCTTCATTTCAATCCAAGAAACGGCGAGTCAATGGAAGCACGCCCCCAAAAAGGTCGACAACATCAACGAAGAGGCTTCTTTGCTCATGAAAACAGTTTCTCAGCTATCTGAGCTGCTGAACGACAACGAAAGTACATCTAATCTCGCAGAAAGCATAGGTCTCTCGAAAACAGTACAACAGTGCGAAGCCAACTGTGCAACACTGGTGCCATACGTGTCCAAGTGGGCAACCTCGGTGTCGAGCTTCTTTTTCCGGGCCAGAGTCCATTACTTGTTTCATCAAAGCCTTTTCGCAGAAATCCTTGCGGATATTCAAGTTGTTAAACAGAATCTCATCCTTTTTAGCTTACTAGCACAATTGTAAGCTCTGGAGCTCTGTTCATAGATCGGTACGTACTAACATCATCATCAAGATCGATGAGTATGACTGGCGAACCGTCTCAGCCAAACGAGAAGCGGGTCAGAGTCAACCCCAAATCAGTCAAAAAGGATATCAGCAGTATGGATATACCCAACACCACAAAGGAAAAGGCATGCGCCAAAGTGGAGCAGATTGCTGCAGGGCAGTCGGGAGGGAAATTGAAACAAAGCTGGGATAACGTCTCTTATGGACAGTACGGCTCTGTTGGTATAGGCGGTAAGTTACCTCAGCAGATTAGCGATGTTGAACAGGACTGGAAGACCGTGAAGCCAGGAGAAGACGGGAAGGTGCGGCCCGCCCCGGAAACCCACAGTAAACTTGGGATCCATTTTGATTAGCTGCTAGCTATATGAGTCCGGCGTAACTCAATTCAAATACCGCCATATCGATGATATACAAAAGTGCAGGCGGAAGTCAGTTTTCTCTTACTTTGCTGCCCACATGTGCAGGAAGCTGTGTGCTCAATCATGCCGAGGTCGGGCCGTGCGCACCCGCGGACGTCACCGAGGCGCGATGATACTCAGGGCAGAAGACGTTCCGAACACAAGCCTCGTTACTTTGTGGATACAATGATAGTACTGTGGATAGGGGGAGATGGAAGCCAGTTTGTAGGCAGTACGCTCAAGCTTGACAACACCTAGACACACCTGTACAGCCTCGTAGGCAGACACACTCAGCTCAGTCCCGGTGGCTTGCAATAGCTGGCCGTATCCATGCACCTACGGTAACTTCTCTAACTTCCACCATCCAGCACAAAGATGTGCGAGCCGCCGTCTTACGCGTGTTCAGTCGGTTTGCAGTATGCTCACATGTCTTTATGAGATCGTTGTCGATGAAGTCGCTGCTCCGGCTCCAAAGCGACGGCGATTGAAAACCTCTCATGCGGAGAGCGTCACACTCGAGAGCGCTCACAATGCATCGCAAACACCACTACCGCCGGCCTACATGACCGCAAAATATTTAGGGGAAGATACTTTAGTGTGCTATTGCATGGTTAGTTGCGTTCTGCTCAGCTCGGCGGTCTCTGCTCACATTGCTCAGATATCAGATCTAAAAGTACACAGTCCTATCCATCATGTCGCCTCCCCTATCCCGACCCCAAACTCGATCCGATTCGAACCTCCTCGCACAATAATTCGCGGTAGTGCCAATGCGCCGGTCGGGCGACTGGATGACTATGGGTGAGAGCTGCTATTGCGGCTGGGTGCCGACGACGAACTCGTATTACAACTTTCACTCTTCTCCGCTCCCATCGCTCCCCCGACGGAACGGAGGACACTCAAGCGTGCCTTTCAGTACGTAGGGGCTACTACATATGGTCCGAAACGCCGCTCCGGTGATGTGGGCGATTTCCTGAGCCAAGCCGGTTGCTACTTGAATGACCCTGTTGGCTGTGACCGCAACGTCCCCTACATGAATCCTCAACGTCTATTCACTCTTCACGAACGACCACCAATGACTTTAAATTTGTTTTGGTCGCACCAAGCACAAATCGACAGCTTTTCACGAGCTTCCTTAGATGTTTTGTCTCGATTTGAAACCACTGATGAGTTCGAGACATCGGCTTGCCTGATAGCTCTAAAGACCGAGTTGAAAGAGTGCGTAGCCCGCGGTGAAAGAGGTAAATCGGCTGACTTAAATTCAAAGGCATCAGAAACAAGCCCTTACCTTCTTCCTGCGAAGTGAACGAGGTATGCATCCAGATAAAGAATGGGATATGGCTGCGGAAGACAAGCGCGAGACAGCTGACGTGCGTATGCCCGAGACATCTTTTCAAGACTCAACGCTGAACCTTGACGTGCCTCAGTTTTGTGAACGCTGTGACTGGTGAAGTCCGATCTGCCCCTGGCCCGGTGTGGCGTGGTGGACTGCTTGCCGATGAGATGGGTCTTGGCAAGACACTGAGCATGATAGCTCTGATCGCTTCTGACCTGAACCGCCGACCAGATGACGATCCATCTATTGGCTACCCCACATTTGAGACTGCCGTACCATCAACTCTAATAGTAGTACCACTGAGCTGTAAGAGTGCATAATTCCTACGGCTCCGCATAAGCTAACGCTATCTGCAGTGTTTAATGTCTGTGAACTGCAGTTACAGAAGTTTGTGACAAGAAATCCATGATGAACGCCCGCTTCTCGATGGACGGAGGATCATGTGAGCTGTGCTTCCAGTCAGTCGAAATATCAACACTCGGCAGTGGTCTCCGAGATGTTACACAAACACAAGTCTACTTTTCAGAATGCAGCAAGTTCTACTGCGTGGAGTGCTCTGCGAGCCTTCAATATCGATCACCTGAGCCGTGCGCATGTATAGAGCAGCCGCGATCGTGTCGAATCCGTCCCCTAGCTTCCTTCTTAACTACTCCCAGTCTTACGCCTACCGACAGCCTTTCCCCCTCGTCAATGTATTGGGACCATAGCAATGACGTCTCAAGCAAAGTATGGGCGCTTGTTTCGCAGATCAGGTCGCACCCGCAGGAGAAGCAGTTAGTCTACTAGGACTTTGAAACACCTTACCAAATAACCTTTGACTAGTGTCGTATTCTCGTCCTGGACATCCAGTCTCGATATGGTAGAGAGAGCGCTGCGGTATGATCCAAATCAAGTCATCCAATCCGTCCGAATCGATGGCAAGGTTCAGCCAAAGAGTCGCAGTCTCGCCATCAAACGGCTCCATGATGATCCTGGTATTCGCGTCATACTCATCACCATTGCTTGTGGTGCCTGTGGGTAGGTTCATTCATAACACTCGCCGAAACATGAGACATGCTGACAGGTATCTCAGTCTGGACCTAACCGCGGCGTCGGCAGTTCACCTTCTCGAACCTCAGTGGAACCCTTCTCTTGAAGACCAAGCACTTGCTCGCGTCCATCGCCTAGGGCAGACTCGTCCCGTGACAGCTATACGCTATGTCATGGAAGACTCGTTTGAAGAGGTACTCACTCCGTGTTATGTCTGGAAATTTGAACTGATAAAGGCATCAACAGCACATTCTCAAAGTTCAAGATCGCAAGAAGCTGCTCGCCACAACCTTACTATCGAACGGCTCATCTCTGGAGGTAAGTAATGCGCACACAGAGTCGTTCACAATAGCCCTCAGATACTGACAAGATATTCTCAGAACATGCGACAATTGCTGCACGAAAGGAAGGGCGGTTAACATACTTGATGGGACGCAGGAGTATCGATGGTTAAACCCAGTGTATTCTTCTTATCATTTGTACCTGAAATCCAGTATCTGATGATTGCAATCACTTTCAAGAAAGAGCAACGTTGTGTATGGGATGATTATATATTGCGGAAGTCGTGACATAATCGCCGCTCGCTTTGCTTCATCGCGGAAAACTTTGACATTGTACTGATGCGAGCTTTTATTTGGAGTTTTCCATAGGTGCTGTAGGTGACTTCTGTCCTGGCGTATCTACTCTCTAGCTCATGATGATAGATGACTCTTGTGGATGGTTCTGCACCTCCCTCCTCGCAGGCGGCTGGTATTGTTATGCGGAAGCTCTCCATAAACTACAGGTTCCATATCGTCGCGCGCTACTGCGCACTGGTATTCTCGAAGTATACTCTACGCGATTACGCAGTGTTCGTCGTCTCCCGCACAAGAGCTTCGCGCCATTGGCAGAGTCCGGCACGGATTGTCCGTTTGTCATCCTCACCCCATTGACAGTTGGGATCTGCATAGGTATTTTTTGTGAAAGCGGCTTTCTCGAGAAGATTTAACAGTTCGCTCCCAGATTCGTAGCCAGTCTTGCAGAGTACGAACATGCAGTACCTGGGGCTCGTATCAGGCCATGAAGAGGAACGAATAGCAATCAGAGAGTCTCCAGTTCGGGTGTCCCTTCCCCATGATGCGGGTACGCGTTGATGCTGCTCTTCCGAACCGGTAGCAATCTGTAAAAGCCCATTGTCGAGGCTGATGTGACGTACACGTTCAACATCTTGACTACTTCCAGCTGCAAGCCCGCTAAGGATATCACGTGTGTTCTCCGATAGATGGATGTGGAGAAACGGAACCCACTCTGGACCTTCCTCTCCTTGATTTGGTCGCAGAATCAAACCCGTAGATCGTAGAGCATGCGATGCCGAGTCTCTACCGTGAAAGCTACGAACTAGCAACATGGCTGTCATGAGGTCTTTCGTGTTGCAATTCTTATGTACAGGAAGCTGCTCTGCTTCCCATATCATGCAATGTAATACTCGCTTAATCTGCCATGAAGATTTGTCGCAGTAAGTATGGAAGTAGAAGGTGGCTCGCAATGCACATGCTAGTCCAAGGCCCCAGTCCGGTTGAATGCGCGTTCCCCAGATATATGCGACATCATCTAAAAGTTCCCTAGATATCCTGATGGAGTGTTCCTTTGAAACTGTCTTGAATAATCGATCTTTGTTCGAGAGCCGGCGCTCTTCCCACGAACCGGCGGCTGCGCAGTAATTGTGATATTGAAACTCAAACTGAACAATGTTGGCATGGCGAATGCTTCCGAACGCAGTCCAGGAAGGTGAATTTGGGTGACCGACTGCCCAGCGAAGGAATGGCTCAGACCTCGCGTCCTGGAGAGCTACTTCTTCTGTACTTTGTTGTCGCTGGGATCGATCGTACCCGTTCACAGTCCCATCGACCTGTATCCCTTCTAGATCCTGGGAATTTGGCGCCGGACTTGAGGTGGGACAAAGTGAAATTGAGTGGCGGAATCGATCTGTGGAAACCGGGGAAACACTATCAAAGCTGGTCCTTGAATTCGCAATGAGCTCCCTGATAGCTGTGCGATATACGTCCCGCGCCCATGACCAGATGAAATCAACGATTAGAAGTAGTTGCAGCGCCCCGTCTTGTGACTGTATGGTCCCTTGCCACAGATCGAAGATTCTCTAGAAAGATTGATCGAGTCAGCCCATAAGCATGCCCTAATTACAAGACATGACTCACTACTTTATCTTCATCCAGAGTGCCGGCATGTAACCGCCATTGCTCACCTTGATACGCGAAGAACCAGACTAGGCAAGGCTCGCTAGTATCGTCGCGACTATCTATGTCAGACTGGGCCATCAAAAATCGTCGCACAGGAAAGGCGGTCTGGTACTGGATTGATCGAAACCCTGGCGCATCTTTCTCCTTCTTCGCTTCGATAACGAGAAATGGTAGGAATAGATTGGGTCTATTCTTCGCCGGATAATGGGTTTCATTCCGGGCTATCGATGATGGAGATCGTAAACCAATCACGGCGTCTGGCCGCATGGAAATGTTTGTAGAGTCAAGATTGTCTCCAGATACGTGGCTTATAAGCTCCTCCTTTACTGAGCAAAAGATAGATCCACTCTCCCCGTCACTAGTTCCTCAGCACAGTCTATGGAAAGAATTAAGACGACTTACTAGTCTTTTGTCTGTTCTCGAGGCCGTCTACTATTGCAGGTGCAGGACCTTCTAGTGTTTCGTTTAGCATTAAGCTTGCTCCGACGCTCTTTGTTGAAAGGAAACGCCTCATAATCTGACTTCCACAATTCGTTGTTGCATTTTCCACTTGTTCAAGTCAGCTCACCGTGTGAAAATTTGGCTGGACTGTAACGTACCAGATAACTGGTGTGCGAAATCTGTCGAATATGGGGCTTTCAAGATCGCGCCATGACGCCTCGTTGGCATTAGCTTCATCGAGTAGATCTTGCACTTGCGTTCGGAGTTCCTTGACGCCTTTCTTGTAGTTCTCTTTACGATCGGTAGGAATGCGCTCGTTCTGTAGGTACTCTTCATAGCGCAAGAATTGGAGTGCGCGTATGACTTTAAAATTGTGTCTGTACCCCTTCTTCCATGATGTTGGGGGTACTGGTCCGTGAAATCGAATGCCGTGATCGTCGGCTTTTTGGCGCAAGTCCAGTGGCGAGAGTTGGTCTTTCTTCGGCGGCATTGGTGATACTAGAGCGGTCACCTCCACTAGTGTGTGGCAAGTGCGACATTCACGCGTCTGTCACAATAACGATCATATGGTAACCGAGGGACTGAAGGGTGCTAAAGTAGCTGAGCGTACCTTAGCCTGGTGGGCCCGTGCACAAAGAGTCTTGGTTGCGCAGATGATGCCACACTGTCCAGGTGGAGCGCTTACCTAGGCAGGCTTCGCTGACGAGGCTGAGCACCGGTGTACACCTCGAAACCTGGTCACACCGCTATCGATGCATACAACGAACCTTTGCAGATTGTCGCTCTGCATCTTTTTCTCCCGCTTGCGCCGTGTTGTGACAATGGTTGCTCTGCTGCACGATCGGCATTAGATACACGGAAAACGAGAAGATGTATCCGTTGTAATCCATCATTCAGGCACAGTGACTAATCTGACTGTATGCGTCAATTCTGCGAAAACTAGAGCGAGAGTCCCTGCGCATTGAAGTCGGAATCTAAAAAGAGCCTTATCGTTGCTTGAACTTGTGCCTCATGATAGTGGCATTGCTTGGGAACGATTGGCTCCCTGGTTGTCAGATTCATGCTCCAGGCTACCTCATGATAGTGGTATTGCTTGGAAACAATTGGCTCCCTGATTTTCAGATGCATGCTCAAGGCTGCAGCAGGTATTCCCTGGGCACAAGGATATCCTGGGGCTCGGACCGGCTCGTGCTACTTGGTTGGCGCCTCGTGAGGAGGACCCCGGATATTCAGCCGCGGGCACTTCAGTCAGTCCACTTACCCGCCGAAGCTCTTGCGTCGTAACATTAATTAATTATGGAACGTGGTTGGTTGTTGGACTCGTCTTATTGGTCACAAGTTCGGTGTTGCCTTGTGCGGCACAGCAGTCCTGGCGACTCGGCTGCTGAACCGCAGGCCGCGGAACGACAGAGTTTCGCCTACGGCGATGCCGAGGAGGATTGAGAGTAAAAAATCGCAGGGTGTCATACAACTCTGTCAAAGGGCTGCAGTAGGGACAAGGTCGATGCCGCTTGTTGATGACTTTCATGGGCTAGGTACCTAGCAGGAATGCATCAAAGCTCCTATTTGCGACTACCGGGATTCTCCCAATGTACCCTACTTTTCATCTGAGTACCAATGCTTTCACCACGAAATCTCGAGTTGTTTCGGACCCTGCGCCTTTTGCGAATCCACAATATTCAACCATCGCCCTCTCCTTGCGGAATGCGCGTAGACCTGGAAAGACAGGCAACTTCACTATCTCCCCATTGGCTATTGGGTGTGAAGTCATCGCTTCCATATCTGCTTCATTGGCCGCTGATTCTGCTGCAGGCCATATCAGTTCGAAGTGATTTGCGCTCAACAAAGACTCTGCGCGAACCTCTACTGCCAATCTGAACACGTCGCTTAACGAAGAATGCAATTTCCTGATGGCTTTGCGTCTCAAGCGTTTTCTGAAGAGAGGGTGGAGTGCACTTGTGAGGCGGTCTCTGAACATTTTGCTCATCTCTGGAATGATGACTTCCTTGAAGCTTTCACTCTCTATAATGGACCGATGAACTGCAAGGTCCAAGTGGAAGAGACTCTCTTGGCCACCTATAAGACGTAAGTAATGTCTCGTGGGAAGCTAATAGGATCAAGCTTACACCAAATACTGATGAGGCTGCGATACTGTTCCAAAAGCGGTGCAGTGCGCATCACATGCGCTTGGAATTCGGCTCCAAACACCCAGTCGCAGATGGAAGCTCCTGTGAGAGCTGGTACAAGCTCAAAGGAGGTCAATATCGGAAAGACGTTTGGTACTCCTTCGAGCTTGCAGTGAGTGTCGATACCAAACACGCTGGACAAGAGACCATCCAAGTCGGCCGATTTACGTAGGAGGCTCTCGATGGGATGCTCCCTAGCGTCATCCATGACGAGCACTCGAGCGATGCTATCCTTTAGGTTTTGGAACAACTTGATGAATCTTTCTGAGTTTGACTCCGCATTTGGGGCTTTGCTAAAAGAAAGATACCCTTCCAGATTCGCTCGATCATTGAGCTTCCCGTCCTGGATTGTGATTGTCCGAATGTTTTCTTTCAAAATTCTTGTCACATTTTGAGGCAGTTTCCCTAGGCTCTCAATTTGTCGCCGCTGATCATCCAGAATGAGACATTTCTCTTCAGCTTTCTGAGAGCGCTTCTTATAGAAGGCCAGATCAGAAGCCATGACTGCGTAAGTAGATTCGGAAATTGCTGTAAATAACGATCTATCCTCGAGGCTAGGACCAGCAGACACATGTCGATTGACTGAGTCGTCGCTTGGCTTCGTAGTTTCAAGGACTGATGTTCGTCGCCCAGACAACGATCCACGTGAGGTCAAGATTGGCAGATCTACGGTCGCTCCTGGATGACTGGTGGCCTGAGTACAATCCGAGACGCAAGAATCTTCGATACTTGGAAAAACATTGTCTGATTGTATGGCTTTATGCTGTCGTGTTTTGCGTTTTCGCTGTTCAGGTCAGCATTGCCGGCATGCACAGCGTTGAGATCACTACCTTGTGCGCGCTTTTCAGCTTCGATATTGCATTTCTGTCGTTGTTCCTTGATGAGTGTACAGCCTCTTTGGAGCTCTGCCTTGATCCAGAGGTTGCAAGGCTTAAAGCTCTCTTCTGTTGCTTCGCAGTCTCAGGAACGATGGACCTTGCCTTGAAAGTGTCATATTCGCATGCGTGTGTCACGAGAAAACGATCGATCGGTTTAGGCGGGTGATAAGGAAGGGCACAAAAGGAGCACTGAGATGTGGAACTCCAAAACTGCTGGGAGGAGCCAAGCGTAAAAGGTTCTCAGGTATGGCTCCGTACCCAGGCACAAAGTCGATCTGTCCTCTTCTGGGCACGGCATGCGTATGTTGATGTGACCTAGAATGCAGGAGTCCCAGAACATGTTTCGAAATGCGAGTCAGCCTTACCGCCTGCTTGGCAATGTTAATGCAAGCAGGGACGGAATCCTATCACCGCCCCCAATAATGGCGCGCTAACTACCATTAGAAAGGTTCAGGTTGAATCCTTGGAAGCGTGCAGGATTCTCAAACCCCTCACGTAGCTTGCGCCACTGTGTCTCAAGAACAATCTTGAATCATCAAATTCTTCGTATCTTACGCACACACACATACGCGCGCACGCACATTTTTTGGTTTGGCAGTTGTCCGCCGGTCGAAATGGAGATCACGATCTTATGCGAAATCTTGGCAATCCTCGATTTTCTTGTCAAGGGCCCTGCGACAAGATCAGTCCAGGACTGGGACTATGAAGAATATATGGAGAAAACTCTGGAACAGATCGCGGGAAGATTGAGATACTCGATGGCAACCAGAAAAATCAAAGAACACCTTTTGCAAGCGCTGCAAGCAAGAAGAAGCTATCCCGATGATATGCTTGGTTTACTTCTCCTTCATGGCAGCTCCACGATCCCACTCGACCGCGAGAGTGAACGACAAATTAAAGAGTATGTGAAGGAGCTTTATCTGAGGGAAAATCGAGACGGAGTGCCTCGGCCTCGACGCTCAGCGGTCGTGTATGGCCACATTGACCTTGGTTCACAGTTCTTCTTCGAGAAAATGGATCAGGATCTAGACGTCGAGATGACAATAGAAGAAGATGACCCAATCGCTACGGACGAGCACGAGACGGATCATGGCCGTATGGTTATCGCTATCGACTTCGGTACAACATTCACCTCTGTTGCGTACACCGTCATACCGAGAGGCGCCTTACCGGAAGATATGGACTTACGCCACGTGAAATGCATCGGAAACTACCCAGGCTACGAACCTCCGCCGGGTAAACAGGATTTTCGGGAGGATGTGCCCACTGAGTTGTGGTATGACCATGGACACACAGGAATTGTGGGACAGCAACCTGTCAACACATCTAACGATGGCTGTCAAAGCTTAGTTAACGATGACGAAGAGTCAAGCAGCGATGATGACGAGTCCGAGGATGAAGAGTCGCGATTGTTTGACGATAGTAATGGAGTCGAGAACCTTACTGAAACACAGACTAGAACCACGGCGCTGAGTACAGTAAAGCAATACTGGGGTTACGAGGTTCAGCAAAAGCTCAACGTTATGGGAGCCCCTCGAGACGAGGCTCGACCACTTACTAGAATCAAACTCAACCTTGTTTCCAAAACCAACACTGATCACATCCGGGATGATCTCCGGTTGACGCTGACAGAACTAAGGAAACAAGGTATTATCGCCAAGGACACAGATATCTACAGGCACTATCTGACGCATCTGCTGAACCATACAAAGGAACAACTACTTTCTTCGAATGATCTCCAAGAAGACATGTTCATCGAGTTTGTGTTGTGCGTACCAGCCAAATGGCCTGTTGCCGCATGTCGAGTTATGCAGGCGGCGCTAGAGGAGGCTGTAAAGGACGTCGGTTTCACCAAAAACGCCGAGGACGACGTTTGCAACTTGTTTATGATCTCGGAGCCAGAGGCTGCGGCTGGGTGTATCCTTGCAGAGGCGAGAACTAAGCTTTACGTAAGCTTCTCTGTTCACTAGCAACCTTTTCGCTGACAACGTTATATAGTGCAATGAGACAGTCGTGATCCTTGATGCGGGAGGAGGCACAATAGATGCTGTCACTTACAGATGCGTAAATGGCAATCCCGTGCGGTTGGCCGAGGAGGTCATTGCCCCCGCTAGTGAGTCAGCCCACCAATTGTAGCAACATGGCTAACCTCGCGAAGGTCAGTTACTTGGCGCAAGCTTCATCAATGAAAGATTCGAAGAGAAGCTACTCGAGAAGCTCGCAAATGAGACATACCTCATTGATGACTTTTACAATCCAAAGACACTGAAAAGCATCGTGGGAATCAGAACAACTATCTTCGAGAATTACCAGAAGCGGATCATCGATACCACTAAGCATAGAGAAGGAACGTATCAAGTGCAGATCGAAAACCTCAGAGCAAACACCAGAAAAGGGCTCTACCGAAACAACCTAGAGCTGAAGCGGTAATTCTCTCTTCCCTCTTGTGTGATTGCAAAAGCTGACTTCACTCTCGCAGAAAAACCATGAAGAGTTTTTTCCAGCCATCACTAGATTGCGCGAAAGACGTTCTCGAGGAGCAGTTGGAGCTTGCGGAGAACAAGAATCGACAAATCGAGAAGGTCATTTTGACTGGCGGGTTCGGCCAATCACCTTCACTTCAGAGTCACCTGAGAACCTACCTTGCGAAACGTTCGAAGTCGACAGAAAGAGAAATTGCTCTTGTTGTTCCACGAAACCCGTCAGTCAACCCGACTCTTAGACAGCGAGTTCGAATGAGATAGACTAACTAGCCAGTAGATCGACCGCAGTAGCTAGAGGCGCGGTTCTCCGAGCGCTCAACAAACGGTTTGGCCCAAGTCGCATCACACAATGCAGTTATGGTTTCATCTTCAGTGAACTATACGATCCTCAAAACATTGAAGCTCACCGCAAAACAACGTATCGGATCAACCGTGTCGATGGGGAACGATACGTTGACGAGACTATTCGATGGGTGTTACAAGCAGTGAGTGCATATCCCGCTGACTAGATTGTATGCTTGATTTACTTTGAGACAGGGCGAAAGGGTGGAGAACATGCAAGCCTTCACCTTTCACGTGAAGCATACCTTTCCCTTGACAAGGAAGAAGCTTTTGAGCGCTGAACAGCTATGGATGTCTGACAAACCCGGAAAAAACCATTACAGGAAAACCAATGCAGAGAACAAAGGCGAGTTCAACCCTCAATACTCGTACAAAGCTAACATTGCAACAGGAGCTGTCATGGTCGGCTTTCTCCAGACAGATTTGACACGATTGAGAGATGAAGGTCGTATCGAGCCGCAGCACCCATCCGTGTTCAGCACACACGCAGGCTCTCAGAAACGCTACTGGGAAGTCCACTACGAGGTTGCGTTGATCGTGGAAGGGAGAAGTATCCGCTTCGAAGCAAGGTACCCTGTGAAAGATGCCTTGCGCCCCGGAGAACAACAGGAAGTCCTCGGAGCTAAGCTCGTTGGCATAGCTGCAGCATTTGCACCAGGTACTGCATGAATGATGGCGAGAAATGTCTGCACGTATTTCATGTGCTATGTACACGTTTCTAGTCCATTAGAAAATCGATGTTAGACCTGGTATCTCTTTCACATGATTCTTGCGTCACTATATTGGAGGCTTTCATTAGCATCCTAAATTCAATGCATTTTTGACTTATGCTTGTGCGTAAAAGGTACGCAACGGACAGCTAAACTGCGAGAGAAACGCACCTGAGAGGGCACTAATACCCCAAGCTGCATGCGTTGCAGCCCATTGTATATACCAGACTTGCTGGAAGTCCTCTCTTTTGTCGAGCTGTGACTTGGCACGCGACGCTGAATATTAGAGTACTGTGGACTTCGGATAAGGTTCCTTGCTACGCATGGAGGTCATGAAGCTCTGCTCCAGGGCTGGAACGCACAGCCGCCACGCGCACCATCCACATCACCAGCACCGCAGCACAAGCAACATCCCCATCGACAACGTGCAAGAGCACTTTTGCTGTCATCCAAACTATCCGGTGCTAGTCTGCAAGAAGCATGCTACGAGGATACAAAACAAGAACGTGCATCCGCGCGACCAGCACGGCATAGCAAGCAAGGAGAGATAGTCCATCGTAGCGCACCGCGTGCACACAGAAAAGCGTCAGCCCGTGCGATTAGTGACGCGAACTTCAAGTGAAAGGGAGAAGACCATACCGGCATGCTACGGGGGATCGCTTGCGGAAATCGATATTCTTCTCCTTTGCGGCGCAGGCAGTGCATGGCCTTTCCAAGGTTGTCTTAGCGCGCATACCCCGCACACAAGGTCTCCATCCCAGCGCGCCGCTCCGCGCAACCGTTGGAGCATCTCAACACACTTCGTTTAAATTCAAGATACAATGCCTGGCGATGTTCAACTCGTACTCCCGCGCCGCGATCCGACAATTGAATGATGGTATCAACGGAGGAGAGCTGTGCGTGCCATGCCAGATAGCTCTAGAAGAAGACGAGCGTGCAGGCTTCGCTAGCATTGGTACTTCAGCCTGGTTGAACAACGGCTTCAGAGAATACGAAGAATATCAGCACCTGACCGAGCCTGTTCTCTATTGCGATTGTTGCCGTCATGTTCTTCGCGCCCGAGAGTTCCAGAGACGACAAGGTAGAGATCAAAGTTCATTGGCTGAGGCGCAGAAGTATCCTGGGGATTTCAACGGGCTGACAACGTGTGTGTTCCTACATGATGACGATCTGGATCTGAAGGCGTGTGAGGCGGCATTGAACGACTTCAAGGTCCAGAAATCAGAGTATAGTCGAACAGTGAGACATCACTGGGCAGATGTGGGGTTGATCAAGAGTTGGCTTGATGACTGCGAAAAGGACCACGGCAATACCTGCAATGAACACCAAACATCAGTTACTGATAATGGGTCGCTTCTGCTTCTGGATGTCATCGATGATTGTCTCGCGGTTGGAAACTTCAAGGATCGGTATTTCGCCCTGAGTTATGTCTGGGGTGCCTCGAAACAGTTCTTGACCTTGGTCAAAAACTACGACCACTTGCGCGAGCCCGGAACACTTTCGAAGCAGCCGTTGACCCAGACGATCAGGGACTCAATGACTTTCGTCAAGAATCTGGGGGAGCGATACTTGTGGGTTGATACAATGGTAGGAAATTCCCGCATGATACATAGGAGCCTCCACTCACGAAAGCCAGTGCATAATCCAAGACGATGCTGCCAACAAAGCGAGCGCACTCGCCCAGATTTGCGCAATCTACAGCTGCGCTATGGCCACGGTAGTGGCTCTAAGCGGAGACTCCGCCGATGCCGGCCTACCTGGCATTCCGCCTACGGCCCGCAACACCACCGCAACCTTTGTCGCTCCTGGACTACACATGGTGGAGCGATCGTCCTTGGAGAATATGTTGGCAAATCATACCTACGACGGTGTAGATGTAGACTGTGTATACAACACGCGCGCCTGGACATTTCAAGAACGATTACTGTCGAATCGGAGCATTTACTTCCTTGACGAGCAGGTTTACTTCCACTGCAAAAAGCAACTCCTGTGCGAAGACAGGTATATTAGCGATGACACTGGCTTCTATACCCTGGACAAAATGCGCACGACAAGCGCAGAACTGAAGTCGAAGACTACTCGAGCGGGCAGTTATAGTCCACTGGACGAGTTTCGTTGGTACGAAGAAATCGTCGCAGAATACACGGCAAAGAAAATGGGGTACCCAGACGATATCCTCAATGCCTTCACTGGCATTCAGACTATGCTGACTCAAATGTTCGATTGGCCTTTTGTCGGCGGCCTTCCGAATTCCCTTCTGGATCTTGCATTACTTTGGACTCCTGTTACCACTATCGAGCGGAGAATGACTGCATCGCAACAACCAAGCTGGAGTTGGTCGGGCTGGATCGGGCGAGCGCGATACACAGACCTGGTGCGCCCAGGGCATAGGCCAATAAGCTCGTTGTTCAAATCAGTCGCAACATATCACCTCGACACACCAGACACGATGGTTTTCTCCACCATGAGCGTGCCTTTCAAAGCATTCGAACTCATCAAGATACCTAAAGGACTGTTTGACCCGTTCCGGAGTAGTCCTAGCCCCATCACCGAAGACTCCTACTACCTCTTCGACCGGAATAAGCGGCGCTGCGGCTTGCTCGTAGGTCTTCTACAAGAGCACGCGGTTTCCATCACCAGTGAAGACCTGAAGCTCTTTGCGCTGTCGGCGTGGAAGTCGAATAATAGCCTCACTAAGAACGGGCCGGTCATCTCTTGTCTCTCAGAGAATGGTTATTTCTCAGACGAAGAGGTCTACGATCAAGCTTTCCGTGACACGGAATGGTGTACTTACAACGTTATGCTCGTTCGATCGGTGGGCGACGCGTATGAGAGGATTGCAGTGGGCCAGATGCATGTAGACGCATGGTACGAAGCAGGTGAGACACCGGGACAGTTTGCCGTGCGGTAATTGGGTACCAAAGTAGTTACAACATCATACCAGTGTAACATACTGCTCATTCACTCTACATTTCCAGTCTTTCTACGAACTATCGCAGCTATCAGTGTTGAAAGCTGCGTCGAGAAGTCCAACTCGTAAACACCCTCAGTCGCTTTCTTTAGGATTAGGCCGACAAACTTCGTGGTCTGCCCTAGTTTGGTCCTACGACACAAGGAGTACTGTCGATAATGAACCGGCGAAAGATACAGCCTAGACCAGCCGACGAAGACAGTCCCAATCTTGAGATATCGAGCAAGTGATGTGTCGCTGCCGGTAAAATGAGTATATGCGGGGTTGTTTCCTTGTGAACAGGCCATTTTCCAGGTCTGTGTGAAAATCCATTACGATCGACTACTATACATGTTCCAGATTGTGGGGTCTCGCGGTGTTGTGTGAGAGCATTGGTCGGCTTCAACGAAACGAGCGCAAGCCTCAGTAAGCACTAAGCCTATTGCAAAAATGTTGAGATGAACAGCCAGGTTCTGCCAGCGCGCGCATCGAGTGATGATGCTGGAGGAAGATACAAAGACAAAGTCAGCGAACTAGGTGTCGCTTCGAGATCGTGCAACGATCGATCTCCTTCAGCCATGTGACTGTTGATTGCATCACCAGTACTTTTGAAGAAATACGATCATCCGCTAGAATTTCAAACAATCCTTTGCAGCTCATCACGTCTCGAAGTCTTTTCGAACTGTTCACGTCGCAACACCTATTGCAGCGGTATACTACAAACAGAGCTACGCCACCAATCATAATTGCTGTTTCGAATTCTTTGAGGATATGGACAAGAAGCATCAGAGATCCGACGATAACGGCATTTGGTCTTGTCACGATCAACTTCGACCTCTGAAGCATGTCAAACACGAACACTTTGGAGTCGAGAACCTTACGAATTCGTCGAAAATATCGGATTTAGAGCTGCACAACAGGCCAATAGTCGATCGAGGTCTCATATACTCTAAGCGCCTGGAGGCGAGTACTGTACGTATCTTGGTACTCCACCACGGTTCTCCATCCGACGAAATCAAATGCGATCTGAAGCAGGAGGAAGACCTTGTACAAACATCTCTTGTCGAGGTGTCACGATATGAGGCATTATCTTACGTTTGGGGTGAAGAGGAGAATCCAGATTACATCGTCCTCGGCGAATCCCGTTTTGCTGTTACCCGAAATCTCTCAGAAGCCCTGAGGTACTTACGCTATCCCGATTCTGACAGGATGCTCTGGGTTGATGCGATATGTATAAATCAATATGATATTGAAGAGAAGGAAGCGCAGGTGACGTCAATGCATTGCATTTACAAGTCCGCGAAACAAGTTATTGCGTGGCTAGGACCGCCAGATAATGCTAGTAGTCATGCCTTTTCCGCAATGAGAGCACTGCAGAAACAAAATAAGAAAGCGGTGTCTGCTACGATTACAATTCAACTCGACAAGGACGGAGCCTCTAATGAGGATAATCCTTTCAGGGAACTGATGGCTCGCCCATATTGGAGTCGCGCTTGGATCGTGCAAGAGATGATGTTTGCTCGCTCCCTCGTTGTTCAGTGCGGCACTGAGGTGGTACCATATTCAGCACTCATAGAAGCTCATCCAAGCACTAAGCCGGCATGTATCCAGATTGGTGGAAATGAAAGCGGACCCGGGCGTATCAACTTCCAAGGCGATCCTGAGGTGAAGATCCCGAGGATCGGCACTCAACAGATAAGCGCGAATCGGTTCTTGGATTGCTTCCTGGACAGACAATGCAGCAAAAGGCATGACAGTATTTTCGCCTTTTTGAACTTACTCAGCGATGACATCAAGCGAGAAGTACGAGTCTGTTATAAGACGGACATTAGTGAACTCGTTCGCAACACAGCTCAAGCAATCATCAGGTCGACACAGAGCTTACATATCATCGTCATCAGAGGACGCCAGACGCCACCAAGTGCTCGAGAGCAGGAGTGGCAGCTACATATGCCATATTGGTGCCCTTACTTGGCCACTCCATACGAGGCTTGTCCCATAGAGCCGCGCAACAAGCCGACCTTCTTTTTGAAGAAAGATGTCTGCTCTTTTGTGAACAGCAGGCTACGCGTAAGAGGTTCAGTTATCGGTAGAGTTGCTCGGACGATCTCACGATACATACCTCCCGAAACCCCAGTAACGGGTTGGTGGGACAAAGCAGGTGTTGAGCGGGAACTAAAGCACTATGGAAAGTGCTTAGGTCTAGGCTTGATTGGTATACCAAACGATAAGCAGATGATCTCGATGTCTTTCAAAGCTACCACTCGCACTCTCCTTGCTGGTCAAGGCGACATTTCCGATGTTGGAATATTGTTAAGTGGGCAAGAGCCAGCAGAACTCCCGTTGCGCGAGATCTGGAATTACGGGGCTTATCGGTCGGTATGTTCGTTTCAGATTAGCCGAACAGCGATTGAGGCTCTCTATTCGAGCAAGTCTACTCCATCTGCTTCTGTCAATCGTGTCGCTCTTATTCCTCGCAATGCTAGACGGGGAGATGTCATATGCGCTATCCTAGGATGTGCAACGCCGGTTGTCCTTCGCAAGGTTGGAAAGCGCTATCATGTATTGGGCGAGGCATATATCGACACGACTGCAATGGGCAAGTTTAGAGTAGCTATCAGACTTAGGGACTTTATACTTGAATGAAATCTCTTCGAGGGATATGCGTGTGCAATCCCCTTATCAGATGACGTTTAATTCATGTGAGGAGCGATACTATGGGTGCAAGATGTCTTAGAGACAGCTGCATCGCTGAGGACTCTGATTCTTGAGGTAGCCGCCGTCGTCTACGTGAGTGGCTATATAAAAGAAAGCAAGCTCCCTATGTAATTTAGACTTCCAGAATGGTATACTTTAGCTTCTCTTGTAAGTAAGTGTTCACTTCTTCCATCGAGTAGGATTGACACACTATCATCAACACCCTACGTGAGTTCATGCCTTCTTCTCCTTAGCGTTGCCTTCATCCTCCTCTCATTCTCTGCCCGACCTTCCTCGCCGTCCAATTATTGGCCATGGCCTCTAAACGGTGCCTCCACGAAATCTCCCCACCCAGCTTCTCTCGCCAGCTGCAACGCAGTTTTTCCATCCGCATCTACCACATTGCTATCCGCTCCATTATCCAATAAGCACTTCACAGTCTCAAAGCGACCCGTCATAACAGTAATAGCCAAAGCCGTCTTACCTTCTCGGCCTTGACTTCCGTGGGAGCGGCTACACGTGCGGTTGATGTCATTTTGAATCTCGTCTTCAGTCAGGTTGTCTACCAGGGTCTCCATGACTGAGATTCCACCGAGCTTGGCGGCAACGTGGATAGCGGTCATACCAAAGCCTTCGTACCGCATTCGCGCACCCCTCTTGAGTAGCTCATCAAGGCTATCGATGCCGACGCCGCTTTCGTTACCCACTTTGTGCAACATGAGGTTAAGCGCGACGCCTTCTTCGATGGCACCCTTATCGAAACGGAACTTCGGTTGCGTAAGGAAGAGTATCAGAGCGTGGATATTGGGGTACTTGACTGCCCACTCCAGCGGTCTTGGATTGTCGATAAGGGCTAGGAAGTCCATTGTCTTTTCGCTTAAGAAGAGTTCCTTCATGCGGGAGCTTCTGCAGAAAAGTGCGTTGTTCAGAGCCGTGCGAAGGTTGATCTGATTGTGTCTGATCCTGTTGCGCCCGACTTCGTAGTCTAGTATCTCCTCGAGCATGCGCGGTTCGTGTTGCCATGTTGCGTATTCGATGAGGTAGCCAGCCTTCTGCTCCATATTGACCGTTGTCAACATGTGTTTCAGTGACGGTGGTCACCGGAATCTATGATGACTTTAGCGTATGATGTATCGTTCCATGGAAAAAGGTCATTGGGCGATTTCCCGAACACGAAGTCGATGGTGCCGTTGAACATTTCTGGTATTCTGGTGCAGACTGCGTTCCACAACAACGCCTTGATGTCTCCTTTCCTGAGATGTATATCGGTGGGGCATTGTTTCCACTGAATCGGATCTGCTATGCCCACACTGGAACCAGCCGCGAAGATGCATGAGCGGCTTCCAAAGGACTTGTACTTTGTAGTAAGGAACTTGGCCGTCTGGATATGGTTATGCAAGATCGCGACATCGAGCGGTGCTAGCATCTGGGCGTCTTGGGATGACATGTACTTTACCAACAACCAGTACGAGCAGGAGGCCTCGACGAGCTTGTCGAGACCAAAGAGGTCATATACGTGGAGGAGTATTGTACGATGTTTGCGAACATCATGATACTGGGAGATGCCGTAATTCCAGGTCGTGAACATGATCCACCACTTCTCTGGGGCTGTTGGTTCAGAGCAAAAGGTCGCGTGGATCAATTCCACTAGGTCTTGCGGGATGTTCTTCAACAGTTTGACATGATCAGTCCAGTGATTTACTGCATACGCCAAGTCGACAGAATCTTGCGATACCCAAACAGACTCGTCGTTTTCCAGATCTGCCATATCTAGTTGGGTGAGGCTGGCGCCGATTGACTCTAGGCATTGTCGAGCAAGCTTGGCATTGTCGGCTTCCGCAAGACCTGACTGTGAGAGCGCGAGCCATGCATCTGAATCTGCGAACTCTATGTGCTCGAGACTAATTAGCAGTTTGGTTGGACGATAATCGAGGATGTAAGAACGTGCATTCGCTGGCTCTCGAGGAACATGGACAGAAGCTGCCCGGTGGTCGGCGGGCAAAGGAAAGTAGCGAGCATCCGCATCACTGTAAACTCCATGACGCTACACCTCTCGCTCAGACTGCTAAGATGCCCCTTGACTGTAAGCGGGCTCATAGCAGAAGACATAGGCCCGCTCTCAGTGTGCGCATTCAGGTCGACATTACCGTATTTTGTGACGTCTAGAGGGACGTGGGTGGTGATAAGGAACTTCAGCGTAGGCTGTACCTCCGGGCATCCTTCGTACGGGAGTGCAAGATCGAGTAGTTCATGGATAAGAGACCTACTCTCTGCGTCGCATTCGTCCAAGCCATCCAACAAACAGTATGTTATCCCCGCGTTGTTCAGCTTTGCAGCCCGTCGTAAGAAGGCCTACGTCATTCTGGCCTTGTTGAGGTAGGAAGGTACGTACATGGGATCATGAAAAAGCCAATCACAAAGTTCTCCTGTCAAATCAGGTCATTGCTGGATAAGCTGATACATCCAGCCGTTCAGCAGTACGCTGGCAGTACTACGTTGACGGTCAGGACAGTGACAAAAGAAATACAGGACCTGAGTCTTCTTGGAAAAATTTGACGACTGAAGACCCTGAAGGTGGTCAACAACAAAAAAAGCTGCAGAAGTTCTGTCGATCTTAGTTCCACCGCATATCTGAATTCGTAGTTGGTCAAGAGTGGGCGCAAGCCACTGGGTAAAGATGCCGTCGTCTTTAATCCAGTCGCTGTTGGTGTTCTGCGCAGCGAGCTTTTGATGGTGTCGAAATGGTGGGATGGATCAAATAGTTTCAACACGCGTTCGGTTCTATCTTTCAGGCTGATAATGTCCCTCTGAAGCTGAAGCATATGAGGATTATTGAGACGTAAGCAATTCTTAGGTATGAAAGTTGGATGCACATCCTGTAGCTGGATGTTCTCCGTAGGCACATCTTCTGGCGGCATAGTGATCACAAGGTAGTATCTCACTATCTTGTCTTGCGCTTTGCCATGCGCACGCGTTACTGACACTGTCGTGTGCAGGTGGGCGGCAAACATCAAATCCTATGAGAAGCGGCTAACTCATATAGTCAATCAAGAAAACACAATGATGCTTGCAGCGTCGAAAATCTCGCGCTGGCTTGATGTGTGGTGTTAGATGGCGGGATAGAGGGTTGTTGTGGTAGTCGCGATGACGCGAGCAGGACCTCGGGAAGGTCCGCGGAAGTCTCACGTGACGGCGCGACAAGCGATTTGTGGCTTCGGCGCGCAAAGCCGTCGCAATTTGCTGAGAATCATCTGCGCAAAGCAGGATCTGACGCAGGGTGATCCAGTCGAATAAGGGAAATAGGCGAGGAAGAAACAAGTATAGGCGGACAGAGCTGGTCAGGTATGAAGAGCAAGGTTCCAGGTACGAGGTTGAGATGAGGTCAAATTGGGCATTCAGGCGTTGCGCCTCCCGCGGAGCGTTACGGATGGCTTTTGACAGCATCGCGATGCTGAACGGGCAAAGCGATGCATCGCGCCAACATTGATCGGTAAAGGAGCCATGCGGAGAGATCGGCCGAATATTGAGTGTCGTGATGTTGCGCGGTGCGGGCGGTGGTGTTGAGGTTCAGCCTCCTATTATTGGGCCCCAGCCCCCATAACAAGATGAATAATTGCATCATGGCGTCGTAGTCAACCAGCGCACTACTGTGTCAAATCCCCAAGCGCGCCCTGCTTCTCCCACTTCTCTTACCTGGGACGGATTTTCGGCATCCTGCAACTGCATCTTCGTCTTGTCTCTTCCCAAGCATTGTGTTGTGTGTTTGCATCACACCAGATTGATCTACCTCCCCCACAACTAGCGCCGGCATCGTCGGTTCCAGGCCAGGAACTGCTGTTCCCCCAGACGACGGCCCCCCAAACACGCCAGATACCAACACCACCACTTTGCCGCCAGCGCGCATTCTCGCGGCCAGTGTCGCATACTGCTCGAATTTACCATGCCGGCCGTACGCGATCCCTACAACCTCCTCGCCAACATGGCGCCCCACGACTCCAGCCTTAGCCCCCGACAGCCTGCCTTCAACGTGCCAGCGATTGCCTTCGATGCGCCCAAGACAGCCCCCATTGCCAAGCGACAGAACGTTATATATGCTCAACAAGGCATAATACCCACATACTACAACACCGACGGTCCCGAGCCCGGTACCGTCGTGGGCATCGTCCTAGGCAGCGTCGCCGGCTTTCTTCTGATCTGCTGGCTCATCCAGTCCCTGATGAACACCAACAACAAGACCGGTACCACCACAGCCATGGCTGGAGAGGAAGAGATCGTAATACGCAGGCCACGACGCAATTCACATGGCGGGCGCTCGTCGCGACGCAGGTCTGAGGTCCGCGAGATTAGCAGGAGCCCGAGGCGGAACAGTGGACGCTCGCAGATCATCGTTGAGGAGAGGAGAGGGGCGCCACCGAGAGCGAGGAGCATCATTGTGGAGGGAAGGCAACGTGTTCCAGGCGATGATGTCGTCGAAGTCATCGAGGAACACGATGAGTACCGCGAGAGGAGAGGCGCCCGGAGAGGCCCGGGATACCGGTGAGTGATTGGAATGCCCTCTTTTGAAGATATAGATTTACTAATGCGTCCAGGTGAACAGATACTGAACAGTAACTCCATCGCGCCTCAAACCCTCCAAACACCCAATAACTTACCGACATCCTTACGTGCGACCACTGCCCACCGTCGCACCACAGATACCCCCAGAATACCCTTTTGTTTCTATCGCGTTCTTGTTTTGCAGTAATTCCACCGATACATCTTCTTCTCTGTACCATAATACGGACTCTTCTTTGACACTTGGCGTTCAAGCGGCTGCATTGAAGGCGACGACATCCAGTTTGAAAGTGAAGGAATGGCAAAAGGGAGATGTAACGCATGACGCATCATGTATAGCGAGACGCGCCTCTGATTTGGACGTATGGGAAATGATTGCAGAACTTCTTATTTGCAGATGAATAGTCAATAAATGATCCATGAGATCGAATTATCAGTAGCCGGTTGGACCTCACTGTGACGTCGGGATCGCTCTTTCCTCCATGGCTCGCTCACGTTGAGTAGCCTCAGTTTTTGTTGACGACTACAAACAAACCGCGATACTCACTCCACCTCCACACTATACGCCGTCGCCTTTACGGTTCGTCTCCAGGCTCAATGCGCCCGTCCCATACCACGCGCGCCCAGAACGACTGCCATCTGTCGCCCGCAGCAAAGGTAAACAATAGCCGCAGACTGCCCGCCCTAGAAGTTGTACTGACATGTGCACAGATGGCCAAATCGCTGCTCGACCTTCCTCGCGAGCTCCGCGACATCATCTACGGGTACACACTCACAGAAGAGGATGGGCTTCTCGTCCAAGAATGGCTTACGATGCATCCCAAGGCGGCCGGAGCCAAGTACGGGACCGATGCGAACCAGCTGAAGTTCATATGCCGACAACTCTACACCGAAACGACTGGTCTGGGCTTGCGATACAACAAGGTGACCTTCGGTGGTTCCTGTGGCTTCGAAGCATTCGAAGGGTTCATTGGGGTCGACTGTACGCCTGCTCACTTCGGACGAGTGAAAAGCATAGTCATTCTTCTTGAGTCATCTGACAAGCTCCTTCAAGATGTGATAGCTGCGGATGCACTCGGCAAAGCCTACCCGGCCCTTTCTTTTGAGATGCGCTGTGCATGGTTGACGGAGCGTACCGATGCTAACATATGGTGTTGGGGTGGCTGTAGCTTTCAATATCTAACAAGAGGCACGTTTCCCGATCTTGCCGCTGTTGGATTCAAGACTATGGTCCGACAGAATAGCGGCACACTTGATGGGTTTGGATCAGACTCGAGGAACGTCGAAATATTTCCTGCAAGCTTCGACGAAGAAGAACTTAGGTCTGGTGCTATCGACGGATACATAACAGATGTCAATGGTTGGGTTGCACAGTTCAAGAAGTGGTTTGAGGAAGGCTTTTGAGTCATCGTCAACGTTGTTTGGATACCACGGCGCAGCTTGTAATGAGGAGGCGAAAATGTTAGTTTCGGGGTTGTCTGTCAGGATTTTATGCAAAAACCCACAGCTATAGGAGCAGACAAGAAGCTATTCTTACCTTATATGGCTTTCGTAAAGATGACTGTCGAGTCTTAGAATGAATCGGAGTACATACTACACGGCCCAACTGATACTCCTGCCAGATTTGATGTCCTTACTCCCCTTCGCTGTGACGTCACGTCCACACTCGCTCTTTCCCCTCGCGGTGTATCTCTAGGCCCGCCAAGCCGTAGAGCAAACGGACTGGTCCACTTCTCATATCTCTTCAGCTCCGCTCATTACCTCTACTCACACCGTTCACACCCACTGTCGTTAACACTGAGTATGCGTTTCGCACCTCCGGGATCACTCGCCGCCGGCTGTTCAGCACCCCCGTCGGCTCCAATTCGCCTACTAGCGCTACCGAGAGAGCTCTGCGACATCATCTATGAGTACGCTCTCACCGAGAACGAGGGTCTCGTCATGGTCGAGCGTCACAGGCCTAATGACACAGGTCCGAAAAGCTTTAAAGGCTGCCGACCGTCAGAGCCCAGCGTCGAGTCTAATCGGCTCAAATACGTCTGTCGACAACTGTACCAGGAAACCAAGGGCCTCAAACTGGGACTGAACGATCTCACTATCCACTCTGAACGAGAGGTTGAGAACTTCGCTGCCTTCCTTCACACCTGTTCGGTCGATCAAGAGCAATGTATCCGGGAAGTCACACTGTGTTCTCGTGCTTTGACGCGGGATTTGTGGGAGCCGGCTATCGACATTCTAGAACCATACGACGCCTCTCACCCCAAGATGAAGTTCAATTTATACCTCAGTGCCATCGACCTGGGCTTGCGTGGCAGCGAGTGGATTTGCGAAGCCGGGCTCATACTGTATGAGAAGCATGGCCACGTGAATCATGCGTTGGTCCCTCCTGATCTGTGCCAATTGATCCCTTTGTCCACCCTCCAGGATCGACCCCAACAGATTCCGGACAACATTCGTATGTTTCCTGGTAAAGGGCCCGGCTACATCGTCAAGCCCGTGTTCACCAACAAAGATATGTCAACGTGGGGTTTGGCGCAGGTCAGGCTCTCTCAGGAAGGGCTTGAAAGGTGGCAACTCGAGGGCTTCTAGAGGATCGAGGTTAGGTTGTAGAGGTGCCAATTTGGGATTGGAGGAGAGTCGACTCTGATGTTGTCGTCAAAGCCCGATCCCTTATTGGTATGTCTCCCGGAAGACCATTGGAATTATGCAATCATTTGCTGACTAAACAGACCTAGGTGAAAATCTCAAGAGCCCGGGACTTGCGCTGTGGGTTACAACTATGGATTGAATCGGGGTTTCGCAACGAAACGAGGTGGATCGACTATCTGGGAAGGAAGACGAACGACGTTGAAGTGTCTGAGATACATGCGGCGTTAGAGCAGCGAACAGCAATCGACGAAGACTGCAAGTGATTTGATGATAATGTATTGAAGGCATGCATCATATTGGCATCCTCTTTCCTGTCCTATGTACGGACACTCATACTGAATTACAACTGATAAATTTTAGGCCGTCACAGTCCGCTCCAAGCGCAAACACATCTTCTCCGTCATAGCCTCATTCCCACCATCAGCCATCTAGACCTGGTTCTCGTTGCGCTCCGCAGGCTCCAAGATACCACCGTGGGTACCAGCCTGCTCTGCCTTGCTGAAGTTGCGACCACCGGGACCCATGTGCAGCCTGTCAGTGTCGACAAGACCATCCTTCGCCAAGCTCGACGCATCCCACTTGGCACTGGTGATGGGGTTGACGTGGATCATGTACATGGTGTCGATCTCCTCGAGCGAGCGGCCCTTGGTCTCAATCATGAAGAAGTAGACGATGAAGAAGAGGAGGACGAGGGACACGGCGAAGACGAGACCGTAGAAGTAGTCGATGCGGTCAGTGATCAGGGTAGAGCAGAAGGAGATGATGAAGTTGAAGAGCCAGTTGGAGGCGGTGGCGAGACCCATGCAGGTGGCGCGGTAACGGGCTGGGTACAACTCTCCGACGATGGCCCAGACGAGGGGACCCCAGGTCGTGGCGAAAGCGGCAATGAACAGGCAGGTGAAGACAATCATGACGTTTCCGGCAGCGGGGCTGTTCTGGGGAACGTTCCTGTCGAGCGCGTAGTGACCGACGAAAGCGTAGATGAACAGGCACATGGCCATCCAGGCAGCACCGATCATCATGGCCTTTCTGCGGCCGACGTTCTCAACGACCCAGAGACCGAAGATGGTAGCGACGACATTGACGGTTCCGAGGATGATGGAGGTGACGTATGAGTTGGAGAGACCGGTCGCGGCAAAGATGGTTGTGCCGTAATAGAAGAAGTAGTTGGCACCGGTCAACTGCTGACCAGCCTGGAGAACCATACCGAGGAGAGTACGGTACAACATGCGAGGGCCGGTGAAGATCTCGTGCCATGGGTGGTCACCGCCAGCAGACTCAGCCTCGAGCTTCTCCTGGATCTCAGCAATCTCAGCATCGATGAAGGCGCTGTGGGGCTCTACGCCGTTGAGACGGGCCATGTTCATGCGAGCCTCGTCGATCTTGCCCTTGCGGTATGCGTAGCGGGGAGACTCGGGGAGCAGGAGGATGGTGCTACCAAGGACGATGGCCCAGAGTGCGGAAAGACCGTTGGGAATGCGCCACTGAGCGCTGTTGACGTAGTCCTTCTCTGTGCCGTAGTTGACCATGTATGCGGTCCAGATACCGAGTGTAATGAACAGCTGGTAAGAGGAGACAGTAGCACCACGGATGCGCTTGGGGATCGACTCGGATTGGTACATGGGAACGACGGTGGAAAGAGCTCCGATACCGAGACCGGCAGTGAAGCGACCCATGGCGAATTGAACCCAGACGTTCTTGCTGGTAATTTCGATAATGACACCGATGATGTAGAAGAAGGCGGAACCGGAGATAGTAAGACGACGACCAAAGGTGTCAGCGAGAGGAGCTGAGCCTAAGCATCCGAAGAGAGTACCGACACTAGTAGATTGTTAGACGCGTTCATCGTGTTGCGAATGGAGTGACGTACGCAAGAAGACCGACAATGGCACCAGAGCGGACAGCAGAGAACTCGCCGTTCTCACCGAAGCGCGCCTTGAAGTCGTCCATCTCGAGGAAACCAGAGATTTGTCCAGACTCATAACCGAACATGAAACCACCGATACTGGCGACAGCACCGAGAATGACGGCAATGACAGGTACGCGGCCCTTGGGCTCGAGGTCCGCAGCCTGGATCGTCTCGGAGTTGCCCCTGGGAGGTGTGTCCGCAGGAGTGGCGGTGTTTGGTGTTCCCTTCTCGTGAATCTCCTCCTCAGACGCCTTCTTCTTGAAGAAACGCGACATGACTGTCATGTTGGGCGCGTGGTAATTAGGAATCAATAGAAAAACAAAAGGGTATCGAGCAAAAGTCGAGCTGGTCTGCAGCGCGGGGTATACGTCTCAAACAAAGTGAGCTGGAGAGAAGCTGGAGAAGAGGAGACCAGTGTGGGCTGTGAGGAGAAGGCTGCACCGTATAAATAGCAGAAAATGCATGCGGAGACGGGTTTGTAGGGTCTATTGACAGTGGAGCCCCAGTATCAGTGTCATCCGCATACCCATCCGACTAACATTTTCCAGAACGCCCTAGCCTTGGAGGCGAAAGGAGATATGCTCGCACGAGCGCCCTGGCAACGGAGGTATGATGACATCGCATCGTGGAGCTGGAGCTGGCAATGGGGCAGCCTGTCACGAGCACGCTCGAGCCGGAGAGCTGCCGGTCGTGAATTTTCTTCATCGCGTAGTATCGGAATGGTTACTGGACACGCCGAGAAGCACAGACAGTTGATAGTGCAACGATCGGCCCACTGCAGCTGTTGCAAGTATACCACCCTTCCGGTTCTGGTGGATTGTTCATCGGGGTCGTTTAGTTCGTGATCACGCCCCAGTGACTCCAGTATCGCGTGCTCCAACGGTTTTCCCCTCACATGGCCATTGTGGATGGTGATGTTGGGGTGCGCTTCAGTATCGGCGAACTGCTCCATCCGAGTATCCAATGTTAGACTTCATCCAGCCGGCCTATGAGATAGCTTGGCGCTATCCGGGATCTTTCCTTATGCAGGGGCATAGACGCGTCTATAGTGCAGACGAGGCTGACAAGTGCTTCATATCGTTGGACCATATGCAAGACGTGTACGCACAGACTTGGCGGCACTCGCTAGCTTCCGCAGAGCCTCAAGTCGCGTTGATCGTTCACACCGGTGACAAGTCCATCTGGTCGCCATTGGAGGGGAGCCGGAACGAAAACGTTGTTCTCCAGCTAGGCCAGCACGGTTTTCATCCTAGTAGCCGGTAACTGGTGCGCCAGAGTTTCTGCATTCGAAAACCGGGGGTTACAGCTCCTGCGGGATATCCAAATTCTTCGCGGAGCGCGGGAACGCGAGACTTTCGACGTCAGATGTCCACCTCTACGTCACTGTGATTTTTCCGCGCTGGCAGCGCATCCTCGGTATCGGCGGTACGAACCTGGCAGGTTTTCCAGCAAACGCCGGTCTTGGCCGACGCGCGATAAAAACCTCATCTCCGACTCCGAGGTTGCAGCGCTAGCGGCCCGCTACGTGCATCAAAGCGTGAAAATCCTGAGCCAAGAATCCTGAAGTTTCTGAGAAATACGGGTCCCTGTGGATCAATGCGAGAGCATCGTGAGATGAGCAATGTGACATGTGCCGACTTCCAGGTCACGCTTTCGCGTCGAGATTGTGAGACCGGGTGATGTTCGGGAGACCGAGGGGTTACCGGATGTTGGGAACGGCAGTATGTGGGATGACAGTTGTGGTGCGCATGTGGGGAGACACGTTGATGGAGTCTCCAGATACGTCTACGATAGTTAGACTTGACTCCGTGTTATAGTAGACAGATACCCCGTGGGTAGTGTGAATATGGGGTGCGGGTCGTAACCATAAAGATGCGTGATGTGACGGAATAAGCAAACATACGTACCAGTATCAACCATTCGATTGAGCGCACCAATGCCAAAAGGCCAATCGTCCTGAGCTTGCTAGCAACATGTCGCCGTCGTTTTGCAAAAAGCCAAACAGACGTTCCACCCCGTGGGGAGCGCGACCTCTTATACAAATTACTTCGGACGGCTTTCCTCCGGCTGTGGAGATGCCTCGACCCCAGAGAGGCGCCGATCCACCAATGAATGATGTAGTCCCGTGATGAACGAGCCGACTGCCGTTTCTTTTGCCTAATGTACCGCCTCTTTTGAGCCTCCTTTCATCCTCTGCCCGAGTCGAGAAGCGCGAAGGCTTCCCGCATGTCGGAAGGCATCCTGCTTTGGGAAAGGTTCAGGCCATCTCCGCGAAGCGCGATGCTGCTGTGGTGAATGTCGCATTGGAGCCGCGAAAGCGTTCGTTGTTTAGAAAAGGCTGCTAGAGAGACACAGATTGCGGCACCACTGTCTTGACGCTTGCATGCTATTTTTGCTCTGGATTTAGTTGTTGGAAAGCGCGTGTGCATCCATTTGCTTCGGATGGGCGGAATGGGGTGTGGAGAAGGAGCTCTGGGGTAATGCGGATTAGTTGTCGCCAAGCGCCGCTAGCCACCAGAAAGGACATGACAGCGTGCGTTCCTTGACACATCTTTTGTCATACAAACATCGACGACATACATCCTGTTCTTCTCGCACGAATCATGCAGCCGATGTACTTTTGACTGCTGCGTCGGGCATTTTTGCCTCATTACAATACTGGCTACGTGCAGTCTTTCCTGGTGCCCCCTAGCCAATCTCTCGGACTGAGTCGCGTTACATGTGCAACATCTGAAAGCATACTGACACCACCGACTTGGACACCGTTCATACAGTTTCCGATCGTCGTCCGACCGAACGTGTAGTGACTTGGGTGTGCTGTCTATGTACTGGAGAGCTGTGAGACCTTGCTGCATAACCATGTGTAGGTAGCGTGCGCGCAGTTGAGACGTCGGCACATCTTTTCTGATCAAATAAATCCTTTCGTACATCGATACCCTCCTCAGTCGCACGGGTCTCTCGTCGATAGCACGCTGCAGGTTCCAGCGTTACTCAGACTACCAATTCACGCCCGCTCAAATACCTTGTTCAAACCAGTTCCGAATCTGCGCTACCCGGTCTCCAAAACCTTCCATCCGCCCCAGGCGAGAGTTTCTGATGAGCGACTCGTCGTACTCTTTGTCTGGGAAGACTTTGAAGTTGGGCGGAAAACAACTGCCATCCTCGGAAGTCTTGTAATGTACTTCCCTCCCTATCATAGCCAACTTCTCGTCGACCTTGTTGGTGAACCAAATATCATAGCGCCCCGTGCGATTGCGTGTCGTCAGTAAGGTGGAAGATACCCCTGCCTAAGCCACTGTTGCCAACTTGCAAGCTCGACCCCGCATCCCAGCCTGAAAACAAGATTCTGCGGAAACGGCTGTGGGTCAAACGCATGGCCAGACCATGTCTCAGCCATTTCGTCGAAAACACTATCGACGCTCAGCCAAGCGCTGGCGTATCCGAGGTCTTCCCGGTCGCGAGCTATCCTATAGCGGAAGCCCGCGACGGTAAACGTCAAAGACCCTTGACGTATCTTTGGGTCCGCGCTATGGAGGACTACTTTCACCAAGGCGTGCGGGTGTTGGACGGCGAATTCCATAAGTTGGCTCATATCGAGATGGTCAAAGATGCGCGTCGAAAACGGACTCTGTTGGTATAAAATGCGCTCGTGAACGTTGATTCGGCGGATCCCGTGGACATATTCGGGTTTGACGCTCGCAATGAACCTTCCACATATTCGAGAAGCGGATTCGGGCTAGTCGTAGTGGAGGGGAAATATCAAGTTCGCACAACCGGTTGGCAGCAGACCTGACGTCTCCTCGTAGAGCTTTTCATAGACAAATTTCATTTGGTTCAGATCCACCCGCTGGAACATGCGCGGATGTGAACATCCGTCCTTGAAGTATGGTGCCATGAAAATAGGCTCATCGGTTTCGAGGACATGAGCATAAACGATGTTGCGGAGCTCTGCTGCCAATGCGAATAGCCGAAACATGCCTGGTGACTTATCGCAGGTGCTCGCAGGTTGGCCTGATGAAGCAGTTCCGGTATTGGTTGCTGACGACACTGCGAAATCCGACTGGAAGGGCGTATGTTGGTCTGGAGAGCTCATGACAAAAGGATAGCCTGCACATTCAGATGTTGAGGTCAGCACGGGCTGAAATAGACGCAGTAGTCGAGAGCTCATGACTGGTAGGCACTAAGGTGGTGGGTTGAGAGGGAATACGTTTTGCCTTGGTGAGTGTAAGGGATTATGTATATCTGAAAATGCTCCGTCGCAAGCGCCCAAGCCTTCTTCTTTGGGCACGAGCTTTGGGAAAAGTCCGCAGTACTTCTAGGCGGCAGCACATGATCGATGTCAGCGTCAGTTCACTGCAGTCACATCACCAAATCACCAGGATTCACGCCCTCATCGTTCGCCACAATCCCAACCTCCCTCTTAAACCTCGACAACCAGTTCGGAAAATCCGCTGGCGTCTGGTTCCACGGGTCGTCGCCATCATACATGATCCACCGTGCTTGGTGCTGTATCTCTTCATCCGAAGGGACGTGGCAATTCGGGTTCTTCGGTGAGAGCGTCGATGCCGCCCATCTCCGCATATCGCTGTCAAAGATCCGGTAGAAGTTGGTGTCGTCGGGTAGCAAAGATCGCAATCGACCGTGGATATCTGTCTGCGCGGTAGATCCAGGCGAGACTATTGGGTCTTCGGAGAAAGAGGGAAGCGTAGTGAAGTAGTCGTGGGTTTGCTTGGACGGACTCGCGGTTCCGAGAGCGGATGTGGACGGTTCTTTGGGAGGCGAAGCGGACCACGAAAGGTCTAATAACTCGCCCAAGCCATGATCTGCCGGATTGTCTGTAATTCCAATGTCGGCGATTCCAGTGCGCTGCTTGAAGCGCGATATCCAATTCGTGCCCGAGTAGATGCCTTTGACTATCCAATTAGCGAAGACGTCGGATGGAGTACTGGATTCCTGCTCCATGCGCCGAACGATCTGGCATGCTTCGTGATGCAGTTGCGCATCGTCAAGCGTCTCGCCAGTCGCTACGCGCTGGCTGACGAAACCACGAAGCTGCGCCTCTAGAGGGCATTGTTCGAAGAGATGGTCCTTGGCGTTGATGCGTAGCGGGAAATGTCTGCTCTCGCGGGAAGATCGAACAGGCTGAAATCTTGCGCGTTCAGTCAGCTCATGTGATGACATCATCAGGTCTCGTAGCCATGAAACCTCGTGGAGGTGGTCCGTGTCTGGCCCGTGCTTGACGGAAGAAGTCTCGGCTGCGAAGATGATGCGACATGCTTCTAGCTGCATCGCGTCGTTGTCTGGCAAGTATCCGTGCTTGTCGAAATATCGCTGTATGAAGAACTCAATTTCGACTTTGAGTAGTTCGTACGCATTGGGTGGAGTACCCCATGATGGATCGCTACCCTTCATGGGAATAAGAGTGCCTCTTTCCCAATCGATGAGATCTGGAAGATGTCAGCATGCATAGACATACAAGCAAGAACTTAATATTATCATACCAGGAGGAAGAGCAGTCTCGACTAAAGGTATGATAGACGCGTCGAACCCCCAATCGCCCTGCCAACTAGCCATCGTGACACCGGATTTGAAGTGGTCGGCAAGATGATCAGTTCTTTCCAACCATGTCTTCATGGTAGCACCGCAAAATCCGCATCTTGACTTTACATCAGGTATAGGCAACATCCAGCGCGCCATCGACCACTCAGAGAATTCGACGCCGTGCACCAAGCGCAGATGCTGAACGAGATGATCTTTTCGGTGGAATGTACGTTCTTGCAGGCTCCTTTCCTGGCATGCCGAGTAGTGGTGCGCTTCGATATGCTTGTCATCTGGTCGTACCTCACCGCAGAAGACGCAGCATTGCTCTCCAATCGACTCCTTGGTTGTGCGAGGGCCTTGAAGTGCGCATATCCATCTCTCAAGCGGCAGATGGAGCGACTTCTCGTGACGCTGCCAGTCGTACTTAGTCTTGAAGACCTCAGTGCAGAACGTGCATTGATACGGCATGCCGATGGGTGTGACAATTTCCGTATCAAGACGTCTGCGCCGAGTGACTCTCTTCTTGCGCGGTGCGCGGCGTATCTTTAGCGATGTTTGCGAGCCTGATGAGCAATGACCCGAGAATTCACTCGATTGGGAGGTCCTCGCACTGCTTGCCGAAGACATGGCATGAGGTGATTGCCATGGTTGATGATACGCGAAATCTCCAGCATCTTCACCTAAACACAGTTAGCAGGGTGATATTCCTGCATGGTTCATCTGGACAACTCACGCGAAGTAGAAGCCATCGCACGCGCAATGTCGCCGACAGCAGCAGGCTCATGCTCTGGCGGCGATTCCACCCAGCGCTGCATAGGGTCTTTATGATTGGAAGCCATCCTAACAGCAGGCGTTCCAGGTCTTGGGATAATATCAACTGCAGAGGTAGGCGAGTGGTTTACTTGCGGCGAGGTTGGGCGGACACTTTGCACCTTGCCACGTCGACGGGCATTCGCAAACCAATTCGTAAGTTGCGCTTTGTTCAATCCCGTACGTTCTTGAAGAGCCATCATCTCGCCCTCGCTAGGATAAGGGTGCTTTTGATGAACAGTGAGCCAGTCTTTGAGTGTGCGGATGACTTCTCTGGAGAAGCGGCTGCCAAGCTTAGGCCTTGATATCGATGCGCTTGGCGTGAAAGGTGACGACGAGGCTGTTGAATAGTTCGAAATATCCAAAAGCGACGGATCCACCATCCAGGTCTCATTGTATTGAGAAGACGCCGTATTCGAGGCTGCCAGTGCTTCGGACAAGCCCGCGAAGCTGCCATCATCTAGGGCGTGGTCTAAGGCGAACTGGCTATTCTGAAAGGCGAAAAAGGCATCTAGATCAGCTGGGCTATCCATGTCGATGGTAACTCAAACGTCGCGAAACATGAAGAGAGAGTTCGCGGGGTAAGAGGGTTGGTTCACTGGGACGCGCTAGATCACGTTCGTGCTAACCTAAGAAGGGAAAGCGCGTATGTCAAGTACGCCTTACTGACACGCTTACCCCACCCCATACAAATTGAACAGGTCTAGAGACTACATTAACATACAAACTTGCGAAATGGGTAACCCAAAGTCGATGTAGGCTCTGGGGCTGTTCAGATTTTGTCTTGTATGAGGTGGAATGAACAAAATGTTATTTCATTCTCCTCCTTATCCAACTACCTGGTATCCAACGAAGCTACATAAGCCTCCGCATCCTCTCCACATCGAGAAGGCTTGCAGTCAGCTAAAGCCTACCACTGATACGTCTCACACTTGACGCTCTTGAACCTATCCTCCTCACCCAAATCATCAACCCACTGCTTCGCCGCCATCGAATCAATGCTCATGGGCGACTTATCCTCTCCACCTTCACAACCAAAGTCGCGGTACCACTTACAGTACGCGCCGCCATACTGGATGATTGAAACTGGGCCCTGGTCTGCAGTAGCAAAGTTGGCGCATTGCTGGATGGCGTTGATACGGTTGTCGGTGCAGGACTGGTAATGCGTTTGGTGGCAGACGGTGGTTGAACCCGGGGGCCAGTCGCGCTTGGTGGTCCTGCCGTCGACGGTGTAGATGAGCGATCCAACATTATTCACCTTCTCGATACCATCTCCATCAGCAACGGCGTTGATCTGCGCAGTTGCACCAGTAGCTCGGCACTCCACGCTTGCGATCAGCTTGGTCTTCACTTGGAAGGTAGTGTGTTCCGTAGGAGCCGATACGTGCTGCCAAGCTTCGTAGTTGTCCCAGCAGCCGGCCTGAAGGTAATAAGTGCACCATGTACCCTTGCCTTGCATGATGAAGTCAGACTTATGGGCGACCTGAGGCGGAAAATCCATGCATTCAGGCGGGGACTTGATATACCAGCAGCCGGAGGCCTGGTCTTCTGAGCAGGCGAATACTTCGCCCACTTGGATGGCTCTAGGCAAGGTCCATGCAGGTGTCCATTCCGAGGAGGGAAAGTCGCGCGTAGAAATGTCATTGTCGTAGATAGGCGAGCCAACGTGAGTGACCTTTTCGAGAGCATCGTCATGGGAAACGACTTCCATCTCAGATGTCACACCAGTACCTCCGCACCATGCACTAGCGAGATGCTTGATTCCATCTCCGGCAATTTGACTGACATCTTTCGGCCCGGAGGTATGGCGCCAGAACTCGTCGCCGTCCATGCATCCAGTTTTCCTGTAGTATTTACAGAACGACCCCTTGGATTGCTCGATATACTTGGCGTTGTACGCGATCTGCGAAGGAAGGTCCAAGCACTTATTGAGGGTATGCAAGATCCAGCAACCTTTGACTTGTTCTAAAGAGCAGATGAACAGATCGCCGACTAGAAGGGGTACAGGGCTATATCCGCTCTCTGAATGAAGATGCTGAGTGATCGTGATGTCGGTGGTCGGAGGCGACGTGTGACGAAGTTGACCCGGTTCGAGAGGCTTCTTCGGATCGGTAGGAGCCTTGGTAGACCATGAACCCTCCTCTCGCGCAATGATCGCAGCTTGAGGCTTAGTACGCATACATATGAAATGAGTAAGCTCCTTGCCAGTATCTGACGGCACTTTGAGGACAGCATCCCCCTTGATCGAGTGAACCTGGAACAGAGAGCCCTTGGCTATGTCGCAGCTGTCCTTGTAGAACCTGCAGAGGACGTCTTCGTGTACAGCCACGGCGAAAAGAGCATGCGCAATAGAGTCGCCAAGGGGGATGCAGGTATTGGCGTCTTCATCGTAAATACCAAACATTGCAGTCTTGCTGAATACTCTGGCAATTTCTGGACCGTCCATTTGTAAAGTCATCAGTGGCGTGCTGTCGACAATGGGTATAATATCCGCTCGCGCATCGACCTCAGTGTGGGCAGTCGAAGGCCCACAGACAGCGTGGGTGATCTTCTCACTGACATCCGATGGCACAGGAACATTGGCATAGTGGGGATCGCTCTTTGCAGTGAAGAGAGGTTTGATACCGCAGCCACTCTCGTAGAACCTGCAGAGGGTATGGTCGACTAAAGCTGCGTGCGTCAAATGACGAGAAACCGTGTCGCGGAGTTTGATGCAGATCCCAGCGTAGTTCTCCCGAACCTCAAAGATGTGGCCGGTATCGCTGGAGAGTCGCGCGATAGTCCGAAAATTGGCGTTCGTAGTCGTCACGGTTCCGCTGTCAACCGCGATAGACGTCGCCTCGAGAGACGTATCCGCCACTCGAGCTTCAATAACACCAATATCGCTCTGCCGGTGGTCGCCCTTGTAGCACCAAACATAATTAAACTTCTTTCCGTACTTCTCATCCATGATGAACTGATGATGCTTGTCCCAAGTCCGAGCGATGTAGATAGGGTCGCCCTTGCAATTCGGGTGACTGTCGTCGTAGAACCTACACATCAAACCTGGGTCTTGGAAGAAAGCATGAACATGATACGCGACTCCTTCGTCTAGCTCCATACAGCCCTCCAAGAACTTGTTATGCATGAGCTGCATTAGGCCACTGCTGCAGACGACCAAGTATTGAGTATCCGGGGAAGGACTCACACAGGCCCAGCTTGGCGAGACGTTCGTGTCTGGCGAGACGTCGGTGTCTGGAGAAACGTCAATTCCTGGAGAGGAAGGAGCATCGACCTCTCGAGCTTCAATCCCACGAGCATGCCTCCACGTATCGTCGTAATAATACCGAACATGCTTAATCCAAGTTCCCCACTTCGAATCTATGTCGAATCGATATTGAAAATCCCGTGTCCAAGAGTGGAAAATGAGGTTGCCAAAGCATCCGTTACTGTTGTCGTAGAAATCGCAGACCAAATTTTCGTCTTGGAGGAAACTGTCAACGTGAAGCGCAACTGGTTCTGCCAGCTTCATACAGTCTCCCAGATGCGTGTTCGGCATCTGTTGGGCAGTGGCCTGGGAGCAGACTTTCAAGTACTGGTAGGCTGAGCCTGAGAGGGGATTAATGCAGGCCCAGGCATTTTTTGCGAACTTGGCCTCGATGATTGTCGCCGCTGACCCGAAAGGAGAATCATCAGCTCTTCTTTGGAGTTCACCAACGTCCCTGCGCCACTGACCCTTCTTGCACATGACATACTTGAGCCGGTTTCCAACATCGGATGCGATCTCAAAGCTCTCGTCCTTCTCTAGAGTCTTGGAGACCTGGTAGATGTTGCCATTGCACTTGTTGCTGTCGTCGTAGAACTTGCACATGATGCGTGCATTCTGAACAAGAGTGTCGACGTGGTGCGCAACGCGATCGGACAGCTGCACACACGCGTTCATCCACCCGTTGGGGATGTTGTTGGCGTAACCATCGCCGCAGATGGTCAAGAAGTAGTGACTCGCATCGGGTATCATACAGGCGGCGGTGGCTGAAGTGCCTTCGAGCTGACTGGGGTCCGTGTCGTGAATAGTTGGAGTCTTAGATTCGACGGCGTGCTGGACGGACTTGACAAGCTCGACGGCAGTGGACTCGGGAGTAGGAGCGGCGAAGGCAAGGCCAGCGAGGCCGAGCAAGCCAGCGACAAGATAGTGAGCGCGCATGTTGACTACCACGTTCAATGTCAAAGACCTCATTTCCTGTCCAGACGATCAAATTACCCACCTTTGCCCAATCGCTCGCTCTCAGTGCACCGAGGTTGTCACTAGCGAAGTTGATAGATGTAGTAGCGATTGTAGAGCTTCTGCGCAGATGATAGGGCGGCTTTTGCAGCCAGAAAGAGAGTGTGAGTAGAATTGAGAGGTCAGGAGGGTGGAGGAGAGAAAGCAGGAGGTGACAAGTGAAGGATTTTGTCTCTGGTAAGAGAACGGAGAGAAGGCGCTCGTTCAACACCAAGGCCAGGCGGGCGACGATCGGGTACCCAGTCAGTGAGGGGTGAGTGGAAGAGAAGAAAACAGGAGGTGACGGATGAAGGATTTTGTCTCTGGTAAGAGAGCGGTGGGAAGGCGCTCGGTGAACGCCCCGAGGCCTGTTGAGCGACAAACGGAGCGCCAACGAGTGAAAAGTAAGAGAAGCGAGACCCTGACGAATGAAGAGAAGATTGGAGGGATGCTTGGCAGAGTTTCCATTTTGTCTTATCAGAGCGCATAGCCCGGGGGTCTTGCAATTGGAATGCGGCGTTTGACCGTCATTCATACTGACCACTATAATGATGCACCAGTCTAGGTGCTACTGCCATATTTCTCCATTCCGCGCTGCTCTACGGGTCAAGGTCGCGGTTAATGTTGTACTGACGATACCCAAACCCATCCATCGTGACCCAATGACCCAGAGCCTCCATCTCAGCCCACACCTTGGGATAATGCTGCTTGATCCAAGCCTCGACGCGAGTTTGCCTCTCGATGTTAGCGGTGCAGTTGAACCAACTACCTAGACTAATCGATCGTTAGTTAAGTCGACGGGTACAATATTCGAGAGAAACTGCAACATACATGTGTAAATCAGGAGTAAACCCATACTCCTCCTCCACAGATTCTATAAGCGCCAACGCCTCATCGTGGTTATGGTTCCGTGCAACAGCGCACATGTAGGCTGTCCAGATGTTCTTATCAATCTCAACGTCCTGGTCTTTCAAGCGCTTCCAGATTGACTTGGCGTGTTCAGAGCCAAAGTGCATGCCTTCGCTTGATCTGAAAGCGATGGCGAGACTGTTGTATGATGGACCTTCTTTTGAATCGCAGATCTCGCGCCAGAATGAAAGGGCTTTGCGGTTCTCTCCAGTGGCAGCGTACGCAAGCATCAGCGAGTTGCGTAGTTTGGTGTCCATCTCCACATTCAGGTCCAATTTCAGTTGATTGTGCGCTAGTTCGAGTGACTCGGCATCCTGGCAACGAGCGAAGCCAGTGAAGGCTGCGACGTAGACGTCTCTTGTAGCTGTGTGAGTCGGGCTAACGTGGTTGCGCATGTGGAAAAAGACATGACAAGCCATGTCGGAACGATTCCTGGCAAAGAAGCCGTTCATAATTGGTATCCGGTCTTCTCTGGGCGTTTCGACAAACACGTTGCGCAAGATTTGGTACCCATCCCAAGCATCTGCGGTGCTGGTCTCACCGTCTAGTATGAACATGGAAAGCGCCTTCTGGATCATCGTCCGCTGTTCTGGGGAATATTGATGAGCGTGCACCTGAAGAAGATCCATCGCGTCGTGGATCTCGCCCCTCCGAAGGTGTAACAGCGTTAGCGCTGCAACAGTTTCCGGTGCGAAATTGGCCTTGCGCTCGTGCAGATCGTCCACCATGGCCATTAACTCATCGAAATGATGCTGCTTGGACACGCAGAGGGCTTGGATCAGCTGGTTGACGACTGCGACACTGCGCTCGTCTCCGGAGAAACTACCCTGCAGGTTGAAGTAGGCAGACCTGGCTCCATCGAGGTCGCCGACGGAGATGCGGTATTGCATTTGCATCGTATAGGTTGTCTCGTCGGGATGAATGCCAAACTTCTCTCCCAGTACCATATAGCGCTCCGCCAAGTATGGGTCCTGCTTAGACATACAGTGCTCTACCAGCGCATTGATGGTCTCGGTGTCGGGACGGATTACAGGGACTTTAGGGTCTTTTTGTCGTGCTTCGTCATTTCTGCGAATCAGCACGTTGATCATCCGAGCAATTTCATCTGGACCCTTGCCGATAGCAGCAGACCAGAGAAAGATTGCATCCCACTCAGGTTTCGAGGGCATCTCAACCTTGAGCATGTTCGCTACCACCTGCTGACCATAGGTAAGATCGCCTGCTGTGGCGCAGGCCTTTAGCAGAGCAGAGCTGGTGCTGCCCGATGGCTGCGTAACTTGGTGGCCGATTTTGGTGTGGACGGGTTGCGAGTACCAAGATTTGGCTTTTTCCAGGTCTCCACGCTCAGCGTAGAACGCTACTAGTTTGTTTTGCGCAGGCCTGGTCAATGGAACCGAGGCTTCTTTGAAAGCATCCACTGTTTTCGACATCTCAACCAGGTCGTTTTCCCGGACGACTCCTCCAAGCACTGTGTTCCAGGTAGCGACTACGGTGCCACGTATCAAGGCACTTGCTGTCTTGTCGTATTTGAACGCACTGATTGCGAGATCCCTTGCCTGAGTAGCCGCACCGAACGCGGATAGAACTTGGATATGCCTCGAGTCGATGTACATCTTAAAGGGGACTTTCAATTCCTTCGTCTTCTTCTCCCCAGCTTTCTCAGGCTGTTGCTCCTCGGATTTTGCCAACTCATCGACAACGAGCCGCCCAAAGACCATATGCGCTTTCCCTAGAGTTTCAGGCCGCTTCGACGTGTCCAGTAGTCTCTCCAAGATATTATCCAGGTCATGCCGACTCAGCCATGGCTTCCCGTCTTCTCTTGGGTTCTCCAGCAGATAGGTAAGGGCCTCATGCGCGGTCCCCACATGCCAGTCCTCGAATGTCCCTTTTCTTTGCGCGAAGAATTCCTTGATCGCATCCGCAACGTCTTTCGGTGCCGGCGGCCTGAGGTCGTTCGCCCGCTTATATGACACCTCAGCCATTGTGTTCAGACCCGGTGGCGCCTCTGCAGGCTTGAGCTTGCGTTTTTGCTTGAACAGTTCTCCGAAGAAAGTCCGCCGTTGCGTCTGGGGAAGTGAACGGGCGCCATGTTGGGTGATTACGCGGGGTCGGACGGCTCGGTAGCGGCATCCTCGGTATAGCAGAGGCTCGTTAGCGATGATGTTGCGGAAGACGACGCGGGTCAAGTGCGAAGGCATGGCGGCGGCGAGGTTCGCTAAGCGCAGGACAAAAGTGTGGTGACGTAGGTTTCGCGTGCAATTGGCGCACGGTGGAAGGTGTAATTAGGCGGGGAAGGCGTCCATGAGGCAGAGGAAGGCGCACAAACGGTATATACACGAAAAAGACGAGATGGAAGCGGGATCCAGTGGCGGCGACGAAGAGTGAGGGGAGCACTGCGGGAGCTCTTGCCTGCTGTGAAATCCAATTGCGCTAAGAAAGTCAACCTCCGACCGCCGAGGCCGCATCTCGAAAAGTCACGACGACGACGACGACGACAGCAACACCACTATACCTGCCAACATGTCAATAACACGGTTACCACTGCGGCCTCTGCCGTCTATGAGTACGACATGCATGCGCTACTTCTCTACCGGGTCCAATAAGCAAGGTGCGCCCTCAATCCCCAACATTCACCATACCCATCTTCCAACAACTCTCTATAATACCCCCCGACAACCCTCTAATCACCCCCAGGCCCCCAAGACGGCATCCTCGACATCCTCGCCAGCAGCACCGCCCCCGCCCGCTCACCCACAAACACCACGCGCCCCCGCTCTGGCCCCTCCCTCACAGGCATGGCCTCCTCCATGGGCCTAACCGCCAAGACACCCACACGCGAACTCGCCGAATCCGAACGCACCGCCCAATACCAACGCCAAATCTACCGAAAATGGCAGCCAGGCGACGTGTACGCGCCCCACGACCTCTCTGGCACCGAGCAAAAGAAGTGGAAGTACGGGCGCAAGAAGCCGCAGCAAGACGCCTTTGATGTGCTGGGTGTGAATCCGATATTGGAGTATAAAAACTTTACGATGATGAGCGAGTATATGACGGAGATGGGGAGGGTTAAGCATAGCAAGGATACGGGACTAAGGCCGAAGAATCAGAGGAAGGTTGCTAAGGCGATTAGGAGGGCGATTGGCCTGGGCTTGATGCCGAGTGTGCATAGGCATCCGTTGGTGTTGAAGAAGAGTAGTCCGTCGAGGTTCTTGTAGGAGGGGGGTGTTTGTCTGATAGGTCAATCAGATGTTTATATTTGACATCTCAAGATTAATGATAGGAATGTGGTATTTGATGCGCTCATCTTGATCCGCAGTGGAAAAGAGATTGAGCAGGTATACAAAATCCTTAAATCCGATTTGGCCAGCGGGAAGAGCGATGATCTTCTAACTACGACTAAGATACCGTCATGTTCTTTCCCTGCTTCTCAATCCACATATGTATCATCTTCTGCTGCGCATGCACAATCTCCATCGCATGATCATCATCATACAAATCATACCACCCCGGACTCTCATGCGGTGGATCTCCCGCCCAAACCATCCCAAACTCATTCGCCTTCTGCGTCTCCGGCCTCCAGATGCCGCCATACGCCCACGGACTAGTCCCGATATACGCACCCCCATTCCTGAACTCATCCATCACAGCCCCGATGATCGTCGTGAAATAAGCATCTTTATGCGTCGTGCTTGCATCACTCAGATAAGGATACTCCTTGTCTTCGTTCACCCAGTTATCACGCGCCATACCGAATTCCTCCAGGAAGACTGGTTTACCAATGTCGATAGCCCATTGACTGCTGTTCTTCATAAAGTCGCGGGCAAAGTCTTGGGCGGCGACTAGATTCGCGTCGCTGGCGTTGTACATGTCGTAGACGCCCCAGTTCTGGACCCAGCAGTGGGTTGTGGCGTAGTCGACGGTGGAGAAGTTATGCACGCGCTTGAAGTAGTATTCGCCTTGTTTGCTTTCCAGACCGACGCTGATGAGTTGCTTGGGGGCCAGGGAGCGGATGTAGGCGGAGATTCGGTCGACCCAGGGGAAGAGCAGGTCGTCGGGGTTTGGCTCGAGGAAGATGTTGTATGGCCCTGTGTAGCCGAGCTGGTCTGAGGGTTGGGGTTCGTTGGCGAGTTGCCAGGTCATGATCGTTGGGTCTTCGGTGTAGAGACGGCCTGTGATAGTGTTGCGGCGACTCATGACGGCCTTAATATGGTCCTTGTACCATTGCTCGGCCTGCGTGTTATTGTAGATCAGGTTGGCGAACGAAGTGAACTCGTCGTATGGAGCTGCGTTGACACCTTCTACGGTGTAGTTTCCCCATCCGGTTCCAGGTGTTTCGCGCTGGGGTGGTGCAGTCTGGTTCCAGCTTGACGGATATGGAATCGCGGTATTGTTGTTTGCCCATGATACGTATTGAGCAAACCCACCACTCCATTGCCACTCGTTGTTGAGCGTCATGGTGGCGCGCATGCCGCGTTTCGACATCTCAGCAAGACAGATATCGAGACCTTGAAAGACGTCCTCGTTGTACTGGCCAGGTGACTCCATAAGCGCTGGGTTCATCCTGAAGGGCTGGGGTGTTGGAGCGCCCTCAGAGGCAGCCATGATACGGAGGTGGTTAATGCCTTTAGCAGCCATCTGATCGAGCTCTGTAACCAGGCGGGAGTAGTTGCCGCCTGCTGATGGACCTGCGGCAAGATTCATACAAGCCCAGTAGTTGATACCTTGAAGATGTTTAGCCTTCGCCTTCAAAGGAAAAATCAAGTGTCGTTACCAGTAAGGTAGTACAATCCATCGCCATTGTACAGCCTAAGTCCATCCACGTAGACAAAGTCACCGTCTGCAATCTCACTTCCGTTGTGGCTCTCGCCTCCTCTCGGCAGCACGGAACCCGCAGCCAACGAGGCGAACAAGGCCTGAGTCGCGAACTTCATCTTGACAATCCAAGCATAAGAATATGGCTTGAACAAGCTATTAGCAACGGATCACATCAAAGCTTATATACCCATCCGCCTATCCCGAAGCTGCGGTCCGACTATGCATACTACATGCTCAAGTGCCGGTTGACATCATATGCGGAGAAAGAACACCCCGACGATGCTACCTTCTCCATCGGAGTGGAGATCGTCGCTGTGCGATTGAGCGAGGTTTGGTAGTTCTTCCGCATGTCAACGCATGGTACATACGCGTATAGAGACGTAGTGACCAAATGGCTCGGAGTGTGGATCTCCGTTGTAGCGTTGGGGTAGTGTGTTAACGGATGTGGGTCGCTAGAGTTGGAGGCAGTTGCCAAGCCCCGAGGTGCCGACGTCTGTTAGAGCTCCGTGCGCCTCCTAACGACCTCGACACCTATGGCGCCGGCGCCCTGGTCCGACGTGGAATTACACTCCAGCTGCCACGACGAATTCTTCAACAGTCACGATCAATCTACCAACATGGACGACGAAGAAAACGACGAGATCGCGGCGGCGATGGGCTTCGCCTCCTTCGGCGGAACAAAGAAACGCAAATTCGACCACACCAACTCGCCAAAAGCCGGACCTGATGCGAGCGGCGCCAACTCCACCAAACTGGGTGTCAGATCGAAGAAAGTTGCCAACGAGGATGAGATCGACCTTGAAGACGCTGTATCCGAAGTTATATCCGACTTCACAAACCCAGCGCCGCAACCCCACAACAACGCGCCGGGCAAAGCAAAGAAGAACCAACCCGCCGACTCTGGCCTGGCTGCTTTTCTAGCCCGTGGCCAGAATCTTCCTGAGAAACTGCCTACCACGGAGAGCACTCCAAACCTTGCGGTGTCTGGCGACCTCCCGCCCGCGACAGAGATGGTATCATTCGGCGGTCCACCAATCTCCAAGGCTGAGTTGAATGCGCTGCGTCATGGCGTGAGATTGGAGAATGAAGATACCGCCTACTTTCTACCGAGCTTTGTTGAGGATCCCTGGGCGAAGCTGAGGAAGGGTGGGACAGGATAAGTGAATTTATCATCGACTCTATGAGCAGCCTTGTGTACTGATCGTTGGAGAGAAGGCGGGTTATTGTCATTGTGTGGTCTTACTCACATCTTTTCTGGCATGGCGCAATATGATGTGTAGATGCGCGAGCAGCAAGAACGTTCTTCTCGCAATTGGTGATTCGGGATGGGCATTTTGTGTATTCAAACGGCAAATACACACAATGCCTGTCCCGAATACCCAATTGAGAGAAGGATGAGGAAAATGCATAGACTTCATTGGCAGTCAGGTAGTCATCAGCGCCGTCTCATCCTCTTCCTCTTGGGCGTTCTCTCTTATGCTATAGGAGAAAATGCCCATGGGGAAGACGATGGAAAGGCGCTCATGACTACCTGCCTAGCGTGCTGGGTGTTCGACTACAGAGCAAGGAGCGAGGACTTGTAAAGCCGATACGCCCCTATGAATACAGCAGAGAACAAAACAATACAAAACCTTCTTCAGGAGACAATAGCGCAGACCCTGCAGCACATGATGCCCCGGCGCTGTTCGCTTTGGTTCCCGGAACGCCTCCGCACCCGGGGCGGCCGATCGCGAAGAGTATCGTGAGTCGTGATGGGGCCTCGCCCTCGTGTGGCTTGCGCCCAGAACGCGTCCACACGTGCTTTCCAGGGGTCGCGCCAATCACCCGCCGCGCTACTCGTTTACCCTCATCAACTTCATCGTGCGCAATGTCTTTTTCTTCACCATGGCTTCTTGTTCCTGCATATGGCATGATGTTCGCGACTGCCTAGTCTATATCTTCCTGAGGAGCCAACCCAATGCGTGTGCTTGTGGCTTTTCGGGGGAGTCTACCTAAGGCTATCGTGAGCTTCATGCAGGTACGCGGGCAAGCCACTTCGGCTCCGAGTCTTAGAATGTTATTGCCATCTTGTGTGCACATGCTCGTTAGCTAAATAGATGGGTATATAACTGCACGGCTCCCAGCTCTTGTTTAGTCACTCGTCTCACTCTCTACGAGCACCTCACCAATAGTCACTCTCTCGCTCTTTGTCAAGCTGTCACTCCTTCTACTGCAGCATAATCCTTAATTATTAATACCACCCACCATGCGCTGGACACTCCTACTCTCCCTTTCAGCGGCGGTGACGCTTGCCGCTGGTAAGGTATCGACGAATGCGCGCTGCGGAAACGCGTACAATGCGTTGCCAGGAGGTATGACCTGCAAAGGTTCAAAGTGGGGTGATTGCTGCTCGCAATATGGCTACTGGTACGCCATCTATGTCTTGTATCTGTGCACTCGACCATGACTAACATCTCGCGCAGTGGCAAGACCAAAGACTATTGCGGAACTGGTTGCCAGTCGCCGTTCGGTACTTGCAACAACGCAGTCGCACCAGCGCGTACTTCGACAGCATCTAGCCGCAGCAGTACTTCAACCTCTATCCGAACAGCTCCATCGACAGCACCTTCTGCTACTCCCGCAAAGGTCAAGGTCACCACCAACGCTCGCTGTGGAAATTCGTATGGGGCCTCACCGGCGGGAATGACCTGCTCAGGTGGCAAGTATGGCAACTGTTGCTCGCAGTACTCGTACTGCGGTAGCTCAAGCGCATACTGTGGAACCGGGTGTCAGCCAGGATTTGGAAAGTGCGATGTTGTTTCGTCTTCTGCTAGCTCTTCGACTTCCAGCTCCTCCAGCTCCTCCAGCTCCAGCTCCAGCTCCAGCTCCAGCTCCATCAGCGCTTCGTCCTCTACTCCCACTCTGCTTTCTACATCGACTAGCGAAACGATCACCAGCATCATATCAAGCTCGTCATCGTCCATCGACTCTTTAACATCATCCTCAATCCTGACCTCTTCCAGCGAGTCTTCCGTTATCTCCGCAACTCCCATCGCCGAAACAGTCTCCTCCTCTTCATCAACACCATCACCTTCTCCGTCTGCCACTGAACTCTGTGGTGTAGTAGGAGTCGACACCGTCAATTTGCAGATCATAGCAAACTCGCCATTCGCGACCGTCGACGACTGCCTAGCTAAGTGTCGCGCCGAGAGCAGATGCGGCAGCGTCATCATTTACTCAAGCACGTGCTACCTAACCCAACTACCCATCACTACTACGAACGTCACGCCCCAGCCAGGCTCTGGTCTCACATACTACAACCGCGATTGCGGAACCAGCGCCCCAGTGACTACCGCACCACCCACAACACTAGCGACATCCACATCAACATCCACCACGACCCCAACCCCGACTCCCTCCGTCTGCGTTCCCGCTGCGCCAACAGTATCCTGTGTCAAATACCCAGAGTGCCAGCAATTCACCACCCCACTGTCTAACGCCTGCCCAGCCAATGGTAGCCAATGCAAAGACAACTACTTCGTCCGCTGCGAGAACATACCCGCCGCTGGCTCCCAAGTGATCCAGGCATTTGGCAGCGTGAATGCGGATGTGTGCCGCCAAGAGTGCGACAAGGTGGATGCTTGCGCAGCTTTTGCGTTCGGGTCTGGAACTTGTACTCTGTACCGTACGATCAACGGATTCATTTCGGACTCAGCTACTACATTTATTAGGATTTGTGAGAATACTTGTGCTGGGCAGCCGGTGAAGAGGAGCGAAGATAAAAACACTGAACCACAGTCTGTAAGTATTGCAAAGTGGACACAGGGTAACCCGAAGGCATCTTAGGATACTCACAGTGTCTATCATCGATACATAAGTCCGTTAGTTCCAAAGAGATCATTCTTTTTGTATTACCCCATACCGAAGTCAATTGTGACCTGTTTTTGTACTTGAACTTCCAAGTCTTCCACCATCTCCCACACACTCTCCTTCCAACACTCCTCTCTTCCTCACTCCTTCCTCCCTTCCATCCCTTCCTCCCTCGCATCACGAAAAAGCAACCCACACCCCGAACCCCCACGCCTCAACCGCAAGCACAAACCCCGCAATCGCCATCCCACACCCCACCCTCTGACTAAACTCCTTCCTCTCAAGTTTCCCCTCGCCAGCACCAATTAGAATCCATGCTGCGGCCGCGAGAATGCTGAGGAGGAGAAGAATGCCCATGACGAGGAGGACGCGGGGCCGCGATAACGTGTATGTGAGGTGGATGGTTGGTGGTGGTGTTGATGGGGATAGGCGGGTATGTGGATGTGAAAAGGAGGTGAGAGGAGTGGTGGAGCGGGGGGTGTTGCGTCGGGCCCATGCTACCCAGGTATAATTTTTGCGTCCGCTTTGGGGGGTCTTGTATAAAGACAGAAGGTCGTGTGAGGGGGTTGTGGATTGGCTGTTCTGGGGAGAATGAAGGGCGGGGTGGATGTAGCGATTATCGTCGGCCTTTCCGCTGCCATGATATCGCATACTTGTTCTTTCAATGTGTATGCAACTCAGCGTCCTCGCGCTAAAGGTCCTCCGAAACCAATTGCCAGCCAGTTCGCGATTAGCAACCCGAAGCCCAAAAGCGAAAGATTCGTCGTCAAAGTCCACGGTGCGTTCCTTCCTTATCACTTTGGGGCTGTGATCCGTTCTCTTCTCGCTATTGCTACTGTTGCTCTTGGTATGACTGTGTTTCAGAGTCCAAGACGTGGCGTACGTTGGTATGACGACTTTGGCCAACTTCTCTTCTCTTCCTGACAGCCCACCCTGCTCCTCGTCCGTGTCGCTACAAGTGCACGCACGTCTCCCCCTTCCCATGCCCCACATCCATCGCCGTATCCCAACCAAAACAACGACACCCCCCTCTTCCATACTCACCCCTCCCCTATCGCCGCCATGTCCCCTTTCCTCTGCACTACTCCTCACAACTCCCTGCGCACTTTCATTCCTCTCTCTCCTGCTCCTCATATCAACTTCATCACCGTTTCCCGTCATAAGGCCGAGAACTTCCTTCCCCTTCCGGTCATCATACGGAGACTTCGGTTCCTCTCCGAACGGAAAGGCACTCGTACACGACGAATTTAATCTCGTGTAATCCTCCGTCGTACGATTCGAAAGTGAAAGGTTGAGGGCAGAAAGATGGGAATCCAGGATTCTACCGTGCTTCTGCGGTATATAGCTAGCTTTCGGAAAGAGGAGGTCGGGGTTAGTGGTTGCGGTATTTGGAACCGAGAAGGGGTTGGGTGATTTGATGGCGGGGGAGTAGATTTGTGCGGTGTGGTGTCGGCTCGCTCTGTCGTCTTGATCTGTACCGGTTGATAAAGGAGATAGTATGACGTGTCGGTTTGCGGAGAAAGAGGTTGATTTGGGCCATGAGGTTGAGGAGGCGGAGTGGAGGTATGTGCGACCTGCTGCATTCGACATGTCACTGCTTCTCGAATCTATACTCCTTGGGTCTGAGCTTAGGGCTTCGAGCGCGCACATGGTCATGACGTGGGCGTTGATGATGGAATCTGCGAGTACGCTATCGGATGTGCTGTTTGACGACGCAGTCCTCCTGTGATGACTGCGAAACGTTGGGCTCTGCGGTAAGGCGGCCAGTGTATCTTCTATAGATGCTGATGTAGAGAATGGTGTTGGATTGGCCGATGTTATGAGGGGAGAGTTGGGTAAAGACATGTTGCTGCGTAACGATAGTCTTGGCGAGTCGATACTGGATCTAATAGATGTATAATCTACCAGGCGTACATTGTTCTTGTCCAGACGTGTTAAAGACATCTTCCGTGCGTGATTCGTTCCTCGGACAGAGACTTGCTCGTCGCTGGTTCCGCTGCAATCAGACCCCGAACCTGAGCTATCTGCAAGCGCATTTGAGAGTCTGGGAAGTGGAGTGATAGTGCTGCGTTGCCTGTTCCTTCCGCGCTGAATACTTCCAATATCGCCGTCGATGTCGTAGGGAATGTCTCTTAGCCCAGGTCCAGAGCTTGCAGTCGGACTCTGTATGGTTCTGCTCATCCTATCCTCCCATTCTGATTCTGACGAGAAATCATCAAAGAAGTCGGCACGGTGATCGAGTGCTTTCTGCATGGTTTCGCTCACGTGAGGATGAACTGATGCTCGTCTCGTTTGTAAAGCTTCGACAACGCGCGGATATCCTGCCAAAGTAGGGGACAGTCCTTCGAAAGGGTGCTCGGGGAAGATGGGATGAGCCTTATCCGATTCAGCGGCAGGAGAGACAGGATGCTGGTTAAGGGGCGAAAATTTTGGCGCAACAGATCTCGAGATCGATGGTGTGCGGGTTCGCGCAGTCTCCATCCTGATATCTCTCAACACCTCGATTCGTCACTGACGTTAGCCAGTCTCCGCGCGTCATCAGGACATCCCGTCCACCTCTTAATAGTCTTGATGCGCTAATCGCTGAAACACACATCGTACGAACACGGGACATATAGACGAGGACAAAGGCGAAGCAAGGCATATTGACGCGGGGGTGGTGGCGACTACCGGAGGATTGTATAGCAAACAAAGACAACATGCGCCTGATAATGCATGTCCACATCCGGCGCTTTACCAGCTCCATGACAGCGGTAGCAAACGCAAGGCTTTTCCTATGTTGATCGGCTTTTGGTTGGGCGAAGAGAGTGGACTGCGGACGCAACCGCATTCCGATGGGCCCTCGCTTGCACAGACCATATGGCCGCCGGAACAGGTACTGTGGACCAAGAAAAGGTGGATGTGTGAGAACAGTATCTATTGGCGAGACAGACGAAGGGACAAGTTCGCCTAGAAAGCCCCTTGCTCTAAATCTAAGCGCGAAGGCGAAAACTAACAACGCCATATGCAATGCCCCCAAATCGTTCGTGATCAACATGAGATTGACATGAAGTATGAAAGAAAAGCGAAAATCGTATGAGGGCTTTGGCAAAGTCCTTACTCGCCGTCACGGTCGAACATCTTCGTCATCGCCTTTTGCGCAAGCTCTACACCGGCAAAGGTAGCTGCGTTGGCAGGCACTGCTCGTGCCATGGCAGGGCCAATACCAGGGAAGAAAGCCTTGAGACCACCGCTCGCGTGGATGCCTTTGATAGTTCCGCTGATGGTTGGTCGGCCCTCGGCACTTTGCAGCCGTGACTTGATGGTGTCGACTGGGAAGACGGGTATCCACATGGCGATACCGGCAGCACCACCAGCGACCATGACGGCGCCCATGCTCAGCGATCCAGGCTGACCGGTGACGGGGTCTTTTGGTGTGAGACTGCGCTTGACGGTCTCGTATGTCGCGAAGTAGAGTGCTGATCCAGGGCCGTCACGCGCCAGTGTCATGGCAGAGCCGCGATATACTGACTTGATTCCGCCCTCCTTGTATAGCTGCTTGACTACATCCATGCCGCCAGAGTATTTGGGCTTCTCGCCAGGGGCCAGGTTCTTTTGTCCCTGGATTTGTAGGAGCACCTTTACGCGCTCGAAGGGTGCGGTGATGATGGTCATAGGGATGGCGCTGAAGAAACCGGCGGCAGAGACTTGTGCGACGCTGAACTGGTTGTTCTCGACCTTGGATACGCTGGATACGAGTTGCTTGCCGAGATCGTAACCCCAGAAAGATACAGCGACTGTCGATTGTCAGCGTTAGTTATTCATCTACTAGTCCTCTTGTACTCACACATGGGTGTTACACCAACAAGCGGCGCAGAAACACCTGCATACAACCCCCTAGCCAGTCCTTCCTTTGCAATAGTTTTCCGCACGACGTCCATAGCCCCACTGTAGACGCCCTTCTCTGCAGTCTGCATGCGCACCTTGACCAGATCAAAGGGATGGCCAACCACAACAGCAAACACGCCACCCACACCTCCTGCTAACAGCGCCCGCAGCGACTGCAGCGAGGATTTGGAGGCTGCCTTGACATCTTCTTTTAGCTCGGCCGTGTTGGGCAGCTTCTCAATGACCGAATCCGCCGTGTTTGACATGGTGGGAGCTGTAGTGGGGTCGCGTGGGACGGACAGGCGCGTGTATAATCCGGATCGAGGCAGCAGAGGCAGATACAAAGACCAAAGAAGCTGTCTGAGGCAAGAGCACACCTACGCGACTACTCCCACAATGCGATGAAGAGTGAAAATGCGTGGCTGATGTGGGCGAAAGCGGATTTGGGTTTCGCATGTGCAAGCTCCAGTGCTCCGGAGAGCAGAGCTGGGCCTACGTCGGTCCAGCGTTCGGCTGTCCATATGCCGAGGCTGATCGGCGCCGAACAACCGCGCACCTCGTCTAAAGACCATTGACTTTGGAACGTCATGTGAGGGGTGTAGAGTGCCAAGTTCGTCAAAAGTGTGGTGTTTGGTCCGGAGGATAGAAGATCGCGAATGGAAGGAGTCTTACGAGTGCAGAAGGAGTGATGTGGCTTCACATATAGAAAGCTTGATCTTTCGGTCCAGCGGCGCGAGACATACACCATCGCAGCCAGTGGACTTGCGATGCTGGCGTGATTTGACACGCGTTCTGCTATTCCCGTCGTCTCTAGAGACATCTATGCATAATTTCAGTCTTCGCTATGCCAAAAATTCTAATTTTCAGTCATCTCTCAATATGTCTAGTCCGTTCCTTCATCCCTCCCGCACACGACATCAAAGCGCGAAAGGAAACACCCAACAATCGCAATCTTCATCAACCGCCTGCCCGTCAAGCACACGAGACCTTTCTTCCTAGCAAGCCCTTCTCATCTATAGATCTCTCCCTACCGTACCCTATTCTTCCCTTTTCTCCACATCGACTACTCCCATCAACACACATCTCTGGGGTGTGCATTACACCAGCGCTATGACCAGGACCGTCGGAAGCCCAAAGGGTGAGCACGGTAGTAAAAGCTCATGGCGGGAAGCTCTTGACAGACCCGGTTGGCAGAGCGGTGGGGCTACTGACACAACTGCGAGGTATATCCCCTTTTCCTTTCCTTTCTTTCTCCCTTTTCGACTCGAGACATGCAACAGGTCGTGAACATGACACAGTTTCTCAGTAAAGAATCCCGCAGCTTATGGTGGTTCTCAGAGAAGAACGGTTGATTGCCAACATCATTCGTGGAAGCTGCGTCAAGATAAGAAGGCTGGGATAAGACTCCTCCCAAAGTTGGAGCTTCTTAACGGAAGCGGTTGGAGGAGCGGTGGGACCCTCAATATTCGATTCTTTTCGTTGGTTACCTTGACTTGTCTGGGGCACTGAAGAAGAGAGAGCGGTTGCGTTAATGTACAGCGTTGTCGATGTAAGGGATGTCCACGTAGCGAATACAAACAAGGAAGAGGAGTTGAAGAAGATGATCATTATCCATATTCATTACCACTATCCCATTAAGCCATGTATCTGTGCCATATCCCATCCATCATTATACAACCAAACGTTTACTTGAATACTTGATCAGGGGAATCATTGAAAAGGAAAACTCGCAGCCAGACATTCACACGGCCGCTATGCTTCGAGACAGGTTGCATCCCACCTCAATCCCGATTAATAACCCTCAAACTCCTCCTCGGGTTCAACAACACACCCCTCGCGCCCCAAAAGCTCGGCTCCTGTCCATCCAACAACCCATCCACAACACTCCCCTCGCTATTCCTCCTGCCCCATCGATCCCCCTCCCCAGGTCCACCATATGCCGTCGTGGGCATGGCATCGCTTCCCCTGCGTGTAATATCAAAGCTACCAGCCGCAACACCACCATGGCTGCTACCGCCCAGCGTACCAGGCGGCCGTTCACTGCTGTTCTTGCCGGAGCTACTCGTAAAAGTACCCTGCTTCTCAGCATTCGCACGCGTCTGTACGGCCGCAGCATGCGACTTCCAGATCTGGACTTGGCGGCGGTAGATCCATGCGCAGAAGGCGAAGTAAGCGGCAATGATAAAGAAGACGCCTGCGATTACGCCGGCGATGATGGCGCCGATATTGGGGCCGCTGTCGCCGGAACTGGTGCTGCCTTGTGGGTTTCCGTTTATGACGTTGGTGATGGTGGCGCCGTCTGGGCCGGTCATGGTGTAGGTTTGAGGTTTGCCGGTTGCGAGAGGGCCTTGGGTGGGTGTTTGGACAGGGGCCGTGAGCGTGGCGCCTCCAGTTGCTTTGCCGCCGATAACGCTTTGGACGGCTTCGGGGACGGCGTAGCCGTAGGAGCCTTCGATACCGGCTTCGACGCCGAAACCGCGCTGGTTGATCTGTTGTGCGAGGGGGTTGCCGGTGCTCTGTTTGTCTTTGGAATTGTAGCCTTGGAGAGCGTTCTTGCCTGTTACGGCGGTGAACTGGTCGCTCCAGCCTAGGCTGCTCATGTTGAAGACGTAGATGCCAGGCGCGTCGCAGCCGAGATCGGTGTTGTAGCCACCTAGGACAATCATCTGGTGGTCCCAGACCTGGCATAGATGTCCGGCACGTGGGGGAGGTATGCTGGCCTTGTCGGTACCTTGTTCGACTTCGATCCAGGAGAACGAGGGAACTGAAAGGATCCACATGTCGTCGCGTTGCGTTTGGGTACCCGGGTCTCCAAGATCTTGACCGGCGAACATGTAGATGTTGTAAGATGAGCCGCTAAAAGTTTGTTAGTAAGAATATTGAGTGAGGGTGGAGTGATGTGAACTCACTCTGCAGCAGCTCCTACAACTGTACATGGGTTGACTCGGTACTTCGGCGTCTTTCCAGAAGTGCTCTGCTTGTACCAGGTCGATGTGGCAATGTCGTAGACATCGATAGTGTTCATCTGGGTCTAGGTTCTGTTAGCATTAACTATCACATCCTTATGCAGTCCAACTTACGAAAGTAGCATTGTCACCACCAGTCAACCCAATCAAGAGACCTTCATCTCCAAAACCAGGGACGTAGACGAGCGAACTATCCGCGCGCTCGGGGAACGACGCAGTATTCTGTAATCCGCCATACGTAATGTTGCGCCAGACACCGTCCGAGCCAGCGGTCTTGCCATCACCCAGCGACTCAACAGCATTGTTGGTCTGGCCCGGGAATGTAAACTCCAGCAAGCTCTTCAAGTACAATCGCGGAGTTTGAATGCTCCATCCTTCTGTCGTAAGGAAGTCCAGATGGCCGGCGAAGTAAAAGCCCCTGCCGAGCGTAGGAACAGTAAGACCCGCACCTTCAGCGACGCGTTGTACGGATTGCCCAGCATCCTCCGCCTCTTGTCCACCAGCCGAGGTCTTCGGATCGGCATGTTCGATCCACTGCTTGCCTCCAATGTTGTATTCCCAGACTGAGTTGTTTGAAGGGTCGGCCTGTGGGCTGTCGGAAAACTGGCCACCGTATAGCCATAGCGAATCGTGCGATGCCCAGAGCTGACCGAGCGAAACAGCTGGTGGGCCTGTGGGCTTGGGGAGCCCGGTCAACGCGGGTGAGGCGACTTGCCAGGATTCGGTAAGATCGAGGGTGAGGAAGTCGTTGTCTGTGTCATGTTAGCATTGGTTGCGTAGTGGATAAGTTTCGTCTTGTGACGTACTCCATGTATCCTCTTTCTGTTGGCCGTCGGTGGTCCTGCGGAACCCGTACATGTACAGTGTTCCGTTGACGATAGCGCTTTGTCCGCTCCATCGTCTACACGCATCGGTCGGACTATCCTCTCGTCTAACGAGCATCGAGCGTTCGGCATTGGCCTGGATCAAGTTCACCGGGATAGCGCCACCTCGTACGCCGACGTGTTTGAGGGGATTGAGCTGGATGATCGGTAGCATCAATGCTAGTAGGACACTGAGGAGGCCCAACCGGTAGAGTTTCGTTGGTAGGAAGGATTGCGATGTGGCCATACGCGATACGTTCTCGTTGGCCTCGTCCTCGTCGCATACAGATTCCCAGTCGTCTTCATCGTCCGCCAACTTCTCTCCCTCGGCGCTGAAGATGTCGTTCCGGCTCCTAAACCTGAGCATCTTGGCTGGTCGCAACCGCCTCAAACTCTCTCCATGTGTCGGCACCGGGCTCCTCTCCTCCATCATCTTATTCTCATCCACCAATCCCACCTCTGTGAATATCGACATGCGGCGGCCCTGGGGCCTTGTCGCAGGTTGTGCTCGAACACGCTCCATTGCTTATTATCGCTACCAAACACGTGCAACCGGATGGTCGCGTGCACGTCGTGGGGGAAAAAAAGGGCCGTTGAACGTAAACGAGTCGTGTTCGCAACCTTGGAAAGGGTCCTCGGGTCTCGTCAGGTGAAAGGAAGCCAGCGGGTAAATGGTCAAAATGACGTCGCTGTTCAGGAACAAGGTCGGCACCCTTGCACGGTTCTATTCGACGAGCGACGAGGGAGACGGGATAACAGCCGGGTACTATATGTGCCGGTACGCAGGATGCACGTTCGAGTGTGACGGGTGGCAAGGGCCCTAGGAGAGGCGTAGAGGACGACGGACGCTGATTTGCGTAGTCGCACAACAGCCGGAATGACAATCAGCTGGATGTAGCGAATGTATGTCACTGCAGAAGCGAACGGGCGATGCAGATGCGATGCAAAACGAGGGACGCGCAACCGAGAGTAACGCAACGGCCAGAACAACGACAACAGAAGTATACAGCGGCGAGTGAATGTCTGACTAGAATGGGTACCGTAAGATAGAAGGGGTGGAAATATGGGCACCCAAGTGTGGAGTGCAGCAGTCTACTACCGTACCTCGTCCCCAGCGTCCAGCCGACCCTACCTCGGAGCGCTGAAAGCGAGGCCATCCTTTCCGTTTCGTCGCCTCGCCTTGCGCCAAAGCCGTTGACTGGCCGCGGATAGACAAGCCAACGTCATGGAGGGTGCCGGTACAGGCAATGATCGTGCGATCGCGCGATTGGCCTCGCAACGTTGCAAGCCCCGGCCGCCTTTGGTCACGCCAGGATGGAGTGCAGGGACCGCCTGACATAAGCCAAGACAGGTGGATACTCGAGCAAGGAACTGTCCAGCGGAGTTTGTCAGCCTGCACCAGGTTTGTTATGATGGGGTGGCTTTCGAGGGGATTTTGTGTACGCATCGCGAAGTGTTCGCCTTTTCCTTGGAGATTTGTTTGTTGACAGGATATCCATCGCAGCTTCACCTCTCCGGACGAAGTTTGCCCCGCACCCACCGCCAACCCAACCCAATAAATCACACCACCCACTCATACACCCTCCTACCGCGTCCATCCCAGCACACTCGCACACATTCCATCGTACTCGGACCCTCTCTAATACGATTAGTCGTTTCCCGTACTGGGTCCCGGAGATTTCAATAGCTCGTGCAGCGTGCGTTAGCCTTTGTGCTCACACCGTCCGTGGCCTCGTCCTTTCTACACCTGCATGCAGCTGTGGAGACACGTTTCGTGACCCCTAAATCCCTTCCTGTGTAATTCTATTTCAGGTTTTCGTTGCTCTTGTGCTACCTGCCATAGCGGTGGAATGTGTTGTTTACTCTCTCTGCAGCTATGTTGAGGCGTTGAGCGTGGCTGTGTGCGGACACAGCACGGAAGTAATCCCTTCCGTAAACGCTCTAGGGCAAGTAAGACACGCCGGATGTATCGACACAACGTTTACTTCGCCTTCGTTGTTCGATCTTCGCTAGGCACATCCATGAACAACCAGACTAGAATACGCTATGTGCGATGCGCTACGCACGCGAAAGTAGATGGTCGTGTGGGTAACAATGGGGGGCAAGTGAGTGAGATCTCGGTTGGCACCCGAGCGCGATGTGGCGAAGGGGCTTAGTGCAGGTGTTGGCTTCGTTTAGAGAGGTCACGATGGTGGAGGATACGGGGTGCGGGAGGAACGCTAGATATTATGCTATGCTGCACTACGCGATGGTGTATATGTTCTTATATGCCATGTACACGATTTGATTGTGTTACTCCAAGTACGGAAGATGCACTACTGCCGCTCGAAGCGCCTGAAAGCGACGAAACCAGCGACGCGTATCAGTCCATTTCCTATGAAAGGTCGTAGTACTCGTCGATCTGCTCTCCATGTTCCGAGGAGATGAAATCCATTATATCATCCACGGTCCCGTCCAGGTCATCCTCATCCACTTCTTTGCAGTTATCGCGGAGAAGCTGAATCAGCTGGTCCAACGCAGTCTGTAGTACTTGCGGAGTCCAAATGTACTTGCGCTCAGCTGCCACTTCTTCTGCGATCTTGTCCCAATTAAAGTCTCCATCTTCTTCACGATCATCGCGATGATTCTGCAAGCTCGCGATCAGATCGTACTTGTCGCCCCATTGCATCTTGTCACCGGCGGATACGGTCGGCTTCGTGCCATCTGAATTGGCCGACGTGACACTGGGCTGGGCCTCCCCACCAGGAAGCTCATCGTTCTCCGTTGGCGCTGAGACTTTACTATCGTGCTCGGACTCGTCGTCGTCCGAGTCTTGCGATGAGCTGCTCGATGCAACACTGTGTTGATCTTCGTCGTCTTCAATTGGGTCGGCATCCTCAATCGAGTCCTCATTCTCCTGTTGTGTTTCATTGTTGTCGTCTCTCTGCAGTTGCTCCTGGGAAACTATCGGTGCGGTGCTGAATGGTTCCTCTTCATCGGATGGTTCCTCAATCTCCTGCTCGGCGTCATCACCAGTTGTCGGTAATTGAGTACGGTCCAAGTCCAGAGCCGGATCTATCAGGGCCGGATCTACTTGGGTTTCCTGCACAACTGGCTGGGTTTCATCCACAACTCTGTCGACGCCTTGTACAGACTCGGACTGATCGTCATCTGTAAGCTCAAGATCTGCTACTGACTCCTCGAGAACTTCAGGCTCAGTACGCGTCTCCGGTTCGTTCGATTCCAGAGTATCGCTCTTCCGTGGTCGCCCACGCTTCTTCGGCGGCGGCGAAACCTTCGATTGCTGATCGGCCTGGGCCTTCTCCTCATCTGAGTTCTCAACGACATCCCGTGTCTTGGTCGAGCGAGACTTATTGTTATCGTTGGCTTCCGTGACCTCGCTCTTCTGTGACTTTCTGCACTTCCTCTTCGGCGGGCTGTCCGCTTCTTTGTGGGCCAGGTCTTCTTCATCCGAGTTGTCAACAATCTCGTCGGTTCCGGCCGTGCGGAACTTCTTGAGCTTCTTCACTTCTGAACCTTCACTCTTCTTTGGCCGTTTAGCCTTCTTCTTCGGCGGCAAAGCCTGGGCCTCTTCATCATCCGAGTTGTGGATGACTTCCTGTGACTTGGCAGAGCGAGGATTGGGTTTGGGTGTTGCACCCTCCTCCCCCTTTGGCCGCCCGCGCTTCTTGGGAGTAGGCTCGGAAATCGCAGATCTGGAAGCAGCAGGCCTCTCCTTCCTAGGCTTGCGTTCCACCTTGATCTCTGGCGGAAATTCGCGCTTCTGCAGATTCCTCCACTTCTGTACGACCTGGATCCGGCTTCGGGTGTTTTCCATCTCACGGCTGACCTGCTGCCAGTTGATGTCTTTGAGTGTGTATTCGTCAATGGGCGGTAACCCTTCTTGAGCGCGGTGATCTTCGTCTCTTTGGGCAACCGTTGTGACGGCGCGGATGAAAAGCTCCTCCTCGTCCTCGTCCCAGCGTGAAGACCTGCGCTTATCACCGTATTGCAAGTAATCCCGCCACCTGTTTTGACAGTCGTGCATGGAACGATCCCCCATGCCTACCGAGATAACCTTCCACTGGTTCGGGTGCGTCCCATAGAGACTTTTCAGACGTTTATCTTCCTCTTCCGTCCAGACTCCTCTCTTGAACTGATGGTATGTCTGGCGGATATGCCTTCTCAGTCTGTCGAGCGAGCGTTCCGTGCTGATGTGCTTGATGTCGTCCCAGAATTCCGCGCTTTCACGCGCGTCCTCGATATCCTGTGGCGTCCACTCGCTCTTGGATGATATACTTCCATCGCCAGTGTTGAAGCTAGGGTCATGTGGATTCCATTGTATAATGTCCACAAGCTCAGACACCTCCAAGCCTTTCCTCTGCTGGTAGTCTACGATAGCTCGACGGATGAGCTCTTCCTCGTCTGCAGTGAAGTCGCCGGAGCTTCGTAGGTCCGGGGGGTGTTGTAGGTCATGCGCCGTGTTCAATGCTCTCTCTGCCGCGGTACCAGATGGGGGATCTTTCCAGGTAAAGCTGTATCTGCCGCTCCCGCGCCGTGGTGTCGCTTTCTTTGCAGATGACCGCCTCTTCTTGGTCTTCTTGTTCTCTTTAAAATTGCTGTGGTCATGGCCAGAGGGCGGAGCAACGTCTTCTGCCTCATCACTGGACACGGGCTCTTGCATGATGCTGTCTTCGTCTTGCTCCTCGCCCGACGGCTGAGCAGGCGTGCGAACTGGGGTAGGCGCATTGTCGATGTTGTCCTTGTTCTTCTTTGTCTTCTTCAAACTGAGACGCGGCTTGGGGGTAGATGTCTGCGTGTTGCTGGCCTCTCCATTCGTAGGACGAGGATCATCGTCGGGAATCTCGTAAAGGTTTCTTGATCTCGCGATGGGGGTTTGCGGCTTCTTGATTCGTTTCAGCTTCGACTTCTGGACGGTCCTTAGTTGCTCGTCATCCTCGTCTTCCCCGCCCCCGATAAGGTCTCGTAGTGTAGTCAGCGACTTTGGCGTCCCAATTTTCCGCCGCTTAGCCGATGAAGGTGTTCCGTCAGCGCTTCCTCTGGCGGGTTTGCGTGAATCTGCGTCGTTGGAATCCGGCGCCTCCGCTTCTTGGGAGCGCTTGTGTTTTAAAGCCGTATGCGAGGGTGAGGCGGCCTCGTATGCAACCATAGCTGTGTCACCGTCCTGGTCTGTATCTACGTCTTGCATAGCGTCGCTAATGGCCCGATCGCGTTTTGACTGCTTGCTCTGCTTGTATGTACGTTTGCCTTTGGTTGCGCTGGACGGAATGACTTGGCTGGGCATGGGCGAGGAAGCAGTTGGTTGCGCGAGTAGTACGGGGATTTGAGAGTCTGGTACTTCGACTGCGGTGGAATGCGTGAAACCATTGGCAGCAGGCGATTCGGGCTCCGGTTGCGTTGCGGGAAAGGGAAAGGGAGATGACGCTGGAACGTCGCTCTGGGCTAGCATGCCTTTAGCTGGAGATATCGCGACACTCTTCTTCGTCAGACCGAGTGCGCTGTTTCGCTTGCGCTTCTTGTGTAGAAGGGGAGAGGCATCCTGGCTGCCGTCGACCTGGGAAAGAGTGCCAATCGAGCCGGCAGCGCCGATGCGCGTGCCCTTTTCGCTCATGAGTTGCTCTGATGCGGCGACGTCATCCATGTCTGGATCTGCGACTCCAATGCGTTAGTCGTGACTCTGCGCGGGAAGGTGCAGGTTGATGGAGCGAAAAAGTGCCCATCAAAACGCGTCGAGGCCGTCTACTCACTAAAGTGGGACCTGCGCGCCGTGGCGGGGGAAGCTACCGTCGCGGCGTCGCGGTTCGGGGGAGGTACGGGCTGAGAAGAGGAAGTACCCATTCTTCTCCTCAGATCGCTAAAGATGGCATACCCAGGACTGGATTCGAGCATTGGCGTCGTGATAGCCTTTTGCGGTCGCGAACTTTGTCGATAACTCCAAAAAATTGACGTGTCGCGCTGCGCGAGAGATCCATGGATGTTTCCGGTCCCTGGCTAGCCAGAGCCGGGCTAGACTATCTCTGACCCCGGTTCACTCCTACCCAACGGTTCTCCCCACTCCCCGCTCACCCCTCTCGTCCCATGTGAGACACGCATCCAGAAATGAATGTAGGCCATGGCTACCATGACATCGCTAGCACCTTTTCTCATGATTCCACAAATGCTACATCGATCGCACCGTACACCCGAAGCCATTCCGTAGCAGGATGTTCCCCAACATGGCAAGATAAAGGCAGCTCAAGCGCGCTGAGATCGAGACAAAGACGCGAGTTCAATCTATCGGTCGCATGTTCGACTCAATAATGCTGCTCTAGTCTCCTTGGCTTGTGCAGTGATAAGATCTTTGAAACTGGAGGCCGTTCGCCAAATGTGACTTGTCAATACCTAGGTAGTATCCCGAATACGGCACAGAATTACTGGCCTAGTTTCCTGGTAGTCAACAGTCTTTTGCTGCCCACGCTTTGAATCCATACAATCTCGTTTCACTTGAATCGACTTCGCTCTCTCACTTGATTATCTAGTTCCCCAAGGACGATGCGTCGACACTGGTATGTATGGCGTGTAGCATTTTCTCAATCATTCTAGTCTCACACTCTCTTTCACTCATCACCAAAACGCTTCAAAATATTACTCAGCCTTCTGACTCACCACACACCCGATCAGCTTAATCAATCCTCGTCATCAACTTTCCAGGCTGTCAGCGAAAGAGCCGTTCGCCATTTCATTTGACCTCAAGCCTGTTAAAACGGGTCAGCAACAGACGCAGAACGAGACTGACCATACCGAACGGCAGGCCGTACCGTCGGGTCTGGACGCGAAGATTAACGGTTTCGACGTCGCAATTGCCGGTCTGATGGCAGAGCAGCACACATTAAATCGCACTCGGCAATACGTTCTATCGACTCGCGACACTGCATCAGGGAGCTCGGGCGACGACAATGCTCCAGCGCATCTAGCTCACAAACTACCCATGAGGCCTACGTGCCCTTCGCGTTCTTTCCTAGCAAGGAAAGTGCAGTCAAGTCTCCGCCAGGAAGTACTGATCCGCAACGCCATGGAGAGAGAAAAGAGTTCGTCACTTCTAAACTCTAAGGGGCTGCTAACTAGCGCCGAGTTCGAAGCTGCTTTCAGACCCCACAATCTGCCCAGCGGCAACAATGAAAGCGACGACGGAGGTCCTGGCACTGACAATGGTGGAGATGACGCGAGGCTATCTACCGAACACACGTCTTCTTCAGTAGCGGAGAACCACTCTGCACCTTTGTCCGCCACAACAGTCAATGCGATCCCACGCAGCACCGCCCCTTCTCCGGCCAGTGGGACAGGCGCATTTGAGCCATCAGCTCGGATTGGCCAAGGCGCTCATTGGCAGGTAAAACGTGTTACCAAACGCAAGTTGCAGGGCAACGCTGCTAAAGCGCGATCTGCGCGGATGAGAAGACTAAATGAAGCGAACTCGGCAACAGTATGAGACTAGGGACCAATGGGGGCAGAAGAAAAGGCGTTGGGGATGCTGATCAGGTTCGGGAGTTCAGTCTGGAGTTTGGCGTTGTTGTCACGAAGGAAAAGTTCGGATAGGATTGATATTAAGGATGATCATGTGTAGTAACGGAATAATCAAAAGCTGTCTTTTCTCCTCTGTATGGTCTCTATGTTTACTGTGATGCTCGACAGATTTATCAATCGAAAATACTCTCTTGTATTGCCCGAGCAAATTTGACGCAACTGTCAAAATCCAGAGTTGAGGAGGATTTACTTCGACTATCCGCCACGCCTATGAATCGATTCTACCTCTACATGATATTGGGTCTTTAGTAGCCTAGATTATCCTATAAACTGCTGACGATGGCGATCAATGCAGCGAATACTACACTTGTTAGCCAGGAACTCTTTTCAGGAGAAAGAGATAGCTCACATCCTGAAGCCGTCACAACATAGGAGGCGATACTCCACGCTGCCTGAATTGTTGCCAAGTCTTTCGGATTGCTCCACTGGAACCAGAGACCGATGGCTAAACTCAGCATGACGGGCATAAGAACAATTGCAGAGATTCTAAGGGCCGACCATCCAAGTACCACTTCGAGAGATAGGTGGTCTTCGACATCCTCATCTAAGGGCTCATTAGACCCCCGATTTATGTTTTCATGGATCCATCTGGTCCATTGCTCTCCTGTGTCTTTCGAGCGCCACCATTCTGAATACGTACGCCATAGCTGATATAAAGAGCGCTCGCTCTTCAGAGTTAGCGGCACCTGAATGTGTTGTCCATTCTTCCACCTGCACTAGACATACATCAGTAGCTTCGTAAGGTAGCGGGTTCATGAAAGAAATACCTTGTAAAGCCTAAACTGTTTGACCTCCCTCAAGGAGAACCAAAACTCTAGACCGCGAAGTCGCATGATGCCCCAAGAAAGCGTCGTAAAAAGATACGCTGGCGAGTGGATCTCAACTCGAATCTCTGCTGGCACGTTGTCGGCACGAGAAAAGATGCCCAGGATCAAGTATGGGCAGTTATTCTTCCTGGTATTGCTCCTATATTTGCCGGTGGTAGATAGCACAAAGGCTTCAAAGCGTCCAAAAATTCTGCTCTCCACGGTTCGACTGAAAGGCGTCGAAGTGGTGGTCGCACCATTGCTGTCGCGAACATGGACCTTCTCAGCCTCAAGTCTTTCGATCATCCAGCCCCCAGGAATTCTTGCACATAGGTCCTTGGTATAAACCTTTTTCGAATAGAATCCTCCCGGTAGTTCATGCACAACACCGTACTTCCTCGCCATTGCATCTAGCCGGGGCGGTGGGGGAAGGTCGACTGCCTCTGCCGCGATGTCTTCTGTGCTTTCGTGTTCTCTATCCTCATGTGCTCGCATTACACCTTCGAATTCGTAGTCCTTGTACCGAGGATCTTTGAGGCATGTTCCGCTCATCCGAATTGTCTTATCCAGCCCTGACATATCTTGAGCGATGTCTTGTTGTGCCTGACTTTGCTGTGTGGGTTCTTTAGGCTGCTCCTGTCCCGGCTCCGGGTTATCTCCGTTTGGGCTCGCCATGGCCTCCGTCGAGTAAGAGTGACAAGTCAAAACTCCAATGTAGAAGCAGACGTGCAAAGAGAAAAGTTATTTTCGAAAGCGCATCAAGTGAACGAGGTGAGCGGTTGTTTATCCTGGAAGGGACTCAGCCAGACCCCCGAAAAAGGCCTGTTCTTAGATCGCCCTCAGCCTCAGCCTCAGCCGCCGCCGCTACTGCACAGTAGCCTTCGTCAAACACCACAATGTATACATCAACTTCGTCGCGATCCTGCGATGAGAGCTCTGGCCTATAATTCGTTGCCCATATCGCCGTTTAGCATCAACGTTCTTGCCCCAAATTACACAGGTGCGGAAGATATGCGCTGAGTTCCTGCTACAAGCCCGCGCACGCTGCGGAGCTTCATCCGCCGCAACACCATCACGTTCCCAGCCCTCCTCCACATGAATTTCTTCCTCAATCAACCAGCAAGCCAGTCGCATCAATGAAAAAAAAAGTAACCTGTCAGATTGCCATCAACGTCCTGCCTCCCAGCGCAACACGAAGTCGCAAACCAGTCAGCTGAAGATCATCGCCACGCACGCCGAAGCATCCGTAAAAAAAGCCTCACTCCGGGACATCGAGGCTGATAGTCATCAACCAGGGTGGAGATTCTGTGGCTACTTAGAGTAACTCAGAAGAGGATGCATACTATTAGAAATGATTCTATGAAGTATGATCGACATGATGAGCAGAAAGAGGGACGGAGGGCAGCGGGTTTATATACACAGAGGGAGGGGTGCACGGGGCAGGATTTCACGTGATGCGTAGGCGGTATTGGGGGTAGTGGAAAGGAAGGATTTTTCACAAGATCCACTGTGTGTGGCCGGTGTTGGCCGGAATGGCCTATCGTGGGGGCTGGGAGTGAAATTTCTGTGGGAGTGGTTCGGCGTGGGATCATAGCGTTCGGCCTGCGGTGTGTGCGCAGACGAATTGTACCACTGTGACGCGTGTAAGTGGTTGTTGTGTTGGTTTTGCGGATACTGTACCGCGGCGAAAACGGCGGTCGAATCAGTTTAGGTCAGGGGAGTTTGGATAGCCGGCGGGTCGCGACTTTGAAGCGCGAGAATATGGAAACACGAAAACACCGCTGGGCCAGGTCACATAGACTTGCAGACGATGAACTACGACGGCGACGAGCAAATTTTGTGTGTCTGAGTCAATGAGCTATCATTTGACAGTATCCCGTTGCGATGTGACACGTCGTTGGCAGCTTACTGCCGTTCGCAAGTCCGTTACGCCTGCTCGAAGAGCTGCTTCATCCACTCGAGCAACTCCATTACTGCAATCCTATGGGGGTAGATTTCTTCATTTGAACTATGGAGACGGATCCCAATCTCTCCTTCTTCCTGTTTTATTGATTGCCATATCTACAGAATCGTCGGTCTCAACTACTGACGTTTCGCGTACCAAATTACCATCTCCACAGTGCGATAGGTCAACCAGCAGTCTGAGCAAGAGATGCTGAACTGACTCTTCCACTTCTGCGCTTCCAAGACTTCCGGTTGACCTTGGGTTCTTCCAATTCCTCCTCACTGTCCTCCACAACAAGTTTCGGACCCACGGTCCTCCCGTCAAACCGCTGGCATCGCTGACTAATATGAACATCCACCTCCCTCCCCCGCTTCCTATACCCCTTCACTAGCCACTCGCCAAATTTATACAGACAAGCCAACCGCCACTCCCCTCCCTGAAGATGATTTATACCTTCAAGATACACTTTTTTAACCCCGCCATGGTCAAGCATCGGCCTAAATTCGAAAGTCTCCAGAAAGTCTTCTAAATCGCGAGGTCTCTGGTATTGTGTGTACGCTCTATCGACGAGCTGGATCCAGTGGAATGACATGGCGATGGTGTCGAGCTGGGTGCACTTGAGCATTAGGCTGATATCGAGGTTGTTGTCGATGCCACCTTTGGTGCGGACATGCGCTCTGTACTTTACGTGGGGGAAGTTGATGCGTTTGATGGCCGCAAATGCCTCAGTGGTTCTCACGCCGTCGATGATGACCGCGGGGAACGTAGAAAGGAAGTCTGCGAACCAACGGGCGATCTTGAATGGCTTCTTTGAATCGTATTTGAAGTCGAACCACTCGGTTGTTGAGAGCATGAAGAGGGCGACTTCGCTCAGGAGCTGCTTGTTCGCAAAGGCGAGAGCAGGGAGCCAGGGCGCGACTGTCGCGGTTGTCAGTTCGTCATCGGCCTTTCGATCGCAGATGATGAGGTCTTCTGGCCAGCGCCAGGTGCAACATGGGTTGTTGTAGGTGTCGACGTGCAGATGCTTTGCTAGAGTCGAGTTGTTGCGCGCATTCTCCAAAAAGGCCTCGAAGACGTCGCAACATGGCTTGGTGTCCCTGACGTGGCCATGATCCGCCAGCGTTGAGTCGTTGTGCGCAGTCTCGAGTTGCAAATAGGCTGCGAAGATCTTGAGACGTAGCTCGGCGGGCAGATGGAGGAAGTTGGTGAATTTGGGCTCATGGATGGGTGCCGCTTCATGACGGGCGACGTTGGGGATGGGGGTAGCCTCAATCATTGTCACGTTGCAAAGTGTCTACTGCTCGTACCTTCGAGTAGTCGGCGACTGCCATGATAGCATGGAGGCCTTGATCCCCCCGCGCGGGTTGCCTGACGCCCTGCTTACATGGCACCTGGGCAAGATTCTTCGCGTCACGTGATGGCTTTCTCTTCGTAGACGTGGTGTCTTGGTAAATTCACTCGAGCGGCTGCGAATTGATATAACTAAGTAGTCTGCTGCCTAAACTGAATCGTCAGTGCTCAGTCTCCTCCAGCGCCATGTCTATCACCATATCCACCTACTGCATTGTTCTCGCTCAACGAGTCGCTACTCTCAACCCAAGATTGAAAATCCAATATGCCGAAGTGTATACATTACGAGGTAGAAGTATGTACTGGACTCAAACGTCTTCGCCTAATTGACTAATCTTTGATGGTAGGAAGCTGTTTCTTCCGAGTACATGCTCCTCATCGCAAAAGCCACAGACATCGATGTGTGCGTGGACCAATCCGACGACCACTCACTTCTCGAGGGTATCGCAGACCTCATCGAGTACGAGACCGGTTCCATGTCCCACACCACAGCAGACGACGAGCTGGATGACTCGCTCACACAAGCTGTGGAGAGCTCCAATTTCTCTGTGCTCCCATTGTACGAAGACTTCACCACAGCTTTCCACGATCTATCTTCTGCAGGTTTTTGGTGTCTTCGTTACGAACCATTCCTCCGCAGAGCATCGGCAGATAGGGAGTTCGCCAAGATAGCGAAGGCAAGCATAAGATACCTGAAAGACAACCACGAGTGTAGTTTTGAGCCATTCGTCCCGTATTACCAGCAATATATGCCAGATGCTCTAGAGCTAGTCTACGGGCACATGGGGTATAGTTCGCTCAGCGACGCTGTATTCATTCACATGGCGACCTGGTACGATCCGTTCTATAGTCCATGGTGCTGTATCCATCTATGGCAGCACTGCCGGTGCGAGCTCCTTCGTGACGACCAGCGCTCCTTCGAGATACTTTTTTCGCGTGACGTTCCGACCGCGTTGTCGTACATGCACCAAAATACGGACGGCCTAGTACCTATCGACCGATTAGCGTTTCAGGATCTCGTAGATATGACACAGGAGTACTTGGCTTTCACCTACGACTACGACATCTGGCCGGACGAAAAAGTAGCGGCTTTTCGAGAGTTTTCGGGTCCTGTCATCGATTGGCTCTACTATGAGAACGGCATCGAACCGATTGAGTGCGCAGCCTTCAACGACATGGCCGCGGCCGTGACAGGCTATATACCATATGAGCCACCACATTACTTCCCTCGCTTCTTACAGTTACCGGCTGAACTTCGAAAGATTTTTTATCACCACTATCTTCTCGCAAATGGACCTACACTGCTGTGCCGACATGATCGTCGCCCCCATGGGTGGGATGATTGGCATGACTACCAGGCTTGTTGTCGGTGGGACTATCCATCCTCTCTGACGCTTTGTAACAAGAGCAAGAGGACTTTGTTCCTTCCATACATGCAACGTTCCAGCTATCTCTTAAGTTCACTCCCTGCTCTAGCTTTCATATGCGGACAGTTGAAGGGCGAGGTCGTTGTCTACATGCTACAATGCACGCAGCGGATCGTTCTCAACCTTGAGAAGGGTGAAAGAAACTACGACGGTGGCGCGTGGTTCTACGACGCGTTGACTGCGATCCCTCATGGTGATGGATTGCGGGCGGTAAAGAACCTAGTCTTCCGTATTGAAAATGTGTCTCAGTCGTCATCCGTTCCAAGAAGCCCAATGGTCGAGCTTGCAGTGGCTTGTACTTCTCTCCGAGAGATCCAGCTGATCGTATCTATCCAGGAGCTACTTAGCATTAACTGTCAAACCGGTGTGCCCACCCTACGGTCTGTAGATGAGCTGCTCGATAGGCTTGCAGTACGGCCTCTGCTCAATTGTGAGCTCCTGTGCCAGATTTGCATCAGTATGGCGCATCAAAGTTTTGGATTAGAGCCTGGTTCAAATGACTGGGACGTCCTTGACGGTGTGGGGAAGTGGTTGATAAAGGGCTTCCTGGTTCAGCAAGAGCGGCGCGTTCAGGTGACTGTATGCGATCGCAACATTAGCTGGTGTACACCAGGAGAGGTTGTAACGCTAGATGAGGCAGACGAGAAAGAGGTAGACGAGTGGCTCAGGGTGAAGAAAGTGAAGAGTCTTCTCGAGCAGGCAGAAGGACGATGAGAGCTTGCCATTTTGCCGTCCTTCTTATATGAGAAAGGGTAAGAAGGCATTGCTGAGAGCAACCTTAGAAGTCACAGCGGACTGGCCTGAATACCTACAACAGCTCATCAGTAGATGGAGACACCAGAAAGGATATAACAAATGCAACATTGCTGCATTAAGCTCGTTACGACCCTAGATTGTGTGCACTCAACACAAAACTGCCTAGTCAAGGCTCTTAGCGTCCCTCTCCCACTCAAATTCATCTTCATTTTTCCAATACTTAGTACCACTCTTCCTAAACCCCATTTTCTCCAACACTCTTCCACTTCTCGCATTGGGCTTTTCTGTCTCGGCGATGAACCTTCTCACGCCCTTCTCCGCCGCCGCCCACTGCATAACTGCTTCTGCGGCCTCACGAGCTACACCCTGACCCCAATACGCTGGCGCAACACCGTAGAGCATTTCGACCATCTCTTCCCATGGTGGTAGTAGATCGTCAGAATCATCGCGTGGGGGAAGCGAGGTTGTGGTTGCATCTCGGACGCCTGCATAGCCTAGCCATTCGATGGTGCCGAGTTTTTGGCACACGTTATCCATCTCGCTCTCGTCGATTACCCGGACCTTCTCGCTCGCATCTTCTAAAGACCGACCCATCGAATGATCGGACCACTCTTTCGGTCGCCAGCCAACTGCAAAAGTGCCCAATCCTCTCTTCTCCCAACACTGTGCAATGTCGCGTGTAGCGATCGACTCATACATTTGTTCTTGCGTGCGCTTCATTACAGGAAACTTGTCGCCAAAGCCCATCTCGCAGAAAGAGGTATCGGCGAGGAGGTTCGCGAAAAGAGTGACATAAGCCGGTATTGAGATAGCTAATGGCGTAGGTACAATAATGAGTCGAGGTGTGATAAGGGCGAACCGCGAAGACGGTGTCGAGGACTGTTGGGAGCTCATTTTGAGATGTGCAAGGATTGTGAGGATACAAGAACAGTCTTGCGGATACTTGTACACTTAGAATGATGATAGAAGAGATGACTCGGAGGGTCTTCCGCCGGAAGAAGAGGACACTAAGTGTAATCCAGCCTAGCGCCATATGACTCAAAATGATGGAGAAGCACCGGATGATATCCTTATCATCTAATCTAGGCTGTCTTGTTCGCCTTCATTGGCTCGATTTGGAACGGCGAGAAATGCTTCCCGCGCATGCTGTCCCAGCTCTCAACCAACGCTTCACACCTCCGCCAGCTGTTGTCCACAACTTTCTCATGCTCTTTAACAGTCCTCTCTACCCAGCCATCCCTCTCGTCTGCCACCATCACCACTTCGTCGCCTTTGCCGGTATATCTGTATTCTTTCCACGGTGTTTCTCCATTCGCGAATCTGTTCCAAGTTCGTGCGTGTTGGGTAGAGATGTCCTTGAGTCTTTGTGACGGGTAGCGAAATTGGTACGTTTTGAACACGTAGTAGACGTCGACCCAATGATGCGCTTGCTGCCAGAAGGGACTAGTGGCGAAAGGATTGCGGACATCGAAGACGTACCGATAGACCTTCTTGTTCGTATGATGGGTGAGATATTGTGCGAGTTGGTGAGTCGGTGCTATAACGATTAGCTATGCATGCTGTGCACTGCGAAAGATGTCTCACCATCGAAAACGACGTCGCCTACCCAACGTGCGCCTGCCGTTAGGAACACGTTCTTGTCAATCCCTGGTGAGATGCCATAAGCCTTCCCAATAAGCTCTGCGCTCTTCTCGCCCAGCTGAGTTGCAATGCCTTGGAGGAAGGCGTCCGGGCTGACAGTAGCAATCTCTGACATTAACGTAACGCCCTGTATACTATGATAAGCTTCTCACACTGGGAGTACGGCTGAGAAGCATCGACTCACCTCAAAACCTGTAGTACCTAGAATAATCTCGTTGACCCACTCGCATTTGCCAAGCAACTCGGGAATGCGGTCCCATGTCACAGAACCCGCTTCCTCACCAAACCATTCAGGATCTTGAACCGAAAGCCACATATCGCCAGCCGCTCGATGCGCGGCGGATGCTTCAACGATCTTTTGTACGTCCACCTGACGTAATTGCTCCAGACCTGCCTCGCCTTCTTCTTCAATCCCTACTGTTCTCAAGAATTTAATGTATGTCTTGTCTGCGTTTTCGAGTGATAGTGGTACTGTGGTTGGCCCGATAATACCAGACATTAGAATTGCTCTTTGGAAAAGCGGACCTGAAGACGGGGGTTGGCGTAGCATGTGGGCACATATTGACATGGAGCCAGCAGACTCGCCGAATACGGTAACTCTCTTCCTGTCTCCTCCGAAACCCTCGATGAACTTCTGGATCCAAAGAAGCGCATTTCGTTGATCGTTTAGTGCGAGATTTGCGTTCCCAGTTCCTGGAGTATGTAGGTACCCGAGCGCTCCCAAACGATATTGTACGCTTGCGGAAATAATGGGTCGGGCATCAAGGATCGACTGCTCGACCATGAGAGATGTGTTGTGCTGCTCGTCAATCTTTCCGAGAACGAAGCCTCCCCCATGGATGTAGACCGATACAGGTAGTCTTGAAGAGGGTGGCTGCTCCTTCAGGTATGAGAGCGGTACGTTGACCTGGAGGATGGCACATTTCAACTCGTCCGTTGCGTGCGGAAAGACTTCACCAGGAAAGTTACCGCCGCCGACTGTGTCGACACCAAAGACTTGAGGGCATGCATAGCTGAGGGTATTAGCTTCTCTTCCCAGGGAAGCATTAAGGCAAGTCATACCCATGTTCCGTGAAGTCTCTCTTGCCCGCAAGCGTATCTGAGAGAACAGACTGCTTGAAGCGAGCGGGGATGGTGGCGTATGGCACGGCGCGAAACTGAACAACGTGGTCGGACGTGACGATGCCTGCCATAGGACCTAGGTCGGCATGGTGAAATGTGAAGGTCTGCGGTATCTGATCCTTTGATGCCATTCTTTCGTATGTCCATGCGATCTGTTGCGATATTGTGAAACTGCAAAGACAGGCACGATATATATGAGATATAAACGGTGTACGTAGACGACGCGGGGAAGAACGTTCACGGTTCCTGAACGACCTTGTATCTACCGGAAAGTGGAGACCAGGCCCGTCGAACCGGTCGGACGCGCAAAAAACATCCGATCCGCTTACAGGAACGCTGATTGTTGATGCCTACAATGCTGCCTTGAGTTCTGTGATATGTAAGATCCAGCATGGGTGGTGTGTCTGACAACGGACGAAATGCGCATCTCTTGCAGCTATAGTAGCTTGCACGAGCGATGTTTAAGGGCGCCGCTCGATATTGTAGTGTAAGTAAGCTTCAGCCCTTCGGACACAGAATGGCTGCCGAAGGCGGCGGGGTTATTCATCGGCACATCAGCGCGCGAGAACCATCATGACCGCTTGTAAGGGAACACCGAGAGACCCAAGAGACGAACCGCGCGAGACGCTATGAGGCTATGAGCTTCTCATCCCGCGATGGATCATGTTGGCTGTCGAAGATTTCACATTCGTGAGGTGTCGGTGACGTGCACGACTGCAGACAGAACCTGGGTGGTCTGTGTCCCTCACGCTAAGCTGCTACGCGCTCCGACGCGTCCCGAGGTTGCTCTCCGCGTGTCCTGTGTCCACGACTTTAAATACTAGATACGTCATTCAGTCAACAACTTTCATGCAAATTTGTATTGCTCTATTAATTCTTGGATTGATTTAGTATCAGCAGGACAGGGTATCGTATCAGTACAAGCAGACATCAGGCAGCAACTCTAGAACGCCAAGGAAAGGGAATGATGTTGTAGCGCGTCTCACTCCTCACAAACCTCATTACGGAGACGCCGGAGATATGTAGACGGAGACAGGAACTTTGTTGCTGCCATCTTCCTTGCCAGAAGCAAGAAGAGCCTCAGCTTCATCAGCGAGATACGCCGGATTGCTCTCGAAGCGAGGATCAAGCCACACCGCATTAGCATCATTATCCTTGATCATTTTCTTGATGGTCTTTGGTTTCTTGTGACCGCCAGCGTAGAAGATAACAGCGCGAATAGCACCAAAGATGGAAACGAGACTGTAAAGCTGCTTGTACAAAGGGTAGGTCATGGCAGCCCAAAACCGGGGCTGCAGATCGGGACGGTGCCGCGCGTTGCAGTACTTAAAAACGAGGATCGGAATTGTGGCAGCGAGCATGAGTGGAAGGCCAAGACGCCAGAAGTTTGGATCACCGCCCATGGTGACGAAGACAGGAACGCGCACCCAATCCACAATGATGGTGGCGATGGAGTAGAGGTGGATGAACTTTTGCGTAAAGATGCCCCATGGTGTTGTCTGTCCATTGAGAGAAAGCAGCATACGGTCCGCAAAAGCGATGAGACGTCCATGCCGACCCATCTCCCAAGACCGGTAACGTTGGTTCCACCAGTTGAGACCTGGCCCAAGGACGGTAGTGGGAACTTCGGTCTCGAGCACACACGTTGCGTCAAATGCGATGCGCTTCTTCATCTTCTGCATGGAAAGACCGGTGTTGACGTCTTCGGCGATGAAATCGATGGAATGGTAGTTGCTAATGAGATCGATGAGGGTATCTCTTTCGCAGAACCAGCCCGCACCATGTGGGTACAATACTCCACAGATGGATGACTCGGCGAGCTTGGTGAGACCACTCATCTTGTACTCGCAGTCTTGCCATGCTACGAGGCAAAGTGGTACGTCGCCATTGGCGTCAACGGCTTTTAGGGGAAATGCGCAGCCCTTCGTAACATCATCCATCATGTCGATGGGTGGACGGAACGTTGCTGGGATGGAGACATCGTCGTCGACCGTCATGATCCAGTCGTAGTCCTTCGCGGCCATGGCACCCACGAGCTGTGCGGCGTTCTTGCTACCAATAGGCGACCACATATAATTGATGTCTGGATGCTCACTTCGGATGAAGTTGCGGAACTCTGGAGAGACTGGATGTCTTGTGCGGCCATTGTCGACGACGAAGATGTCTTGCGGGCGGAAGTGAACAAAGGCACTCTTGAGGACCTTGCTTGTGGCTTCATGGTCGCTGTTGTGGCACGGAATAACGAGTGCAGTGCGGTGCGCTGGCGTAGCTTCGACGATGCAAACAGCTTTTTCTACGTCGAGTTCGACATCCGGAGCAGCCCTTTCGACAGGCGGGCCGACCGCGGGGTGGAGAGATGGTACGCGAGCGACCAGTAAGATGACCGTGATCATGATCGGCTCGAGGCCGATGACGATGATGAGAACCGGTATCATGTTGCTTCGCGTAATCTCCATGGACTTCTTAATCCAGCCAAAGTAGTGATCCGAGATTGCAACCCCGACGGCGAGTGCTGCCACCACGAAGAGGATAATGTACTTCTTCCAGGTGAAAGGCCAAAACACCTCGCGGATATCGATCATCTGCCATAGCGTTCTTGGATGAACATGGCTGAAGATCCTTTCTTTCATGGTTGTAGAGGCACGGAAGAACACGTTTCGTCGGTCTCGCTTGGGTACACCCTGACGAAGAGGAAGCGAATCGCTACTGGATTGAGAAAGGCTCGTTGTCGATGATGCAGGAGTTCCATATGGATATGGTGGAGGTTGGTCATCCCAGCTGTTGACCGATCTTGAGGAACGATAGGAGAGGAAAGCAGGCCGGGGTTGTGGCAAATCATGGTGATTAGGCTTTATCGTTGCTTCTACCGCAGGATGACTTTCTGCATATGTAGTCTGGATAGGTAGTATTTCGTCTACATCGATGAACGGATTGACAGGCGTCGCACCCATTTTTGGAGAAGGTAAGGATGGACAAGACTCGGTCGCGCACTGATTGGAAAAAGGGTAACAACTAACGAACGGATTGAAAGGTCGACGTTGACTATGGGTCTATAAGAAGATACAGCATGGCTCTCGCACTGTTTTGAAGACATCTTTCACGTCGATCTAGAACGAATTGCGAGAATATCGATTTTGCATTCGCCATTCTGACAACTCAACACCACGCACTGCTACGCCTTCAGCTTTGCGCCACAATATCGTTCTGGGACACCGCAGCTCCAGAAGCTATTTGAATTCAGCATGAAAATCGTACCCTGATGTTCTGGCACATCGCCAGGCACCGGAATCTTGGCTTGTGCATGGCGCTAGGTTGTTGTATATGTCGCTTCGGCCCGCCACGAACGCCTCAATTGAGTTAGCCTAATGCAACGGACCATGAAAAAGAACGGTATGGATTGGGTGGAATCTACATACCTTGTAAGCTATGACAACATCTAGAAGTCATGGTACGGAAAGGGCGAGGCCTCGTCACCTAAGAGTAGATGTACGCATTGCAGGTGGCTAAAGTGGCGATGTCTCCTTCATCTTCTTCGGGACGCCCGACCAACCGGATCACGAAACCCATGTCCCCACTAATACTGGCGTTACGCATCTCCACCCTGCAATACCAGGTGCTAGACGAGCAAAGGGCTGACCAGGCATTGCTTCTGGACGTTGATGTTGCGTAACAACAACCTCCACATTGTCAACATGTACGCATAGTAATTTCCCATCCTAGAAGTGCTGCCTGGATCGCACCAAACATGCGTCGTTTCCGGAAACGTGACGCCGCTATATTGTGGCGAGGCACATTAAACAATTAACCGTGGCTGACACGTTTCTAGAACACCACGATAGACAGGCCGCTATACAACACACTGCCTGTCGGGTTGGCCGTCGGACAAAGCAAATGAGTAGTCAGATATTGACAGCGCATGTAGTCAGCTTGGAGAGAAGGCGCTCAGGCTATCGATTTGAAGAGGCTTTCGACGGAGAGGATGCTGTCGAGCTGAAGGCATTCGATACTGGATATGTGGAGTCTAGATCTGAAAGTACAGCTCGGAGAGCCATCGAAGGTAAGGAGGGAGTTGGGGACTTGGTGGAGGTGAAGACAACGCAACTCATATAAAGCATGCAAGAGACTACAGTGGAAGACGATACCACGCTCATTATCGAACACTATGTCTTACTTCAAAGTGCACTCAAACTCCTCTTCTGGAGCTGAATCCCCTTCCTCACCTACTTCAACTATCTTCTCAGGATACAGTACCCCTGCTTCTGACATCGACGAGCTCCAGTCTTACGATTCGGGAACATACAACGATCGTCGATCACAGAGCGTACTCGTGGTTGGTGGATTGGGCTATATCGGTAGCCACACGTCGCTGGAGCTCCTCAGAGCTGGTTATAATGTTGTGATCGTCGACAATCTGGACAACTCGTACCTAACAACACTGGACCGTATCAAGGCACTGCGAGATGATCATTTTCGCAATGCCTCACTGAGACCGTCAGTTGCGTTCCACGAAGCCGACTACCGAGACAATCGTGCCATGTCTGTCATTATGGAACGGTATAGCGCTGGGTCAGGCTCCGCCATCGAAGGCGTCATCCACTTTGCCGCACACAAGGCCGTTTCCGAAAGCATCCAGCAGCCGTTGCGGTACTACTCCAACAACGTAGCAGGCATGGTCACCTTCTGCTCGCTATTGGATAGTCTGAACATCAAGAAACTCATCTTTTCGTCATCCGCCGCCGTTTATGGCGAGGTCACACCCGAAACTGGGCTGCGAATAAGCGAAAATCATTGCCTGCACGAAACCCGCGAATGGATCGACGTGGCAGGTCACAAGCGAATTACCCAGGGCGGCTGCACGGCGATCTCAAATCCATACGGCCGCTCCAAGTGGATGTGCGAGGCAATTCTGAACGACCTGGCCATCTCAGACCCAGAGTGGTCTGTGGTGGCTTTGCGCTACTTCAACCCCATAGGTTGCGATGCTTCTGGCAAACTAGGTGAAGAACCTAGGACAGCACCCAGCAACCTCATGCCGAGCTTGCTACGAGTCATGAATGGCCAAACGCCGCATCTGAAGATCTTCGGCACCGATTGGGATACTAGGGACGGCACGGCAATGCGCGACTTTATCCATGTCAGCGATCTAGCTCTGGGGCATGTTGCTGCCCTCAAAGCTGTGGGTGAGGCACGGGTGGGACCCGGCTTCCACGCGTACAATCTAGGCACTGGCGATGGTAATTCTGTCAAGGAGATCGTGTCAGCAATGCAAGCATGTTCAGGAAGGGTCATAGAGACGCAGGAGGTTGGACGTCGCGCGGGTGACGTAGGCGTTGTTGTGGCGGACCCCACGAGGGCAGCTTCAGAGCTCGACTGGAGGACGGCAAAGTCGATCGGTGATTGTTGCCAGGATCTCTGCCGCTTTCTCAATATTAATAGTTTCGTGGGGAGTAGCTGAATTTGTGTCTGATTTCTTTTTCCATCCAGACAATGGGAGCGGGCGGGAGAAAAACGGTTTCTATCTTCGGGTACGGTACCGGGTGCCAAGACGGCTCGTGCCTGCAAGCGTAATTTGATTTGTTCAAACACAAGTGGGCGCCACGACCAAGCCACCATACTCTGCACGCCTCATTTGCCATGTTGTCTTATTATAAACTGGTCCTAAACAACAACACTGCCCTGTAATACCGCACGCTGACAACAAAGCTCCAAAGAGGCAACGTCAGAAGTCGAATTTGAGAAACTGAACGCCTTTACTGCCAATGTCTCGCTCCCACGCCTATCCAGGTGACATTCACACCACAAGATTACGAAAAGGAGACCTCTGCACGTATGTAGTATAAACTGGTCCGACTACTACGTCGTGACAACTGCAGATCTCATCTGCTGTGATCCCAAGCGCTTACCTTTGGTGTTTGTCATGTTCTACAGCTCAGCTCTTTTCTTGGTTTTCGCCACATCTTCTCTCTTCGCCCAGGCCGCTGCGGAATGTAATCGGTTCTCCACCAATGGTTCTACGGCATCAACATACGACTTCCATCGCTTCTACGACTTCAGGCAGCTACATGATGATATCAATGGCGATGCGGCTTCTGCCTCGTCTTACGGAGAGGGTCACACGGTCACAGAATCAGCCAGTGGCCAGTCCAAGATCATTGAAGCCGCTCCCTGGGTCTCGGGCTGGAATGCGAGAGATTGGTATAGACCGTCGTCAAGGGAGGATACGGTGGATATGTACTATAAACCATCTCGCGTGTCAATAAGTAAGCTGGAGTCTCTCTTTCTTTTTTTCTCCTAATCTCTAACCACCCACAGGCAAAAACAGCGACGCGTCGCAAGAACACTCTACCTATCTTACCTTACACACGACGAGACTTTCGGATGGAAGCCAGGTGGCCGCTGAACTAGATTTCGCGGAATACAACGTCACGTACGCCTCCATCCGCATGTCCGCGCGCATCAATGGAGCCAGCGGCGCAGTTGCGGCTTTCTTCACGTACCATGACGATACGAATGAGTCGGACATAGAGATACCGACCGGAGGAAAGGCAGACGAAGTGCACTACTCCAACCAACCCACCGCTGACCCAGACACTGAAGATCCCATTGATGGTGCAACGTTCAACGTGTCAATGGAGGCTCACAAGCCGACTTCCGACTGGAACAACTACAGGCTGGACTGGGTACCTGGGAAAAGCGCCTGGTACATGAACGGCGCGCAATCGGCTGATACGGAAGTCAACGTACCGGATACAGAGAGCATGATCATCTTGAGCCTTTGGAGTAACGGAGGCACCTTTTCGGGGCGTATGGGAACCGGGCAAGAGGCATGGTTTGACATTCAATGGGTTGAGCTGCTCTTCAATACGAGTGCTATCGCTAGCACCGAACCCGACGGGACAGTATGCTCGGTTGAGTCGTCTCCAGGCTCGCCTGTACCCAGTGCCTCGCGTAGCCTTCAAGATCTGGTTGCTGGGCGTATCTGGTGGGCTATTGGGATGGCGTCAACTGTGAGCTTCCTGGTGTCCGTATGACTATTTACAGGTTAAACGCCCGAAATTTATTACGCCCACGACGCTTTGAGCCATACCGTCTCCCTAGACTAATTCTTGCTTTGCGAAAGATCGCAGGCCACTGTCCAAATAGTCGGTGAGAGGCTTTGTCGCGGTGACTCTGCCAATTGAAAAGCAGACCGTATATTCATCTCCACAAACGCCGCGGTGCTCCCAATTTCTGCTTCGTCCCTACTTCCTCTTTAACTCTCATCCACATCGACGGATTGTAACATCTTACAAGCACAACTCTCAAGACACCATCCACCATGCGCAATTCATCTACTACCATGATGCTCAGCATGATCATACCAGTGGTTCTTTGCATCCACAATACCGCCCCTTTGCCTGCCAAAACATCTGACTACTGGTGCAAGCATATGCGCGTGCATCGGTCTCTCCCACACTACAAGACTTGAGTACTGAGAGCTCATTCCCTAGATTCAAGTCTGTAACTTGGTCGACTTCAAAGGAGCCTGCCGTTACTTTGACGTTATGGCGGACGAGTGTCGCGACATCAGCAAGGAATAGTACGTGTACGTTATGTTTTCATTCCCTCAAATGTTCTACGTAGATACAGCCATCGCAATCACCGCCATCTCATACGAAAGAATCAATCCCATATACGCCCGCAAAGACCCAAGCGGCATTCTCAGCGGAAGACGCCAGCCCTTCTCTTGCTCAATTCTCGCGCCAGGATGAATAGCACATGCGTTCTACGACATTCCCATAATCATCCGTAATCACCACAATCACGCACAAACTCCCTGGCTCTAAGCTAGATACACAGACACAGCTTCCACCTTTGGGACGCTCATTTTCAGGTTAACCGTATTATCATTCAAGAACACCTACTCATACAAGCCGTACCGTGCCAGGCCATACCACGTCATACCAACGCATACCGAGAGACCCGTTACCCCATCCAGAAAACGCGAGCAGATAACCGACCCAGTTGATAGCAACTTTTGGTAATGAGATGAAAAAAAAAGGAGATGAGCTTTTGACCTCCTACCAGAGGAGGAGCAGGAAGAGCTTTTGACCATTGCCGCCAGATTGAAATGAGAAAAGAGAGATGATACGCCGTGATCGCCATCGTGAGGTATCGTACAGGATATGAAGTAGGCGGAATAGGTAGATACAGCGACGCGAGGGTTATCTGAAGGAAAGGAACATGTGGAAAGGAGGGCTCAACCGGAGGTGTCGTTCTTCAGAACGGCAGCTGGGGGAGCCTGGAGTGTGTCTTGCGATGGCGATGTTGTCATCGACGCGAATATGGGCGTTAACGTGGCTGTTGGTGCCGATGCGGGTGTCGCATTCGCCTCCGTGGCATCGATGCGTTCCTCTTGGGTTGTGGATGGTTTCTCGACAGCCTTCTCAGCCGTGCCAGCATCATACTCTCCACCTCCAATCGTTGTCTTCTTCTCGCACCCCGTCTCAACATCAACAAACGTCTCCTCACTCCCACACCTCGGCAGTTTCTTGCCGCTGTTCTCAGCAACGTATTCGTCGTACGTCTTGCCCGCCTTCTTAGCTTCCTTGCGCACATGCCTGACACGCCATAGCCAGACCGCTTGGCTCGCAAAGATGCCAGTCTCGAGGACCATGCAAGCAATGTATAGACTAGCGCCGAGAGCATCGAACCATTGCTGCGCAACGACGGCCATGAGCGAGAAGAAGGCGCCGAGGTAGTCGATGGTGAGGAACCAGAAGTCGATTCCGATGACGCGGCCGTTGCGCTTGGCGAGCTCGAAGTATGGCGGGATCAGGCCGACGACTTGGATGACGGATGCGGAGATGGCCATTAGCATCATGGGCCATTCGACACCGCGGCTGTATGGGCCCTGTACGGTATGTCGTTAGTCGCTTTCAACAGGATGGAGATTCGGAATGGGTGGTTGACTTACGCGCAGTGTCAGAATAAGAATGAGTTCCATGATACCGAAACTAGCTGCAAGAGCGATGGTTGCAAGAGTAGCTGTCCAGACCCGCCATTTGTTGTGGTAGTAGAGTGTTTGGCCCCATGCGATTAGGGTGAGACTGGCAAAAGCCTGAGGCTGGAATTTGAGGGCAAAGTTGAAGTTCTAATCACACGTGAGTAAAAGGCGAGACAGACTACGAGGTGGGTGACAGCATACCTGGACAATCGCGTATACTCCAAACGGGACACCACCTGCATCATGCGGTTAGCTGAGTCGACCGGGCTCGTTCATGTGGGGTGTCGCACAAATTGACCAGAGTATCAGCATGGTGCCTGGGAGGCCTTCGGTGCTCTTCCGCCGCCAGTTGGTCCATATTCTTCGGCGAAGTCAGCGAACTGTGCTGTGCGATGTTGATGCGTGTGGCACTTACTGTGGGATGATCTGTATACACCAGCAACTACAATCGGACCTTTGTTAGCAACTGCTTCGTGGGGACAAGGGCTTGACGTGGGGTTGCATACACTTTACTCAAGTTAGCATAGTCCTTAGCCACAAAACGTTCGGAGGTACTCACCAGTGCCGAGGGTCTAGAGAACGAGATCGCATGTCAGTATCATGACTCAAGTAAGAAACGTGGGTGGAGCAGAGAAACCTACACCAAGGATATTCGCAGCCTAGCGTTTGGGGTCAGCATGTTGGAGATGTATGCGATATTGATGGTACTACTCACGGGTGGTATCGAAACTTGCGGTCTATCCATAGCTTTGGAAGAGTGCTCTCACTATGTCTTGGATGATGAGAAGTGGTGAAGGGATGTAAAGCTCAGTGCGTGGGAAGATGGACGATGGTGAAAAGAGAGGTCCAGGTGAGACAAGATGTATGATTAAGAAGCCAGCTAAAAGGAAGTGTAGAAATGTGAGTTTACGTGATCTGGTGGCGTTTGACGTCGCACCAAGTGTAGTATGTACTATCGCTGTGGTACCTGGTTCGAGTAAAGGAGGAAGAAGTAGCTAAACGACTTCACCAATGGTAGGATGGAGAAGCGGGAGGGTTGTTCAAAAGAAAGTTTCCAACTAATGACAGAGCAGTCGGTTACGCCAGCACCGGCATCCAAGTGAAGGCAAAAGTGGTACCCGCTCACACCAGGCAACATGTTGTGCGTGATGACGGAACTGTCAGAGGGTCCCATTTTACTAGCTCTACCGCCGCAGTCGCGTGCAAGAATAAGTCGGCTGGTCATACCAGTGCACAATGGCCTTGGATAGAACGATTTAGACTAGGCAGCTAGTGAGATTTCAGCTCTCGGGGAAGCCATGCCCCTGCTCCCGCCGCTGAAGAGCGACTCCGTTCAGACTCGGTAAGAGGTGAGTGGCTGAGCTAGCGTATACAGGGATGGTTCTCCATCCCCAGCCGATCTGCAATCCGATTGGCGAGTCTAGACTTTTCGCTGAACGCATCTATCCTCGTTTTGAGGAAATGGGTCCACTCCATCTCGATGCAGACGTTGAAGGGGGTGGGTGACGAAACCCCTGGTATTGCATGCATATAAGGCTCGGTCGGATGCTGGGTCCCTGCATTGAGCGACGAAGAAAGAACACAAGGTGGCCACTTGGTAAACCCAATCGCTCACAACCGGGACAGTTCTGTAGACTACGGAGTAATGCACATCAAAGAGGGTAAAGTTAATCTGCATCCAATGAATAACCTTGTAGATGTATTTCCGGATGTGGTCGTGCGTAGACTCCCGCCGCGCTCCAAGCGGCTCACGCGAACATCAATCCTGACTGGCCTCAAGGACAGTCCGTCAACCTTCGTTTTGATGAGTCTGATTTGGTCCTCCGGTGAGTTCGGCGAGCGCGTGCCCGGCTACTGTACATTCCTGTAGGCCGAAGGACGTTCCTGAAAATTCTGAAGGTGGGTTGCTGACGTGCGGTTGGCGGCTGTGTTGAGACCTGCATCACCTGGCATTCCCGAACCACGCCGGTGGGACCCAGCCTGCATAAGATGGCGTCAACCGGATTTATGATTCGATCCTGTATACTGTACAACTGGATTCAGCTAGCAGGAGGCTCTGCTTTCCCCATCCGAGCGTGTGCCTAGTCTTTGGTTCCTGGCGCCTCGCAGCAGTCTGCAGTAGCTGATGATGAATGAGTGGTGGCCGACATGTAAGGTCAACTAGCCAGCTACTACACGCTCGACGCTGTTGTAGGCGCGGCACAAAATGAGTGCACATGCTACTATGCTGAGTAGCACAATCGGGAAGGCGTGTCGCAAGGGACGATAGAGTTCGCAGCTTTCGCGGCAGCTGATAGGCAGTGGGTCGCTAGTAGCCAGCTGAACCGGCAAATCGCCGCCTCGGTCCCAAAGAACATTTCGAGTCATTGCGTCGATATCCGAGCATAATAACGACAGCCGCGCACTGCGCGGTTATGATGATAATGGTTGTACATCTCCAGCCGGATCAGGTCGAAAAGTGGAACCGTTGGGAAAAGGTGGGGTTAGGCGTGCGCCATGCATGCAAGCCAGAGAGCCAAACGCTCTATCGATCGACGAACTTCGGTTCATACGTTTCATACACAAAGATGACTATTATGTATGCTGGTCGAGAACACGTTCTTTGCGCTGTATTCCGCGTGTACGAGCAAGAGACAACGCGTCGACTTTGTGATGGCAGTTGGTACGTGTGAAGATTCCCCGCCGCCGTTGCCGCCACTTGGCTGTGGCGTTTACTCGAACCAGGACCGCATGCAGGACTTGTCCTGGGACGGCATTGCATAATAGACCAGGACATCTGCGAGTCTCACGCATCTGCACGCTTTCACCTCGCCTCAATGATACCATCTTCTGCGAAAACGAACGAAGGAATCCATATCGGGCTGATCTCCGGCATGATGCAGCAACGGTTAGCCATATGCGCATCGGCTACACCCATCTGTCTTGATTACTGCCACCGAGACATAGACGGATAGTTGCGCTTCGGCTTTGCTCCTGGACCCACACGAGATAGAGTACCGGCCGGGCGTATTCTGTTGTACGAAGCCAATGTCATCGAGCCACGAGTCTGACATCCTGACCATCCTGGGATCTGAACGGTGAAGAGACGCATAGAACACGGCATACGGAGTCGGCGACGCTCGGTATGCCGGTGTCGCATACGAGGATGTGCAAGCGGACCGACGCGAAGAGGGTCTGATACCGGGTTGTTCATGTCTGGCTGAGGGATTTGTCAAAGATCATCAATCTCGAAGGCATCGTTGTCGTGATACGCAAGGGAAGCATGAGAGGCCAGATCAGAGGAATCTGGTGAGAAGCGGGCCGATGTATCCACTGTGTGGGGAGTACGCCAGTCCCTGGAGCATCTTGAGATCTGAAGACATTTGTTCGGTCAGGTTTTAGGCCGTTGACGTGATCAGGATCGACATGTTCAAACTGGCAGGAGCTGAATGGGGAGTATGACCCCGAGGCTTGCCTTAATCAATGTCGAAGCTGCGATGCGTGCGTACAATCGCGTTCGCTTTGCCGCTGTGCCGTGGTGTTTGTCAATCCGCGAAGCACCAGGGATAAAGCTGGTATAACGCTAATGGACGACAGGCTAACCCCTGATTTAACCCCACCTCCAGATGTAAAAGCCATGAAATTCAGTAGATGGGACGCCGTTCCGACGAGCACGGGCGACTCTTGATTGTCTAGTGTGCGGCCGCATGTAGAGACTACTGCAGTGAGTTGTGTCGAAACCCACTGTTTTGGTCATAAACATCATGTCTTTGCCATCGCCAACTTGCCCGGCTGGCAGATCGTCCCATGATAATGACGTTTGATATCGTCTTGCGCGCGATGTGACTGGTGAGTGGCTCTGCAAAACTGGAAGCCGACAGGAAAAGTTGGAGAGCAGGTCGCATCGGCACTTGCAGATTAGACCGGTCAGACAGGATGAAATGGGTCGAAACGACCCGCTACCATGACGCACAGTATTTGACCGGTGCGGGAGGATCGCTTGGTGGACGAAAGACCTGGGGTAAAGGCCTAGAGCTGACTGCAGGAGTTGCTTCTTGCGGTCTTCTCCGTGAGAAGTCTGTCGGCAACCGCGGGGGCGAGGTATATTCGCACTGCAAGATGTATGTAGAAATGTGTACGCACTCAATCCCGCCGTGGAAGTTAGTATACGAGAGGCCCTATCATCGCCCACCTTGAGACACCAGACCCGTAGGGCCAGATTGCAATTCGCGCAGGCCATATCAGTATGAAGTGGGTTGGTTTATGCAAGAGCTGCAGGCAATCTCGTCATTGGCTCTTGATGGAGCCACCGTACTCGCTGAGCCTGAGTGTAAACTTCATGGCTTGCCCTCTCAACTCAGCGTTCCCTGAAATCGACCAGCAAGACAGCGATCTTCGCAACGCAGCCTTTTGGTATTATCTAGATCGTCAGCAGTCTCTTAATCACCCTCATAGTTACCTCTCATGTTGTCAATCATGGAACAAGTGCGTGATGTTTGCTGTACTGGCTTCCTTCGTGTGACAGTGGTGAATAATCGGACTGAAGCCATTCGACGTAACAGGCTACTGCTGTACCTATTCGACCCCCTCCATGTTCTTTGCCACTACCACCAACGATAAAATGCGCGTCTCGCGGTGCGCGCCATGTATGCCACTCGCTTGAGAATAACGTCTTGTTGAGTTGAACGTGCGGTGAGAATCTGCCGGCCGGGGTGGACGGCATTCGCGAAACTGATCGGTGAAGAAACAGCAAGCTAATCTAGCGTATTTTGAGTATACAAACGTCACGATATGGCTGGCGTAAGTGTCGTGGTGTCGTAAGTGTACATGAAGGTGCACGAACAAAGCAAGTGTGGGCGTTGTGTTGAGGAGACGAGAAGAGATGCGATCGCCAATGGATATGTCTGCGGCATGCACAAGAGCGGAGTGAATTTGATTGTGTGAAAAGCGCGCTCCGCAGGCTCAGAATTGGCAGCCACGACGGGAAGGAGCAGAGCCATGTCAGATGCTCAATCACACACGAGGAAAGCACGAATGACAAACAAGACTTATGACCACCGGGGTGATATTAGAATGTTAATTACTACTTCCTACATGAAGGACCAAAAGGCGGGGGAATAAGTATCGAAAAGCTAAGAAAACATACGAGAAGCAGTGTCATGTCGAGGACAGTGTAACCACAGACGTGATCCAAGGGCTATCACTGTCGGCTAAAAGATGGAAGGCCCCCAAATAAGAAGAAATGAAGCCCGGCATCCGACCATGTCCTTCCGTGTCGGCATTGCACAAGCCACCTATTACAAACGCCCGCAGCTGTGATGATCAATACACCTTTTGACGACTCGATGGTTTTCGTGGCAAGCGCGCTACCCGTGCTTGACCAAGACCGCAGGAGATGCAACAGCCGGATTCTGAAAGCGAGGTGTGTTGGCGTCATCTAAGCCTCGTCTGCGTCGTGGTCTTGCAGTTGGCCGCTCTGTTCCCTGTTCATGCGGGCCTCGATCTCCTTCAACTGACTCTCGCGGGCCAAGAGCTCCTGCCGCTTCTCGTTGATCTCGCGCTGGACCTTCACTTCGATCTCGCGCAGCTTCTCCTCTTCGCGTCGCAGTTGCTCCTCCTTCAAGCGCACTGACTGGCTGGCAAGATCCTCGGGGTTCATCGACGAGTCACTGTAGGATGTTAGTACTCAATTTGCATCAGACCAGGACAAGACTTACGCAGCAGCACCACCTTCGACACTCTTACTAAGCTTCTCGGTACGGTAGTTCTCGTATAGGAAGTCATGCGTAATCTCCTTGAGATCGGCAAGATGGCTGTGGAGGAGGGCACTTCGCACAGCCAGGAAGTCAGAGTGGCGGGGGTTGTCGACCTCGACGATACCCCAGGGGTATTGGCGTGCCCGTACCCGTCGGCCGTTGATCTCAACAATGTCCTCGGATCCAACGATAGCGAAGGGCATCAAGCCGCGGAGCTCGGCATTCTCCTCGACGGTGTCCTCGTCGTCCTCCTCGATGTCGTAGGGGAAGTTGTACACGGGGATGCGGTAGTGCTCAATGTCCTCCATGACAAGCTTCTTCGACTCGGCGAGCTCGGCGGGTGTAAGGGAGTCAGCCTTGCCGATGACGGGGATGACGTTGCAGCGGGGTGAAAGGCGCTTCATAAGCTCGATGTCGAGTTCACGGAGACTGCAATGTGTTAGCTGAAGCTGGCAGAGGGGCTCGGCATACATACCCGTGGCCGGTGGGTGTGATGAAGTAGAGCAGGACATGTACACGGTCGTCGCGGAATCGGGGGTTACGCTTAATACGCGATTCCTCTGCGAGAATGCCGTCGTACTGTCGCTCGAGGTAGCCGACGATCTCTGAGAAGCTGCGGAGGGTAAGCGTGTGTTGTGGTCAGTCCCGGAACATGCCTACCTGGCCTCGTTGTCGATCTGGTCTCCGAAACCGGGTGTGTCAACAATGGTGAGCGAGATGCGGGTGCCCTCCTCGTCGAGTTCTGCTGTTTGTTAGCAGCTGCACGCGATGATGATAGCCATTGATCCTTATCGGGGCGACGTACCGACTGTGATGGGCTTGATCTTGACGCCCTCCTCGACGTGTGCCGTTGTTGGGTCGTCAACCTCCTTGTGTCCAAGCACCTGCTTGCCGCAGAGGGTGTTGACGAAGGTTGTCCGGCCGGTACCAGAGGCACCGCAGACCATCAGACAGAACTGGATACCCTTCTTGACATTCTTCTTTCTGCGCGTCTTGTTAAGCGCCTGGGACATTGTTAGCGGGTGTGGTCAATGGCAGGTGTGGTGGTGGTGGGCAGGCGGCATCGTGGCCTGAGGGAGACGTGGTGTTGGGGAGCGTCGTACCGAAGACATGATGAACTCGGGGGCGGTGAATGTGATGGGTGTGGTGGATAGGCGGCTGGCACACGCAATGGAGACAGTCGGGCGATGAGGCGAGACTGCTTGGGGGTGAGACGGGGGCGTATGTCTGAGGTGTGGTGTTGGAGCGGTGTCGTCGTGGAAATTTGGGGACGTTGGCAGCTACTCCCTGCGCGATGCAAAGGGGCTCGCTAGCGGGAAACACCCCGGTCGCACTCTCCTTCTTGGCGCGACCACCTGGCGCGTCTGATTTCGGCAAGATGTACAACACGAGTGATTGCGAATTGATATTGATCGCGAGTTGTATTGCAAGTATGTCCAGTTGTCGAGCAGAACGCGTTGGACTCTTTCTGATGGCTGCACGCTATTCTGTCTGATAGCGGTACTCAGCGGGGTACTTCATCAGGGTCTCTCGAAGCTCGACATTACAAGATGAAAATATACAATGGGTAATTCATCATCACGCGTGCACCCTTGATTGAGATGTACTAGCAATTCTCCGATTATCTTCCTAAGACTGATGGTGCCCAAAAGCATCGTCGCTCATCCATTCCAGGTCAAGTCGCGCTTGCTCTAACCGGCTAGCTTTCCCGAGAGCTCAGGCGGGTGACCTAGCTCTTGGAGGAGCCGTGGACCCTCGATATCGCTATCAACCAACCCTCTCGCCGCTATTCACTCTCGCCCTGCCTCAGTCGCTGCTGGGAAAATGGGTCTAGTATACTGTCGGACACCGCGATAACGCTTTCGGCGCCGTTTGCTGGCCACTTCACGTTCGTAGTCTTCCGGCACAACGCTCCACCCACCTCCGCACTGCACTCAAGACGCCCCACTTGAGCAGTTGAAACAACCTCCCGTACAAACATCCGCTCTATTCGCTGCGCCCAGCATGAACACCCGGCCCATTCTAGACTCGGATGCTGGGCCCTTTGTGCTCTCGGCATCCTTCAACGCCGACTGTTCGCACTTCTCGGTAGCCTTGGAGAGCGGGTTTCGCGGTATGACGCGCGCACACAGTTTGAAGGCCCCTGCTAATACCTACAGTATTCTCGTCTACAACATGCGAAGAGAAGATTGCCAGAGGTACCACCAAATCACGCATACCGGCCATGCACCACTAACACCCCCACAGAAGTCGGCGGCGGCATCGGCTGCGCAGAGATGCTCGGCAATAAGAGTTACATCGCCCTGGTCGGAGGAGGGAAGCAGCCCAAGTACCCCCAGAACAAGGTACATCCTGAGGACTCCGACTGGCAGCTCGTCAACGACACTGACATCATCTACGAGGTTCAAATCTGGAACGATAAAACCGAGCGCTTTACCACGTCGACCGAGTTCAAGACGCCCGTCCAGCGCGTGCGCCTATCGCAGTCACACATGATCGTCGCGCTGCTCAACTCGATATGCATATACAAGATGAAGGTGCCGCCGGTAAAGTCGGCCGAGTACGAGACGGTGAATAACCCGTTCGGGCTGTGTGAACTGGGCACGAGCATCGTCGCATTCCCTGGTCGAGCGGCGGGTCAGGTCAAGATCTACGATCTGAACACGGGCAATGTGAGTATCATACCCGCTCACGAAAGCCCGTTGCGCGCAATCGGCATAAGCAGGAACGGCGACCTCATCGCAACAGCCAGTGAGAAGGGCACTATCATCCGGCTATGGTCCTTCCCCTCCTGTACAAAGTTGGCTGAGCTCCGTCGAGGCGTCGACCCCGCCGCCGTCTTCTCTCTCGCCTTCTCCCCCGACGGCTCCACCCTCGCCGTGACATCCGATAAATCCACCCTCCACATCTACGACCTCGTAACCGCAACGAGTGCGTCCTCGCAGGCCGATCCGTCGCAGCACAAGTATGGTATTCTGTCAAAAATTCCCCTTTTACCCCGCGCGTTCTCCGATATATATCCTACGGCCACGGCCAAGTTCGAGATGGGCGATGAACCGACTGCTTGGGGTCCACATGGTAGGTCCGCTACTCTGAGTGCAGGTATTCCGGGTGTACCGGGCGGTCGGCCGACCAAGGGGCTCATCGGGTGGCTCAACGACGAGACTATTCTTGTCATCGGCGCAGGGCAGGATGCGCGATGGGAGCGGTTCCACATGGGCCGGGATGATAGTGGGAAGAAGTGTCTCATCACGAATGGATGGAGGCGATATATTATTTAAGGGCATTCACGGCCAAATCTGGACGGAGTTATAGCTAGAGGGAGGTGGCTTTTATCCACCGTCGACCAGATTGAGGTACGGATACGGCGTTTTAGACATGGATACAACGAGGCGTTGGTTGCATTCATCCAGGCGTTCAGATACCCATTCTTGTTCTAATACTACTCAAACTTCTGTTACGATCTTCGGGCTGTGCATTAAGACAAGTGATTCACCATCTAAGCCTCAGTATGCCGGATAATATGGACCAGGGATATGCGAAGCAAACAACATTCACATACGCAGTATGCGCGGAGGGCGAAGCACGTGTCGCAAACCAAACACGTATTATGGGAATCCAATGTACAAAAACCTTATTGAACCGTTTCTTCTCTCAACTCTTACTTCAATTCTAACGCGTCTGAAGGCTTTGCGAGTAACGAAGATTATACATAACATCGCTCTTATCTAGAACGAAAAGACGCATTTGCAAATCCTCTTTACTTACAAAGAGGTCACAATCATGATGCTGAATCCGAACCAGGTACGATTTCGGTAAATTCCGATGGACTTGGCATTGTTTACTTTCACTTTCTTGTTGCTTCTATACATTCTCCTCCTCCATCCGGCCGCCAACTATCAAAAATCTTGGGGCTCTCCTGTATTTCTCGCAGACCTCCACCCCTCTCAATTTTATGAGATACAACACTATCGAAATAAACAGACCGCTCACATGCTGAAAAAATACCCGTTGCTCAGCTTGAGCGTTGGAAGCCAGTAAAGTCAACACACAAACAGAGTACATAGAATACATGACAAGAAGGGCTAGGGAAAGAAGGGTAGACGGTTTCGACACACTCACAGCTCGTGTGAAGGAAGTAGATAAAGGGTAAAGAGTAAAGCCGAACCAAGATTTAGAATTACTCTGATTGATGTAGAAGCGAAAGCAAAACAAAAGCAAAAAAGGGAAACTTTGGGTATCGTGCAGAAAGGTATGGTAGCCACAGTATAACACCCGTGTGCGCAACAAAGACTTTCTGTTACACGGTGTCAAATATCCAATCCCCTAAAAACACCTCACATATATTCTCCTTTTCCAGCTGAGCATCCGCGTTTGTAGCTGACTGACGAAGCGAGCAAGCCATCCCTTTGAGAAAATGGCAGCTTAGTGGCACATGGGAAGTGTAGAGTAGAAAGTTGACAGGCAAGGAAACATTCGTGGCAGGGTCGTAAAGAAGGGTTTGGTGTAAGAGAACCAGTCTCTCCATGCCCTTTCTCTTCTCTTCTCTTATAACAGGATGAGATAGTTGCTGGGCGCGATACCCGTCTCGCCGTTTGGTTTCTTGGCCTGCCACCACCGTCCGCTCACGTCTGAGACTTCGAGGATGTCGTGTTTTTGGAAGCTGATCTCGTTTGCATCGTCGGGGTTGGCTTCGTAGCTGTAGATGGCCTTGGCGCGGTATGGGTATTCGATGGAAGCTTCTTGCTGGTTGTTTGCGTCGTCGTTGGTGGGTGTCGAGACGTTGTTGTTCATGCCGCCGAATTGGGGGGCTGAGCTGTTGCGGCCGTTCGCGCCGACGGGACCGCCGGGGTAGCCGGAGACTGGGGACGAAGTTTCGAAGCCGTTTAGTTGGGCGGAAGTGTACATCTGCGGGGGGATGTTGGCGGTTTGGGTTTCGGGCCGGTTGGTGTAACCGTTGGAGATGGGGCGGGAAGAGCGCGAGCCAGGGTGCTCCTTGTGCAGGGCGTAGGAGTCGACAAAGGCGCGGTGGCTAGCTTGCGGTTGCGATCCGTAGTAGAAGATCCAGACGATCTGGGCATGTTAGTGGGGATTGGTGGTGGGCGTGTTGGCATGACTTACGGCGATCATGGAGAGGAGGATGTAGCCGGCAGCCGCGGCTTCAAAGGGAGCGACGGGTGAGTAGACGAGCGAGTTGACAGATGAGGTGGTGAAGACCAGGCCGGCGGCAAGAAAGCCCACGATCTGCTGGAATTAGCAAGTGCGTTCTCGTGGTATGCAGTGACGGCCACTTACTGCGACATGGTACGTCCTCTCAGCATCCGAGGCGACTGTGACGGTGACGCCCGCAATGCAGAAGAACATGAAGACGAGCGTCCACCAGGCGAAGTTGGGGAAGCCGCCGTGGATGGCTGATATTATGGAGCTGACAAAGGCGATGACCCAGGCAAGCTGTATACAACGTTAGCGATCAGGTCCCATGACTGCCGCGTACTCCGGGCTACTCACAATGCCAATCGATATGGTGGCCAGCGCAAAGGGATCTCCGATGATGCGGCTCATGCTGAAGCCCGACGACCTCTGGCCGTAGCCTCCGTTTTCCATTTTGCGTAGTGAAGGAGAGCCGCCCAGCGAGCCGTAAGCGGGCATGTGTTGGTGGAATAGGCGGGGAAAGGGGCGATTAAGCTATGCTGTCGCGGTAGCAAGAAAGAGCGTGGGTGCCAGATGCGGTATTATGGGTGAATGTCGAGAGTCAAAGAGCGTGGATGCGCGCGGTCAGTGGTGGGCGTGGTGAAGGGCGGTGCAGGCCAGTATATCGGCGCGGTGGGTGGAGTTGTGCAGGGCAGCGAACGGTGCACAGGGCGCAAGCAGCGGGAGGCGGGCGTCCAGTGACCAGCAGTGTTGGTGGGCGCGCAAGGCTTCTGCGACTCTGGCGGCTGCGTCGAGGGCGATTATGGCAGCAGGCGGTGGGTGTGAAGGGAGGGTTTTGGGCGAGGGCGGGAGCAGGACAAGAGATGCGACGGTTTCACCTTGGGTTCCCAGTAGTTCTCGATTGGCCGCGCTGGCTGGAATGGCTAAGGGTTGTTCGGGGATTGCAGCGCTGCGGGTCCCACTTGTGCAGAGATTAAAATGGCACCGCGCCCGTCAGCCAAAGGCCTGGACAGCTGCACGCGCGTTTAGTGCATTAGTGCCTTTGCTGGCCGTCGAGCCGCCGTAGACATTCACACGTTGTAGCAAAGCCTATCCTGTGCATCTCATCTACTGAGTCTTTGAACAATGTCATCAGCTGTTCACGGCCATTCACGCTCACGGCATTCATCACCTCAATAACCTGGCCGAGAGTGGCGCAGTACTACGTCGCTCAAAGGGATACCTCTGATACCAATACGACGGCGACGCCTCATCATGCATCCTCGAGTCGTCACTCAAGAACACCCCGAGAACCCTCCCACACACAGGACATCCCCGTCCGAAATGTGGTACTTTGATTAAATCCCCAATTTACTCAGGTGCTGTCATACACAACTGGTCTGACAGCTGCAATTCCACTGCACAACTCTGCTTAATCTCGTGTGCACCCTGCGTCGTCCCGAAGGCATGCCATCCACGTTTCCCCATGGCCTGCCTTGATTACCCATGGTAGCCGACACGTGCGCCTCGTCCATTTGCGGCGGAAGGTGTGTCTAGGCGCAGTAGTTCCCAGGCGAGCCAGGAAATTGACGTCCGGACCATTGTCGGCGCCATTACGCTTCGGGGCCCTGGCCAGGTCACCAAGCTGACACGAGACGGTCATGAAACGCCGTGCTACGGCACCGAACCCTCCGCAGCCCTACAAAGTTGCTGAGACCCTCACTTGACCTCACTTTACATCATTCAGCAAGAAAAAGCTGGCGCTTACAAACTCTTTTCGTGTTTGAACTATCTGGTCCTGCTACCTGTGACATGGCAAAGCGTTTCCGGTCAGGGTGCAAAGGTCAATTGACATTACTTGTACCACGCATCAACTTCCCCATTGCCGTCATGATCGGGAAGTTTGTTTTGCAATATGTCACTTTCGGATGCTTGCTTGATCCGAGGCAACGCGTCGTTTTTGTAATATGCGAGACTCTGGATCGCTGCAACGATGGTGACACTGGTCCACATGCTCGCTGCTGATCTGGTCCACATGCCCCGCCCAGACTGCTGAGCCTCTATCAGATTACAAAACTGGAATGATGGTCGCGGGTACCGATTGTGGCTGTGACGAACGTCGCCCAAGGTGCACATGAAGCACCTGGCATCTGTCAGCCACGCCTTGAAACCGTCTGACGTCGGTATTTGCGCAACGCATGAAGTCCACGTACCGTCAACACAACGTGGTTGAGAAAACAGTGATGGACGTTCCGTGTCTCAGCAGGCGATTGGTGCTTCTGCGCGGAGACTGACGGCACCGAGCGTGGCATTCTTGGTTCAGTGAACTGTTGCGTGATGCTGACAGTTCTCACAGCTCATCTTCCTCAGATTCATCCTCCTCGCCCTCTTCTTCTTCTTGTGCCACGCCTTTTTCCTCCTCGGCAGGTCTTCTCCTATATTCCTCCCGCACAAGCGCTCTCAGGGCCTTGGTGAGCCTCTCATTGTAGTCGACCCAGCATCTTCCTGCGCCGAGGAGCATGACCTGCTGGTACCGCTGATTCATCAAGCCGTTTCTTCTCCTCAGCTCGGATATCTTGAGTGCTTGTTGTAGTTGGCGGTCTTCTGCTTCAGCGATGCGCGGTCGCAACATGGCTAGCTTGGCGAAGCCATCAGTGGTGGGTATCTGCTGGTCTTCAAGAGCTTGGAGCTGTGACGCGGTTGTCGCGAAGCTTGTTGCGCGTTCAGTCACTAATACAGCTTTTTGGGCGTTGTCGAGTGGGGGGCCGTCATCGTCGTCGTGTTGTGGCTTGAGGATATCTTTGTGCTTGCTCACTGGTGACGTTAGCCTCAAACAGCGAAGGGAGTGGGTGCTGCATACGTAGTGTATTGGCCTCGTCGAGTAGCGCAGTCTTGCCCGTCAGCTGCTGCAGTGACTGTTCAATCCTGTGTATGCGATCCGGGATGGTCTTTTGCTTGTCCTTGGTGTTGTCTTGCGGGCCGCCCAGAATATACTCCAGGCGATCCAACCGTGTTTCCAGTAGTGCAAACGTGAAAAGGACTGCTTCCTCGTATTCGTCCATGATTGTGGTGGCCTCTGTGTTTATGTTCGCCCAGACGTGTAAACGCGGGCGCGTACCTGCCTCGAGCGGAGCGGATGTTAATTTTAGCGGCCGCTGATAAGCCCCCCGGGTTATGGGGCCTCGAGACCAGACGTCAGCGGAGCACTCCAACCCTCACTTTTCACTGTCAGCTCGAGCTTCTTACAGCTCTGTAATTCCAGTCGCTCGCTCGTGCCTGTCATCGCAACACATCTGGCACCACCGCCGACCTCAACGGATGAACGCGCAATAACACGAACCGCGCATTTCGCACCCCAGAGCATGGCTTCCTACTCCGCCATCGGCCCCGAGCCAACAGACGCAGACCCCATGACTTCGAGCACCGGGTCGCTGAGAGGGCGACGGTGAGTTAGCCTCATAAATCTGTTATCGGACCAAGGCTGACCCGAGTAGGAGAGGCAGAGGAAAGCAAGACGTCGGATTCAAGGGCCAGGCAACATGGATATCCAGTGTCATCAACCTGGCCAACACCAGTATGCCCATGACAGCTACCCCACACGAGACCATGCTGACCGTGTAAAGTTCTCGGTGCCGGCCTCCTCGCCATGCCCTCCGCGCTCTCGAAAATGGGCATCTTCCTCGGCATCTTCGTCATCGCATGGGCTGGCACAACCGCAGGCTTTGGCCTCTACCTCCAGACGCGATGCGCGCGCTACATTGATCGCGGACATGTATCCTTTGCGACACTGTCTCAGATGACATACCCGAATCTGTCCATCATCTTCGACGCCGCTATCGCAGTCAAGTGCTTCGGCGTCGCCGTCAGCTATCTGATCATCATCGGAGATCTAATGCCGGGTGTGGTTCGAGGATTTGCGCCAGGCGCTGGAGACATCGCCTTTCTGGTCGACAGGCAGTTCTGGATCACGGCATTCATGTAGGTGCTGATTGTGAAGTTCAGAGTGGTATGTACTGACCAAGCCAGGCTTATCGTCATTCCGCTGTCCTTCCTACGCCGTCTAGACTCGCTCAAGTATACCAGCGTTATTGCCCTTTTCTCGATCGCCTATCTTGTCATACTCGTCGTGGCCCACTTCCTCAAAGGCGACACGATAGCCGACCGAGGCAATGTCCGTGTCTTTGAATGGGCGGGCCCCGTCTCCGCACTCGCCGCCTTCCCCGTCATCGTCTTCGCCTACACATGCCACCAGAACATGTTCTCGATTCTGAATGAGATAGCCGACAACTCTCACTTCCAAACGACGACCGTCATCTTCGCTTCCATCGGGGGCGCATGCGGCCTCTACATTCTCACCGGCATCACAGGTTACCTATCATATGGCGACAACATCCACGGCAACATCGTATCCATGTACCCCACCGCAGCCGCCAGCACTATCGGTCGCCTCGCCATCGTCATCCTCGTCATGTTCTCGTACCCACTTCAAATCCACCCCTGCCGCGCCAGCATCGACGCGTGTCTCAAGTGGCGCCCAGGCGGTCGCAAACAAAGCGAAGGCAGCCCCTCACGAAACACACTCATGAACAACACACCCAAGCCCGGCGCGCCCAAGAGCAGCGAGATGAGCGACCTCAAATTCGCAGTCATCTCCACCGTCCTCATCATCCTCTCCTTCATCACCGCCATGACCGTTTCCAGTCTAGAGAAAGTGCTGGCTTATGTTGGGAGCACGGGTTCCACGACGATTTCTTTCATTCTACCCGGCTTGTTCTACTACAAGATCTCCGACCCGGAGTCCTCACACCACCAACGTCTCGTTAAGGATGAAGACGACGAAGACGAGTACCAGAGCGGAGAGGCGGAAGGATATGTCACGAGCGAGGGGCATCTTAATCGCGATTTCAGAAGGGGGTTGCTGCGTAATTTGGCGCTTGCTTTGAGCATTTATGGTGTTGTTGTGATGGTCGTTTGTCTGATTACGAATACCTTTTTGGTTGCGGCGCATTGAGGAGGTTTGATCTAGTTGCTTTGGGCAGACGGGTTGCATTTAGCGGGAGTTTCTTGCTTGGGGGCTTACCAATTAGACTGGATGGATGGATGAATGGCATGGGATGGCCCTGGTGTTGGAGTCAAGTCGACGATGGTGTCGGCGTTTCTTCTTATATTCTTACATGTTGTACAAGTATACATGTAGCATCGTAATAGTTTCGAACAGATATAGCAACTGTACCGCTCTGCTTGGGAACGTACTCTTCTCATGCTGTGTTCTTCCTGTGCCGACCCTCCAGGTGCTGCTTGAGACCCCACGCCTTGGTATCGTGTTGCGCAGCTTTACGTCCTTCACGCCCGATCACGTATCTTTCATAAAGCCGTCTTAGCACGCTGTGTATGCCCCATACCGCCAGAATTTCATCCGCACCCCAACCCCGTCTCTATGCCGCAGTCTCCTTCGTCCCGCCCTCCATATTCTCCACCACAACCCCCGGCGCCGCCTCCGCACTCTCTCCTCCCTCCTTAATCAAACTCTTACTCGCACTCCCGCTCTTAACCACCATGCCCGCAATCTGGCCCACCCTGTACTGCGGCTCCAGTATGCCCACCATGGACAGTAACCGCCACGCCGTATCTGATGGTTGAGCGCCTACACCTACCCAGTACCGCGCGCGCGATAAGTCGAGTTTGATGTCTTTCCACGGCCTGCCGTGTGTGTCGCCTGGGCGCGGTGGTTGCGGTTTCGGGTCGTAGGTGCCGAGGACTTCGAGGGGGCGGGAGTTGCGCGCTGTTCTGTGGGGTGGTGTGTTAGCGAGGTGGTCTTGACGAAGGAACCACGCCGGTCTTTTTGGCATCGGGCGGCGAGATATCCATTGCTGCATGCGGTCGTTGCAGTATTTGCGGACTCCCGAGATGTACTCGTTTTCTGGAATTGGTGACCTACCGGGCGTGTGCGACGACGATATTGTAGAAGGGAGCGTGCTTCTTGCCGAAGCGGGCGAGTCGGATTCTTAAGACCATTGTGAGGTGTTGTGCTGGGGGGTTTGTGCTGTTGCGACAAATGCGCGAGCGGGCGGTTGGTGGTAGTTTGGGTATATCTTTTTGCCCCGAGGATCTGCCGAGATGCGTGGGCACGTGCGAAGTGTGGTGTACTTTGACTCGGAGAATAGAATGTGTAGAACGATGTGTTCTTTGGAGAGTCGTGATTAGTCCCAGATAATGTCTTTCGTACAGGTCGAAGCTGATTTTGTTGTGATGTTGTGGAATCGCTGTTGTGTTCAACTCATCATCCTTGAGCAGTGATGTAATTGTAATACCATGTTGTTCACGATTATATGCTGTGATTACAACTATCTCTTACTCCCACATCACGCATCATCTGTAACTTGAAAGACGATAAGATGGCTCTTCGAGTAAGTGGCGTCTAAGATCCTCGACTTAGTGATGACTATTAATTTCTCTTTGCAGACTCTCTCCGCCAAAAGCGCAGCTGCACTTGACCAAGAACTCATGTCTTCGGGCGCATTTTCCATCGATCAATTGATGGAACTCGCTGGTCTTTCTGTTTCACAAGCAGGTGGGTTTTCTCAGCGTTAGTATTGCACCGTCGAGTTGACAATTCAGTCTTCAAATTACAACCCCTCAGCAAAGGCAAGCGCATCCTTGTAGCATGTGGTCCTGGCAACAACGGCGGTGATGGATTAGTCGCAGCCCGCCATCTTTTCCACTACGGTTACCAACCTACGATCTATTACCCAAAGCAGAGCAAGAATGAGCTCTATCAGGTCTGTAATCCGCAGAACACCAGGGAAACATCTATCTGACCCTCCACAGCGCCTCAAGAAACAACTCGAAGACCTCAAAGTGCCATTCACAGAAGACTTCACAAGCGCACTCAAACAAACCGACCACATAGTCGACGCAATCTTCGGCTTCAGTTTCTCCGGCGAAGTGCGCGAGCCTTTCCCCAAGGTCATCGAGGCTCTAGCATCTACTTCTGTCCCTGTTCTCGCGGTCGATGCACCATCATCGTGGGATATCGAGAGCGGACCTCAAGATTCGGGACCCGGCAAGGGCTTCATGCCACCAGCTCTCATCAGTTTGACCGCACCAAAGCCTTTGGTTAAGAAGTTCACTGGGAGACATTTCCTTGGTGGGAGGTTCTTGAGCCCGGAGATGGCGGATAAGTATAATCTTGATATTCCAAAGTATGAGGGCTTGGATCAGGTGGTTGAAGTACCGGTTGAGAATGAAAAGCTGTAGATAAGGACCATGAATGCTTGTAGCTTAGCTTCATGGATACAGTACGGTGTCGTTTTGCGCATCACGATGCATGGTCAAGGTGTTTTGGTACCTGCTTGTTGTGACTAGCGTGGTTTCCCCGCAGAGCCGCGGTACGGCTAACAGCGGTCTTGAGATGTCATCCGAACCCCAGCTTCAACTGCGCTTCGGCAAACGACGAGATCAATTTCTTTTGGAGCGGAAGCCCGGAAGCTTTGTGCGTCTCTTTTGCCTACTTCCTCGTGAGCAACGTTATGAAGTTGTAACTTCCCAGGATCTATCACAAACCACCACACCCTCAATATCGCTTCGTAACAACGCGCGGAGCAAGAACCCCTCTCACACACACACAGAGAGAGAGGGCTATTCAAACTGCTTAACTTCCAAGCGCACATTTTATCATTCAAAATGGTTCCAAGGGCACCCTCAAGAGAGGCTTTGACCTTGCTCAAGCACTCTGTACGACCTTCAGTAGTTATTCGATCGCAAGCACAACGCTGCCTCCTCTCGTCTACATCGCGTCCTACGCTACCATCGCACACCCAATCGCGGGTCACATCCCAATCAGTTCGAAATACCGCAACCTTTACGCACTCTCACCATGCCGAAGCCGTCTCTGTGATCCCCACGACTGTCGACACGAGCAATGCAGACTTTAAAGAGAACAAGCGCCAGATGGACGAGGCAACCGAGAACCTGGTCAATCTGCACACGAAGATTGCGCAGGGTGGACCGCAGAAAGCTCGGGATAAGCACATACAGCGAGGCAAGATGCTGGTCAGAGACAGAATATCTGCACTCATTGACCCGGGCACGCCTTTCCTCGAACTGAGCCAGATGGCAGGTTACAACATGTACGGAGAGGATGATGTTCCCGCAGGTGGTATCGTTACCGGCATTGGCACAGTCAACGGTGTTCAATGCATGGTTGTCGCCAATGACGCTACAGTCAAGGGCGGTACATACTACCCCGTCACAGTGAAGAAGCATCTGCGAGCCCAGACCATCGCTCAAGAGAATCGGTTACCCTGCATCTATCTTGTCGACTCTGGAGGTGCGAACCTGCCCAACCAAGCAGATGTATTTCCAGATGTCAACCACTTTGGCCGCATCTTCTACAACCAAGCGCGCATGTCGGGCATGGGCATCCCGCAGATCAGTGTTGTCATGGGACCGTGTACGGCAGGTGGTGCTTATGTGCCTAGCATGAGCGACGAGAATATCATCGTCGAAAACCAGGGTCATATCTTCCTTGCCGGGCCACCGCTCGTCAAGGCAGCGACTGGCGAGGTGGTCTCAGCGGAAGACTTGGGTGGAGGCAAGCTTCACAGCGAGGTCTCTGGTGTTACAGACTATCTCGCAGTTGACGACGCACATGCGCTTGTCCTTGCGCGGAGGAGCGTCGGCAACTTGAATTGGCACCGCAACCAGACTGTTACTTCGCAGCCTACTTTCCAAGAGCCTCTCTACGACCCCCAGGAGCTTTCAGGCATCGTCGGTACCAACCTACGCCGTCAAATCCCCATCCATGAGATCATTGCACGTATCGTTGATGGATCTTCTTTCGACGAATTTAAGCCGTTATACGGCTCTACTCTAGTGACGGGTTTCGCAAAGATATACGGTCACCCAGTGGGCATTGTAGCCAACAACGGCATTCTCTTCAGCGAGAGCTCGCTCAAGGGCGCGCACTTTGTCCAGCTGTGCGGCAAGCGACACATCCCACTCATCTTCCTGCAGAACATTTCGGGATTCATGGTCGGCCAGGACGCCGAGAAGGGCGGCATTGCAAAGAACGGCGCAAAGCTCGTGACAGCCGTGAGCTGCGTTGACGTACCCAAGTTTACGGTCGTTGTTGGATCTAGTGCTGGCGCTGGAAATTACGGCATGTGGTAAGTCTCCTTCTAGTCCCACTCCTCGACACAACATTGCTCACACATGTACAGTGGCCGCGCGTACTCCCCACGACTTATGTTCACCTGGCCAAACGCAAAGACGTCGGTCATGGGCGCAGAACAGCTGTCGTCCGTCATGGAAGCCGTGGGCAAGAAGGTGGATCCCGCGCTAAAGGCACGGATCGAGCACGAAAGTGAGGCCACGTTCGGGTCGGCAAGGCTATGGGACGATGGTATCATACCGCCGGAACATACACGGAGAGTGCTTGGCATGGGGCTGCAGATGGCGTGTGGTGGGCAGAACAAGGGCGTAGAGAAGGAGAGCACTTGGGGTGTGTTCAGGATGTAGACGCAAAAGGCTTCGTAAGAGACGCGTGCAATACGCGCGTCTCCCTGTTGCTGCTTAAAAGCATGATATTCGCTCCCTTGACCAAGATCTTTGGTGTTCCATTTTTCTTGCATGCTTGCCTTAGGCCAGGCCTGACTACCAGCTACTAATAATAGGGTACACGATCGCAATTTCCGGACATCCCCACAAAGCACGGGAAGTGGCTTGGCATGGGTCTTGGCAAATGGGTCGTCAAGACAGCTGGGCGGCGGGTACGGCCTCAAGCACGCCTGTAAGCTTGCTTGGAAACGCTTGTGTGAGGATCGATGTTAACGTAGTTTGAAGATCATGTTCATCAGCCATAGATGCGGCGCAGTAGGTCGGTCGTTCACCACGTGAGAAACGAAACGGAACAAAACAAACGGTGAAGTCAGGCCAAACAGCGCAAAGTCAGGCGCCTGCGCCACAAACATTCCCTGCAGGTGGGGCGCAGGCATGAGGAATCTCGTCCCAGAGGTTTCAACGCGGATGCCGGGCCCTGCGGCTGCGTTGCGCAAGATACACGCAGACGGTGGGAATTCAACGACCGTCTTCACACCGTTTGTGTTGTTTGCGGTGTTGTGTGGCACGAGGCCAAGCCATTCGCACCGGCGCTTGCGCTGTGAATTACAAGTTGACCTGCCTCAGCGAGGATTAGAGCGAACGCCAGGTGCATGATGATTAGCTGGCGAGCGGCGAATACGACCACGGAATTGCCAGGGTAGCCTATGGAGGCACCGGGCCCGTGTTAATCGACCAAAGTTACCTCAGTGCCGCCATTCCGCTATTGCCTCGCGACGATCGCTCCCGCCCTCTCTTTGTCACTTCCGTCATCAAACGCTGGACGCCTGTTTACCACTACCAGCTACCACTCACATTCGCTTTTGTGTCGCCGTTCCTCCGCCACAACCTTCTCCGATACTTGCCTCCTACTCCACGGCCAACCTCACCACGCCTTGTGTTTGCTTGATCTCGCGCCCAGCTCGCTTCCTCCCCACTTGGTCTCACGCACTTGCGGGGTAGCCATTCGTTAGCATTGTTTTAGGCGCAAAGCACATGTCGAGATGAGGTTGTTCAGCCCTGCGCGAGCGCTAGCGGCGCTCTCTCTGTTGTCGACAGATGTTGTGCGACCCTTCACCCAGGCCATCGTCCTCGATCCCAACTCAGAATGTAGGATACCCGTTGCCGTCGCATACATGCTATGCGCTTATGGACTGTACTGACGTTGTCTCACAGCCTCTATCAAGGATGTTTCTTCTCAGGTCGCCAAACAGCTCGTTGCGCAATATGCGACTATCGACGATAAAGGCATACACGTACTCGGAGGTTACCCGGGTATCCTCTACCCACCCTACTACTGGTGGCAGGCGGGTGCCATGTTCGGTACCCTGCTCGACTACTGGCACTACACGGGTGACGACCAGTACAACGAGTTGGTCCGTGAGGGACTGATACACCAGTTTGGAGAGCATCTTGACCTCGTACGTAACCCAGTGCCGCATCGCAAGACCTGTCGCTAACCCTCGTAGATGCCCTCGAACCAGTCCAAGAACGAAGGAAACGATGACCAAGTCTTCTGGGCCTTTTCCATGATCGCTGCAGCCGAATACAAACTCAAAGACCCTCCCGGCGACCAGCCCGGTTGGCTCGCCATGACACAATCTGTCTTCAACCAGTTCGTAGGCCGCTATCAGAAGGAGGTGTCTGACGGTACTTGCGGCGGTGGCATGCGATGGCAGATCTATCCGTGGCTTAATGGGTGGACGTATAAAAACACCGCATCCAACGGAGGACTTTTCCATCTCGGCGCGCGACTAGCCATGTACACAAAGAACGACACATATGCCAAGTGGGCAGAGAAGGCTTTCGACTGGATGGCGAATAGCCCTATTCTCCCGGGCGACGGCCAAGTCTATGACGGAACCAGTATCAGCACAAACCCCCCATGCAGCGACGCTGACCAAACACCATGGACCTACAACTACGGAATCATGATTGCAGGAGCAGCATACGTAAGATAGACATGATCACACTCTACATTTTCATGACTAATCCCGTTCACAGATGTACAATTACACCAACGGCGCCGAAAAGTGGCGCACCGAACTCACCAAGTTTATCAACAAAGTCTCCATCTTCTTCCCCGAAGACAGAGGCGGCGTCATGGTCGAGATCTGCGAAGCAAACATAGTCTGCGACGCGGACCAAGAATCCTTCAAAGCGTACCTCGCCCGCTGGCTCGGCATCACCATGCAAATGGCCCCCGAATTTACGCCCCAGATCCTGCCCAAGCTGCAAAAGTCCGCTGTTGCTGCCGCGCAAACGTGCGAGGGTCCGTCTGACCACGGCGGTGGAAACCATCAGTGCGGTATGAGTTGGTGGAAGACCGGTTGGGACCAAATCAAAGGCGTGGGACCGCAGATGACGGCCCTCAACGTCATCAGTGTGTTGAATGCGCAGAGAGTACCGCCGCCGTACTCGCGCGATACGGGTGGTACTTCCGAGGGCAACCCTGGGTTGGGCTCTGGAAATGATGCGGACCGATTACCCAAGTTCCAATCCGAGATTACCACTGGGGATAAAGCGGGCGCGGCGATCCTCACTATCCTCGTGTTTGTTTTGTTCGTCGGTGGGTCAGTCTGGATATTGATGTAATGAGGGAGAGCTGGAGAAGGCATGAAAGATGATGATGGTGGTCTTTTTGGTTAATACCCCATTGTTTGGATGCATGCTGAAATGCAGTATGATGGGATGACACATAAGCTTCTTCACATGAGGAACCTTTTTCATGGCGTTTATAATCCAGGGCGAATGGATGGATGGGATTGGATGGGTTGGGAGATTCATGTGTATATTTGCTATCTGAATGAAATGAAATATGAACGAATATCTTGTAATTATGAGGGGTCCGTTGGTGAATGCTGAATGAGTCTCGGTGGGTCTGGGAAGTCAATCGTGTGTTTTGTTGCGTTGCATGTGTGTGAATACCTTTGGTGCTACGGTATGTTTATCCATGGAACGTAGATGTCTACTACGCGTTGACATCGCTGGGTAACACTGTGATATCGACATCTGATGTAGCTTCGAGTGTCCTTGTAGATAGTATTGATGGAGTTGAATGCTTATGTGCACCAGCCATGTATCAATTTGGAGATTGCAGTCAAAGAGGCGTACACTTTCGTCTGCAGTGGAATCAAGTTACGTCTCGCACCGTCAAGCTTGGGCAACATGTCCCGCAAAACACGTAGTCAGAAGTCTGCATGGCTTGATTGGTGTGTTATTTCAATGTCTTGGTTCTAAACACTGCTTTGGCACCGTGTGACTACCTTTTTTTCTTTGAAGTGGTTTTAGAAAAATACGTGCGAGATGGTGTAAGACATGGATTCAGAATCTGCCGGACGAAGATGACATATAACTATAGAGTGGTGGAAGGGGCACCTGAAGAGAGTAGAGAGGTGGCAGGAGTTACCAATGCCTTTGAACGAGGAGAGTAGTGCGACGCTTGGTCAGCGAAAGGCACACTGGGAACGTAAGACTACAACCACCCGCTGTCATAATTGCACGACTAACCAGACAGACGAGTGCAGATATACGGAATGATAATGTTCCACGATATCTATTCCAGATGTTCACTTCACAAAGCGGCGGTGGCCCAGAGTTAGCAACCAACAACGCCATGGAGGTGGTGCTGAGAGGATTCATGAATGACAGGAGACTTCCTAGCCTCTGCACCAAGATGGAAGCAACAGTCTATGAGATGGTGCAATCACACTACCTTCATGACTCTGATGTTCTTACAGACTTCAGCTCCTGGGCAGCATCTCTCCACGCAGTTCTCTTTCTCGCCCGACACGCAGCTCCGGTACACAATCTGCAAGTCGCCATGCTCAATCGCAGAAGACTGGAGGGCGAGGTGCTTATTTTCTGAGTGCCTGATCTTCTAGACGGAAAGCGACGCGACGTCGAGTACTTGGCGCATGGATGTATACGAGGTCGCGGTTATACTGCGGTCCCGTTCGAACAACTAGACTTCAACCAGCTGTACAGTTTATGCCCCCAGATTCCACGTTCAAAGGAGAAATTAAAAAAAAAGGTTATCGACTTTGGACACAAATTACGGAAGAAGATGTTCAGCTCCACTCCAGTCGTTGTCTCGGACGGGGATATTGAGACAGCTAAGAGATTAGGCCTCTTGTTTGGGGAGCTCTCCGTACCGGCTACAGTCGCGCTGCTTCGTCTCCAACCGCGGAAATCTACTGGCTATCAAGACGTGGCTATGCGGGTAATCCAATCGCTCGGTCTTGGAGAAGCGGAATGCAGCAGCCTTGCGACGGGGTACTGGTGTCAGACAGGAGCAGTACATACGCGTGATACTAATGGCAGTACTGCTAGGCGATATCGCGACGTAAGAGAGTGGATCAAACTACTTCGTACGATCAGCAACCATGACTTCAGCCGGACCGGAGAGAAGCGTAAGAGGGTGGATTCTGATACTGAGTCCGATACTGATATCGACGAGTATAGCAAGCGAGTACGGAGACCTTATGGTTTACGATCACGTCCGACAACGCGGACAGCGAAGAATGCTGAAGCAGATTAGTATGATTTAAAATGGTTGCATGAAGAAGATGTGAGCGATGAGGAAATGGAAGAAGAGCCCGACCAAGAGATGATTGACGTAAAAGACATGGGTGAGAAAGAAACGTTCGAAGAAGACATTGATGAAGAAGACTTGAATGGAAGGCTGCCGGATGGAACCATGCAAGATGGAGATCTGTCAGACTCGAGCGACACTGTCATGACCGATGAGATAATACGTCCTCCTGAAGGCAGAAACTATGTCTGCGTGCGTTGCTGGAGCCAGGGAGGTTGGGTGTGATTGTGGTGGTTATGGATGACTATGGGAATGTCATGGGTTAACTTGAATGAGTATGAGTACAAAGCTAATCATATGCATGTTTTGACAACGCGAACCTTGGTTGAGATGCATCGAAGCCGAGGCTTACGAACTACGCGTGATCTGACAATGCGCGATAGTCACACGGGCTAATGAGACTTCTTTCCTGATCCAACAATGGGGTGGCTTTTGGTTTGACTATAGCTTGCTATATTCTCTGATGCTTTTAGCGCCTCCCAAAAATGACGGCGAAGGCGATGATAAACTGAATTTGCTACTCGTCATCCATCTGAGCCTTACCTCGCTGTTCCTTATTCTCAGGACCAGGTCGCTTAGTCGACACGGTACCTTTAAGCTTCGCAGTTTCAGCAACACCCTCACCCTTCTTGCTCATTTCCCCTTGCTTCGAAACTTGAGAGCTATGATGAGTGTCACCATTGGACAAACCCTCTTGCTTTCCGGACATGTAGTTGAAGCTCCTGGGCTTTCCGCGGGGATCGGCCTGTGGTGCTACTTAGCATTCAAGAAGTGAGAAAAGAATACATCCTATACGAACCGGGTCAGCTACAGCTGGAGATGCTCCGTGGCCCATAGCTTTTGGACCCAAATCTTCGTTCGGGTTTGGCCTGCCGGCACCTGGTGCGCTCGGATCGCCTTTCATGGTGATTCTGTGACTGCGCATGTTTTCTTCGTTCTCGCCGGCCATCTTCCCTGGCATAGTCGGATGCGCCTCAAGATTTGCCTGCAGATTCTGCTTCGAGGAGGGACGTAGATCCGAATTAATAGCAAAATAGAGACCACCGGTGAAAGCCATGGCAACGCCTGCGAACTTACTAGAGATACATGTTATTTCGAACCCCGGTAGACTGTTACGGTATCAAACGTACAATGTGAAATCGCTATTCTGCACCTTGGGGATGATGGGCTCGCTCGCATACTGCCTGCTTTGGGTGCCATTCCGCAGTGGATGAAGCCTAGCGCTACGAGAACATTTCGTGCCCTGTATAGTGCCCGTAGCTGAGGCGACTCGCGGCTTTGTAAAGCGAAATAGCGGCATTGTGAATCACATAGATGTAGATACTAGGTGTAATGTGTGTGGAGGAATGATTGGTAGTTGTTTCCATGGTATTTAGAGATTCGGTGCTAGGCCAACATCAGGTTATCGTCAAAGCGCAGTACATGATGCGTCATCGATTTATCGGAGTATCCTCCGGGGGATGAGCGTCGACTTGTGGAGTTGGAAAAAGCAGTACGTGCGCTATGGAACGCATGAGAACGCGTTTCATCAGAGTTGCATGGTTAGATGACGTCTTTGGTCAGCGCGGACGTGTGTTTGAGGGGTAGGAAACTGCAGTTCGGGCTAGCGTGGTGAATACGTCACCTGTCGTCTACGATGATCCATAAACGACGAGCTGATTACAACTACCAAAGATACACATGCCATGACCATACAAAAGGGTTCTCCCGAACGCCCAAATGTGTGCCAGGTGCCGGCTAGTGATGTGTGTCTAGGGGCGACATTGGGACTGAATCACATAAGCGAGCTAAGGATATCTGCCACGCGACGCGTACGAACTCCCTTCAACGACGACAACAAATCATCCACTCGTTCAAAACGTCTAATTATGAAGAGAAGCTTCTTTGTAATTACTCATTCAACGCAGGCTAATCTAGAACCGTTACAGCAGCAATCCGCTCGTACAAAGCCCGACACACTGCCTTAGACCGACGATGCGACCACGGCTCTCCTCCACGGCGCGGAAAGCCTCCAACACATGCGGTATGCTTGCCATCGAAGAGAAAAGTCTGTCTCTCCCAAGTGCGTGACGAATGTGAACCTCTTGGCGGCTTTTCCGGTTCGGATCATGTGTCGATGAAATGGTCCCTCCAGTGGAATATTATGGTCACTTTCGGGAACGGTGAGGAAATGTGGAAGCAGCCATTTGATCAACCACAAGACGATTTGGAGTCTGATCAAGGATACAGCTCTTACGATATCGTGCATTGCGCTCAATTGAAATAGCTAAGCATCTGTCATCAGCATGGCCTCGGACAAACTACGACTATTCCACTTTCTAGGCCCCTGCAAAACAGCAGCCCACGCCAATATGTTGCACTGCCAGAGGTAAGCACTCGGGATCCGCAATCCTCAAGTGCTATGCATTGACGCATCTTCGTGGCAGTGCGCTAATGTCCAGACACTAGGCCGCTTGCGGGCGGCTTAGCGTAGGCAGCAATCCATTATAACAAGAACGCCATCGCGAGATACCGCTAACGACCACTCACTTTCGACGAAGAAGAACAAGCCACTTTGGTTCGGACTGCTCTCCGGCTTTCAATCGCTCAGCATGCCAGCGCGTACTTTGAGGACCCGGCCCAGAATTGTACCCAAGGGCCCGTGGACCATGTCCTTGAATTGGGACCTATGCGCGACATCTTGCGGCGAGATACGTGTGCCTTTTCGACACCATGTTCGCCCGGGAGAAGAAACGACACATTCCCCACTCAAAACTTTCAAACACTTTCCGCGCCTGCCGTTGGAGCTCCAGCACCACATACTATCGTTTTGCGATAACGCAACGCTATTTCAGCTCATGCATACGTCGCCTGTAACGCGGAAAGAAGCAACAAAGCTTTTCTGGTCTGACCCCACAGTGAAATATCGCGTACAGGGCTCTTGGTTACTTTCCGGCGGATATACGGCCTCCACACATGCCGCTCTCGAGGCTCACAAGTATATGCAGTATATCCTAGTCGAGCTGTGGGATTCGGAAACGATCCTTCATGATGACTGGGTGGATCTCAGACCGCATCAAATCAAGTTCCCAGATGAGGAACAAGCGAGGATCTATGCGGAACACCAGATAGCTGCGTTCTGGAGGACACTGCGCGCATGGTTTCCCTGTGTCGTAAACGTCGTGCTCAGTACAAGACATGTTCTCAAATCTGGAACAGGGCTTCCAGAACCGCTGACTCGGCTCGCAGAAGGATGCCCGGGTGGGATTCATGTGCGTGCGTCAGTTTTCCATTCTGACCTTACGTATTACAAACGTCTCAGATCGAGAAAGCTTTGGCAGGCAATCAAGTCTACTGATGGACCGGTAGCTTGGGAAATAATCGAGCCTCTGGACACATCACAAGTCGTATATCCACCGATTCAGAAACGTTCTGGACCCGTGGGTAAATGGTATCGCTGGCTTCACGACGAGGTTGAGCCGTACGAAGACATGATCGAAGCCCGCAAGCTTCTCATCATCCAGGCTACGGAAGCATATTATCTGCACACTCTCAAAGCACCATGTATATGTCCAGTGGATGGATGTGGTCTCCAATTCGAGAAACCAGGCCACTGGACTTTGCATTACATATCAAGCGGCGGACACCGACATCGTAGCGGTGTGTTGCCTCCACCCCCATGCGAGACGCTTCAGAAAGTGTTTGCAGAGCATGATGCGCGTTTGGAACGCATACGAGAGACAAACAAAGAGATGCTGGCCGAGATGCGCGCCGAGTGGGGTGAAGATGGAAGTGAACAGCGCACACACATCACCCAGCAATTCCTACAGCAGTTACGCAATGATCCGTTGTGCGCGATTAGAGAGGATCCAGAGAAGAGTCATTTTTGGCGTCGGTATCAGCATATAATGAACGCGAAAGACGTTTGGCATATGAGTCGACGATGATCATCAGTCCGCAGCCTTCTGTATCTATCGAACAAACGCGCGAGCATGCAACACGAGAAGAACACATGTTTCTGGACAACTTTATTCACACTGTACTGTCGAGCCCGGAAAAGGAGCGACTGAGTATTGCTCCGGATATACCTACCATCTGCGACGTTACGATTTTCCATCTGGATTACATCGTGTCGGTGCATCTGAATGGAATATCAAGTGGCCTTCCCCAACAGGCCCAAGGCCGTTCGTAATTTGCTAACATGGATGAAGTATCTCTTAAGCCAAACCCCAGAAGCAGTATGTCAGCTTTCGCTAGCTCGTGCGCCTCGTCGTGAGAACACCGATGTAGCGTAGTCACATAAGAAGATACAAACAGTATGATGAGCTACTCCTATCCAATCGTCCGCGACCGGTGAGTGCTGAAGTATTGGTGGCGGTGGCAAAGTTGGTGCGTTAAGCGAGTCGATCACTGCCACCCGAGGGACATCAAGATGAATCTACAAGACCCAAGTTATTCCTGTGAATCTTCCCAGAACTTACTCTCACATTATCGTCTTTGGCAGCGCGTCCCTGTAGTTCCGTGGCTACCTTATTGCAGCAATGATTAACTTACCGCTTCTTGTCTCCGTGATGTCTCTAGCAGTCGGCGAGGCCGCTCTTGTTACAAAAAGATTCGAATCTTGGTTCTGGTACGGCGAAGACCTCAACACAATTCTGCACCAAAACTGCTCAGTTGAATACTCAAACTGGGTGAACAGATACGACAGCCGATGGTATACACAGTGGCCGAAATACGTCAACGCGAAGGAGACCGGCATCTGGGTCTATGCAAACCCTCTCACTGATTGCCTTCTTACACACATCTCAGACTTAGGAAAGGCAGATATGGCCAGCGCTGCAATTATTCTTGGTCTCGTGCCGACAATCATTGTCATTTCAGGTTCTACACTTTCTGAAACAGCGCTTCTAGCCCTGCGAAGGCCTCTGCTAGCCTTCGTGCTGGCTATCGGCTCCCCTTCTGTTCCTCCTCTTCGAACTTTCCAATACGAGGATGTGCCAAAGATGCTTGAACAGCGGAAAGGTCAACTCGCCAGGCAGGTCGGGGCTAGCGGTCGCATGTCGTGGAAGTATGTGGTCCTTGGAGCGCAGATCTTGATTGCCCTTGGGGCCGTTCTTAATGTCCTCCTCACTACCTTTGAGCTCGGCATGAAGACGATCCTCTCTTTTGGCATGGATGCATGGTTCCTGCCTCTTATATGGGTTTTGTCCTCTGTCGCACCACACCTCTGTGGCGTTATGGCTCTTCGAAGCGATGTGACGATTCTGTCGCCTCCTTCTAGTAGAGGGAAGCCGCCTAAAGAGCGTTTCTGTCTATGGTTACAGGTAAAGATAAATCTTTTCGAACTGTTGTGTCTTCTGGTCATTAACAAGGCTCTAGGACGAATTCGAACTTTGTGCCTACCATAAGAAACCTACTGTTCTAAAGTATAAGCCTGAATCAGTTTTATTCTAAGTACTTTCGTGGCTCAGCTCAATCTCTACGCTGAGTCACTATCTCTTTGGGACAACGTAAAGACCTCAAGGAATACAAGATCATCGCGCCTGTGCTAACTTCTACAGGGTTCTTGCTAGTCAGCTTTTTATCTCATCCCCGGCCGCTATAGGAGTCCTCGTTCGACTTCTTGCATCTTCACTCTGCTGTCGCATCATTGTTATGTACGAGTTATCTGGCATGCGTCAAACAGCGACACGCCGAAATCCAACAGCGCTAGCTTAAGCGACAAGAAGTAATCCGAAGTAAGATACTAAAGTGTCGATAGTCTCTTCCCTCCCTTGCCAACACCTAGTCACTTCGCATTCTCAACCACCAAATTCCTCCTCAAGCTCTGCAACTCCTCATCACCAAGCCCACAAACCTCTCTCATATAGCGTTCCGCGCCCCCAAACCGCTCATCCAACATATCCAAACTCGCCAACATACTTTCCTTCCTCGAACCCACCATACGCAACGCAGCCTGCCTACCCTTTTCCAAGATCTCCGGCGAAACCTCCTCCGCATCCGATCCAGCCCCATCATCCCCTCGTATGATCTTCGCCATCTCCTCCTTAGACAACGCCCTCCCAGTCGACTGCGCAAGCATATACTTCCTAAACCCCGGACTCATCAACAACCGCTCTACAATCTCGTCACGAAGAGGCCGCAGTCCCAATTCGGTGAGTTGGTATTCGTCTGCGATTTGCTCGCGCGGGACACCGAGGAAGTCGAAGAGGAGGCCAAAGAAGATTCCCGTTCGGTCTTTTCCTGCCGTGCAGTGGATGAGTACACCGAGCTTCTCGCCTTCTTCTCCGTTGTTGCTGGTACCATCCGCTGGCGGCAAACTAGCTAGATACCTGAGAATAGTACCATATGCCTTTCCGCCATCCGTCAAGATACTAGCATATGCTTCTACGAATCCCTTGACGTCCTCATCCATATAGTTCGAGTACCTCTCCGCTAGCCTCTCAGGACTGTAGTCTTTATCTGAAAACACGGGTGTCCACGTTCTCTTCACACCCGCTTCCTCCATTGCTTGGATCCAGCCTGGTCGGAAATCTGCCTTGCCGGTTGCATCTTGGCCGACGATGCCGGCCCAGCCCTTTTCTACTTCGGGTTTGCTGCGTAGGTCGAAGACGTGGCCTACGCCGATGTTGTGCACTGCGGTCCAGCCGGCGGTGTCGAGTGAGGCGACTTCGGCGCTACGAAAGAGGATGCCTGGGCGGAGTGTGGAACCCGATTTCGTGGTGAGAGAGTAGGTGGCCAGGCGGAGGTTGTTGATGTTGGGGATGTGCGTGTAGAAGGGAGGGGAGGGGAGGGTAGGGTTGTCCGGGGATGTCATGGTGATGTGGATGTGATATAGATGTGTAGTTGGTTTGTTGTAATCGAACCGTTGATAGGATAATGCTATTTCCACGGGTAACTTTGTGGGTGTTATATAGAGGTCGGCGGATTATTGGGTGTGAACAGCTGGTACTGTGAACCGTTTCAGTCCAAGGACGCGAAGCGTCGTATGTCAATCGTAGAGCTGCTAATGCAAAGGGGAGCCTTCACAACACGTGTTCGGTTTGACTTTTGGTTGGTAGTCATTGTCTGGAAACAACGTTCTTGATGTGTATACATCAGCCCCACCATCCCACTCACACTAGCCATGTGCCGAGGTGTAGAGCGGGATGAGTGCACATAGTGCCCACGCCACGTAATCGAGCATCATTCATACTTCACACCCATAGGACACACTTAAGATCGAATAAGTTCAAGAAAACACTCTGAATCTGATTTCTGGGGTATACATATGATCATCAACCAAAAGTCGGAAATACACATCGACCAAGCCAAATGGTGGTATATTCCCTCGAAACCTATACACCATTTCCAAAAGATGGAAAGAAATGAACCCAGGACTATGTATGCCATCACGCCGCAGACGCCCGCGAGACTTTTCGTAACGCACGGAAAATATCAACAACTGTGTGGTTGGTGACAAAGCCTAGGAAGGCTTATCACAACCAATGCGACCCAGTAGCTCCTTGCGATCGCCATGGCCGGGAATACTAATCCCACTTGCGCGCGAACTCTCCCTCTTTGCTTGTCGTCGCTGGCTGGCGCCGTTGAGACGCGCAAAGGTGAGGGCATCGACGCCGACTTCCTCTTCCTTGGGCGTCATGGAGCTCATTCCGCTTTCGCCGCAGGTAGTTGCCATGTTGAAGATAGTCTTGGTCTGTTCCTGCTCGACCTCCTCATCCTCGCCCTCATCGTCTGAGCGCAGATCCTCAGCTGCGTTGCCCATGAGTACTTTGTAGACGATCTTCGCAATGGTAGCGAACCAGATGCAGCAAAAGACTTGTAGGGTGAGGAGGAGCGCGAGGAAGTAGTATCGGATTTGCGGGTTCCAGCAAATGGGCCCGTTGCGGTCGTTGTACGCCTTGAGTAGGTTGCCCCAGTGGTTGTTGCCGCCGTATGCTTCAAATTGTGAGGTGTTGGACGCGGGGACGAATGAGGTGTACTTCGAGGTGGAGTCGGCGAGGTAGCAACCAGGTGCCATGTCGACTGGGGCGTATGCGTAGATGGACCAGCAGACCATCATGTAGAGAACGTGGCGAGTAACGATCCAGGCGAGGACGAAGAGACCGAACGCGTAGTCGCAGGCATTCGAGTAGCCCATGTACTTGAGGAGTTTCGCGGTCTGTGATTGTCAGTTCCAGCACGCTGGTTCGACGAGGTCAGAGTGCTTACCGGCAAGATAATGTCGACAAAGTCCATGATGGTCAGAATGACGATTCCGACGCGCATGTGGAAGTACCCGTAGGACAAGCACATCAGCGCCGTGGTGAAGATGTGGTGGGTGAACATCTGTGCGTAGTCTTTGCGCTTCTCCTCGATGTTGACGACAAGAAGCTGCTGGACCCAGAAGCCCCATTGAACGAGGTAGTACCACTTGAAAAGGCCATCAGCCTCACGGAAAGGCCAGCCTTCCCATATGCCGTGCAAGTCTAGCCAGAACTCAGAGTGGTACATGATGTACTGTAGCCTTGTTAGCATTGCCTCTCTGTGTGTTGTGTGTAGTGTGACGTACCATTCCCAAGGACCACGACGCGGTGTAGTAGACGATCAACCATGCCTGCTCCTTGAACCTGTCCAGGCCCTTCTTTGTCCTGATACCACCCAGCCTTGCCAGTGGGTCGAGCAAGTATTCCATAACTGCTACGCGTACACCAGTGAAGATGACGGTCCACAGTAGGACAAAGGGCAGATCGTCGGTGCCACAGCCGTACATGTTGGTGTCGGGGTTGTAGTACGACATGTGGAAGAACTTGTTGGTCCGGCTGCGGGCGCGGGGGAAGAATGTGTGTGTGAGGACGAGGAGGGTGAGGAGGTTGACCGAGATGCCTGTAGGAGTCAGTCTTGGTGGTGCTCGGTATTCTCGAGGCTTTGCGAGGGCGTACCAATCTGGTGGTCGCAGATGAGCGTGCACAGCGAGGCCATGAACCCCTCATCTTCGACCTTCTTTGCTTGCATCTTCCGCCTCTTGGGCGCAGTTGGTAGCTTTTGCGCTTGCATATCCGCTGTGTGCGTCTTCCCCAGCGCGCCGTTGCCGTTATGTGTCGTCGCCATGGTGGCTGGTGTGCAATATGCCCCAGTGTGGGGAGCGAGAGTGTTATGGAGCGACGCTGTCGCGATACCCGCTGTCGAGAGGCGGTCCGATAGAGGAGCCAATGGCAGAGGAATGAAATCCAGAGAGTGCTTGCAGCCCGGCGACGGTTTCCGAAGTCGGTTTCCGGCGTGTAATGCGGCGTGTGGGCTCGATGGGTCGAGTTGATTGTCGCTCAACAGTCACGTCTTAGCGAACGGAGGCGGGTGCGTGTCTCAGCAACCAACAGCCATTGAGCAGCGAAACGGCAGACAGAATGGGCGCTATAGGTTGTCGATGCGTAGGCGAGGTCTCTGCGGGGGGAGAGCAAGATGCGCCCGGGCAGAAGAGAGTCGAGGGAGCGGTGTGGTGGTCCCAAGCAAAGATATTCAGGGTTTAGAGATGGATGGGGCAAGCGCGGATCAACAATCTCCTGAGCGGGCCACGCGAATTGCACCTTTTCCTGCGTGCCAGCTGCGTGTCTGGGTGAAGGATGGCACAGGCGTGTCCAATTGCTCTCCCTGTATTTCTGGACAGGTGTCGCGGGAGCTAGCAGTATTCGCTGTAGCAAGAGCTGTGTCTGGAGCGCGCTACTTTCTGCCCACTTCAAAAATGGGGCCTCGCCTAACCCGACTGCAGCATGTGCGCTTGAGTGTAACGCGAACAAGGACAGGCAGTGTTGCATCGAGCGAAAGGAGGTGGCAAGGCTGCGTGAAAGCTCAGCCTCGTCCCCGTCTGCCCCTAACACGGCCCCTGCACCCGTTATCGTCGAATTCCTGCGAGTGTCGGTTCGCCAAGATATCCGCCGACGAAGCTTGGTGCTCCGAAAATCAAGGGTCCGGGCGTTTTACCCTCCCGACCTATCAACGCGCCCACGCTCCCTGCAGCCCCATAGTGCTACCCCGCCATAGCCTGGCCTGATATGCATGCATAGCTATTGGATACGACATGCAATCAGAATGGCGCGTCGAGCCTACCATGAGATGAGAGCCTTGAGATTTGTTGGAAGCGTCGAATCGCTGGATCTCTGGTCGTTATACTTTGGATGCGGAAGGGACGTGTAAAATGATATTATACAACTACAGCTAAGTCAGATAGACTATGATAATCCATACCCAGCTCTTTGACCCACACGCTCCCAGCATAGTGATATCGATACCCATGACGCCGGTACAATTTCTCCCAAGTGAATCTAAGCTCCTGCTACATTCCTCCCGCCTAGTTGTTGTTTTGCGAGTTGAGGATCCTCAGGATGGCGAGGAACAGGTTGATGATGTCGAGATAGAGGGAGATGGACGCCGCAATCTCCTCTTCAACGTGGTAGTGGCGCATGATCATCTGCGTGTCCACGAGGATGTAGCCAGAGAAGATGAGCGCGCAGACAACGCCGTAACCTAGCTCAACCGAGCTGCTGTGGGGGAAGAACATGGACATGAAGCCGAACAGCACTACCACCCACAACGCGCCGAAAAGGTACGGTGCCCAGTGTGTGAAGTCGTACTTGCTCTGGCAAGCGAACAAGCTCAGCGCAATGAATATGCCCAGCGTGAAGAAAAGCGCCTGCAGCACAATCCTGGAGTCGGTGAAGGAGACGATGACGGAGATGGAGTATGCTTCCATGGCGGTGAAGCCGGCGAGGAAGATGAGGTTGGTCGGGTACGACTTGCGCTTCCAGAAGGTGAGGCCGAGGAAGACAAAGGAGCCGATCAGCGACACCCACATGAGCGCTGGCGTTTGTTGGATAAAGTTCTTGTACGATTCAGACATCATCGAGAGGGCGCTTACGGCGGCGGTTGCGAGGAGTTGGACGGTCCTATGTGGAGTCAGTATGTGCGACATTCGCCTTTGAGCCACGGGCACTTACAAGATGGCGTAGACCTTGCGGATAAAGGCCATCCGGATGTCCAGCGTCGCCTCTGCCACAACACCGCCGAATTTGAAGTCATCTGGCAGGTTGTCGTTTTCGCCGCGGGGAACGCCGCTGAGGAGGGCTTCTTGGGGGTCGTTGGCCGCCTGGTAGCTGGGTGGCGCCTGCGAATATGACGACGCGGGTGCCGCCTCGTCGAGCGAGTCGCGCTGAGGCACGTTCTGATATTTGGGAGCACCCATGGTGATGGATCTGTCGCAAAGGTTGACTGCGTGCGATGCGAAGTAGGTGGTTCGAGTGCGCGTGGGTAGAGGTGGAAAGATGAAGGAGCGTGAGATGCACTAGGGCTGTGCTGACATTATGAGGTCACTCCAGCCGCGGAACTTCGTTTCACGTGCCCATGTCACGCAACCCCAACACCGAAGCTTCGAGTTCACTCCAGACTACCAACCTCAACAATCACGCTTCATATCCTGAAGTCTACTAGTATTGTTGAACCCTTACTTCCTGTACCGTGACATAATCATCGTCGGCCCGGTTCTTCCAACAGAGGAACGTCTTACTTGCGGCAACCTGGGTCCGTACACCCGCTCGGGTAGCGAGGCCTCTTACAATGCAGTGCCGCCTGCCAATCCATACCAACCCATGCCAATAGCGTTCAGCGTCCAGCTATCACAGCGCAGGATCTGCACTGGATAGCCTCGCTGGGTGGTACACGCTCAGCACCATCTACTTATTCTGGAAATGCATATCTGCAAGGACTCAGCCGCACACGGCTCAGTTGCACAACTCCATAACCGACTGCCAATAGAATGACTTCAACACAGCACCTTAGCCACACCGGGGCCGTTTTCAAGGCTGTTGCCTTGATTTTGCTTCCGGTCCTGCTGCAAGACTGGATGGAATACTTGGCCCCCAGAAACAGCTTCTTTATGAATCTTGTCCTTCCCCTCAAACTGCGTCGTTGGCAAGAAGCATTCTTGTATCAATGGCTGACATCTATGCGCGACCCTGTCAAACTATCCTTCTTCAGCCCCCACGTCCAGACAATGGGATATGCAGCGATGCTACTCCCCTCATGAGCTTATCGCAGCGCGCCGACCAGGCCTCATCACAAAGCGACATCCCCCCTCACCTTAACCAGGATTCGCAAGCTAGGATGAACGATGGGAACTCGACTACATTACATCGTTGGACTCGTCCGAAACTTCCACGGCCAATCAGTAAGGTATCAAAAGCTTGGGATTCGCGACTCAGAAGAAGCCGCTTCCATGGGTGGCGCATGGGAGTGCTGTTTGGTTGTTGCATGTCTTTCCTTGTCCTTTGTTGCAACATTGCTCTCATTGCAATCGGAGCAAACAGCAAATCAGGTTACGACCACGAAGGCATATCTTCAATCCTCGAAGGCGACGAGGCGCTCATCTCACGATGGGACTCTGCTTTGCACGTTCTCATCAACGTACTCAGTACCGCGTTGCTATCATCTTCAAACTACACTATGCAAGTCCTGAGCTCCCCAACACGGAAAGACCTGGATGCTGCGCATGCGAAAGGACAGTGGCTCGATATCGGACGACTAAGTCCTCGAAATCTCAGGGCTATTTCACGCAGCCGCGCAACTCTTTGGCTGATTTTAGTTTTATCCTCTACGCCATTGCATTTATTGTACGTTTTCAGATAAACTCCAGGACTACAAAAGCTCATCAGTATTAGCTATAACGCCTCGATCTTCAAAGTGATCACGTCTCGGAAGAACTATGACTTCAGAACATTGGACGTGTCATCGGAAGCATGGAAACAAATCTCCGATGCTACTGACAATAGCACCTGGACCCATGGCGAGTACTGGAATTTGCCAGCTGATCGATGGGACGAACCATACACTAAAGAACACGTCTCCGTTCATGGTGACTTGTACCTCGCAATCGATAGGGTGTCAATCGATCTCAGCTCACCTCCACTAGACTTGAACTTTTCACAAATCACCGCGGCGGATGTAGAAACCTGGACTACTGCAGATAGATCAACACCCAAGACGATTATCGTAGAATCACCGGAATGGCTGAACTACAACAGCCTTGGTCCGCAGGGACAGCAGCGCCTGACCGGAGCCTATCTACACGTAGCGAAGGCCTCGTCATGGAAGGGACTGGATACGCCTAGTACAGTCCGAGTCAGCATCTACTTTCTTGTCGTGGTGGTCTCTTTCAACTTGGTTAAGCTCATCATATTGCTCACGGTCCTCCTCACAGATCGCTCGGAGTACCTCGTCACCTTGGGAGATGCTGCAAGCTCGTTTTTGAAGCGGGAAGACCCTCACACGATCAGTCGCTGTCTCCTTAGTCGAGAGTGTGTGCTATTAAGCCTAGGGCATCCGGTGAAGGAACGCAAGTACGACGAAACCGATGGAAAAGAGCTCAATCTTCGGCTACGAGGCGTCTGGCTTCCACGTTCACGATCTTACTTTTCCCCTTTTCATGATCGCGCTCAGTTCATCTACATATTTTCGTAAGTGAGCCCCCAATGAGTCCTGGAGTCTTGACTGAGTATCTAGAATCGGGTTCTTCGTATTCGTCTTCGCGATCGTCCTTGCGTGGAGCCTGAGCTCAGGCTTGCGATGGGGAACTTCCTCTACCTCCTACATATTCTCTTCTGGAAGCACGTCTGTCGTAGCTACACTATGGAGTGCTTGGTTGGCCAATATCCCGCAGCTAATTTTGTCCTCCTGCTACTTCACGATCAACCAAGTTTGCACTTCCATGGCTGGGGCTGAAGAGTGGAACAACCTAGCGACATCCAGGAAAGGCCTCAGAGTCACCCAGCCATATGATAATCAAAGAAGTACATACTTCCTAGAACTACCATACAGATGGAGTCTTCCTCTCCTTGCAATCAGCGGAACACTCCATTGGTTGATGTCTCAGGCTTTTTTCCTCGTCCGAATAGACACGTGGAAGGTCGGTGTACTGAGCTCAACAGCAGCGTGCGGATTCTCAGCTTTGAGCCTTGTAGTTTTACTAGTCGTTATTTTCGTATTGCTCGGCATCATAGGCGCCGTTGGACTCAGGAAAAGACAAACAAGGGTACCCATTGTGTCGTCTTGTAGCTTGGCGATAAGCGCTGCTTGTCGTCCGCCGCCTGAAGAATTCGATGCGCACTTGGCCAAGCTTCAATGGGGCGTCACGGGAAATGAGGTTGTTGAAGGCTTCGGACATTGTTCGCTTTCTGCAGGAAGCGTGACCGACCCGGTAGAGGGGAAGATATACTACTAGATTAGTGGCTACCCCACATTGAAAGCACTCTATGGATGATCACTTTGCAGTGAAACGACTCCATGCATTTCGCGATGGCCTCCTCGACCAATGACTCTCGAAGTCACCCTCGAATCGACTAACAGCTAACGTTCTCGCTACATGCAGAACCTCGTCTAGAAAAGACAGGGAGAAGTCAAGATACATTCGCACAACATAATCAGGTGTACCAAGTAGCCTCTGGAATCTCATCCAACAATTCAAACCTCCCCAACTCGCGATTCTTATACGCTACTGGATCATGCAAGGTATGCGTCCTCACGTCCCTCCAAAACCGATCCAGGCCCACCCTTGCACTTGTCGCTTTCGCGCCTGTCACCTCAAACACCCCAGAAGTGACTCGCAGGCTGGTATCTGTTGTAACGACCTTGACACTTGCAACCCATTCCGCCAGCTCACCCCGCTCCCGTGAAGTCAGTTTCCCGCGGGTTTCCAGATCGCCTGCGTATTTGTTCAAGATGGCGTCGACTTCTTGGCCTGCGCGGTCTGCCAGGGCGGATGCGGCGCGGAGGTGTGCGTGGAAGTTCCCGTAGCGTTCAAGGATGTAGAATTCGTCTGTGGCCTTCTCCTTGTTCTGATCATGCATTAGCGATTTGTACTGGTTCGGAGGATGCTGGTGTGCTTACGTCGCCACCGAAGGGCCATGCCCGAGTTCCCTTCGCTGTGTACCTCGCTGCATATTGCTGTGCGCCCAGTGCAATACCGAGATAGAAGTTGCTGAAAACGAGCTGAATGGTTGGCAGAAGTAGCGTCGCGAACGGTATTTGCAGCGCGCGGGGGTCTGGTTCTTTCCTCTCGACGTTCCAACCCAGCGCATCCGTCCAAGGTACGCGCACATCGGAGATCTTGACACTACCCGACTCCGTCAAGCGCAGACCAATGTTGTTCCAATCATGTCCGAATTGTACACCGGGTTGATCCGTCTTTGCGAAGGCGAAGATATGGTTCTGGGTGCCTTCGTAAACACCCTCGAGGACGGTAAGATCGGAGACGACACCGCCTGTATTGAAGAACTTGAACCCGTTGAAGACGAGATTGTCGCCGTCGGATTTGATGGATAGGTCGCTGTCTCGGGGGTTGACCGCGCCGCCGATGAAGTAGTTGTTCGAGATAATGAGCTTCTGGAAGCGATCGGCTTGTTGGGGTGAGCCAACGATGTTGGCTGTGGTTGACCAGAGGAGGTGGTAGCCAAGTAGCATGCCAATTGACCTAGTATAATTAGTATAAACACGCCCACGGCAAGGATACTATCGTACCCGTCTGCTTCGGCGACCTTCCGAATCGCCTTGTAGCCCACACTCCAAGGCTGACCACCGCCGCCATACTGCTTCGGACCAAGGAGCTTCAGTAACCCAGAGTGTTTTAGTAGTGCAACTTCCGCACGTGGAGACTTGTTCTCTTGATCTCGTACGACGGCATCGACGGCGAGCACATCTGCGACATCTTGAGCACGCTGCAGCCAGCCTGCTTCATCTTCCGGGATGGATGACCACTTCGACTCATACTCGGAATACACAGCCGGGTCTCTGAAGTCGACTTCTTGCGCGTTACCGGACTTGTTGGTTCCGTTGGTTCCATTCGTGAATGCCATCGTGTGCATGGATAGAATGATGACATCTCTGCGTCTCGATCATGATCTTATATCAAGACTCCCGCAGAACAACCCTCGGGATGATACGAATCACGCAGATTATTGCGTGCTATTTGTTCATTCTCGAACCATTTGCATTGGTGCGCATGGGTACATGAGTAGGTTTACGACGGCGAGGGGAACGACCGGAGAGACAGGGATATACCGCCGATATAGTGAATGTTGAGCTGTCTGCCGACAGGTAGGTATAGCTAGGGATAGTCCGATACCGTGGGGGTAAATTGCATATGCAGTGTCGTTACAACATGTGAACGTGAGAGTTGGAGAGTGAGACGCGTCGGCGGACCGCACCTGCATCAAACCATTTGTGCTAAACCAGAAGGAGACTAATCTACAAGCCGTGCGCATGTCCGAACGCAACCGCGTTCGCCATCTAACCCCTCAATCGCATCATCCCCAACTCCGCACTTTCACGGCCCATCACAACGTTCAGCAGACTGCGCACCTCCGATGTGCCTCCTGTCACCCGCGTGCGAACCTCCTGTCGATTGGAGCTCATTCCGCCTTTCTCTTCGCGAAGAACCGAGAAGTGTCGCCGAGTGGTAGCTCAACGATGGAGTCTTTGAGCAGCAACGCGAACGTCAGATACCACCCAGTCAATCCAGCCAAGAAGCAGAACGCACCGCCGCCTTTCTTGAGAGCGACGGACGCAGTCTGATGCCCATCTGCCGTGGCAAAATAAGACGCCGAGACTAGCAAAAATCCTAGCTCGACACAAAAGAAGATGATGATGTAGACCAAGTTTGTCGGCAACGAGGCAACGAGAAATACCAAGGCGAAGACCGTCCACACTATCACACGATTAGTGGCGCTCTCACCACCCATCTTTTTTTGGCAACTGACTGATCATGAAGAACCCGAGAGCGTTGTTGAATTGCTTCACATCGCCTCCATATGCTGCCTCAACCCCAAAGGCAGGGGTCAGAATCGCACCAAAGCCGGCGTAGAACAGACCGAAAGCGCTGAAGACTGTATAGGCAAATCCATTGCCGACAGATAGCTCCCACTGTGCAGTAACCACCAGGCCTAGTATCAAGTCAGTCATGTCATATACACCATATATCCCGGTAACTTGCCGAACGCCGCCGCAAAGAAGAAATTGGCAACGAAGACATTGTTCGTCGTTACTCCTCGCCATTCCATAAGACTGAGCGACAACGTGGTCAAGGTCGTCGCGAAGACTCCGATTGGAAGCGCCGTCTTGAGACGTTAGCTACGAGATATAACGTACTGGAAGCATTACTAACTCCAGCACCTAAGGTCTTTGGAGCTGCGACTGGTACGATCGGAGAATCATGGGTGACTTGCTTCTCGACGTCAGTCGTGCCAGCGCTGCTTTTGCTGTTCAAGTCGGTCGTTGAGAATTTGGACATGATTGTCTGCGTGCAAGGAATTCTTCACGCAAGCGACTGAATCTGGTCCACAGCCTTTTGTACTGAATCGTCATAAGCTCCCAGGTTAAGAAAGACAATATCGACGCGGCACGACGGCGGTGTCGGTACGTTGCCATTGCGATCATGCGACAGTAGATTACGTGCTTCGGCGTTACTCTCAGTGCTAAGTAGCATTCACATGGTCGTGTCGGGACGATATCATAGTATTGAAGTTGGAGCTCGCTATCCTGATCGATCTAGGTGTGGAGTATGCGGCGCTTGAGTATCTTACTGCAAGTTACGGCACATCACGTCTTCGGAGGGTTGGATTGCCACATCGACCAATAGGCCGAAGCTTGTTAGCAACCAATTAAGGATGTCGGACTCGCAAAGCTGTCGCAAAATCCTGCACCACAGCTTGTCATGTGCGAAGCCGAGATGGTTGAGCTGCGAAGTAGAAGTCGACCAGCTGACTTAGGCAAGATCGGCGGCAAGCCGGCTGCAATAAAGGTGAATACCATCTAGTCTACGTACCGGGTCTAATCTACGGCAATCCCGCAAATCCCGCTCTCGGATGAGTGCGTATCACGCAATCCACGCTTATTATGCGCATATCTGATCTGCAATTGAACCCCAGGTCCATGTTGCGGGGCATCATAGTACAGATACTCAACTCGCATACATCCGTATCTTCAAACCTGCGGTCTGTTGTATCCCTCCAAACAACCATGACGCCGCGCAAGAGGCAAAAGACAGGTGAGGTTATGCGGAGACTAGGGCTATCAAGAACGTGTGGGGCTGATCATTTGTTCAGCAATAGCAGAGAATGGAACGACGAATGGCGCCAATGGGCACCTGAACAAGACAGCGCAAGATTATACGCCCGCAAAGCAACTGGATCTGAACCAAGATCCTGATCGTCTATTATTCGCGTGAGCAGTCTCCCAAGGACAGCTATTTGCCGCATCTCCTAACCTTGCGACAATGTAGTTATTGGGTTCCTAACGTCTCAGGCGGTCTCGTTGTCTCAAAGATAGCCCAACGGACGAGTTGGGACCTAGCATCCAACATACGATACGCTCGGACGGCCGAAACATACGGCTTCGAGTATGCGCTCACCCAGATTCGTTTCACCGCATCGTATGGGGCCGACAACCAGCACGAAAGTGTATCGTTGTCTCAGGCGTTGTTGCACAATACTGAGCGCATCAAGCTCATCGCTGCGATACTTCCCGGCCCATGGAACCCCACGGTCGCAGCGAAGCAGATCGCAAGTATCGACAACTACACCAACGGGCGAATTGCGGTAAACATCGTTTCGGGCTGGAACAAGAGCGAATTCCAGAGTATCGGGCAATGGTGGCTCGAGCATGCCGAGCGCTATCGACGCTCCAACGAGTTCATCCGCGCACTTAAGGGGATCTGGACTGCTGGCGACGAGGGCTTCACTTTCGGCGGCGACTTCTATCAATTCCGAAACTATAAGCTAGCACCAAAACCACTCCAGAAGCCGCACCCAGAGATCTTCCAAGGTGGCAATAGCGATGACGCCCGGAACAATGGCGCTGAAGTTAGTGACTGGTACTTTATGAACGGCAACGATCTGGATGGCTTCCGCGAGCAGATCGAAGATGTGAAAGAGCGCGCGCGAAAAGCTGGGCGTGAGGGCAAAGTGAAATTTGCGGTGAACGGCTTCGTCATCATCCGTGAGACAGAAGAAGAAGCTATCCGCGTGCTGAAAGAGATTCAAGGTAAAGCCGATACGGAGGCCGTTGAGGCGTTTCGAGAAGCAGTACAGCAGGCTGGTGCCAGCACGGGCAACAAGAAGGGCATGTGGGCGGACAGTAAGCTGGAAGATTTGGTGCAGTACAACGACGGCTTCAAGACCAAGTTGATCGGTACTAAAGAGCAAATCGCCGATCGGATATTGCTACTGAAGAGTCTGGGCGTTGACTTGGTGCTGACTGCTCACTTACACTACGAAGAGGACATCGAACGCTTCGGCAAGGAAGTATTGCCGTTAGTAAGGAAGCTGGAAGCTGCAGGCAGAGGCAAGGATGTTGACGACGAGATCAAGCGTACAGGTGACATTTATCGGAAGTCCTAGCAGTTATGCAGCGGTGTAAGCTATTTGCAATATCTATCTACCCAGAGCACGTCCACTGCATGTGAAGCTATGCGAGATTGGGAAACGTCTGAGCTGCCGAGATACTCAATGCCTTAGCCGATCCCTGCTTCACGACTCCAAACGTATCCTCATTCGTCCAGAACTCAAAGTCCGCTGCGCCTTTACCCGGCTTGTTGATCTGCCAGATCATCCATGGTACCTTGAGCCCATTGAAGATGTCGATATGCTGACCCACAACGCTCGCCTTGTTGGAACCAGACGCGCCAAACTCCTCGAACAACACGAGCTTCTTGGCGGCTTGAGCATGCTGCAGTGCGATGGGCGCTTTGTTGCGCCATTCAGACACGCCGCTGTAGGAATGGATGTCGACGAGGTCGAGAGTGGCGCAGCTCCAGTTTTCGGGGATGTCGGAGTTGGGGAATTCGTTTCCACCGCCTGGATATGCGTGGTCAGCATCGTTGTCTCTGGATGTAGAGCAGAGGAGAGTGTGATGCGAAGCACTTACCTGTCGAGATGAGGATGGCGCTGCTGCCCATGATGCTTCGCATTTTCTTGCTTCGATTGCACCACCATTCTGGTGCAGGCGCAATGTTGTTGCGCAGATGCCCTTGTCCCTCATTCTGGATGTTGAAAGAGAAAATGTAGTCTGACAAATCCTTCCATGCCGGTGCGCCTGAGATTAACGAGTTCTTATGCTGAAGTATATGCGTGAGGCGATTGTCAAAGTCGTAGATGGGCGAAGCGTCCTGGTAGAAGAACGTTACGTCGTTCTGAGCGGCGGGCGTCCTCGCGCAGTCGATCGCAGGGAGTTTGTATTTCGACACGTATGTATCTGTGACGCACACGTTAGTGTGACCGATGAACACAATTCGACTCGAAAGACAGCATACCATTACCCCAGCAACCCAGTTGATAGCGATCATGCATAGCAATGATGAGTTTGATACCTCGGTCATGCGCCTCGACCATCAACTGATCGATAGCCTTCAGCTGCGTGTCGTCGTATGTGCCGACTTGCTGTGGCTCGATATCGGGCATGTTGACTGAACCAGTGTCTTTGTTGTTCTGAGGCGTGGGAGAGATGAAGATACGCAGTGTCTTGAGCTTGGCGTCTTTGACCGCGTCGAGTACAGCTAGACGATCGGCCCTGTGAAGAGTAAGTATATGTATGAGAAGGCTTGAGGTGCGCGTACTTCTGATAGGCATGGAGGAAGTACGAGTTGACTCCAGCCCAGCTCGAAGAGATGGCTCTTTCATCGAGTGGTTGCGCCGCTGAGAAAGGTGCGCTCATGGCGAGTGGGAGAAAGAACTTGAGAAGCTGCATGTTGAAGGTATTTGATATGAGAATAGTTTGATGGCCGTCTTTCTTGAGGAAGTTGCTCTTTCTTATGCTTCTTCGCTTTTTGTCTTTAACCTAGCGTCATTCACATTCGATATGTGACCTTCTGTCTTTGGACTCGGTCTACAATCTTCTCTTTGCTACCTTCTGTCTCCCACCTTGCATTGTTCGCGCACTCCGACTCTATCTTCTCCACTCTATGTCAAAACCCAATCTTGTAGTGAGAGTAAATCCAAGACTAACGCCCAAAGAAGGGTGTGTAACTGCGGAGCAGCCAGGACCGTTCCCGGTAGAGTTAGTACATCTGTACTCCGTGCCTACACGCTAGCCTCGTAAAGGACGGAGCCCGATTGCCCGCGTCACATCTAAATTAGCGTATATACAAAGCTCCCTCGTGTTGCAAAACACTCCCTAGCAATCTTCAGAGTGACGTTCTTTAGTGTAGAGCGGCTCGAACTACGGGTAGGCCCAGAGCTCGAATGTATGATCGACATTTGAGGGGAAATGAATGGCGTACTGACATCCACGGCTGCTCGGCTGTCGGAAGTACATGTAGTGCCGAGGCATTGGAGTCTCCGAACAATTCCCTGTGCCTGGGGACGCGGGGCCTTTGGACAGCATCGTTTTTTGTTAGATATATAATGTTTCACTTAGTTCTGGCGGTTGCATAGTCTCAAGTTCGAGGTTTTCGTGTTGCATGCAGTCGTCATACGTGCTGGGGGTCAGGGTATGCTACCACCAACCGTCTCAAGAGCGCATTCGACGTCTTTCAACCCAACGTAGACTGGTGTAACGCCAATGAAGGGCTTGCTTGGCTCAGTTGGCTGTGGCCTCTCCGAACAGGTAGGTACCCTGGAGATGGTTGACCATGATGAGCATTCGTGCATCAGCGACAGAACGCGACCACGCGGCGGTCTAACTGGCTTCACAGTCTCCCATGTCCCCAAGGGAGGGTCCGTATCGACGTATCGATGAATCGGTCATATGGCTCAAGTGGTTTAAGTATTGCGACCTTGCTCTTGCGTCACATGTATGCAGCCCATACTGTGTGATACCCACAGGGTTCAAAGCAGACGTCGGGAGTCTATCGTCGCCATTGTGAACAGGCGCTGATGGAGCAAGGAATGCTGAGGTATCCCCGACTGGCTGTGAGGTCATTTAGTAGCTCATCATCGCAAGTTGTTGCGTCAAGGCTATGAGGAATGGGCGTTAGAAGCCGTGGCGAGGACGAGGAAGCCGCACAATATGTGAAGAGCGTTTTCACGGGGAGGATTGTCGAGGTAGAATGACGACCTTGAAGTATGACGGGCGCGAAACATGAGTGAAGAGCAGTTTGTAGAAGCCGGCGCCCTTCCGAAAGACGAGTGTTGACGCAGCGCGTTGCGGGTGGAGGTTGAGGGTGCAAGCGCGCAGGTGGGCGGGCCGAGGCGCGTTTGGGGCTCCTTCCTGGGCAGGCCGCAAGCCACCAAGCCCATCTTCGGGCGGCTGCCTCGCCACACCTTTTCACCCCACGCACCGCTTCAAGTCGCACCGCTGTCGCATATACGCAGCCACTTTATTGCGAGTGCGACAGAATCTCCACACGTTGCGAAGAGCCGTCCTGACACCCGGTCATACTCGAGTACGGCCAACGGCGACGGCGACGGCAAGACGGTGCGCGTACTCCTGCGACATCAGCGACGACCGATTTATGAGGCAATCTAAAAGCATTTCCCGCTCCGGATGGATGCACTTGGCGGAACCGCGTCAAAGTCCAGGCGCGCTTTCAGCATCAGGTCCACTCGCAGGGAGCCGTGAGTGCGACGCAGGTCGCCTAGCTAGCAAGGCGGTCGGACATCGTCGTGAAGACATGCCCAACTAGCGCCATCCTATGAGAACCTTCAGCCCGACGTATAACCAGGCCACATCCATGTGAAGCTTTACTCCAGCTGCAATGTCTTCGAATGCCCTGGTCCTTGTTCTGGAGGGCATTGCGAATACCGTCGAGCAGCCTTCGTCGCAGGTCTTCGCTACATTGCGGGAGGCCGATACGGCATGCGCTCTGCCTGTCGAACTGTCACGGCCGATGGAGAATCACTGTTTATGTTTATCATTTGCACCGTTTGGTTGATCCACATTAACATTATGGTTTAGCTACGGGCCTAGCTACTGCAAGATCCCTCATTATCAAATCCACAGCTCTTCTAAACGGTTCCCTGCTTGTCCAAGTCGGCAGTGGAAGTGCCGACCTGGCTGAGGGCAATAGGAATAGGTCCGTTCATCCTGACAACGAAGTCGCCCACCATGGAAGGTCTAAAGTGATGTCAGCGCGCGTTCTCTTTGCCCGATACTCGCTCGAATAACTCACCCGTTAAGAACATGGGCCAATCTAAGACGGAGGCCGTCTACCTGCAGGACGCGGAATGTGTATGAAGAGTCGTCGCAGCTGTAGACGCCATCGACCTCGACGTTGTCGGCAGCGCAATGGACGTTGTCAACGTGTTGAGAGTGAATGTAGAAGGCGAGATGCTTTTCGCCGCGACCGCCATAGACGGCGTTGTTAATGGTAACGGTCTCGAATTGATCGTCTTGGACGGTCGTGGGTGCAGCGGCGGCAAGGCCGGCGAACAGGGCAACGATGGCGAACTTCATGGTTGATTCTTGTGTCGGTAGCGAAAGTGGGTGAGATGAGTGAAGTTTGTTATGAAGAGATGGATGGATGCCGTGTAATGAGTACTTGACGGAAGACCTTCAACGTTTATATACGCATGTCAGTCTACATCCGCCGTCGACTAGTGCAGTGACAAGCTTTTGTCTATTTTGGGGGGCGTCAATGCGGCTGATGCTTGTGCTTTCGACATGTCTATACGGGGTTACATTGGAGATTGGCGACAAGGACAGTCCATCGCTCAACGGACGTCAGACTGGAGTCAATTTATTCGCAGCGGCGCTATAGCTCGCTTTCGTGTAGTCGATCCTTGCCGGCTTTTGTGGGGAAGGAGCCTTCGGGCCAACCGGCGCGAATTGATTTGTTTGCCGCCTCGTTTTTCTAAGCCTTGCAATCATTCCACACCGCAAACGTCATCACAGACCGCGATTTCGATGATCATCTCGTAAATATATCGGGTGAGCCACAATGGCTCGTATCATGGGGTAGCGGTGCATAGAGAGCCTACGTCGACTCTTCGCTGCACCTGCGCAGAGTCTTGCTATTAAGCCCAGAGTCTAGTGTTGAGGCGTGCTCAGCATGTGTTTAGTGAGAGGCTGTCTGTAGAGGGAATCATCTTGGGGCTTGACAAGCTGTCAAACACGTCTCCTAGAAGGGTTGGCAGGTGTTTTGCGAAGCTCACGTGATTACCATCCGGCTGTTCATCCGTAGTACGGGTTCTTTACCCGTAGTACACAGCTCCCCGGCGTTGACTGGTATGCAATGACCGCGCTGGCCCGAGAGTGCTAAACTTAGCATCTTCATACGGGGAATTCATGCGCATCTCCCAGAACCATCCGAAATATCGGAGCGACTGCCCATTCGGTTGAGCAACCATGCGACGATATCACAGCCGAGGATGTTCATGACTAGGACATATAGCAGCTTCACATGAGTCGCCTAACGATATTATTAACTTCCAAGTTGGGAACAGTTGCAGCTTCATAGAACGTTGCCTTTCGATCTTTCATCCTCGGTGTCCTTGTCACTACAGCAATATGGTCTAGATGTGAGATGACTCGGCCGACGTCGTAATCACAACCCCAGTTGCCAAAGCGCTCAACACCATCGCCCCGGTCAATCTGCACATTCGTATGGAAGTCATGGAAATGAAAGTGTTCTTCTTTCTACATGTGCTTCGAGTGCATCTTCCCACAGTCCATTCCATTGCGCGATACAGTCTCACGTTCTCTGAGTCGTCATTACCTTGACGGAAATTGATGACTGCCAACCCAATCTTCTTGGGCCGTATCACGAAAGCCTTCGCAGCAATCTGCTCACCGATAGGGCGTTGATGCTTCACGTCATAGAAATCCAACATAGCTGCCTTCTCCTTCAACCGTGAGACATAACACGAAGGGATCCGAACAGGTGCACTTGCGGCTTTGGACAGTGCGAGACCCAACTCTTTGAACTTCTTATGGTAGCACCGTGCAGTCTTTGGTCCAGCTTTCTCGGGGGCCTGCGAAGTCTCGATGACAGGTGCAGCATGGCGTATTCCTGCTATTTCTTGAGTCCTCAAAGCTAAGTTCCACATGAGCTCGTTCGTTGTTCAGTTTGGCGGCGTGCTGGATGTTGGACTTGGACACCCCCGCGGGCGCATTCTAGAGAGAGCCTCGCCCAAAACCGCCGATTTGGCCGATCTACACCATGAAGTCTGTTCCATCATGAGGGTCGTTGTAAAACTATCAATAGTGGTGCGATACAGAAGGCGACATCGTCGGAACTTGACCTGTTGCGTAAGAATTGGAGCTGTGTGACGTTTGGTGCGGATAATAGCTGGTGTCGCTTGGCTGCCTCGGCGGTGCCGCCAAGCCTCGTCGGGTTGTGGGGGCACGCCCATCGCGACATCACCGACTCGATCCTCACAGCATCCCCTCCGCCTCCAGGATTACCTGTGACTCTCCTTCTCGCATCGCAACTTAATGCTGCTCTTACCGTGCGTCTCGCATAGGCAAGCCACCTCAGCATGATCTAATCAGCTCGCGCAAAACCGGCACGCAATTGTCCACCGGCGCGCATCGCCCTACCGACTCGTCGTAGCACCGTGGACGAGGGCGACAGTGTCTTTCACCATCCTCCAGTTCTCATACCGCATAAAGAGCAGCGCCACAGTTGTATGCCCATCGCTGTCGTTGTCCGGTATAGCGTAAGCGTCCCTGCTCGAGCGTTGCCTCAGGGCGCGACTGACGTACCGCAATAGCAAATGTCCACTCCGACGCATTCACAATCCTCAAACGAGTCCCCGCGCAATATTTCATTACAAGAACGCACACCATTCTATTACAGACACCAGCTCGGAATCCATTCCAGCAAGACGCCACTCCGCCTCTCGAGTCGCAACACATGACTGGGACGGCCCGCTGGTGCTGGCATCTCATCGGATGATGCACATAGTTCACGACAAATGTACCAATGAATTTGCGCCGTGTCCAAGCATCACGAGGCTGGACGATGGGGCTCGCAATTCCAAAGACGTTGCTGCATAGGCCGTTTTGGGATATGGATTCGATTCGCGCGTTTGCGCTCACCTGGACTTCGGGTGCGAAATGCAAACATCAGATTGGGTGCAGCATTCTAATGCTCTCTTTGGAAATGAGTGACACATTTGGTCCGCAAAAGAAGCATGGGTGACTGCAGCATGATGATTGCGATGGAGCAGGCAACAAATGCGAGCGGAAAACAGATTTGTTCACGTAGAAGCAGATGCATATCGTGGCGACAATACGTGGATCACAGCCACCGACATCGATGTCCAACGTGTGATAGGCATGAAGCGCCCAGTGGTGATCAATAGATTGGTTATGAGAGAAAGCAACGACGCGCGGTGCAATCCTCAAGCAATTTCAGCCAGGAGCGCGCGCTCGCCACACGAAGCATATACCCACAAGAGCTTTTCTGTGACTGCGAAGGTCTTCTGTAATTGCCAACGCCTAAAAGACCTGCACAGTCGAGCTCGCTTGGTTGTCTTGGGCTGCCATCCTTGGCCGTTCCCATCTGCTGTATCAGAACCTGGCTTCCATCATGGCTCTTTCCCATCCACGAAGTCTATGCACGTATCAATGGCATTGCCGAACGCGACAGTCCTCCGTCAAGTCTATATGAAAAAGTCCCTTCACCGCTCATCACGGTCGACTGACTATGTACAGGAGTTGTTTGAGCTTGAATGCGGCTCACGTTTGTCGTTCAAATGGTCGCGGAGGGCGTTGCGCCCTTTGCTTATGAATCTGACCCACAAGCGAGCTGGCGCCTTACTCTTTCCGCACATCCCGCCCGGGTGAGACCACATCGCTTGGTGTCGATGGACTTATTGCAACTTTGCCTTTACTTCAGAAAGTGCAGCTCGCTGTCGCGTTCGAAAGGATAGCCCGTCACTATCTGTCTTGAGCCTCATCACGCACAACTGCAACACCCTGGATCACAAGCACGCGCGACGATCTGGACATGATGACTACTGAGGTCTACCCCAGTATGACGATGGTGCAAACCGACGGCACCCATTCCCTTGCGCTATACAGCCACGGCCCAGAACCGTGTGATCCTCATGATGCGGCGGTGCTGTTCGTCTCTGGTGTCGCAAGCAGCAGGCTTAACTGGGCAGCTGTCGTACGACAGCTCTCTTCATCGATGCGCTGCTACACCTACGATCGCGCAGGTTATGGCTTGTCCGACAGCGCTCCGTACCCACCCACGGCTGAGAGCATTGCACAGGATCTTTTATACCTTGTCGAACACGTCCCCTTCAGGAATCCTCTCATCCTCGTTGGTCACTCTTGGGCTGGTGTGCTGATCAACGAGTTCATTGCGCTAACAGGGAATGCACATCACATTGCCGGACTGGTACTTGTCGACGCGAACCACGAGACAATGCCACAAGTTTTGAACGTCAACGATCCGGATCTCCAAGCCATCTCCGAGGGCATCAACCCATACATCGCGAAGGGCATTGCCGCAGAGCACAAGCTGACGCAGGCGGAATGGGTCGCACTCATGGCTGAGGAAGCGACCGCGAAGTACGCGACAATCGCGCGCATGGAGGAGGATGAATACGCAGCAAGCTTCGAGGCGCTGCGGAATAAGAGGTTGAGTGACCAACAGCCGCTTCTCGGGCAAAAGCCCGTGTACGTCATTGGAGGCATGCGCAGTAGGGACTGGAATGGGATGTACAAAGCTGGAATTGCGAAAGGAAATGGGAGCGAAGAGCAGAGGCGTCGAGTACGAGAGTTGATTAGCACGGCGGACGAGAAGAGCGAGAGCATTATGAGACGACATCTTGAGCTCTCTACGAAGGGCAGGCTTGCCTTCGCGCGCGAGAGTGGCCACTTCGTCCAGATGACGCAGCCCCAGGTCGTAGTCGAAGGCGTGAAGTGGGTTGTTAACGCGCGAAGAGTTTCGTAAAAAGTAGATCGCAAACAAATCTTCTTCTTCTACGTCTTCTACTAGAACGTAGGTATCAGAGATGCTTTAGATGTTTTAGATGAATTTATATATTCTAGAAACTAAGCCTATCTAAGAGAATATGCTTCCCGAATGCTCGGCAGAATTGCACGCATGACATCGGCGCACAACCTAATATTAGCCGCGGCAGTCCCGGAACCCTCGGGCTATTTCGTATTCGGCAATACCGCGGGGGTAAGACGTTGGGCCAAGCTTCCCCATCAAGCTCGATAAATGCTATTAATGTAGCGATCGTCATTTCAATCACCAGGAACGACGTCACACGCTCGCGATTAGGTTACCAAGACAACTAGTCGCGCAACGTAGCGGTCAATAAGCGTAGCATGGCCGGTAATGTAAAGAGCTCGAGGTGCCTGCCATATGTTCGTCTCTACAAGTCATCTCTTCTGATCTATCAACGTTTAACAACATCCGAACTCTTGCCAACCTCATTTCCGTTCACAAATTGCTGTCCTGCCAACCGTCATCATGAAGTTCTCCGCTGTCGCATGCGTCTTTGCTGTCGCCGTTGCCGGTGCCCCAACCGATGTGACGCCTCGATACGATGTCACCAATTTCATCGCATACTGTTCTACAGACGGTGGAGCATGCTAGTACGTTCTTTCCCCTCTTCCCCATCATTACCCAACTAACACGCGCATAGCTATGACTTCGCTGTCGTTCAACATGCTAACGGCGAGACAATTCCTGTCCAGTGCAACACATCGGCCGACAGCGACGATGGAGCCCTCCCCGGCGTCTCTGACGGCAAATGCAACTCTTCCCGCACTTTTGCCGTCATCAGAGAAGAGGACGGCAGCCTCAACTTTTCCGTTACTCAACAGATCACGCCCATTTCCTACACGACTGGCAACCACACTATCTCCGCTGATCAGATTGAGAAGAAGGATGGCGCGGAGACATACGTTGGGCCGAAGAGCTTCGGACTCTACAGCTCTTAGATGTTACGACCTAGAGCTAAAACGCTTACGGCTACGCCGCAATTACGCTACACAATTTAGAGCTAGAAAGATAGTCCGTTAGTGTTATGGGCGGAAAGAGGCCTGCTAACAAGTATGCATTTGTTCTATAACGTAGGTAATATGTAATAGGCTAAAGCCTAGTTACTGAATCCTCGATAATACCTTGGTTACGTGCGCAAGCGCACAGTTCGCGATTGTACAATTTCGACAAAATAGCTTTTCGATCTGAATTATCTCTCCGTCGATCTCTTATATGCAGGATATATGACATTGAACAAGACATCACTCAGCTCTTCTACCGTACCTTCACATAGATTTCCAGATAATATCGACATCATATCCTCTCGGACGAACACCCGTGTGAGAATCTCGATATTCTCATCAATGCTCCACACTGGGTTCATGTGCTGTTCATAACCCTTTGTCAATCTTAGCATATTTGATATTCGTATCGCATGATCTTGGATGGGCTTGATCCCTAACATGCTGTGTTAGCATCATGTATGTAGCTGCACGTATGGAGGTAGCGGACTCACCACAATCGCGAATGCTTCCCACTTAGATTCGATTAGCAATTTTTGTGGAAGCTATAACCAGCATATCTTACCAGGAGCGAAAGTCAGATGCGTGATCTTTTGGAGGCGCTCAATACCAATTTCATCCAAATTGAAATCCGAAGAAGGATTAAGTCCTGGCATCAACCTGTGTTGTATGTCCTGCATAACCGTGAAATGCAGGATAAGGCCCAGGCATCCTGGACGTACAACATGGTTGGCTGCGCGAGAATCAGTGATCGTGAAATAGATTATAAAGACATATGTTTTACCTTTGACAATCACGTCTTCTGGTCCGTCAAAGATTCCCGCAGTGGCGTACTCTTCATATAATGTTTCTGGAGATCCAAGTGACATTTCCCTGAGTCCTTTGAGATATAACCAAAGGCGACGAGCCGGTATTGACTGGCAGAAGAGATCTTTCAGATGCTCTCGTACTCTCTCTCGCCTTGCTTCTCGAAAGCCTCGTGTAGCAACATCGATCTTGATTCTCAAGAAACGCATTTTCCTCACTTGCTCAGAGTCCGTAACAATGGTATGGTAACTTCCACCTAGTCTTGTAAGGCTCGCACAAAATTGAAGATTAGTGATTTCACATACCGAGCTTCTGATACAACTGCATGAACTCTGTTGGTCGTTCAGGTAAATTCTCGAGCAAGGCTTTTTGAAGTTGTCTCAACGACTCTTGCCTCAATTCTTCCATCTCATCTGCCCCCAGGACTTCTTTATACGACATCACAACAGCAGAGCCCAGGGACTTAGCAATCAGTTCAAGCTTTTTCAAATATACCAGTTTCCCGTCGTTGTTGGGGCGACCAACCACCTTGTAGCCACAATCAGCAGGTAGCTGGAGATAGTGTTCCAGAGATTTCTTCAAGGATAATTTGGAACTAAATCCAATCACTGACGTAATATGTGCATTGTCCAGGAATATGCAGTTAATTCTGTACATCTGGTCGGTGCTGATTTTGAAGAACGGGAAGGTGAAGCGATGGTATGAACGCCGGGTGCCGTCCTCACCTGGAAGGAGCTGTATCCCTTGAGGAAGAACTTGCGAGTACGAGTTTCGCGGTTTTCTCAAGGGCAAATCCTCAAGGATCGATTTGGCGGTGTCCGGGTTGATATGGCGACTACGGCTGAGTTCAAAAAGGTTTCTTCTCGATATCTTTATACACTCATTGGTGTCTTCCTCTGAATTGGGAAGTAGACAGCTTCTCAGAATCAGAATCAGTCTTGGAGTGATAGGGGCGAACTCGTGGTACGATGACCAGGTGATGACTTCATGTTCTCCAGTTTCCGGATTCAATACGCGACTGTTTGGCCCCTCGTGGACGTTATAACAATTTTCCGTGAGTACGAACTCGTCATTCATCTCGCATGGTGTACAGAAGGCAAGATAATACCATTCCATGTGCATGATGAACCAGAGAGCATCACCAGGGTAAATTTTGGCGAGCAATTCTTTTCGCCAGTTTCCTTGCAAGTCAAACCGTAGATCCAAAATGGTTTTAATGCTTCTGAACCACACATCGACTGGATTGTGATATCCATTTTCCATCATGTACTTCTCGAGCTGATCGGCATCATCTTCAACGTATCTTCCTGAAGTATCGCCATGAAAGCGCTCATGAAATCCCGGTCCCCGGTATTTCATGATGAAGAGAAATTTGCGTAGTATATCTCTTTGGTCTCGCGACATCGAGAAGCTATCTTTCGAAGATTCAAATGCTTTCTTAATCCCAGCTATGATTGTGCTGACTTGAGACTTAAGTTTGCTAAGCTCTTTCTCCAGGATGTTGTGATCGGATGCATCTGAAACATCTTGGTACATATCCATTAGTCCAAAGGTACGTCTGACAGATAACTCGCATAATTGTGGTATTTCGTTTTCCAGGTTGATGATGTGCAGAACCGATTCGCCAGGGTAGATTCTGTTCTTCTTGTGTTTCTTTTTGCTCCGTGAAGCGGACTTGGACTTGAGCGATGGAGGATGATATTTATGAGAAAAGTTTTTCAGGATGAATTGGGGTATAAAGTGATGAAATTGTGATTGAGACATTAGAGGCACAACTTAATGTCTAGGAAGATAGAGATGGAGGCTAAAAGTTTAGCCCCAAAACGTTTGTCAGGGCCGGCACAATAGCTCCGAGAGTTGAATATACCGGGTCTGGGAATGCCATTACTTTAGAATGAATCGACTGTTATATAGAAGTACTGTTCGTTGAACACCTGGCGTCGTGCGTTATCACGTTATGGTGGCGTCTAATGTTTCTTGTCTATTCGCTAATGTCGCTGCAGGGTGGCTTGGTCGGCGCTAATGTGACAGGCATAAAGGGCTGATAGCAAAAGAGCTGATATGTTACGAGTAACAAGAGTGACTCCCTCCGTAACAAGGAGCAGTTAGTTGTTGGTTAACCAGCGTTGTCACAAGACGCTACGAGCACGTGTTTAAGAGCTTACAAGAAGCGTTAATTGTAGCTACGTATAATATCTAGTGTAATACAAGACGTTGCGTAAGGAACAGAACAGAATGCAAAGCGGTGAAAGATATAGCTAGGGCCGTGCGCGGCGCTCAGGCCTTAGCTGGCCAATTAACAGATTTCGGGTGGACTGGCGAGCCACCCGAAATCTGTGCGTTCAGGTGTTAGGGGAACCACGGTGGTTACCGTAACAGTACCCCCCTCTTACTCTTGAGCTCCTGTGAGTAGAGATCATGTCTCTTACTCTTGCATTACTTCGGGTGGCTCCAAGATGTCAGAAAACCTCTTATGGAAACCAGCTACGGCTGCGTTATCCTTCAGGTCTGCAGCGGGTTCCCAGGTCATCTCGTCATAGCCTGTCCATTTAACGTAGTATTCATGTCGTCTACGACGCTTATTGTAACGGAGGTCTTCGATACTTTCTACAAAGTATTCTTCTTCGTTGTCTACAACAACAGGTTCGGGCGGTAGGACAAGTTGTCCTGGCAGGTACTCCTGTTTTGGCGCAGCAGGCCGGAGTAAGGACACATGAAATACTGGGTGTATCTTCATGGAATCGGGCAGTTCGAGACGGTACGCGTGGGAAGAGATCTTTTTAGCTACTCGGTACGGGCCTAGATTCTTCCAATCAAGCTTCTTAGATGCCCGTTGCGTTCGGATGTTACGCGCGTCTAACCATACCTCGTCGCCAATTTCGTATGTTGGCGCAGGTAGGCGTTTGCGGTTCGCGTACTCTTGCTGTAGGGCTTGAGCCCATGTCATTTCTTCACGGATGAACTCAGTAATGTCGCGCATCTTATCCACCATCGCGTTCACCTCACGAGCTTGGAGAGCTTGGTAGGCGGGACGTGTCTTGTTGGTAGGCGGCTCGAAGCCCATTCGGGGATTCTGACCGTAGCAGGCCATCATCGGGGTTACTCCAGTAGACTCAGAGACGGTATTATTGGCTTCGAACTGAGCGGTGGGGAGCCATTGAACCCAATTGTCTTGTTGATAGTTCGTATACGCGCGTAGGACTTGTTCCATCGCAGCGTTAGCGTTCTCTGTTTGTCCATCTGTCTCAGGATGGTAGCCGGTTGAGAAGCGCGGGTCTATCCTTAGTTGAGCACACAGCTCATCATGGAAAGCAGATACGAACTGTCTGCCACGGTCCGAGACTATCGTATCAGGGAGGCCATGATTACACCAGACGTAGCGCAGGAACATACGTGCTACGTCGGAAGCCTCCATCTTATCGCAGGGGATCATGTATCGGTACTTAGACAGGCGGTCTACTACGACCATGATGTTCTTGCATCCTTCGGATTCTGGCAGGTCAACGACGAAGTCGACAGAGACGTCTGCCCAACGTCGTTCGGGTACGGGTAGCGGCTTCAGCAGGCCGTGGTACTTCTCACGAGAAGCCTTCGAACGTCGGCAGACGTGGCAGCAAGAAACATAACGGCGAACGGTCTCAAACAGTCGGGGCCAGTAGTATTCCCGCTGGATTAGTTCAAGTGTTTTCCCTCGGCCAGGGTGGCCTCCTGATGGGGAATCGTGGACTGTTCGCAGGATCTTGATCTTAAGTTCGTCGCTGTCAGGTATCACTAACTTGTTGCGATAGTAGAGGCGACCCTCACGGTCTTCGCAGTCACCAAGTGTAACTGTCTTAGACCGTCGTGCGCCGTCGCGCAGCAGCTTCAGCGTTTCTCGAATAAACAGGTCTTCAGGTAGCCCATCGCCTGTAGGACGGTACTCATCGTCGATGATCTGCTGGATAGATCTATCTGTCTCTACCAGTCTAATTGCTACGGGTTCTCGAAACAGGTCAGGACGCAGTAGGGTCTGTTTCCGAGCTTGTCTCGCTTCCTCCTGAGCAAGCTGGTCCTGAGAGCGACGGGTAAGAGCGTCAGGCTTCTCACCGTGCTTGCCGGGTCGGTATGTAATTGTAAACTGGAATCGTGATAGGTATTCAGACCAGCGGGCTTGACGGTGGCTCAGTTGCTTCGTAGTGGCGAAGTACTGCAGGTTCTTATAGTCGCTGAGCACGTCGATAGGGAAGGCAGCGCCTTCTAATTCTGGTCTCCACTGTTCGAAACAGCGAACAATAGCAAGTAGCTCCTTGTCGTAGATCTCGTAGTTGTTCTCAGCGGGGTTCATTCTTTTCGAGTAGTACGCGACCGGACGGAGGACGCCGTCAGGTCCAGATTGGGACAGCACTCCTGCTGTAACATAGTCGGAAGCGTCGGCTTCAATAACAATTGGCAGGTCTGGGTCGAAGTGTCGTAATATTGGTGCAGTAGTGAAGGCATGCTTCAAAGCATCAAAAGCCTTCTGGCAGTCGTCATTGAAGAGGAACTTAGTATCCTTCTTAGTCAGCGCTACTAGCGGAGCAGCTAGGTAGGAGAAACCGTCTATAAACCGTCGGTAGAAGTTTGCGAAGCCTAGAAATGCTCTGATGTCCTTAACGTTGTTTGGGTACTCCCAATTTACAATAGCTTGCACCTTCTTCGGATCCATTTGTATTCCGTCTACTCCAACTACGTAGCCAAGGTAAGTCACCTCAGTCTGGTGAAACTCGCATTTGTCTACGTCTAGTTGGAGTCCGGCTTCTCGAAGGGCGTTTAGAACAGATCGTACATGCTCCTTATGTTCATGGAGATTCTCACTGTAAATCAGGATATCGTCGAGGTAGGCCGTGCAGAAGACGTCTAGGAACGGGCGTAGTACATCGTTCACGAAGTGTTGGAACGTGCTCGGCGCATTAGCTAGTCCAAAGGGCATCACTAGGTATTCGAACAACCCATATCGAGTGCGGAAGGCTGTTAGCCATTCGTCTCCTTCAGCAATTCTCAATCGGTTGAAGGCAGCAATAATATCGAGCTTTGTGTAATACTTGGCCTTGCTCAGTCGGCTCAAGGTCTCTTGGATCAACGGGATTGGGTAACGGTTCTTAACAGTGGCGGCGTTTAAGGCACGGTAATCGACGCAGAAGCGTAGTCCGCCGCCGGGTTTCTTAACAAAGATAACAGGGGAGGCGACTGGGGAGGAGCTTGCGCGAATGAATCCCTTCGACAGGTGATCTTCGAGGTACTTGCGCAACACTTTGAGTTCGTTCTGAGACATGCCATACAGTGGGCCGAACCCGTGCTGTTTGCCGGGTATTAGTTTGATCTTGTGGTCGTAAGGCCGTCGTACAGGCAGCTTATCAGACTCTTCTCGTGAAAAGACGTCTATCAGGTCATGATACTCCTGAGGGACTTTCGTGAGTGGATCGGTGTGCTTCTTCTCAGTTAGTGCCTTGTCAATGTCGGCAATGCTAACAGCACAGATTTCATAGCCTCTTTTGCGTGCTAGGCTCATAAACGGAGCAGCACCTATACAGTAGATGTCGAGTTCTGGCTGCAACTTCGACGAGTCGTTCTGCTCGTCTGTTGGCTGGGCACTATCAGGGTCGGGTACAGGTTCGGGTACAAGTTCGTTCAACTGGCGCTTCATCTTAGGTAGCCAGTGGTCGTGCCGTTGTCGTGGCACATGCTTAAGTTTTGGGTTTTGAGGGTAGGCTTCATCATGCCTGTTGTTGCTCCACTGTACCTCAGGAGAGAGAACAGGAGTTCTAGTAGTTCTAAGACAACGTTCTTTACATCGTTGAGCGGTGAAGATTAGTCTTTCCTTGTCGTAGTCTAGGTTTACTCGGTGCTTGTTCATCCAGGGTTGGCCAAGTATTAAATTATGACGGCCGGTGTTCGTGACGTAGAGTCGTATAGATTCGTTGTGATTGTTGTGTTGTAGCTTCAGGGTGACAGTGTGAGACACTTCTCCACCGTCGAGTACAGTTCCAGTAAATCCAGTCGGGTAAATAACGTAGGGCAGCGGGTCTTGACGTAGTTTTAGGTTGCGCGCGAGGTCTCTGTGAATGTATCCAATACCAGTAGCTCCAGTGTCAACTAAGGCTTTAAGGTTACTCTTAACACCGCCTTGTTGAACTGTACAAGGTATTGTAATACAACGTTTCCAGGTATCAGTCTGAGATTCAGACCAGAGTTCAGCAGAGATTCGGTGGGTGCGCAGTCCCGGGGAGCGACTTATCCTCGGGACGAGGCTTTTCCCTTCTGGGATCGGTTACGAGAACGTCGTCCTCGGGATCGCGAAGGTCGCGAGGATCCTGACGAGACAGAACTAGTAGACTGGGTACGGTCGTGGTCACGCGCGCTATAGGATCGGATATGCTGAGTAGGTAGGGGAGCGCTGCAATCCTTAGAGATGTGACCTTTCTGGTTGCACTTAAAGCAGCGGCCTTCCTTAATCCTCTTCTGTCGTTCGGAGGAACCAGCGGGGGCGTATGCTGATGCGTCTATCTCCATTGCGTCGGGGTGGGTTACAGGGTAGCGTCGTGGGCGGTCTGGTAGGAAACGGAGGTTATTATCGTACGTGGATATCAGGTTAGCGTAATCGTTAAGGTCGCTAGGCAAGGCTTCTCCAACCATTGCACGTTGAAGTTCGTGGGATAGAGAGTTCCGGAGGGACGCGATCAGGCCAATCTCATTTAACCCAGTGTCAGCAGCTAGTCGTCGGAATTCGGCGAAGTGGGAGGTGAAGC